ATAGACCGTACGGACGCGGTCATTTTGTTCGGGGGGAGGTTGTTACGGTATATAGGACCTAGGTAGAGCAGATTACCCTAGTAGAGGTAGGGGTAGGGCGGTATAGCTACACACCCCGTACCTACTTAGTAGATAGCGATAGTAGACAGATACGCTATTAATATTATTATACTACTTCTTAGCGCTTACTTCTTACCGCGAGTATAGGGTAACTAGCGCTTAATAAGTACGCTACGAGAGGTCTAGATTGTATTATCTATAAAGGTAAGGAATATACTTAATGTACGTTCTATAAGCGCTACGGTCGCCTAGGTTGTAATAGTAAGCTCTAGAAGAAGTACGAGAAGTAGAAGATAAGTAGGATAACTCGCTAAAGCCTAAGCCGGACTCGTAGGCTACTATAGGTAATTCTAGGGCTAAGATAGGCGACTCGTAGAAGCCTACGAGTCTTTAAACTAAGATTACTAGGCTTAAGAAGGGTTTAGGGTTTGCTTATAAGCGTATTAATAATCTAGAGGCTAAGCTCTACTATATAATAGACTTTATTACGTAGCTACCGGGTAGCGAGCAGTTCGTAGCTAAATATAAGGGCAAATATACTTAGTAGATAGTATAGATTAATTCTAGCCTACGAGTTATAGCGAGTATAGCTAATTTTAGCCTACGATTCCGTACGAGTCGGGTAGCTTAGGATATATAGAATCTTAGAGCGATTAAATCGCCTACGAATCTAGCAATTTTAGGCCTACGAGTCGGGCAAATTATAATACTACGAATCTTAGAGATCGTAGAATCCCTAAATCGCCTGCGAGTCTACCTAATTTTAGCCTACGAGTCGGGAGAATGTTAATATTAGAGATCTCTAAGCCTTTAATCGTTATTATATTTATACTATTAACCCTATACGCCCTTCTATCCTTTCAAAGCCTCGCTACTAACTCGCTACCGACTCGCTATAGCTTCTTTAACGCCCTTATAACCCTTTAAAACTCCGGAATCCTTATATACTCCTTCCTTAGCTTCTTATTCCTTATTGCCTCCGCTAGTATACTCGTAGTACTCGCTAGTCCGCTCGGGGGCGTACTCGTAGGCTCCGCTAGTACACTCGTAGCCTTAGTATCCTTAGGTAAGCTAGTAACCTACCTATCGCCCTAAATCTCCGTCGCTACCGGCGACTCGCTAGCGACTCGCTCTACTAAATCCGTAGGAGTAATCTCTATTCCTTCTTTAATAGTACTTAAATCTATAGGCTCCTTCTTTATTGCTATACGTGCCTCCTACTTTACTACTAGCTTGCTTTTAGGCACTCGTACGTACGTAGGCTCGTCGTCGTCGTTATTATTAGTAAGGTTAATAATATCGATAGGGTTATAGGCGCTTAATCCCTAGGTACCGGATATAGACGAAGGAGTAGATCGATAGGGTAATTCGCGACTCGCTTAACGTTTGTAACTAACTAGCGGACTAGTAGAGGCCTCTTTCTCGGTAGATTAGGCACTCGTAGAGGGACTCGTAGGCTAGCGGAATTTAGCTAGTTTATTAGGGCTAGTAGAAGGCACTACTTTAGATTCGCTAGTACTCGCTACTATACTCGCTACTACACTCGCTACTACCTCCTTAGCTATCTTTCTTTTAGCTTTAGTACTAGGCCTCTAACCTAGACGCCTACTACGATAGCGCCTATTAAGGCTCTTTATTAGATCCGGATCTAAAGAGGAGCTGTCGTCGGTAGACTCGCTAGACTCGCCGTAGTCCTTCGGAAGCCTATTCTACCGCTTATCTTTAGCTACAAGGACAGCGACCCTAATATCTACCTCCTTTCGCGTAGGATTTGCCTAGTACCTACGCTTAAATAGTAGTAATTGCTCGTTAAGGTCGTCTTTGTCTCTACTGTTCGAGCTTAGTATAATTAAGAGCTTCTACTCTTTGTCGTACCGGGTATATATAAACGGACGTTTGTAGTACTATAGGCCGGTAACCTTCTTAACCTTAATATAGCTAGCGTGTAAAGCCTAGTAGTAAAGCTAGTTACGAGTACGCGGCGAGTCGAGTAGTAGGGCCTTAAAGTCGCTCTAGTAGCCTACGATAGACTAGTAATCGACTAGCTCTAGATTATCTCTAACCGTCCACCTCTACTAGCCTTCCTTCTTAACTACATTAACTACTACTTTGCTTATGTACACTATAACGTAAAGCTTAGGGCCCTTTAGTACTTTCTTCGGTCTACTACCCTTGTTCTACGACTACGAGTCGGCCTACGAGTCGTCTCGTAGCTCGGTACTACTACTACTACCCGCCTTAAGTCGATTCGTAGCGATTAGCGTGCTCCTATATAGACTCGCTTTACTAGTACGAGGACCTTATACCTCTCCGGATAACGGATTAATACCTATATTACTAAGCGGGCGGATATGCTGCTTCTTATTAGCGGCTAAAACGGCATTAGTACGGCTAAATAAGCTTTTAGCGAGTCTAGTAAAGCTACTATAGCCCTTTATAGACGCGGGCTCCTTCCGCCGTAGAGTAGGGGAATCGATCGGATCCGGTACTAGTATTAAGGAAGGGCCTACAGTCGACTCGCGGCGACTCGCTATATTAGTGTCTACTATAGTAAAGAACGGGTTCCTAAGGCCGCATTTACTATAGCGGGGCTTATCGCTATACTCTTTAGTATAATTAAGAGTATAATCTACCTTATTAGATATATAGAAGTCTTCCTAGAAGTTAGTAGAAGAAGCTATAATAGACGTATATAGAAAGATAAGACGTAGTATTAAGGAATGTAACGTTACGAGTCTACTACGAGTATATACGAAGCTTTATAGAGGCTCCCTAGTAGTAGTAAAGACGGTTCTCGTACGATTAGACGGCTCGAGGCTATTTAAGCGAGTCGGCGCGATATACTTAGCGAGTCGTCTACTAGTATCTAGGTACTACTTAGCTACTTCTCGGAGGTACTAATAAGCGTATATATAAAGCTTCTTAGGCCTATTACCGAATCCGGGTTCGCTACCTTTAAAGGTTAACGGGTAGCTAGCGAGTACGAGCTGTTCGTTTACCTATTATAGAGTTGTCGGAGGCAGGTATAAGCTAAGGTCTATATATAGCGAGGCGTAGTTAGCGTAGGAGTAAGAGAGGGGTAACTCTATAGGCGGGTAGCTAGAGCTGCGAGTGACTACGAGTACAGCTAAATTGGCTACGAGTACGGTCCAATTTCGAGCTACTTACCTAGTACTAATATAGAAAGCTCTTTAATTACCCGCGGAGCTTACTATAGCCGTCTATCCGGTTTATCTACTACTTAAGAGTAGTACTCGCTAGACTCTTAGGGTTAATTAGATGCCTACGCTAGGTAGTGTCCTCGAGCTCTAGATACTCGTAGAGCAAATCCGGTATACTACTAATATAGCTCTTAAGGTTTTGTACTCGTACCGGGTGCCGATTCTACTCTAAGACAAAGTAACTAACTATATAGCGTATAATTAGAGTATAGATTACGAGGAAGGCGAGTCGATTAGATAGCTTAGCGGCCTCGAAAAGGTGTAGGTTAATATACTAGTTAAATAGGTCTCTCTAGCGATTTATAGCTAATTTAGCTATCTCGCCCTACTAGTACTTAATAGTCTAATTGCCTTTACTCGTAGTATATAAGAAGGCCTTAACAAAGTCGATATTACGGCCCTCGATAAGCTCTCGAAGCCGTAGATAGGCGTCTACTAGTATAGGTGTCTCGACACCTTAATTAGAGCGGACTCGCTAAGGGACTCGCTAGATATAGTTAATTATAGTATAGTACTACGAAAACACTAAGTACTTTGTCTTTACTATTAGGCTAACGTAGAACTAGATAATCCGGCGTAAGTAGACGTTAATATAGGCGTAAATCTAAATGCCGAATTGCTCGATTTTATAGAAGGCATTAATTAACTAGACGTAGTTAGGCCTATTAGCTTTTAGTCGTACGTACCGTAGCCTATTCGGATAGCGATTACGTAATTCGCGAAGCTTATATAGTAGAGCGTTAATTTACCGTGAAATCCGGTAGATACGATCCCTAGTAGGCATTAGTATAGTAAGAAGAGGGCTACGAGTCGGCTACGAGTCGATTCCCTACCTACCTATAATATACTAGTAGGTTCTTAACTCTCGTACGAGCTTACGATAGCTAAAGTCTTAGGTTTGCCTATTAATTAGTACTACTCGAAGTACCTTATCGACGTAGGTAGTAGCTACTTCTAATTCCTCGTGTTCTAGTCGACGCTTAAGGCCGTAAGTACGGCGGAGCTCTTAATACTACCTTAAAGAGATATTATAGCTATTAAGCCGTAGTATAGTATAGCTCTTCTTGTCGCTAATAGTATATAGCTAGAATAGCTCGGTAATCCGCTTAATTAGTACTACGTTACTACTATAGTTAATTCGAGAGCGAGTAGTTACTCCCTATCGTAATAAGTGTGTCTATAGAGTTCTAATACCGTAGCGAATGCCCTTAGTATTATGTAGGCTCTATACGACTCGCTAGTAGGTATATCTAGTATAAATCTAAAGCTTAATCTAGAGCCGATAGGGCTGTAAATCGAGGGCCTAAGGTAGTATAACGACAAAGTAGATAATAAAGGACCTAATAGATGGATTGCGAGTCGATAGCGAGTACATCAGTGCCTAACCACTGCGATTACGGTGTGTGAGAGTGTGGTGGTGCGGTAGCAAAACCGGCAAAACCATTTTGCGGATTTGTAAGCTCAGGCCACCGCCGGAGGCCCCACAAAGTCTATCCCCGCACGGCCGACCACAGACCACCTCGTCTCCTCTTTCTGCATCCCACCTGCACAGTTTCCACAGCAAAGACATCCGAGGGATCTCCACGTTTGATCTCGAGATAGGCGAGTAGTTTGGTAGGCCACATACTACGTTTGATCTCCCTCCTTGCTCTCTGTCTCCTCTGCCGCTTCTTTTAAGCCTACTACACCCTCCCCCGGTTGCCGGAACAAGTCTCTAAAATGCCTAGATTCCAGAGCTTGCAGCAGGACATTCTGCGTATGTATACACTGAGATGACCGGGAACATAGTGTCTCGGCTCATCGAAATTGCAGTTCCGCGGGATATAACGACCTGGCAATGGCTCTTCGAAGAACCAACCTATTCTCCTCTTCATCGATTTCCCGCTTCACAGCTCGGCGGCTTCACAGACGCAATCTCGAAAGAGCGCCTCTCATGGCAGCAAGTCAAAGACAACGCTACCTACCTCTCCACCGCTCTTGTTACGAACTATGGCTTGAAAGAAGGTCAGACCATCTCGCTCTTCTCTGCAAACACAATATGGTACCCAGTTGCCATGCACGCGACCCTGCGCGTAGGGGGAAGAGTCAGCGGTGCCAGTCCGGCATACAACGTTGAGGAGATGACATATGCGCTGCAAAAGGCAGACGCCAAGTTCTTGATGACGCATCCGGATAGTATGGACGTTGCGATCAAAGCTGCCCAAAAGGCCGGGGTGAAGAGGGAAAACATTTTCTTGCTCGAGGGGCGCTTGAACGGATTCAGGAATATTAGAGAGCTCGTTGAGGAGGGAAAAAAAGCGAGTCAGCAAGTGCCGTATTACAGAATACCCAAGGGGAAGACGAACTTCGATGTTTGCGGCTTTCTGTCGTTCTCCAGTGGAACTACGGGTGAGTAAATCGATGCGTAGAAGGGACTCAGTCATGTCATACACACTTGCTTACCTTTGAACGTTCGCAGGACTGCCCAAAGCTGTAATGTGAGTTTGTGTCTAATGACCAGTCTTTTGTTTGTTCTAACGTTGGACATCACAGGATCGCCCACCAGAACGTAATAGCTCAATGCCTTCAAGTCATGCAAATCACCCCCTCGGACCACAAACGCGTGCTCGCTGTATTACCATCGTTCCACATCACCGGCCTTGTCCACGTCCTACACCTTCCGATCTTGATCAACGCCGAAGTCTACTTCCTTCCGCAATTCACCATGCAAGCAATGCTGGACACCGTGACCGAATACAAGATCCCTGAGCTTCTCCTAGTCCCTCCGATCCTAATCCGCATGGTTCGCGATCCCATAGTCGACAAATACGATCTCTCGTTCCTTAGACGCTTCTCGAGCGGCGCAGCCCCGCTAAGCGAAGAGATTCTCCAACTGCTCAAGACGAAATTCCCTCAGACTGGTTTCAAGCAGGGCTACGGTATGACCGAGTCCTGTAGCTGCATTACCGCTCATCCACCACACTACTACGACTACAAATACGGCCACCAAGTAGGCACAGTCTGCGCCAGCACCACCGTCAAAATCCTCAAAGATGATGGAACAGAATGCGGCCTCAACGAGCCGGGCGAAATCTGCGCCAACGGTCCTCAGATCGTCATGGGCTACCTGAACAACGAAAAAGCCACCAAGGAGACTTTCGATGAAGAAGGATATCTCCATACCGGAGACGTAGGCAGTATCGATTCCAACGGAATCATCACCATCTCCGACAGGATCAAAGAACTTATAAAAGTAAAAGGAATTGGCGTAGCGCCAGCTGAGCTGGAAGATCTCCTGCTCGGACATCCGAAGATCGAAGACGTCGCAGTACTTGGGATCCCGGATGATTACTCTGGGGAAGTTCCCAAGGCGTTCATCCAGCCGAAACCGGATCAGAAACCCAGCGCGGAGCTGGGAAGAGAGATTTTGAAGTATGTGAGGGAGAGTAAGGAGAGGAATAAGCGCGTGCGAGAGATTGAATTCGTGGAAAGCGTGCCGAAGAGTGCGAGTGGGAAGATTTTGCGGAGGATTTTGAGGGACCAGCAGAAGAAAGGGGAAGGGAAGGGTGTAGTCGTTAGGGAAGAGAGGGCGAATTTGTAGGATCTTGGTCTCCGAAGGGCCGAAGGAGATGTGTTATGAGTGATGAAAGGTTTGATGATGCTGAGCGGAGCTTGTTCGGACGGCCCCCAGGCAAGGTATGGAAAACACGCTGGCGAGATGAAAGCAGAGGGCTGTTTCAGTTCACTTACCTTGAGGCAGCATATGATTTCAGATGTAGCACCTGCACACAGGCAGTCGAACATTGATTCTAGCCTCATGTGCAACTTTGCTCTCTCACGGGCATCACGTGCACGCGGCGTTGATGCCATTGGATTCCGATATGCACGACTACAAAAGAAGGTCCCTTCTCCCTCTTCGTCTCTTCCACAAACAACAACACCAACAACAACAACAACAACAACCTTTAATCTCTTCCCATTCCAAGACTTCTCTTTCATCAACGTCCAACAACGACAGTCCTTACAGAGCACCACCACTTCTACTCCTTTGAACGGCAATAACGGTCTTTACCAAAGTCTCACCCTTCGAGGAAGTCTCAAAGCCCCACACTCCTTTCTGCCACCCAAGCAGGCACACAGTCCCTACCAAGGTTTGTCATCTCTTGCAGGACAAGAGAGCCAACAGGCCAAGTACAAGAGATCCCCCTTTTTTCATCTTCTCTCTCTCCTCTCTCAACGACGAAGATGTCCTGGTGCTGTTGTCGGTGCAACCACGGCCACACGAACCCCTGCTCGAGGGTGGTTTGTCCGCATTGCGGACACAATACGGTGAGCTGTCGGGATTGCTTCACGTATGACGATCATTATCGGGTTCGGCTGGAGGGTTGGTCTTTCTTCTTCGTGGTGGCTTCGATGGCGGCTTCGATGGCGGTGGTCATGAGCAGACCTCTGGGACGGTAAGTTAAGTGAGGTTCAACAAAGACATATGTGAAGAACGTAAAATCTAACGAAAGAAGTATATGATGGGACCATCATGACACAGCAGCCAAGTCTCAGAATTCGACAAGACAAGGTAAGACACATCAAACCAACCACACGGCAGCGGAAGAAACACATCGATATTCTTGCATCAGTACAAAAACGCATAGAAACTGCTCAATCCTTCCCAAAGGAGAGCTCTACGAAACCACTCCCAATGCAAACCCCAAACCCAAGCACGTCCAACCTCAAATCACAAGCCAGCTAATCCCTAACCACCCAGCAATCATCCCCAACCCAATCAGAAACACAACGATGCCGATAAGTACACCCGTCCCCACGCGATCCCCAGCTCCCTTGAAACCCGCAGATGCAGGCATTTGCGACGGCGTATTCTTCCCCAGAAAAGTCCAAAGCAAGATAGCGGCAAGACTAAACACCACCACAATCGTCAAGGCAAGCAAGATCCTCGAAATCGACCAGCTCATAATGAGTTCAAGTCCTTCGGGCTGTTCGATCCGGTGTAGCAGTTCTCGACTTTGAGGTGAAGGTTGCGGTACCTCTTCACCACTTGCAGGAGGACTGGTCGGCCTCGTGGGAGGAGGTGCAGCCGCTAAGCGATGTGCCCAGTGCACAAAAGCATATCTAGATTTCCCGAGAGCTGGCTTTCGATAGTGTTGCAAGATTTTCTCTTCACTGAATGTATCTGTCAAGCCATTGTATGCCAGTATCCGTGGACTGCGCGGTTGAAGAAGCCAGCCGTATCCTGCATCTGCCGCGCGCGAGGCTGGACCACTGACGACGATGCGGGTTAATTTCCGTGCGGAGAAGAGGCGGATGGGAGTGCTGCTAAGTTGTCTGTATGCTAACCGGAGCTGATTGAAGAATTCCGCATCATCAAAGTCGGCTGCTCGGTAGCACTTTTCGTCGCCACCGGCTTTGTTTGTTCGCACGGCGCTGTAATCGTTCGAAGCAGGGATCGTGAGGCTTGTGACTCGTGTCTTGCTGTTCGGATTGCTTTTCCGTATGCTCAATGTGAGGACACTTTCCGTTGCGCCCATTGGGCTCTCCATAGCTGAGGGCGGCTCGCGATCAAAGTCTTTGCGATAGATCCGGTCATACGAATGAGGATATGGCGTGCGTACCATATCGGCAGGCAGCGATCTTTGCGGTGCAGTTGTGTCGATTGGTGGAGGTACGACTTGCACTTTCTTGCCGTTGCCGCCTGTCCCTGGAGCGTTCCTGTCCACGCCACCATTTGGAAACAGATGGTCTTTCGGACTTCTGGGATCATGACTACGCAGAGCTGGGGGAAGCATTGAGCTGCGAATGCCTGAAAGTCGGGATGCAAGCGGCGATGCCGGTCTGTGCCCGCGCATGACCTCCTCGTCAGTAAGCAGACCACGTAACAGAAGATCGTAGGCGATGGCGTGGACGCCTAATCGTTGGTCAAGTTTGTCGGAGGACTGCGACGTGCGGTGTTGGAATTCCTGATCCATCGTCCATCTCTTGGTGCTTTGGGCAGTCTGATTAGAGGGAAGCCGAGCAGGTCTCGGATGTTGAGGGGCGTCATTTTCCTCATTTTCACCCAATAATTCAGTGACAGATCCATTGAAAGATGTGACAGTACTTGGAGTGCCACCCCTTCGTGCATTCTCAATCGGTATCTGCTGATTGAGATTCGAGTCAAGCCGTTGGTATCCATCGCTGTCCGGAGGAAGCGATACGCGCTTGGGCTCGCATCGCGACACGAACGATTGTGCGGACGGAGGTGGCTGTTTTCGCTTCGCAGGCGACCTTGATCTTTCTCTTCTGGTACTTTCTAGGGCAGTGCCTGGGAGTATCTTTGTCTCATCGTCCGAACTATCAACATCGAGGAAATCCGCGGTCCGATGACCGAAGTCGGCCTGGCTGTCGATCGATTCCATGTGTCCACGAGACCGCTCTTGTTCAGGATGTACGCTCCTGACCGGACTTCCAAGCGAAGGTGTAATTCGCGTGAATCGTCGAGGTGAGTTAGAAAACTTGATCGTGCTGAAGTCTGGATGCTCGTCTCGATCCATCGCCGAAGACTCGGCCGCTTGTGTTTGCGACGGCACAGTGGCATGCAATCCGGAATCGAGTCGTTCGATTATTTAGCTATATCTCGGATTCTCGGCTCGTCCAGGTGGTAGAAATCGCATGAATTCGACCATGGGCTCACGGCTGCACTGTAAGTCGCGGTGTTCTGCGCACTGCTTCTGCTACACAACGCATGGTGAGTGTGCATGATCGCCGCAGTGAGATCACAGTGGCTGTCTCGTTGTCAACACAACGGCGACTGGAATGCGGCTCGCAAATTAAATGCCAAGTCCGGTGATAGTTGGTGTAACACTGCCCGCTACATCTAGCCGACGAATTTTCCGCCACAATAAAGGCAGAGGTCGCACGCAGAAAACAAAAGCCATCCCAACGTGGGCTTTTCTGGTTGACGGGTGCGCCTGATTTCAACCCAGGTGTCGCCATTTGCAATAGACTGGCCGGCTTCCGGATCTGGCAACTCCGACATCTCGACATCGCCCGCGGAGGTTGCTATCATGTGACGAGGGAGAACTTCGTTCCCGAGACATTGCAATCCACAGATAACGCAGGACCTCGTCGTTCCGGACTTTTGCAGTGCAACAAAAGATAACGAACATCGTTGAAACTGATGCCCCGAAGCGCACTTTGCCCACTCCATGCTTTCGAAAGGTATGTCACTTTCGCAGGTTTGACAACGCTCAGGCGCTTCGTAGCCATTCTCGATGTCGGATGTTGAGTTAAGTTGCTTGGAGATGGCAAGAAACACCTGCCGCGCAAAAGTACATGAACTCAGTAAACATCTCAGAGTTATTGAAGCAGAAGAGTGTTGGGAGACCTGGGAGTGGCTCAAGAGGTGTCGTACCTTTCTGATAGCAGCGCTGAGGGGGTCGTCTGTGGCAAGTTTGTCACGAGACAAGCGTGACATTACGGTCGTGAGTTGTTGTGTAATGCTACGCATTGCTTCGTCTCGCGTTCTGGTATTTCCCATTGCGATCTCGATTAGATTGTTCGCACGAGCGGTACGCATTGCAGGGTAGCTGTACATGGCCAGTCTCACCTGGCGGACCAGCAATGGAGTGAATCCAGCTACGTCAGCCCTTGAACTGCCTGTCTGTGGAGGTGTATCGACTGTGAAGTGATTAGAGGCGTTTCCACCTATACGGCATGGATCAAGAATGATAATGCATACCTCTTCTTGGAAGCAGCTTTACAAGCTGGTCCATCAACGAATCTCGATCAGGCGGCCGACATCGCTCAAGATGATCCTGCAGTCCGTGTAGCAGAGTCTCGGTGGATGAACTTCCACTGACGCTACTAGCTGGCAAGATACTTCCCTCTTTTCGGTGTTCTCGGGGGATATTGAGCACGCTGGACTGATCCGCCAGACTGGTCTGGCAAATCGTATTCGAAGGATGTAAGGTAATGCAAATTGCGATAGAATCGCCAGCAGGAGAGGACGCAATGCCCCAAGCCCTTTCCTGAACGTTGTCTCTTGTGCCATTTCTTTCGCCAAATATCCTTCTCGAATGCATAATAGAATCCTGCCATGCCGGTCGGAACACAGCACCAATGGTGCTTTGATTCGAAGATAAGGTCAGAGCAGATGTATGTGGCTGCGCACTCGAGAGTTGTGAGACGAAATGGGCGTGGATGTTGTTCTCCTGGTCTGAAGTAAATGCTAGGCTCGAGACATTATCCCATCTTCCACCGAGGTGATACGAGGAGCCATGGCAATTCACCTCTCCGGAATCCAAGCCAGCGCTCAGCACCTCATCGTCACCAAATGCGATGATGCGGCAGGAATCAGTACCAGGAACAAATTGCAAAGGTCCAATGATACCAGTGCGACCCTGCAAGTGGCGCTTAGGCTGATCCAGAGCTTCTACAAGAGCTCCATTTACATCCAGCGAGCCGCGTATCAGTGTGGTGAAGAGCTGTCCGTTTGTTACATAAGCCAGTGGTGCGAGACTGTAGTTCTCTGCTGGGTTATTTGGATCAGGTCTCCATTCTCCCCACGAAACGTAGTCGGCGGTCTCTGAACGTGCCCTAGCATCTTCAGAAGGTGCCGGTATCGTTCCTGTTGCTATGTTCAATCTCGAGCATACTGCTGCTTTCCACTCAAAGCTAGTGGAATAGTCCGTGTGTGGGGACTGGACATGGATAAGCAGCATGTGTCCGCCTTCGGTGGCCACCGCCAGGAAGTGGTCTCCCCAATCCACGGCAGCAGCCATGACGTTATCGTCCAGTTGCTTGCCACGCAAAGCCGGGCTCCAGGTGAAAGCTCTTATACGCTGTTGAACCTGGCGTTGCTCAGCTGAGTCAAATTTCCTTTCACCACTGAATTGACGCTCATTGCGTTCGTAGTACTTCTGAACCGCGTGGTTGATGATCAATTTGCGTTTCCAGCTTGTGCTGCTCTCTGACGGGCCGTCCGCCTCCCATATTGAGAGAACGTGATTTGCAGTGAGCACTGCGAGAGCACATCGCTTATGTTTGGCCAGTCCTGGAGACGACCACGCTGCACCAATAGCTTCGCGCCTTGATAGTTCCTCGCCAATTGAGAAGTGTCTGGTACTCAGTGGATCCTTTCGTGGTATTTCGGTTGCCGTGAAGCCATTGATCTTGACGAGAGTAGTTTGCCACTGTGGAGAATGCTGTCCGCCAGTCGTGAGCTTAGGCGAGAGGATCGCGACATGTTCGCCTCCGACGACAGCGATTTGATTGTCCTGTGACCAGCTCAGGCAGTCACCTGAGGTGGGCCAGAAGGGGACTGTGATGGAGTGAGCCATATCTGCTGGTCAGTTCGCTGCTGAAGCATGGGAGAATTTGACGCGTGCCGAGCGTGTTGCTGGCGGCGTATGAGCTATTGGAATATTGCCTGAGACAGAGCAACCGCTCTCATTACACGCAATGCAACGCGCTGTCATGTGCTCGTTGGACGCATAGCGTCGGCTTTGAGTGTTGATGTTGATGCAGAGTCGACGAGCGAAAAGATGTTCGCTACGCGCGGGAACTTAGTCATCTCAAGCCGAAGTTTCGCCAGACTTCAGTCTAACCTTGAATGCCAACCTCAACCTCACTTCTTCCTTTCAACCTTTCTACATCAGCCTTGACACTCGACAATTGCCACGACCGACCTTCAAAAAAATCCACAGGCAGCTCAATACCGTCCCGATGGCGCCAGACCTCTCATCCAAGAAGATCTCCTTCATAGGTATGACGACCTTGGAAGATCACTCGTTCAATGTTCTCCCGAAGGAGTTCGAGAATCACCAAGGCTTGAACGACGCAGCACTCCGTCTGGCAGTTGGTGTATCTTTCTAGCACTAACTTGAACCAGGAGGCGGTAATATGGCCGCGGCAATCATCTCCGGCCTTGTTGCAAAAGGAACCAACAAGAGCAACATCACGGTATCGGAGCCGTGGGACGTCAATCGTCAGAAAATGGCCGATCTCGGAGTGAACACCACCACGAGCAATGTTGAGGCTGCTTCGGGAGCCGATATTATCATCCTCGCCATCAAGCCTCAAGTTGCCAAGACTGTCTGCACCGAGCTGGCTTCATCTGCTTTCTCTTCTGGAAGTTCTTTACCCTTGCTCGTTTCAATTGCCGCCGGGATCACCGCTTCGAGTCTGAAAGAATGGACAAAGACCAAGGATGGCCAGAGCCCGCCGATCGTAAGAGTCATGCCGAACACTCCGGCCCTATTAGGCGAGGGCGCAAGTGGCATCTTCGCTGGCAGCGATGTCAAGCCAGAGCAGAGAGACCAAGTCACGGCACTTCTAGGAAGCGTCAGTCGCGCCACCGAATGGGTTGACAAGGAGGAGCTTTTGGATGTCGTTACTGGTCTCTCTGGCTCAGGGCCCGCTTACTTCTTCGCCATGGTGGAGCACCTCGTTTCGAGTGCAACTAGATTGGGTCTTCCAAAGGAGCAAGCCGAGAGACTAGCGTCACAGACATGCTTCGGTGCGGGCAAGATGCTCGTTGAGTCCTCCGAACCGCCCTCACAGCTTAGAAAGAATGTCACTAGCCCGAATGGCACGACGCAGGCTGCGCTGGAAAGCTTCGAGGCTTCTGGTTTTGCAGACATTGTGGACAAGGCTGTGAAAGCCGCTACTTCGAGAGGCGATGAACTTGGCAGGACCTTGGGCAATCAGTAGTGGTATCTTGAACGGCAAAGGCGTGATGCAATGGATTCTTGATTGCAAAAGCGCTCAGTGCGACTGGGCTCAACATTGACCATATGCCAGCATTGTGTCGCTAGAGAGGTAGAAACGATCCCATAGAACGCAGTGTGAACGAATGCACAAGTCAGCAAGCTAAAACAGCCTCTGAGACGCTGCCGCCCTCAACAGTTGTGGTCCCTTGGCCACTAACCCGCCGGATCTTCCTTCCGAACACATGTCGACTCCTCATGAACACCAAAATCACGCAATCCAGACATTCTGCTCATATCTTGCTGCATCTTCTCGCCCCTCTCCCGCGCCTCCTCGATGTCGAGAAGAGCGGTCTTATGCGCTGTCGTGGTTCGGGTCTACAACGCTGATATCTAGCTAGCGCAAGCTTCGATATCTTATGGCCTCGTCAGTCGAGAATGCAGCAGACTCAAAGAGTATCAGCATTCACTCACACCTCAGGTATCATCGCTACACTATCTATCGGCAGGTAGTGTAGAACAAAACTCCATCTGGCACCCTGACAAGGCTCAGTTCCTCCACGTTTACGAGCAGCGTTACACTCCGTTTACGCCGACGCTTCATCAAATCGATCTGTTCCACGCTGCCGCGTCTCCTGAGCGGACAGGAAATAGCAACTAGCAAATGTAAGTCGCCTTCCTCGTTTATGAAACACCCGTTTATTAGTACCTTTTGTTCGTCGATTCGATCGTCATCGATGTAGAAGCCCAATTACTGTATAAGTGGTTCCAATGATATGTCTCTCGCGACTTCAAAAGCCTTTCGAAGACTTCTTTCCAGCGTAGATCGCATGTCTTGAACGTGGAATGTGCCTTGGCAGACGCCCGAAGAAAGGTATCTGCAGCTTTGTTACAAGTTGAGCGTAGGTTGGACAGATCTGAAGGATCCAAGCATCCCGTGATATTCTCACAAAACACGTTAGGTAGGGCGATGAGAGCTGCTGATGGTCTTTCGGGCATTTCAAGTGTTGGCGTCAATAGCCTAGTAGGGTGCTCTAGATTGAAACTTCGGAGAGCGTTGAGCGTGTAATGTATTCAAAGTGCTCGTTGATAATGCTCTTAACCGCTCTTCGAGCTTATTCCAAACAAAAACTTACGGCTTCTCGAGATGCGGCCGGCACTGCGGAAAGTCGACTAAACGCTGTATATCCAGAAGCTGTCTCAAAAGTTGTGACTCTTACACTCGCGGAAAAGAACACAGTCCAAGAAACTCCCGAATGGATCGAATTCGCAGTATAAACATCATGTATTGCACTCAGAGCTCAGTTCGAGCGCTCCGAGGTGTTGAGAACGGAGATGGCTTCGAGGAGCTTGGGCATGTGATCGCTGTATGGACCGATGGATGGCTCAGGCTTCATTATCGTGATGTCGAAAATGCGGAGAGTGGGGAGCACGACGACGGAAGTCAGTCATCCTGGAATGACGGCCAATAAGATGCTTGAACTCGACAATTAGGCATCCGGAATCCACTGTATCGTGGAGGCTGCGTGATATTCGGTCCAACCCTCTCCATAAGCTAGAAGTAGAGTGGTCCACGTACATTGTCAGATTCTCCGTCTCCAATGCATTCAACGCAAGAGCTTTCACCATGACGGGGAAGGGCCTTTCTCGGCAAATATGTCTGTCGTTCCACGCACTGAATAGATTGATCTCTCGAGCATTCCCCACTTTCAAAGTTGACAGAAAATGGCGATGAGGCGGATCAAGTCGCCGTCTTCTTCAAGGACGTCTTGGAATTCGGTTCCATGTGCTAATAATTGCTCGGTCCCCTTCTTCATCATGCCGACCTTCGAGCTGGATGACAGTATGTCCTCACGAATGCTGTAGCTCCCATGTGGGCGTAATTGCATTTTCGTGCTCGTCGTCGTTTTCTTGGTCTTCTTCCTTGACGCGTTAGGCCTGAAGATTGGGAATATGCACGGCGGAGAGAAGCCTTCTACAGCTGAGCATATCGATGGCTCTTCGAGACTCTCGTCACTGTCCGGAGATACGAGTAGAAGGCGGGAGATTAATGAGCTCCTCGGTCTGCACTTGGCCTCTTCTGGTATTACGAAGGGCTCATCTTCTGGATAGTCGAAGGCCATCCATACATACCAGCCACGGATCTCCTGTATCCCGTAACGTCGTTTCTGTATCTCTGCATTGCCGACTTCTTTTAGGTGTCGTTCGTTCTGTCTGGCCGCAAAGCTTGAGAGTCGATTTCGGCGTCGGTAAAAGTTGCATCCGACGCACAGACTGAGGTGATGTCCCAGCTGACTGGCTGAATCTTTCTGCCCCTCCGCATTTCATCTTCGCTTACACCGCCAACAACACCATCTTTTATTCATCCGCATGCATGATATGGCTCTCCACGCAACCGACGACACAATCGTCCTCTTGCGCCAACAGATATCGGCCACGGAAGCTCAGCTCACCTCCCTTAGACAGCAACTCGCACAGGCCGAATCCCGCCGCGAGACTGCCCGACATCTCGAGCAAGCATATCAGGGCGGCTTCCCCGCCGAATGGATCGGCGAAACGCTTTCCGCTGTCACCGGTTACACGGGTAGCGTGCATAGTCCGGAAGATATTGTTACGAGCATCGGGCAGATTGGCGGGATTGAGTTCGCCGAGAGTCGTGGCGAGGGCAGGTGGCCGTTGCTGGGAGAGGAGTATAAGAGATATGGGAGGCAGATGATTATGCAGGAGGTGGGATTACACGGCCAGCTGAGGCTGAAGAATGCCAAAGTGTTGATTGTGGGATGTGGTGGATTGGGATGTCCTGCAGCGACGTATCTTGCCGGGGCCGGTGTTGGGACCATAGGCCTGATGGACGGCGATGTGGTGGAGCTTTCCAACCTACATCGCCAGATTGCACATGCAACATCAAGAGTCGGGAGGAGCAAGGTTGACAGCGCATATGAGCACTTGACCGAGTATGTAGGCTACAAAGGGCACTTTCGAACGAATCATCTTTTCTGATATTGGAATGGTAGGTTGAATCCCAGGATCAAGTACGAGCGCCACCCCATGCATCTCTCTCCCTCGTCCGCGCTACGCATCTTCTCGCAGTACGATCTGATCCTGGACTGTACCGATCATCCAACCTCGCGATACCTCATTTCCGATGCATGTGTCCTTGCCCAGAAACCACTCGTCTCCGCGTCGGCACTGAAAACCGAAGGACAACTCATCGTCCTCAACAATCCCCCTCGCCCAGCAGGTGATGCATCAGGAGGACCTTGTTACCGGTGCATCTTCCCCAAACCACCACCAGCGGATTCCGTCCTCTCATGCGGCGAAGGTGGTATATTGGGCCCCGTGGTAGGCACGATGGGAGTCCTACAAGCACTGGAAGCCTTGAAACTTGTCCTCGCCAAATCAACACCTCAGCCTCCGGACTCCTCGCCAAAAACACAGATGCTCATCTTCTCGGCCTTCTCCACCCCCCAATTCCGCTCAGTCCGCATGCGGGGACGGCGTGCCTCGTGCGCTGCTTGCTCCGTGAACGCAACCATCACTCCAAACCAACTGACAGACGGAAGTATGGACTACGCAGCGTTCTGCGGTGTCACGGACCCTATCCAGCGCCTGCCGTCACATTTGAGAGTATCAGCCAGCGACTTCGCGCGTCTGCCCAGAGACGGCAGGAACATGCTCATCGATGTGCGAGACGAGACACAATATGCTATGTGTGCTTTACGAGGCTCGATCAATGTCCCTTGGCAAGGCAGCAAGGAGAAATGGATACAGAAGGCCGTAGAAGCTGGCGCAATCTCGTCTGGATATGACGGCAGGGAAAGATATGTCGTGTGTCGGTATGGAAACGATTCGCAGCTAGCCGTGCGAGCGGCGTGGGAGGCGCTGGAAGCCACATTATGGCCCGATGGAACGGATGCCAGAATCAGGGATATTCGGGGGGGGTTCAGAGCGTGGAGAGAAGAAGTGGACGCGGACTGGCCGGATTACTGAGCCAGAAAGCTCCATGCTTTTGATTCTGAAGCAGTCGATTACTGCTGCTTCTTCTCCTTCTGCCACACCACCACGGCGGTCCCATCCGCCAGCTTCTCCTGCTCCGGTCTCAACCCATATCCACCAATGGCCGGCAATATCTTCCTCCAGCCGACCCAGTACACAGCGGCAGCCACCAAGATAACAAGTCCCACCACCGAAGACAAGTAGTACGGCAGACTCGTGTCTCCAACCCCACCCGGAGGCCGCAAGAATGGTGCAATCATCAGGAAGGCCTGCGCACACAGATAGAACGCCGCCACGGGCACCCAGCATCGGAACGGCCTCGCAACGTGTGGTTGGGAATACCGCAGCCAGAAGAATCCCGCCACGACGAAGAAATTGATGACGGATCCGGGATAGCCCTCGACGTCTAGGATGAAATTGTATGCATCTCCAAAGGGAATCGCGACGATAATGATGAAGCTCGGAATCCAGTGCAGGAGTAATCCAGCGCCAGGGGCTCCCCTCGGCCAATTCGAAGCCCAAAACTTCGGGAACGGAATGATGCCCTCTTTCGCCAGTTCCTGGTTCACTCGAGCTTGAGCGAAAGTGACCGTCATGACATTGCCAAATGCAGAAATCGCAATGAGCGCGCTAATCGCCTTTTGCGCCGTCGAGCCAAAGACTTTGTACATGAAGAGCGCTGCGACCGTCTGGTTGCTCGCGGCAACTTCTTCCTTGGTAGCGGCGGCGAAATAGGAAACGTTCGCCAGCATGTAGAGAGCTCCGCAGATGCCCAGACCCAGCGGGCCGGCGATCTTGAGCGTGCGGACGGGATTCTTGACCTCGTTGAGCACGTACGCGGCGTTGGACCAGCCGGTGAAGGAGTTGAGGACTTTGTAGAGGGCGATGGACCACTCGTAGCCACTCCCGCTGGAGCCGGCGAAGGCGTTGCTGAAATGAGACTTGGGATCCGGGACGCGATCAGACGTGGCCCCACCGAGGACTGCCCAGCCCGCGACGACGATGAAGACGAGGACGAGAATCTTGATGATTCCGAGGGTATTCATTCCTCTCAGCGCCCAGTTCGGAATCGTCGCGTGGACGAGCGTCACAAACGTGATGACTCCGATAGCGATGCCGCGCTTCTCCCATTCCCCAGCCGTCCTACCGGATGCAGCGACGACGTACTGTGCGAAGATGATACAGCCGCCGGCCGTGAAGCCCAAGATGATCGAATACACGGCGAAAACGGTTGACGCGAGCAGCTTTGGTCGTTTGTACATTGCTTCCAGGTATACCTTTTCGCCGCCGGAGCGAGGGATCATACATCCGAGTTCCAGCCAGACGGATAGGCCGGCGAAGGAGATGACGAGACCGAGGAGCCAGAGCATGAAAGCCGCGCCTACGGAACCGACGGACTTGACGATGGTGGAGGGTGTGCTGAAGATTCCACTCCCGATGATGCGGCCGATGCTGTGTGAAGAACGTTCGATTAGCTGGAGGGGACAGTATTAAAAAATGGACAGGGGAGAGTTTGGAGCGAACGAACATGAGCAATGTCGTGGAGAAGAGTCCCAGATGTCTCCCCAAGCCAGCCGTTTCCACCACCTCTCCAGTGAAGAGCTCTCCGGAATCCGTGTCATTGTCCTTGGATGCGACGGGCGCCACGACCGACGAATCTTGGACCTTTTCAGCCGCCATGGGAACGCGAGGTTACAAAAGCAAGCTTTCCAAGGGCCAGTAGACATATAACGATCAATATATGGGAAACCGCCTGGCGAGTCCCGAGTCATGCGCGGATGGCGTTATCGTGCAAGGGTATCATGGTGTGCGAAGGTGGTGTGGAACAAGAGCAATTGCTGCTGATTGTATTCCCGGTAGGCGATGGCGTGCTTGGCAGGGCGGATTGGATGACCCGGAGGTTTTTTTTTTGTCCGCCACACTGTGCTTACCAGGTGCAAAGCTCACTGGCCTTTGACCCGCTAGCTTGAACTCTCGGTATAGTATGGTACCTTCCCTCACAAGGCAAGGACGGCGACATCTTTTCGAACCTGTGCAGAAGCAAATCCATCATCAGTCCCCGTTCACTTGGAGAGATTGTCGGATGATCTGGGTATCGCACGGGCCTGTCTCGCGTAGATGGAACGCACAAAGGTTGAGAACAACCTAACAAGCGTTCACTTTTCCTACTTTACTAGATCTAGTAGATAGGTCCTGGATTATTTCGTCACCGGAGTACCCAGCACGGAAGCTAGATGCGAAAGACCTATGCACCTACTCTTAGACGGGCCGCGTCGACTTTGATCCGGATTTGATGCAGAGCAATCATCTCCGTGACCTGAACGGTCCACTTCGCGACCAGAATAATCTGAGTTTGCTAAATCGGGTTACCACCTACTGTATCCACCTACAATCTGCAACGTGAACGGGGCATCACATCTTTAATAGAACTCCTTGCTCCAGACGTTCCTGGTGGCCGAACTTCGGCTTGTCAGGTCAGTCGGCTCCAATAGTACATACTGTCTCACTCTTCCCCGTACGCAATTTCCGTCGACAAGTGTACAGCGTCTTAGCACATCGGGAGGTTATCTTGACGGCGGCTACCGCTTATTGTGTGCTATCCGACTCGCAGTGACTCTGGTTTTGCAGTGGCCAGCATCCTCGGGAAAACAATGACCTTCCGCTGTGCGAGGAGGCTGTAGAGGGCTCAATCTTGGATCGAGAAAGAGAGTTGGACGTTATGTGCGAACAACGCCTGCTTCAGCCGCCGCCACGAAGCCAAACCTTTGCTCGTCCAGTACTAAGGTTCTTTCGATTCGCCGTCCATTGTTCTGTGGAGGATCTTCATGCTCACCTAGAAGCTCCAGGTCAGATCGACAAGCTAGGTCTTTACAATTTCCAGCACAGGCAAATGTGCGCCTAAATCGGTGTCGAGTGGGAGGATTCGCCCTACAGCCGACCAGTACTCTGCATAATGTTTCCCAACTCGCCTGAGTCCATGATGTGAAGGTTTCATTCTCTCCGCTTCGCTAAGCTGGACGAATGCCACATCATCAGGCCGCGTCAATCGCAACGGCTCGTACAAGCTCGCTCTTATTAGAGCTCCCTCCCCACCTGGTATACGGCCATCGCGGCCATCGGGAGATGTACAATCGCCCCAGAGTCTGGTCAGGATACGATAAGCCTCGGACCACAACTTGAAATTTGGCCGCGCGACCCGAAGTTTAAGTTTCAAAGCGTGCTGCTAGGTATTGCTCCGAACACTCCCAGACATTTTAGCAATGGTTGTTAGAGTAACCTTGCCTGAACCCGGCTTGAGAAGACTAGCATCTGCAAGATGGTGGAGATCCAGGATAATTGTGCACTCCGGTAGCGCTAGAAGCGGGGATCGGCGTGATTGGTGCTGCAAGTATTCGAGCAAGATGCTGCTCATCAGAGGCGGACGGCCAGAGGTACCGGCGAGACTTGGTAGTGTTCAACTGGAGCGATGGTCACTGCTTTCAGGTTGAGATAGTCCAATTACTCCCCAAGTTGGAAAGCTCGTTCTTCTAGTGAACTACCCAATCGTGTGGCCTGTCACACCAGAACCGCAAAACCTCGAGATCAGCAAAGCCATTGCCAGAGGCCATTGCCAGAGACTGCTGTGAGACTGTTGCAATGGCGAGGCGATGGTTATGCACTTCTTAGAGCTGTTTGAGGGAGTAGTTTCGAGAGATGCTGCGAAAGAAGTACTCGCGTTGCGCTGAGAAGCGTGACGAGCGTTCTGATTGTTGGCGATGGACATTCGGGAGATGTGTGTCGATGGAAAAGAGAAGCTAACGGCGAGGATTCAAATTTTGGGTTCTGTTCATGCCTGAGGCAGACATATAATGGTCCGAGCGCACGGCGATAGAAGATATGCGGGCCGGGCCGGAAGGTCCCCCGCACGTACAAACACACATCTCACTTGTCATTAATAAATAGCGATCGCCCATATCAAGCACGCTCCAGTCATCATCGGGGTTTGTGCGTCATGAGGTTGGCGATAAGCCTCGGCAGCTGCTTACGGGGGATCTGGGGATGTGAAAGTATGGATAATCCGACGAATGAGAAAATGAATCGATCTGAGTCGTCATCGGCCTTCGGTGACCGAGCTCTTACGTCGGAACTGTGGAATGAGCTTCGGCTTTCTCTTCCTTGACTCGGAAGAAGCTTGAGCTGAACTTCAGGTCCTTGCATATCAAAAGCTATTGTATTCCCGACTAACCTAACCCGGAAAAGAGTCGCAATGAGTGGACCAGGAACAAATCAGCAGTGTCCGTCGAGATAAGCTTTCGATGTGCGGACACGCTGCGCTGCTACAGGAATTGGGATGAGAAGAAACTTCAGCTGGAACTCTCAGAAATGCGGACGCGCCGGTCGCTGCTCCGGCTATTATTCAACTTCGTGCCATGCTGCAGCACGTGGTTTGGTCGTGTTGCTGCAACTTGGTTAGAGCAAAAAAATGCTACAGATACAGAAACGCTAGCGGTGCGAGTTCATCCGACGGACTGCTCGTTGTTCTTGCCGAATTTGCACCCTTCAGCTGTGTACCCTGAACGTCTTCATGATCATGAACTCTCCATGGACACTAAGCAAGGCTGCGATGCTCTCATGGTTTGTAGAAAGGTGGTTCGAAATCGCACATAAAAGGCCATGCTGGTCTTCCTGGTCCCTAGGAAATACCTCAAGCACAACTCTCTACTTTTTCTATTTGATTCAGAAGTCGGCGAAGACGTACTCCTTGGCTCTCCTTGACCTCCTTGGCCTTGCCACGGCCGTCCCCCTTATATTAAGACAGACTGATCCTTTTCTACCAGCACTGTATATCTTGTCAATTATCCAACCTCGACGGGGCTACATTTCAGTAAATTAGCGACTTCTCTAGACTGGTGGAACCCTAACTTAGATCATTCCACTAATGCCATGCGAGAGTATGTGCCAGATCTGAGCTCGGGAAAACAAACCTTACTACGACTTAGCCAACCTACATCGCCGTTTCGAGTGCAGACTTACAGGGCCTTATCAATGCCCTGTACTCAAATGGTTACAAACGGTGATAGGGACAACAGATTCTTAGCTGCCGAGCCAAGAAAGGTGTATCTCTCCCTTAGTACATACACACTTTCGCAAACCGGCTATTTGGACACGGATACTACTATTATTGGCGATGCAATCAACACTCCAACGAGCAAGGCCGCCTCTGGCTTCAGCGGAGACTACCTGCTCGTTAGAGGCGAGGGTGGTAACACCTAGAAAGGTAGCGAGAGCGAGCCTCACTACATCCACGCATTGGCGAGCAGACGCTGACCCTTCCAGGCCACTGTAGTCTTGTGATTAAGAACGTGATCTTGGACACTACGGCCAACTTTTCTAATGGCGACTTTGCTGCACTCAGCTGGCGCGTTGCTCAAAGCTCTGCTTTAGTAAACGTAAAGATTAATATGTATGCCTCAGGGCGCCCACACTAGTAAGCACACCCTCGATCACGGCGGCTTTCTGCAGCGGAAGTGTATTGCCTTTTCCAGAAACCTAGCAAATATGGATGGATACTACAGCGAGCCGGAGCGGCGCAAATCATCTTCGAAGTAACCTCTTCGTTTTGCAAAGGATGCTTTCTATTATAGTCTTGTTTGCTAAGATCGAAAAGGGCTGACTGCTAGTAATACGGTATAAGCCGGCAGATATGACTACGACGAGGTCGATGAGGGTCAGGACGTCCCGAAACAGTGGCTCTTCGCTGCCAGTGCTGTTACAGCAACACAGGTCCAAGGTGCGAAAGAGTAAAAAGGCTTGGACGGATTTTCAAGAGACCGGGAAGAAGCTTTGGGCGTAAGAAGTCGGGGCCACTCTCTTTCATAAGGGTGGACAAGAATTAACGATGGGCGGATGAAGAGGTGACCGCGCGTGACTCGAATCATAAGCTCCTTCAACGCAAGACCCAAATCGCCACATCATGGCATCTTCACCTATCAGAGTGTCATCTCCACGACTACAACCGCCAGATCTGCGCTAAACAAATCGCTATTTCCCGATGTGTTGCCAGGGTTCTCGGAAAGACTTCAACATTTAACATTTCGCTGTGGAAAGACAAGACCTCAACCCGTAAAATACAACCTCCCATTATCACTCCCAATCCTCTCATTCAGATTGATCTCCCGATGCTGCCACCCTCCCCTCCCATCCCCCAGTTCCGCCTCGAGCACATTCTCATCATGCGAGAGTCGGACATGCTGCGCCGAAGCAGCAAAATTCCCGCCGCGAAGCCACTCGAATCGCCCGCCATTGTTGGTCAAGCAGTCATTCAGATCCAGCGCAGAGCGTTGCTTGTGCCCGTGCGCATCACGACATTCGGCAACGAGCATACTGCGCCCTTCGATGTGGACGTCGTGCGCGGAAGCACGGAAATTGCCGCCATGTTCCTTGTCTTTCTTGTTGTTGTTGTTGTTGTTGTGCTTTTTGTACGCGTTCTCCAGCATGCTCCCGGCTACGGCGCCGCCTAGACCTCCGACGATGCCGTGGTTGACTTTGTGGCCTCCCCAGGCACCTGCCGCTCCGCCTGCCAGGGCGCCCATGACGCCGCGGTCACCTTCTGCGCCTGGCGGGGTGGGATCGCCGTAGTGGCTGGAGGCATTTGGTGGGGCGTTGGGCTGGTCGAAGTGCGAGCGGAAGGTGTCCACTTCGCTACTTTGTTGCTGCATGAAGTGCTGAGGTGGTGGAGTGTAATCTTGACCGTAGCCGGTGCCATAGCTTTGTTGCTGGGGAGGCTGGCCGCCGTACTGTTGCTGATCGGGGTAAGGTGGCGGCTGCTGCTGCTGAGAACCTCCTTGGTATGGGTTATGCTGTTGCCCCGGTGGATACTGCTGAGGTTGTTGGTCGTTGGAGCCATAATACGACTGTGCAGCGCCCTGATTACTGTAGCCTCCATATCCTTGTCCCGGAAGCTGCTGGTAGTTGTATCCGCTGCTCTCGCCAGACGAAGGGTTCCCGTAGCTTGGATTGCCACCATAGCCGTATTGGCCTCCTTCTTGGGAGTTTCTGGTCATTTCGGTGGCCTCAAGGTGTTCTTGTGACGCGGTGCGAAAGACAATGGAAGAGAGCTGGTTTTCCTAGGCGAAAGCTGGGGTGGAATTGATGATTATATGAGAGATAAGAAAAGGAATCATGTAAGGATTATGTACCTGCAGTAGAGCTTCAGCTGAGCTCGTCTCACTGCCATGCACAGCCCCATCCGCCAAAACAGGCGGCAGCCTTTTTCGGAGATGCGTCGCCGTGCGAGCCAATGGAAGGTCAACCATCAATCCGATCAGCGCTGTCATTCCACGCCCCAGAAATAGTGAGAGGCACAGCTCGAACTTACAAGCACGTGACAAGATACTATTTAGTACCGAGCGAAAGTTGAGAAAAGCTGCTACTGTCTGTGTAAGAAATCGAATAGCGAGTTCAATGACGGGCATCGCGCGTCCAATAGGTCGTGACTTCAGATTACGTCAGCCAAGACGCTAAGCCATCCCAAGCTCGTGAAAGGCAGCGGCAGCTAGTTTCTCGTCACAAACACGTGGCCCTAGGCACTAGTATACTAAACCTAACGGAAAACAGTCGCGTTCTACTCGTAATAAGTAAGCTACTACTAAGTTTATAATCTCGTAGTAGAAAATGCTTAAAGTCCCTATAGACTACCTAGTAAAAATAAGACTTATATATAAATCGTAGATCTAGTAATAGTTACGACTATATGTAGAGTACATGCCTATAAAAAAGCCGTATACATCTTAAAGAGTAGAGATTATATACTCTAGCTACATAGTTAGCGAGCTTCAAAGAGAGCGGGACGCGTTCCTAAGAGGTAATATATTCTTATGCTCGTACTTACTGTGCTTAGCCATTCGACGCAATTTCACGCACGATACGGGCATCCCTAAAAAAATCAGACCCGAGAGGGAAAAAACCACCACACCACAAAGCGTTTAAAACTCATGACGAAAAAATCGCCGCATTTGGGCCCGTTAGGGGATCATGGTTAAAACTGGTCTCTATATCTCTACATCACCACATCATTATCATCATCATCATCATTCAGTCCTGATTGACAACCCTCAAACTCTTCCTCGGATTCAACATGACCCCGATAAACGTCGGCTCTCTCCCACCCAGCAAATCCTCATCCTGCGCATCGCTCCCCTCGCTGCCCCGTCTCAGGCTGGAATATCCCGCGCCGCCGACAGCGGTACCCGCACCGGCAGCGCCTAGCAAGCCTGTCGAGCCTCCGCCGCCGCCGCCACTCTCACCTCGTGAGTGAAAGCTAGCGTTCTCGCTGTTAATCGCAGCCCAGGGGCCAAAGCCGGCGCCTTGACTGGAACTCGGGTGGGAAGGGGTGTTCCGAGAGGAGGCGGCATTATCAGATGGCAGCAGGCCGGGGATCGCGGGCACTTTCTCTCCTCTCGCTTGTGCCTGTGCCAGTTCGGCGTGGCGCTTGTAAAGTTGGAGCTGTTTCCTATAGACCCAGGCGCAGAAAGCGAGGTAGCAAGCCACGATGAAGAAGAATCCCGCAACGCATCCAGCGACAATCGCCCCGACATTGGTGCCGCTACCACCGCCGCTAGAGCCGTTGCTGCTGTTCGGACCAGAGGTGGACGTTGTCGTGGAGCCATCGGCATTCGTGACGGTGTAGGTGACGGGCTTGCCCGTGGCGAGAGGGCCGGCGGTGGCTGTGTTGACAGGTGTGGTGAGAGTTGCGCCACCGGTCTTGTCGCCGCCGACGACCTTGATGACTGCGTCGGGGACCTGGTAGCCGTAGGAGCCTTCGAGACCGCCGGGAGAGGAAGATGAGTATTTCTGCGCAAGTTGTTGGTTGAATCTACAGATATGGTCAGTATCAAGTATAGTAGGGTGTTGTCTGTACTCACGGATTTTTCGATCCCGTAGAGCCAGATCCAGATCCAGAGCTCGAGGAGGAGCCGTCGTCGGTCCCAGGAGAAGAAGCCGTAAACTGATTGACCCACTCTAGCGCACTGAGATCGTAGACGTAGATTCCAGGGCTGTCGCAACTTAGCGACTGATCACCAGTGTAGCCTCCCACCACGACCATCTGGCCATCCCAGATGTTACACGTATGGCCACTCCTTCCGTAGGGAACGCTCTGACCACTCTGATCGACTTTGATCCAGGTGAAAGAAGGCAAGGTCAAGATCCACACGTCATTGTATTGTGTTTGGTTTCCGGCAGGGATCAAGTTCTGTCCACCGAACATGTAGATGTTGTAAGAGCTGCCATCCGGTGCGGCAGCGATAACAGCGCAAGGATTCACGCGAATCTCCGGCGTCGACCCGGACGTGGCCTGCTTGTACCAGGTGCTGTTTGCGATGTCGTAGACGTCGATGTTGTTCATCTGCGTGAAGGTCTAGCATATAGAAGGGTGGAAGGTCAGCTGGTGTCTCGGACATGGCGAAGTAAAACACGAGGTTGGGAAGCCTGCTCATGGCTCAGACATGAGACAGGCTTTGGGGATGGCTTCTGCCATTCAATATCGTACCTCGTTTGTCCCGCCGGCGAGCGCAAGCAATATGCCATCGTCACCAAATCCTGGAACGTAGATGAGCAGGCCATCCGCACGTTGTGTGAAGCCGGCCGAAGATTGGAGCCCGCCCTGGGTGATGTTGCGAAAGACTCCATCGCTGCCAGCTTTCTTGTTGTCCGAGAGAGAGCTGACTCCTTCATTGGTATAGCCGGGGAAGGTGAACTCGAGCAGCGATTGGAGGTAAATCCTTGGTATGCTTTGCGACCAGCCTTGAGTCGTGTAGCCATCCTGGTGTCCGCCAAAGTAGAAGCCTCGACCAAGAGAAGGAACGGTGACGCCCGCGCCTTCTGCTGAGCGCTGCACGGCTTGGCTGCTGCTCGGTGCGTTGGTGCCGCTCGACGTCACTGGATTGCTGTGCTCGACCCATTGGGAGTTGGCAACGTTGAACTCCCAAAGGGAGAAGGCTGTCGGTGACTGGACTGGTTTCCAGCTGAACTCTCCTCCGTACAGAAATAGCGAATCGTGCGAGTTCCAGAGATAGCCGAGACTAACATTAGGTGGGCCAGATGGCTGCGGCAGACCAGTCAACGAAGGGGTAGCGATTTGCCACGTCTTGGTGAGGTCCAAGGATAGAAAGTTGTTGTTCCATGTGTCCTGCGACTGGCTAGGTTGGGTGGTCGCTTCTCCCCCATACAGGTAGAGTGTGCCGTTCACGATGGCAGCTACCAGAAGGTCAGTACGAACTGACAATGGTCCGTTCCTGGGTACGTACATTGCTGTGCCCATCGAAAACAAAGATCGGTGGGGCTGTCTGCTCTTCGTGCCAGTGCCTTTTCTTGGTATTCTGCACCTCTCTCAGGTATGGGTCCTCCACTGACCGGTTGCAGCGGGAGCGATGCATGGCCCAGCAGAGGAGGATTATGTAAGAAAGGAAGTGTGGCCACAGCCAGAAGAGCCATCGCGGCAAAACGATACATGATGGACTTCTTGGGCGGTAGTGGAGACTCTGTGTATGCCAGCGTGGTGGGAGGTGATGATTGCAGAGGATGCGTCCCGTGACTCTGGCTTGGCGTTATGGCATCTTCGTATCGTTCGACAACCTTCACGTCGTCTTTGCTCCGGAAGCGAACGCCTCGGGAAGGGCGTTTACGCCGGGACGAGGCCGATCCCGAACTGGAGCTCCGCGAAGAAGGGATCGATTGCGGGTGGAAGTCGTCGAGGCCGACTTCGTGGAAGACGGACCTTCGTCTGACAGAGCTCCCCATAATCAGGGTCGGAAAGCTCCGCTATATTACGAGGGAACAGCGGACACACCAGCAAGGTGTATACGGGAAGGTCGTGTAATCGGAGGCAAGACTTCACCAGCCCGCAGCCTTTTGCTCTGCTTACTCCAGACAATAATGGGCCGATTGCAGCGAGGGAGTAGGCCGAGGTGGTAATTACGTCAAGGGCAGCTGAAGTGAAGGGCGCGATATAGATTGGCCGGGTATAACGAACGCAGCGGTGGAGGCGATTGGAGTGGCGAGAATGGGGCATGCACGCACAGGAGCACAGTAGTGTGGTCAGGTAGTGTGCTGTGCGTGCGAACAAGACAGCAATCATCATCAGTCAGTCGTGAGTCGGTGTTGCTCTGACGCCACTGCAGGTCCCAGCACATAACACGCGACGGTTGCTGTCCCAGGCCGTTCCACGCAGAACAGCACACTTGACAGGATCATCAGTAAGGCAACAGAAAGTCCGCACTCACTGCTGTCACAGGCTACCACATGCTGCATATCCACTTGAGGGCAATCTCTTCGGCCTCGTCTCGTCCCCCCCCCATTATTGTTGATGCGCCGTTGTGGTTCGCTCGGGCGATTCATGTCAGTGCCAAATTGCATGTCATTTCATGGCCAATTGAACCCGCGTGGTGATTGAGGATCGCGATGAGGAAGACGGTGATGTAATCCCACGGCTCGCTTATGCAATCCGGTTAGCGTCGGCAGGGACCCCGCTCCGTGTGGAAAAGCTTGGTAGGCGGGTGCAACGCTGGAGGTGTGGCTGAGACACTACACACGAGGTACGAGCTGTGGCGGTGAGCCGGCTCATGCGATGCCACGTGTACTACCCGCTGCAGAGAGGTAACCTGAATCGTTCAGCCTCTCGTGCTCGTGGCAGTGTTCGGTCCTGATCCGATCCGAAATGTGAAGTGTGGAAACATGGTACTCCCTCGCCGGCGTTGACTCCGTTGGCACGAGCTGAGATCGTGGGCCAGTCGGACTTGCAGGCGACAAAAGTTGAAGTGTCAGTCCATCCTACCTAAACGATGCTTGGCAGAGTTGCTTGACGAGCGCTTCGCCACTCGCGCTAGATAAAACACGCCAATTTCTGCTATAGGCATCTACCTTCGCCACTATCTATCTCAGCTACACGACTTAGTCTATCTATAAGAGAGATAGCGCAATGGTACTATACTACATACGTACACTAGGTCATAAATAAGAGTACGCTAGAGAGAGTTTTGAGTTTCCCCTTCTGCGCCCTTTGCTCTTACCTCTTCGTTTACAGACACTCGAAGACGCAAGCTTGCGAGGATGCTACATCTGTCGCTACATCTAGAGAGACTTGGAAGAAGACGTCCGAGTGCTCAATTTTGCTCTCGAAGCATACCTCACGCCCTTGACGGGCGCCACACGTGTAATGCGGGCTGACGATATCGCAGACGTGGAGCAGAATGTATCTGTCTGGCAGCCCACCCTAACACAACACTTGAGGACACGAGGCTGTTTGCTCTGATGTCCAGCTGGCTAAAGCATTGCGAGTTCTCAAACGACAGATGCGCAAAGCCCCAGAAGTGCCTACAGGCCCACAAGGTTGCTCGATCTTACTACGGTGGCTACAGACGGCAGCGTATCGCTCGTTAGTGGACCAGATTGCTGCGTCGAACGATACGCAAGCGTCTCGCATTGCTGGGGCGGCGCAAGTACTGACCAGCTGGGACAAGAGAGGCGAACACGTTAACATGCCAGAGGAGTATCGTGCTCCTTCGTGGTCTTGATCTTGATGTTCCGTGAAGGGAGCCATCGACTTTGGGCATCACCAAGAAGGCGAAGTAGTCCTCTGTGACGTTGTATCATTCCGCGTGGACCCTACAGACGAACAGAATCCATGGGGCACTGTGGAAGACGGCGGCGAGATTGTCCTTGATGGGAAACTTTGCCCGATCATCATCAGGGAAACCAGTGGAATTGCGATGGTGAACGAGACCATCGGATATTTCACCCTCGTCGAGACATCCGACGAAGTAAGAGAGCGGCTAGGCAATCAAGACCGGCTTACGATGGCAGGGAGATGAACTCAACGAGTTTGGTCATTTCATCCCCGGGTACGATGATCCGGCCAACGACGACGGAAGCATCTATACAGGGGGACGGTTTGCGCTTCCGACCATATCGTTTGAGCGAGAGGATCTTCCATGGCCGTGGTGTCTCCTCCTGGAGCAGGCAGACGATGGGGACTATTCCCGCCGAGTCGGCCATATCCGTGCCATGGGAACGCAGGAGACGGGCCAGTTTGAGCGCTATGAGCGCCGCCATGTCCGCATTGTCTGAGTGGGTGGAACTTTATGCGCTGACTAACTAGATGATATCCTCTAGTCATGCTTAATTCCCTTGCTCCGTCCCCGCTAGGGAGCAAGAAGAAACTACCAAAAACCGAAGAAATCAAAAAGAACTGCAAAGGAATCACAGCCCACCTCGTCATCCGGTCCACATCTCCTAATCAAGTCATCCTAAAATCCACGATGCAAAGCTCGTCATCCATCACGTCCCAAGCTCCCGTTCTGGTTAATTCTTCCTTAGATGGGGTTCCCGGCCCTGTCTCTCTTCTCGTATATACACGTCAATGCAAGAAACCCAAAGAGTTTCATCAAGCGCCGAATCCAGCAGTCCTCCACGCGTGCGTGCCACGCTGAACCTTATACACACACATCCGTAACACCTTCAACTCTGACACTCGTCGTGTGTCGTGTGTCGTGCCCTGGTTAGTAGTACCCTCCTAACCCTAAAAAGCAAGGCCGCCCTTCCCGATCCTACTATATTCCCTATCCCTTTCTCTAGTAGGAAACAGAGAACGACGCTAAACGCGTCTCCTACTATCCGGTCTTAACCCTCAAACTATAGATAATCCTAAGAAGTATTTAACAAACAAAGTAGTAGGGAAAAGATCTATAATCTTCTAACAATCTACTCTAGATAGCCCTACAACCTAACTAATACCTACCTCCCGATCCTTACTCTAGGGAAGAAGAAAGGGAACATAACGCGTTCTCCCTAATTCCCTTTACATTTCCAAACACGCGTTTCGTCTCCGGCCCTAACTAACCCTTAAAACATAAGAGAAGAGAGGAGACCCTTATAAAACACAGGGACAGAGCTTTTACCTTCCCCCTTCCTTCCTTGAACCCGACTAGTCCGGCCAGTCGGCTAGCTAGAGAGCTCGACCCTATAGTAGCAACCCTTAAAACACAAGGACAGAGCTTCACCTCACCTTTGCCTTCTCTTCCCTTGAACCCGACCGACCAGCCGGCCAGCTAGAGAGCTGAGCTTCTTACGTTACCCTCACCTTACCTTCACCTCCCCCTTGAACCCGACCGACCAGTCCGACCAGTTGGTCGGCCGGAGAGCTAGAAAGCTATATGCTAACTTTTACGAACAGAGCTTATACCCTACCCTTCCCTTCCCTTCCCTTCCCTTCCCTTCCTTCCCCTTCCTTTCCCTTCCCCCTGATCGATGGAACCCCGCAGCCCGGCTGGGGGAGACCGAACAACGAACAACGAACATCCCTACCTATTATCATCATTAGGTATACATACATATACATACCTTCGGACTCCGAACCGGCCAGTCAGCAGTATATATGAAACCGCCAACCGGATCCCCAGAGACGGAAACACTTTCTGTAGCAACACTCGTAGCAGTTGGTTCGCTTTAGCCGCGGGAGGCGCCCAAGTCATACGAATCCCAGCGCAGAGCAACGACCGCGCAACAAGCATGGAACTGAGGTCGGGTCCCCGTGACTGAGCACAAGACATGCCGTATGTCTGCCTTATACATCTCAAGTTTCACTTCAACATGTGAGACATCAGCCTCGCTTGCATCCTTCTGTATAGTAGTCAACGGGAAGAGCAGTGCTTGGAAGAGCAAATGGAAACGAGAACGATGGCGAACTTTTGCCATTCTTCGTTGTTGCTTTCGGACATTATCAGCAGAGACACTACAGCGATTCCACACTGCCTCTGTCAATTCTCTTCTGCTGCATCGTACTCTGCTCCTGCTGCCCGCTCGATGGCTCCCAAAGGTCCCGAAACAATTCCCTAGTATGTACAATTTGCTGGAGGTCGCCCGAATTTCCCAACAAAACGCTGTTTCTGTACAATCTAAAAGAGTATTGCCAACAAGGGTCATTTCCCTTTCCAGCCTTCGGAGCAGCGATACAAAGCCACGAGCAAGCAAGCTCTGGAATGTGCGTTGAAATTTTTGCACAAGAGCAACTTTCTTTTTGAGAATGGCAGTGAGATTTCCTTTTGTAGTAGTGTCCATGCCTCAAGATGGAAAATCGTGAGGGCGGGCAAATGGTGTTTGGTGTTCCAAGTGCGTGAATGGCCTAACCAGTGGTTGGCGTGTATAGTGTTGTCGGTGGTGATGAGAGAGGTCGAGGGAAGTAGTCGTCTCGTGTCCGGGGAGAGAAAAATAAACTGCTGCGTATCGTCGTGCCGTGTACCGATGTAGTGTTGGAAGCCACGGTGATGCTGGATGTTGCGCTGATTCGTACAAAGGACATATGGGAAACACAATGCAAGGAAACAAGGTACAGCGTCTTCGCACCGCCGAAGGTGTCTTGCCGAGAATCGCAGCCAAAATGATGGCAACGGAGAGTCGGATAGCGCAGAACCAGCGGCGGCAGCCGTCGAAATCAAACCGCCAACGCCTCGCCAGGAAAGAGGAAGAGGAAAGGAAAAAGAAGTCCTGGAAAGCCCGCGAGACCGCCTTCGCTATGCAATGCAGAGAGGTCGCACGAGCACAGTTGGACCTCTTCAGTAGGAGGCCATGCGGCGTTGGAAGGATTGACCGATGCCTTCAGCGAGGTCGTTGCCGACAGAAAAGGCACTCTGGGTCCGTGGACCCAGTCCACGGCCCAGTGCCGTAGGGGAGTCTTCCATATCGCAGTCTTCATGGTTCTGACCAAATGCGAACGTCTGGTTGCGGAAGAGCTTGTGGCGCTGCTGCTTCACCTTGGCCATTCCGCGTTCGCAGGCCATTTCGTGACGTTGATCGCTCATTTCAACGTAGTTTTGCGGGAAGCATCTGGAAGGATGTTGTGCAAAGAACTTGCTGTATCCACCATCGAGAATGTACATTTCCGGATAGGTGAGCTTCGGATATTGGGCGGCATTCACCGTTCGATCGTGACCACGGATGAACTTTGCGGTGAGAGGCGCGCGATGGACCGAGTACTCACAATGAAGGACGAGCAGCGTGTTCTGGCAGACCTCGTCACCGAAGAGATCGTTGGCCAGCAACTGCTTGTCGTTGAAGTTGACGGCCTCGGTGATGTGGCCGCCGTTGTATTCGTATTCGAATCGGCAGTCAATGATCATGACACGCTCGTAATCGGCAGAATACTTGGATTCGAGAATGTCAATCATGGTCTCCGGGGTGATGCGCGGCAAGCTATCCGGTTCTTCATCTGGAATGAAGTATGGAAGCTTCGATACGTGATGCTCTGCCTCCACGTCCATGACCGAGGCGAGAAGGCTCGGCTGTGGCTCGAATGCGTCCTGCTCTTCCCGCATCACGTCGTCGGGATGTTGGAACATGCTCAGGGATCGCCGCATGAGCTTCCTCTGCGGGCGGACGAACGAAGGGCGTCCGGCAGAAGGCTTGCGGACGTGACTGGCGGACGGAGAGCCATTGCTGCGGTTCGCGTTGCTCAGCGACGTTCGACGTGGTGGCGGGAGCATCGAAGCGACGCCGGACGGCCGCAGGTCATCGACGGGCGATTCGGTGAAGCTCTCTAGGAGACTTGGCGTCGACGAGCACGAGAGGCCGGAGGGCACGACATTGCCGAAGCGAAACGGCGGGAGTTGCGTCTCGGCACTCGCGGGCCTCTGAGGAATGCTGGAGTCGGATCGACCTTTGCTTCGGGACAGAGACGGTCGGGTGACGGGTCGTCGACGTCTAAGACACGTGAGTGGGAGATGCGGACAAGCGAGACAGCATCGCAACTTACTCAGGCAAGTCGAGGAAGCTTGGTGGTGCTGGAAGTTCGTCGGGAGAAAGAAGATCTGGCGAGATCTCGGGCACGTCGCTGGGCGTGTCGGCGGGCGTGGGCGAGGCAAGGGTGACCTCTGCGATGAAGTGGGGAGCCTTGTGCGGCAGGGGCGAGATGTCCATTGCGTCGCAATAGGGCGATGAAGGGAGAATGGGCGGCGTGGTGGCAGGCTCGAGCTCGATGGGCGGGGTGCCTTGGCAAGGTCAGTCACTGGAAGGGGAAGGGACATTGCGATGCATTCTTGGGCATACCGGCATGTTCGCGAGGCTTGAAGAGGTCGACGGAGAACAAAGACCTTCGCGGCGTGGGAGCTTGCGGGCTGCAGGAGAGAAGTGTGAGTGAGAATGTCATGAGGGTTCAGGTAAGATAGCGAGGAATGTGGAGTGGAGAGGAGAGGGGTACCTCTTGTCGATGTGGAAGTTTGCGTCGAGATCTGCGGACAGTGAGGCCGTGGGCGAGGAGCCTCGCACGGGGCGTAGAGAGAAGTAGTCTTGTCTCTTCCGCGGTTGCTGTTGCATGGACATGGTCTTGAAGTCGAAGCTGGTCGGAGCGTAGGACTGGTAGCCATGGCTCGGGACATCCTTCCGACTGAAGGGCGGCGGTTGAGGGCGAATGGCTGCAAGAGGACTTGAATACTCCATGATTGCAGCGGGTGTGGTATATATGCCAAGATGGAGATGGATTGAATTGGCCGTGAAGCTCTTGTCACAATGTGTTCTCAATCCAAGATTTCTGGTTCGGTAGTCTGCCGTATGCGGGAGGGCTTGGGATGTTCGGTACTGGCTGCTGACGGATGGTTGGATGTGGCTGCTGCTGTTCCCGAGTATGGTATACCGTGGGTAGAAGACTGCCGGAGCCCGAGTGATGGAAGGAGGGTGATGGTGGTGGTGGTGGAGGAGGTGGTGGTCAGCTCCGACGCATCGCTGTCGTCGAGGGTGGGCGGAGTAGTGGTGCAAAGGAGAGTGAGGAAGATGGAGGTGGTGGTGGTGGTGGTGGCTTCACTTCACACGATTGCCGGCCGCGGGACCAACAGCCGATTCTACCAGTGAAGGAGAAGCCGCGGTGTCGAGAGATTGGTCTTGTCGTGGGCGTTCAGCAGCTGGCAATGTGGAAGGAGGGAATGGAACCTGGAAGGAATGGAATGGAAAGGAAGGAAAGTCTTTGAACGAGCGTGTGCTGCCCTCCGCACGCTCGTTGCCCGTCGAGCGGTCGTTGCTGTTGGATACAGCTCCCGGACGCACAGGCCCCACCAGAACCTTACTGCAACTAGCGTGGATGATGGCCTGGACGGGATCAGGCAAGAAGGAAGGAATGGATTCCACCGGGCGCGCACAGCAACAAGCAGGAGCAGCGCAGCAGCTCTTTCCCTCTCGTCACCACCTTGACGCCCACGCGGCATCTCATCCGTCGCGCAGGCATTCCCATTGTTTACCGTCTCCACCCGGAAGCAGCAGGTGAGATCCTGCTGCACCCTGCTGCACCCTGCGAAGGCCGTGTACCGATATCGACAGCGATCAAGCCGGAAGGGCGCGACACAGGAGGCCATCGACGATTTCGATTTCTGAGGTGTGCTTTCCCTTCCTCACACCAGGGCATACTTCACGAGTAACACCAATGCTTCGCGGTTTCACATGACCCGGCGTAACTTCTGTCGCAACTGCTGTCTTCACCTCACCCACGCACGCCTCCCACTTTGGCCTCATTATTGACTTTCAGCCGCCTCGCTCATCCCCCGCCTCGGCTCAACGCTCCAATCTCCATCCCGCTCACACGTTGACATCAGTGAAGGCTCACTCGCTCTTGCCAAGTTCACATCATGACGGACGCCTGCCATTGGACCATCGCTAGACGCTCGTGAGCACGCTGCCCTGTGCACCCGTGCAAATCACAGATCTACCCTGCTGTGCTCGCTGTGCTCTCACACAATTCCTACGTCACACGACTTGCATATACCGCTTCTGTTATCGACATGTTCGGTACACGCAGCACACTGCCTCCACTCGTCCTTCCTCTTCGCCCACCGTCGCCGGAAGCCTGATGCTGGGCTGAGCTGGGCTGAGCTGAGATGAGCTGAGCTGAGCTGAGCTGGAAGTCACCGGCCAGACCACAGTCCACACGCCGGCGGCTGTCGTCAAGGGAGCAGTAGTGCACAGTACCATATGCCGCAGTGGTGCAGTGCAGCAGAACAGAACAAGCGAAGCACTACTCCCACGCCAAAGTCACACCATGCCAGCCTTTGCACCCATCCCCTCGCTTTCGCTGCCAACTCTCTGTGCAACCGCCGTGCTGGGATTCTCGCGCTGGAGCCGTGATGGCGCGCGACGGGGCGGCCCAGGAAGACGCGTTGTTTACCCTCGCCCCCGAATTCCTCCGCGCCAAACTCCGGCTGTTGCGATGCCGCCATGCTCACGCGCCAACATGTGGTGTGCCCGTCGTCGCCCCGTCACTTTGGGCCACCTTCGTCCCTTGAGCCTGGTCAGAGCCAGACACCGCGCCTTATTTTATTATTCACAAAGACGAGGCGAGACGTCAAACTTCCGCTCTTCTTCCTGCCTCGTCACAAATCCATCAGCGGTCCATCGCATGCCCAGCAGGACTCCACCAGCCCATCTATTCGACACGGATCGTGTGCCGAGTCTGGCCGGATCACACTCCGCTCACAAATTTAGTTTTCGACGTCATACAGGGGACAGGACCGAACTCCATCGTGTCTGGTTACACGACGTTCTCCAGCAACGCCCGGGACCAGACCGCGGCGCGGCACTCCCGAGTATGCCCTCTTCTACCGAATCTTCATCACGGCAGTGCATTGCTGGGATGAGCCACAAATGGACGATAAGACTTCGTGGCATCGGTGTTCTTGCGTCTTCTCATGCTCCAGATACGTGCAGTATTGGGTTCGGGCTTCGTCAAGCGATCTTATAAATTTATCAAGGGATCTCATGGACGTTACACGGCGTCCAGGAGCGAGCGCACCTCACTTCCCGTCGGAACACAGCACACCGCTTGCTCGCTGCTCCCTCAAGGGATTAATAAATGTCTCCCGCCAGTGAAAGTGCCACTCATATCACTCAACCACCCAGCCATAGCATTCGGATTCTCAACTTGCATATCCCTCGAGGAGACTTCAAGCCTCTGATGCATCTATCAAGGAGACTGCTCAATGTCTGTCATATGGGTGTGTTGTCCCGACGGCCGGCCACCGCTGATTTCCAGGCCGTCCGTCCATCTCGCTGTTGCCCGGGAGTATTTTGTACAGGACTCTCGAGGAGAGAAAGAAATCTTCCCCCGTGGAGTGGAACGGTACTGTGAGAGCGGTGAGACCGGCGCGCCCCATCATCGAAAAACATGAAGCCGCGGTTCTACTGCAAGGCAAAAGGTAAATCTCTTGGCATGTCATTTCCCAAGTTTTCCTCCCCCGTCTTGGCGCTCGTGCATCTCCGGCCTCCGGATGCTGTCTATCTTATCAATATATCCCCTATTTTACTACACCTCACTGTAAAAATATCATCCCTTGCAATGCAACACCGGAAACTCACACAACCAGTCTCCTTGTACCACGGTGAACTCTCCCCACAATATATAGCTAGAGAGACCTGGCGAAACCACATCGGCAGAGGCATGCAATTTTGGCGCCTCTCTAGAAGCAGCGTAGATGGAGGACTACACATGGAATGACGAGTCGTGCTTCTCATGAGGCAGACCAGCGGTAGTAGCATCTACTAGAGAAGAGAAGGGAAGAGAAGAATTCCATCGGTGGTGAGTGAGCCTCTCACAGTCTGGCTGATGAGAGCTCAGTCAGCAACAGGTCGGTTACTCATCTCTCTCACAATACCTCCTCCTCCCTTTCCGGTTTCGCAGTCGGAATAATGGTCGGGATACCACATGCATGCACCGCCAGACAGAATAGCGACCTTTCTCGGCCATCGCTCCAATCTCATCTTGAAAAGGCGTGATTATTCTCCTCCGCGACGTTATAGTTATCTTTCTACGCTACACTACGTCGTGTTCCTTGTAGTTCGCCGGCGGCACGGTTTTTGTCGTGATCGTTACCGAGTCACTCAACAGGCACGGACAGGCGTTGTGGAAAGGCTTGGATGAGATTTGATATGAAGATTTCCCGGTTGTGTCAGATGTCTATGGCATCATCACTAACAAAAAAAAAATCAGCATATGGGTTCTGTATTTCAAGTTCTGGCGGCGCCTTGTCCTCAAATCTCCAGACCTTTTTCAATCGAGGTCAGGAGGTCTGGACGGGGCATTCCGGACACGATGTACTGCTGGAAGAGACAGAGTGGACGGACGGAACGGACAGACTGAAACACAGCTTGGAGAGCGAATGTCTGTAGTGCATTAGAGAGAGTACCCCTGAGAATCGAGTGGCTTTTGATCCTATCTAATCTCCCACACGCGAATCTTGCCCTGCTCGTTCGCCACAGCCAGGACACTGTGCGCATCCGAGCCCTCGAGCACATCGCCCGCAGCAAAGGCGACTCCCGTGATGCGCCCCAGGGGCGTCTGGCTCGTCGGCCAGTTCTTGAAGACCGTGCAGCTCGGCAGGTGAACGAGCCTCATGGAGTCCGCTTTCCATTTCGATGCGATAGCGAGGATCTGGCCGTCGTGAGAGAAGGCCAAGTGGGATGTCGGAGTCGTCAAGTGATCCAACATCTTCGTCGGCTTTGGCATTTCAGGGACAGGCTGTCCCTCTGCAGCCGCGGTAGCTGACGCCTTGGGTTTCTCGCCCAACCACGCTCTTCTATCGTAGATGTTCACGATCCCAGAGCTACTTCCTATGGCGATCCAGCGGTCGGTGCCAATGGCACTTTTCACGATTTCGTGATGTCCGCCCAGGGCGAGAGTCGTAGTACCAACGGCACCTTCATCTTGCCATCTCGCGACAACCCTCCGTTCATCGACGTTCCATTCTGTGATCTCTCCGCCTTTACTGGCCACGCTCAGACCTTTGCTGTTCCGCCACCATGCGAAGTCAGCGATGCCTCCACGGCTCTCAACGCGGACGTGAGTGACCCATTGTAAAGTCGAGGCGTCCAGAATGTTGACAACACCACCGCCCTTCTTCGTCGACCCTAGCAGCGCCATGTACTTTCCATCGGGGGAAAGCTTGAAGCGCTCCATACTCTTCTGTTCATGCTGTTGACCATAGACGCGGGTGATCTTCTCGACTCTGCCGGTGGTGAGGTTCCACACATGGAAGTAACGCCGCCGCGCCGAGAGGAATATCCGAGAATCTGTCGGATGGAACGATGTTGTCGTGAGTTGCGTGCCACGAATGTAGAGGCTGGTCAGCAGGGGATTTGGTGTTGGCGCGGGAGGCGAAGATGCCAGGTGGTGAAGGTAGAGTGTCGACGACGGTCCTGATGACAGCAACAGCGGCAGCTTGGGATGGAAAGAAAGCGATGTAATGGCACTTGGCTGTACTCCAGGTATGTCCTTCTGTCGCTGGATGTCAATGACTTCGGGTCGGATCTTCCTCTTCTTCCCAGCACCAGGGCCTGCCTGTCGCACGAGGGACTCCGCATCCTGGAGAAGTTCTGAGAGTGGCGCAACGGAATCTGGCTCCTGGTCGATGTCCATATCATCGTCAATGCCCTCATCTGAAGACTCTGCATTCTCCGAGAGCCGTCCTTTCTTCTTTGAAGGCTTCTGGATCGCTGTCTGGGCCCACTCCGGTACTGGATTTAGCAACTCGAACTGTTTCCGTAGTCGTCTCGCATACTGCTTTCCAGTTACTACATCTTCGGCCTCGTTTCTTCTCAGCTTGCGAAGACGCGGCGCAGAAGCAAGAGACACCAGAGCACGCTCATCATCGCTGTCGTCCCAAGCAGCGGGTTGTCTTGATCTTAGACCTTCGTCCTCACTGTCTTCATCCGATGCTGCCGCGACAGCCTGGTCTAGTGCTTGTCCAGGGCCACTGTCCACGAAGAAGAGCTTCAGACCGTCAGCGTGTAAGACATGATGTGTCCATCGGAGCAATCTGACCTACTTGAGCATTGTCGAGTCCCTCTAAACCCGTTGTGCCATCGTCTTCCTCCTGCGTTTCCCTATCTTCCAGCGCGATGTCCCTCAGCCCTTCTCTCCAGCCAGCGCTGTCGCCGAAGACCAATCTCTCCAACTCTTCTTCGGCTTCATCCTTCTCGATCTCGCCATCGCCTACTTCGATGTCCACATCCGACTCCTGTCCTTCCTCATCGTCGTCCTCCTGCGCAGGCGGAGTTGGTTGTTGAACAGCCTCCTGTCGCTTCGTGATCGTGGAATGCTTGGTTTTCGCCATGATGCAGATATCGCTTGCCAGTCGATCAAGCCCGGTCGTCTCGAGATCTCGAAAGTCGAGATTTTAAGCTTTTCAGCCTGAGGCACCCGGACAGCGGGCCGCACCGGATGGCGTAGGGCTCCGCTTGGCGCAGCAGCTCGGGGAAGTCGCCGCCGCTGCTTTCGACCACCTGCAAGCAACAATCCACCACGCGACTCCACGACAAAGCCAAGCACAGAAGGCACGACTCCTTCACTGCCGAAACCTCACCCGCCTCACCCGCGACAACACCACCACTCACATCGCTACGACCGACACCTTCAGACCATCACCACCTTTCATTCACCGCAACCGCGACGCTCGTCCGCCGAACACTGCGCGCGCTCTCGGCATCGACTTCTTGAGGCACTCGCCTCCATTTCCCCCTCTTCTATCCCTTCGCAACCGCCGCCTTCACTCAGACTCGCACATTCAGCATGGCTCAGGTCGGTTCAGCAATGCAGTCGGCCATTCAGGCTGCCGTTCAGCCGAAGCTGATGGAGAACGGATGGGTGGTCGAGGAGAGCGACACCACTCTCTCGGAATATGTCACCATGATGGTGGTCAACGGCAAGGATCACGACGGTGTCAAGCAAGAACTCGGCGGAGACCTTCTCGGCGTCGGCGAGGACGATCCCGCGGTGGGCGAATTTGCGCAGTGGCTCTTCAGCACCGTCACCCAGCTCCAAGGACAGCAACAAAATGCCCAAGCTGAGGAGGCAATGCAGCAAGACCAACAAGCGCAGCCCATTCCCACCATCCAGGACTCGCAGATGGAAGACACCACATCTTCCGAACCAGCACCGTACGTGCACCCCTCTCGCACCCAAAAGTCCTACAACACTGGCGCACATGCCAGCCGCAAGTTCTACCCCCCTCTCAGCCCCTCTACCATCCCCCTTTGAGCAGAGCATGTCGTACACCCGCGCAGCTCACCTACAGATGCAATATGAGCAGCAGCTAATGCTTCAGCGCAATAGACCGACCGGTCCCAAATCGATGCGAAACGGCAACAATGCCCGAGGACGCGGCGGTAGGATGCTCGGTCAGATGAACCGACAGCTGGATCGCCAGAGCGAACTCCCCGACAACCTACGGAGAATACGAGGCGCGGCCGGTGGCCAGGCAGGCCGCATCAATGCCCACTCAGGCCGTGATGGCGGCGCACCTCGGGGTCCAAGAAACAATAACATTGCGAACGGCGTCCAGCGCATGATGAACGGCGGAGGCCGTGGCGGTCATGGCGGCAACATGAACGGCATGAACATGATGAACGGCGGCAACTTCAACAACAACCAGCAAATGCAATTCATGCAGATGATGGAGGCTTCCGCACAGATGATGGCCCAGGTCTTGCAGCAAAATGGAAGTTTGAACATGAACGGAGGTCCTCAGCGTGGCGGACACCGAGGCGGCAGAGGAGGTAGGGGCGGCCAGCGAGGTGGGGCCGCGCCACAGAAGCAACTCCATGCCGTTGATGGTAAGCTACCGGATGCTGCTCTTACGGGAAGCAACCAGGATACCAACATGGACGTCGACGCTGGCGAGAACGCATCCGACAAGTTCGCAACCATGTGCCGCTTCAACTTGAGCTGCACCATTCCAACCTGCCCGTTCGCACACCAATCGCCAGCCGCGCCACCAAACACCGCCGTCGATCTCTCAGACACCTGCGCGCACGGTGCAGCCTGCACGAACCACAAGTGCAGTGGTCGTCACCCGAGCCCAGCTCAGAAGAACTCACACCAGCAGGAAGTCGAGTGCAAGTTCTACCCGAACTGCACCAACCCACGATGCCCCTTCAAGCACCCAAGCGAGAAGCCATGCAGATTCGGCGACGCTTGCAAGAACGCGAACTGCACGTTTGCTCATCCCAAGATCATGTGCCGGTACAATCCGTGCCTCAACCCGGCGTGCCAGTTCAAGCACGCGGATGGACAGAAGCGAGGTAAGTTTGAAGACAAGGTATGGACATCAGAGGGCGGCGAGGAGCAGCAGCAGCAGCAGCAGGGGGAGGGAGGCAGAGCAGGTCGGTTCGTCGACTTTTCGAAACAGGATGAGGGCAAGGAGGAGCTCATCATCCCGGGCCAGCAGCAGCAGCAGAACGGCGAGACGCAGCAGCAAGATTCCAACCCGCAAGCAATGGAGACATCTGTTGCCACCTAGGAGGGGCAAGCGACCAACACCTCTCCTGTCGGAGTAGAATCCCCACCCGCTCTCAATCGGTCGGAGCAGAGGTTTGCGCAGGGACTGACGTGGTAGACTCCGCATCCGCGAGGAGTCCACGAAGATATGCGTGAGGCTCATGGGCGCAATAGATGTCGCCAAATCGCCTCGGATGGTTGAGGAGGGTTGTATAACGTTGTACCACTATGGTGTTACGAATTGAGACGAGGAGACGAGCATGGGCGTGTACATTGGGGAGGCAACATGGTGATTCTGTTGTTCGCTTTCACGAGTTGGAAAGCAACAGCGGCGGCGGCGATGAGCGATCACTGTACTGTAATGCGAGTCAAAGGGAGATGCTCGCCTTCGTCTAGAGGAATGAAATGGAACATGAAAAGGGCGCCGCGAAGAATCGTTTTGGCGCTTGGAGCAGCTAAATTCTTTCACGTTCTTCCCTTGTGCTACAGCATCCTGCCGCGTTGCAAAGCTGTCTCCACGAGCGCTACTACAGTCCGACTGGCTGTTGCCACTGTTTTGGCTAGCTTTCTCTCTCGGAAAGCAAACAGTTCTACCCTCTCCAAAGCGAACATGCACATATCAGAAAAAAATCAACAACACTACCTATGCCTTTCCTGATCCTCCTTCATCCCCAACATGACCCAGTTGGAGTGATGTTTCGCATACTCCTCCTCGCCTGCCTTGGTCTTCATGGCCTCTTTCATTTCGAACTTGTCGGGGATATTGTTCCCCCTGTCGACGGCCGGGCGGGTCTGGATCGTTGCCAACCAGCGCTGCAGAGCGGGGAAGGTCTTCGTCTGGATGAAATACAATATACGTAAGTGAAAGGATCAGTCAAGAATGAATAAACACAGGAATCAGGAATCAGGAGGAAGGAGGAAGGAGGAAGGAGGAAGACGTCTTGGTTGTTTTTTGTTTTTTGGCGGGTTTTTTCTTCTTACCTCGACACCAGCCCATTCCGCCCAATTCACCCAGCAGAAGCAACAGATATCCGCAATCGTATACTTGCCCCCGACGATCCAGAGGCCCTTGCCTCCTCCGAGCTTCTCCTCTTGCGCAGCCAGACGGTCGTTGAGGACTTGATACAGGCGTTTCGTTTCCGTCTGGTACCGGTCGATGGCGTAGGGGATCTTTTGGGGTGCGTAGCGGTAGAAATGGTTTGCTGTGCCGGGTCTTTAGTATGGAAAATTGAAGAAAGAACAAGAAGAAGAAGAAGAAAGATTGATCACCTTGTCCCTGCATCGGTCCCAATCCACTCTGCATCCAGACCATCCATTCCACCATTTCCCAATACTCATCCGTATCATACGCAAACCCCAAGCGATTCCCCTCGTCGTATTTCGCTGCGAGGTATAACTGGATCGAGGCTCCCTCGAAGACCCGCTTCCCCTCCTTCTTGTTGAAGGTCTTGTCGACGATGGCGGGAATCCGGCCGTTCGCTGATTCGAATCTCTCAGCCTGGATCGTTTATCCTTTTTTTTTCTTTTACGATTTTGGCACTGGCGAAATACGTACGATTGATCTCCAGATACCAATCCTCTTTCTGAACGTTCTTGGCGATGTCGATCTTGTGAACGGTATATTGCAATCCTAATTCTTCCAGGGTGATGTTGATCTTCTGGCCATTGGGTGTTCCGGCCGTGTAGAGGTCAATGTCTGTTGTTGGCGCCATTATAGCCTGGGAGTTTCGACCTGATCTGGATCCAAGATACTGTGGAAGACGATGCAATGGCATATCTCACTCTAATGAATAGAGGAGGCAAACATGAAGTCAACCCGACGTCATGTCTACAAAACCCAATGTTGAGCTACACTTGCGGAAGCTTCGCGGAAAGGCAAAGCTACGCCAGTCGATGCGGACAGCGGATAGCCTCAGAGCTGCAGTAAAGACCTTGGAATTGTACATCATCATCGAACGTGCTTCTCGTTTGAACGTGGGCTACATAAGGCTCTCTGTCTATTGAAGGGCTCCGATGCTATGAAGACTGAAACATCTCTTCAAACCCGATCCTTGCTTTCATCATCAACAAGGCTGGACTTCCAGCTATGTGCTCAAAACGGCGTGCGAGTTCGTTGGCAAACCGATTCCGGGCTGTATCCCATGCAGACTTAAGCGTTGTAGGTGGAAGCAGAGACGTTGCCTCCACGACCGGTCCAGTTGACGTGGATGTCCTTGCCCTCCTGGTACTTCTCGTTGGCGTACTCTGGCTTGATGCGGAAGGTGTGGGCACCGAAGTAGTCACGCTGAGCCTGGAGGAGGTTGGCGGGAAGGTCTTTTGTCCGGAAACCATCGTAGAAGGAGAGCGCAGTCGAGAAGGCAGGCGTGGGGATACCCCAGAGGGCGCCCTTGGAGACAATGTCACGCCAGCCGCTCTGAGCGTTGTGGATGGCCTTGTTGAAGAAGTCGTCGAAGAGGAGGTTCTCGAGGTCGGGGTTGGCGCGGTAGGCCTTGGTGATGTCCTTCAAGAACACGGAGCGGATGATGCAGCCACCACGCCACATGAGCGCGATCTCGGGCTTGTGCAGCTTCCAGCCGTACTCCTTGGCAGCCTGTTGCGAGAGGAATTGTGTCAGTCAAATGCTTGATTCACCAAGACAGCTCTTTGGAACTTACGGCCTGCATGAGCATGAAGCCCTGGGCGTACGAGATGATCTTGGAGGCGTAGAGAGCTTGCTCGAGGTTCTTGAGGAACTCGGCCTTCTCGCCGGTGAACTGTGGTGTTGGGCCCTGCAGCTTCTCGCTGGCACGGGTGCGCTCACCCTTCAGCGAAGACAAGCAGCGGGCGAAGACAGCCTCTCCGATGAGAGTCACAGGCTGGCCCATGTCGAGAGCGTTGATGGCGGTCCACTTTCCGGTACCCTTCTGGCCCGCAGCGTCGAGGATCTTCTCGACCAATGGGGTCTTGCTGTCATCTGGGTCCTCGTAGAGGAGGATGTCGCGGGTGATCTCGATGAGGAAGGAATCGAGCACGCCCTTGTTCCACTCGGCGAAGACCTGGCCCATCTCCTTTGCGGACAGGCCGAGACCGCGCTTCATGATGTCGTAGGCCTACAGTGGTCAGAATATGCTCCTCTTTGGTAGGTATCGTTGCAAGCTTACCTCACAGATCAGCTGCATGTCACCGTACTCAATACCGTTGTGCACCATCTTGACGTAGTGACCGGCACCCTCGTCACCGACCCATTGGCAGCAGGGCTCGTTGTCGGACTTGGCGGAGATGCTCTGGAGGACGTCCTTGATGTATGGCCACGCCTCCTCGTTACCACCGGGCATGATGGATGGACCGTAGCGGGCACCCTCCTCACCACCGGAAACACCGCTACCGACGAAGCGGATGCCCTTGTCGGCGAGGTACTTGGTGCGGCGGTTGGTGTCTGGGAAGTGGGAGTTACCGCCGTCGATGATGATGTCGCCGGCCTCGACGCCGCCCTCACTGAGGAGGGTCTCGATGAAGTCGTCGACTGGCTTGCCGGCCATGACGAGCAGCATCATGCGGCGTGGCTTCTTCAGCTTCTGGACGAATTCGCGGATGCTGTGTGCTCCAACAATGCTCTTGCCCTTGGCCTCGTTGTCGAGGAAGCGGTCGACCTTGGCGACGGTGCGGTTGAAGGCGACGACGGTGAAGCCGTGGTCGGCGGCGTTGAGGATGAGGTTCTGACCCATGACGGCCAGACCGATGAGACCGAAGTCTCCACTGTGAAAGAAACATTATCAGTGAATCCGCTCCCCAAAAAAAGCACAAAAACACGGCTGAACAGTCGGGCATGGCATTAGCAACAGCGGCGGCGGCAATGGCTTGAGAGGTTGGCGGCGTGGTATGTAGCTCGGTATGCGATGTCCGCGTGGTATTGACTGTCCAGCTCTTGTTCTTCTCTGCATCCGCGATGATTCCTCTCGGAGAGTTGTGGGTCCCAAATTTTTTCGTATGGGCGATGGCGGCCTTTGTTGAGATGGAGGGGCAATGAGGGGAAGGCAGGACTCACACTGCTTCGGGCTGCGACATGGCGGGCTGGTGTGGACGATTGAGGTGTTGCGAGAGGGACTCAATGCGGCGGTGGGAGGTGGTTGCGGATGTCGGTGAAGAAGTTGGGGGTGAAGAGGAGGAAGATGTTAAGGTTGGAGGGTGAGTTGAGAGAGCAGCAGAGGCAGAAGCGGCAGCGGCAGCAATCATTTGGTGGGGCGCGGGAGTTGGCGGGCAGTCGACGGCCTCTTCCCGCCGCACAATCATCAACAACAGCGCGCTGCACTTGTGAGAACTCCGTCGGCTCTTAATAATCACTTTCCACTCCTTTCTGCAATGCCGTCACGCCGCCCCGAATGGATTGATGGATCTCTCTCTCGCGACGAACAGTCGGCAACAGGGGGAGACATGGTCAATTATCAATCTGCTCTCCGTTACCGACACATGGCAAGACAACCCCCGTCTTATGTCATCCGGCTCTACACTCGGCTCTTCCGCACCGCTCACCAATCAGTCCATTATCACTCACGGCCATCCGACACCGTTCTGGAGCGTAGTACGACGCCTCCTGAGGCATCTAAGCTGATTGCGTCCATCGCGACCGGCCGCGCGCGGAGCAAAGTGAAAGAAATGAGTTTTTCCGTGCTCCCACTCGTGCGGTCGGCGAACGATCGGCCTTCGTCATGCCGTGGGATGCCGCTTCAACTTTCGAAACATACGCTAGGTCCGCCAAACATCCGCTGAGAAGCCCGGGAAACGCTGCCTGCTCCGACGCTTTCGGCAGATATAAGAGGATGCACATTTCACCAATTTACATGTCGATGGTAATGAAGAGCAGTTCGCACATTGTTCGTCGGGGGAAGCGTGGTGAGAGGATAGAACAATGGCCATGCTGCACGCTAGCATCTCGGCTCACGCCCGCGTCTCTACTGTCTTCCCGGTCCATCGATTCAGTTCCATCTTCTTGCCGCCGGCAGCGATATGACCGCTATCGGACAACCAGCACGGCTACGACACGGACGGCCACGTGACAGGTCTGCAGAGCCACTTCGAAGTAGCATACATGCAATGCGAAAGATCAGGTGAGGGACATCGAAGAACAGACACGTTTCTCGGCGAAACTTTCTCAGTATCAACAGAGATCGGTACATGTATTGTGTGTTCGAACATCGCCTTTTTTTGCTGAGATGTAGGCCTTGCTAGCATCCCGAAGAGTTCGCAGAGAAATCGACAAAGTAGTCCGAGTGGGAAAAGATGCAATGATCACGGCAGCGGCGGCTAATCATTATGAAGCCTTCAGACCTTTTTGGCTCACCCGAAGGGAAATGAACGACAGTGTAGAGCACACAGCACGTTCACACAGCACATTCACACACGCATGAGCATCAGATCAACCCATTTGCTGCCAGGAACAACCAGCCCCACAACGACTTCCATCCCAGATTGTTCAGAAACATCGCGAGGCACAAGTGGCCGACAAGCGACCATTGCGACATCGACAACACCATGACACCACTTCCGCTACTACCACTTGGAGAGAAACTTGAAGGTGGAGCAAAGAACACGCACACTCTAGACAGCTGCCTAACATGACGTTAATAACGTTCTCGTTCTCTATGTCTACGTATACATACATACATATATATATATATATATATATATATAGCTAACTACTATAAAGAACCCCTGTGAATCTATACTTCTACTACCCGTAGGATAGAAAATCCCAGATACCCCACCGGCGAGGCGAGATTGCTCTATTTCTTTTCTGTTAGTCGAAGCAAACCTATAAAGGAGGATCTTACAGGAAGAGTGAGCAAAGAAAGGTTGTCTTCCAAACAGAATCACATTCAATTCCCTATCAAGCGCGACATGGATTTGCCGTCACGCTCCCTTGAGATGAATGTTGAAAACATCTCCAGAAAACGCCGACGCTAAATGTCAGATCCCTTCCAATTCTCTTTTGTCCTTTCGTTTAACAAATGCGAACCAATGCCAGAAAGGGGGTGTAGATTGAGGGCATGGCATGTTTTTGGCCTGCCCGTGGTCTATGTTGAATAACAGACGCTTCAAATGCCGCGAGCAGGGCTGGGGTATCATTGTTACGCTCTCCGTGAAACTTTTATGTTCTCTAGTTTTACCTCCCTCCTCAATAAACGCCGTCGTGTTGAGACAGGAGGGTGGAGCCTCCCGTCTTCATGCATGAGTTGAAATTAGAATGCTGCTACAAGTTCTGGGCTGTTTAAAACTTGAGCTGGCGGGGCTTCTCCCAGCTGAAGTTGGGGTTGCTGAAGTGGCCGTTCTTGGCAGTCTCGCGGTAGATGGGCTCCGACAGACCGAGCTCCTTGACGATGACACCTGGTCGGAGGTTGAAGTTGTCGCGGATGATCTGGACGAGCTCGTCGGAGGTCTTGGATGAAGTGCCGTAGGTCTCGACGAAGATGGACAGTGGCTCGGCAACACCAATGGCGTATGAGAACTGCACAAGGGCGCGACGGGCGAGGCCGGAGTGGATGAGAGACTTGGCGACCCATCGGGCGAGGTAGGCAGCAGAACGGTCGACCTTGCTGTAGTCCTTTCCGGAGAAAGCACCACCACCGTGGGCTCCCCAACCGCCGTAGGTGTCGACGATGATCTTGCGGCCGGTCAGACCGGCGTCACCCTGTGGGCCACCAATGATGAAGAGGCCAGATGGTTGGATCTGAGAAATGTCAGTGATGGAGCTCAGAGTTTACAAAGCTTGGATATGATGCTCACGTGGTAGATGGTCTTGTCGTCGAGGAGATTCGCTGGGATGACCTTCTTGACAATCTTCTCCTTGATCTCCTTGCGGAGCTCCTCCGTGGTGATGTCGGCGGAGTGCTGGGCGGAGACGACAACGGTGTCGACACGCCTGGGGATGACGGCGCCGTTGTCGTGCTCGTACTCGACGGTGACCTGGGTCTTGGTGTCGGGTCGGAGCCATGGCAGGCTGTTGTCGAGACGGGCCTGCTCCATGGCGGCGTTGAGCTTGTGGGCCAGCTGGATGGTCAATGGCAGCATCTCGGGGGTCTCATCAGTCGCGTATCCGAACATGATACCCTGGTCACCAGCTCCGAGGTTCTCCAGGCGCTCCTCGTAGTGGAGACCCTGAGCAATGTCGGGGCTCTGCTCCTCAATGGCGACGAGGACGTTGCAGGTCTTGTAGTCGAAGCCCTTGGAGGAGTCATCGTATCCAATGTCCTTGATGGCATCACGGATGACCTTCTGGTAGTCGAGACGAGTCTTGGTGGTGATTTCACCAAAGACCATGACCATACCCGTCTTGGTGGCCGTCTCGCAGGCAACCTTGGAGGCGGGGTCGTCCTTCAAGCAGGCGTCGAGGACGGCATCGGAGATCTGGTCAGCGATCTTGTCTGGGTGACCACGACCGACGGACTCGGAGGTGAAGAGGAAAGTGCCCTTGCTGTCGACATTCGAGTGGTTGGTTAGCGGGGCGTGCGTCACACATGCCTTCCATTGGCGGTTGCTGCGAGTACTCACGGGGCTGCGACTCCGTTGGCGCTCATTGTGGGTGGTTTCTGTCGTTTGGTGGAGGAGATTGTGAGGGAAGAGAGTGAGAGGAGGCGGTTTCAGAGGTGGAGGTGAAGGGAAGAAGGAGGAAGTTTGTTTGTCGAGAGGAAAGTGTCGAGGTGCCCGCCGGAGGAAAGAAGAGTTGAGGATTTGCCGACGTGGGGTCGCTGAGAGGCTAACTTCTACTAAGCGAGCTCGGCCAAAATATGTGGTCTCAATGGTAGATGCGGGGTGGAGGGACACAGGGCAGTCGCAGGTCGCAGTAGTGGTTTGGTGTCTGAACAGCGACAGCAAGATGGCGGGTTATAACTGTTACCATGGCATCACCGCTGATTCCTGATTCCGCTCGATTCCTCCCATGTTACTCCGCGACCCTCCGGAGCATCGTTTGCATGGCCTCCTCTCGCTGACCGATGCCGCCACGACTTTTATCAAACGCTCCGAGGCCTCGAATGGCGTAATTGCAGCGATTTCGCAGCTGATCGTCCGACCCTTTCTTCCATTGCTTGCTGCTTGCACTCACAACTCCTTCCCGCTCCTCACGGGCTGTTTCATGATACACAGCATCATCCAGTGTCATGCGATCGTCTGGACACTCATCATCATATGTCGACTGAAAGTATAGCATTGTGTGAGCTGTCGTTGATATTGGCGACTGCGGCTCCCAAGATGAGGTGCCGGGGATTTTCCAGCTGCCCCGCCACTTGTCGTTTCCAAGCATTGGGAGAGGGTCAGCGTCGGCCACCGACGTTGCATGCCCTTCGACTGTCCACACGTGTACCCACACGTGTAATCGGAGACGGAGCTGGAGAGCGTTCTTGAAGCACCTTAAGACCGACTCGTCTTATATTGACCTCGACAACGAACTGTTCCCTGGTTGACCAGACGATGCCAGAGCTCTTCCAGCCAAGTATAGCTCTTTATAGATAGTAATCGCACCGAGACCTGTCTTAAAACTATCCGAATAATAGGCCATTATAGTATCTCATAATACCTTATATACCGGTAAGTGTCTATAGCGTAAAGAAGAGTTCTATAAAGAGAGGCCTATAGAGAGAGGCCTATAGAGAGAGGCCTATAGAGAGAGGCCTATAGAGAGAGGCCTATAGAGAGAGGCCTATAGAGAGAGACCTATAAAAAGAAGGGATCTATAAAGAGAAGAGATCTATAAAAAGAAGAGATCTATAAAGAAGAGATATCTATAGAGAAAGGCCTATAGGAAGAGGCCTATAGAGAGAAAAGGCTTATAAAGAGAAAAGATCTATAGAGAGAAAATATCTATAAAGAGAAGAGGCCTATAGAGAGAAGGGATCTATAAAGAGAAGAGACTTATAGTATAGAGAAGAGGTCTATAAAGAAGAGAGGCCTATAGAGAGAAGAGACTTATAAAGAGAAGATATATAGTAGAGAGAAGAGACCTACGGAGAGAGTATGTCTACGATAAGCTACGTCCTAGAGCCGTAATACATATTACTATACGCTATACTAGGATATACGTAGGGCAAGGAGCGCAAATCTTAAATCGCGAAATCCTAGAATCCTGGAGTTTTGTCACTTGTGTAGATCTGGAGCGCCTTAGTAAGGAGTGTCCGCATCCACCACCATGTGTGATCCCGCCCCGCAGTAGCCGATCTCCGGCCAAGCTCAAGTTGACACTACCTTACTCACCTTACCTACCTGAGAAACACCTCTTCCGCCATTCTTCTACGCATCTTCCACCACCACCCCAAAATGTCCTCTCTGCGGACTGCAAAAAGCTCCGGCTTGCATCTCTGTCGAGCCTGCAAGCGCACCGTCACAGCGCAGCCCTTCAAGTCTTCGACATGGCGCGCAGTATCCACCGACGCGCAGCAGAAGGTTGGTATGTCTGGAGTTGAACATCTTTCAGGATTCTTAGCTGATTGCCTGAATAGCTGCTGTCCTCTCGCCTTGAAGACGCTGACCCATCGATATTCGACATCATCCGAAAAGTCAGTACCCGCCACACACGATCTTACTTTCAAGAACAGCTTTGGCCTGACAATTGAGCAGGAGAAACGACGGCAGAAACACTTCGTAAACCTCATACCCTCAGAGAACTTCACGAGTCAAGCCGTCCTGGATGCGTTGGGAAGTGTTATGCAAAGTGGGTAATCTGCGAATGGCTGAAAGGACAATCATTGAACATTGGCACAGACAAATACTCCGAAGGATACCCAGGAGCGCGGTACTACGGCGGCAACGAGTTCATCGACGAAGCAGAGCGGCTATGTCAGCAGCGAGCGTTGGAGACCTTTGGATTGAAGGAGTCAGAATGGGGCGTCAACGTACAGCGTACGCAATCACGCACAGAATGCATTGACGATTGGGCTGACACTCTCTGCAGCACTCTCCGGCTCGCCTGCCAACCTCTACGCCTACTCTGCCCTGCTCAACGCTCATGACCGTATCATGGGCCTCGATCTACCTCACGGCGGCCATCTTTCTCACGGCTACCAACTGCCTACCAAGAAAATCTCCGCGATCTCGAAATACTTCGAAACCCTCCCATACCGACTTGACGAGGCCTCGGGACTCATCGACTACGAGAAGCTTGAAGAGATGGCGATGCTTTACAGACCGAAGATCATCATTGCAGGAACGAGCGCGTACAGTAGATTGATCGACTACGACAGATTCAAGCAGATTACTGAGAAGGTTGGGAATTGCTACCTCTTAGCGGATATGGCGCACATCTCTGGTCTCGTTGCCGGAGGCGTGATACCTTCACCATTCGAGTACGCAGACGTCGTGACGACCACGACGCACAAGAGCTTGCGAGGACCCAGGGGAGCCATGATCTTCTTCCGCAAAGGCGTCCGAAGAGTCGACAAGAAGGGAGTCGAGGAGAAATACGATCTCGAAGGTCCAATCAACTCGTCGGTGTTCCCGGGACATCAGGGAGGCCCACACAACCACACCATCACTGCGCTGGCCGTGGCGCTCCACCAAGCTCAACAGCCGGAATTCAAGGAGTACCAAAAGACTGTGCTTGAGAACGCCAAGGCACTCGCTGCACGGTTGGGCAACGACAAAGAATCTGGCGGCCTCGGCTACAACATCGTTAGCGGCGGTACTGACAACCATCTGGTTCTGGTAGACCTGAAGAACAAAGGCATTGACGGGGCCCGAGTTGAGCGTATCCTCGAACTAGTTGGTGTCGCCACCAACAAGAACACCGTTCCTGGCGACAAGTCTGCGATGAAGCCAGGCGGTCTGCGGATGGGAACTCCAGCGATGACCACCCGTGGCTTCCATCCAGAGGACTTTACGCGTGTTGCGGATATCGTGCATAGGGCTGTCAATATCACCAAGACGCTGGACGGCAAGGCCAAGGAGGCTGCGGAGAAGAGTGGACGTAAAAACCCTGGAAGTGTGGCTGCTTTCCGCGAGTACGTAAAGGAGGGCGAGGAGGTCGTTGAGATTGTCGAGTTGCGCAGGGAGGTTGAGGATTGGGTGGGAACCTTCGCTTTGCCCTGGGGCGATAAAACCGAATGAGTGAATGCTGAGGTTGAATGGATGTGCATTTGGCGGGGTTCACGAGGCGTTATGAAGACGGACGGCGAGTACTGTTTGCAATTTCTGTATAACGAGGCTCAACGAAGAAAGCGAGGTGAATGGCTCCACTTCTGCGTTGTGGTTCCCATGTAGGTCACTCCTTCCACATGCGGAAAGTCTCACTAGCGTCCTCTAGCGCCATCAAGATCCCTGCTTGCGACTTCCCCATTCAACCACCTCCTCGATTCACTTGTTGCGAAGCCATCCCAGCTGCACGACTCGACTACAATACCACAAATCAGCTTCCACTACCATTGTCTCCCTCGCGCTGCCCAAGAGAAGAATTCTACCATGAACACACCCCTCGAACCATTCTCCTTCATCCCCACCACTAGCGGCACTTCGGCAACACCTTCCACACTCCACGGTACGCCCATCGCATCACCTACACCCATCACCACCATGTCGAACATGAACATGAACACGAACACGAACTTCAACAACGACAATCCGCCCTCCTGGACTTTCTGGTCCCAAAACCCGACCCTCACAGGCCCCCTGACTTGGCTCCTGGTCGTTTACTGTTTCGCGAGCTTGGGATTGTTCGTGGTGATGATGCACAGTGGGGTCTTGGATTTGAATTTGAATCTGCATCTGGAAGGGGTTTGAGTCTCTCTCTTTCTCTTTTTCCGATCTGGTGGGAGAAGAAGGGATTTTTGGAGAAGAGGCTAACGGATCTTCATTCAGATTGGGCGTGTGCGGCGGAGATTTGTGACTGGAAGGGCTGGTGCGGAGGAGGGGAATGCAGTGACGACTTTTGGAGAGGAGGATCTCGAGGAGCAGCGGAGGGTGTTGGAGCGGATACGCCTACTCGGTGGCTCTGAGGCGGAGCGAATGCGGGAGATACAGCAGAGGGATGCGGAGGTTGTTAGGCGGTTGAGGGAGGCCGGATTGCTCTGACTTGGGGAGAAGAGACCGTGTCCCGAGAAGTGTGCTATAACACGCCGATGTGCGAAGACGCTGTACGCCTCGAATGCATCTCTTTGCCCGAGGCGCTCTTGGTAGATCACGGACAAGAGATCCTACTCGTCAACAGCAGACTGGTTGAGAATACCGACATTCTGCTCTGCATCGATTCCTTGGGAGCTTTCCTAGCGTATGCTACCAATATTTCCCCGTGACTGCATCTACTTCGCTCTCGACCGCTTGTCCTGCTCCGTCCCCGGGCAGAGTTTAAGGATTCAACAATTACATCGGCTCTTCCACCAAGGTGTGTCCCATATCTCCTGCGACTCTCGGACGGCAAAAGTGCGTTCTGCTCGTCATCCCCCACCAGAACATCTCTTGCTGTACCGTTCTGTCCATCTTCTCCAACAGAGCGTGGAATTATGCCATGTCCTGTTCCCTCTTCTCTTCGGAGCGAGATCTCATTGCCGTGGTCAGCGCCTCTTTCGCGCCGTATCGAATCAGCGATACGCGCAGGGTGCCTGACGAGCTGACGGCGTTGTCTGCGGTGCGTGTTGGTCAAGGTCATCGGGATGAAGCCCTAGCTTTTGACTCAAAGGACCAGCACACGCTTTCATGCATCTCAGGGGCTCGCCTGTATGGGGTACCGATTGCTGCGGTGTAACGTGATGAAGGAGCGTGAATCTACTCCAGCTTGTCCAGATGTTCCAGCCTCGTCAGCACGACCTGCTTACTGGTCTCCTGGATCTCGCCAGCGAGGAAGACCTCATCAAGGATAGCGTAGACCTGAGCTCCGATATCAGTATCCTGCTGTTGGCGTGCCCTCATCTGCTGCTGCTCTTACCTTGTAGAAATTAAACACCAGGTCCAGCTCACATACGTTCCCAAAGAACTGATCCAGCACTTCCACAAAGAAGTGTATCGCTTCGAGATATGCCAGCTCGTTATCGTTCGCATCGACGCACGCACAGAAGAACAGTCCGGCGTATCGGCGGTATACGATCTTGGAGGAGCCGCGGAATTCGACGAAGTTGGACTGGTGCTTTTGATCGCGAGGCGCGACGAGGCGGTGGACTTCTCCTTTGAGTTTGATCTTCTCGTCGTCGGTGTAGGGCGAGTACCATTTGGCCAGGCGAGTCTTGCCTCTGCGGTGGAGATGTCAGCGATGGGAGGTAGAGGGCCCACCGAGGGAGGGTCTGAACGGACTGGCGGTTTTGGATCAGGATGAATGAGATGACCATCTTCGTGGTGTTTGTGAGTGGTAAGGCGCGATTCGTTCGAAGGATGTCGCTCGACAGTAGGTTGCTGGTGCAGATGGATGGTACCTAGTACAGACCGAGGAGTGAGGTACGCGCGACTTCCTACCGAAGTTTTGCCGCAGCAAAGCTTCGACCTACCTTGCACCGTTGGCTGGAACTTGCAAGACCTCACCTTCTTTTTCAAAACAACATCTGGTCGTCAAGACCGGAAGAGAGGCTACATTTTCAGCACTCCAAGGATGAGAAGAGGGTCGAAATTACGGCACTACACGTTGCTTCCAAGCAGAAATCAAGAGGTTGCCGAACGTGTATCCCAGGACCTAACAGAAGGATTTGGGAAAGATGGCCAGAGATATCGTAGCTCATACTCCGGTAAACGGGTGAGAAAAAGAGTAAGTCGCTCGACATGGCTCTGTTGTAAGAACCCGAAGACGGTCCTGCTAAAGGTGGACTGACGTTTTCGGGACAGTCTCAGTGTCTTCTTTCCAGAGACTCAAGCAGTACATGACTGGACACTTCTCAAGAGCCCGAGGCCAAGATGCGTGTGCTATTCGATCTATTAAGAAGAAATGACAGAGCAACAATGATCTTGATAATGCCAGCCAGGAGGATCGCGAAAGCAGTGCTGACATAGTGATACGCAGGCGCCCCAACGAAACTTCCGACCACCAAGGTCAGTAAGAAAGCGATCCTCCGATTTCTGCTACGATTCCCAGTGACCGCGGCGAAGAAGTTCGGATCAACGAACAGGTCAACGTAAGCAGCAGTCGCCTGCGTCGTGGGAATCTCCGGCATGCCTAGCTGTCGGCTCATTGCCACCTGAGCTCCGGATGCAAAAGCGAGAAGGCCGATCGAGCAGAGGATAGTTGCACTGTTCAGATCGTCGGTCTCGTAGTTTGGTGTCCGGTTGACGAGGTTGATCAAAGCTGCGATGAGGACAAATGCGGTCTGGACGGCATTCGTGAGCAACAGCCACCACTTCTTTGACCTGCAGCCGAGATAGCTGGATGTCTGTCCGGGAGTGAAGACACCCAGACAAAAGAATCCCAAGCTGACGGCCAGATGGGCTGCCGGTGCCGTGAAATTCGTATCCTGACGGGTTCCAAAGGGCGAGAAGGCTGTGACTGCGAACAGCACTGTGTTACCGGTCTGGTTGCTCACAACTACCAGGCAGAAGGTCAGTCATGCGAAACGGCCTTGGAAGAAGTCATTTTAGATGCTTACAGCAGTGGAACTTGGGAAACGAGACTGCATCAATGATGCCAGTCGACAACGCCAGAGCCGTCAGTTCGAATTCCAGCAAGTGCTGGTCAGTGTCGATTGGTGCCCTCAGCCATGCTAGCCAGCGCGTCTCCTTCTCGTCGTCCATCTCCGCCATGGTCCATCCACTAATGAGTTGCCCGTACTCATCGCACAGCGGGAACCTCCCTTCTTCAAAGGAAAGGCATCGCCAGATATTTCTGCGAAGTACGCGTACGGACAAATACTGCATCGATTGCAGATCTGGCGTGAAGGTAAATCTTGAAGCAGCAAGTGACGTCTAGAGAACCAGCAATGTGCATTGGACATTTTCGGCTAAGAGCCTGTGATCTTCAACTTTATCGTAGAGTTCAGGATCATTTAGCCGTCATCCATCAAGATTGATCGACTTTGCATGCTGACGATCGTCATGGATATACAGCAAACACATGCACAATGCAGTTGATACCAAAGCCAAAAATACGGTCCACGTGTCTATTAACGAGGTGAAGCATATCGCTCTATAGTATTCCGTTGCTCAGGATTTGGGGGATCCGACCGTGTAGCTAAGCTATGCGTTAGTATCTAGGAACTCTTCTCTAAGTAGATTAAGGAGCGCTTCGATCTTAGTAGCATTAGGTATATTTTCTATAGCGAGTAAGTCCACACGCGCATCTATAAGAGCCTATAATCTAGGCCGATAGGAATCTCTAAGCTCCTTATACATTCTAACATAGTCGCCGCGGTACATAGATACATCTGTCCGTAGGGAATACGGCATCCTCACAGATTCCTCATTCAATACCGCTAGACCTTGCCACTCCTAAGCCTAAGACCTCAGCAAGAAGCAGTGAAAATTGCACACCATGCATCAGTGTCGGTTGCAAACAAAACCCTCCCATCGCCAAATTCTCGTGAATACCGCAACGCCCGGGTATAAAATGCCATCAACTTCCACTGCTCTTCTAGCTCTCCTCCACAACACTCACACACACAATCTGCTCACCCCCAGCATCATCAACAAATCAACCACCACATCCACCACATCCACCAAGCTCCAAAATGTCCGTTCCTCCAGCTCGACCAAACACGCCCATGCCAGCACGACCCAAGCTGTAGAGCAATGCTCACATCTGCACGGGCTTAGCAGTCTTGATTTTCTGGCCAAGGCAGCACCTCTAGCCAGTAGGCGTTACTACATCATGACAAGGTCGATTAGATGTAACCGCAAATGAAATCGTCGGATGCCGGCTTCGTTTGTTTCCTAACTTTGCTCTGTCCCTTTCTGTATTCGTTGTTGTTAATAGACTAATAAAACGAGAAGTTTTAGAGTGTGTTATTCGTAAGGGAAAAGGTCGATAACACATTTGCCGAGAGAGAGGTATATTCGGCATGTCGTATGCTGTCGATGCTACGTATTTCAAGTGGAGGTAGTCACTTTCCTTCCGCATCCACGCGCCATCTATGCCCCCGACTCCTCTCTTGGCCTTAGCTGGAGTTCTGCTACCCGAAGGAGGTACTCGTCTGCGCGCAGGCTGGTGAGAATGGGGTCTCTGCAGCTACCAAAATTGCCTTCAACGGATTTGAACACGCCTTTTGGCATCAGCCGCAAGCAACCCCAACACCGCACGGATTCTGGATGGTAATAGAGGAGGCCTGGGTAGTGTTCTGGTGAGAAGTTCTGCTGCCTCCTGATCGCTGGCGACAAATCGCTTTGGCTTGTCTCCGTGGAATATGTTGAAGGTCGAAGCGAGGATGGGTTCTCTTGTAATTGTGCGTCGCGGTCATCATTAACCTCTCAAAACAGTCCGAGCAAGTCTTCATTGGTCTTCTTTCCGCCAGCGCCACCATTCATCTGCTGTTGCGGGGGAGGGGGCTGGTCGTCCATGTTCATATTCGCAAAGCCATTCATTAGATCTTGACTTCCACCTCCATTCACTGGAGCAGGCGCGTCCCCTCCAAGACCCATCAGATCTTCAAAGCCGCCGCTCGGAGCTGTCGCGGCGGTAGGCGATGCGATGCCTGGGCTGGCGACTCTTTGTGGGGTACCTGCGAGACCTTCCAGACCAGAATTGCCCATTGTCGGGGCTTTCAGCATTGACGCCGGCGCAGCCCCGTCGAAGTCGATATCGAGCAGGTTTTCCGCATTGTTCTGCATCTGAGGTGCAGCGGTACCAGCAACGGCGGCGGATACCGCGGCTGCAGCGATCGGGTTCTCGCGAGCGTTTTGCTTTGCCTCCTCAATTGCCTCTTCCTGGAGAGCTGAGCTGCGTCCTTGGCCCAAGAACGCCGATGGCGGCTTGTGGTAGACTGACGAGAGCGTTGAAAGATTTGGGAGGAGCTTTTCGAGGAGCGGCCTGGATAACACAGGTATTGTCGATTCAATCTGTGGTCTTTGTGCCAGCACGATGTTCTTTGCGATTTGAGGATCGGAAGACAGCAGCCGCCAGTAGACATATGCTCGATCTCGGACATCAGGATTGTCGTTCTCGGCGGTTGCGGCTTGGAGGACTTTTTGGACCAGGCCTTGCGACTGATCGGGCTTCTTCAAGAAAAGCTTTACGACGGCTGTGAGGATCTGCAATTGGGTCTACACCAAGTCAGTAATGCTGCCAATTCTTTTCAGGCTGCACCAACATACCTGAACGAACTCTTCGTTGAAGCCGTCAACAAAGCCAGCCAAGATGTCCCCCGCGTTCGAAATCTTCTCCGCATACTCCCCAACAATCCAGATCAAGGATCCTCTCGCATTCGGCTCGTCCAGATCGTCAATACATTGACAAAGAGTCGGAATGATGCCCTCGTAGCCAGGGTATTTCCGGAAGATATCTTTGATCACTACGATGACCTCCTGCACCACGTACCCGACCTTGGTGTTGATGAGCTCGAGAAGAACATTGACGGCCTTCTCGGCGCATTCTTCAATTTTAATCGCCACTTGTCCAATGGCCCGAATTCCCTTTCGCACAAAATCCATGTCCACTTCCAAGGCATACTCCTTCAATTCCGCCAGCAATTGCTCCACATTCTGCGAGTTGGCAATCCGCACCATGATGTCCAACTTCTGTAGTTTGAGGTATGGCGGGTCGTTGTACTTGCAAAAGAACACGCGCATCTCCTTGTCCAGAATACCAGGCTGCTTCTGGAGCAATAAGTCGATGTTCCGCAGAGCGACATACTGCACTTCTGGCTGACTGGACACCAATGTGACCAGAGGAGGCGACATCTTCTTCAGATACGTGGCATGTAGCTGGTTGTTCTCAATGTGCTGCATGTGCAGGAAGACAACCTTGACAGCCGCAAGTACCACCGACGGATTGACATGTTGGAATTGTGGGCTGACTCTTTCGCAGATGTGCTCGGATTCCTTCGTATCTGCAGCTTTGTAGTCGGCGAGTGTTGTCAAAATGGTGATTCGACCCCATTCTGTGCACTCGTTCAACGCCAGAAGCATCTTCTTCAGTGTCTGACTTGTGATGACAAGTGCATGTGTCTCCGGAGCCGTGTCGCTGATCTCGGCTAGAGCTTGTACGGAGTTTGCGACGACCATGGGATTACTATCGCCAATCATCTCCTGCAATGTCTCTAGAAAGCCATTCTCAATACACAGAAGTGGGTTGAGATCGAACAGCTTGGCCACACAGAGTGCTGCTGTCTTCCGCACGTATGGCGATTCATCCTTGAGTGTTTTCCGCAGTGGCTCTTCCATGTAATCCACCATCTTTTCCACTCGAATACACCCCATTGTTCGTATCGCCAGTGCTCGGACAAGCGGATTGGGATCCTCGGAGTCCTGTACGAATGTGTTGACCGCCAATATGCATAAATCCGGATGTGACTTTGCGTAGTTCATCAGGTAAAGATAGACCAGCTTCTTCTGATCCAGATCGGGTGTCGCAATGTTCTTCAAGACGTCGGGAAACAGCGCCGAGACATCCTTGCCGAGCGTCATGGACATGATTGTCTTCTGTATTGACTCCTTCCGCTCCCACGCATATTGTGATACCAGACCCGCCCGCAGCTCATAAGTCTCTCCCTTTCTCGCCGAGCCCAGCGCACTCCGTAACCTGTTGACCGCCATCCTGTGTACCCGCTGCCGTTGTATATCAGACAGTGTTGTTTCTCATGCGAGCGAGCTTCGTGTTGCCAGCTGGATGTCGTGGGGCTCGTTGGGGGCGGGGCTCAAGTTGTCTGGAGGAAGATGAGGTCGCGGTTCTCGTCGAGGTATTCGATGTTGTGGAAAGGCGGACTAGAGAGGGGGATTGAGGTGTGAAAGTGGAATTGTGCGGCCTGGAACCAGAGTTGGGCAACTACTTCGAACTGCAACCCGAAGTTCAAGGCGCTCGGACCCTTGACGTGCCAAGACTTCTGCCTCCTGACTCGTTGGATCTTCCCCCATGTGACACGAAACTGACAACAAACTCTACACGAGAGCAAGGAATACAAAAAGACTTCTTCGTCTCAATGGTATCGAGAGTCGAATGAGTGATTGTTGCATGCACGGCCACTGACATTCCACAGCCCTCTAACCTTCCGAATTTGCGTCGACTTTTCGTCGAGGCGCGTACTGAAGTCGAGGAAAGCGCATATTCGAGGAACGCGGTATGTCCTGCATCGAACTCACACGGAAACGATGTAAATCTAATCATGAGGACAGTTCTATAACTTGGTACTTTTCATGTCCTCTGTCGCCGTCTTCAGCTTGGTTGCCCAGCGGATGAATATGCAGCGATGATGCCAAGTGAGAACTGCCAGCGAAGCTTGATCGATCTTCGCAAGACTTACTTCCTCTCATAGATTCGGCTTGTTAGAGGCTATTACCGATACGTGCACTCACTACGAACTCCCCGACACAAACCCTCCGGGCAGCTCCCCAGCATGACGTAATAACGTTATCGTTCGTCCACCGCATTGATGTAGCGTGTCTCTAGACATCTCGCTACACAATACTTCGGGGAGCCCTTCTACCGCGGGCCCCTCGTAGGTGCTTCGGCTTGAAGGAAAGAAACGGAGTAATCCCGCCTCGCCGGCGAGGCAGCTTCATTTTATATCCTCGGGGTAGTAAAAGTACAGATTCGTAAGGGTTCTCTATAGTGGCTGGCGATGGACGTGGACAACGATAACATCATTAACGTTATGCTAGGGAGCTGCCTGTAGGATTTGTGACTGTCCGACTGGCGGGGACTCTTGTTTCGATATTGGGGATAGCTCTTCTGGGCTCAATCCGGACCTCCGAAACCCGGAGCATGCCTCTTGCAAAAGGCGCGGTCAGCGGGCTCGGCACAACTAGCGGCTCCACGTTCGCAACCACATCTGTTGAGTACCTTGCCACTTTTTCCTTCTTCTCGTCGCACATTGAGGTGTTTTTCACAACAGTCGGAGAAGTGTCGCGGCGGCACGACCATTATGGCGGATGAGACGCAGCCTCTACTACGGAGCGAAATTTCGACGCAAGATTCGAAAGACTTCAATTCGAAAGACATCGTCGAATTTGATCCCAATGGCGACCCAGATAACCCTCTCGACTGGCCTGCGGCGTACCGATGGAGTATTGTGGCATTGCTTGCCGTAACAGCCTTCTGCGTGACCTTCACCTGCATCTCACTTGTGCCGGTGGCCAACCAAATCATCAGAGACCTCAATGGAGGACACCCTGACAAGTCCGCGAGCGTCATGCTGGTGACAATATGGGAGCTCGGGGAAGCGGCTGGACCGTTGTTCATCGCTCCATTGTCTGAAGTGTTTGGCCGGTACCCGGTCATGAACGCAGCCAACATTCTATTAGTCAGCGCAACACTTCTCGCCTCGTTCGCGACTTCGCCTGAGTCGATGGTCTTTGCGAGATTCCTTTCCGGACTGGCCGTGGCTTCCAACGTTCTCAGTCCAGCTATCGTTGGCGATATGTTTGTATCGGAGCAGCGCGGGACGGCGATGAGCTTGATCATGTTCGCTCCGCTTCTCGGAGGTGCGATCGGGCCTGCCATTAGTGGCGCAATCGCTCAGAGCATCGGCTGGCGGACTGTTCTTTGGATGAGTGCTGGGCTAGCCGGAGTCTGCGAGGTAGTGTTCCTGACATGCTTCAGAGAGACGTTCAAGGTACGATACTGAAGGGCAGAAGCCATCCCCAAAGCCTGTCTTATGTCTGAGCCATGGACAGGCTTCAGCCTCTTGTCTTCCTTCGCTATTTCTGGACACCAGCTGACCATCCACCCTTCTACATGATAGGTCCCCATTCTAAACCGCAGAGCCGCGAGATTGCGGAAAGAAACCGGCAACCAGAACCTGAAGACCATCTTCGAGATTGAGGGAGCAGAGAAGAAAAGCGGGCAGATTTGGGAGTCCGTAATGCGTCCTGTCGTTGTGCTCGCCGGATCTGGAGTCCTGCAAATCATGAGTCTCTTTGGCTCCGTGGCCTTCTCGTATTTCTACGTTATGTCTACTTCGCTGCCGGACATTCTGCAAGACATCTACGGACTCAATCCAGCGGAGACGGGGTTTGCCTTCATCAGCTTCAGTAAGCTCAGTCCTTCATGCCGTTCCTGAGTAGTTTCTGACAGCATGCAGGCGTTGGCTCCGTCGTCGTTGTGATCCTATGCAATCTCTTCCTCGACAAGATCTACATTCGCCTGCGGGACACTTCCAGAGACGGTCTCGGCCAACCCGAATTCCGTCTTCCATTCTGCATCTTCGGTGGATTCCTCCTTTCCATTCTCGTAGCGCTTTACGGCTGGACAGCAGAACTCAAGCTTCCCCTGGTCATCAATCTGCTCTCTGTCGCAGGACTGGGAGGCGGCTTGACGCTGGCCTCCCTCCCGCTCATGGCATACGTCGTGGATGCGTTTGGACTATATTCTGCATCCGCTTTGACCGCAGTGATAGTGACGAGATGTCTGATGGGAACATTCTTGCCTCTGGCGACCGATCCACTCGTGAGGGTCCTGGGACATGGCAAGGCTTACTCGCTTCTGGGGGCCGTCAGCTTATGTTTGGCGCCGATACCGCTGTTAGTGATGAGGTATGGGCGTAAGTGGAGACAGAGGAGCAAGTATACAAGAGGGGAGTGATGAGGACAGATTACTTGGGGTGCGTTGATGAGTGAACGAAAAGCATAATCGAAATCTTTGATGCGTTTTAGCGGGCGTTTGGGCTGGTATGTGGCATGACTACAGCACTATCTCGCATTAGAACGTTGTTTGCTTCTCGAGTATCCCAGCCAAAACAGAGGCAACGGGCAGTCGGACAGCAGCGTAGCAGGTGCAGTGTCCGTCGAGATGCCTTTGCAAAGCGATAAGATGCTGTACAAGACAACGCTCGGTCATTTCCAGCTGTGATATTTGACGAAGAGAGTGTTTGCCCAATCCTCGAGCCCAGTGTTCACCAACGCTCACGACACCCATATCCTCCCTGTAGTGAACATCGCATCCTCACACAATACAGTACATTCTTTCCTTCCCTGTCCTCTCTCCCTCCTACCCAACAGCCTTAGCAACACGCATACGTACAAACGCACCCATAACCCTAACCGACCAGTAATAATGTCCGACCCGGCCCTGCCACACGACAAATACGCCGGTGGAGGCCGCAACCTCACCAACCCAACACCTCCCCCGGGCACGAAAACCTCCCTCGCCCCACACGAATACCCATCGCTCGACAAACCGGTAGATTCCAAGCTAAGCCTAGGAGGCCTGAAGCACTAGTGCCCTGGACCTTCTGTGGTAAGATTGGTGACGTGAGCCTTCATCTTATCGATATGGACTTCATATGCCGGCGCAGTCCGTAGGATACTTATTGGAAATCAGTTCTATGCATCTTAATACTCGACAGGTAGTACCACGTACATAGCTCTATAGAGTACGGCAGCTCCCTAGTATAGCGTTTATAGTATTACCGTTCTCTACGTACACGTGTATATATACCTCTATAGCGAACCACTATAGAGAACCCCTACGAACCTAGACTGTTACTACTCTATATAAGATAAAGATACCTCTCTAGTAAGCTAGGGTTACTATATTCCTTTTCTATTACTTAAGTATCTATAGGAGAGGTCTACGTTAGGAGAGGCCTCCCGAAGGACCTTACGAAAGGACCTAGGTATAGCGAGGAGCCGAGGCTATAGGTGTTTAATAGGCCTAAGACATAGTATATAGCGAGATACCTATAGATACGGTAGGAGGGGCCCTCTAAGAGTCTCGTAAGAGGACCTAGGTATAGTAGAGAGCGAGAGGTATAGGTATCTAATATACCTTAGACATAGTATATAGCGAGATACCCGTAGATAGCGTACGCCATATTAATACGGTAGGTGTAGAGAACGACAACGTTATCGTTAACGTTATAGTAGGGAGTTGCCGTATTCTAGGGGGCTTGCCTAGAGTTTGCGTAGGGCGGTGCTTACTAAGGACGAGTACAACGACTCGCCTATAGCCCTACGTAGACCATCCTCTTCGTGACTTCGACGTGATCAATAGACTTGCAGCGATGCTAAACGTCCTTTCGACGCGATTAGAAACATCCACGATGTTGCATGTAGCCAAGCCGGCAGAAATGCCAACGGCATCCAGGGCGAATCGTGGCGCGGTTTTGGTCGAGTAAAGCTCCGGCGACCATCTTCGGCCAGTGCTGGTCGTCAAAATGCTACACGTACCGGCAGTGGTAGAGGAAAATGTAAAAGTCGAAGAAGGCGTGCAGTATACAAGATCGAGCAGGGGGCTCACGTGCTAGCGAAACTTAATCGCGTCGCGGACGCGATAGGTGATGACATCACTCCAGGCAAGACGCTCAAAAGGCGCGCACTTTGCGACTCCGCGTAATGGATCTGTTTGATTTTCCGATCAATCAGTCGAACGCTTTGAGAATCGTCCATCTCTCGAAGAACACCCAGTATGGCCGGAACACGCAAATCAGCTCGCGTCGCTGAGCAGGGCCAGAGTGCAAGCCCACCATCAACGTCGAAGAAGGGAACGAAGCGCAAGGCTGGCGACGATGCTAGTCCCTCGAAGGCCAAGAAAGAGCAGAAGACTCTGGAAGAGACCGTCCAGTCTTCTGAGCCCGTCGGCGACGGTATTGAGGACGCGAAGATGAAGGAAGCCGAAGGCGAAACCAATGGCGAAGCCACAGAAGATCAGCCCCAAGAGAAAAATGCTCTTGAAGAGGTCAAAGCCGATGAGGGCGAAGCTGGAGCGACAAGCAAGCCGGAAGAGAGCAAGAACGCTGCCAATGGCGACGCTGCCAATGGCGACGCTGCCAATGGCGACGCTGAAGCAACCGCAGTCGAAGAAGACGAGGAGCGCGAGAAGGCTCAGCCATCTAACATCTTGGAGAAAGGCATCATCTACTTCTTCACTCGCGGCCGCGTCGGCACCGATGACCCGAACAGCGTTCAAGATATCCAGCGAAGTTTCTTCGTTCTTCGGCCTTTGCCAGCAGGTGCCAAGCTCACGGATGGAGCCATTCAGGATGTTGGAAATAACCGTCTCATTGCATTGCCCAAGAAGGTCTGGCCAAAGAGCGGCAGAGACAGGTTCATGGCATTCGTCGAGAAGAGCAAGACCAGTATGGATGAGCTCAAGGAGACGTTCTTCCAAGGATCGGACTACAGCACCAAGACGACTGGAACTCGACACACCCCAGAGGTGACACCGATTGGCGAAGGAGTTTATGCTCTGACCGCCAGCGGAGATGGGCAAACGACGACTCATCTGACCTACATGCTAACAATTCCCCAGGAGATTGGAGAGGTCCAAAAGGACATTGGCTTGGCTGAAAAGGGCAGCTTCATCCTGAGCACCAAGAATCCAGAAGGCTCAGCGCCATCGTACGCCTTGCCAGCGACTGCAGAATATCCAAAGGAGATCCTGGAAGAGTTCGGCAGCCGTGGGTGGTTGCCCACCAAGCCCGAGCACATCAACTACCAGAACGCGAGCTTCCTGCTCATTGGAGAAAGCATTGATTCCGGCTCGGCTCTAGAGCCTGCTACACAGGACCAGAAGAAGGAGGAGAAAGAGGTGCCCGAAGAGGAACTCATCAAGCTTGAGGAAGAGGATGAAGAGCGGATCAAGAACCTCAAAGGCGATAAGACCATCTTTGAGGATCTCGGCATCTCGTCGAAGGAGTATCCCAAGGTGAAGTCAACCTGGTAGATCTCTCAACCCACGGCATGAACGTGATTTTGCGTCCGCATACGCCGCGCTTGCGTACTGTTATTATTGGAATGTCCCGACAAATGGCGCACAGCACATACAGCAGGACGACTGCTCCACCAGGCGTGGAGACGGGCACAGACTTCGGTCAATGTACATTACGTAGCTAAAGCTGTGAAACGAGACAAGAGTTAGCGACGGACAAAGACGCGTCTGTCTTCTCAGTTCACTCTCCTGTTGTGGTTAACGTTTTGCGAATGCCAGCTCCCCTGAAAGCTCCAGTGAGGCAGAGTCTCGGCCCATTGTCAATAGTGAGCATCAATGACAAGTGTCCCTCGCAGATTGGCTTCGTTGTAGCGCCCAGTTGTTGAATCAAGAGAAAGATAGGCCGTGAAGATGCGTCACTGGCTAGGCTAGGTAGCGCTGAGATGGCCACGAATATGCGACCCAGGGGCGTGTCCCTGTCACGGGTCAGGTCCGTTGGGCTGAAACCAGGAGCTCAGTGGCGGTTGTCTCATGTTCTTTCCATGTGCTAGAGGTCGGCGCTTGATGGGCGCATAAAGAGAGAAAGAGAGAGATGAGAGGAGGAAGGCCGGTTGTTGCTGGCGAATCAGACGGCAGGCGTGGCTTTTCCGTCGCCGTCGGAAGGCGGGGCACGGGAAGCATTGTCGTCTCGCGCCGAAGGGGCTGCTTCGCTGCGTTTGAGTTGGTAGAGAACTGCACAACTCCAGTCTTTCAGGGCGCTTCTGAAACGAAGCGAGCAGTTCACGGCGCTGACACCAATTGAGACTTTTTTGCACGGCGCGGAAGTCTGCTGTTGTCGCTCCTTCCATTTTAGCGGTTGGGAACCCAAGGCACATCCCGCTCCCGTACCTACATCAACCTACCCACCTGCGTACCACACTCGCGAGCTCTCGACCGCACACCACCCACCACTCATACCTCACCCTGCACCAAACATCTCCTCTCTGCTCAAGGTAAGTGATATTGCCTGCAGTGCCAGCGAGTGATAGCCCTGCATACACGAGCGTATTGCGGTTTGCGGGCACGCACAGTATCACTCGCTCTTGCCGTTCGAGAGCTCCTACTCCTGCCGTCCAGTTACTGACTTCGTTTCGACTTGTTCAGGACAACCATTCACCCATCTGCCCGCAACGCTTCCTGTCAATCAGGGCACGGTAACCACGGCGACGACAAAGAAGCTTGAACACCCAATTTGCCTGCTCTTGTTCGACCGCCACATTCGCCGACACAACGCACACGGAACAAACGAGGAGCTCGAAAAGAAGGTACGTGTCCAGGAACCGAAACAACGCCGCGCACGAGCAATCCAAATACCTTGCTCAATGCGGTTGATGCTGTACATGGGCAGCACGTGGTCGTGTGGAGCACATTCCAGTCCAGACGGCTGCGGCCGGCTGGCATTGTGCGCATTGAGCATCTTTGACGAAATCGGAAATCTGAAGCTAACTCTGTCGCCGCAGCAGGAACGACACTCTCCACCGAACACGACAAGCACTTCCGAACACTTGGCTCTGCTGCTCTTCCCATCCACCGGTACATCCGTCGCTCCTTCTTGACCAATTCCTTCGAGCAGCCTCGCACCTTCTCCTTTCGCGGCAGCTGGACCGCCTCGACTGAAGCAACAACTTCGAACAACACTTCGGCAGCAACGCCGTAGCCATGTCGCGGGGAGCGCCTCAGGGAGGCTCGCGCAAGATCTCCTTCAACGTGTCGGAGCAGTACGATATCCAGGATGTGGTCGGCGAGGGTGCATACGGTGTCGTCTGCTCCGCCTTGCACAAGCCCTCGGGCCAGAAAGTCGCCATCAAGAAGATCACGCCCTTCGACCACTCCATGTTCTGCCTGCGGACGCTGCGTGAGATGAAGCTCCTGCGCTACTTCAACCACGAGAACATCATCTCCATCCTCGACATCCAGAAGCCGCGCAACTACGAGGCCTTCACCGAGGTGTACCTCATTCAGGAGCTGATGGAGACGGACATGCACCGCGTCATTCGCACCCAGGAGCTCTCCGACGACCACTGCCAGTACTTCATCTACCAGACCTTGCGCGCCCTCAAGGCCATGCACTCGGCCAACGTCCTCCACCGCGACCTCAAGCCGTCGAACCTTCTGCTCAACGCTAACTGCGATCTGAAAGTTTGCGACTTCGGCCTCGCTCGCTCGGCAGCCAGCACGGAGGACAACCAGGGCTTCATGACCGAGTACGTGGCCACTCGGTGGTACCGCGCCCCAGAGATCATGTTGACTTTCAAGGAGTACACCAAGGCAATCGACGTGTGGTCAGTGGGATGTATTCTGGCAGAGATGCTGAGTGGCAAGCCGCTCTTCCCGGGCAAAGACTACCACCATCAGCTCACTCTTATCCTGGACGTGCTCGGCACGCCAACCATGGAGGACTACTACGGGATCAAGTCGCGTCGTGCGAGAGAGTACATTCGGAGTCTCCCATTCAAGAAGAAGATTCCGTGGAAGGCGATGTTCCCCAAGACATCCGACTTGGCGCTTGACTTGCTCGAGCGACTGCTCGCCTTCAACCCGGTGAAGCGTATCAGCGTGGAGGATGCGCTGAAGCACCCGTACCTGGAGCCCTACCACGACCCAGAAGATGAGCCCACGGCAGATCCGATCCCAGAGGAGTTTTTCGATTTCGACAAGAACAAGGACAACTTGTCCAAGGAGCAGCTGAAGCGTAAGGACTGACATTGCCCTTAGAGAAATTACGGGAGCTAATAACTATGTCCCAGGTCTGATTTACGAGGAGATTATGCGGTAACGTCAAGCCAAGGAACCACCCAACGACCATATTGTTTTCTTTTGTCATTTGCCCAAAAAAATCACAAACCAAAAAACTGTAATGTCCACACTACCCACCACGTCACCGGTACTAATATGTCTTGTCACAGCAACAAATCTTTCCCCGGATCTACTCCCGCCAAGTTCCCTCCCGGCCCTCCAAATCCCACTCCCAAGCGACACGACAGTACCCGACCATCTCCCCCTACTCCTTCGACCGGCACGCAGTCCAACGTGTCCAACGTCTCCTCCACGAGCGGCGAGATCCGCATCTCCCTCGACCCGGCCCTGCGCGACGCGTACGGCCCGTACACTTGCTAGGAAAGCGAGGACGCGGCAGAGCAGCATGCTGGCGAGAAGGAAGAGCAAAAGGCCGCCGACACGCCGTGGTATACGACGTGTTATCGCTGGCTTTCGCGTTGAAAATGCTCACTAATCGAAAACTTCCTCGTCTTGCTTGGGGAGCTCTGCTCTGTTGTGTCCGCTGCGGATGGATGGATCATCACACTTTTTTGAACTCCCTTCAACTTCTTCTTCTACCACCACCACCTGCTTTTTTTGGGGGGCGGGGCGGAGGGTGTGTTTGTTTCTTTTTGGCTTGACTTGATTATACTGTGGGGGGGCGGACGGGCAGGACGATGGAAGAAGGGCTTTAGACGATGAGACAGACAGAGAGACATGAATGCATTGCAAAAGGGCGCATCTGGGTTGAAACGGAGGACAGACGACTGCCGTTTCTGCCGTCCATAGTGCGCGGGCGTGTGCATGAAGACGCTATGGAGTGCGCTGCCTGCGCTGAGTTTAGAGACTCGAGTGCTTCAATATGAATATAGATTACAAACCCTACGGGCAGCTCCCTAGCATAACGTTTACAACGTTATCGCTCCCTATACCCACCGTATTAATATCGCGTATCTAAGGGTATCTCTCTCGCTCTATCGTACGGGATAGGGATTTTCCTACGCCCTCTACTCTCCGCTATACCTAGATTCTCCTACGAGATTCTCTCTCTCTCTCTTCGGGGGGCCTCTCCTACTACGGGCCCCCCGCCTCCTAGGTTTACTTTAGCTAATAGAAAAGAAATAGAGTAATCCTATCTCGCTAGTAAGGTAGCTTTAATTTTATGTCCTACGGGTAGTAATAGTATAGATTTATAGGGTTCTTAACTATAGCTAGCTATGTACATACGGTGGACGTAGAGAACGGTAACGTTACTAACGTTATGCTAGGGAGCTGCCCGTAGGGTTTGTGAATATGAATGAGTTAAAAGGTTTCAGAAAATCACTTTGGCGCCACATTCAGTATTTCATCTTCTACATTTAAACCTCTCCATTCTGTGCAACACATACATACGGTAGCTTTTGGTCGTTCTTCGCCTGTCTATATAGGGCCAGCTGGGCAGCAACAGCGGTGCAACATCTAGAAACTCTTCCCGCATCAACAAATCAAGCAGCAGCAGCAGTCGCAACCTGTCGCTCGAGACGACAGACAGAACAAGACGCCCCATGTGTGTGGTGTATCATGCAATTCCTTCCCAAAAGTCCCCTCTGCTCCTTCCCAAATGCTCTCTCGGCTCTTCCTCTCTACTTCTTCATCACGGACGGACGCTCAACATCGGTCACGACAGTACGAGACGGCGGCGGCAGATTTTCGGACATCTCCTAGTTCTGCACGACCTTCTGATCGCCGTCCTTGGGCCGCACGGGAATGCCGTTGCTGTTGATCTTGTGGCGGTTGAAGACCTGGGCGCCGTCCACCAGTCTTCGCTCGACGTTGGCACGGGTGTTGACGAAGTCGGGGTAGTTGAGGGTCAGCTCCGCGGCACCGTTGACAATGTGGTCGGCGGCTTCCACACCCAGCATGAATGAGTGGTCCTGGTTGCCGACCTCGTACCTCCAGCTGCCGAAGCGGCCACGGGAGTAGATGTCGAGGTCCTGGAGCTTGGGCAGGAGCTGCTTGAGCACACCCTCACGCTCGAGAGTCGGTGTGGGGTAGCCGTGCTCGAAAGCGCGGTGGTAGGTGGAGACGATCTCGTCGGTTGGCTTGAGCATCTCGGTGTTCACGAGGCCCTGAATACAGTCCTTGAGCATGTTGGCGCGGTCGACTGGCTTCATGCTGGACTCGGAGACTTCCAACATGATGCTCCAGTATGGACCCTCCTTCTCCTCGCTGCTGGCTGGCTTGCTGCCGTCTGCGAGCTGCATGGTCTTGAGCTTCTTGGAGGCCTCGGGCTGGTTGTGTGGCGAGTAGTTGGAGAAGATGGTGGCGCGGTAGAAGGGGCAGTTGTCCTCTGGGAAGTACAGCCAGCACTTGTCGCCAATGCGCTCTGGGCGCTCACCACGGATCCCCACACCAATGACATGGGTGGTGCTGTAGAACAGACCCTTGCTGAGCTTGATGAGCTGCTCATCCTTCATGGCCTCGACGAGGTGGTCGACGGCCATGGTGGAGACGAGCTTCTGGTAGTTGACGGTGGTGCCGTCACCGAGGAGGACACGTCGGTTCTCGGCGTCCACGAGCTGAACCTCGCCGTGCTTGCCGAATCGAGTCTTGTCCTTTGGCAAGGTGTTGGCGACGCTGATCCAGATGTTACCAGTACCGCCATGGGCTGGGAAACGGAAGGTAGCGTTGGGACCCCAGTTACCGGCGGTCTTGTTGAGGATCACGTTGGTGGTGACCTTCTTGAGATCGGGAGCAGCCACACGCTCGCCGAGCCATGCGCACTGCATCTGTCGCGTGCTGTCAGTGCTTGTCCTGCAACATTGGTCTCGTGCTCTTGTCTCACCTTGGTCGTTGGCACCGCCCAGACCTTGTAGTTGTACGGTCTCATGAAGATGTTGGCGAGACCCTCGCCGTTGTTCCGCAGAATCCACTCGTCAAAGTCCCTTGGCTTTGTGCTCGCCACTCTTGCCTCCAGGGCTGCATCGATCATGCCCTCGATGCAGGTGACCTGATCGTCCTTTGGCAGCATGGAGATGTTGTTCTGGAAGGGGTATGGGACCCAGTTGCCCTTGTAGCGAACGTAGGAGATGCGTTGGTGGTGGTACCAGTCGGACTCCTTGGGCAGAGCCTCGTCGATGCAGTCGTCGAAGTACTTGTAGTGGGAGAAGATGACGTGTCCGCCGACATCGTAGAGCTGGCAGATTGTCAGTGTGCTGTCGACTCTTCACTCTACACTGAAGAGGTGGAGACTCACGAAACCCTCTGGAGTGACATCTGTCGAGGCGAGACCTCCTGGGATCTCGTTGTCTGTGGATCTCAGCAATTGCCCGCATGTCTGGCGATTCGCAGCTCTACTCACTGTCGACGATCATCCATGAAGGGCCGTCCTGATTCTGTCAGCGATGTGGTGTAGGGTTCGATGGTATGGTGGGCAGGGCGTACAATCTGGTTGAGGCGCTTCGCAGCACCGAGACCTGTGGGGCCAGCGCCGATGACAAGAACATCGACGTTGATCTCCTGGCCATTGGCCTTGCTGATCTGCCTCTTGTGACCGGAAGCCATGGCGTGTGATGGTGGTGGTGGTGGTGGTGGTGGTGGTGGTGGTGGAAGCGAGGGCGGTGGTGTTGTAATGTGCGCAGGAGAGAAAGGAGGGAGGATGAAATAGCAGTGATAGTGGTGAGTGGGAGTGCAGTGGTAATCGAGGCGGGCGGTCAACACACAGACACTACCTAGTACTTCTCTCTACGCCGGACAAAAATCGTCCAGGGTCAGGGTGCACGGACGGCAGGCAGCCCACCAGGCCACATGCAGCTCGAATGGTTCATCAATATTTGATTACCTTCTCTAGTGTTCAATTTGCGCTGCGTGTGCGGCGAACCTGAGACGCTCCACCCTCCACGCTCCACGCCCCACACACACACACACACACACACACCTTCCATCAACCCTTTCCTTTCCTTTCCTTTCCTTTCCTTTCCTTTCCAATCCCTTTCCTTTAGCTACTTTATTACTGTGCCTAGGTTCCGGCAAATATTTCAATGCTCTCCGATCATCATGCGTGATGCAGTGCAATGATTGCTCCCCCATCAAATGACGGCGGCATCGTGCGTCGGCCTGTGACAGCTCCCGTCGACTGGGGAGCTTCGGTGCGCGTGTTTCAGCGACCCAATGACATCGTCGTCGCCGGCCATGAATCCAGGAGAAATCTAGGACTCTCCACGTCACAACGTCGGCTGCATTGGGGGAAGTCGCTGAGGCAAGACCCCTTCCCAGCTGGCGATCCGCATCACATCCTCACACGCACACGCACAGTGCAGTGCAGTGCACGCTGTCCTGCCGCCGCTCGTCTCAGGAGACTGCCAGTGATGAGTGGCGCATCATTATTATTCGCCGCACCATCTCAGGCACCCCCTTGGTGTCCTCTTGCCCTTCCCCTTCACGCTTCAGCTGCTGCAGTACGCGTACGTGGCGGAGTGCTGCAGCGAGCAACGGCTGTGCGCCAGACGTTCATCGTGATTCGACCTCCAAGGCGTAGTCAGTGTCGGATGAATCAAATCCATCGATGCCCTCCGCCTTATCAGGTTGCGTGTAGAGTAGACGGCAACGACGGGAGGCATTGTCATTGTCATCACCGCAGTCAATCCGGTGTCATGGAATGTAACTCCTGGGATGAGAAGAGAGTAGTGCACGTGTGCCGTGTGTGGAGCGGGATAAGGTAGAGGCTGAGATGGCGACTGCATCGCCGAATGCAAGGAGCGCAGATGTGCTCTACCTTATTCTTCCCACCCCTACACGCAACGCACAGTGCATGGAGAGTAGCCCCGAAGCTTAACGAACCGTACCTGCACTCGCACTCGCACCCGCGCCCGCGCACGCCTGGCTGGCTGGCTGCCCTACTTCACACTTCTCTTCCCTTCCAGTTATACCTTACATCTCACTCTCGCCACGACTCCTCTCCCGCCCACCAACAACACGTTGCCCGACTCACTGTCGCTGCCTCTCCTTTCCGCCCGTCTAATTGCATCTCTCGCTGCTGTTCCTACGCCAGAAGAAGCTCAGGCCCCTCCCCCAGACGACGCGCAATTAGCAACACACTTCCAGCTCGCAGAACCATCCCAATCCACCCCCTCGCCTCCACCCACGACTGCAGAAATATACACAATGAATGAGAAGGAGCGACAGTCGGGTGAGCAGGAGCGCAAGGCCTCTTCCGAGCCCGTCCTGCCCACCGTCAACCCGGCGACGGAGAAGCCAGAGCCTCCCAAGGCCAGCTTACACCCGGCCTTCTACATCGCGACCTGGATATCCCTCTCTTCCAGCTTGATCATCTTCAACAAATGGATCCTCGATACCGCCAAGTTCCACTACCCCATCATCCTGACCACATACCATCTGGCCTTTGCAACCGTCATGACCCAGATCCTGGCCCGCACCACCACCATGCTCGATGGTCGCAAGAAGGTCCCAATGACTGGGAGAGTCTACCTGAGAGCCATCATGCCAATCGGCCTCATGTTCTCGCTCTCCCTCATCTGCGGTAACTTGACCTACCTCTACCTCTCCGTCTCCTTCATCCAGATGCTCAAGGTAAGTTCTAGCAAGGGATAGAACCGCGCACTAGCTCACTCCATACAGGCGACCACGCCCGTCGCTGTCTTGCTCGCATCCTGGACCTTTGGAGTCTCGCAGTTCTCCCTCAAGACTCTTGGTAATGTCTCCTTCATCGTCATTGGTGTCATGATCGCATCCTACGGCGAGATCAAGTTCGTCATGATCGGCTTCCTCTTCCAGCTTGGAGGTATCGTGTTTGAAGCCATCCGTCTGGTCATGGTCCAGCGCTTGCTCTCCAGTGCCGAGTTCAAGATGGATCCGCTCGTCTCGCTCTACTACTTTGCGCCAGCCTGCGCCATCATGAACGGCGCGGTCGCATTGTTCGTGGAAGTGCCCAAGATGACTCTCCAGGACGTCGCGAATGTCGGCTACGGCATCTTGTTCGTCAACGGTGCTATTGCCTTCCTCCTGAACGTCTCGGTCGTTTTCTTGGTAAGCCCAGAACACAATGATACCTCTGGTGAAAACCTCTAACTTAGTCTCCACAGATCGGCAAGACCTCCTCCCTCGTCATGACCCTCTCCGGTGTACTCAAAGATATCCTCCTCGTCCTCGCCTCGATGGCCATTTTCCGCGACCCCGTCTCTCCTCTTCAATTCTTCGGCTACGGCATTGCCCTTGCAGGACTTGTCTACTACAAGTTGGGCGGTGATAAGATGAAGGAGCACATCGGACAAGCACAGATGGCATGGTCCGACTACGGCGTCCGACATCCCGCCCTCAGGAAGCTCATCGTCTTCGGACTCGTGCTCTTCACACTGTTCCTGCTTCTGGGCGGAATCTCGACCAGCGGATACGTCCCGCCTCAGTACAACCCGAGCAAGATCGCAGCCGATCAGTACAGCCAATGGGCTAACAAGATGAACAACTCATAAACGAGCTGGGCCAAAAGTTGGAGAGTTTGGATAGACATTGTTATGGTTGGGCAGGACAAGCTGAGGACAACGGACGAGTGAACGCGCACAGTACACGATTGCGCCGAGGAGAGTGGTCGCGAATTTCATACTAGAGGGGTGAGCGGTTGTTTGAAGAGATACCAAATCATTATACGGCGTATTCTGCGGAGAGCGCCCTTGTCGTGGCCAAAAGGTTGGCTCCCTCGTTCTGAGGCATCTGTACGCATAGTGAGAGCATTGAGCTAGCGAGGCGAGGCGAAGTCGTATGGACAAGAACAAGAACACGAAAACAAGCACGACCGACAAGAGCTTCGTCCAACGATGAACAATGAATATCCTTGTTCCATTTCATTTCATTTCATTCCATTTCATTGCATTGCATTGCATTTCATTTCATCCGCATACACTCCAGAAAAACCTCTCTCCTCCCCTTACTCCCCCCTCCTCTATCATCCTCCTCCACAATCCCCCCCACAACCTCACTCATCCTCTCCACCTCCACCATCCCCTCCCCATGCGCAAACTTCCACCCCTCTGCCACTTCCAACCGCACCTGGAACGCCTGCCAATTCAACGCTTTCAGTCCCTGCACGTGTTCCCGTACTTCCTCTGCGGCGCCGGAGTAGATTAGAACGCCGGGGTAGCCGGGTTTTGTGATTCCGGAGATGGACGATGAGGAGGATGGTGATGGTGGGGGGGAGAGACATTGTTTTCGCTTCGTCGTGTTGAGGAGGTGGTGCAGGTAGATTATTGTTGTGAGTTTTTTAGAATCCTGCTTCTCTTCTGCCTTCTGCTTCTTCTTCTTCTTCTTCTTCTTCTTCTGCGAATTACTCGATGATGACGATGATGACTCTCCTCGCATTTCTATTTTCGTTTCTGTTTCTGTTGCTGTTTCTGTTCCTGTCTCTGTTTCGTCGCTTTCTTCTTCTTCTTCCTCCTCCTCCTCTTCTTCTAATAACGACGACAAAACCTCCTCGAAAATCAAAACCACCGAATCCAAAATCTCCACTCCGCGCGGCAAAGCCTCCGAATCCGTACGCCTCTGGAATCGAGCGCGGAGATCTTGATCTTGCTGCTTGCTTTTCGTCTTGCTATTACTACTATCATTCCTCGTCGCGGAGAGGATTTCCGGTAATGAATTGTCGTCATCCTCCGGGTAGGAATCCGGGATGCGTAATCGAAAAGAATTCCCGTTTTCCGTGGTATATTTAAACTCTCTGGTTGTGCGGTCAAAGTGGATTTGGGAGTCGGGATACATGGATTCTAAGAGTTGGAGTTCGGTGGTGAGGCGGTTTTCTTTTTCTTCGGGGGAGGAGGGGGTCGTCATTTTTTGTTTCTTGCTTGTTGATTTTTGAAGGTGTGTTTGTTGTAGTCGTGAGTCGGAGCCTTTGTGCACTTGTCGTACATGTAATTCTTGTGAGGCGAGAGATGAAGTCACGAGCGAAGACGCACAGACCAGACACACTTTGAAAAGGGAAGTTTTGACGTCAAGTATGTGAGTAGTGGGAAATGTGAGTGAATGCAAGTTTGAAGTCGAATATTACATGTACAGTCACAGAAGATGGCGCTATCGAGTGTCAACCACCCACCTCATGGATGCGGCTGTACCGGCTGTTCTACCAGAGATTCCTATGTCAAAACGACTAGCAGATCCGTGTAGGACTGTCCCCTCCGAGTTGCAGGCCAAGTGAGACTGCAGGCCCGGCGGAATAGGTTGCAATGTGCCGTCGAACGTTGTGTAGCAATCAAGTGTTGCGACTGTCCATGGCGTTTTTGCTATTGCTTCCTTGCTCCTGAGATGAGATTTTATACCGCTCGCAGGGCTGTGGTCTGCGTCGCTTCCCAGTTTCTCGTGACGGCGAAGAGCGTATGACCCATCCAGCGCCATATCGCCCACTCTATTGGACCAGTTGTAGGTGCAGGGGAGCTCTGCCTCGACTGCCGCAAGCTCATCTACACCTGTGGAGATGCGGTCGGCCAATTTGCAGTAGCGACCAAGTAGATGGCTTGCATGTTATTGTCTGCACACATCGCCCGCTGCATCATCTTGGCGGATAGCATAGCAGGCTCTGGTTCGCCCAGAGACGGCGCATCGTGATGTATCAAGGAGTAGAGATATCGCACACGCTTCCTCTACTCTCCTTCAGCTCCCATCCCCATTCTTACTTGGCTGATCACTTCTCAACCTTTTATCCTGGGCCGCCTCCCTGATCTTCTCCTCCGCCTCCTCATCATAAAATTCCACATCTCCCTCCGCCCCAAGTCTCCCCTTCCTCAGCTTCTCTCCATGTTGCCTGGCAATCTCCTCCAACGTAACCTTCCCATCTCCAAAGATCTTCAGATTATCCGAGATCAAATGCCGTCCTTTGCATTTCGGACATTCGATGAGGCAGGTACCGAAATGGTAGGCTTGCTTGCTGATCGTGTGCCCGCTTCGTTCGAGGCACTTCTTGCAGGTGAACCAGAGCTGGTACGCGGGCGAGAGCGCTTTCCGTGCCGCGATCTCGTCGGCGCTTTCTTGCGACGTTGGTTGCCGGTCGGTGAGCGGGCGATCTTCCTCCTCTGGCTGTGAGGTCGATTGATAGCGAACTGTTACCAGCGAAGGATGTTGCTTGCGGAAAGGCGCAATGTGGACGGACCGCGCATGGGGCGCTCGCGTGGTATTCTGGAATCTGAACGCTTGCTCGAATGTGCGCTGGAAAGCGCGTAGGCCTCTCGCGGTATTCATGTTGTGTTACTTGGGTAGAAGTTGAGGTGAATCGATGGAATGTTCGAGGATACCAAAACGTGGTGACTAAGCTGTCATCCGCCTGAGTCACGTGTAGACGCTGAGCATAAACTCTACCAACAACCACCCCTTGTCAAAAGATTATGCGAAGGTGTGCAAAAACTTCAATGGCCATAGGGGAAAAAAGCTTTCGAGCCACGGATTGAGAACTGCGCCACTCTCGATCGTTCTGTCTTGTCGTCGCCCAGAACCGAGTTGAGTTTATATGGACCGAAAAAAGAAAGGGTGTGAACAGATCGTCCGAAAAAGGAAATCGAGAGCGGGGAGCTCTCGACCAATCGGATGCATCAGTCGGGAATCGAACCCGAGGCTCGTGCACGTTGAGTCCGATCAGGACTAGTGGCAAGCACGAATTTTACCACTAAACCACTGATGCTGAACCAGATCGTTCTGATTGGTTAATCACGCTTCCAGCCTCCGACAATATATACCTCACATTTCCCGCATCACACATCGGGATCATTGCCTCGGACACGTCGTGGTATAGTACAGTGCCTGCTCAACTTGGCACGGAGAGACGCATGCGGAATATTATCATCGCTTGTCACGAACTCAAAGGCCTCCGCTGAGCAATTGACTGATATTCTCCGGAGGAAGCATTCTGTCACAAGCGTCCTGGTACGTAGCGGACTGCACGACCATGCAGCATTAATAGGTGCAGAGCGAGCCCATGTACTCGACAAAGGTTCGGTATATTGAGAAGAATGTAGAGTCGTAGCAATCTTTAGAAGCCTCTATCTTACGCAAACGTCTATTCCAGACCATATCGAAGCACAAAAGTCGGGCCAGGACAAACCACCACACCACGCATCATCGCACATTTAGACCTGTGTCCCACCCTTCTCCTTTGAAACCCCTCTTGCCACTCCTCGACTCCTCAGACTTGAAATCCACGCCTTTCCCGATGAAATCTTCCGATCCAGCCCACTCAGATTCTCCACCCAATGCGCTTCCTGATACGTCCTCGAAAGCCAGAGCAACGCAGCCGTGAAACCTCCCACAATCACAAGCGTAACCACACAGACCCAGATTGAGGGAATCGGGTCGCTGATCTCCCTGACGTTCATCCCGAATATACTCGTCACGAGCGAGAGTGGCAGGTACACGGTTGCGAGTTGGGTAAGCAGAGCGCTTCGACGGGCTTCCTTGATGCTGGTCTGGGAGTCGAGGACTGAGATGGAAGACATGAGTAGTTGGAAAGTATCCATCAAAAAGCGCTCGAGGTTACCGGATTCCTCGTAGACACCTTCCAAGGCGGCTTTCGGTGAGCGCGAGCGCGTGTCGTGTAGGTCTTCGGAGAACTGTTCCAGCTCCGGCGAGATCCAGGTCTTCGTCTTCGACACTTCACTGCGGAGATGATCCAAATCCCGCCGCCGATTGTGCAGAATGTCGTTGATCCTAACACTCGGTCGTCGCACGTCTTTGAAGGCAATGGATTTGATGTCCCGGTCGAGGAAGCGGAGATTGATCACCCACATGCGGGTCGCGAGGAAGTAGGAGAATGCAACATAATCGATCGCATGATCACCAGCAAACATTCCCTTCAGCGACCATCCGAGGGAGAAGGCTGTTCGTAACGATTCAAAGGTGGAAAAGTAGGCTTTCTTCTCGAAGGTTTGAGGGATGCAGAGCCCAGATCGGTTCTGGCTGTATGGAACGCGAAGGCCGATGAGTGGTAGGTTCTCTGAAGCCTCTAGCATGAATGGCGCGTCGACAAGAAAGAGGTCTAGGCCAGCAAATCAGTTGGCTGGTTTAAGACGTATCACGACTTCGACGTTCCAACGACGATTGGCGCCCCCGTACAGATGGGCCGAAGAATGCTGCTTGCTGTGAGAAGGTGCGGAAGATGGAAAGACGTACAGGAATGATTTGACACCCGGCAATAGGATATCTTGGTGTTGATCTGTTCTCCATATTTCTCGCCGCCGTGTTGAGAGAGTCGCTGAATTCGGTTGCTGCTGGTGTAATCCCGGCCAGTATGCCTGAGCATCCCTTCGATGAAGTAATGTTGACGGCCAATCTGTACATCTGAACCGCGACGAGACAATCCTACCCACACCACGGACGATATCCACGCTTCTTCTCTAGCCTGCGGTCCCATGACGGCGTTCCAGAGATCTCCTCCTGTGTTGGAATTGAACGCATGCTGCAGGAAGAAGTCTTGTTCGATGTTCCATGCCTGGATGTAAAACTCAGAAGTGAAGAGATGTCTGTGTGATCTCCCTCGACTCACCACACCCAAAGTACCAACCCACTCCGGGCTGATGTTCTCAACGACACAGATGGACCGCCTGCCGGTTGCTTCGTCTTCTTCGTGCTGTCTCAAGACGGCACCAAGATCGGGATTCTGCAAGTCCAGTCCAAGATAGAAGACTCTCTGTTGGAAGCCGTGGTTGCTTTCGCAAAATGAAGACTGAGTGGTTTTGCTGTGCTTGATGAGTCTGCAAATGTACTCCTCTTCAGCCCTTTGCAGGAGCATCGTCTCGAATCCAACGCTTGCCGTACGAATTTGGGACTGGGATCTGTGAATTTGGTTGTAGACAGAAAAGTTGGGAGTCTCCTACAGTGATGAAGTGAAAGCTAGTGCACTTTTCATGGACTCAACTTGCGTCTTATAATCGAGCCAGGCATCCGAGGGCGAGAGGGCGGCTGAGGGCTTGAGCAGGAAGGAACGATGAGCCATCGCCAGAAGGCTACGACTTCTTTTCAGATGATCAAGCATGCTTGGCATTGTCACGCAGTGCGCCGCTTCGTGCGACTTGATGACTTGTTCTCTGCCTGGTGTCCTGCCGCTGGCTACAGATAGACTCGGCCGGTCGACCAGCTTATCACCATCTCAGGTAACCGTGCGGAGCACAGATCTCCAATGTTTCAGCAGGACACTGTACCTATGGTCAGTTCTAACAGGCAGCGGTCAGATTCCACATTCTGCCCATGGATGGCAGTTGTCGGTAGGCCCGAGGATCCAGTTGAGATCATGTGCCTGGCTCCGCAGGAGTCGATCCCATTTGATATCGGCAAGTGTGTCTAGATCTGCCTTGCAGGCAGCTTAATTTCTACGACCCTCTGCGATCGGTCGCCACCTACTGGATCCTCAGATATGAACGCATGCGGCGATGGTCGAGGCCTCTTCACCGGCTGTCTGGCCACGAGTGAAGGTCGTGCCGCACAGCGGCAGCGTGCGATCTTTTTTTTCTTCGGCCGATTGTCTTCACATCCGGGTGCTGAAGACCAGGCAAGCAATAGGTTCAATACCTCGGAGAAAAGAGCCTGTGCTTCGGTTCGTAGGTTGTCTTCGCAATAGCAGATTCTCCCACACTGCGCATTCCTCTCCCGTCCGCTTTTGGCATTTGCCTCGCAAACATTGACACGTCGCCGCAACGTCCGTGGACTCACAGGAACAATTACAAGTGCACCGGGGATGTTGCTGCATTACAAGATGCCGCCTACCGTCGATGGTGTTGCATGATGAAGTTTGGATGCAACAAACGCACTCCGCACTCCCTGTGATGTATGTTCCAGGGTAGCTTTGTGACCCGTTGCTGCCGAAGATCAGCCGAAATGTGGGATGCACTTCCCAAAGCCGGAGCGCTTTCAACTTCGGAGCAGCGCCACATATCTCGACCGCGACACCTCTTTCGCACCGGCATTTGATTCCTTTTGCGGCCGCGGAGCCATGTGAGACGCTTTCAACATCTTACCTGTTCAGCTCGACCTCTCCTGCACCTCCGCGCCGCTCCTTACATCCGCCAAAACCAACCTTGAACTCCCCCTCCAAGCTCTAGGCGTAGTATCCGTGAAATTCGGAGGGAGACAAAGAGTCTCGTCGATATGGCCTCGCTCGCCGGCAGAGGCCGCGCGAAGATACGACCGCCGCGAAGAGTATGTCCTACCCCATCCATCCGTGAAGCACAATCACGTCGCTGCGTCAGAACCAGGTCTCGCGGGTTTGTCACATGTAAAGCCAGCGGCCTACTCAGCAGACACTCCAAACTACAGACACTGACATGGCACCCAAATAGGGCCTCAACGGCTCCGATGTCGACTTTAACACCACCTGGAAAGTCCTCGAATGCGCATTCGGCGAGATTCACACAAAGAACGCATCAGCGCTATCCTTCGAGGAGCTCTACCGGAATGCATACAAGATTGTGCTGAACAAGAAGGGCGACGAACTGTACGCCAAGGTGGCACAGTTTGAGGAGCAATGGCTTGGAGATACCGTGCGAAATCAGATCGTGAAGCTGCTCTCCGCCCCTCTGCTCATGCCCTCAGGCCTGAGCCGGTCACTGGCGAATGCATCGGAGCGACGAGCGGAAGGAGAACGCTTCCTCAGGTCGCTCAAGCAAGCATGGGAAGACCATCAGATCTGCATGGGCATGCTTACAGATGTGCTCATGTATATGGTAAGCAAATAGCAGAACTCGAGTTGCCAATTGATGTGACTGATTGAAGGAAAAGGACCGCGTCTACTGCACAGACACTCGCCAGCCCTCGATCTATACCAAATCAATGTTCCTTTTCCGCGACCAGATCCTCCGAACCGCAGTACGCCAAAACCAACCGGACCTGCTCGAAATTGTCACTCGAATCATCCTCGACCAGATTTCCATGGACCGAGACGGCGAGGCAATTGACAAATTCCTCATCAAAGCAGTCATCTACATGCTTGAAGGGCTACACGAGACGGATCAAGAAGTTGAGGAAGAGAAGCTCTACCTGCGAGTATTTGAAGAGCAATTCTTGGAGCAGAGTCGGCAGTTCTACCAACAAGAAGGCGAGCGTCTGCTCAAGGAGTCGGACGCGGGCACATATTGTCATCATGCGAAGCGAAGGATCGACGAGGAATCGGATCGGTGTAGATCGACCCTCTCGGAGACTACGGCGCCGAAGATCCAGAAGGTGGTAGAAGACGAACTGATTCGGCACAAGATGAAGGGCCTGATTGACATGGACAGTGGCGTGCTCTACATGGTCGAAAACGATAAGTTTAACGAGCTTCATCTTGTGTTTGACCTGGAGGCGCGTGTGGACCAACAGAAGCCAGAGTTGACTCGCGCTCTGCAGCAGATCATCGCAGACATGGGAGCGAAGATCAATGATGCGGCCGTCACTGCTTCACAAGCCCCCGCTGTACCGCCTACTGCTGCGGAAGGTGGAGAAGATGAAGCAGACAAGTCTAAGGGCACTTCGGCTAAGCAAATCAACCAGCAGACTCAGGCTGCACTCGTCTGGGTGCGGGAAATCTTGGAGCTTAAGGATCGCTTCGACAAGATCTGGACAGTCTCTTTTGGGAAAGACCAGGCCATCCACACTGCGTTGACACGCAGCATGTCTGACAACATCAACCAATTCAGCCGCGGCAGTGAGTACATCTCGCTGTTCATCGACGAGAACATGAAGAAGGGTATCAAAGATAAGACGGACAAGGAGATCGACGAGACATTGGAGAAGGCCATCGTTCTTCTGCGATACCTGCAGGACAAGGATATGTTTGAAACCTACTACAAGAAGCACCTCTGCAAGCGGCTGCTGCTCAAGAAGAGCCAGAGCGAGGACGTCGAGAAGCAGATGATTGCGAGAATGAAGATGGAGCTTGGCAATAGCTTCACGCTCAAGCTTGAGGCCATGTTCAAGGACATGTCGCTAAGTCGAGATCTCACCACCGCCTACAAGGAGCATGTCGCCGGTCTTGGGGATCGGGACATCAAGCGCGTCGAGCTCAGCGTCAACGTGCTTACATCCATGACTTGGCCGTTGGAGGCTTTTCGCGGCTCATCAGAGGAAGATCCTGAGAACAAGATCCAGATCATCTTTCCCGCTGCACTGGAACGCATCAAGACCGGCTTCGAGCGCTTTTACTCTGACAAGCACTCTGGTCGCAAGTTGGCTTGGCAGACGAGCATGGGAGAGTGCGACATCAAAGCCAGATTCCCCAAGTCGACGAGGGTACACGAGATCAGCTGCTCCACCTACGCCGCCATCGTCCTCTTGCTCTTCAACGACCTCGCTCCCGGCCAAAAGCTCTCTCTGGAGGAAATACAAGTCCGGACCAACATTCCAATGAGTGCTCTTACGCGGAACTTGCAGTCACTGGCTGTTGCACCTAAGACCCGTCTGTTGGTCAAGCAACCCATGAGCAGGGAGGTCAACCCGGGCGACGTCTTTTCTTACAACGAGGATTTCCAACCCAAGGCCATCAAGTTCAAGGTCGGCGTGGTCTCTAGTGGCAACAAAGTCGAGGGAGACAAGGAGCGCAAGGAGACGGAAAAGCGCAACAACGAGAGTCGCGGTTACGTCGTCGAGGCTGCAATCGTGCGTATAATGAAGTCGCGACAGAAGCTTCCTCACGCACAGCTCCTCAGCGAGGCGGTCTCAGTGCTCAATTCGCAGTTCAAGCCGGATGTCAACATGATCAAGAAGCGAATCGAGAGCTTGATCGAGCGTGAGTATCTGGAGCGGATAGAGAACGCACCGGTCCCTTCTTACAAGTACCTGGCTTGAGGTACTAGGAATGCATTACTATGGCGTCTGGGCTTGTTTCAAGAGGGCGGCTTGATGTGATACGGAATTGAAAGCCATTTGCATGAGCATAGACCGGCGAACAGGGTACGGTTGAATGGGAAGCGCGGCGCTCAGGTTTTGGCGTGTCTTAGTCGAAGAGCTGGTGGTTGGGTTGGAGTTTATGGGCAGACTTGGTGATAGATCTGCCCCGAAAGCGTAAAAGTTTCTTGCGCCAGTATCACTTGATGGTTATAAGGACGCGCAGATACCCCAATTGAATTGTATCCACAAAATCTATCGCATGAAGTTGTATCTCGGCCACATGCACACGACGGCTGGAAGCGAGAGGTGATGTCAGTCAAACGGCCTTTTGCAGACCTCTGACCAGCTTTTCCTGATTGGCTGTGGTGACTTCACTTCTTCTTTCTCCTTACACAGCATCGATACAATAAACAGAGTGAACGGCTCATGCCTCGAAATTGCTGATCATTCAAGGTAGACACCATTCCAATAAATGAGGATGGCCTTCGCCACACAGACACGCTCTCCAGAGCACCTGCGAGGACTCGTGGACATGGGAAGCAATGGAATTCGCTTCTCCATCTCAGACTTACAACCACCCACGCAACGGATCATGCCCACGATCTATCAACATCGAGTCGGGATTTCCCTGTACGATGCGCAGTATTCCGCTTCCGGAGAGAAAATTCCCATTGAGGAAAAGACGATTTCCGACGTGATATCAGCTTTCAAGGGATTCCAGAGAACATGCAGAGATTTTGGAGTTCCGGAGGGGAACGTCAATGTCCTTGCTACGGAAGCCACGAGGACGGCGGTGAATTCTGAAGAGTTCCGAGGGAGGATTCAGGAGGCTGTGGGATGGGAGGTGGAGATGTTGACGAAGGAAGAAGAAGGGAGGGTGGGTGCCATGGGGGTTGCGAGTTCGTTGCCGGAAGTCTCCGGGTTGGTGATGGATCTTGGAGGAGGGAGTACGCAGCTCTCGTGGCTTGTGCGGGAGGGCAATCAGGTTTTGATGCCGGAGGCGGGAGCTGTTAGTATGCCGTATGGGGCTGCCGCGCTGTCGAGAAGGCTTGTGGAGGCGGAGCAGGGGGGTGGCTCAGGCTTGAAGAGGTTAGGAGAGGAGATTGACGGCGCTGTTCGGAGCGCCTATAAGGCGTTGAAGGTTCCGGAGGAGATGGAGAGAGATGCGGAAGAGCAGGGTGGGCTTACGCTGTATCTTTCCGGTGGCGGGTTCAGAGGCTGGGGTTATATGCTCATGAGCCAGCACAAGGTTTCGCCTTACCCCATTCCGGTGATCAACGGGTTCAAAGTCTCGAGGAAGCAGTTCTTGAGTACTGACCAGGTCAAGGCCGCGGCGAAGGAAGCCTTGGAGGACGGCGACGAGAAGGATTTGTTCCGAATCTCGAATCGCCGAGCGGGCCAAGTTCCCGCGGTCTCATTTCTGATCAACGTACTGGCGGAGGCTCTGCCATTTATCAAGGAGGTACGTTTCTGTCAAGGTGGCGTCAGAGAGGGCTACCTCTTCTCTACCCTGCCCTCTAAGATCAAAGCCGAATTTGCTCTTGTGGTGGCAACGCAGCCCGTAGCTCCACCGTCCTCGGCTCTATTACTCAAGCTTCTGGCGTCAACATTGCCAGAGGGCTCGACCAAAGATGCTCAGGACGACTACAAGAGTGTCTTCACACCAGAGCGCCTCGAAGCTTTCATAAACCTCATCTACTACCACGGAAGCCACTCCAAAGACCTCCAAGCGACGGCTGCATTACGAAGCACCACATCCGGGATCCTAGCAGGAGTCCACGGTGTTCTTCATGAAGCTCGCGCTCTCATCGCTCTTTTGCTCTGTGCTCGCTGGGGCGGCGGTATCCCTCCCAGCGACGAACCCTTCAAAAGACACCTGGAACAGCTCATTGAACGCCCCTGGACGCTTTGGTGGATCAACTATGCCGGAGCCGTTGCTTCTCTCATTGCTAGTATCTATCCTGCCGGCGTCATACCGGATGGAAAACAGAGGTTGAACCTGAACGCGAAGTGGGGAATAGATGAGAAGCAGAGGTCTGTGCTGCAATTGACGGCGGAAATTGCGGGAGATGTGGATGGCGAGGTGCTTGGGATGGAATTGAGAGAGATTGAAAAAGTTGGAAAGAGGAAGAGGTGGATCGGAGGTAGGGATGGGATTGGACATCGTGTCAATGTGGAGGTTAAGAGGGCTGGTGCGTAGATGGCGCCAACGATCCGAGCTCTGAGTACAGAGCGCGCGTCGGATCGGCCAACATCTTCAACTTGTTGCGGCCCGGGTTTCTCGACACACTGGAAGCAATGGACAACATGGATTCTTCGAGCACCACTCTACCGAGGATGAGCAACGCCAATAGTCAAGTCCAAGAGCGGATCGAATCAGGCAGTAAACCAGTACGACCAATGTCCAACTGCAAATCAATGGGAATGGCTGAAGCCAAAGGTCTTGTTGAGCACACTCCCTTTCCACCAAAAGAGTTTCCTGAGCGTCGTTCTTTGATAAAAAAAAAAGGTTGGAGACCATCGACAAAGATGCTCGAGATGGATTGTCCGACCCACCATCGGAGCTGAACAACAGAGTATATAAGTACATCGAATAGACAGGCGGCTCTACCACAAGCAACTCGATGATTCTGCTGTCTAATAAGCAGGTCTATCACGAAGCGACACAGATCCTTTACGATGATGATCAATTTGTCGTCCAGGTGCATCATGACGAGTTACGCGGTCGTGGCAAAAGATGCGGCACTTACGCTCTCTTGTCCACTTGTGCGGACTTAAGGCATCTGCAACGGCCCTCATTCTTGCATAGCCATGGAAAGAGACGCACGTTCGGGGAAAGGGAGATCACACCGAGAGCTTAGAAGGCAAATTAGGGACAGGGGAAAAATCCCTCGCAACAAGTCCAGTAAATGATCGATTGTCGTCTCTTGAATTTAAGGGTAGTCTGAAGGTACCGGAAGTTGCTAAACTAGCGTGAGAATCGTTGTCATGTGAAAGTGTGGTTGTTGAATGGATGAAGTCGCGGAGGCAAACCCAGCGGCGAAACTTCGGGTGAACAGCCACGCCCCACTGACGTATCCCAAGGGAAACAGCTGTTTGACGCGCATGCTGCCCAAGGCTGCCAAATTGTTTCTCACTCTCAAATCAGACACGTCGTCTTCTTTGGTTATCGCTTACCCCAATCATCAAGCAAGCACACCTCCATCCGAAGCGTATCTCTCTGCCAGGATGAACGTGCTGAAGTTGCAAAAGGTAAGCGCAGCGAGCCCGGATCATAGCGCATGTTTGACTGACATGTGCTTTAGAAATACCCGCAGTTCCCTCAGTCGGAAATCTACGGCCTCAGCGATGCCTTTCGGAAACTCGACGTCGACGACAAGGGATATGTCGACGAGGCTACGGCGATCAAGGCCGTCCAGAACACCGAACGCCAGCCCTACGATGTGGTCCGACAGGCATTGAAGGAGGTGGAACTGGACAGTTCGAGGAGAGTCGAGTTGGACGACTATGTGGATCTGATCTCACGTTTGAGAGAGAGTAGTCCGGCGCAACAGCGCTCGCGCGGCTTCAGCAATGCTCCGAAGCCTCAGGATGGCGCAGCGGCTCCAGCAGGACATATGCGCCAAATCAGCACCGGAGGCGGCACACCTCAGAAGGCGGGCAGGATCACAGTCGGAGGTGCGACAGGTAGCTCGCAGCACACTATCAACGAAGATGAGCGGACTGCCTTCACCTCCCACATCAATGCCGTGTTGGCCGGCGACGCGGACATTGGCCATCGCCTGCCCTTCCCGCTTGACACCTTCGAGATGTTTGATTCTTGCAGAGACGGACTCGTGCTGGCGAAGCTCATCAACGACAGCGTACCGGACACCATCGACGAGCGTATTCTGAATAGAGAGGGAGGCAAGATCAAGAAGCTGAACGCTTTCCACATGACGGAGAACAACAACATGGTCATTGAGTCCGCAAAGGGTATTGGCTGTTCAGTGGTCAACATCGGCTCTGGAGATATCATTGAAGTCCGGGAGCATCTTGTTCTCGGTCTGATCTGGCAGATCATTCGGCGTGGATTGCTGGGCAAGATTGACATCAAACTGCATCCCGAGCTGTACCGATTGCTGGAGGACGGCGAAACACTGGAGCAATTCCTCCGGTTGCCGCCCGAGCAGATCCTTCTGCGATGGTTCAACTACCACCTCAAGAATGCTGGCTGGCACCGACGAGTCCAGAACTTCTCCAACGATGTTAAAGATGCCGAAAACTACACCGTCCTCCTCAACCAGCTCGCGCCCAACGTCTGCTCGCGCTCTCCTCTCCAAACGCAAGATCTGTTGCAGCGCGCAGAGCAAGTCCTGCAAAACTCAGATCGGCTCGACCCGCCATGCCGCAAGTTCTTGACTTCCAAGTCGCTCACCGCCGGAAACCCCAAGCTCAACCTCGCCTTCGTCGCGAACCTGTTCAACAACCACCCAGGACTCGACCCCATTACGGAAGAGGAGAAGCAAGAGATCGAAGACTTCGATGCAGAAGGCGAGCGCGAGGCGCGTGTGTTCACGCTATGGCTCAACTCGATGAACGTGCAGCCCACCGTGAATTCCTTCTTCGACGACCTCAAGGATGGTATCGTCCTCATACAAGCCTACGACAAGGTCATCCCAGGCAGCGTGAACTGGCGACATGTAAACAAGCCACCAGCGAACGCCGTGACTCCCGCGAGTCAAGATCCTGATGAGGCATACCTTACGATCAAGTCTGGAATGTCACGCTTCAAGGTAAGTTTGCTATACACAGGGAATGCCTATCTTGAGGCTTCAGCTCCCTTGCGATGCTTGAGTGCAGTGCTTGTACCCACTGACTTTCGATATAGGCTGTGGAAAACACAAACTATGCCGTGGAGATTGGCAAGCAGAACCGCTTCTCGCTCGTCGGAATCCAGGGAGCCGACATCACGGATGGCCAGAGGACACTTACCCTCGGGATGGTGTGGCAACTGATGCGAAAGCACATCACCAACACTCTGTCGGCACTGGCGCAACGGCTCGGCAAGCGCGAAATCAGCGATGCGGACATGGTGCAATGGGCCAACAACACGGTCAAGAAGGGCGGCCGGTCCAGTGCGGTCCGCAGTTTCAAAGACCAGCAGATCGCATCCGGGGTGTTCTTGCTCGATGTGCTGAACGGCATGAAGAGCTCCTACGTCGATTATGATCTCGTCGCCTCCGGCCGCACGGACGAGGAAGCGTATGCGAACGCGAAGCTTGCCATTTCCATTGCGCGCAAGATGGGTGCTACCATCTGGCTTGTCCCGGAGGACATTACGAGTCTGAGGACGAGGTTGATTGTGACGTTTATTGGTTCGTTGATGGCGACCGCGGAGCAGCTCGGATCATGAAGAGCAGAGCAGGTCGAGATGAAAAGGAAAAGGAGCATGAGGCGTGTGTGGCGCTGCATAGGAGGAATGCTGAAAGATGCGAGGCGAGCAAGGAATGGAAATGGAAATGGAAATGCGAAGTATGAGAGGTATGAGAATCCAAAAAGTCAACGATGAAAATTAAACAAATGCGTGATAAAACCCCCTCGCTCTTCTCTCGCGTGACGAAGGGAAGCGACCTTTGAGTTGCGATGCAAGCAACAGGCTTCGTCTCTAATAAACGAGGAACGTGTGAATATCAAGGGCTGCAGTAGAACTGACCCGATCGCCGGATGGAGAAGCTTCATCATCGTCCGTCGTCGTTGTGCGCCGAGTACGAACTGCAGTATTGCACGGGAAATCTGCATCGAACCTCGCACCGTGCGTGTCGAGCAAGCGCACATTATTATTGTCGTGCGTTAGGTGGATGGATGTCTTCGCCCCAGAGCCAGACCAAAACGTCTATAACATGATTGGGGCAAAAGTCGGGTGCTCCAGGATTGAATGCATTTGTCGAACATGCGAGTTTCGAATTGGATTCATATCCATCAATCACGATGCGCCTCCTCTGGGGGGAGAGAGACCAGATTTTCGTAGCGTAGCGTTTGAACGAGCGTCGTAAGCTATAATGGTAAGGAATGGAGCACGAGGGACGCTCGTCGGCTGTTGTTACGTTTCCGATTCTTCTGCACTGCACACTGCGCTCGTACAGGCTGCTCATGGAGGCAGGCTCCAGACAGATCTCGATTCCGGAGCATTTCTTTGCAGAAAGATCCCGATACTATTGGCTGGGATACTATGAGGGCTAGGCTATACTATATCGCGGCTGCCCGTCCAGCGAGCGCGCCCAAGCGTGACCGGTTTCTGTACGAAGCAGGAAAGGTCCCCGGAGCTTGCGAGGGAGGGAGATCCGGGTAGGCAGGGGGAAGAGGATGATTCTTGCTGCCGAGGGCGCCAAACCTGGGGAATTTTGGAGAGGATCTAGGAGTTATAAGTTGTTCGTCGCCAAAATGGAGAACTGTCCGGAGCCTCCTACAGTCTGCTGGTTCTTGTTCTTGCCGCAGCGGAGTCGAAGGGTATCAACATGTGAGATTTCTATTCGTTCGTTGGAGCAGGCCGATAGAAAGAGGTCCAGAACGTGCTTGCAGAGGAAGCCGGCAGGTTAGTATATTCTCCCAGCATACACAATCTCGATTAGGACAGGTCACAAGGGTTAGGCATGGCATTTTAGACAAATCTGGGATGGCATGGTCAGACTATGAGGTCGCTTGTGGGTATCGGTCCTTGGATTGTTCTTCTCGACAAGAGATCATCGTGGACGCAATTTTGGGTTATCGGCCAATCAATAGGCTGGTCAGGCGTCTACTCTTCTGGCATTCGTAGCCGTGAATAAGCTGTATCCGAGGAGAGGGCGACTGAAAGTGGAGGCGTTTCCCGAGACTTGGCCGGCGAATTGTTCCGTACAGGCCTTGGAGGGCGGGGCCCCCTGCGTTGCGATGGAACCAGTATATCGGTACAGAGGCTCGTGGGACGTGCAAACTGGTGATCAGTGTGCAATACGAAAAGCGGATGGATGCACAGATGGAGCACAAAGGTGGAAGGTGAAGGTGGTGCCTCGATGCGGGTTCCACAAGATGCACGTGGGAGTCCCTTGGATAGGGTTTTCCGTTGAGCGCCTCCTCTCCACATCTCATTTCGGCTGAAGACACTGCGTCTGCTCCTTGTCCGCAGGACTCCCGCAAGAGGGGAAGAAGATGCACGAGGCGAGGCGAGGCGAGGCGAGTCCGAGGCCGCGTCAAGGCGGCAAGTTGTGTGTCGGCGAAAGGATCCCAGACGTCAGTTGGATATCGGCCGCAGACGGGCAGAGACAGGCGGCAGGATGCAGACTCCCAGAAGACAAGACAAGACAAGACAAGACAAGCTGGGCGCGACGAGGAGATTGCTCCGCTGCTAGGAGCCGAGCGAGCACAGCCAACAACGTCTAACGGTCTCCCACCCAACGTCTGATGAGCGGCAGATCAAGCGACCGAAGAGAGCAGCCATGGAGAGATGAAGCTGATTTGCGGGCGCAGGGATCAGCTTCTCGTCGCCAGTTCCTGGCCTTCATCAGGTTCTGGCCAATGGCAGGGATCCATCCGGTCGCAGTCGGTGTGTGGTGTGTGGTGTGTGGTGTGTGACAGTGTCGTCGCAGGCGAGCGGGCGGTGGTGTGTCGTGTGTCGCGGTGCTGGCGACGATTATTATTGCCCCTTTTTTTTTTCCAGGCCAGGCGTGTGCCGTGTGAGAGTCGGCGTCGGGTGGAGGATGGACGATAAGGTACTGTATACAGTCACAGTCTGTGCACATGTGGGTTGGCAGCGGGTACCTTGCATAGCGCCCGGACGGCACAGGCCATCCCGGTAGCGAGACCCCGTGATTGGGCGTTTGGTTCGATCAAGAGCCGCTCCTTCCTGGCAAGACCGTCGTTGCCTGTCCGATAAAAAGGGCTTCGTTTGTCCAGCATCTGCCTGTTCGCTCCTTCCCACGCACGCAACGCAACGCATTACTCTCCTTCCTTCTTCAGCAGACATCTTTCTCACCACGATCCACTCGATCGCATTCACTCGTTCACCACCAACGCTGCTGCAACCAACATCCAACGCACCTTCCTTCTCCCCTTCCACCACCAACCGCTTTCATCCCATACCTTATCATCAACCAAGATGCGTTCCTTCGCCGTCGTCGCCGTTGCTGGCTTTGCCGCCCTCGCCCACGCTGGCTCCAACGACACCTACGTGACTGAGGTCGTCACTCAGCTCACCACCTACTGCCCAGAGGCCACCCAGCTCACCCACAACGGACAGACCTACACCATCACCGAGGCCACCACGCTGACCATCACCAACTGCCCTTGCACCGTCACCAAGCCAGTCTACTCCTCGGTCGTCACCGCCTGCTCCACCTGGTATCTTCTCCCACACACACTCTCACTGCATTCACATCCACTAACATGAGTTTCAGCTCCTCCAGCTCTGCTGTCCCAACTACTGCTCCAGCTGCTCCAGCCTACTCGGCCCCCTCGAGCAGCGCCCCAGTGGCTCCAGTCTCCTCGGCCCCCTCCAGCAGCGCTCCAGTTGCTCCAGCCTACTCAGCCCCATCCAGCAGCGCTCCAGTGGCTCCAGTCTCCTCGGCCCCCTCCAGCAGCGCTCCAGTTGCTCCAGCCTACTCGGCCCCAGCCAGCAGCGCTTCCGTCGGCGTTCCTTACCCATCCTCCAACGGCACCACCCCAGTCTCTCCAGTCGGCACTGCCCCAGCTGGCTCTTCCCCTGCCGCCTCTGGCTCACCCTCCAGCACTGCCCCGATCCCCAGCTACACCGGTGCCGCCAGCAAGGTCTCGCTCGGCGCTGCTGGTGTCCTCGCCGCTCTCGGTTTCGTTGCCGCCCTCTAAGCCAATCTCTACGATGGACAGCAGAGCTCTACGACATGCAACTCGCAGCAGCAGGACGGTCTTGACAAGATCTCTTGGAGCATCCAAACCCTTTTTACGGCTACGCGACACGACGACAAAGCGACTTCTTTCCCCACTTCTTGATGTAATTTCGACAACCCGGGCATGAAGGCTGCTTGCACTTGTTTTTATTGAAGAGAACAACCTGTAATGACATGGCTGGAAAGGAGTACAGTCTGGTCTGGTCTGGTCTGGTACAGTCACAAAACCAATCTTGGCATGGCACTCTTTCCCTGACGCGGTGTTTTTTTTTTATCGGCTTCTGTCAAGAACCCCTTCGGCGTCTTCTGAGAGGCGTAGCATTAGAGATACCCATTGAGAATGCTATGGCTTGTAATGTATTTAACGCGCGCCGCTGGAAGCACGAAGTTTTTTAACCGACATCCTTTTTTCACTTTTTTCACGACTCATCCGCGTCTCAAATCGTCGTTCATCGTCGTTCATCATCGTTTGGAAGGCGAACGACAGGTCTGTGGGTGGGTGATGTTCCACGTGCACCACCCAGCCAGCCCCCTTGCAGGGTCGTTCCCGGCATTTCGATAGCTCTCGTCTCGTCTGTGCGACGATGGTGCTGTCAGACGTGGGACGTATCAGCCATGCGAGGTACACAGGAGATATATCTCGCGTGAAGCCACAAAGGCACATGGTGCATGGGCGCCAGCAACGCCTGTGTCTGTGTGTGTGTGTGTGTGTGTGTGTGTGTGTGTGTGTGTGTGTGTGTGTGTGTGCATTACACATATGAGAATCACAAGTAGTGAGGGTGAGTGAGGAGTAGGAATCCATTAATAACTGTGCTCAGCTAAGTTCTCGAAAAAGCTCGAGCTCGCTGTTGCCCCTCTTCTTCTTCTTCTTCTTCTTCTTCTGATTCATTCAACTGTCGTCAAGATCTGTCTCTGTTATACTCCTCCTGCTACTTGCGGAAGAATGCATCTCTTCTCTTCACATAATAAGGACCCCTTGAAACCCCCTTTCCCCAAGAATCCTAGAAATCCTCTTGTTGGGTACTGTTCGATCCCTTTCCCTTCCTTTGCCCTTCCTCCTAACGCCAACAAAAAAACGACGCAAACCCCCTTTCAACATTCAATTCTCCGGAATAAACATCAAATCCGGTTCTCGCCTCCAGCTTCCCCTTAATGATGAGGACGACGACAATAACGACGATTTTGATGATTTCGACGGTGATGAAGATGCCGGAGAAGAGGAGGCATTATTCTCCTCCCGAATGCGCTCCGCAATAAACGCGTGCTTCCACTTGCGTTTGGCGGCGATTTTGCGCGCGGGGATGTCGTCGCGCGCGGGGTCGTCGAAAGCGAGATAGCGCGTCGCGACGGATGTGGAGGCCTGCTCGGGCAGCGGGAGGGTGTAGGCGAGGGTAAAGGGGGCGGCGCAGAGGGAGCCGACTAGCAGGAGGAGGCCTTTGGCTGTTGCGGCGGACATGTTGTCGTTGAGGTGGAGGAGTTGCGACGCAGGAGTGGGAGAGGGTTGTTGATGTTGATGTTGATGTGGTGGTTGTGGAAGTGGGAATGGAAAGCGGTGATTGTGGTGGTGGTGTTCCGCACTACGACGGCGATGAAGTATTCGAGGTTGGAATTGTAGAGCGTGATTGTTGCTGGTTCTTGTGGTTGTTGTTGGGATGGTTGAACCATTGCTTTTGCTTTGATGCGAGTGTAGAGAGAGAGAGAGAGAGAGACAGACAGGACGGAGGAGATGTTTGGATTTCTTATATATCCATTCTTTACCTTTGTTTCTATCATGTTGTTGTCTGATCCATTGGGAATTGCCGCCCCGCGTCGTCTCACGAGGTGGCAGCATCATGAGAGTGCTGGGGAAAGGTGTGGTGTGATCGCGAGAGCAGAACCACAGGAAACGCGGAGAATTGGTGGGAAGAGTCGGTCGGCTCCGACGGGGGCCGGCGCGGTGCGAACCTTTTTGCTCCTTCCCTCCTTCCCGCTTTCTGTTTCTTGGCCTGGGGGAATAATGGTCTCGCCACCTCTGCTACCAAATCTCACAGTCACTGTCGTAGGTTGCCTTCCTTCATGTCTCGAGTGCCGTTGCTCTCTGATGAGAGTTGAGATTCCTGCCGCCGGAAGAAGGTTGATGCGCCGCCGAGACGATGCGGTATTCTCTTCAACTCAGCGTTGCTTCCATCCATCACTTTCCTTGCCGAAGACGAGGAGATCGTATCGCCCATCCACTCGATAATCCAGGCATTCAGTATACAGACATGGCCAGCCAGAACAGGATGTCGGAGAACTCTTCACACTACACCTCACCTCGAGCCTGTATTTATTACCGATGCGAGCAAGCTGCGATGTCATTCTGATAGAATGAGCTGGGCGCCCAAGAAGTGAATCGTGCGACAGGGCTGTGGCTACAGTCTATCTAGGCCACCGAGGACATCGAAGCGCAGTGCCTCAACATTGGCCGTCGACTGGTGTTCGATTACTTATCTTGAACTCTCGACTCCTCGTGCTCCAGGCCGAGAACGTTTCAGGAGGGCGGGAGTATACTGCTGCAGCCAATCGACGCTCTGCCGTACGCCTTTCCGCCCCGGCGGTATCAAAGACCCTTCCCATACGATGCCGCATACGTCAATGATCAACAGCTTCTCGAGTCGCTTCTGGCAACGCGACGAATCGAGGGAAACTTCTGTTAGGCTACAGAGTTTCTCGCCGCGCCTCAGGCCTTCCGAGCAGGCACCGCTCTTTCACGTCCTTCGTCTGTAACGCCGAGGCACTTCTGCTTGAGAGACGCTAGACTTGTTCTGTCTGTTTGGATAGCAGCGCTCCTCGGTCTAACAGCCTTTTGGTGGCAGAAATATGGCTGCCTTCGGCGCCTGACCTTCACACGCTTCGGCATGTCGCGAGCGGCAGATGCCACCGAGAGGTCATCTCCTGTGGCAAAGGGATAAGTACTTAGATCTTCCTCAATACACCCCACGCTCCGACCACACTCTATCACAACTGCAATCGACCCTCTGAAGTACGATCGCAACCATGGGTGTGCAATACAACCCTCAAGAGTCGATGAAGTCGACATGGCGGACAGGCGACAGGAAAGAATGGACCCGTCACCACTGGACGATGGAGAAGTTCAATCTCCACCCGACGGACCTTGACAGGCCTGTTCCTGTCCACCAGAAGACCGACAAGGTGCCTTACCTTCCTACACTGCAATGCCATGTCTGGGTGCTTGCCCATGCCGTTTGGCCTATGCTACTTCACCAAGCCTACGCATCTCTTTCCGGCAGGAACCTTCCTTGGTATGCGACCTTCATCCTCTACACGCTCGCCTTCAAGATAAACGCAGTCCACGAACTGCACATGCTCCGCAATCTTGGAATGAGATATGGCTTTCTCGACGGCGACAAACATGAGCGCGACCAAGTGCCCGACGCAACCGTTGCGAAGACCTTCCGTGCTCTTACGAACACCTCGACCTTCCGACCTCTTATGGCCGTCATCCTGGCCTACCGCAGCGCCGATCTGCCGTCTTCTACCAGTTGGTGGCTCCCAGTCGAGCTCGGTCTCTATGGCATCGTTCTCGATTTCTGGTTCTATTGGTACCACCGCTGCATGCACGAATTCGACGGTCTCTGGAAATACCACCGCACCCACCACTTGACCAAGCATCCTACTCCACTCCTCACCATCTACGCCGACGTCGAGCAAGAGATCTTCGACATTGCTGTAATTCCTCTTATGACCTGGCTTACGCTCAAAGCCATGGGCTTCCCCATGGGCTTCTACGACTGGTGGATCTGCCATCAGTACATCGTCTTCACCGAGTTGTTCGGACACTCTGGCGTGCGTCTCCTCACGTATCCTCCTTCCACAAACAGCTTGTTCTTGCGGCTCTTTGATGCGGAGTTGATCACGGAGGACCACGACCTGCATCACCGCAAGGGATACCGGAAGAGTCATAACTATGGCAAGCAGACCCTCCTCTGGGACCGCGTGTTTGGCACTGTTCACGAGCGGATTGAAAGTACGCCAGAGAACATCGACTATGAGAATCCTGCCACGCTTGAGTTCTTTCCGATTATCGCGGATTGGTTGTTGGTTACTGAGAAGGCGAAGGCCACGTGAAGGAGAAGAGATGTATTATGGAATTGGATACATTGGAGCTGGCTCAGTGTCGGAGCCTCTAGAAGCCGTGCTTGGTAGCTTGGGAACGCGACCGGGGACGCTGTGACACCCCGTGCCTCTTCACCAGAGGTTTGGAGGTGTAGAGCGATGGCTCCTCAATGTCTCATCACGTCTCATGACTCGACGGGTTGTTGGAGACGTGATGAGTAGTCCGCTGAGCGCCGACGCTACATTGTGGATAGTTTCCTAGATGTTAGATACCCCAAATGTACATTTATAACACGAGAATCTTGTCAATACTCATGTTATCCTTGTTGCTTAAAATACACACTTCATACTTTCATCTACATTATTCAACGCCTTTCACCATCATTCAGCTTCTACCTCACATTCAAAGGCAGCCAGAACGCGACCTGCAATTTGTACCTACGCGGATTCTAGTCCCCACGTTATTGTCACGCTCGCACGTGAGCTGCAGGGGTCCGGAAGCACCCTCATTGACAGCTGTTGATCTTTGGGAAATTTCACAGCTTCGCATGCCGCATTTCTCTTCAGAGATTCACCTCGCTTTTGTCGTGATTGGTCTCTAGAGGATCTCGAGACCTCTCTTCCACCCTTGCCCTTGTCCCCGAAGCCCGTGACCAGGAGCGGAGCTCGGGACACCCGGACGGAATCGTAGATCAGCTTGATCACCAATGTCCTTCAGCATTTCTAGTCCGGCTTCTTCACCATGGGACACTCCAGCAAATGAGCAACCGCGACCACAGAACAAGCGCATCAACTCCCAGTGGCGACCGGCCGTAGCTCCTTCGCCATATCAACAGGCTGCGCTCACTAGCGGTACTCCAGCACCAGCAGCTCGAGACCCCGGCAGCTACTTTCCACCTCAACCCTCTCCACAACCTCCCACCATGAGTTACGGCCAGCAGCCCGGAATGGGCCAGTACCCTCCGCAGTATGACGGGCAACAGGACGTCAGCGGGCTGACGCAGCAGATGGGTCAAATGGGCATGGACGGAGGTGCCGCTCAGTCAGGCCGAAGGAAGAAGGACAGACATGCGTACCATCAGATTGAGCAGCCTGCAGGAGGAGCACAGAGCTTTGGAGCACAACCCGCGGGCCAGTATATGAACGGACAAGCATCGACTGCACAGTCTGGTGCGGGCGTGGATCCCTCGCAGCAGGCTCCGTGGCATCAGACAACGCAGCCGTGGCAATCGCAACAACTGCCGCAACCCGCCAACAATCAGTTCCAGCCGCAGGCAGGCACGCCGATCAGTATGGGCGCCGGCGGACAGCAACAAGGTGCTCCTGCCGCAGGTGCACAGGGCCGCGTGAATCCGGATCAAATACCAAGCGTGCCTCTGAGTAGGGATCTGCCGACCGAATACTACAAGGCGCATATCTATCCCACAATGGAGCAGCGATTACCGCCGCCCTCTACGACTCCCTTCGTTGCGTACGACCAGGGGAATGCGTCGCCAAAGCATGCGCGACTGACATTGAACTGCATCCCGAATTCCCAGGAACAACTAGCCACGACTGGGCTCCCACTGGGTCTCGTAGTACAGCCTCTCGCGAAGCAGACTGAAGGCGAAGCTGCGATCCCTGTTCTGGACTTTGGCGAAGTGGGGCCGCCGCGTTGTAGGAGATGTAGAGCATATGTCAACCCATTCATGGTTTTCTCGAATGGCGGCAACAGAATGACCTGCAATCTGTGCGGTCACCCGAATGAAGTCGGCCCAGAGTACTTCGCCCCCACGGACCCTTCTGGGGTACGAGTGGATCGTCAAGAGCGTCCAGAGCTGATGCTCGGAACCTGTGAATTCCTGGTGCCCAAGGAGTACTGGTCGAAGGAGCCTGTGGGTATGCGCTATCTGTTCCTTATCGATGTGAGCGCAGAGGCATGCAATCGTGGGTTTTTGAAAGCCATGTGCGATGGCATTCTTGCCGCACTCTACGGCGATGACCTGGAGACCCCTGCAAAGGACGAGAGCGATACGCAGGCCAACGGCGAGGCGCCTCGCACGGCGACCAAAGTCCCTCCAGGCGCAAAAGTGGGGTTTGTTACTTTTGATCGCGAGATCCACTTCTACAACGTTTCGTCCGCGCTTTCAGCACCACAGGAGCTTGTTATGTCGGATCTCGAAGACCCGTTTACACCCATCTCTAACCAGCACCTCTTCGTGGACGCCGCCGAGAGCAAGTCTAATATCGTTACACTCCTGCGACAGATGCCGATGATGTTCGAGAGGATCAAGCAAGCAGAGCCCGCTCTCCTGCCGTCATTGACTGCAGCGCTCTCTGCACTATCGGACACGGGTGGCAAGGTCATGTGCAGTCTGGCGAGTCTTCCTACATACGGGCCTGGAAAGCTTGCCATGCGTGATAAAGGAATGCAAACTGCGTCCAACGACCACCCTGAACAGGAGAAAGTCCTCTTGGGAACCGAGAACCAAGGCTTCAAGAAAATCCAGGCTGACATGGTCAAGGCCGGCGTTGGAGTGGACTTCTTCCTGATGGCTCCAGCTGGCGGATACCTCGATATTGCCTCGATTGGCCTCGTTGCTGAGAAGACGGGTGGCGAGACGTTCTACTATCCCAATTGGGCATATCCTCGGGACACACTCAAGCTGGAGAAGGAACTTAGCCACACTGTCCAGAGAGACCAGGGTTATCAAGCTCTGATGAAGGTCCGCTGCAGCAATGGTCTGCAGATCTCACACTACAGCGGTAACTTCACACAACATACTTTCGGCGCCGACCTGGAGATGGGCAGCGTCACCCAAGACAGTGCCATGTCCGTGACTTTCTCATACGATGGTAAATTGGAACTTCGCAATGACGCCCATTTTCAGTCTGCTCTTCTATACACTACTGCGACTGGTCAGCGCCGAGTTCGATGCACAAACACCGTCGCAACTGTCACAGAGAATGCTCGCGACAGCATGCGGCTGGTCGATCAAGATGCCGTGGTCGCCATTCTCGCAAAGGGCGCGGCAGCAAGAGTACCACAACGGTCGCTGGCAGAGATGCGCCAGACGTTGCAGGACAAGAGCATTGATGTGCTTTCTGGATATCGAAAACATCACTCGGGATCGCACCCTCCCGGACAGCTCGTCATGCCAGAAAATCTCAAAGAGTTTGCTATGTATATGCTCGGTCTGATCAAGTCGAGAGCCCTGAAAGGTGGCAAGGAACCCAGCGATCGACGTATTCAGGAGCTGAGGGCGCTGAAGGCGATGGGTCCTGCCGAACTCAGCCTTTACCTTTACCCTCGAATCATCGCACTGCATACCTTGGAGCCCGATGAAGGCTTCGCCGACGAAAACGGTCACCTCAAAATGCCCCGTTCAATCAGGGCCAGCTACAGCAACATTGAAGAGGGTGGAGCGTACTTGATCGACAATGGACAGATACTGCTACTCTGGCTTCACCAGCAAGTCAGTCCCAACCTGCTTGAGGATCTGTTCGGACCGGACTTCAACGACCTGCAAAATCTGGATCCTAACTTGAACACATTGCCCGTTCTGGAGACGCTGCTAAACGCCCAAACCCGGAATATCCTCTTGTCTCTTGAGCAAGGCGCGGGAACTGGCAGAGGCTCGAAGGGCTTGTCTATTCAACTCGCGCGCCAAGGGCTGGATGGCGCGGAATTCGAGTTTGCGCGCTTGCTGTACGAGGACCGCAACGGGGAGGCGAGCAGCTACGTCGACTGGCTTGTCCAGCTTCACCGAGGCGTGAGCATGGATGTGGGTCCATCGTAGTCTTGTCAACACGAGAACATGTCGCTAATCACGAGTTGCAGATGAGCGGTCAGCGATCCAAAGCATCGTCGAATGATGTCTCGCATACGATCAGTGATACCATCACGACGATTGCGAGCAACGTGCCCTACTGGAGTTGATCCCTCTTTTGAATATTGAGAAACTCAGTGGCTGTGCTAAACGGAAGTAGGGTCGCGCAACCCCTCTAAGGTCTCAACCGATACCAAGCGTCGTGACTGTGAAGGGTCCAGGGGATCGAAAGTCAGATTCATCATGAAGATTCCGCCCTTTCCGAAGCCAACGCTGCGGTTGAGCAGTCCACTCGCGAAGGGTCTCCTTCGTGTACTACCGCCAGCCGCCGTTGTTGGGCGCGGCATCCTCGACGATGAAGAGGATCCTGTCAGTTTAGGAGACGATGTGACCGAAGAGATGATGGTGCCTTTGACTAGCATAGGGCGATATTCCATATGAGCTGTGAATTAGGCATGAGAATTGGAGAGAGCACATGGAAAGAATCGGGTTGGTTTGAAGCGAAGGCGCTGGGGGTTGAGAGAAGCTATTGAAAGTCACAGAGGCCGGGCTTCCCATCTATACATGAATAATAGAAGTGATGAGTATCGTTGTGCGGAACGGAGATTTTCAAGGGATAAGGGCGAAGGAATTGACTACTCTTTCTTCACTCCTTCATAGCATGTCGCGAAACGTTATCCATGTCACCAGACCCACGCCCCTGACCAAAGCCATCTTCTTCACCGACGACATTGGAAAGGGGGAATGCGCTGTGTCTGGAGTTATTAAGCAGGCGGTTTCGAGGTCAGAGATCTTTGAGTGGTATGTATGTATGGGGTTTTACCCATTACCGGAATGGGCGGCCCGGTATTTACGAAAAACAGAGTTAATGACACCGCGTGGATGTTCTTGTGCAGAAAGCGCTTTCCCGTGAAGGGCAATTCCGTGAGACTTGCACCGTCCATTATCCGAGCTGTGAGAGCGTGACAGCGCATCTCGTCCTCGCCCGAGCCGTTGGGATCTCTGCGGGCTCGCAGCTTGATGATGAATCAAGCCGGAATTCCAGCTGTACGGAGACTTTTCCCAACAGCGTTCATCCATCCATCCATCCTTTCTCGGCGTCCATCCCAGACCGCCACGGCGGCATCGTGAGTGCCGGCCTACCACATACGGAGGTTTGTGCCGAGTATATGTCTCGGTGACAGAGCGTAGGGATGGGGATGGGGATTCTTGTTTTCGATTATCTTTAGATGCGGCTTCTCTTCACCCGAGGGGGCGAGAGGTTTGGGGAGAGGGCGGACTGATGAGGTCTGATGAGACATGTGACGAGCGAGGAAAGACGAGGAGCACGAGGATTGTAATGTGCATTGTAATGTGCATTGTTATGTTGGTGCCGCGCTACGGGAGGTTTGCCCTCGGCCATGAACCGCCGAGCCGCCCGAGCACATGAAGACCTTTGATGGGCATTGCCATCAATATCCGGGAGGATTCGACCGGCGGTGTATCAAATAGACATGGGTGCCGAGCCATGATTTGATGACTGTGAGATCATCTTACCGCATACACCATGCTCGTAGCGGTCCCCTACCCGCCATAGGCGCTGCACACCAGCCAGGCCACGCTGCTCACGCGAGACATGACGGCAAAGCATGCCGATGGCGGAACTGCATGCCAATTCACGCAAATGGCGAGGTGGTTGATGGTGCCTCACATCAAAATCGCCGGTGCTCCCCGCCTCGCCTCGCCTCACAGCTTGACGGCCTCTGATCACTCCGTATCGCCATCCAAGGCTATCTCCATGGAAAGTGCATCATGTCTCGCGGTGATGGCTGGTATAGCTTCGCAGTGGCCGTCTTCGCTGCTCTGGGCACCTTCTTCTTCGGATTCGACACGGGTATCGTGAGTAGCCACGGGACACCATTCGAATGAATCTTGGCAGTGGAGATGAGGAGAAATTCGCTTACGGCTCTCAGGCAACGACGACCATCGCCCATCCCAGCTGGATCGCCTACATGAACCATCCCTCACATGGCCTCACCGGAGCGGTTGTGGCGGTCTACATCGCCGGCGAAGCCGTTGGCGCTCTGCTCCAGACTCTGGTCGGAGACAAGCTGGGTCGCATTCGCTTTATGCAGATCACGTGCGTAATCGTGACCATCGGCGTCACCATTCAGACTGCTGCCGTCAACATGGGCATGTTCCTCGCCGGACGTGTGCTTGCCGGAATCGCAGTGGGCGGCATGGTAGGTACGGTGCCGATCTACCTCAGCGAGATCTCTCCTCCTCACCGACGCGGTCTGATCGGAGGCATCTCGGGATGCGGTATCTCCTTTGGAACCATGGTATCCAACTGGGTCGGCTTCGCGTGTGGCTACGCCCCCTACGGCCCTGTGCAGTGGAGACTGCCCTTGGGCATTCAGATCCCTTGGGGCATTCTCCTCTTCTGTGGGCTGTGCACGTTCATGCCCGACTCCCCTCGTCAACTCATCCGAGGAGGCAAGATCGAGAAAGCTCGCGTCGAATTCGTCAAGATCCGCAGACATCTCCATTCTCACGTCGCACGGGAAGAATTCGCCCTGATGAGAGCACAGATTGAATATGAGCGAGAACGGGAAGTCAAGACTTTCGGACAGATGTTCAAGCTTTCCCGCCACCGCGTTCTCGCCTCGATCACGGTGGAGACCATGACGAGTCTGACCGGTGTCAATGTAATTCAGTATTACCAGACCATCCTCTACAAGAGCCTGGGCATTTCCTCGCACATGATCCTCGCCCTCTCCGCCGTCTACGGAACCATGGGTTTCCTCTCCAACGCCCTCACGACGAGATTCCTGATCGATCAATGGGGACGACGCAAGATGATCCTGACTGGTCTGGGTGGCGTCGTGCTGATTGAAATCTACGCCGCCGTCATGCAGCGGGAATTCCAGAACACGAACAACAGCGTCGGCAAGGGATTCGCCATCCTGGGCATCTATCTGTTCGTGGTCGTCTTCTACGGCATGCTAAACAGTACGACCTGGCTGTACGGCGCCGAGATCCTGCCGATGGCGTGGAGGAGTAAAGTCATGGGCTTAGCGGCTGCTGGGCATTTCATCGTCAATGTCGGTGGTAAGTATTCCTTCCCGTCTGGATTGGGAAGAGATGTCGAGCTGAGAGGATTCTGTGCAGTCACCGAAGCGGGACCCAGTGCTTTCGCCACGATTCATGAGAATTACTACTATGTCTTTGTCGGCTGTACTCTCTTCTTCTTCATCATCGCTTACTTCTACTTCCCGTGAGACCTCCCCCCAATATTTTTTCCCCTCGTGTCTCGAAACCTAGCTGACGCCTCTCTCTCTCTCTCTCAGCGAGACAAGACACAAGACCCTCGAGGAAATCGCCTCGGCGTTTGGCGATCAGGTCGTCACGCTCTCGGAGCGAGATCTGGACAAGGAGGAGAACAACCGAGTTTTCCAGGCAAAAGTATCGACTGAGGAGCGGGTGGAAAGGGCTCCTGAGGAGACGGATTAGTTTTTGAAGATGAGATCCAAGAATCAAGAGCAAGAATCAAGAGATTATCTTCTTTTTTTTTGGGACATGTATGATAGATAGCAGGAAGCTTAGATCAAGGCAGAAAACAATCACGACGTTTTTTTTTTCCTCCCCAAAGCTCTACGGAATTTTTCTCTGCGGCTGCTCTCTGTTTGTTTGTTTGTTTGTTGCCGGATTGGATTGGATTGGATTGGATGGGCAGACCGAGCGGCAAGACTAGGTACCTAGCCAGGTCACGGACAAGAATAGCTGATAAGGGCAGTAGACTACCTAGTAGTAGTAGATCCGCCAGGCCAGGCCCGGCGCATCGGGATTCGGGGCGGGCCATTTCGGCTGCCTCATAAGTGTCGGTTCTCTCGTAGCGTACGGGCATGCGACATCATCCATATCATTCTCACAACTATTCATTCATTCATTCATAAGAGTAGCATATCCCCACGGGTAGATCTGATAATATAGTAGGATCATGATAAAAGGCCCTCGGCGGTTGAGAAACCCCACGGCTTGTTCATTGGGTAGCGATGGTTTTTATGTCTTATTTGGGGTCTAGAGGTCGATTGATAGTAGGGAAGCGAAGAGAGAGGAGAGCTACTTTTCGCGTGTCGCTGAATTCTCGTTTCTGTCTTTTTGCGAGTTTGACTTTGAATTTTCGTACAACGGAAGAAGGGGATCGACATTTCTTTCCCATGTTATTACCCGGATGGACGAGACCCCTTCTTCTTTTTAGAGGGCTAGTAGCTACCTTAACATTTCCCTTATCCGGTCTGTGCGCGTGAATAGATAGGGAGGTTTTGTCTTTTGACTTGGGAGAGAACTTCTAGGCTTCTTTAACAAGAGACCTTTTTTCTCGACTCTTTTCTAAACCCCGCAGCGGACTTTTGCCTAGTTCTGCCTGATTGTGAGACTAGTTGTAAGACCAGCTCACTGAGACCTCTCAGGTCTGCTTTGCTTTTCAAAACTGCCAATATCGGGCCGGACGGCAGGAGCACTCACTCTGTTCTCATGGACAGTCGCCAAGTAGAAGTCGGGGTCGAGTCCGCCTTCTTCGCCCTTGGCTACGACTTGGCAACCACTCTCATCCAACCCAACAGCACGGAATCAACCATGCAGCTCCCAATCCTCTACATCCTCACTCTCATCTCCGCGGCCGCGGCAACCACCAAATTATCCGCCCACCAATGCAACGTCCAGCAACTGCACCAGTGCCAGGCCAAGGGCGCGTGGGGCTGCGTGAAGCACAACACGCATCGCTTCCGAGGCAAGATCTGCGTCCAGCAGACGACGGGATGTAACGATATTTGCGGAGATGGTTTCGCGTACCAGAAGTTCAGGTGAGTTTGTTTACTTTTGATGATGTGAGAGTTTTGAGTAGCATTTGGGACGAGGAATGTTGACGGCGGGGTGTAATGTTATAGGAGCAAGGAGGATGTTTGCGTTTGTACCGGGAAACAGGATGCCAGCCAGGCGAGTTGATGAGAGGTGTATAAGAAAGAAAAAAACGATTGACTTAGGGAGAGAGAGGGGATGTTATTAGCAAGATCGAGACAGTAGATCGACGCGTGTCAGAAGATAATGGCTTACGAGAGCGAACATTGAATGAATGGCAGCCAGCATGCATGCGGTGCGCCTTGAAGAGCAAATCGAATGGCAGCCAGCGTGACTGACCCGGTACGCCAACGGCACGACGAGGCCTCCGAGACGTTACACATACATACCCCTTTCCCTCCTCCTCCTCCCCGTCCTCCTCGAACCCAGAACATCGTCTTGTCCAACGACTCTCTCCAAGGAAGGGGTAACCATCCGGCCTTTTACCCAGATTCCATCTCCGCTGCCAGTTCCGCGGGGCATCTTCGTCCCCATCGAAGAGCGACCGCAGGGAAAGGTACTGTATGCACTGCTTCACTTTTGACTCGCAGCAGAACAGAGATCTGCACCAGACGCCGCTGAAACCCAAGACACGGACGGCGGTAGTCGACCGCGCTCGCTCTTGGAGGATCATGATGCCAGCCGTTCATGCGTTAATGTTGTCGATCTGTACCATACGCCGCTGCGGGAACCCAAGACACGGACGGCGGGTAGTAGAGCGGCGCTCGCTCACATACACAAAACGGAGGGATTTTCCATGCCGAGCTGCTTCTTGGTCTATCATGCCACAGATTTTGCCAAAAAAAAAAGGCAGAATTGCGCTGCTTGATGTTGTTGTTCTTCTTCTTCTTCTTTGGATTCTACAAGCACCATCAGGGCCGGCCTGCTCCAGATAGATAGCTGCGCTTCGGGGAAGGAATGAGATGGTCTCATTATCAAGACGTCGAGGGGGCCAGAGCTACTAGCAGCTCCGCTTGTCGTAGAGTCGGTTCGAGTCTTCGAGTGCTGGAAAGTTCAATCAAGCATTTTGACTCCATTCTGGACCACAATGAGAATGAATCGTCATTGGAAAGAAACGCTTCGCATTCGGTAGGTAGGCTGGAAGATGTTTCACCCGTATCATATCTGATCTGTGCCAGCTAGCGTTAAGCTATAATACCGACCGAGCCCTTTTGGAAAAGAAAAAGTGAGTGGGGGTCTGTGCGTAGGCTAGCTTATCTCTCCACCGACTTCAGCTTTCTTACTCACGAAGTATCCTTTTATTGATTAGTACCATATCTAGGTAGCGTATGTTTGCCTATACGGTTATAGTATAGGATTCGAAAACATCCTAGGGTTTGTTTATTAAGTGGCCTGTTTGAGGGTTCCATAGCTAGTTTTTCCGTTTGCATGCTGCGCGTTCTTACTGCTCGATTGTTGTTATTGTTGTTATTGTTGTTATTGTTGTTATTGTTGTTATTGTTGTTATTGTTGTTATTGTTACCGGCTGATTATTGAACGGCAGATCGACAGACAGACAGACCGAGCGGCATGGCTGGCTAGTTAGCAGTTAGTGTATGGACAGTAAATATTAGCTGATAATGATAAGGGTAGGTAGATATACCATAGGCCTGCATACATCGGGGCATTTCGGCCCCCGACTGTCGGTCGGTAGCATTCATTCACTGTTTAACCTTCCAAAAAAGGGCGTGCGCGGAAAGCGAAAGAACGTTAATCAACCTATCATTCTTTCCAAAATTACCCGAAAGAGCACGGGCTAGTCCAGTGCTACATAGAATATCCGGGTCTGTGCGGCGCGTGGAAGATAGGAAGGTTTCCAGTTTTCGACCTATGAGAGAAATCTGGGCCTTCAGAAGACCTTACTGTGTTTCTTTCTCTACTTTGTATTGAAAACCCGCACTTTTGCCTTGGAAATTCTACGCCTGGTTGTAAGTGAGACTAGGTGTAAGACCAGTTGTAAGACCAGCTCACAACACGTTTGGACGTCAGGTGTTTTGCCTTCCCATTTGCCAATATCGGGCCGGCAGGAGGCCATTCGGATCGTATCTACCATGAGGAAATCTCTTGTTGAACGTCGCCTAGTATAATAAGTCCGCCTTGTCGCCCCTTGGCTACTACCTACACTACCTACCTGCACACTTATTGGGCTATCATACCTTGGCTATCTATACGACCTCTTGGCTCCTCTAGTAAAGATTTCAATCAACCAATCAGCAATCAGCCAATCGCAATCAGCAACCATGAAGTTCTCGATCCTCTCCATCATCGCCATCATCTGTGCCACGGCAGCGGCAACCACCAAAGTAAACGGCAACAAATGCGGCGTCGTGCCCCTCTTGATCTGTAAAGTCAGGGGCGCGGACAGTTGCGTGAAGAACAAGGCAGTGCGTGCGATCAAGAAGGCCACCTGCGTGAAGGAGGCTCCGGTATGCAACGGTATTTGCGGGAGTGCACACCCTTACCAAAAGTTCGAGTAAGTTACCGGAGTCCCGTGAGCAAGTGGACGAGATATTGACGGTCTTTTGATGTATAGCAGCTCGAATACCCTCTGCATTTGCACCTGAAGTCATGATGCCAGCCATCCGATTTGAAACGATTGAAACGATTGATCTAGAGGATGTTGTTGTGAGTGGAGAGGCGGTAGAGGAGGATCATCAGGAGGGCCGACAAGATCGCCTTGCTGGGCCTGCGGTCGCGAAATACCGTTTGCTAGGGCTGGTCCCAAAAAAATTAGCTTTCCATTCGCGCTCAAGGTCTTCAATTTCTTCAGTCCTTTCAAAACTGCCAACAACTTCGGAAAGTGATGGCTCGTATCCCAATCTCTTTCCCCGTCCCAACAGGCCATTCGAGATCCCATCCCACCCGTCTGGTGTCGAGGGCGAGGTGTTCCAACTGGAGTGCAGATTGATAGAAGCAATGCTTGGACTGCATCCGGGCGTCCTTTCTATACTTGCTCGAGCAGAGACCTCGCAAAACTTTCAATTGCAACCGCTCTGCGAACGATGCTGGATACTGGAGGCAGCGTCTGGGTAAATCTCCCCTCCACCAAAGTCTCGAGAGAAGATGTCTAGTTGGCGTGGAATGGACTTTGGAGTCCAGTGGACTTCTGATTGTATATCGTGTTCGAGGGAATCCAAAAGGAAGGTAGCGAAGGAAGGGATAGACGGGCAAGTCTTCGACGACGAGTTCCTAGGATCACAAGGTCACTGCTGCGTGGGCCGAGTTAGCAATGCGACAAGATACATCATCGGAGTATTGATGCAGCCGTCGAGTGTAGTCTTCCAGGAAAAGGCTCTGTACAAGACGGGCTCGGCTATGCGCCGCAGCAGCGCGCGAGAAGCTCGACTGATATTGCAGAGGGTCTTCACATTCCATTCTTGTCGGAGGTCCATGATAAGCTTCCGTGTTCTTCTTCGCTTTCAGCTCTGCGATTTCATATGCTGAAGGAAGCGCGAGGTGGGCAATGATGTTGGAGAGCAGCTCTTCGGAGAGGTGCATGCTTATCGATCTACTCGGTACACGCTCTCGGGTTCGCCTTCAAGCCGATTGACGCATGCGACACGAACTTCGCACGCACGCCAAGGCCTCTCGCATTGTCAACCCAATCGAACTTGTCTTCTGGGATTCTCGTTTGGCGAAAGTCTTGGCCATGCGTCTGGGACATCCCATCTCGCCGGTTCAATAATTGCTGTGCGATCACATCGACAGCAATCGGCTACAGACACGTGCGTCATGCCTTCTGCGATTCTGCAAAACCGGTTTCCCCGAGACACTCTCACCGTAGTCACCACTTTCCTACCACGGCTGCGATGGCAATGCTAGTGCTTGGACGTCACTACACAGATGAGCCACGAGGTCTCGACGTGCATCGCTGGCACCTCGCGAGACACCCAAATGCCGGGTCCGTTGTCTAGCCAGCCGCGTGGCAGTGGACTGTGGGAACTTTGAAATGACGGCTTTTGGAGAAAGCTGTTGTTGCGTGCCAACAAAGAGATCGGCCATCGAGCAATACTTCGCTTGACATGGTCACTTCATATTTCCACCGGACTCATCATGAAACTCGTCGTTTTGGCTCTCTCGTACCAGCAACGGCCTGACCGGCGTGACGGTGCCGACAACGATAACGTGCTAGATTGGAGGAGAGCGCGACGAGCGCCACGAACGCCAAAGCAACGTCGAGGCTGGGACGGGGAAAATTTCAGGACCGCCTCAAGCGCCACCAGGACAGTAAATGGGCTAGACGTGTCAACAAACAGCTGACGTGTATTACACGACGTGGATCTGGAGAAGACGCGTTCACATGGGCTGCTCGCTGTCACCGAAATGCATCGCTCCAGCAGTTGCCGCTTCTCGCCGGCGAGGGTCGGCTGATGTGTGTTGCCGTCGGTTGCCTCGCACCGACTGTCACGAACGGCGATCGCCGTTGGGGCTGGAGCTTGAGCTTCGGGCTGGAGCTTCTGGCTGGAGCTTCTCGCTTGAGGACTTGGATGTGAGTGCACGAGCACTGTGCGAGCTCCCTGGCCGAGCGTCCATGTCCTCCTAGCGTAGGCTTAATGTCGCCAGCGTTCTGACTGGCGCCTGTCAGCAGCATTCTGACTGGCGCTCAGCAGCAAAAGGGTCTCGACGGTTGGTGAGGCAGCGTTGCACTGTTGCGGTATTCCAGCGTTGCCAGCCACAAGCGGGCACTCAGAGCAGCACGGCGATTTCAAAGACCGCCTGCCGACAGGTGTGGAAGCACGCGTGGAAGGACGCATCATGGGCAGCAACAACCAGGACCAGGAGGTGGAATGGCCGTGAGCTGTGTGTGGTGTGAGTGGTGTGTGGTGTGGTGTGAGAGGGGTGTGCTCTGTGCTGGGTGCGTGTGCTGTGTGCTGCGTGCTGCGTGCGTGGTGTGAGCACAGAGAGCTCTCTCATGACGATCAGCCTGCCAATGCAATGCCAAGAGCACGCAGGTCGGAGCAGCATTCGCCGTCGCCGATCTGCACTGGCAACACTCATCAACATTCGTTGGATCGGGCTGGAGTCGATCTCTCCGTGCCTCCGCGCTGCTTTGGCGCCGCGCCAACTCTAATCTGTCGCCCCTGCGCCTGGACACTGCGCCTGATCACTGCGCCGCACACTGGGAGGTGGTGCCTCGATTCTTAAAGAGCACTTGAAACACTCCACGGGCAGGCTGGGAACGCCCTCGCTGCCAGCACATGATCCTTCACCTTTTGACAAGCACCTCTTCCTTGCCCCATCTCATCACCACACCACTCGGCGGCTGGACCGTAGTCTTGCATCTGCCCACGAGCATCAGAGGGATATAGCTCCAAGCTCCCGCACCTTTACTTGCACCATCCTACCACCGTGCACTCCAACAACAACGACCACTACCATCCACTACCATCCGTCTCGAGACCATCAACCATGACTACGACGATGACTACGATGATGACTACCATGCAACTCAAGACCAACACCCGCAACCAACGACTCAACACCCTCCTCGCACGACCGCTTCCCCTCTGCACATCAACCGAGTACAAACACGAATACTACCGTCTGATCTGGAAGCTGCGAGAGTTGATCAACTGCCATCCCAAAGACGTCCGACAACTCTGGATGATGAACCTGCTCACAGACGCATTGGTACACCTCCCCACCACCATTCTCCTCTCCCACCAAGACTCATCACACTAACCTCTTCCACAGAATGAACTCCTCAACATGCACGACCCCACCTCCACACCCACCGACTCAAGAAAAGACGACAACCGCCGCTGGACGGACATCATGGTCCGCCGCACCATCGTCGAACAGATGTGGGAAGAGGACGAATCCATCACCTTCTACGACTGCTACGACGCTCTGCGGGAGGGCCGCAGCAAGGCCGCACAGGTCCGGCTCTACGACCAGGTGCGCACCTGCTGGGAGACTGTCACCGGCACAGACCTGGGGACCGAATTCCGAATCGCTACGTCCGCTGCTGCTTGATTGAATCAAGAGAAGAAGGGGAAATCAAAATTTTAACGATGTCATGACTATGAAAAATTATTGGGCCAAAGCGCATGTCGCTCGATCACGCTCGGTGTTGTTCGCTTATTGTCGCACCTTTTGCTTGGATCACCGTTCTAGCGTGTTTTGGTTGTACGATGAGACGACTTCTTCTTCTTCTTCTTCTTCTTCTTGTACAGAAATTCATCAAATTTACTACAAAATTATACCCACCATCCGTCCATTCATAACTCTCACCCATCCATAACTCTCACCGTCCCCTTTTCAAGCCTTCCTCTGCAACTGCAATTTCGGATCTTTCAAGATGGCACCCACTTCAGCCGGCATCAAGGCCCCCGGCGGAGGTGAGCTCTTGCCCTTGAAATCGTCACAGATCTGCTCCATCGTGACCCATTCCACGCCTTGATGCTGATTGATGGATTCGATGATTCTGTTCGTTGTTGGATTTTGCTTTCGCTCAGCGAGTGGCCGATTTCATTGGACGGACAGACAGCTGGAGAGATGGTGGAAAGATTGTGGGAAGATTTCCATGGATGGATGGATGTGGGGTAAATAAAGGTAAAGGTAAAGGTAAAGGTAAAGACAAAGGTAAAAGGTAAGCTTACCTCTCCAGCATCAGCAGGCCGTGGGGATGACCGCAGACGTCCGGATGCACCTAGAATTTCGAATGGTTAGCAACTAAATCATGGCTTCATCAGATGCTCATCACGCGAGCCAGATTTTAACCTAGATGGATGGACGAGGGGAAAGGCCGAAGACGAGACGCGTAGCTTTGTTTTCTTTCTTTCTTTGTAGCTGTTTTTCTTTGTTTGGGATAGAGGGACGGTAGGCTGGCTGGCGGGCTTGGCTGGCTTGGCTTACCGTGACGGGAAAGACGAATTCGTCGTATTCGCGATAGAAGTAGTTGAATTGGTCGAGCCAGAGCTCTTCGACGTCGCGGGGGTTGACCCAGCCGTGGCTATTGGGCGCGTTCTTGATGAACATCATGGGCGGCAAATCACTACAGAGGTCAGCAGATTTTCCCCTTTGGGGGAAACAGAGGTCTGGCTGGCTCGCGGTTTCACTTACTCCAGATACCAAGACGCGGGGATTTCGACGAGCCCGGTCATGGGGCCGGCCTCGAGGGGCTTCATCCAATCGTCCGGGTGTTTCTCATAGTCGATGGGATACCACTTATCGCCCGTGCGCAGCCAGTAGCACTGACAGTCATGGTGGGAGAAGGAATGGTCGTATTCCAGACCATACCGCAGCATCAGTTCCGCGCCTTCCTGGCTGCTCTCCCACCAGGGCGCCACGATGCCCCGCGGCGGCTTGCCGTGTTGGAAGTCCTTGATCAGCCGATAGCACTTGTCCATGATGGCGGTCTGCTGTTCCAGAGTCATCGCGATGGGGTTCTCGTGCGAGTAGCCGTGGAGGCCGATTTCGTGGCCCGCGTCGGCGATCATGCGGCATTCCTCCGGGAAGGTCTCGAGGCTGTGGCCCGGGATGAAGAAGGTGGTCTTGATATCGTACTTTTCGAACATCTTGAGGAGGCGTCGCACGCCGATGGTCCCCGCGAACAGGCCGCGCGAGATGTCCGAGGTGCTGTCTTGTCCGCCATAGGAGCCGAGCCAGCCTGCGACGGCGTCGATGTCGACTGAGATGCAGCATTGGACTCCTGAGGCAGTTGAGGTCAGTAAGTGTTACAGAGGGAGCAATGGGGAATTCGGGTACGTTTCTTCCCCATCTTGCCCAGTATTTCCCTAGCTGTCAACTTGGGACTGAAAAAGCTCTTCTCAAGGCCCACAGAGGTATCTGTAACAGACTCTTCACCTATCTACGGCTTATAGAACAACGCCTACTCTCGCAATCCTCGTAGTAAATTGCCGTCCCATCACAGAGTGGGGTAACACAGACGAGAAGCTCCTTCCTCATGACGTATCCTGGTCCATCACCTTTGCTGGTCTTATCGCGCGGGCGGCCGCCGGCCAACAATGAATGGGTCGTAGAGATATCTCGCTGGGTGTTTTGCGAGTTTGCTTGAGTAGTAAGAAAAATTGGGATCTGGATTTGGGAAGCAAGGCTTGCGGCTTTCGCACGACTTCATCACTGTGAGCACGAATCCATCAAGTTTGCATCTCTCACGTTCGAGGCTTGTTGCTACCATCATAGAATGTGTTACGCCGCATCAAAAGACGTGCCGCCGGCAAGACACGAGGTGTTGCGCGATGGTATTCGTTGTTGAAGCGTCCCAAATGGGGGATTCTGGGCTGGCATTGGCTCGGGTAGCGCCGCCGCTAGCTGATGTTTCTCTTGGCAAATAAGTAACGCGTGTCTTGAGATTTGGTCAGAATCGGAGCTGAACGATCACGTGATGTATTGAGCTCTGATTGGCTCGAGCGGAGCTTCTGCCGCGAGCTAGACAGGGTTCAGGCTTGCGGGCGATCCCTAGCTTCCTAGCTCACGTGACCCATGACTCGCGCCCCAATCGCCGACCACCGACAATGCTCTGCAAAAATCCGCTACGTCCGAAGCTGTAAGGAAAGTACCCACGCTACTACTGTTCCATTGCACATCACCTGTACATTGCTCCGATGCTTCTACGAATAGCCACTACCTGTAAATACGTCACCAAGCATCACTGTCCTGTGCCAATGACGTTCCCAAGATGATACAGCCAGGATCATTCTTGAACGGAAGCTCCGCAAGTTTCAACACCATTCAGCCTCATCACATGCCTGGCTACGTATATCTCTCCGTGGCACCTCGTACAGCGCGGAGGTCGAGATGCCGGCAGTCCGACGCGGTCCACGAAACTTTCAATACAATGCAGGTCGTTCTGGGATGATCGTGGCAAGATGGGTTTCTAGAAGGCGACTCGCACGTGGCTATGTAGCAAAGTTTGCGGTCTGCATCCGGGTCTCGGTAGCCGATCGAGGCCGAAGGGAAGCGAGCAGGTGCCACGGAGCAGGTCTTGGCTCTGCCCGTTTTTGTTTGTTTCAGAGCATCCCGTTTTGCATGGACTACAGCGAACCTGGCGCGGATCCGAGATGTCCGCTCACGATGGCGAGAGTCGTTTCGAGAGTTTTTCGATCGCCGACTGGAGTTGCCGATGGCTGGTATACTCACCGCTGGTAACTGCCGGATCAAACCTCGTGGGAGCTAATGGAAAAATGGAGGAAGGCAACTTTGGGGTGTTTGGGCAAGGACGTGGACTGGTAAGACCTGTCGTGTCGACGCATCTAGAAGACGCTGCGAATGGAGCATCCTTGGCTAAATCACTTAGCCTACATTCGACATTCCATCTGCCTGAAAGGCTGGAAGGACATGTACGGATTTCTTCTTCTCTTTGTGCCGGGCGATCATTCCCTGCGGAAATTTGGCTGCAGTTCATTAGGCAATCAGCTGGATGGCATCCACCTGCCTACACGATTACGAATTGACGTCGGCGCATATCTCTGTATGCAACCAAGCAGGAACTGCCTCTCCAAGCCGAGTATGAGCGTCACAAAAGCAAGCCCATACCCGGTAACTGTGACCAAATCTCGCAACAGATTGTCACCTTTTGGCCCTGCTTGAGCCAGCAGGACTGACATTCCACCTGTGGCACCGATGGACAGTAGGGTAGGGACTATATCGGACAGGCCGAAAGACTAGAGTAAGGTCAGTACATTGTCCGAAACCTTAGCAATGGGGCGAACTTTACCTGTTTATGCCTCGCAAAGAATTCCTTGGCAAAGCTGAGGTTGAAGATGATTCTCAACGCCATGTTGACGCAGTTAGCCCACACCAATCCTTCGGCTCCCAGTGCCAAGACTTTCAGAAAGACGTAGGCGCTTCCAGCGAAGAGAAGAGAGAAGCCTCCCATCCAGATGCTCTGACGGTGTAGGTCTCCGGTTGAAGCGGTAGCCGCTACGAAAGCCTCGCTCACGCCATTGATCGCAAGAAGCGGGATGCAGTACGTGTAAGTACCCAGTACGTCGCCTGCGCCCGAGTCGGTCCAGCGTGAGCCTGCTACAAGGCGGAGAAGCAGAGGCGCTGCCGTAGGCCCGAGCGCGAAAACAAGGGAGAAAGTTAAGTAGATGCGTAGCGTGTCGCGGAGGACGGTAGCTGCTTTCTTGATATCCTGCGCTCTTGGCTGAGTCCCCGAGCAGAGCTGAGCGAACAGATTGCGGGAAGTGTCCTCGATCGGTCGAAATACCATTCGAGCGATGAGACCTCCGTAATTCGCAGCGAGAGCGTACATCCCCTGGTCCTCGAGTGAAGCGAACGTCGTGCTCACAAGCACATCGCCCTGCGTGAGGAGATATTTGATTCCGGTCTGGACGTAGAGAGCAACAGAAAGGGTTACGAGCGTCTGAGGGAAGCGGGAGAATATGAAAGTTTGACCACGTCTAGATAGACATCGTCAGAACATGACTTACACTTATGTTTCGATGGATATGAGATCGACGCACCTCTGTTCGATCTTCTTCGGTAGGAGTGAGAAGTTCTGCTTCGTAGCTGTCGGGATCGTTCTCCAGATATAAACAGCAGTGAGAGTAGAGCAGTATGCCAGTTCACCAACTGCGAAGGGGAGAGCACCGAGCTCGAGGCCCCGAGACTGACTCCAGAAAACGGTCCCAGCGGTAGCAATTGTCTTCAGCACCACAGCGCTTGCTTCAGCGGAAGCACGCGTGCCATATTGCATATTCTGCTGTACTGCGACGAAGGCGGGCTCACTCAGAAGCTCTACCATAGCGGCGACTTGGCATACCCAGAGAGCTTCAACGAAGTACGGAACATTCGGAAATCCTGACCGGAGATACCATTGTGCGAAGCCTATCACGATAGGGACGCCACCGACGAGGGACAGGTATGATAAATTGATGGCCGCCTGATCTCCGCCTTGAGGTTGCCGCTGACATGCAACTCGGAGTGACTCTCTTGCGAAATGGTGTGCGGAGATGATGAAGAGCTCCAGCTGGACGCTTGCTCCTAGCAGTGCCGGGGAGAGAAATCGCAAGAGGACTTGGTTGAGGGCGAAGGTGAGCGCTCTCGTCGATACCTGGAGCACGATGAGGAACAGGGCTCCTCTTGATGATGCGGCCAATGCATCTGTGGGCTTCGTTCCCTCTTCAGGACGCTTCGGGGCTTGCTCAGTCTTCTGTCTTTCTGTGGCCATGGTGTATTACTCGCGAGACGCTACGCCGACATGGTAATGTCGTTGTTTAGTGGCAGGGAGAGGCAACGTTTTAGACTTCGATATGTTCGGATATGAGGTATCGTATACCGGAGCCTTGGCGCGCAATGACGATGTTGTCCCGCGATGGAGCTCGACCTTCACATGCACTCTCTGCCTCGGTCCTTTCCTTTCCACGACAATGTGTACATAACATCTGTGTATACTGCCCCAGCGGCATAATCTTTTACCTGCACACCACGATGCTGGACTTCCGGACGTCGGGGTTCAACCCTTACAGCGTCAAGTACTCGCCCTTCTTCGACTCGCGTCTCGCAGTCAGCGCCGGCGCCAACTTCGGCCTTGTCGGCAATGGACGCCTATACGTGTTGAACCTCACGGCGAACGGGATTGTATGCGAAAAGTTTTTCGAGACACAAGATTGCTTGTTCGACCTGGCGTGGTCTGAGCAACATGAGAATCAGCTCTTGACGGCGGGAGGGGACGGCTCGATCAAGCTGTTTGATATCGGGGTCGGGGAGTTTCCAGTAGCAGGATGGCAAGAGCATTCAAGAGAAGTTTTCGCGGTACATTGGAACTTGATCGAGAAGCAGACATTTTTGTCGTCAAGCTGGGATGGGACGGTGAAGATATGGACACCCGAAAGGAAAGAGAGCTTGATGACCTTGCCGGTGCACTCTTGTGTGTACTCCGCGGAGTACAGTCCACATCATCCCCAGATTGTCACATGCGTCTCGAGAGACTCGCACTTGAGGGTGTTTGACCTGAGAGCCAAGCCAAGCTCGCAGTATCACCTGAGTCTCGCTATACCGATCCATGCTCAGCCAAAGGTCCCAATCCCAGGCTTTCAGAGCCAAAGTCCCGGCCCGACTGAATGTCTCACCCATGATTGGAACAAATATCGGGACTCAGTTCTGGCATCAGCAGGCGTGGACGGCGTGATAAGGACGTTTGATCTGCGCTCCCCGTCCGGGCCTGTCAATGCTCTGCTCGGACATCAGTACGCGGTGCGAAGAGTCAGCTGGAGTCCACATCTGAGCGATGTCCTCCTGAGCGCCAGCTACGACATGACCTGCCGAGTATGGACAGACGGTAGTAACGTGGATCAAGGCGGTGGCGGCGCCGGTATTGGCAAAGAGATGGGTCTGATGGATAAGCACACTGAATTCGCTATGGGCGTAGACTGGTGTCTATTCGGTGCCGAAGGTTGGTGCACAACTTGCGCTTGGGACGAGAGAGTGCTGGTATGGGATGTGAGGGAATATATGCGACCATGATTGAACAAATACGCTTGAACGCTTCATTGAGTTGTATGCCACAGCAGGACAAGACTATCGAATGCCGCCTCGCCCTTTTGATGCTTTTCGCGAGAGAAACCTCCGCAGGCCTTCGCCACCGCCGAACAGCGACTCCCATCCTTCTCGAGGGGTCCCGTCCGGTCCTTCGAACTCGAATTGCTTGTGCGTCATACCAGTCATCCACGATTCCGTGCCAGAGCTGTGCCTCTGCTTGTCCGCAACTGCCTCCAGGAGTCGTCTCTCCTCCAATTCACGCTCTCTGGCTTGCCTCCTCTGCTTTCGACGCCGTAGAGCCAGCAGCATCACGCCCCCGATCAGGATCAGAAATCCAAGGCCAAGGCCAACACCAATGCCAACGCCTAGGCGAACAGTCCTTGAGTCATCATCCATACGGGCCGGTACCGCCGCTGCTGGAGCTGTCGCTTCAGCCGCGGCTTGAGACATGGTCGCTGGTACGCTGGCATTGGATATCCGAAGTTGCACGCTGTTCAAGACACATGCATCACAATCGTTCGGCTGGTGCCCTTTTTGGAGCTGGAAGTGCAAAGGTGCGGAGAGATTCGCCATCATCACGGCACCTGCTTCTCGCCACAGGCTGGTCATGTTTCTTGTGAAATTGGCTGCGTTACGTGTCAGCAAATATCGGAATGGACTCCTTGAAATCGACCTACCAGCAAGGATATCTGACACGTACGATCCATCCTCGAGAGGACCTTGGAACACCCGTACGGTCGTGAATTCAAAAGGCGTGGTCCATGTCACATTGATCTGCTGACTGGTATTGTACGTCGTCGCATCCGAAGTAGGCGAGATGAATGCCAAGGGAGATATTCCAGCGAGATTGGTCACGTTCAGACCGTTGGTGGTGTTTGCGAGGTTTGTGGCATTGAGTGCGCCGAGAAGGACTGATAATGCCGCCATTCTTCGCGCTGAAGAGGTCGAAACCTGTAGCGAGAGACTATGCGAAGAGCAGGCAACGTTCGAAGAGACACGAAAGCACTGATCGGAAAGCGAAAGACTGTCGCCAATTGGGGGCCACGCTCGCGAGAGCAGTGGGATCCTACTTGCCTATCTACCACTCTACCCCATCGGGCCAGATCGCTTGTGGTTACGAGAGCTCTCCGCTTATTCTGGTTCCTCTGGATGCATCTCATGCATTCCCGCATCGCACTACACGACATGCAGCTGCTCTGTTGGGGGCTAAGAAGAATGTCAGATGCAGGGTCGAAGTGTATCTGTGGCCGAGAGGGAGGTGGTTGGTCGAACCAAGGCCGCGGGGTTCTCTTGTGGCCCGAAATAGTAAAAGCCGACAGCGAGTTTTCCGCATTTTTCATGAGAACGTGCAATGACTACGCGGCTTTCTTCGCACCGAGCTATTGAACGCGTGCATGCGGCGGCTCAGAAGAGAGCTGCGTGCGATTATTCCCACCGCCGAGGTGGGCGATGAAGAGCCTTGAGGGAGAATTCATAGCGTCGTTGAGGTGAGATCCAAACGCTGGGCGGAGAGTTGCCCGAGACTTTGGAAGAAAGATTTAGCACCACTGATGGTGCAAGCTGAATTGGTACTGTCCCGACTGTATAGATGGATACAATCAGTCTCCATTTCCTTTATACAAGCCAGCATACGGTCGTCCGTTAATCGGTGGTCCTCCAAACCCGCTCTCGCATGCATTCTCCGGCGCGAGCGAGCGAGCAATGTCCAACACCATTTGGAGACTGCAGGGTGACTCCCGACCGCAGTTTGCCGTACACTAACTCTTGAGATGTCATGTGCATCGGAGCGTGGCACGCGGCACTGATGGCCGCACTGCAAGTCGACACTGCCGGAGGCGCTCCGGCTGGCAGTCTCCTCACCATGAAGACGATCGCAGTGAGGAAGAGCACACCTGATGCCACCACGGAGCAGATGATCGCTATGGACACCATTCGGCAAGAGAGATTCCGAAACTCGGGCCGAGTCTTGAGCTGGTACGGCGATGGACGACCAGAATCCCTCATATCGCAGAGGACTGTCTCGACGACATCGTCGTATATGGGTTCTCATAATCAAAGGCGACGGAGATGGATGCCTAGAACATCCTGAAGCCCTCGCTGCCCGTCACCATCCTTGCGCCCTTCTCCGAGATCTCCTGGCTAGGCTGGACCCAGACCTGAGTGGCATCTACACAACTCTCCGTGCCAAAGCGATCAACACACCAGCGCAGCAGACTCTCTAGCTCTCGCCTACTCTCCTCGACCAGCGGCCCTCTATCGCCGTGCTTGCTCTGGGCGAGGCTCTCGATTCGGTCGAGGAAATCGCGAGCAGTCTTCTGCGCCGGCAATTTCTTCTCGCTCCCCTGGACAGACTGCCTCTCTTCTTCCGTGGCCTTCGTCCAGATCAGCTCGAACGGCTCTGACTCAGCGACATCGCAATACCAGGCCCTCGCGTTATCCATGTCGCCTTCAATGCGGTGCAGGATCCCGTGCAAGTACATGCCCTCATAGGCCGGCGGGGACTGCATATGCCGGACGAGAAAGTGGGCCGAGGGCAAGTCATGGTTGAGGAGGTGCAGCAGGGCTTCCAGTGCCGGGTGCAGGTAGAGGGATGCTATCTTGTCGCTCAATGACGGATCGCAGACTTTACGCGGTGCCAAGAGCGGAGTCGGCAGGCTCTGCAGATGAGTGCGGAGCGCGACGAACGAGACGTCGGGTCGGGGTTGGTATATACTGGCCATGATGTCGAATTTCTATGAGAAGGTTTCATTTCGTCGGCGGAATTGTGATCCTGCTGGGAAAGTGGTCTCTTGCGCAATCGATGAGTCATCATGATGCTAGTGCACAGGGCCTAGGTTCTTATCCAACATCCACGACGAATGTTCCATGCAAGGCCGTACAAGAGCGATCTATTGTGTATGAGGCCTCAGGCAGCGACCGGGATGATTGATCATCTCCGCCTCGGCCGAAATCCTCTCACTCACTCTGCTTCTCCACGCACCGCATCAGAAAGAGGAAAGAGGAAAGAAAGAGTGCGACATGCAGCTTCGGGCCGAGCCACGTTCCATCCTCCCGGCCGATCGTGGCTGGGCGTGCCTGCAGTGGCTTTCGCTGGCGTACCTGCACACGGTACCTACCTACCTTATCCATCCCATCCTGTGAGAGGAATTAGGCCTCGCAAATGTAGGATAGATACCACGTTCTGTTCTCTAACACCAAACATTGATGATCGAACCGCATCTACCATGTTCTTCGACATCTTCGCTCTCTTATTCCTGCTCCTCGCGAGCCTGATAGCAGCCCAGCAGACCCCGACCCCAACCATCGTCGCTCCCACCACGGCAGCTCCCAGCGCGACAGCAGCGTCGACCGCCCATGGATACGCCTATGCAGGCTGTTGGAACGAGACGAACCACCTCGCCAACACAGGCGGCCAGCGAGCCCTCTCCAACGGCAACAGCGTAAGCCCGCTCACTCCCCATCCCCCTCCCGCTCACAAAATAATAATCCCCCCCCCCTCCTCGCACAGTCCGCCAACAACACCATGACCCTCGACTCCTGCATCCTCTTCTGCAACACCTACACCATGCAATACGCCGGCCTCGAATACGGCCGCGAATGCTACTGCGCGCAATACCTCTCCGCCTTTTCCACGCGCCTCGCCGACAGCCGCTGCGGGTATGCCTGCGATGGCAACGCGAGCCAGCTCTGCGGCGGGGCGCTCGCGATCTCGCTGTATAATCGCACGGGCGGCGCGCATACGGGCGGCGTCGCGGGCAGTCTCGTGGGAGGAGGAGGAGGGGCACACGGTGCGGCGGCGTTGTGGGGGTTTGCCGGGTTGGGGATGTTGCTTGTGGCTGGAGTGCTGTGAGGAAAGAAGAGTTGCGATGGCGGAAGGGATAGACTAGACTGCCGGGGGGGGGAAGCAGGGAAACAGGCCTGCTCTTTTGTTTTTTGCTGTTTCCGAGAAGCACTTCTGAAATTCTGAATAGAAATGACTGGACGACGATTTCACATGGATACGATACGATACGAGACTTGCGGACGAGATTTTTTATTATAAGATGAGATAGATAGCATTGACGAGACGACGACGCCGGCCGGCCGGCAATTATTGATGAGAACTTGCTTGCCTTTGACGAGATCAGAAAGAACTCGCCTTTCCTCTTGGGTTGTCTGGAAGATAAGATGAATAACATTCGTCTGCCTTGTTTGACTTGCAGTCGTGCTTCGGCCCAATGAAAGCGAGGACTTCGTCTCGGACGCACGATGCACTCGGTGTGAGATTTTTGCTAGAGGTAGAGAGGGAGGCAGTTGTGTCATGTCCCGAGGGCTCGAATCGGTGCATGAGCGTGGGTGTGGTGGGAGTGAGGTCTCTGTGGAAGACATGATGATAGAAGGAAGCAGCACAGGAACCGAAGACTCAAGGCAAAAAAAAAACAGTTTTCCACCTGATTGTAACATGCAACAAGACATCTATCGACAGAAGAAAACTATTTCCTCTCTTTGTTGTTCCTCGCATCCTGCCCTTCTCCTTCTCCTCCTTCCCCCTCATCCTCGCCCTCCTCGATAAAAGCCATCTCCTGCGCACTCCAGAGCTCCCCATAAACCCCTCCACTATCCACCAGCCGCTCATGCGTCCCCTGCTCCGCAACCCTGCCCTCCTGGAGCACGATAATCACATCACTATCGTAGATGGTCCGCAAGCGATGCGCGATGAAGACGCTCGTCCGGCGCCGCTCTTTGAGAATGGAATTGATATTGTGCAGCAGCGTCTGTTCCGTGTGCGTGTCCAGCGCGCTCGTCGCCTCGTCGAAGAAGAGCAAAGGCGCGTCTTTGAGAATGAGCCGCGCGACGGCGAGGCGCTGCTTCTCGCCGCCGGAGATCATCATGCCGCGCTCGCCGACCATGGTCTTGTAGCCGTCGGGCAGGGAGGCGATGATGTCGTGGATGCGGGCGCGCCGGGCGGCGGCGATGACGTGGGAGTCCGGCGCGGCGATGTTGCCGTAGCGGATGTTGTGCTCGATGGTGTCGTTGAAGAGCGGCGTGTCCTGGGGCACGACGCCGATGCTCTTGCGCAGGGATTCCAGGCTGACCTCGCGGATGTCCTGGCCGTCGATGGTGATGCGGCCTGCTTGGACGTCGTAGAAGCGGAAGAGGAGACGGAGGATCGTGGATTTGCCACAGCCGCTGGGGCCGACGATGGCGACCTTCTTGCCGGCTGGGATGGTGAGGTTGAGGTTCTTGACAATGGGTCGGTCGGGACGGTAGCCGAATGTGACGTTTTCGAATTTGATCTCGCCGCCCTGGTTCAGGAGGAGCGGTGGGGCGTTTGGCACTTCTTTGATGGCGACGTTGACTTTCTGGAGGTTGAAGAGCGTCTCCATGTCCAGCAAGCTCTGTCGTAGTTCGCGATAGACGCTTCCGAGGAAGTTGAGCGGGACGGAGAGCTGGAAGACAAGCTGATTGACCAGGACCAGATCGCCGACGGTGAGGGAGCCGGCCGCAACACCTTGAGCAGCCATGTACATCATCGCCGTGAGTGCTCCCGAAAAGATCAAGTTCTGGCCAGTGTTGAGGTAGGCCAGTGAAGTGGCCACCTTGATGCTAGCGTCTTGGTAATTCTTCAGTGCCATGTCATATCGCTTCGCCTCGTACGCTTCATTGTTGAAGTATTTGACCGCTTCGTAGTTGATCAAGCTGTCCACCGCGACCGTGGCACCTTTGTTATCGGCAGCGTTGGCTTGCTTGCGGAACTTGGTGCGCCATGCCGTCGTGGCAATGGTGAACCAAGAGTATGCTGCCATGGTGCCGACGGTCAGGACGGCGAACTTCCAACCGAATTGATACGTCAGGATACCGCATACCAAGCTGATCTCCAGCGCTGTAGGGATGATATGGAAGACCATACTGGTGAGTAGGAAGCTGATGCCCTTGGTCCCTCGATCAATGGCTCTGGTAAGACCTCCCGTCTGCCTCGATAGATGAAAATTGAGATCCAGCTTCAAAAGATGGTGGAAGACATTGCCCGCCACTTTACGGATGGCGCTCTGGGAGACGCTGGCAAAGATGGCATTCCGGAGCTCTTGGAACACGGACGCTCCTATTCTCGCAGCGCCGTCTGAGCCTGATTAGCTGGGCGATTGAAAGGCACAGACAGGAGGTGTAGCTTACAAGAAAAGATGGCAGCACCTGCCACGGTCATTGCCGTGCCACCAGTGGCGGCCCAGTCAACATTCATGGAATCGACAATGGTCTTGAAGTAAAAAGGCACTTGGACATTCAAAACCTACAGGCTCTATCAACACTGGATAAGGATAAGAAAGGAAGCAAATATGGCAGGAGGAGCACACCTTTGCACCAACCAGCAGTCCCACACTCAAGCCAACTCTGAACCGCGTGTTGAAGTCATTCTTGGGCCACAGATAGGCAGACATGTCCTTGATAATCGCCCAGTCTGCCTTCCTCTGCTCCTTGTTCGACACCGTCCGCTCTGCCAGAAGCGGATCCTTCGCTGGAGCGGGTTTCGATGATGACTGCTCATTCACCACGCCCTGAGGACCCAGCTTCTCCTCGGACGGCTTCTTGGTCGTCGCCTCCGCCTCCGCCTCTTTCTCGACCGTCCTCGCCCGGGCATCGTCCTTCCTGTGCCGGGGCGTCGTCGCGAAGATGCGCTTCGCATGCCACGATGCCTGGATCTGGACTGCCAAGGGACATGGCCGTCTTTGGAGCGCTGGCGCCGCACGCAGGCATATCCTGCTGGCCAGCATCGTCGCGTCCTCCCTCTTCTTCTTCTTCAATCGCCTTCTATGACGCTATTCCAAGCATGTTGGGTGGTTCCGGGGAGATAGATGGTCAATGGCAAAATGGAGCAGTAGCCGTGATGCCGGGAGCAGCTGGACGGTAGGCTCCCTTAATGATGAATACTCTGCTGCGTCTGTAGAGTAGATGTAGAGGACTCTCGATCGCGTGCTTGGTTCCTTTTGCGACACTGGCTCGGCTAGACCCGGCTGAAGCGCCGCGATCACCTCAGCTCTTCTATCCGGATTAGCCGGAATTGTCCCTCCCGACATGACCGACTTCACCTCCCCAGCCAGGCTCACCTCCTCCGTCCAACTTACTATAACAATTCCAGCGTCCTTCACATGAGCGTCGTGAAGCTTGCGAAGAGACACATTGAACGAGACATCTGTACTCTTGACCGTAATCATCATGCCAGAACTAGACCGGGCGGCGCATTCTCACCGGTCTACAGCTCGCCGGACATGAGTCGGACTTTCCACATGCATCAATAGCTGCTACTGCCAGATGCAGTCCGATGGAATGCGAAGTAGTTTGGAACCAATCAGGTTACGGAATTCGTGTGGAACGCAACGCAGTAATCACTTTACCTGACCGTGAGGCTGAGTCCTGGCGGAGACTTCCAAGTTGAGCCGTTCTGGTCACCGAAGTACATGTACCTACCTTACTTTGCGCAGGCTGAGCAGGTGGTGGTACAGACCTGCCCCTTCACACATACATTCTGTCTGCTCTTTACGCTCTCCAATGCGACCGTTCCAAGTCGCTCACGGACAAAACAGTCACCAGCAAACTTTTCGACCGCAAGAAACCCACCACGCATCATTCCACATCTGATATCAGCATGACAATCATGGACTCCGCGAAATGGCCCGAACTGAGCGAATGGGACGCAGAAATCAAACGGGTAGCTCCTCGATTTTGCACATCAAACCCTTCTCGAGTATACAGAGCTAACCAATTCAAGAGCATCGATGCCCGCCCACAGATGGCGCCGGATCTCCAAGTGAGCCAGATACCACGCATGCGGAAGCTGCGCGATGCGGTTAGGAAACCGGACATCCTATCTCGATTGGACTTCTGCGGCGTCGTCGAGTCGACCGTTGATATCCCTTCCCGAGACGGACATTCCCTCCCTGCAGTGATATATAAGCCATTTGCGCTCTCCGAAGCTGCCGGTCCCCTTGCGATACTCTTCCACGGCGGGGCTTTCATTTCAGGCTTCCCGGAGATGGAAGCCGGCGCGGCCATTGCTCTTGTCAAGGAACATGGGGTTACGGTGGTCTGTCCGAGGTACCGCTTGGCTCCCGAGCACCTCTTCCCCACGGCCATCAACGACTGCTGGGATGCGTTGCAATGGGTACGTATAATGATGATGATGATGATGAAAATTCGAGCGGAAGCATGGCTAATCTCACACAAGTGCGCTTCCCATGCCTCGAAGCTGGGCGCAGACGCATCCAAGGGCTTCCTGGTAGGCGGCTCGAGTGCAGGCGGCAACATCGCCGCCTGCCTGCAACACCTGGCGCGCGACGAGAATCTCCGCCCGCCCGTGACGGCGGCCTGGCTGGCCTACCCGGGCACCGTGGATCCCGACGTGATTCCGGAAAAGTACAAGCACGAATGCACCTCGTTCAAGCAAAACGCCGAAGTCCCATCTTTTAACAAAAACGTCTACGATTTCATGAAACGTAAACGCAGTGTCCCTCCCTCTCTCTCTCATGACACCACCAGGAGAGCTTCTTTGGCAAATCAGTAGCGCTGATGACTTTCCCTGTAGGAGCGTATCAACCCGATCCCTCTTCCGAATTGTGGTCCCCGCTGCTCTGGGCTTCCGGACACGCCGGCCTGGCGAGAACGTACGTGCAAGTCTGTGGTCTCGACCCGATGCGTGATGACGGACTCCTGTACGAGCGCGAACTGCGGCGGCAAGGCGTCGAGACGAGAGTAGACGCCTACGCCGGCTGCCCTCACGGGCACGACGTCATGTGGCCAGAAACCGCAAAAGCCCGCCAATTTCGTGAAGACCGATCGAGGAACTTCAAATGGCTACTTGGGAAGGAGGAGTAGGCGATGCGCTGAGGGGGTACGGATATGGGCCGGTGATGTAGACATTCATTTAGCGATAGAGAGAGAGAGAGACGGATCACTAGTGCAGCATGGGCCAATGATGACTATCCGTTGCTCGCTAGACTTTCTCTCCAACCAAACAAGACCTGATAATTGCAGTAGATTCCAAACAGATCCCGCTTTCTCGAGCTCAAGTTCTCCGAATCGAATTCTTGTCACCTGCAAACCTTACCGAGCACCAAACAATATAGACCCTTCCGTTCTGCGTTCGGTCTCACTCATACGAGCACGAGCTTGAGCCATGGCCACGCAGAACAGTGATAGACTGGAGATGACTCCTAGCGGTTGGACCAAGTGAAAGATCAGAGGAAGAAATCAAGCCATTCGAAAAATGCATTTTCAACGACTGCACAATCCATTTCTGGCCCTCATGATACATCTCACTCGTCTCGCGATGATCCACCTCCACAGCCATCTCAATGACTGATATACTGAAATACAGCGCTGACATCCCTCTCCGAGCACTCCTGTCGCAACAAGAGATCCTGGATCCGAGCCATAGGTCCCGCCTCGCCCTCATTAGTAAAGTGATTCCAACTGCTCGTATCTCCATACAGCATCGCCGGCGCCTTGATGAACTGTCTGCCATCCTTACAACGCTTGCATTTGAAAGTGTCGTGGGAGTCGCTGGTGGTTCCGGGACGGTACTGGAAAAGCTCGCGGAGAGAGTCCAGACTGAAGTGGCGTTCGACGTCTTCGGCAGAGTCAACGACGCAGGATGAGAGCGATTGTTTGTGCGATTGTCGCTGGAAAATCTTCTCCTCGATGGTGCCCGTGGCGATGAAGCGGTAAACAAAACAGTCTTTCTTCTGTCCGTCACGCCACACACGAGCGAGAGCCTGCTGATCCGCCGCTGGGTTCCAGTCAGGGTCGAAAAGCACCAATCGATTGGCGCCTATGAGGTTCAGGCCGCAGCCACCAGCCTTGGATGACAAGAGGAAGACGAACTCTGCGCCCTCAGGTTCGTTAAATTTATCGACAAGCTTCTGTCGTTTGTTGACGTTCATAGTGCCGTCAAGGCGGAGACATCCATAGCTGCGGTTGCGGCACAACTTCTCAAAAACATCCAACGTTTGAGTATAGTTGGAAATCAACACAATCTTGTCGTTGGTATCCTGGCGGATGCGGGCTAACATGCGATCTAGCACCTGCATCTTGCCAGAGTACCAGGGTTTGACATCACGATCCCGACCTCGTGAGTCTTTCGGTACGTAGTCCTCGGGAAAGTGCTCCTCACATCCGGGAAGATCGTACGGGAGATTAAGCAAGTCTGGATGATTGCAAAGCTTCTTCAGCAGGCCGATGGCTTTCAGCGGTTGGCTACCTTTGCCACGGAGCAAGCTTTGGATCTCTGGAGATTTGATGAAGTAATTGTACAGGTCCAGCTGGAATGGTGCAAGGTTGCAAAAGACGACATGTTCATACTTGACCGGCAGGTATTTGGAAAGAATGTCGTTTGTGCGTCGAATGATAAATTTGTTGACGAGTGTGAGCAGGTCCTTGAGACGCTCGTCGCCCTTTTGTCGGTCGGCATCGGTCCCGTCTGCATCGCGTCCACGGAGAATGGGTATTTCAAATTGCTTGCGGAAGTCTTGCCGGGTTCCGAGGTAGCCTGGGTTGGCGAAGTTTAGTAAGGCAAAGTATTCTGACAGATCATTCTGAATGGGAGTGCCGGACAGAATAACACGTTTGCGTACGTTGAGGCCATTGAGAGCCTCAAAGGTCTGACTTTCACCATTCTTGAGACGGTGGCCCTCATCGCACAGCATGAGACCTATCGGTGCGTTACGCAGCTCGTCGACGTACAATCGCAGGGTCTCGTAAGAAATGATCAGCACCGGTCGGGTGACAGCACGGCCAGTAGCGGAAGCCCATCCGCGCATTTGCTGGGTGAGTTCCTCTTTCGAAGCTTTGCCGTCGACTGCGAAAGGAGTGATTGCATCCGGGCCCAGCCATTTGACAAGTTCGTTGGCCCAATTGCGTACCAGACTAGATGGACATGCAACAATGCATTTTTGGATCGTGCTCTTTCCAGCCTCGGGGGCCTGCTTCAGAAGTGTCCACATCAAAGTAATGCACTGCAGCGTTTTGCCGAGACCCATTTCATCAGCCATGATGCAGCCCTCTGCAGTGGGATCGATGAGACCCGTCGTACATTTGTACAAGAACTTCACCCCCTCAACTTGATGCGGGCGAAGCTTTTGTGCCAGTCTTGGATCAATGACGACGGGCACTTTGGGCCGCTCACCGTCGACTTTCTTCTTGATGCCGAGGATGTCCGCAAGGCTCTTGTGCATCAAAGGCTCATCTAGCTTCTGCTGTTCTTTCTCCACCCCTTCGTCCTTCTTGTCTTCGCCATCTTCGATTGCCTTAGGTTCCGGCTTTCCATCAACCGTAGGGTCGAACAGGACGATGGCGAACTCTCCGCTGGGATCATGCAGTGGTTTTGCAATGAAGACAGCTCCTTGTCGTAGACCTAGCAAAGGAGGTGGTCTGACAGCATTGTATGATGTCAAGTCTTTGTTCTTCAGCGGCACCGAGAATCGTGACCTGAATGCCGTGTCTTTATCTTTCGGTTTGAAGACTGGGAAACGATTGACGTCGCGCGTTGTCAATGCCAGGCGATCCTCGTTGGTATAAGGCTTGTCGGCATCCTCACTGGCATCCGCGCCACCATAGTCGACCTTTCGTCTCTTGCGCGCGGGTTTGTCTGATACTCGGGACGGTGTATTGGCGCCGGGACACTTGAAGGGCTTGAACAGGCGATCGGTGGATTGGGGTGTGCCGCCGTAGACTCGTGTTCGCGCTTTTGCGGATTGCGGTGGAATATTCTCCTTCTCCATCGCGACGGTCATGTCGGCAACTGGTCGTGTCGAGTCGAGCAAGTCAATGTCTTCGCCACTGTTGCCGATAGGGAAGGAAGAACCTAGGTAGGATCTCCGACGCGAAGCGCGTTCGACGTCGTCTTGGCGCGGAGGCAACAACGCGCTAAGGCACACAGTCATGTGATCTGCTTGTCTCGCTTTCGATCCAGCTTCACCCATCGATATCAACTCCCACGCAGCGAGGTGAGTCGGACCGGGACTCTTGTCGGTCACTTGCAGGCCAGAACGGACGACTGCGATTTGGTGAAAGAGAGGGCAAACATGACTCCAGCTATCTAGACTCGCAGCACGAAAATGCCTATTCCCTGTAGATACTCCCACACCATTTCCTGTGCTTTTTATTACAGCTGCTTACCTTTCATCTTCGACTCTGACCGCAACAAATAACACGACATGACGAACGCTTAGGCGGCCGAGCATGACATCTGTCAACTACTAGACCTCCCAGCAGAAATGCGCAACAATATCTACCAACTCGTTGTTCTCTCCGAAAACGCAATAAACTTCCACAAGGACAAGCGCAAAGCACCCACATTGCTCAGCGTCCACAAGCAGATTCGCTGAAGCCTCGTCAATGTGTCTCCAAGAAATTGAGTTCGCCGTCGATATCTCAGACGTCAGCACTGCCGGCCTCCAGATGTTCGGGACCCAAAGTGCAAAGTACTTCGGCGCCACTACGTCTATCTCTCTGACTCACAGAACGCATCGGCTTGTGTGGGCAATAGGCTCGAATGTTTGACGGCCGGAAGTATGTACAGTGGCCAATATCCTCGACATGGTCCTTACTCTTCGAGGTAAGCTTGCTTGGTCGGAGATCAATTTCGACCTTGGAGATTGCGAAGCGAACAGCAGAGCGAGCCGAGCTTCGATTCTATTCAAGCTGCGGAGAGGCACACCGGACGAAGAATGCAAGGAAGCATCCCAGTTCTGTGAAGGATTAGTACTTCTTGGGGAACAGTGGATGGCAGCCGAAGTGGCAAGGACGCATGACGATACGGTTGCATAAACAATGGGACCTCAACGAGATCCCTTCAGGATACGTGGATGCTTGAGGGGCACTCGTGAACAAAGATACGATTGCTTGCTTGTCGACCTTGGTCACGGAAAGTGCAGTACTGGCAGATGCTTGACTTGGATATCCCATCGAGGATGCGTTGAGCGAGAGGAAGCGCATCCTGATCTGAAATGTCGGCCTATCCGTCTGGAAAGCACGCAAGCGTTCTTTCGAGGTCCTCGGTAGCTTGGTCAATATCAGACTTATCGGAGGGACGCATCTCGTAGCCTCGCTTTTTCAGGAGTCAATTGCAGCAGATATCTACTGATCTGCCTTCTGAGTCTCTCGCTCCAGACTGCGTGAAGCAGTCATAAACGCCTGAATGCACATCATGTTCCACCTTGCCGCTCCGCGCACAGAATCAGAATCCTGTCCCACTGTTAGCACTTCGTCCCAACTGTATCACCGCTCTTGCATCCAATGGTATACGTACGTAAAGGCGTGAAGAACCAGCGGTTCTTTCCACTCACGTAGCGCTCCTCGAGCGCCTTCTTGACAGTCTTCTTCGCCTCCTCACGCTGGGTAACTTCGGTGAAAGTCTCGTTGGTGACGACGCCCTTCAATCCCTCCAACTCCAGAGTGTAGCGAGTTGGCATGAGGTGGTTGTAGTTGACCACCTTGATAAACGGCTTGACCTTGCTTCTCTTGTTCTGGCGGGTCTTCGACATGCGGCGGGTGATTTGTTGCGGGTAGCGCTCGATACCGGCGACGATCGCGTGGGGGAAGGGGTGCTTCTTGCTACCGTTGTCTTGAGGCTGAACGATGACGACCTTCTTGCCGGCGTAACGACCGCGCGAAATGATGGCCTGCAATTTGGACTGTGTTAGGATATGCTCGATGTGTACTTATTCGCAGCGCTGGTTCAACGTACCACTCGGCCAACCTTGAGGACTAGAGAATCGTCAGTCTTGTCGCATTGCTACCAATATACGCCATGGGACACTTACACTTCATTGCGGCGTGCTGTGTTGTTAGTACCGTTCCGTGTCGTCGCTGAAGCCGAAAGATTGGAGGTGCAGAATTTCGGTCGTGGAGTAGAACGGTCACGTGTGGCTTGGCGGAAGTGGAGCGGCGGGAGCGGAAGCGGGAGCGGGATCGGCCGGTCCATAGCAACCGGCAGCCTCGTGCGAACTTCACTGTTTACCGACGACGCGGCGTGTGCTGGCAGCGGACCCTTCGTCTTCTTGCTCCAACCGCCGCGACTTCATCACCACCTTCCCACCCACCTTTGCTACCTTTGGACAACTTTCTTCTACGAGTGTCTCGTCTAGTCGTGCAGAGACAATGCAATTGTGCGCCCAACTTGCCGGTAACAACTAGACCGCATCTTCTACGCGACGCATTCCAGCAATCTCGGCTCGACTTGTACACGCCCATTACCACACAGAAACTACCACGGCGAAATGTCACGAGAAGCGTCTCGGGACCGCGATATCGGTGCCAGACACCACCATCGCCATTCACATTCCTTCTCCGAGTCTGGCAATAGCCGCTTCAATGTGCCTATGTAAGTACTGAACATATACTGATATCATCGATCGCACCAGCAATCGAATGCGAGTCTGGCTACAACATGACATTTCTAACGAATCTCAAACGCAGGTGGGATAGTTCCGACCCAGACCGCGCACCGCCGCCTTTGCCTCTCGCGCCTGGCCAAGGAAGCCCGACTACGAAAGCAAACACATCCGCTGGTATTGCCGCGGCTGCCAAGCTGATAGTAGAACGGGCTCGTGACAGTGCGCCTCTGTCCACTTACACACGCAATCTGAAAGAGTCCGAGGCCAGTCCGGAGCGATCGTTGGTTAAAGGCGCCCATCACAAGCGCATGCAATCGTTGCAACCGGGCAATGTCAAGGATTTGAGAAGCTACCTCGACAACAACCGATCACCAGACCGCTCGCCTGAGCGACCAGGCTCTAGAGGCACATTCTCCCCGTACAGCCGAATGAGCAGCCGCGACAATATTTCGCACACTCCAGATCGGTCTACTACACCTACTCCCGCTGAGCGACCGGATCCACTGAAGGACGCGCCCAACTTACGACCCTCTACTCGGCAGCAGTCAAAGCCCATTCTCGGCGAGAACACTCCTCCGTCTGCCACGATGCTGGCGTTGCAGACTATGCAAGTTCCGGACCCGCCTTTGAACGACATTACCAATGGTCCTAGTACTCCAGGCGGAACCCGCGTGCACACAACTTATGACTTCTCCAGTCAGCTTTTGAACTTGACCACAATTGCATCCAACCTGCAGAAAGAGATGACTCAGCTCAGTAGACGAAGCAAGGACAATGCCACAGATCTCTTGACACTGAAAGAGGCAACGAACTCTCGTGATGAAGATATTCGCAAGAGTCTGAAAGATCTTGCAAGCACAGTCTCTTTCGCGCAGCAGGGCTTGCTTGGTCCGCCGCCGCCAATGTCAGCTGGGACCAACAGAAGTGCAAGTGGGCACAGCGCGCCTCATTTCCTGGACAACAAGGCATTCAGCACCCCGCCGTCTGCGTCCAAGACTTTCAACTTACCGAGAGCAACAAGTGCGCACAGCTTTCTCGATGATAGATGTGGCTCACCTTCACCATACTCAGTCGAAGGCGCTGCAAGCGTTGCTATGCTAGAGAAGATCATTCGCGAGATGGTGACCAAGGACGGCCAGGAACGCCTGCTTTCGACACTGTCCGAGCTATTAGAGAAGAGTCGAGAGGAGAATGTTGAGGCTGCGAAGAAGGTTGAAGAGCTCTCCGCTTTCATCAGAGAAAAGCAGGAGTCGCAAGCCTTGGTTCCTGTCCGTAGTGCGGACAGCGGTGCGCCTAAACTGGAACTCGACTTTGACACACCACGCAAGGCTGGTGGTAAGGAGCAGGATTCAGCTGCCAAAGAGGAGATCATGAGGATTCTGCAGCGCATCAAGGATTCCGTTGCACACTCAGGTGGGACCAGTGCGGAAGTCAAAGGCCTTGTACGAGATCTACGAGGTGAAGTTCTAGGCATGGGACGCGAGCTCGGCAAGAAGCTTGACCAAATAAGCGAAGCCTCGCTCAACAACACCCTGGATCGGTCAATCGATGAAGGCAAGGGCTCGGAGCAGATGGAAGAAGTGCAGCGAGTTGTCGAGGAGGGCATCGCTGAACTGAAGCGACATCTTTCCAGCGCCTTGAAAGAACGCGCCGAACAAGACGATGATGCGTTCAAGCAACTGGCTACGACTCGATCTGGCCCGAACGGAGAGGAGATGCTCGCAGTTGTCAAGCACGCCCTTGCGGAACACAGCGATACTCTGCAAAAGCAGGATTCGGAAGTCGAAAACATCGGGCTTAACCGAGACAGCGTCCTAGATGCCGTGAAGGAGGGTCTGAAGGACTTCGAGCCCAACATCGAGCTGCAACAATTCGGCCTTGAGCGGGATGAGATCCTGTCCGTACTCAAGGAGGGTCTCGAGGAGTATCAGAACAACCGATCTGAGCCAGCGGCTGCTTCCATCGACAAGGGAGAACTTTTCGAGGTCATGCAAGAAGCGCTCAAGGATTTTCGGGCGCCGGCTCCGTTTCCAGCAGAGCAGCTTTCTGAATTGAAGGAGGAGTTGCTTGGCAACGTTCGAGAGGCTCTCGAGCAGTTCAGTCCCCCAGCCACAGGCCCTGCCATGGACAATGAGGCCATGCAGGCCGCAGTTTTTGAAGCGGTCAAGGACGGATTCGCCAACCATGGGCCATCTGCACCACGCGAAATCGAGATCAGCCGCGATGATCTTTTCGACGCAGTCAAAGCCAGCTTGGATGGCTCTACTATTCCCTTTGGCGGATTCGGCGAGCAGGTGTTGAGCCAGTTGAAGGAACTCATTGACGGCATGCGCCTCGAATTCAAACAGTACTCAGCTGCCAACGGCCGCGATACGGAGCAGGTTCTTGACGCTGTGAAAGACGGGCTAGAATCTCTCCGCTCGGAGATCGAATCCTATGTCGATCGCGCTCAGGATGTCACTGGCAAGGACGAGATCGTGGACACCGTCAAGATTGGGCTTGAGCAATTGCGACAGGACGTACAAGGTTTCTGTGCACAGGGACCCTCCCACGACAGCGGCAAGGCTGAGATGCTGGAGTACATCAAGGCTGAATTTGAGCACCTCCACGATGCAGTGGGCAACAACGGCAGCTCTCGCGAGGTTGAAGAGTCCAACGCGGGTCAGACAACCGCCGTTATTCTGGCCCTCAAAGAAGGACTCGATGACCTCAAGTCTCATTGGGAATCTCGAGACGATATGACGTCTAATGAAGAGCTCAACGAGGCTATGAAGGAGGAATTTGAGCAGCTGAAAGGTGCCATTCTCGACGCGAACGCTTCCGACAAAAGCGAGCTTATCGAAACAATTCAAGACAGCATGGGTGCTTTGCATGCCAAGTTTAGCGGCAGCGAGCTCAGCGACCTCTCCGGTGGCTCCTCTGAAGAAATCGTTCACGCCATGCGCGAGGAACTGGCAACGCTCAAAGAATCGATCCACGCAATGGTGAGCGAGGTCGACAAGGACGCTGTGGTAGAGGGTGTCCGACAAGCCATTGATGACCTCCGTGTACAACTCTCTAGCGAGCAGAATGACGCCTCGGCAGAGGCAGTCGGGGCTCTGAAGCAGGAGCTGGAGAGCTTCAAGGAGTCCTTTGGTAGCTCGCTGGTCGTTGGTGGCAGTTCAGGCGAAAGCACGGAAACGTTGCAGCAAATCCAAGCTACACTGGAGGAAGTGAAGGAGAGTGCAGGCAAAGCTGCAGGCAATGGCTTGAGCGATGAGCAACTTGAGGCTTTCCGCGGCGAATTCGAGAATCTACGCAACTCGATCGCCAACAGTCTCGTTCACGGTGGCTCCAACGACGAGGTCCTCGATGCTGTCCGGCTCGGCTTGGACGATCTGCGTTCGCATCTTGAGCGAAAGCTGGATAACCCTGAGAGCGTTATGTCCCACCAAGGGCAACTACTTGATGCCCTGAACGAGGGTCTGGAGACTCTCCGAAGCGATATCGTCAAGACGCTCGACAAGCCTCTGGATATGACTGTCAACTACGAAATCCTGGACACTTTGAAGGATGGGTTGGCCACACTACGCTCCGAGATGGACAAACTGACTGGCAAAGCTGCTGAGACCCAGAGCGGCGAGATTGTTCTTGCTGACGGCGCTGAGGTTGGCGCAGCTCGCGATATCTCTGCGGACGCTGCTGGAGCCGCGGCTGCCGCTGCCGATGGTATCAAGCGTGCTGACTTTGAGCGAGTCGAAGTCCTGCTCGCGCAACTGCAGATCAAAATCGAGGCTCTGGAGCACTCTGTTCAAGACCTGCCCGCGCATCAAGAACCGCAGGCGGCAGCTCCTGCAGAGGGCACTGCGATGAAGGAGGATCTTGCTGCGCTTGAAACGATGATCAAGGAAGTCCAGGACAATATCATCAGCCTTGCAGCCATCCAAAAAGACGAAGCCCCAGAGGGTGCCGCTCGGAAGGAGGATACCGATGCCATCGAAACGCTGCTTCGTAACACCAAGGCTCATTTGGAAGAGATGGTACTACCTGACCCAGAAGCTGGCGCTAGCAAAGAACAGCTCGAAGAAGTCCACACGGCGGTCAGAATGGCCAACGATGCACTGGACGGTTTGGCTGACAAGCTCGAGAACACAACAGCAGCCAAGGCTGACGTCGCCGTGGTCGAGGTGCTTGCGTCTGACATCAAGTCAATGATGGAGGAAGTCAAGGAGAAAGTCATGGCTGCCCCAGCAGAGGACGAAGGCAAGCCAGAACCAGTGACGAAGTCAGACCTCGATGTTCTTGGTGTCCTGTGTACCGAGATCAAGACTCGTGTCCATGATATGACTCTTCCTGATCCCGAGGATATTCCATCGAAGGCCGACATTGAACAGCTTCAGGGCCTCATCCATGACTTCCGCGATAGCCATGACAAGATGAAAGACAGCTACGAGAATGACATTGCTATCACGGCCAAGGCGTTCGATGACCGCAAGCAGGAGCATGAGGACACCGTTACGCAACTTGGCGAAGTCAAAGCATTACTTGACGAAGTGAAGGGCGAACTGCTCGAGAAAATGAGCGACGGTGAAACTGGCTTCACGTCCCTCAATGATACCCTCAAGGGCATTGAAGAGCGAACCGGTAACGATAACGTCGTCTCCGAGGTCAAGGAGGTCATGGAGAAGATAAAAGAGGAATTCGAACGTGCCCATGAGTCGCTGGGTGCAATCAAGGTCGATCACTCGCAGAATGCTGAGAGTGCGCTGGAGAAGCAGTCCGAGCACAAGGCCGCGGTTGTCTCTGAACTCAGCGACAAGCTTGACACCCTATTCGTTGGGCTGACGAGCAAGTACGAAGAGGCTCAAGTAGCCGCTGAGGAGAGGGCTAAAGCCATGGACGATAAGGTCTCTCAGCAACAGGAGATCTTTGACAGCATGAAGTCCATGGCCGACGATCTGAGACTATCCATTGATACCCTTGGCACCACTCTCACTACGTTCATAGGAGACCTGCCGGCCACAGTGGATAGGATGGCCGAGGAATCGAAAACAGTATTCAACCAGGCAGCCGAGACCCATACCAAGGTCGAGGAGGCCACCGAAGATCTGAAAGCGGAGCACGGCGCTACGCGTGAAGAGGTTGCGAAGGTCCTGGCTGCTGTTGATGTTGTTCAGAGCGACATGGCTGAGCACAACCCACGCTTCATGGTCACTCTTGAAGAAGTCAGAGCGCTGATCAACCAGCACTACGAGCATTCTCAAAAATCCTCTGAAGCTGCCGACGAGCACGCTCAGGCGGTCAAAGATCTCCAAGATGCGTTGAAGGCAGGCTTCGAAGACTCAAAAGCCCAAGCACAAGCGCATCAGGACGGTCTGAAATCCCATCACGAGGAGCTCAAGACAGCACTACCTGCGCTCATGCCACCGCCGGTTGAGGCCCCGGTTGTTGAGAAGTACGATGATACAACTGTCCAGGAGAAGCTTGACAAGCTTATGGGCCATGTTGAGGAAGCTTCATCTCGTTCTTCTCAGCTTGAACGCCTTGATGAGATTCACGAGAAGGTCATGGCAACTGCGGCTGAAGTGTCTGCATTTGTAGCAGCCCAGAACAAGCAAATCTCCGACGATCATGAGACCAAAGAGAGGGAGGCTGAAGCAATTGCGCTCCTCCTTGAGCGTCGCATGGAGCGCAAGGATCAACTGGAAGCTGAGATCACGGTGCTCAACGAAGAGAAGGAGTCTCTTGCCAATGCCGTGGAAGCCTTCAGAGCAGAGAAGGAAGCTCTTGCTGCTCAGAAAGCCCGTCTCAATGCCAACGTCTCTTCGCTCGAGACTGCACTTCATATCAGACGAGACGAGCTTCACGAAATGGACAACAAGGCCGCCGCCATTGAGCGACGCATGCTTGAAGGGGTTATGAACCAGTCTCGGGCGCTGCTATTGGCCAAGGCCAACAAGCCTCCTTCACCCGTGAAGAAGAAGCCTCAAGGTCGCGATCTTCGCGTGCCTAGCAACGCTTCAGCGGCCTCGGCCGGGACAGTGACATCCTCGCTGCCGGGACTGAAGAACAACGTTGCGATGGCTATGAAGTCTCGTACAGGCCTCTTTCGCAACAATGCCGCTGCGAACACTGCCGAGCGCCGCATCATGTCGCTCAACCAGATCAGCCACAACGTCCCACTGGGTGCTCATGCCTTCTCCGCAGACAAGCCCCTTCCGTCTCTGAACGCGCTGGCGCGCAGCCAGTCAGTCCGAAATCAGCCTCGGAAGTTCTCTTGGGCCGGGAAGCGCAACATCAGCGCTACCTCGCACAACAAGGAGAATGAGACCTTGTCCGAGGAAGATGAGGAGGATCTCTCCGAGCGTGCTGAATCCAGGGTGGGCGAGGAATTTGGCAGCGAGGCTGGCACTGAGCGCCGAATGAGCTACCTCTCCGGCACTGATGGTAGCATGACATACGCCACGGGTAGCTACCTCGACGGCGAGACTCCAGGTACAGATGATGGTCACCGGAGTGGCTATGCGCCGAGCGAGATGACCTACGATACTGGCAGCTACTTGACAGGTAGCTACCTCACGGGGAGCGAAGTGGACCGGCGAACGAGTGTCGGAAGTTCGGCAAATGGTGTGGTCGGTGTCGAGTCGGCAATCGAAGAGGAAGCGGATGCGGAGCTTGGTGCTGAGCGCCAGGAGGAGGTAGGAGATGCCAATCCAGAGGCGCCATTGAAGCTCGAAGTGCCGCCTGAGTCTCCCGAGCAGAAGAAGGAGGGCATCACGTACGCGCCGCCGAGTGATAGTGGACTCGGGACCGACTTGCCCACTGCGGTGATGAGCGGAGGCGAGGATTACTTCAAGTAGATTGAAGAGTCTCAAAATTGCGGTTTGGCGGAGGTTGGGTTATGATTTGACGCTTCGTTTGAACGATGGATTGACGATGGACAAGTGTGATGAGAGGAACTTCTGGAGAGCGATGCGCTTGAACTTGAACAGTACAGCGTTCTGAGCGAGTAATGATTGATGTTGGGGTTTCGTTAGCGTTTATAGGCGTTTACGTTCATTGAAAGATTTGTTCCTTTACATTCGGATGTGGAGGTGAGGTCGGCTCATCTCCAGCGTACCACTTCCACTCCACTTCAGCCTCAATCATGACTCGCCGTGTGGCACCTTTGTAGGATGCTTCTACTACAACCTACTACAGTATCCCATTGGCCAAATCATCTCTCATCATCAACATATGTTTGCAACAAGCTCCTAGGCTATGCTGACGAAGAATGCATTACGTGGACTTGCTACGCCTCGCTGCGAATCCGCCTCCGCGCCGAGCCTGCCGAGACCTCTCGGAGGCATGTGCTGCGCCTCTGATCCATGACTTTCCTATATAAAGAGCGCAAACCATCTATCGATACCGTCCCTGTGGTCCCGTCACAGACATCCCTGTATCCTGCACGCGAACGGGAGACAGCCATCAACCGCTTTTAGACATACCCTCGCGAGCAAGGCGAGGAGCCACGAATTGGATCTGAATCAGATTATCCATTTCCTACCAAGCAAGCATGTCGAAATACGTATGTTCTATTATCCCCCGACGAAGCCCCAACCAACTCTTTGTGCGGGACACACTGACTGACTACTGGTGGTGGGCGCGAATAGGATCCCCCCTCAGGCCCTCCGCCGGGTTACCCGCAACAGCCTCCTCCAGCGCATTACGATGCAGGGCCGGCGCCTGTCGGCGGCGGCGCCGCGAACGATTTCTATGGCTCGCCGCAACAGCAGTATTCCGGACCGTCTGGGCCGTATGGGCCGCCTCCGCAACAGGGACCGTATTACCAGCAAGGCCCGCCGATGGGATACGCACCACCACAGGGCGGATACCCGCCGCCGCAGCAGCAGCAGCAGCCGTACGGATATCAGCAGGAGCGAGGCAGTGGTGCGGGAGGGTGCTGTGCGGGTATCATGGCGGCGCTGGCTTGTTGCTGTTGTATAGATTTTTTGTTCTAGAGAAGAGCTGGGGTTGGTTTTTCTTGTTGGTATTCTGTGGAGATTTTTTCTCCTGTCTATCGGGGAGAATTTTGGCTGGCAGGAAGGTGAGAAGGATCACAGGACTTTGCGAGCGATTGGGACGGTGGGAGTTGCATTTACTGTTTGGGCTGCGCTTGGGCGGCTAGAGCAAGAGCATGGAATATGGAGTCGAGTAATACCTGATTGAAAGGGGGGTTTCCGCGGCATTTGCACCGTACACTGCACTGCACTGCACTGCACTGCTCGCAAAGCTATATCTCTGATTCAACGAAGGCCCTCCTGCCTGTCACAGTCATCGGCCACACTGGATAGGCACCTATGGCGTTATTCCCCTTGGCGATCCAATTGAGCTCTCCACCGCCTCCGTCATCGAAACAGCACCAGTAGTTAACTGCATACCCGGTGCAGTGCCTACCATCGGCGCTGGACCCGTCTGATTTTCGCAGAGAGTGTATCGCCTGCCTGACTCTGTGACTGCAATCCCAGATTTCAGGGTTCAACCAGGGCCTTCTCATCACGATCTTGTGATGTAGCCACCGTAGCAGCAGTCAACAAGAGCCACCCTTGTCCGTTCCCCAAAACGGCTGTCCCAAGCGACTTGGTTGTGCCGTTTGAAGCAGCAGCACAGCAGCAAATTTCGTCGAATCCCTGCTGTCCTGGTTGATGTGCGTGGGTGGGGAAAATTTGGAGCACGGCGTTATTACGTCAGGTCCAAGGCAGATGATAATAATGCGTGGTAAGCATATCGACGGTAGTAGTGTCTTGTTTCATAAAGGCTGCTGAGAACAGGCAGTGGTAGGGTAATGTAAGGTAAGGTGATGGTGGATGGTGAGTCAGCCGGCAATCGATCTTGCTTTTACAGGCGGGCTGACCCGGATCCGAAGGTGAGTAGTGTCATCTCATCTCCATACCTATGTCGAGATGTCGAGATGTCGATATGTCACGATGAAATTGTCTTCCTCATGTCCTCCATATCGATCGAGGCCAATCGCAAAGACGCGCAACCGGGGAAGGCTAAGCCAACTCAAGCCACGCTCCGCCAGCAATTCATTATTCGTCTTGGGAGTCGTGCCTTCCGGATTGGGGAAGGATGTTGAAAGATGGGGGCGGGGGCTGCCAGAAATGTCACGTTATCCTTAGTCCATCCCACTTCACCTCCCAGGCTACTTTCTCATCCCTTGCGACAGACCGGGCTCATCGAGAGCGCCGTAATAATGACAACATCTCCCATCTTGCGAATCAACGCCGAAGCCACCGATTGATCCTCCGTTGGCCTGATGCCATATAGACAGCTCACGAGTAGCAAGCGGATCTCCACGATTTGATCTGTCTACTGGCCGATTGATCGGGCTCCAGCAAGACATAGACTCTCCGCCACGCTCGGTCTTTGCTGCCTCGACGATGCCGTGCGTCCGTATGATGCCAAGTCCTGAGACACAGCGAAGAGCTTATCACGACGCCGCTGCACAACTTGCAGCATCACGACGCCGCTGCACAGATTGCAGCACAGTGGTCATCTTCGCGCACCCAAAGCAGAGAGAGTCAGTGGTCTGCCGGACCATCATCATCATCGGACATGATACAAGCGCACTATGCGGTGTAAACTGCTAATGATGATGATGGTAACTCCAACACCGGCACTCTGGGGGCCTTCCTGGTCGTGCTTGTCACTCGATCGATTTGAGTATGAAGGGTCATTGTTGAGCCAGAAGCATCGTGACATCTGGACATCATGGAAGATGATAAATATCGTCGACTATGAAATGTACGCGGTGTAGGCATGCATGCGGCTCGTCTCACGAGTCGGACAATTGCAGAGCCGCATCGAGGGACACATCGATCGTCGATTGGGTCCAGTATGACGCCAGTTTCCCGGCCCCGTCGGATTGCCAGTTTCAGCGCACAAGCGCATCCGATTTGGACCTTGATATCCAGTGCATCCTCTGATCTTCAGTCCGGAGAGGTTGCAGTGAGGGTCTCCATCGTTGCTTGCTCACATGGCTACTCGCCTTCGAGACGGAGGGCCACAGGAGCCAGTAAAAGTCTGCCAGGAGCTGCCAGTAATCCGGTGTCAGACGAAGGTCGCGCATGTCTCCCAGTGTCCAGACCAACAGATGGGAGTGCACAGAGGATGACCGTACGCGGGGCCTGGCCTCTTTAATCGGTCGATGGCCCCCATAAGTGGCAGGGTGCATGGTATGCTAGTGCGCTCCGAGGACCCTGAGGCGCAGCGTGAGTTTCGATGTCGGACACCTACGCCATGCCAAGAAATGCCCTGGGGATCGGCGCTGCCAGCGTGTGCAGGCGCCATCGCACAATCGTAGCACGGGCGCGCACGGTCCAGCGATCGTTAGCGATGCACTCCCTTCCACATCGACGTTCAGGCTGGGAACGGCGATGGTCATCAATCACGGGCTGTTTCTCGGTGCCGCACGCTCTCGATATGCTCCGCATTGTGAGATGCGCCCGCGGATGCGATTCTACTGACGTCCGTACCTGGCCCTCTGACCACCACTCGCTCCAACGCATCTCGATTTGACCGTCGGCCTTTGCATGTTACCCGCTCGCTCTACTACACACCTTGTCCCCCCCCGACTCCAACCTCTGCTCTTGTATCCGTTTTTAGCAAACCACACCCCCAAACCACCCACCAAGAGCAAGAGTCTGGACAATACCGGTGATTCGAGCTGCGACGACGCATTCATACGACGCACATGGATCCGACCTGCCCTAATAACCTACTTTCATAAGCTTCAAGCAGATGGCAGACGAACGCCCGCATCCGACGATTGTTACGACACCGCCAGCACAGGCCGGAGCTACCTCGTCGCCTCATCCACGACGACCCCCGGCGTGTCGATCCGTATCGCTGCTTCACTCCTCTCGGAAGCGTTCGTCTCCCACCAAGGACCAAAGCGATTCTTCCAGCGACAGTGCGGTCTTCAGGCGCAAAAAGTCCAAGACTGGCAAGGACGATGATTCGCCATCCAGTTTGCAACCGTTGGGAAGAGAAAGTTCGGGCGGGAGCAGTAATGCGGAAAAATGGTTCGAGAAGTCGAATAACGAGCTGCGCGACAATAGCGCTTCTTTTGCCGATAATGAACCGCCATTCTTCATGCGCAACTCATCTTCGTCGGAGACGCCACCGGAAGCACAGAACCAGATGAGCCGGTTTCTGAGTGTCCCGAACGAAGCAAGTACCCTACCGATGCGAAACAATTTGCTCCATTTTGGTACCGATGGCAGCAGCACCGATGACTTTCGCAGCGTCATCGACGATCTTACAATCGAGAACAAGAAGCTCAAGAGAAGGTTGAAGAAATACGAAAAGTTGCACGATTCACATCTTCGGGACGAGAAGCTGTTCGAGGTCAGGATACACGGACTGCCGCCGGAGAAGAAGCGTGAGTTGGAGGAAACACTGCGGAAGTTTGCGTCTGGCCTTTCAAGCAATGGATTACCGGCCGCATATGAAGGCTTGCTGCCCGTGCTTGGCAAGCAAAACACATCATCGTCACAGACCTCTCATCAAAACACCGATTCGGCCTATGCGTCCATGTCTGGCCAAGGTTCTTCCGCTCAATCTGGCACCGAGATGAAGGCCAAGCACCCGGGCGGAAGTTCGGCTTCCAGAGCACAGAACATCCATACCTATTTGCATCAGATTCCAGAAGGACTGTTGCCGCAGACAAACCCCGCGAATTTGACAGAGCGCTCGAAGAAGAAGCTCGTTGTACGTCGACTGGAGCAGATTTTCGCTGGCAAGGGCGCTGCTCTCGGCGGTCATCAGCACTCTCAACAGCAGGAAGACGTTTCGCAAATGGCGGCTCGAGCGGAAAGGGCTGCGGGTGAAGCTCAAGGACAGCGATCTCGCGGTGAGGGTACTCGTGAGGCCCATATCATGAAGGGCGAAACAGAAGACCCGGCAGAGCCGAAGAAGCGGACTGGCCAAGACACGTCGCGGGATGATCAAAGCTACAAGTCTGCATCGAAGTCCCGAGCTCAGAGGTCGAAAGAGGAGCTAGCAAACCCGGACTCCCAGCCAACAGGTGAGCAACGGCCAACGCGACCTCTTGACTTGGATCCGCACCGAGCCCAGGTACCAGCAGAGAACCTTCGCTACATTCGACATCTGGGCTTTTCGCCTCCAGACCTGGATTCGGAGCGGTCACCCGAGGAGGGCCATGGTTGGATCTATCTGAATCTCTTGATCAACATGGCACAGCTTCATACTATTCACGTCACCTCGGAATTTGTCAAGAAAGCTTTGCTGGAATACAGCTCGAAATTCGAGATATCTAGTGATGGCAGGAAAGTAAGATGGAAGGGAAGGCATTCCGTCACGCAAAACAGCAGCAGCGGCGGCTCAACTCACAGTCGTGCGGGCGTAGACACGCCAGATGTACAAAGTCCGCGCAAAAGACCAAGGCTGTCGTATCGCCAGACTACCCAATCGGGTGTTTCCAGTGCCAAACCTGGCGCGGTTTCTGCGCTCCGCAGCCAGAACGAGAATAGCAAGTTGGTCTACACGCCCATGTTCTTTCACCGCGATACTTCAGAGGACTCGGAGGACTCATCGGAAGACGAGGAGGGCACCATGTCCCCTTACCCAGCTGCGCCCGCTGGAGACTCTTCTGGCATGACCAGTTCTGGAATGCGCACAGCCTCGACGAAGAAATACAGGAAGCGCGACGACGGACCCATCATCTTCTACAACAACGCGCGGTTCTGCACAGACCTCAGTGGGGATCGAAAGCCCACTGGTCACAAGGCGCCTCCATACACTGCAGCAACGACTGTCCCCGTTGGCAGACCACAAAAACCTCCCGTCGCAACCTCCGAGAAGCGTGGCCCTCTAGCATTGGCTGCTGAACTACCTGAGCCGATGGACCTGGATGACAACCCGATTCCCGAAAATATGGAGCTCACATTTCCGCCGCCTTCCCCTAGGAAGTTCGACAACAAGCAGCGAGCTACGTACGCCACCATGGAGGCCACGGGCATTGGAGGGATCGTGCCTACGGACCATTTTGCGATCGGCGTAGAAACTCACTACGCCCTGCTGGAGCACGCCGACGCACAAGCCGTGTCGCGAAATGATGCTTCGAAGTACACGCCAGCCAAGTTTGCCGACATTCTCGAGCAAGGAGGGCGTAGGAACAAAGCTCGTGCCGTGGTGCAGGAGCGTGTCGTTGCCACCAACAAGGAGAACCTTCCGCCTTCTGAGCTGCCACCGGCGCTCAGTTTCATGCCGTGGAGCGAGGGATTCACCGGCGACGACGACGAGTCCGACGTAGACGAGGTAATGTCTGTTTCGCCAGAGTCTCCTGGTGCGATCCTGCCCTCCGCGGCGCGTCAGCCTGTCGAATTGCACTACGCCTCTTCAGAGGAGGAAGGAGAAGACAGCGAGGATGACGACGGGCAGTCCGATGATGGCTCGCTCGATCTCCTCGCGGCCGCTCGTGAGGCTGATCCGGAAGCGATCCTGCAAAAGGAGAGGGAGTATGACGCAAACATGGCAGACCGCCTCGCCGAAGAAATCCCAGCTGGCAGTAGTGCGGCGACCGCGGGAGGAGGCAGCGGATTTGCTAGCCCGGTAGACGGCATAGGCATGACCCAGAAGCAATACCAGCGTGCTCTGCAGGAGAGTCGGGGCAAGCAACAGCCTCGTGCCACACTCCAGCGAGCAAATACGGGTGATTCTACCAAGGTGCATGGACCGGATGACTGCAGCGAGAACGAGCAGGAGGATGAAATGAATGATGTGAGGTCGTAGATATCCCCATGTGCAGATTAGCGAATGCAGTGGAAGGGATGACATGCCGCAATCTCAACTGCCATCTGTACAGTCCGATCTCCTTTTCCGTGATGAGTGGAGATGTGAGGTCCAGTGGTGGAGACCTCATTTGACTTTTCGGAGCGCCGGGACTTCCGATCGATCGGGAGGCAGCGTATCTCGTGACACGCCGTCATTTAGCTGTCACTCCGCCTGTCACTTGCCGTCGACTGTCTGTACCCGCACGCAGAACGTTGTCGCTGCAGCCAACGGCCAGCCAAAAGCATCTGCCTATGTGGTCGAGAGACAAGACTCCATACTGCCCTGCCGAACCGAACCGAACCGAACCGAACCCTGAACTGCGCTCCCGTCGCTCGGTTTCGCTCCGCTTCCTCTCGCTTCGCTTCGCTTGCTCCCGAGCTCGTGGCACCTTACCCTTCCGCCCAATCCATCACGCCCTTTCAACTCCGAAAACCACGCGACTGCCACCCGAATCTCGACCCTCCAAATACACCAACTCGCATTGAAGCCTCCTACCATTGGCATGAGCTATCCGTAGACGCCCAGTATGGATCCACAACTGGCCGCCATGGAGACCTCGTCGCCGTATGGAGAATCAACCGCCGTTCCACCCCAAGCCGAAGTAGACGACTTTTTACGTATGTCCTATCCATCCATCCATCCGTCACAGCGTACAACCTCCTCCCACACCCTTTTCCCCTGCCCAAGGCTGACCATTGTGGGTATCGCGACAGGGAAGAAACGAAAGGCGCGAGAGCACAAGGCTTGTTATCCGTGTCGCCAGCGCAAAGTGAAGTAAGCCGTCACCGGCAAAGACCATTTCCTCATCGAGCAAAGGCCCTGACGTTGAACAGATGCGATCTATCGCGACCCTGTCAGACATGTCGTGATCGCGACCATCCAGAATTGTGTTCATACCATCCGCCAAATAAGAGGCACAATGTCGAGGGTCAGCCCCCAGCGCCTGTCGTCAAAATGGGCGACGACCCTGCGCATGCGACTTCCGCACCTGGCTCCAGCTTCGTGACGCTCGGGAGAAGTGAATTCGACCTGCTCTGCCGCAAGCTCAACGGCCTTGAGAATTCGATTGCGGAGTTGAAGCGTGAGATCAGGCGCAATCAGGACCAGAACGGGAACCACGACAGTGATGGTGGCACGAGCAGTGACGGTCCTCGCGCCCAGACACACTACGATGTTCATGGTCTTCATACAAAGAACGAATCGGTATGTCTTGGTATCTTGCGCTGAAGGTCCCAATGCTGACCTTGGGTCCCAGGGAGAGATTGTGCATCTTGGTGGAGGCTCCGTCCCCGCAATGCTCTACGCTCTGAGCCAAGGCCAAGCACCCACGGGCCAGGAACAGGCGCAGCTACAGGAATTCTTGGGCAGATCAGTCCTGCCTCTCTTCGGGCTCGACAACGAATCTGCCACCTACCCTTTCGTGGACTTGTGGGGCCTGCCGCATGGGTCTCTCCAACGCGCGCGAGAGCTTGCCAAGGCTCTTCCTAGTGATGCCCAGATGCTCAACCTGTTCCGCAGCTACCAGACCATGGGATACATCATCTACCCTGGCATCGCCGACCTGGACCAACTGGAGGCAGATTTGACGAGTTTTCTCATGGCCCGCTCCTCTATCGCGGATCCCGATGACGGTGTGACGGAACAGACCATATACGGCAAGAGCTACTACTGGCTTGGCATGGTGTTCGCGGTGCTTGCCAGTGGAGCTCAGTGCAGTGCCTTGACGAGAAAGGAACGAGAACTGACCTCGCAAGTCTATGGTCAGTCGCTCGATCGGACTGGGTGCGAGGCACGCTGACCTTCTACAGTGTGCTGCGGTTTCGAATGCCTTCGCTTTACAAACTTCCTTGCACAGCCCCACGTGGAGAGCATCCAGGCGCTCCTGATCATCGGACATGTCATGACAAACAATATGGTACGCTCTGTCCTCGGTGCGCCGTCCGATCCAGTACCTAATCTCGCGCAGAATGCGGGCACTGCGTGGTCTCTACTGGGCTTGACAATAAGACTTGCTCAAGGCCTGGGGCTGCACCAGGCGTGTCCACCTCACATCCCCAGAGAAGCCGTCTTCCCGCGATCAAAGGTTTGGTGGGCAGTCATCTGGCAGGACAGTCTGCTGTCCATCACATACGATCGCAACGCAGCGCTCGATGTCAACATCAGCACTATGCCGATGCCTCAGCATTACGGTCCAGTCGGCTCATACCACGCTTCCATGTACCGGATCTGCAAAGTTGGCCTGGATATTGTGAAAGATCGGGCCAAGATGGGCAGCTCGCGAGAGCAGGTTGCCAGGATCAATCAGCTTCGGGAAGAGATTTCTAGCATCATGCGGGATGCCAATGAGCATCTTCGCGATTCGAGAATGTGCCAGACGAGCCAGGAGACCTTGGAACACTGGGCGCTCTACTTGCACACCAGCTACGCGATGAGCGAGCTCTGTCGACCTGCCATCAGCCCCAGAACTTCAAGCGAGGTCATCAAGTCGTTCCGTCAGGTCTGCGTGGAGAATTTGGTCAACGTCGTTGAGTCCTTCTTGGGTCTCAACAACATCACCTTCTTCGCAAGACAATCGTGGGCTGCAGTACATCGCGCTCTCAGCTCCGCGCTGCTCCTCGGTATTCTCGGCGAACACACACGGAACGATCGAGCACGCGCTCTCATCGCTCGCTTCATCGCGCTCATGGCGGACATCACTTCGACCGTTGACCCCACGGAGATCTCTGCCCCTGTCCAGCGTGGTAAGTGCTTGCTTCCCTCAGACCTTACCACCGAACCGTCCTAGAAGAAAAACACCTGCTCACAGTTCTCAGGCATTCACGCCCTCCGAAATCTCAACCTCGAAGATCCCCCTCGAAGCACCAGCTTCGCCGAATCCAACAGTGCTCCCCCTCCACCTCCACCTCCTCCTGCTGCCGACGGAGCACCGGCAGAGAGCATGGTCAAACTCGACCCCAGCCAGATGTTCACCCCTTCGAATTCGGAAACCACGGGCACGGCGGAAGAGGAATATTCGCCTTATTCGGTCCTCAACAGTATTCTCTGGGGAAACAATGGTGCGGCGACCCCGAATGATATCATCTAAATCATCGATCCGCGTTAGGGGCCAGGAGAAAAGTGAATGTGCATTTGTCTCTCTTTTTCTCTTTTGGAAAAAATTGCATGGCGCATTATAGAGAAGGAAGGAGGGAAGCAGGGGAACGAAAGGAGTAGGATTGCGAATCAATTGTGGAAAGGGCAGGGCAAAAGGGGGCGTGTGTGTGTGTGTGTGTGTGTGTGTGTATAATCAATGGAACTTTTCGGAAGAGAAAGCCACGGCGTGTATTTCTTCTCCCCAAAATGCCCCCCTCTCCCCAATCGGCAGACAGACATGTAATAGGACGGACGGATTTCTGCTGTGTGTGTGTGTGTGTGTGTGGTACTCATTGGAATGATTTACTAGTACCACAACACACACACCCCATCCATCTTCTTCTTACTTCTCATGATTTCCTCCCCCACCACCACAAGAGCAAATGTGTCCTTATGGCGATTTTCTAGTTACCAGGTTTCCCTTGCTGGCTGGCCGGGAAAGAAACCTCTGATCAATCGGCGATAATCGTCGAGGGGGAGCACGGCGCTTTGAAAGGAGCAACACAACCGTGACAACATCCGGGGAAAGGAATGAATGCAGTACCCAAGAATTAAAAAAAAAGTCATACGTTCTTGGGCCTGCTGCTAACAACGGCAGGACGCACGCAGCAGTATGACACGCTCGTGTATTCGCATCGCTATGTGAGCTGCATGTTCAAGCTCTTTTCAACTCTTTCGGCTACCGAAGCCTCAAAGAAAAAACCCCCCCGTACCGGGCAAAGTAGAAAGTGGGGTCGGTATCTCTCCTTCATTGATGATCATTGAGCCGCAAAAGCTCCCATCCATCCATCCATCCATCCATCCATCCATCCATCCATCCATCCACCTCCTCGACAACCAAATCACATGTCAAGCAACTCCTCCGCATAATGATCCAAGTAGGTGATCCGGAACCGATCGCCCCAATGTCTTGTCCATTGCGAGTCCTTGTACGCCGAAGCGATGTTCTTGCTCCAACTCACAAGCTCAACGGTCCATCCGGCTTCCAAGGCTAACTCGGCATAGTACATGAAACCATTACTGTACTCGGCAATGGCGGCGTCTCCGGTAGCCAAGACCATGGTGCCAGGCGTCTTGGAACTGAGGATAGAAGTGGCCATTTGCAGATGCAAGAGCTCATCGACACCCTGCTCCACCATCGCGGGAGGTGCGTACTGCGGCGCGTCTGTTCCCGAGGCACTGCCGCTGCCGATACCGCGGTTAGCAGAGCTTGGTGAGCGATACCCATCGAGCACATTGTTGCATGGAGGTGCTCGGTTCGGTCTCTTTCCGTGAGAACGTGCATCCAGGTTTTGGAAGTATATTTGACGTGGCGTAAGTTGTTTGGCCTTGTGAACCTTTTCCATGATGAGGCACTTATAGCCAACAGCTTCTGCTTTGTCAAAAGCAGCCATATGTGGCGTCGTACCAGCCAGCCATCGCTTCGCGACTGGGCGTCTTCTCTCCATCAACAGTGCTAGTCCGTCGAAAGACAGCTGGGGAAGTGGGAGGTAAGTATTAGCAGGAATGCCGCGCAAATGCTTAAGCTCGTCCAAGAATCCAATGAAGATGTTGCTGGCATCAACAAAGACGTGGATGCCGTCAGGGTTATTGTTGTGGGTCGTCATATTGGCAGGCGAAACCAAATGTTTGAAATCTTCTGGAAAGTTGTTCATGATCTTATTGAACAGGGCAAAATTGCGAGCCTCTCCAGTGCGTATGGTCTTCGGCTCGATCGTGTAGAATGGCTTGGTTCCCTTGCCTTTATTGCCAGGCGCGACTGCGTGTGCTGCTGGGCCAGTGGGCACAGATTGCTGTGGAAGCGGATTCTTTGCATTCTGCGCAGGCTGTACCGAAGCTGGAATGAAGTGTGTGGCAGCAATACCGTTTGATGCCAAAGACTGAGGCGTCTGTTTGGCCGCAGTCGGCGATAGAGCTTTGTTCGGCGTCTGCTGTGCGGGAGTGCGCTTGGCCGCGTTTGGCTGTTTATTGTGCATCTTTGGTGTACTTGGGGCTGACGGGGGAAGCAAATCCTGTTGAATGCACGCGGCAGCTTGTGCGACGGCATTGATCGCGTCCTCGTCGGGAATGTTACCCGCTGGCGTAGTCTTGCTACGCGGCGAATTGATGGTTGGCGCGTGATTATGGGAGTTGCCAGCTGGGGTGTGCAGCTTCTTCGAATCGGCCGCAGTGTATTGGTTGGACTGTGCGTCGGTCTCGGACATGCCCTTCTTGTAGTTGTCTCTCGCATCCGCTGCAACCTCAGAGCCACCCGGTGCAGGCAAGCTTGTCTGCGGAGCAGGCAATACGACATGTGCGGATGCCTTGCGGGCGGGTGTGTTCTTTGTCAATTTACCAGCTTCAGATTCCGACACAGCGCCTAGGCGTTGAACCAAGGAATCCTCCGACTGAGATGTGTTCTTGTTCGCCTTCCTCCGGGCCCTCTTCTTTTGAGTCCTGGTCAGAGGCTGAGCAGTAGGCGAAGCAACAGGCTCTTCTTCATCTGTCCCGGAAGACCACTGAAATGTAACCTTGCTCGAATTGTGCTTGCTCGTGTAGGCGGCACCGTCGGAAGCGTAGTCGTGCTTCGCCGAAACAATGTCGTGCGCGCCCTCGGCGGTGGGTGCAGCATCGGGAGGCGGGATCGGCACGCCTAAGAATTGCCACACTTTCGTGAGATTGCCGAGTCTCGTGGAGCTATTTGCTGCGTCTTCATCGAATGAGTCAACCGCTTGAGTTGGCGCATGCTTCGGCACGTCGAATGAGACATCTCTCGCGGCTGGTGGCGGCTGGTGCCCCGCCTTGGGAGACACGGCATTGATATAGTCGAATACAGTGGAAAAGTCCCAAGCGCGGGTGGTCTCGGTGAGCGTGCTCATGTGCGGCGGTGTGGTGGTGCGCGCTCGCTGCACCGCGGACTTGATATGCTTGTAGGCGTCGTTACTCCTTCAGCCGTCGTCGTCGTCGTCGTCGTCGTCGTCGTCGTCGTCGTCGGCAGTCTGGCGGTGGCGCGTAGCGATGAGTGATGGTGGATACAGTAGACTAGAGATCGAGATTAGAACCGAACGCAGACAACCGACAACAGCGTGTCTTGTAGCGTTTCCTCATGGCATCAGCGCGGGCAAGCGTGGCAGCGTGGTCGAGTGTGGCTCGGTCGGTCGAAGTCGAAGTCAAGTGAAGGGTCCAAGTCGGAAGTGAGAGCTGGTGGAGGTGTCATGAGGTGTCTCGGGAGCTTCCGTCGTCGGCATTGTCCTCGCGGGGTCCACGGGTCATCCCACCATCACGTGCCTCGGCCCTCACTGACTTCAGGCCATCCCTCACACATTTCTTTCTACCCTAATTTCCTCCAAGACCTCGCCATGGCTGTATAAACACTTATTGAGCTTGCATGGCGAACTCTCCGTGTCCATCCACTTGTTCGATATGTCCGCTGACTTCTGGTCCGGCTACGTCTCGGGAGCCATTGGGATCCTCGTCGGCAATCCCTTGGACATCATCAAGACGAAGCTGCAATCCGGTTCCGCAAAATCTGCTCCAGAAGGTCCAATCACCAGAAGTGGTACCGATCCTAGAGCAAGTCCCAGCGCGAGCCTGAGCGAGAATTCACCACCATCTCCCGTTGCCCAGCACAAACCCACCCAACGTTGGGCCTCCTTCGCCCGCGGAGCAGCAGCCCCCATCCTAGGCTACGGAGCCTTGAACGCGCTACTATTTGTCTCCTACAACCGCAGTCTTGCCCTCCTCAGCACCGGCAATCTCAATGAACCCCCAGAGACCCCTTCAGCCTGGAGCATCTGGACGGCAGGAGCCCTAGGCGGCCTCGCGACCTTTTTCGTCTCCGCCCCAACAGAGCTGATCAAATGCCGTGCTCAAGTGTCCAACCCACCACGCTCCTCCCTGCAGATCGCCCGAGAGCTCTGGAAAGCAGCGGGTTTGCGAGGGCTGTACATGGGCGGTGCTGTGACGAGCATCAGAGATGCCGTCGGGTATGGGTTCTAGTAGGTCTCTCCACTTCTCAGTGAACAATAATTCTCTCTTTCTTGTCTCGTATGATTGGTAGCTGAGACGTCTGTTCCCTTTTACATAGTTTCTGGTCATATGAACTCAGTAAGCGTGCTGCAGCCCGCGAAGGCGATTCCGCGAATCAAGAAGCTCTCAAGGTCCTGCTGTGTGGCGGGCTCGCAGGTGTGGTGACATGGGCGTCAATCTTTCCTCTCGGTAAAAGCCAACCCATCTCCTTCCTCGATAGTGTGGGCGCTAATCTTCCGGCGGTGGAGACGTGATCAAGACTCGTGTCCAGACCTGGGACCTCGCACGCTCGCCTGCCAGCACGGAACATGTCGCGACCGAATCCTCAGCGCTCTTGAGGTCTTCCGTATCCTCGTCAGCCACCGCCAGAAGCAACATCATCCTCAACAGACCGAGCAGTCTCACCATCGCCAAAGAAGCTTACCGCAAGGAAGGTCTCGCAGTCTTCTTCCGCGGCCTAGGAATCTGCAGCGCGCGAGCCTTCTTTGTCAATGCTGTACAATGGGCAGTCAGTAATCCCAGTATTCTTTCAAATCAATCACAAACGAAAGCTGACACACAGGGAAAGGTATATGAATGGATGTTGAAAACACTAGCATCGGCTCCTTGATTCGCTGGAAAGAAAGAGGCTATCCTCACTACATATTGAATCCTGCCGCACCTTCTCACCAAGGCCGCAAAAATCAAACTAGCAGTAGAAGAAAACCACTTCCTCCTCGCCATGCCATGTGACGTTTCCAGAGTAAGTGAGCCCTCGCGATGCATGCAGAGTATGTGCTGTTCGTCGCTTCTGCTCGTATTCCTACCACCCTGGAGCCCAGAATCAAAAAGACAACCCGAAGAAACCTTATTTTTACACGTGGGGCAGGAGGAAGAAACATCGCAAAGTCAGCCAGTGAAAGCTGTTGAAGTCGCTGATTCCGTTTTGAGAGGGCTCCACGTCGTCGTTGCCCTCGATGCAAAGCAAGTATCGTATATGCAAACAGCCAGACAGTCTAGTCCAGTCGGGAACAGACTCCCATCCGGTCCAATATCTCAGCTGTTACGCATCTGTGTCATGTAGAGTGGTGTTTGGTCTCGTCTTGTGTGGCCGATGTGCCGGAAGTCGACTTTTACATCATTTGGTCCTGGGTCATGCCCGTCACCTCCTGACCTTCCATGGCGGCGCCTGGGTAGAGTGCGTAGTCGAGACCGAGAGGACGTCCACCGTACGAGTAGCTCTGGAATTTGTCGATAGCAGTCTGAGCATCCGGCTGGGAGGAGAATCGGACGACGCCGGAGCCGCGAGAGCGACCGTTCGGTTCGTACTGGATCTCAGCGCGGTCGACAGCACCGATGGTCTGGAAAAGCTCGACGAGGTCTTCGTTGCTAGTGCTCCATGGCAGCTGTTTGCTTGTTAGCGTCTGTGATGTTGCAACGACTCGTGTGATAACTCACGTTCTTGACGTGGATGGTCGGGTTTGGCTCGCCACCAGCAGCGACACCGTCGGTGAAGTCATTTGGCGGGACAGGCTGGGCAGGTGGCGGACCACCAGCTGCTGCACCGTAACCGCCTGGAGCACCACCGTAGCCGCCTCCATATCCACCGCCGTAGCCTCCGCCATACCCGCCACGGCCTCCACCGAAGCCTCCGCGTCCTCCGAATCCTCCACCGAAGCCTCCGCGTCCTCCGAAACCTCCACGACCGAAGCCGCCGGCGCCGCCGGCATGTCCGCCGCGGCCTCCGAAGCCTTGGTTATTCGCGTAACGGTCCTCGCGACACTCAAGAACGCGTCCCTGCCAGTCGTAGCCGTTGAACATCTGGATGGCGTTCTGGGCATCATCTGGGGTGTCGAATTGGACAACGCCGGTGCCCTTGGGGTTGCCGTCGTAGGCTTGGTGAATATCCGCGCGGAGGACATTGCCTGAAAGAGAAAGGTCAGTATGCAGTGTCGGTGATTTGCGTGGATACATATTTGACCCACCTGCTTGACGGAAGAGATCCTTGAGGTCCTGCCAGCCAACGGTGAATGGGAGCTGCGCTAGTGTTAGCCAGCATTCGTGTAGTGAGGAAGAAGAGCACAAACGTTGGAGATGAAGATCTGGCGGTTTGCACCGCCTTGCATCGCGCCTGGGCCGCCGCCATATGCCCCGCCGTGGCCGCCGCGACCACCAAAGCCGCCAGCCATCGCTCCTCCGCGTCCTCCACCTGAGAAGCGAGGCTCAGTCTCACGATCCTGCGCTGCGTCAGTTATGTCTTGTTAAGGAAGCCTTTGGTGTCTCACCTCGCGAACATAGACCAGCCGACCCATAAGCGGCGTGTTGCTCAGAGAGTTGATAGCTGTCTGTGCTTGGTCGCGCGTGGCGTACTCAACAATTCTGCGAGTCGGTTAGCTGCTGTGGCGAAGTTTTCACATCCAGATGTTGTGCTTACCCGCATCCCTATAACCCGAACAAGAAGTCCTATGTCAACCCGTGCCCTCATAATACCTGTGGTAGCAAATAGCCCAGATCAAATTACCTTGCTCATTCCGTTTGGAAGTAGTAGTACGTCCGCGAAGATGACGTCGAGAGTGCCATCTGCAAGCAGTCAGTATCATATCAATGCTAGGAGTCGTGTTTGACTTCTGGCTTACCCTTGCGCATGTGATCTTTGAGATGGTGCCATTTGACGTCGTAGGAGAGGTTGCCGACGTAAACGCGGCGGTCCTGCTGCGAGGACTCATTTACGTTCTTGATCATGTCTTCTTTCGGTGGGCCGCGGGAGTCGTAGCCACGCGCTTCACCGTACGAGCGCGGTGGGCGAGAGGAGCGGTCGTCGTGGTGGTGGCCGTTCGATGCTGGTGGCGAGCGGTCACGGCGATCGCGGCGGTAGCGATCCTCGTCGCGGTCACGGTTGTTTGGTGATCTGCTACGCTCACGGTAGCGTGGCGGCGAGCGAGAACGATCTCGGGAGCGCTGTGTCATCTTGTTAGTATGAAGACCTTTGAATTGTCACAGCCCTTCCGCGTGTTCTCGAGGTCACAGCCCTTCCGCGTGTTCTCGAGATCCAGTCCTGACGTACGTTGGGTTCGCCCTCTTCCTCCCCCCGGGAAGCCTTGCGGACATCCCGCAGCCACTGCTGCTGCTCGGGTCTGAGGATCCAGGAGAGCCGGTCGTTCGTCGCCATGTTGTTGTTTGCTGGAGAGAGAAGTCCACTAGGAAGACACAGGCCCTTTATGAGGGCAAGGCTTGGCGAAACACGTGGGCTTAGTCACGGCTTTTCGACGGCCTGAGGTATCCCCTCACATAGCAACCAAGATAGCAACCAAAGCCTCTTTATCTCGCTTGGATGCAACCCTTGATGAGCTCACGGAGCAGCTCCCATTGGCATGGAGGGAAGCCGACCGGTCGAAATCGAGTGGTTTCCTGGGACAGCATTGTGGTACATGGCCAGGCAGGAGGCAGTGCCGCGGGACCGATCAGAACGAAGCGGACAGAGCCCAGGCTTTGACCGGCAGTTATCATGGCTCACATCCTTCTCGAGCTCAACGGGCATCTCGTGTTGCCTAAAAGCCAGTTGCACGACAGAGATCGCGGAAGGTCGAGCATGAAGGAGTTGATGTCAAGACCCGTCAGAGAAGACATGGCGCATGGCAGCAAGACCGATCGGGTCCAGCAAAGTCCGCAGCACTTCCGGTGACTTCACCAAGAAGCAGCTTTCCTCGTTTCGAACCACACTCGTATGGCAAAGTCCGCGTCAGAGCAAAGAGCTCTGGAGCCTAAGCAAGAGGGATTCAAGCGGCCAGCAGAAATTGAACAACGAGCGCGCCACCTCAAACATGAGAAGCAACCGCTGCGCGCTTGGCTTCCAATCGCACCGCGAAAGCTCAAGGGAGGATCTACGTGAACCACCGGCGGCCACTTGAGCACCTTGGATGCCCGTGGACAACTTCGACATGAGCAGATCGAGACCCCGCAAGTCTGGCGACGACACAACGACGGCAGCGACCAGCAGCCACTCCACGAAGCCGGGAGAATGCCGTCACCCGGGTGTGCAACAGACGGCGGAGAGCTTTGAAAGGATAGGCAGGAGATGGAGCGGAGCGAACTGAAGACGATGTGTCTTGAACAGCAAGCAGCTACATCACAGCGGATGAATTGTCCCGCAAGCTTCTGGTCTTCGAGAGGAATCGAGCAAGGTACCAAGCCTGTGAGCCCTCGTAGCCGGCCGCAGCCTGGTCGTCGATGAGGAGTAGAGGAGCCCAGCCACTGCATCTTGAGATTGAAGCAAAAGAGCGAGAGAGGCAGCGAGTGCACGCATGTTTAGGTACCCTGTGGCATGCGGCATGCAGCGGCAGCCAGATGCTTCCTCCAGCAGCCTCATGTCATGAACGTTGAGCTTTGGTTGCATTTCGAGGAGGCCGGGCAAATCAAGTCGCCACGTCACGACAAAGCAAGGAGCACTGAGGACAAGCAGCTTTGAGCGGATGATTGCCAATTCCGAAACGGTCCTTGCAGGCAACACACGGATATGCTTCGAGACCATGGCTCGGAAGAGGAACTTCTGCCAATACCCAGGATGTTTTGGGCGGTGGCAAGCTGCTGAAAGCTCATGCTGGAAGGTCCGTACAACGTCTGCAGCGCCATGAAGCCAGCAACACGGCAGATATGTTTGGACGCACGTGACTCGGCCTCCAATACCAAGGAACGCCAGCCATCAGACAAGAAAAAAGCTGGAAGGCCCGATGATATCGTAGGACTGTCGTACATCGATCGTGGGCAGACTGAAGGCCTATCAGGAACCCTCCGCGGATAGATACCGAGCAGCTTCGGAGCCGGGAACATCTAGCCAGTCTTGGGAATGCATAGCCAATGGAGCGGAAAAAGGTACTCGCCAAGGATAGGCAGTGGAGCGCAACTTTACACTGGCTGTGGAGATGGCGTCCAGGAGATCTTATCAGTCGAACGTTGTCCAGAAAAGGCGACAGCAATTGCTGGAGGTACTTGCGCTTCTGCACAACCCTCGATTGAAACGACTGAAGGCCCTGCGATGTCGACTTGAGTCGCATGTTGGCCTTGCTGAGTGTTGAAAGAAGCCTTTCAGAATCGGTTGCTTGGAAGATCGGTTTCGGCTTGGCGACCTGGCTGGCCAGCAAACGTTTAGAGCCTGTGTTCCCGCCGACGGAAGTCACGGCGAAGTCGAGACGCTTGCAAAGCATCTGATGCATGAGCCGGTATGTTGCGGCGAAAGACATGCGGCTGGGTGCCATCGGGTAGATGGTGAACGATCTTGATACATTGCTCAGACATGCCAAGGCATATCAGCTGACATGGTGCTCAACATGGAGCCGGCAAACTTGTCTGCGGCGTGCTCTGAGGCACGGTCGAGAACATGCAACGGGACGACAAGCCATTGGAAAATTCGACAACGCTGCTTGAGGTATATGAGAAGCGAGCCTAAGCTGAGGTGACATAAACCGTCTTGTCCACCGGTAGCCGCTGCGATCCCGAGCTTGCTCAGCTGTAAAAGCTCCAGTGCCTCTCTCATGTTGCCCGCAATGCCGACCAGATACCCGATACGTCGCCGTCCTCATCCGCCTTCTCGCCTCCGGTCTACAGGCTCCCAGGATGGTCTTCGCGCGTAGCTCTGCTGGCACCATTTCTGTGCGCAGTATAGGGTGCAGCACGCTCCATCACTGTCACGGGGATGCAATGTCGAATACGCATGTGCCATTACAGCCAGCGCACATGCTTATGCCTTGTCGCTCACTTGGCCGCACCCGTCGCTGGCCAGTCTCTTGCTGCTTTCGCGCTGTCCCAGATCCCCAGCGGGAGCACGTCGTCTTCTTCTTGCTTCTTCAAATGCCACCGCCGTCCAGTCCAGCGGTCCAACGAGGTCCAGATCCAGTATGTTCATGGCCATCTTGGATAACCCAAGACGAACACGTGGAAGGGCTGTCATACGCCATGGTACGATGAGGTTAGTATACTTACATTGTCACGTCTGTCGTAGTCGGCTGTGTCGGATGAGTAAGCCAGGATGCTCTCAGAGTCAGAGTGCGTGTGGTTATGGTGGAGGGGAAGAATTGTCGTTGTTGGTGTTTGAGGTGAGTCGAGGTGGTGAGTGGATGTGTGTGTGATGGTGAGTGGTTCGGAACGAGAACAAGGAAGGAAGAGAAGGAGGTTACTGACCCATCGTGCCGGCCGAAGCGAGTGGTGAGTGCGGATGTCGCGCAGCCTACCTTAGCGGCAGCAGGACTTTGCACGGGGCGACAAGGAATCTGCTTAACGTGTGTGTGAGCTTTGGGCGAGGAACAAGTTTAGAAAGGACGCCACGGGCCAGTCAGAGGAATCGCGACGGGGACCTCGCCATGTGCTCACGCCGAGCCGGGTGCAGGGTAGGGGAGGGTAGGGGAAAAGAGGCATCGGGCGGGCTCCACCCGCACAGCCTGCTGCTTGTGCTCACTATTGCGCAGCGAGAAGCTGCGCGAGTCCGGCCAGCGGTCGCTGATGACCGTTCTGCCCGAGGAGCAGAGGGGCATCATGTCAATGGGCATGCCCGTGAGGATGGGCAGAGCAGGATGGAGGGTGTGATGAGCCTTTCGCTGGCCCGCTCGCTAGCTGTCCTTCTCTGCCTCTGTCCTCTTCCTCCGCGGCGCGATATGGAGGCTTGCTTACCTGTTGCTGCTGCTGGCGAGCACGTGCAAGACGCTCTCGGAGGCGTAGTCGGCGTGATAGCCGATTCGGAGGGCTGGACGGGTCAAGTGGGTGTCAGGTGTCAGGCGCGTGGTTGTTGTCGTGCGTGGGAGTCTGCGGCGTTGATCCTTCTGGGACTGCGTCGATGCGATGCCGTGACGGGATGGAGAAGGGCAGCGTCGTCGTGCGTGCGTTGGCACTGGCGGGAAGCGGGTCGGTCTGCCTTGCTTGCGTTGCTCTCGCCTGCAGCTGCGCCCGTGATGGTCGAATGGGAACCAGGGTGTCGATGTCTGACACTTGGATGATAGACTTTGGAGACAAGACAGTCCACAGTCGACGGGGCGGGCGAGGAACGCGGAGCTTGGCACAGATGTGGAGCCCGAGCTTCGTCGCTGGCCCTCTCACACTTTCACCGGTGGACAGGGGCTGGATTGGCTGGGTGGCTGAGATGAGGATGCACGAGCTGTCTACTGCATTATTGTGTGATTGCATCCCGCGCACACGTCCCAGACGTCCCATTCACTTCACTCTGAGGGCTCCGGACGTCGGTTGCAACGATTGCAACGATTGCAACGATTGCAATGCTTCGGAGCGGTCTGCCTGCGTTGAGACGGCAGGGCGGAGCGAGAGCGAGCGGAGAAGGGACGGGGGACACGTCGGGCAGGCACAGCGGATTCATCAGACACAGCAGGGCAGGCGCGTTGGCAGGCTACGACTGGCAGAGACAGGGCAGGCAGGCAGGCAGGCAGGCAGGCAGGCAGGCAGGCAGGCAGGAGTAGATTCAATGGGATGAAGACACGGCCGGGCAATTGGAGGCTGTGGACCTTCCCTTTGCGATGCCCTTTCCTCCGATCGTCAGCGGCCCTCGAGCACCTGTTGGCATGGAAGGGAAGGTACATCCCACCTCCGAAGAATACCTTCCCTCTTCAACGCTGCTGCAGCACCTTCCATTTGCATATCCAAGCTGCAGCTCACTCACCCATGGGCCAGCACCGCAGCACACACATGTCTTGCGGGCATTGGTCCACAGGCATTCGCCGCGGACAAGCACCCTGCCATGATCATCGACACGACTCAACCGCGATTTCTTCCCATTGCTCCCTCCCAATCCAACGATGCGGTAGAATCACACGTGCAGCGATGCGAACGACTCCACGGCGGAACGAGAAGCAGCTTCCCTTTCATCAGTTTCGCCCCGCACTCACTAAGTGCTAGCCACTGCTCACCTCTGCACGACCTAGCCTTATTATTGCACTCTCCCTTCCACCTCCACTTCCGCCTCCACTCTCTCGCCTGGACGCATTCGCCATCTTTGCAGACGGCCCTTAAGAACGGCCCTTGTGGCGTTGTTCGGCGGAGCTCAGCTGGAAACTCATCATGGCAGCGTCTATTTAGAGGCTGTTCAAAGCACCCAAAATTGGGACACGGCCTAAGTAATTGTGGACTTGACTTCCTTGTTCCGTTGAGAAACCACAGAGTTAACGGAAATAAAATCGCTCTACGTAAGAATGTGCATGGAGCATGTCCGGCGAAGCTCGGTAGCTGTCTCAAGCCACCTTGATGACTTGCATCGTCGCTCAGCCCAACGACGCCAATTCTGGACGGTGCCGGCATTTCGGTTGCGCCGAATACGAGGCATTGCGCAAATTGTGACCACGACCTGGTCGCAGCAGCAACGATGAAAACGGATGGCAAATGCTGGGAAGCTTCTATGGGTCGATCGTAAATTCGATTATGCCGCACACAAGAAGCCCTCCATGCATAGTGAAAGCTGAATGTCTCTATAACACATATCCACGAGCCCTACGACCATGTAAGAGGAGCAAGACAGGACAATGGACCACTGACATCGTTTGAAGGCCCTACCGGCGGACTGCACCCGTGGACCGAGTCCCGAGTCCTTCAAGGGCCAGTTGACTTGACGCGTGAACGGCTTGCAGATGACCAAGGAGATCTCCCGGCCTGACCGAGTACAACTTCTCACCGACATACAGATTTTTGGGTAGAAGTCCTTGCAATCGGCCGTGTACCAGGACGAACAAAAGAGCAGCAGAATTATCGAATGGATTTGTCGTCCGTATAACACACACCGAACACTTGGAACGATGTCCGATTCACCTTCACGGCCTTCGAGCATCACTCTTGCTTCATGCGAGCCGCCGCTCCTCGGCTCATGACGTACTCGGTAGAACGTCCTGGACACCACCAAGGCCATGATATTCGAAGCGATTTTCTATGAATTTGATCGACATGTTTAGCGCTTCATAATACTATGAGACTTCTTTGAATACTTGCGGTCCGTTCACATCGGCCTCCTCTGGGTGCAACTCTGTATGCATTCTGCCGGCGTTGCAGAAGCCACAATGCTGAGCTCATTGCCTGGATCGTCGCCTATAAGGATCGGTGAGTGGAAGCGAACAGTCAATCCACCATCTCAATTCAGGCTCTACAAGACGCTTTGAGCCTCTTCGGAGACTGTGCCTGGAGTGAGGAGAGGTAAAATCTCAACGTCAATCGGCGTGACCGTTCTGAGCCCTTGCATCGGCGAGCTGTTCACGAAGCAATCGTCCAAAGTCTCACTGTAAAGCTTCGACACTTCCCATTCAGGCAGGAATCCAAGGACAGTAAACTCTGCCGTGTAGCGCTCACACTCTCAGATCAAGTTGATCAAATCGATTGGCGGAATTGAAGCAGGAGACGAGACTGTGCAGGACGATCATTGGCAAACTGTAAGACCTTGACCAGAGTGCTGAGCGTGAGATGGCTCCAACTTGTAATATCAATCTCTTTGATATTCACATATAAGGAGCCCTACTATACCAATACTGCGCCTAGTGCATACAGCTCCAGAAGACGTTGTCACATGAAATGAAGGAAAGAGAGCGTAAAAATCCATTTTTAAAATGAACGTCTGATTTCTCTGTGCTCTACAACGGTGTGTCTTTCAATCTTTCGCTGCGATACCTAACGAATACACTGTAGTTGGTCGATTGGTGAAGGTGAAGTTCTTGGCCGGACAGCTAAGGTACGGGCCGCGCCGCCAAACCGGAGAGATGATCGCCGGCACAGCCGGCTCGTGAACGCCGACGCTGTGCTTCCGATCATCAACCTCCCCTCCGCCTTCCAACAACACCGACGACCATTCTTGCCATCTCTCTCCTCACCAACCGACTGCTCCACCTCGAACAACGATCACATACGAGCTTCAACGATGGCAGAACACGAAGTCAAACAAATCATTTCGCAACTCGAATCTCTCAAAGCAAACAACCTCAACCAAGCACCGCAACTCCTCTCACGTGGCAAACTCGCACTCCTCAAGCTCAACGCCCTCGTCCCGTCAGAAGAGACCTCATCCTCACATCTACTCCTAGCGATCCACGTGCTCGAACTCGGCGCCCTCATCAGCATCAAGCTAAAAGACACCGACGCTTTCACGCGCTACTTCCAGCAATTACAGCCGTTCTACTCTCTCCCGACCGAGCGCCGACATGGCAATCAGAGCAAGGTCACGGGCTTGTACTTGCTGTTGATGCTGAGCCAGGGAGATTATGCGGGTTTCCACACGGTGTTGGAGGGTCTGGACATGAGCAGCGGGAAGGAGCACATTGAGCGGGATCATTTCATTCAGTATCCGGTGCGGTTGGAGCAGGCTCTGATGGAGGGCAGCTACGACAAGGTCTGGGGCGAGACGAAGGGGGAGCGAGTACCGAGCGAGGAGTTTGGAGTGTTCTCCGAGGTGAGCACACGCCAAAGCGCAGCGACCATTCTCGATCTCCCATGCTGACTTTTTCATCTCCCAGGTTCTGGTCGACACCATTCGCCTGGAAATCGCATCCTGCTCCGAGCGCGCATACCCCTCGTTGCCCATCTCCAATGCCAAGAACCTGCTCTTCCTCGACTCGGAAGGCGCAATGATCAAGTTCGCCCAAGAGCGGGGTTGGTTGGCCAAGGACGGACGGATATACTTCCCCCAGCAGGAGGAAGAAGCCCTCGCGGCGGAGAAGGACGTGATGAGCAATAGCGACGTGGTCATCGAGAACACGTTGGGCTACGCGCGGAAGCTGGAGACGATTGTGTAAAACCATATCATGGACCACCACCACCAGCCCCAATATGCTGTCAGAGAAGCTATGGAGCTGAATACGAATCCGGACCCAAGTAGGCGGCTTCACGCAAGCCTGTATTATGACATTCGAATACTCTCCCCTTTCTTTGCGTTGTGTACGAGTAGACCGAAGCCGAAGCCGAATCTCTCTTGGGTGCTCTGAATCCTCCGATATTGCATCTCGAGACAGTGAAAGAAAGGGCTTAGCTGCCTTTCCACTGATGGCTTGCTTGGACTTCTAGAAACAAGGGCGGACCGATGACCGACCACCTCACCTCACCTTATCTAACCTCACCTCAACCCCACGTCACCCTACCCTACCCTACCCTACCCTACCCTCCACTCAGCCCACCCGAAGGAAGGAAGGAAATAACAGCAGCGACCCGTCTGTCTGTCATTACCCATTAACCGTTCCCGTTACCCCAACACGCACGCACGCACCAACAGCCCGGTTGCCCATCCTCTGAGAGACCTCGGACTCACCTTTTGCCCCTCTTCTTCTTCTTCTTCTTCTTCGTCTTCTTCTTCTTCTTCTTCTTCTTCTTCTTCTTCGAACGAACGAACGAACGAACGAAGGGTACATGTACGCCTTTACGCTTCGCACTGATCCATCCCACACCACCAACAAGTTTGCAAGAAATGCTCTTCTTCTGCTTTCAAAGACACCACGAAGCTGCCTCGCCCAGATCTTGTGGTGGTTTCCTCAAGCTAGCTACTGCATCGGCTGGGTGAGAGCTTTGTTTTGCGCTCGAGCGTCAAGAGCTCAAGCGTCAAGAGCCCGAGCTGATTGACTGTTGGAATGGGAGGCTGATGTTTGCAACATCAGAGGGAAAGGAAAGGGGGGGGGAGGAAAGTTTTATCGAAGCTCACCTATAACTGCCAGAGATGGGGCCATGGAAAGAACGCGGCATTTGAAAGTAAAGAGCGAGGGGTCACGGTGGAAAGTTGAGTTGAATATACACATGACGCACAAGAGCAGTCTCTCAATGCTGTGCTTTTTAGCAGTTTGACGCTTCGCTTATCGTCCGTTCTCATCCCCGCCAGTCCAGTCCCATTTTGTTACAAAGCACCTTCGCCAGCACCCTTGATCACTTCTGATTCCGACCCGCAGCCTTCTCACCAGAGCTCTGGCTGATGTTGAGACCCAGGCCTTCTGTGTCTAGGTACACCTTGTTCTGGCTCTGCTGCAGAATGCCAGCGATGTTTCGTGCGTTTTCGAACTCTCGCAGGTCAACGTACGAGCGGCTCTTCTTGATGGCGTCACCAATGAGTTCTGCAGAGCGGGCCTCACCCTGAGCGCGGACGACCATGGCTTGCTTTTCTTGCCTAGCCTTGTCGACGACGAAGGCAGCTCGTTGCGCTTCTTGTTGAGCAACCTGCTTCGCTTCGACTGCGGCAGTGAACTCGGGAGAGAAGGCGAGGTGCTGCGATCTGCATCAGTATCCGACTTTGCGAAGCAGAACTGTTGCAAGAGAACTTACAGTCAGGGAGACATCGTCCAGCAGAATGTTAAACCGCGCTGCTCTCTTCACCAGGTTATCCCTCACTAATCTCGACACGTTCTCACGCTGAGTGATGAGCTGCGATGCGTTGAACTGGGCTACCACGCTCTTCAGGACCTCGTTCACGATGGATGGAAGTACTCTCTCGTCGTAGTCGGATCCTAGTGTACGATAAATCTGAGGGAGAGCATCTATCCGGGGTCGCGACAAGACACGGCAGGTGATGTTAACCATCTGCAAGTCCTTGGTTCCGGTGAGCGATGCAACGTTTCGTGGTTTCGCGCGAACATCGTAGTCGACGGGTGTCTCGAACCAGGGAATTCGAATGTGCGTTCCTTCGCTGTAGATCTCCTTGCCGACACCACCTATTCTCGTGTACTTGATGGCGCGATGACCACCCTCGACTTGTGTACACCATCAGCAAGAATTCTGTTGTTCTAGGCATGCGAGAGGTGTTTACCGTTGAACAGAGCGTTGTTGAAGAACCATACGCCACCACCAAGTAGCACTAGACCACCGAGGCCCGTCAGAGCACCTCTTGGACCTGGAGCGCCGCCTCCAGCACCGCCGAATCTGTTCGCATGCACTCAGTATACCGCTCCTACAGCTTGCTGGTATCCTTGTTTCCCATACCTCGCGCCTTGCTGCTGCACCCGCTGCATGTTCTTCTGGAGGTTCTCCCACATCTGCCTCGGATCGGAACCCATCTTGTCGATGTCGTCGCTCGTCGCCGGTCGCGAGCTGTCGGTGGAGAGGATGCGAGGGATGCAAGGGGTGGCGGTGTTGTGTTTCGATGTTCTTCCGCGATCTCCAGAGTCGAGATCGTCAAGATGCAAGAGAGGGAAGGTCAACGGAGGTGGCAGCGGGCCGGGACGCAGACGAACGGGGATCAAGAGCTTTGACGAAGGCCGAGTACGAAAGAACAGCTTTCCATCTCGAATGGGCTCCGTCTGAAATGGAATCCTTTCTCGTTTCTGCTCAGCACTCCGGCGCCATCATCCACAATCATAATATCGCCTTCAGTCCTCACGTTGTAGATGCCGTGCGCGAGGTCCGAATCGCCGTCGCGATTATAGTTGGCGGCTGGGTTGCCGTCGAAGCATTGAGGGGCTTATATCGCTACAAGAGATAGAACAAGCCTACATTACAATTTACAACGCTATACCTCGGACTAGCACGTATCGCCCCGGGCTCCTTGGCGCACATTGTCTGAATCACACGAGAGACCAAGAGCATCGTTCAATAGCTGCTCTTTGTTGCGCTGCACGTGCTTCATTCAGCCGGCTTGTCCTTTAGGCAGACAGAAGACGCAAGGGCCGCAATCGATATCGCAAGAAGAAGAGCTGTGAGATACTTAATACACGCGGCGTGGAGACGTTGGCAAAGTTCGCAATAATGTCACGACTATCGCAGTCATTCGCGTGGCTGCTCCTGGCCAGCATCGGATCTGCGAGTGCCTACGTCGACAGCTTATCCTTTGGACACCAGGGAAACATCTCACCAGATAATCGAGGCATATCCGGATGGCAAGCTAGCAGTGTCAACCACAACATCCAAATACTGAGCGACCGGGTGATCCTCACGCCACCGGTGCCGGGAAATGCGAAAGGAGCGTTGTGGTCCGAAGCTACAGCACCGCAGGCGGGATGGACGGCAGAACTCGACTTTCGCGCATCCGGGCAAGAGTGGGGAAGTGGAAATATCAACGTTTGGTACACCAAGGATAAAGATGCCGTGGGGACCAACAGTGTATACAATGCGGACAAGTTCGACGGTCTGGTTTTGGTGGTAGATCAATATGGTGGCAGTGGTGGTAAGATCCGGGGCTTCTTGAATGACGGCTCGCAAAACTTCCGCAGTCATACAAGCCTGGAAGCATTGGCATTCGGACACTGCGACTACTCCTATCGCAACCTTGGTCGAACTTCCAAGCTCCGCATCATCAGCAACAACAATGGTCTGTCCGTATCGATCGACGACAAGTCCTGCTTCAGCACCGAAAAGATTGCCCTTCCAGCGGGCTACCACTTCGGCATTACGTCCTCAACGGGCGAGAACCCAGACTCCTTCGAACTGACCCGATTCACGGTCGAGACGGGCGGAGAATCCGACACTCAAACCCAACAACAGCAGAACGCGCAGAATCAGCAGAACGTGCAAACCCAGCAGAGCGTGCAGAATCAGCAACCGCTGCAAAAGCTGGACAACTTTCCTGACTCCCCCGAGATCCTCGACGACCGCAATGCAGACGAATTCAAATCCCAGGCCGAGCAATTCGCCGACCTCCACAACCGTCTCCAAAACCTCCAACACCTCATGATCACCACATTCACCCGCGTCAGAATGATCAGGGACAAGATCGACTCCCAGCACTCCGACATGGTGCAGAATGTGCAGAACATCGGAGGCAGCAAGGAAACCGGCCTGCCCCCCGAGGTTGTCGGGAAGATCTCGAACATGGAACGCAAGATTGAGAACATGGAGAAGATCCTGGAGATTGTCAAGCGAGACGTCGAAGGCAAGGACTACAGGCAACACTTGAACGAGATCAACATGGCCATGGACCGCCTGCACACCGGCTTGACTGCGGATTTGCCCGACAGGATTCTAGGCAGTACGTCGGCAATTTCCTTTTCCTTTTAACTCCTATGATGAGCTTCCCAAACGTTACAACTACTGACATGGGGGGGGGATTTTTTTTCTTTCTAGTCATCTCGCGCCACAAGCCCAGCTTCGGACTCTTCGTCTTCATCGTCGTCGGCGTGCAGATTCTGCTGGCGGGCGGCTACGTCGCGTACAAGCGGCGACGATACAACTCGCCGAAGAAATTCTTGTGAAAAGAAAAAGAAAGACTTGAGTGAGTGAGTGAGTAAGACGGAGGCGGCGGCGGCGGCGGCGGATCCGGAAAAAGGCTCTTACTTGCTTGCTTGCTTGCTTGCTTGCATTTTGAGACGATGGAATCCCATATGGCCCTGGAAGGAAATGTGAAATTTTTTTCTCCTGTATAAAACTGGTACAGCGATGGAGTTGTGTGTGTGTGTGTGTGTGTGTGTGTGTAAGAGAACGTGTGCTAGCTAGCTACTTGACATCCGGGTGGGACAGGAGGAAGAAAGAGGAAGCAAGGAAGGGAGTAGCAGAGTTTCCTTGGATCGAAAGTCGAACTGCTCGGGATGTGTGTATGTGTGTGTATGTGCATGATATACATGATATACAGAAGAGAAGGGAAGTGAACAGGTGTCTGTCTATATGATGCTTTTTCTGCTTGCAAAGAAAGAAACCACGAATTTTTTTCCAAAATCTCTCGCAATGAATGAATGACTGACAGCTGTAGGACATATCCGGCAGGAGCAGCAAGGACTCTGTGATACAGACGTGATCGGAAGTCTTGAAAGTCGCCAACGCATTATTGATCACCCCCTTTCGAACGATGTCGCGCCTAGACTGGCCCTGGAATCAGGGCAGGAAGTAAGAATGCCATGATGGCATGGATGAGAACCATGTGACCAACAAGTCATGTTGGTGATGATAAGATATAGCACTGTCCGTCCCGACCAGGCCTTACTGTAGAAGCATGACGGTGCGTCTTTAGGACTTGCATCCCGGTATCATGATGTTCCAGGTGCGTCCGGAGGGAACGTCAGGTCTCACTTTGTGACAAAAGAAGGCTCAGACACCTCCATCTGAATTCCGCTGGTAATACAATAGCACGTGAAGGTCCAGATGACGGCTCCAAGTCATGACGACACGGCTTCAATGGACGGGTGGATTCGCGAATTCGAGTGGCCGATGCTGTAGTTGTATAGCAGCTCCGGCCGTGTGGGCGCGTTCAAGCAACGATTTCACGTTCGAAGGTGTTCGAGATTGATGGCAGAGAGGGGCTTACCGTATCAAACATGGTCAACGTCTATGAACGCAGTTCTTGTAAATGACCAGAAGAACATGCTTCTGTCATGTTGCCAAGCGCTTGTCCGTGTCAGATGGACTTCGATGCAGGCTCCGCTCCTGATATTGGCTGTGTGACCAACGTGCGCTTGCGTACCGGTACGCTCTCGTAAGTCAGGCAGGCAATGGTTGATTTCGAATTCCTTGGCTTCATGGCAATTCGCGCATCTATTGCATGGAGTATCGCTCCAGTCTGCTGCGAAGCTGCGTAGGATGGATGCAACACTGCCAGTTGGTGCCCGCTCGAAGTTGGCAGGAGGAATAGCCGGCCAAGATCAAAATAAGAGGCGGGCAGCCTGTCATCTGCGACATCGCCGAGGGACGTCGGTGGCTTGGTTGGTGCTGATATGAGGCGTGCGGCAGATCCGGCTCCTTCCAACGTCTTCACATCGGATGCCAAAAATTCCTCAGACACGTCAGATGTCGGCCTTGGAAACGTCCCTGCATGCACCCCGTCAACTCGTTTTTGGGGTCATCTGCCCACCAGGTACGTCTCCATACACGATGTCCAGGAGAGTGGAGGGAAACTCTGGAGATCTGGCTAGCCCTTGAATCTGGGGGAAAGTGCATCGCGGTGGCTTGTGGAATACCCAGGTGGAAGGAGCAGGAGTAGGAGTAGGAGGTCGGACGGTGCATTCGAATATTCTGGCACGGACCGATAGGTTGACCTTCCTGGGAAATTTCCATAGCATGAATGGCATGGCATGGCATTATTGAGGCCTTACTGGAGTGAACTCAATTGCACGTTGTGGCATGTCAGGTTGCTTAAGCGAAAGCCTGTCGGGGTACCTCCACGTCGGCGGTACGTACTGATGCACGGGACCCTGGTGAATGATGGCACTGGTTCGTAGAGAGAGATTGTCTGTAGGCCTGTCAGCTGAAAGGGAGGAGAAGTAAGTCTGATATCGAATGCAGTCGCACTGGGAGGCGAACGATGAAATGCATTGTCGGTGCTAGGTTTTGCGGCGTCAGTGCTCGTCGTGCATCGACACAGGCTGCAAGGCGCGAGAATGAGATGGCCACGGGCTCGTGCTGGAGAGGATCTTGGTGCACAGTGTGGCCGACCTGTCACGACGTGGAAGCAGTGGAAGGCTGAGAGCTTGGAAGCAGGTGCAGGTTGGCAGGGTGCGAACGTCGACGCTGTGTCTCGGGGTCGGCAGTTGGGCGAGGTTCTTGGCGATGACCATCGCTGCACGTGCGACCAAAGCCTCGCGTCAACGCCGTCGGTTGGCCTTGGCGGGCATGGTCGCGCGCCAAATTGCAGTTGGTCGGCTGGTGCGTGCGTGCGTGGGGGTTGTCACGGCCGGCGTCGCTGCAATAAGGTATGGTGACGCTAGCGCATGCATTGGAGGAAGGCACGTTGCTCTATCGATAGCGGAATGAAATCGATCCCTAGTAGCTTACCTTATAGGCTTTGCCGAGAGACGGGAGCAGGACCGTGATGGCGCGCATCGTCGAGCCGGAGCAGCCGGGCCAGGCGTGGGAAGTTGAGAACCATGGGAGACCCGGTCGTCATGTCGAGACCCTTCCAGCCCTCCAGCCTCCCGACTTTGCGCATGAGCGCGCGCGCGAGGCGACGACCGCATGGACGACGCCGGTGTTGGAGGGCGCGCGGTCGCGAGGGCGAAGACAGGCGGGCAGAGGCACAATCCCGTGTCGCGGAGAGTGCAGCAGCGCAGCGCAGCGCAGCGCAGGAGCGGTACGCCGCAGCAGTGGAAGCTGGAGAGTCGAAGGTGGTGGACGGACCTTGGCGCCCGCGCGAATTCCCAAGCAGGGATAGCCCCTCCCTCTTAGCGTGCGCACTTTGACGCGAAGACCACGCGTGAGACGCGTCTCGACAGCCACGACTACTGCACTCCTGCTCCTGCTCCTGCTCCTGCTCCTGCTCCTGCTCCTGCTCCTGCTCCTGCTCCTCCCTCTACAGCGGAGGGCGCAGCTCTACGAACGCAGTGGCCCGCCGTGACAGCCGACGCATTCGTGAGAGCAGGTGCATGGTACCGATGCAGCGCCATTTGGCTTAGGACAGGTTCAGCGTGCATTGGGAGCAGGGCCGACCCACGGGGACCTGCGAGCAGGGAATGGGAGAGAACAAGGCAGACCAAAGACGAGCATCTTGTGCGAGCATCTCGTCCTCGAACGTTGTGTTGATGAAGAGAGAGCTCGTTTGACCTGACCGCCGCAGTGGTTCGTGAAGACCGTCTTGCGCGACGCTGGTGCGATGCCGTGTGACAGCACCGCGCAGCACCGCGCTGGCGCCGTTCTCGTGGCCAGCTGTGCACTACAGTGCCGTGCTGTCTTCTTCCTGGCCTGCACAGCACGCCCTGCACACTGGGCAGAGCGACAATCAATGCAATGAACTCAAAGCTGATTGTGCCAATGAAAAGTGTCGTTGGTCTTGGTCGGCAGGCAGCTCGTGATGGGCAACGGTGGTGACGTCGAGATATGATGGTAGTGCGCGGGAGAGTAGCTGTGGTAGGGTGCGCTCGATCGGGGTCGCTTTCTCGATGCCCTGTCGCGCCTGTGTGCTGTGTTAAAAGTGTGCCTGTGCACTACTACTGTGCAGCACACGGATTGGGCGGGTAGCCGGGTAGCGCATGGACCGTTCCTACTCCACTTCTTCTACCCGACCGCCTCCCCGACCGCTTGCACCTGCTGCACCCGTTTCCGCCGTCCACGCATCTGCATCTGCATCTGGTCTGTCTCGGTCTCTGCCTCTTCACTTCCACCCACGCAGCCCTCGACCTCGTCCGCCCCAGCACCACCCGCCTGCGTCGCGCCCGCGCATTGCATCGCATCGCATCGCATCGCGTCGCGTCGCATCGCATCGCATCGCATCCGCATCGCGTCCGCCCTCATTGCGACAGCACCCTCGGGACCGTGATCGGGTGCCCGGTCGCATAGAGAGGGCCGTCGCATTAGCCGCCGCCGAACCAGCGCACCTCACCACTGCAAACGCACAATCACTCCACCGCGCCCGCCAGCGCTCCGACACCCAGAAACCCACCCACTCTCCGCACACTCCGGCAAACAGCGACTCCAATTGTCAACACAAACACGCTCCGCCCGCCATGTCCTCCTCGCGCCCCTCGCTGTCCATCGCCCTCCCCGCCAGCCTCGATTTCCACTACACCGACGGTCATATGCCCAAGACTCCAGAGGCACAGCAAGATGAGCAACAGCCTGCCGTAGACCCGCCTCCGCCACCGCGACCTCAGCCCTTCAAGGTGAAGAGAAAGCGCGTCTCCAGCGCGCCCTTCGCAGACCCCATGGCAGACACCATGGCAGACACCACCGTCATCCCCACCATCGAGATGTCTGAAGTTGCGGCCGACATCTCCAGTCCTACTCTACACCCGACCTCAGCACACCTCTTGTCACCTATCCCAATGTCAGCTTCTCTCTCGCGTGCCGTGACGCCGCCTAGGACACCAGCGCCTAAGCTTCACCCAACCTTCAGCCAGCTCGAGAGCCCGGCGCAGGAATGGGACCTGATCAACACCTCCCGACCCGCTTTCGAGCGTGCAGGCTCTGTCTGTTCCTCTTTCTCCGACTCGTCAGTATCATCATACGGCAGCTCTGACTTCTCACTCCCAACCGGCGGCTATGATAGTCCAGCATCCGAGGCCCCAGACCCATTCACAGACGACTTCACACGCAAGCAGCACCTTCCACCTACCTTGCTTCAATCGCCAATGCAGCCGGACGGCGCACCCAAATCCAAGCGGGTCAAGACTCGCCGCGACGTCAAGTGGACGCCGCAGATGGACGACCACCTGTGGTTGACTTTCATGTCCTACATTTCCGACCCAGCCAAGACACCCTTCAAGATGTTGCCTGGCAGTACGCCGCCAATGGGCGTCTGTGACCAAGTGTCATCGAAAGCGAAACGGACCTGGCGTCCGCGAAAGGCTGTCCCTGTCACGCCTGGTCCCGCTGATACGTTACTCGAAACAAACGACAGGCAGCGGGAGGGATCCCCCGACACCCTTCGACCAAGTTCCCTCCAGTCGGTACAGCCACGATGGCCAAAGGCGGCTGCCACTCGACGTCGACTTCGTGAGCTATGCACTCGCCGACCGTCCATCTCGGCTCATTACCAACGCATGCTTCGAACACGCAGTCCATCTCCCTTTGAAACTTCTAGTCCGGGCAGCCAGCAGCCAGAGCCTGCGTCCGCTTTCTCTGGGCTAGACATGGTCATGTCTCTTGTGACCTCGACAGCGCCATCGATGCAACCAGACGGTATGCTTGCACAGCTTAGCAGCGACAATACTCCACCGCCTCCACCGCAAAGGGTGCAGCGCCCGACTCGTCCGGAAGGTTGGTTCGACCGCATTCCACGCTCCAAGGCTCACCAAAAGAGTGCTTCTCTGCAATCGGAACTGAAGCTCAGCATACAAGACATGGCTTTCCATGGCCCAGACTCGCTTGCTTCTCCATTCGACGCAGACTCAGCCTCAAGCCGCTCTCACTTGCTTCACAGCATGGCTCAGACCAAGTCGCTTGGGCGGACCGAGTTCAATGGCAGGTCCTTGGATTCACCTGTCGAGTTCAAAGTCGGGGCTCCCACTGATCGCCGTTCGCGTAAGCGTCGCTTCCGGTCGGACGAGGAGAAGCCACGCAGGCCTCCTCTCGAGGATGTCTTTGGTCCGCCGGTACAGAGCGGCATCATGCGTAATCGTGGCTTCAGCGTTGGCGCTGTGCGTGCTACCGACAATCTCACCAAGCTCTTCACGCCACCTTCGATCAACGTCGACCACGTGATGAGCGACGCATCTGAAGGACCAAGCAATGTAGAGGATGTCCCAATGGGCAGTCGTTCGGCCCCTCGACGACTTGCAGAGCCCGTACCTCGTCTGGGATCCCCATTTGTGGAGACACCTCCGCCGAGCCGACAGCACAATACCTTTCCTCGCAGCAGCTTGCTCCCGAACGTGGCGAACCAAGAGCCCTTCTATCAGCGGCTCACGGAGCTGGCGTCCAAGCATGCCAGCGATTCCACGCCAGAGTTTTAAGCCATGGCAGATTTCGAGCCTGGCTAGATTTAGTTTGAGCTGGCATTGGGAGTTTCAAGGACTGTTGGATTTCAGCGCGGGATCTGTTGCACTTGATCAGCATGGCATGTACCCGCATTTCTGGCGCACCTAGGCATCATGAAGAGTTCACGGTACTCTGGATATACCGATCCGCATCTGGAGCTCGACACAAAGTCGGCTACGAACATGACGACGACATCACGACCACATCCGTCTGATCACACTCAAGACCGGAGTGGAGGTACGGCATCTTCGATCTTCTCTTCTTGGCTTATCACATTGCACTGTGATGAGCCGCCTTTCCGAAGGCATATCACACTTCTTCACTTCTCTTTCTTTTGTGCATGTTTTGTCGACACTTTGGAGATGGTAGCAGCGGACGTAATCGGCGGAGGTGGAGGACCGGGAAGCGGGACTGTGTCGTTCTTTCTGAAGACGAGGAAAGGCAACGGGATGGACAGGCCAGTCCTGGCAGCTGCGGCAGTAAAAAGACACATACTGTTTCCTTTGATTTCGGGATTGTACTTAGCTCATGCACATGTCCTTTCCCTTGATACTTTTATGTGGATGCATGCAGTCACGAGAATGAGCATGATGGGATTGGGCGGCGTTGGGACGGTTGGAGTCTGGAGGGATGTCTCTTGTGATGTGTGAGGGAAACGAATGCATGCATGGACGACGTTAGTGCGAATCCAAACCACTCGAGCTGAATTTTCATCCATCCGTGTACGTACCTTTTCCTCCGTATCTATCACAGTGTGCCTCAGTAGCAATGGGAGAAGGAACCCGGACGAAGATTCGGCATCGAGGTGCAATGTTTGTCCTTTCCTCTCACACGCGCCTTCCTCGCGTTGGTTTGGAAGGTGCAGGCCCGGCAGCCGAGGCGATCCGCGCTCCAGATCCAGTGGAAAGTTGACCAACATCACCTCATCTCCACGGTTCTGCCAGCTCTTGCCATCTGCAACAACATCGGGCAAATAATATAATACATCCACCCCCCCCCCCCCTCCAAACAACACCCGGGAGACCTGTCACTTCTCACAATAATATCGAATCGCAATGGGCATCACCAACGACGACACATCGCCGTCACAGCTCCTGCAACTGCCGAGCAGTCTTCGCGTCATCTCCTTGAACTGCTGGGGCCTCAAGTACATTTCCAAATTCCGGCATGAGCGTCTCACGGAAATCGGACACCAACTCGCCCAAGCCTCGCCCGCGCCGGAGATTGTAGGCTTACAAGAATGTTGGACGCAGCAGGATTTCCTGAAGATCCACGACTTGACCAAGCACATCTTACCCCATGGCAAATTCTACTGGAGTGGGGTTTTCGGCGGCGGGCTCGCGATCCTCTCCAAATGGCCCATTGAGGAGAGTTCCATGTTTCGGTATCCCCTGAACGGACGACCCGCTGCGTTTTGGAGGGGGGATTGGTACGTGGGCAAAGGCGTCGCTTCGGCGAGGATACGGATTGGAAACGGCGGGGGCGGGGAGAAGGACGTGGTGGAGGTGTTTTGTACGCATCTCCATGCGCCGTACGAGCAGGAACCGAATGACAGTTACCTCTGTCATCGGACGGCGCAGGCGTGGGAGATTGCCAAGATGATGCGACACGCTGCCGAGCGGGGACATATCGTGCTGGGCTTGGGGGATTTCAACATGTTGCCGTTGAGTCTGGCGCATCGCATCATCGAGGGCCACGCGCCGGTGAGGGACATCTGGAGGCTCCTCTATCCCGATTCCGCCCTCGGGTCGGCGGAGAATGCTGCGGAAAGGGCACGGAATCTCCCCGTCCCCACCGCAAAGGCCTGTCTCGCAGAACATGGCGCGACGTGTGATTCGAAATTCAACACCTGGCGCTGGAGCAAACAGATGCAAAAAGACCTTCACGCCGGTCGAGACTCGACCATTGACCCCGAAGACCTCGATCCCAAAGCCAAGCGACTCGATTACATCTTCTTCGCCGACAACGGATCGGGCTGGCGCGTCGAGAGCGCACAGGTCGGCATGACCATGCGCCATCCTACCCTCAGATGTTCCCTGAGCGACCACTTCTCCATCGAAACCACGCTGGTCCGCACGGCGGCATCATCGCCACCCGAAGAAGAAGAACAACAACAACAACAACCCCCCACCACACGACCCATGATCCAACCTCTCGACCCCGCGAATTACTCGCTCATCCAGCAGATGATCAAATCCTACGACGCCCGCCAACGCCGCCAGAGGAGCCTTCAACTCGCCCATTTCTGGCTCTCCCTCGCAATCTCCATCGGTTGCCTGATCGCCGTCTGGTGGTCGCCACACAACTACGTGGCTTTCATCCTCATGCTCCTCAGCACGTTGAACCTGAGCGCCGGCGTCCTGGACGGGCTCATGGGCTTTCTCTTCGTAAAGACGGAATTGCGTGCGTTGAAAGAATTCAAATTCGAGATTGATCAGGCTGCTCGGCGAGGAGATGTCATCACCGCCAGCGAAGATCGGGAACAGAAGCGTGGAGGAGACGTAACGAGAAGAGAGGAGACGGGCGTTGACGGATAGATAAGGTAGCCATACTTAATATGTACACGATGATGATGATGTTGATGATGATGATGATGATGATGATGATGTTCTAGTACTTTCGAGGCACACCGGCCGCTTCCTTCCCTCCTCCTCGCCCTCTCCTTCCATGCAAGAAATGCCAATCCAAAAATGGCACACTACATACATAATAGTAGAACAAAAAGTCACCCGAAGCTATCCGGGTATCATATCCAGAAACCACTGGCCAAGGCCCCATTTCCTTCTCGACGGAAGGAGAAACCCCCCAAAATAGCACAAGACTTTTTGGTTCTAAGAAAGCTCTGCGAAAGGGTGGAATAATAATAATAATCATGGTAAATCAACGAACATTCCCGGAAAATTGTACAGTCGTGATGCGGCGCCGTCGACGCGGGCGCTGTTCGATCGTGATGTGATGTGGTTCGAGGTGATGTCAATCGCCGTCGAAAGCGTTGATGATCCACGACGCTCGAGTCGTGGTCAGACGCCGCCATCGAGACGCTAAAGGAGAAGCCATGACGCCGCAAGTCCCAAACTAAGAGAGTCGTTGGTAATCGTTGATGACACATTATTAGGAGAGAGTCGTGAGCTGGTTTGAGGGTGTATCGTATCGTAAATCGTCGTTCAAAAGGGCAAAAAGGGAGGATTCCACGGCATGAGCAAAGTCACCTGCTCATGCCCTCATATCTGTTCAAGCATCTTCGCTCGCTGCGTGATCTCATAATCATCAAGCGCAGCAATCCACAAGCACCGACTCAGCGCCTCGGGTTCAGGGTGGAAAGCATACTTGGCGCTTGCCTCAATCAGCCGCAGGAGATTCTTGACAATCGTCGCTGCCGTTTGATATCGCTCAAAATTGACCAAAGGTTCCTGTCCAGCAGTGGGAGAATTGATCCTGGGTGACTTGAGAGCGTTGAACAGCAAGTCGTGGGTGTATAGCCCAATAAATGGGATGATGCCGTTCCCAGGCATTGCCGTTTCCATTTCTGCTCGCAGGTTGTGGAAATTCCGGATCGGTCGACAGAGGGTTTCCATCTGTTCCAGCATCTGTCGCTCCCGGCCTGCGACTAGTGACCATGTCTCCTGCAGGCGTGCGAGGTCCGTTGATAGAAGTGCGAGGACAATCTGGTACATTGAAGCGTAGTTGTGCAGGCGGCGGCAATGCGCTGCGATGTGAATGTACTTCGTGATTGCTCTTGCCCGCTCGCTCGGCACCTCGGTGAGAACAATCTCGGACATGACCCACTTCACCGAAAGATTGAAGCGTGCAACCACTATGTCAATGCCGTTTGCATGCTCCTTGTTGAGGTATTCGACCCAGTTGCGAACATCGGGTGGTGATTGTTGCCAATTCAAACTGATCAAGTCCTTCCAGTCGACCTCATCCAGCGCATCCTTCTCGATGATAGTTAATTGCTCAGCGATGGTTTCGGACTCGAAAGCCAGCACGAACGGCAGGTGAGCTGGAAATGTCTGGGCAATCGCCTGCACTGTACCCTGCCGTGGAGCGTTGAAGCGCCTTCTTGGGTAAGGCTGGTTGACAGGCTGAGGTACGAGCCGAGGAGCACTGATGGTTTGCTTAAGGGTATGACCTGGATCCCGGGTGCCTCGGGGAAGAAGTCGTCGGCGGTCGGGAGATTGCTGTACATCCGTGGCCCCTGTCGACGGAGGAGTTGGGGCGACGAAAGGCTGGCGAGGTCTCATGGGCACTGGTGCACCCTCCTCAGTGTCATCGAAGTAAAAGCTTCGTACGCCGTCTTCGTGAAAGCTTGCAATGTCTGTGGAAATGTCACTCAAAGACTGGTTGTCGTCCAAAACAAACGAGCCATGAGTACCTCCTTCGCCTGTCACTGGCCGGTAGCTGGGATATCTACCATTGGAGACGCTGTCTGGGATACTCTCCGGTTTGCGTTCGTACGGAAACGAGCCAGACGAATCGTCCCCGCCATTCCGATTGTATGGATCCGGTATTGGGAAGCGAGTGAACTTAGCCGTCGGAGAAACGATGGAATTCGATGAGCCAGAATCCATTGACACGGGCCGTAGATGCCGAGGAAAGGGCTGTAGCGGATATTCCGTATTGGAACTCATGGACTGCACGCCGAATTCCGACAACTGGTATATGCTTGCTCCCTGGGTTTCTGTGACGCCGCTTTCCTGCCCAGGTGAGCTTCCGAAACCTGGTGACGGACTGAACGGCAGGGATCGGTGAGACATCTGCGATTCACCACCTGGCACTTCCTTCATCACGGGCGGTGATTCCAAAGGTGGAGAGGGCGATTCGCCCTCGCCACTTCGATCAGCTTCATCACCAGAATCTTGGCCAGATCCATGGGCTGAAGCCGTGTCTGACCCAGCAGATGAGCCTTTGCTTTGCGCTGGACTCGAAATCTTTCCTTCCAGCTTGGCCAGAGCGTCTTCAACTCCACCGCCCGACTCAAGATCGGGCAAGGCCTTGAGTTTATCGGCTTCTCCCACAAATGAAGGTCGCAATACCGGTTGAGAAGAATGCATTTGGATGAGGGAGACTGATTTCCTTCTTCCAGGATCGCTGTGTGGCTTTACTGATTCATGCGCCGACGCCAGAGAAGTTGCATATGACCATACCGCCGTCGATAATGTTCCTTCAGAAACGGATCTGTGCGGCGGCTTAGGCCTCGCCGATACTCGTTCAGGGTAAAGCTCATGGACATGCTCGTTCGCCTTCAGATCGCCACCTGGCCTTCGACGAAGTTGAGGATGTATTGGTGGCATTTCGAAAGTAGTAGACCTAAGGCCGAAAGACGAAAGCCCGTGAAGCTTCGATAATGACTTCTGAGATTTAGCGAGGCTATCAGCTCGCTGTCCTTTGTAGGGGATTTCCCACGCTTGTGATTGCGTCAACAGATCGTGCATGCGCTCGTCGGAAGATCGCATATCCTGGTGAGGATCGCCTTGCGATGGTAGCCGCGGGTTCCCTTCGTAATCTTTTGGAATTGGAGGGACTGGCGGATGTTCGTTTCTATCGCGGAGCAGCGGTAACGGCATCATCTCGCTCGACATGGAGCTGAATGAAGGCATTGCGCGAGACATGGCAGGTATTTCTGGAGCACCTGTTGCATCAACAATAACAATCGATCGGCTTCCTGTCGTGACGTGACTGTTCATACGTCCAAAATCCATAACGTCGACCGACTCGTGCTCACTGGGAGCTTGTCTTTGGTCTGTCGTCGGTCTAGGTGTCTCTCCACGGGGTATATCTTTCTCTTCCTCGAGTTCACCCTCTTCGGGCACCGTCTCGGGCTGTGTCTCTTCTGTAGCGCCTTCGCGGGCCTGGCCCCCATCCTGCGGCGGTCTCGGCCGTTCAGGCACCACAGAATCTGGTCTTGCTTTTTTGGTCTGGTCAACGGCATCCTGGTATGCATTCTCGATCCTGAGGCTGAGAATATCAAGTCTAGAAGGTCCAGGCAGCTGCTGCCAGTCCGGCTGAGGCCTTCTTGGAGCGCGCTGACCCTTCCTCGAACCTATTGATTCTCCGTCGCTGCAAGATCCAGCACTTCGCGAAGGAGACGTACTGCCCTTCCGACTACCAAGAGCTTTTCTGACTTCGCCAACAAACTTCTTGACACCGATGTGATGAGCATTATTGGCAAAGTATCCGTCATTTGCAGCCAGACGAGCTTCGGTGAGTTCAGGGCCTGGTGGACCTGGAGTCACGGGAACATGACTGTCCACTTTAGGCTCAGATGGCTGCAGCAAGATACCTCGGACCAGACCTCCCGTGATAGAGAAAGACGGCAGGTCTTTTAGCTCTATGTTGTCCGCGTTTGGAGATGCCAGCGGCGCTCGCTCGTCACGTAGAGCATCTTGAAAGCTCTCACTTCGCTTGTGAGCGTTTGTTGGTCTTTTGGGCTTCTCGGCTCTTCCCAGCATCTCTGGCGTCTCGACAGTACGTGGAGCCTCCGGATGATGCTTCTGCAGCTTCCCTCTTGAGCGTGCGCTAGGACGAAGGTGTCGAAGGAATGGCAAGGAGCAAGAGAGCACTTCAAGACTCTGCTCGCTCATAGGGGAAGCAGGAATGCTCGTAGTGCGAGTACTTAGGACTGGCGAGCGATGACTAACCCCGTCCGTCTGCGGCTGAATTGGATTCAATGCGCCAGCCTGTTTCGGTCTTTCGGGAAGTTGAATTTGGGTCATTTCGAATATGGAGTGACTTCTCGTCGTTGGTCGGATCGTCAAGGGCAGACCGAAAGCCGAAGATTCCGGAAGTGAATGATCCTCGTCTCCTCCAGGAAAGATGTCTGCGTCAGGGGAGGTCTCGTAGACATCGGAGATCGGGTAATAGAGTGCACAAGTTCGCCGCCAACACTTTTTCACCTCCCCGATGATGTTGATGTCGCCTCCGCCCCCATCCGCTCGCTGTCGCAAAGAAGCTGCCATCTCATTGACCAGGTTACAAAAGCTCTGTCGGAAGAATGAATCGGCCATGAAATCGTCCGCGAAATAGTTCAGTATCCAGTGGCGCAGAGCGACGAAAGTTCGCACTCTGGCGATACGACCAGCATCATTGCCGCCTTTCATAGCCCAGCGCATGCGCGCGAAGAGGAAGTCCAGAACGTCGAGACACGGCATAAAGCAGCGGTAGGTGAGGAAGAAGTCTGCTAGCAGCTCGTAGTCTAGACATTGAGGGGAGGTAATCTGCGCAATCAATCGAGCGGGAGTTGCTGCCACAATTCGGCCGGTCGCGGGGTGATAATGCACCACGGTCTGGTCGTCGAGATTCGCCTCGAGCTTGTCGAAAAGAGCTGGAGTGATGAGTACGATCTCCTCGGTTGTCGGTCGGGATGGAGGTTTTGATGCCACCGGCGTGCGGGCTGGGGTCAGGCTGTACGCGCTGGATGGATGTAGATAGGGTGCTGTGGTGGACATGTGGGAGTAGAAGCTGCTCACGCCTCGACCTGGAGGCACGGGGAAGATCTTGTCGAGGTCGGCGCGAGACAGCACGGAGGAGGGCACGCCGCCGGTCGAGTTGGTGTACATGGAGTAGTGAAGGTACGCGGTCCCGCGATCGCTGAAACGAGGCGTGCCCAAGCGGTAATGGGGAATACACACGTCCGAGAGGCCTCCCACGGGCAAGTCGGCAGAGCTCCTGCGCCGGGGCTGTGATGACATGCTCTCGTCGGGGTGAAGGTGGAACTCGTCGGCATCGTACTGCGTTGCCCGGAGGCGGTCGCTCACGGTGGAGGTGGAGTGGGAACGTGTTCTCCGACGATTGTGGGCATTTGCCAGACTCAGTGGCGGCACCGAGACTCCAGCCATGGCAGAGTCGGAGCTTCGCGCTCGCTTGGGCTGTGGGCGCAGAGTCCAGGTGCCCGACAGGTCGCTCTCGCGCAGCAAAGGTCTACTAGACCTGACGGAGGAGCCGTCGGATGTAGCTGAGGGGGTTGCGGGCGCATAGCTCAGATTGGGCACGGGCATGCGCGTGGGCTTGAGGTATAGGGTACCGCCTGCGCCGACATTGGTGACGGTGAAGTGCCGGGCGGTGGGACTGTCGTCGACGCTGAGTTTGGCCAGCGTGGGCAGGGTGGTGGGCGCCGTGTCTGCGCGCTTGTGCCCAAGCGCGGTCCTGTCATTATCATTATTACCCGGGCTATATTTCGCCCTGCGAACCTTATCCGATTGAGGCGAGAGCTGGGTGTGTTTGGCATCATCGGTGCGGAGGTGAGAGGGCGGAGGGCGGAGCTGGCGCATGGGGGGAGGTGGTGGTTTCTTGGGGGGCGGGTGCGGCGGGTGCGGCTGTTGCTGCTGCTGCCTCTGGGGAGCGTCGCCGTCGCGGTCGCGGTCGCGGTCGCTCTTATCGCGACGATGGCGACGGAAGGAGGAGGAGCGTTCCATGTTGATGGAGAGCCATCGACGCATCAATCCCCGGGGGCCCAGCGACGACGCCGAGCCCCTTGTGTACTGACACGATTTGCTTCGGTCTGCTGCTACAGCCCCTTTGCGTCACCTCGCGATTGCCCACCGCCGCCTGCGATCATCACCACCGACTCTGAGTCTGGCTGCGGGAGCGGGCGTTGGAGTTGGTGTATGTCGAGTCAGGCATTGGGTTTGATTGCCGCTCTCATCTGCGCCTGCCCGCCGGAAGAAGAGCAGCAGCAGCAGCAGCAGCAACAGCAACAGCAAGCAGACTCGCACGCGATGATGAGGATGATGATGCTGGTGATGAGGTAGTGACTACTTTCGTCGCCGATTCCTGGTCAGTGTGGAGGGAGGGCAGCGGTTGTCTTGTGCGGTCCTGTATGAGACGGTCGTCGTCCTGGCAGGCATCATCCCTCGTGCGCCCGCGAGGCAGGAACAGGAGAGAGCGCGTCGACGTGCCCGCTGCCGCCGCGCGGCGCGTGTCCTCTGTCCTCTTCCTCGAGCGCGTGCATCCGCCATTCGCCGCTCGCATCTCACTCACACAGCGGGTGCATGATGTGGCCGGCGCACAGAGACGTCGAACCGCATCGGCGCATCGGCGCATCCCTTCGGCTGCCGAACTAGCACATGCAACCTAGTGTGCTAGTGTGCTAGGATTCCCGGCCCTGAACTTCAAACTCAACGGCCTGGCCATGATCGCCGACCCGCCCCGCTCCTCTGACGTACCACTCCTGCCACCTCCCATCGCCTATCAATTCGAACTTATCCGTCAATATTTGACGCCGCTATCGTTCACTACCTTACCACCACCTGTCGTTTGTGACAAATTACTAACCTGAGCCCCATAGCATGTACATATGTATGCTTCCCCGGCTCCGCTCATACTGTACGTAGCAGCGAGTCTTGACGGATACATCTGTGCATCCGCCCTAGATTTCAGACTTCCCCACTGTCCTAACTCAATAATGCACGCTCGCTGCAAGACAGCAGACTCCTCCACTGCCAAATTTTGCAGCCTCTGGAGTGGCGGCCGGAGGTATCGTTGTGTAAGTTGATGCCTGGTGCCTGATCTCCGCCCGGCTTGGGGCCGAAACACGCGAATACGAGCGATCAAATGGTCGAGATTGCTACCAACAACATGGCGTAGCTAAGAACGCAGTGTGAGATCGGACAGGGCTTGTGCTCACCGAATCCGATGGCGCGTTGTTGTCTCGGCTGCATCAACGGTCCCGAATGTCGCCGTGTGGCCGCAACATGGAACGGTAGCGAGCCGAGCCACACAATCATTACAATAATCACAAGATACAGCGAGAGCCAATCACGAATGATTTCTGGGACATAGAACACAAGGAATCATCACATGCCACTGGACAGGCTGCACAATCTGCAGCCCATATATCACAGGCTATGTGAGCATCCAAAGTACAAGCAATATCCAAGATACAAAAAAGCTTCGTTCTCTCTCAACGTACTTTTGCCTCATCGGGTAGACACATGACTTCCGAACTCGCGGATGGAAGATCTTGCTATCGCTGTGCCACCAGTACAATCATCCGCGGCTTCCCCTCCCCTCATACCTCCACACTCTGGCGCTGCACATCAGAAAGAAGCCGCGCGCGGATATAGCGCACGCCATCGATCATGATGATGATGATGATGGACTCATCACAAGCAGAGGGTTTGGTGGTTCGCACTGCTTGACTCGCGATTGACATTCAGCTGCGCGCGTCATGCAGAGCCTCGGCTTCATGTTGCCAGCAGCTCCTTCATCAGAATGTGGAATTTCGCTCTTGCTGACTTGTCAGCAAATGCCAGTCAAGTGATCGGATCAGCGAATGTTTGCTCGCTCATCAGATGCCTCAGGTTGAAAAAATGGTGCACATTGCCATCCAATCACAAGATTCGGGTAAATGAATGAATGTTCGTTCGGTCCTCCACGAGTGCCCTTCCCTCATCATCAGCCCCTCTCCACAAAAGCCGACAATTTATTCATCATCAACAATCCAAAACATTAACGTTAACAGCCAAAGAAAAAAAATAATCTCACACTGGTAATAATAATAGATACATCTGTACAACAAATCTGGCGAACATAGACAGGTTAATAAAGCTTCTTTCATCATCATCAATATCACCACCACCACCACCCCCTTTCGACCTCCCTCCCACATCTACCTTACCTACAACTTCGCCTTCAACCTCGCCCCCTCTCCCCGGGTGAAATACTCCCTCGCCGCCTCCTGGGCCTTCTGCACCACCCCGGGGTCCTCAATCGTAGCGGGAAACACAACTTCCTTGTCAAACTCCCCCGCCACAGCATGTTCCACCACCTCTTTCAGACACCTCCTCAGTGTCTTGCCACTCCGCGTCTTCGGAATGACGCCGGGAGCGGCGATAAACCCGCTCAGACTCGCAATGGGCCCGATGTGATGTCGCAACCGGCGATTCAGATCTTGCAGGAGATCGGGAGGCGGGTTCTGGATGGAGATGAAGGCGAACGGGGCGTGGCCTTTCAGGGGATCCGGGATGCCGACGACGGCCGCTTCGGCGATGGACGGGTGGGAAGTGATGGCCTGTTCGATGGCGCCGGTGGAGAGGCGGTGGGCGGCGACGTTGATGATGTCGTCTGCGCGGCTCATGATGTGCACGTAGCCCTGCGCGTCGATCATGCCCGCGTCGCCCGTGTCGACCCATCGGCCGTTGAAACGCTGCAGGTAGCCTCGGTAGAAGCGCTCCTCGTCTTGCCAGAGGGTCGTGAGGCCCGTGGGGGAGAGGGGAATCCCGAGGACGATGTTGCCCATGTTCTCACGGGGTAGGGGGTTGCCTTCGTCGTCTACTACGCGGACGTCGAAGCCGGGGACGGGCTTTCCGGCGGAGCCGGGCTTGATGGGGAGGGGTTTGTAGTATTGCCGATCTTGGAAGTCCAGCGCTGTTCCGGGCAGGAGCGAGAGCGAAGTCATGGGAGATCCGGATTCCGATGACCACCAATTGTCAATGACTGTGGCGTTGGGGCCACAATACTTCCTGACGAGCTCGTCGTACATGTGCACAATCGTGGGCTCACTGCGTTCCCCAGCCAGAAAGAGCGCGCGCAGATTCTTGAGGCCTCCACTCTCTCCTCGCTGCTTGAAGTACTTGTTGTCTGGATCCTGATTCTTGATCGCACGCAGCGCAGTCGGCGCAGTAAACATCGTATTCACTTTGTGTTCTTCCAAAATCCGCCAGAACGTGTCAGGGCTCGGCGTGCCGACCGGTTTGCCCTCGAACAAGACCGTCGTCGCTCCGGCGAGAAGGGGTCCGTACACGATATAACAATGCCCGACCACCCAGCCAATATCACTCGCCGTGAAGAGCGTATCGCCCGGTCCACGGATTCCGAAGACATATCTCACGGTGAAATTCAATCCAACAGCATGGCCTCCAGCTTCACGAACGACCCCCTTTGGCAACCCCGTCGTTCCACTTGTGTAGATGATATAGAGTGGATCATTGCTCTTGACAGCCACATTCTCCGCCCGCACGCCCCTATCCCTCGCGCCCTTGACCACCCTCTGCCACGTCCTCTCCCCCGCCAATCGATCCGTATCATTCCACCGATGCTCGTCTCTTTGCCAGATCAAGACCTTCCACGGCTTATGCTTCGCCTGCTCAATCGCTCCTCGCACCATCGGTTTGTAAGGCAGAGGTCCCTTCGCGCCTTCAATGCCACAGCTAGCGGTGAGAATGGCTTTCGGGGTACTCGAATCGATCCGTTGGGCCAGCGACGAAGCCGAAAAGCCACCGAACACCACCGCATGTACAGCTCCCAGGCGAGCGACCGCCAGCATCCCTATGAGAGCGGCAGGTATCATGGGCATGTAGATAATAACCACATCACCCTTCCTCACTCCTTCTTCCCTCAGCGCTCCCGCCAAGATTGCGACGTCCTCTTCTAGCTGCTTGTACGTGATGTTCTGTTTGTTCCCTGTAACCGGACTATCCCACTTGATCGCAACATTGTCCCCAAAACCCGCCTCGACATGTCTCGTGACCGCATTGTACGAAGTACTCAGCTCTCCATCTGGATACCATTGCCAACTATCGTGCGAAACGCCCGAGGGCAGCTTCTTCGTATATTTCCTATACGTCGTCTGCGGAGCTTTCGTCCAAGCTATCTGCTCGGCCTGGTGTTTCCAGAACTCCTCGGGGTCCCGCTGGTGAGCCTCCCAGGCTTCGTCCTGTCTGTGAGGTGCCATGATGCTGGATTCAAACAAGAAAAATTGACTGTCGAAGGAAACCCGTGCTGTGCGACTTACGGATTCTGTACCTTGAGAGAGCAATGGAAGTCTCCCTGAGAAGGGCTGGGCTTGTTCGGTCGGCCGGATGCTCTGGTCGACGTTGAGCTGGAGTTGGGTGCCCGAGATAACCCCACAACCCCACAGAAGCCTAATCCAACAGGGGTTAGAGCGCAAGAGCGAAGTGGTCTGAGCATTACCTTACCTACTGTACCAGCGGGGAAGCAGTCCGAGAATTGAGCGATGGGTGAGTGACCATGAGCTTGAACACTTCACGCGAAAGGTGAGTGCCAATTCCAGACCATGAGCGGCTGCATCGAATTCCATCTGCCGCCACAATGCTCGAAACCAGTTCAGATTCTGCTCCTGCGCGGAGCAACTTCGCGCAAGTACCACAATGGCCCGAGGATGGTGGAGAGCCTGTAGGATTGGATAGTATATTGGTGGAGACTATGGGTCTTAGGAAGTGGCTTTCTTCTGCCCAGAAACGTCACTTGCATAAAGATATTCCAGAGGAAATAGCATGTCGTTTTTCAAGGACTACGAAGGCCGTTAGACCCTAACTGTTGCGGCTCATCTACGCTGCCCCATGAAAGCATCTTGCTACGGTGCCTACCTTGTCGATGAGAATCCTGCCCAGGCAAGCTATGCATAGGTGGATTCACTCGTCGAAAGAAGACGACCGGGCATCTGCAGTTGAGACAATCCGAATCGCTCCAGCGTCGCGTTGAGGATCTTGTACAAAGCTACCTCATTTTACACTTCACACGGCTGTCATAGTGTACGCGTGGGGGCAAGAAACACCATGCGCATGATCCAATAAGACCGATAGATTGGATTGTTTTCGCAGATAGATGAGGTCTATTCATGCACAGTGGTTGCAAAGCCAGCTGCGGCCTCTCTCGGCAGACCTAATTTGAGCTCCTCCTGGCCACGATCGAGATGGTCATACCGAGTGCGCCTGGCAAATTGGGTGCGCTGGCATTCGAGTTATGCAATTCCTGGTTCTCAAGCTGCTCAGCTCTGCGGTCAGCTGCACCCTGGATTGCTGCTGTTCGGAGAGGCTCGGACGTATCAAGAGTCTGGTCGTGAAGGCTCCAGTCGCATTGAAAGGCCACATTTCTGGTGATCCAGAGTCGGAAGGGCGATTCGGACAGCTTTCGGAGTTTGCGTAGGCGCTCAGGAGAGCTGCGTACCACCCGATGTCCAGCTGCCTTGCTTCAGGCGGCGCACACGCGAGCTCGCTTCCAACTCTTGAGTGACTTGTTTAGCATGAGGACGCGTGGGTCGCGATAGAAGGTAGAAGAGCAAGCTTAGATCGTCTGCCCAATTTCGCCCAGTGTGGACCTCTGGAGCAATGCCACGGCCAGTCAGCTATGGGGTCAGTGAGGATTACATGCAGATTGAATCTGTGTCGAGGTGTAGTCTGGGCAGAACAAGAGATACGGGAAGAGAATGATTTCTGTCGATCAGGTGTATGCGGAAAGTGACTGGGTTCAAGAAGCCTAGACATTGGGAGCGATTGGGGATACTTGTACGTCGCTGACGGGCAGTCGGTTGTCAGCGCACAAGTGCGGTGCGTAGAAGCTGGTTCGGGTCATGACGCACGACCTGTGCCTCGTAGCGAGTTCTAAGAAAACAGCACATGGCGTGGAATTTTCTTCAGGCATCAGACCGGGGCGTCAGGGATTTCGAGAAGCGTGGCACCTGGTAGTGCGCTCCCATTCTCGTGGTAGACAACGGGCCACGTCGTTCGCGCGATGTATCGATGCCCAATTGTCCACTGGTGGGAGGTGTCACTCCAGCTGTACGGGAGCTACGAGGCAATAAGTCGCAGTCGGCAGGCGAGGCTCCAGCAGGCGGTGCGGAGAGGGGAATAGGGCTTCCCGGTGCGGGGAGGGGGCGGAGCATGGAAGAGCGAGGCATTGAAGAGTCGGTGTGTCTGATAGTCGTAGAGTTGAGGAAGCTTCTTGTTTGTCGAGGACGGCAATGCAAAGGGGAGGCTCGGGAGAAGGAGCCGTCGGCAGGGCCACGACTTCTGGCGTCGATGGTGGGCGTGCGCGAGGCAGGCGGGACCTCACCTCTCGATCTGAGTGCACGACGAGGCTCCCGACGAGCGCGGCACAGCGCTGACCGTCAGTCCGTAGCGCTGCATGTGTGTGAAGGTGTTTGACAGCTCGTCGCGTGCCATGCGTGCTGCTGTGCTGCGCGGAGGGCTGCGTCGGCGGGCTCGCGGGTGCCGTCGCTCCTTCCTGGGCATATGGCCGGGGGCCCTTCCTGCCGTCTGTAAAGCAGCGTGCGTTCTTGCCTCCTACCTACCGCCAACGCATTCCAACCTAACCTAACCTAACCTAACCTAACCTAAGGTAACCGCACCCGTCCCCGTACCACCCGCTGGACTGGAGCGAGCCATTGGACATGGATTGCTGGCTGGCGGGCTCTCCCCCTTCTGCGCGCGCGGACTGTGGACCACGCCTTCCGCCTTCCTCTGCCCTGCCCTGCCTGCGGTATGCCTGCCACCCGCCTGCAAAGGACTCGGAGCCTTCCGCCTTCCCTTCCTTCAATGCTGCAGCGCCTGCCACCACTGCACTGCACTGCACTGCACTGCATCGACCTCCTCCCCTCCCCTCCCCTCCCCTCCAGCGCACTTGGACCCGAGCCCGAATGCTCCTGCCCTCCCCGACCCACCACACGGGGGCCGCTCCCGCTTCACCGCAGAGCACCGCACTCACTTGACAACTCAAGCCTGCAGCTAGCAATTAGCTTGCTCCCGAGGCCAATGGCGTTCTCTGTCTAGAGTCTGCCATGCTCGGGGGAATCGGCGATATTTGCCTTTCCCCCATTGCTCCCCATGCCATCCTCCCCTGCTCGCCCTCCAGCGCTATCGCCCATCACATGCTGCTCACCCAGCTCGCGTCCGCACATTGCCGCCCTTCGTGCATCGCGCGTGGTGTGCTCCCCCGTCGAATGACACCGGTCGTGTCGTCGTAGCAGGTACCGCATCACTATAAAAGGGTGACACGAGTGCTGCCACCTCCTGCTTTCCTTCCTCTACCTCTCATCCACCTGCCAATTGCTCCTCTTCATCTCTCAAGCACTTTGACTTAGTCCATCCTACCTCGACTCCTATCGCTCACCATGTCTACCTCCTACTACTCATACCAGCCGACAGGCACCCTGCCGGTAAGCGTGCCCGGCAAGTCACCGCAGCAACCCTATGCCAGTCGCCATACCCGCAATTCCTCGGGATACAGCCAACTCTCCGCGTCGCCTCCGGAGCGACCCGAGAGCGTTTCCTCCTCGGGTGCGGGCTTGTACTCATCGGCATCGAGCCAGTGCGGCGGTAGCGAGTATGATTCGTCCAGCGGTGCAACCAGCGTCGATTTGCTAGACTACATGAACGACCGCCTTTCGCAAGCATACAATCCAATCCCTCTTGACAAGAATCTCGCCAAGCAAGCGCAAATGTAAGCACCAGCAGGCTCCTTACAAACGAACAAGATCACTGATCGATTGCGCAGGTCAGGAGAATTGAACGCAAAGAATCGCGAATTGCTGGCTCTGCAAGCGCAAGCGAGAGCACGACTTGCCAAGACCCGAGCCAACTTCGCCGAGGGCATGAAAGCCGCAAAGGACGTCCAGCGAGACTTGGAATGGACACAGAAGAAAGTCCAGTACGTCACCCAGATCTCATCTTGACCGCATTCGCTGACACTGCATAGTGCGTTGAACGCGAGAGCAGCACAAAAATACCCAGATCAATACCGAGCTGCGAGTCAACGTTACCCAGCGCCTGTGGATTACTAAAGACAAAAGGGACCCAACGACTTGACACTTGACGACGGCGTTTTCCCGGAAATGTAAATGTGACTGGATTCGAGCATGTCGACGACCATCGCTTTGGGGGCAACGACATGGAATGTTTTCATATGGGCGGGACGGAGGGAGTCCCTGGGAAGGAGACGACGTTCGAACAAGCTTCGTTCGCCCGTGGCCCATGCTTCAAGTACCTTGCATACGCGCTGGACCCTAAGTGTGGCTTCCGCGTACCATGTTGCAGTAGTAGGTCGATTCCCAGAGGTGCCGGCAGATCAGCCTACGGCATGCGGGGTTCGGGCAGAAACGCGTGTGGTAGCGACCAGGCTAGGCTAGCTGTTGCTCAGCGGGAACGGCTGGCTCATGCGAACGGCTGGGTGGTGGAGCGGTTCCACGACTGGGCTATTCCACGAAAGGAGGGCACGTCAGGGGGGTGCGAGTGGGGACTGTAGCTTCTTCAATCTCACGAATTGCTGTAGAGGATGTAGTCTGTTCCATTGCCCTCCTATCCCACCATTGGTTTCCCCTTGCCCCGGTTAGTTCGTCAGCAGCAAGCATGACGGGAACGATAGGAGGACGTGAGAGAGACAACAACAGATCGATCTGAAGGGTTCCGGTGCCACCGTTGCACGATCTGCTCCTGCTTCCCATCATCGTGAGATGCGTCGGACCAATCGCTCCAAGCCATTGGCGAGCGGGACGCCGTTTTCGGAACGACCTGCATGTCCTGTCTCTCGTGGAGTGTGCCACTACTGCATGGAAGGGAAGGAGTTGGTGTCCGGTCCGATCGATCTCGGCGGTAAGGCCAGGTCTCTCTCTACTCGTGTTGTCGGACCCTTCGATTGATTGATCACGATTGAAATCTCGTCATTGTTGTCTCCCTCGTAAAACGGTGTACCATCAGTCTTCCCCCCATGGACCTTTCGTGAACGTCAGAGGCGCCGTCTTAGTGTCGTGTAAGATATATCATTATCGGGCCCGCCTTGATGCTCCGATGCGGAACCTCACATGCTCTCCAGGGCTCTGGTGGAACCCTGGGAACGATCGATCAAGCTCCTCGAGAGATGGACTTTTACGAATGAGGTGGCCTGCTCAAAAAAGACTGCCAGTCAGTCTCTTCGGCCTTGGTTTTTATCGATCGACCAAGTCCCATATACAGATCAAAACAAGTGAGATGAGCCAACTGACTGTCCAACGAAGCGACGTAATTGCAACCCGCCAGCGCACATCTCATGCAACTAACTAATCTATCCATCGATTAGACACTGGATTGATTTTGAGCTCTGCTCGTTTTGGGGGTTGCATGGATTTGATGTGCGGATTTGCATTCGTACATAAATAGATCTCTCGACATATATGGCTGTAATGTAATAAGCATGCTACAAATTTGACACATCGTTCGCCGTAAAACCCCAAGCTATATATATATCAGTACTTGTTTGCATTTCTGTCATCGATGAAGTCTAAGCCAGTATGAATCACTACATACATTACTCAAAAAGCCTTCCCCAAGTATGGCTCAAAAGATTACCTCGAGACAATAATAATAAATCACGATCGTGGACGAAATGCGTGATTGATTGATCTTATTTCTGAGCGTTTGATACATCTCGGGGCAGAATCACAAAGAAGCCGCCCGTTCAAGCTCCGAAGACAAGAAAGGTCCAGGACTCGATCCTGAATTCGATTGATCTATCTATACTGGTACCTACCACGTGGCGAAATGGGGGCATATTTTACGATAGGTTCGATGGATCAGAGTACCTTGACCCCGAGAGGCGAGAAGGACCTTTTAAGACGGGAAACACGTTTCAATCATACACCTTGGCGTTCGATATAGCATCCCTGAGTCGTCCATCTGGGAGATTTCCAGACTTGCAGGTGGAAGGGACTTGTGAATATAAATTGACGTTGCTGCCAAGCGGATGAGGATGAAAACGCAGTCGCGAGAAAATATGTAGAGGGTCGAAGGACTTGAAAAGCCCGTAGAAAAGGGGTTTTCGTGGCATTTTGAAGCAGCGTAGAGTACAGCGTCCTGCAAATTCCGAAAGCACATTCGCTTCACGTGCATCCTAGTCAAGACCGAGCTTGGCTCGAAGTCGAACAGCACAAATCCATGATGCGTCCAGGTATCATTTCGCTTCGTGCATCCTCATAAGCCGCATGCAGGCATGATAGATGGGACGAGGTGAGATCACGTGACCCGAGGGTTCGCGGCTAATAGTTTTTCCGAAAGAAGCTGCCAGAAACTTGTGGGACTTTCGCCCCATGTGAAAGCCAAGCTTCGAGAAGATGCTGGACTCCACTCCCTCGAGATGACGAGAGGCATCACGAGAGTAACAGATCATGCCAGCATATTCTGTCACTCATCTTCGAACATTCGAAGATGCCTCGCCGAAGGTATAAAGGTCTGTCTCTGGTCAGCCTTTGTCCGATCATCACAGAACAACAAACATCAACGATTACATGCAAGCCACTCGCATCAACAACCGACTTCCTCAAGTTTTCAAAACCATTCGATTTTCTCCACGACCAACGACCTACACCACCACTCGCAAAATGTCTCTCATCCCACGTTACATCGAGCAGGAGTTCGCTCCAGCACGGGACCTTTTCCGGCTGTTCGACGACTATGCCTCTCACGTCCAAAGCAGAGGCGGCAACGGACTCGTTCCAGCCGGTGCTTTCAAGCAGCTTCGCACCTTCACACCCAAGTTTGACGTGAAGGAGACCAAGGACAGCTATGAGCTGCACGGCGAACTCCCAGGCATCGAACAGAAAAACATCCACATCGAATTCACCGATGCCCAGACTCTCACCATCAAGGGTCGCACCGAGCACACCCGCGAGGAGGGAACTCGTCCATCTGGTCGGATCGAAGGTGGAAAGCAAGGCCAGATCACCGAAGGCGACTCCAACGGTAACTACCACAAGCCATCCGTCGAGGACGAGCAAGCCCAAATGTCCGGTGGCAACCCAGGCGCACAGAAGGAGGGCCAGACACAGGTCCAGAAATCCGAGGAGCAGAAGAAGGACGAGGGCCGCTACTGGGTCTCTGAGCGCTCAGTCGGCGAGTTCGTCCGTACCTTCTCTTTCCCCACCCGAGTCGACCAGGAGAAGGTCAAGGCCAGCCTGAAGGACGGCATCCTCTCCATCGTCGTCCCTAAGGCCCAAGCGCCAACCAGCAAGCGCATCAACATTGAGTAAATCCATCACAATCAGTCCGACATCCACACAGCACCTTCCATATAACGATTCCTTGATGCAACAGCGAAGCATGGCGAAGGGGGTTTGAAAGGGTTTCTTCTGACGAGAGTATGAGGCGATGATTCTGTAAATTAGTACGACTTGTAAAATGAAATTGTTCGAGCAAACCTGGTCTTCCGTTTTCGTTTCCCCCAGCAGACTGGTCTTCCGTTCTCGTTTCCCCCAAGCAGACTCAGTAGTACCACAGCTTTCCCCGCCACACATAGATGCCTTATTCTGGGATCCCAGTCTGAGGTCCATGCATCATCGTAGATCGGGCGCTCCACGCGTGAACAGCGCATCGTCCAGCGAGCAGCGTGGTGTTCACTGGAGTGGGATGCCATCAAGTGCAGATGCCTGGCGCGTTGATCAAGCAATGTTTCTTTCTTCAGAAGAGGTGTGGTTGGCGTTTGATGTAGATGCACACGTAATGCAAAAGCAGACCTGACATCTGCAAGCAAAAAGCTTGTCTGTTGCCCAGTGATGCACCGATGCGCGTTTCGAGCTGCGGCCTGCAGCCTGCAGCCGAAGAAGCCGAGCTTCCCAATCCTCCCAATCCTCTCAGGCGCGCTTGCCCGGCTTCAACTTCTCCTACTACATCATCCCGTCGAACTACCGACGACGACCCTACCTTACTTGCAGCGCAGAGAAAACCCAGATACCATTAATCGTAAAACATCTGCTTCGTTTTGTTTAGTCCTGTGTAGCATCTGGGGTGGACGCGATGGCGAACCAAGACAGAATGGAGAGAGCCGAGTATCCGGCCATGCTGGTGAGCTACACTGGCAGACAGAGCAGTCGGGGAGGACACGAAGCTGATATGCATCGATACAGCCCAAGCTGGCGCCTGCTCAGGCAGCTGACGTCCTCAATGACCGCGTACGGCAGGTCGGAAAGCTCAACACTGCCATTGCCGACTGGCTTCAAGTGAGGACGACCGCAGACTGGTCGCGCAGAGGGCGCGCTCCCGAATTCGAATCGGCTGACCACGAGGGCGTAGGAACGAAGTCGCTTGGAAGAACAGTATGCAGCTGGCCTGCGAAAGCTGGCCCGGAAGCCAATGGAAGATGTAGACTTGGGGTATGAAGAGCTAGGGGTGCAGGGAAAAGCAAACAAGAACTGTACTGACCGAAGCGCAGTATCTTTTCTGTACCTTGGAGCACCATGACGAATTCTATGGACACCCTCGCTGAATCGCATGCATCACTCGCTTCGAAGATTCAGGTGGACGTGGAAGCACCTATACGCGACTTTGCCGTTTCCAATCGCGAGATGCAGGCAATGAGTACGATACAGGGAAACTTGGGATCCATGGCGAGAGATATCGAAAGAGCGCAACAGAGGACTGAGAAACTACAGGGCAAGGGAGAGAAAGCAGAAGCCAGCAAAGTTGCGAATGCGACCTCTGATCTGGATACGGCCAAGGCAGCTTGGGATTCGCAGGCGCCGTATGTTTTCGAGACACTTCAGTCGCTGGACGAGACGCGCGTGAACACCCTGCGCGATCTTTTGACACAGCTACAGACTCTGGAGGTGGATCAGGTGGAGAAGAATCGCGTGGCAGCGGAGCAATGCCTGAACGTGCTGTTGAATGTGGAAACTCAGGATGAGATCAAGACTTTCGCACTGAAGACCTTGTCCGGCGCTTCAGGTCGACCGAGCGCGAACCGGCCATCGAGGGCAAGTTTCATTCCTAGCATGCCGAGTATGCCGGGTTCTTCTTCCTCGACGCCTCAGAGAGCGAGAGAAGGCTCTGCATCGAATTCCAACGCTCTTACAACGATCCCGTCGAATGCCGAAGATGATGCCAGCCAGATATCTGGTACTCCGGAGCCGACGAAGAAAGGAGGGTTCAAGGGCTTGAAGAGACTCGGTACTGTCGTGTCTAGGCGCCGCGAAAGTAAGCAGACGTCTTCTCTGCCTGCCACGTCGGAATCGCCTGAGCGCAAGGCAAAGGGAAGAACGTTTGGTCTTGGACGTCTGGGTCGGAACAAGGGCTCGTACGGATTGGAGCCGCCACAGGAAGAGCCCTCGGGCTCGCTACGGCCGCGCTCGCCATTCAGAATGGGAAGCGAGGTAATGGAGTCGACAGAAGTCCGAGAGCAGCCGAGCAGTCCTTCGAATGACAGGCCGCCACAACTAGATCTTCCACACATGAATGGCTCCTCGAGTGCATTGTCGCCCACCTTAAATGTTCCGAACGGAAGTCACCAGGGAGATCTTGCCGACTTGGATCCTCCGAAGCCAACTGAACCGGAGCCATCAAGAGTGCCCACCTTTGCGGAGCCACAGAGGGACAGTGAAGGATATTCTGTACCTCCACAGCAGCTTGATCCTATTTCACAAGCGGAGGCCGACCTGACGGCAGCGGAACGGCCAGAACCTCAGTTCAACGTAAACATCCGCAATGCGCCTATTCGTGAAGAAGGAGGGGAAGCCGCACTTGCAAGCGTGGCAAACAAGCTGGTGAGTATTGTAGACCCGATCACTGCAAATATGGTTGTTGACAGTCGTCGTTAGGCCCCACCACCAACGCAACGGAGAGCTGGAACCGTACGAGGCCGTCGTGATGCTCGCAATAGCGCTGTGATCAGCACTTACAGCTCCTCTGATCAAGCTACTCCCGAGGCCAGCAGTGCGGCCGTTCCTTCGACAACGCAACGCGCTTTCGAGCCAACATCCGCTCTTGCACCGGTCGCTGATCCAGTCGTTGCTCCAGCAGTTCAGCCTCCGTCAGCTCCATCCACGTCCCCGGGGACACAATCGCCTCTTGGCGGTTTCAGTCCTGTGGGTGCTGGGAATGTGAATGCTTTCTCACCATTCAGCGGCGGCGCCGAGCCACACTCTCCCATACGCCCTTCGTCTCGAGCCGCTGTGGGCGCCGACCACGCTGGTGACAACCAGTCAATCAGATCCGGACGCAGCACTGCCAGCCAAGGCATGAGACATCCAGAACTTATCCAGCCTGGTCTCAGCTCCTCCATCATTGAAACAATATCCGTCCGATTCGACAGCAAGCAGGTCTCCAATGCTTCTCTCATCGGCGAGGTTGCGCTTGCGTACAATGCCACCGACTTCAATGCCAGCCATGGCCATGAGACTATCCGCCTAGAGCACTTCTCCTCTTTGGACAAGGTTGCCCCTAACCCGGCTTTCATCCACCAGGTCGCGGACAAGGAAGGCGAATACTCTATTAACCTCGCGCAGATCGCCAAGACCCAGATCGCCTTCAAGTACCAGCTACGACACGATGAAGCAGAACAACACATTCCGTTGCTCCTCACACCAGCGTACAAGACTGGACCTACCCAAACAGACGTGATTGTCAATTATTCGCTCTACCCAGGCTTCACTCTCCAAGGACGCGAGAATCTGGCACTGTCGAATGTGACGATCGGTCTTATCCTGGAGGGTGCCAAGGCCACCAACTGCATGACGAAGCCCACGGGGACATTTAACCGAGAGAAGAATTTGGTTTTCTGGCAGTTGGGCGACATTACTCTCACACCTGGCGCTGCTCCCGAGAAACTTCTGGCGCGTTTTGTTACTGAGAGCGAGGCGAAGGGTGGTAGCATTGATGCGAAATGGGAGATCCATGGTGATGGAACGCCTGGGATTGGAAGTCCGATTGCTGTGAGCATGTCGGGACAAGGGGTTGGTGAAGGAGCGGATCCTTTCGCCGATGAGGGTGCGCCTGCCGGTGGCAGCTGGAAGGGTGTTCCCGTGGTGAGGAAGCTCACGAGTGGGAGTTACGTGGCGAAGTCGTAGTAGGGCAAGAAGGGGGAAAAGGAAAGGAAAGGAAAGGAGTGCTTTCGATTCGTTTGTACAGGTGTAATAATGATACCCGGTCGTTTGTTATTTGAGACGTGAAGATTGTATAGTGGACTAGTAGAACAGCGACAGATGGAAAAATTGGACAAACATGCATGCATTGCTAGAATGAATTGTATACACTCTTTGTGAAGGCATAAATTTTTCGAAATTCGAACCACCCCGAGCGATTATTGATGCATTCCCAAGATCTGTGCGCCGCATATGAGACGCTGGCCGCTTCGTCGCTCTTCTCGACAAAGTACTCGGTTTCCGGTCGATCTGGCTGCACTTGATTGTGCACATCGTCACGTGAGCAAAATCAGTAGGGTTCCCTATTTGCGGCGAGCGAGACGAGCGGCTGCGTCCACGCCACGTTTGGACGACTCTAAGGCCTCGGTGAAATCGTTGCATGCCGTTTCGTGCCGCAACGCCTCGTGAGGAAGCCTTGCAGGCAATCTTCGCTGACGCAGGGCGGACTCACACCCGAAGAGGACCTCATATCCGACTGACCACACCGGGAAGCCGGCATCAAGCACCAACCGTTTGCTTATGATTCATCACCATGTTCAACTTCACCGTCGGCACTTTGGGCTCCGGCGGTGGTCGCAGTGCTCTCGCGGCTCCCTCGCGATACGGCCTCAGTTTCGGGTTACGCGCGATGATGTCCTGCGTCGCCCTTCCGGTGAACTGAGCGAGCTTCATCAAAGAATCGACGATGATGTTGTGAATCTCCGCAGCTCCAGCGCCGCGCTTGCCCGCCTTCTCCAGCTGGGTGTACGTCTCGGCCACCACCTGGTCCACTTCGCGACCCCTCTGCTTCCGCACCACATCTACTTCGCGGAACATTCTCTCCACAAAAGGTGCGCCTCCCGGTATCGCACTCGCATAGGCCAGGGTGGTGCGTCGCAGCATGTCGAGGGCTTCCGGAGCACTGTATGTTCCCGCTTTGAGGCTGGTGATGACATCCTCACAGAGATTGTCCATGCACAGTTTGGCCGTCCTCGCGGCCAGGATGGCGGACTCCACGCCACCGAAATCTTTCCAGAGGCCGGCGCTGAGAAGCATGACGGCACCGGCTGCACATCCGACTAGACCTCCTGTCATGAACGCAGGTGTTGCCAGAGCTAGTGGGCCCGTCCAACCACTGCTACCTTCCATCTTCTCTTTGGAAGCATTGGCTTGAGCGCTGGAGGCCTTTGAAGCCATTCTGGGCTTCACCGAGGTCGACGTTTGCTTCACATCACCCTTGGCGTCTTTATTTCGAACATCAGGCTTGTTTTGAACTTGGCACTGCGAGGGCCTTGGGGCCGGTGCTGCCCTCTTGGCCTGATGATGCTCAACCGATTTACTGCTCACGGCACTGGCACGCGCATACCCCGTGGTAGCCTCGGACGATACATTTCGCGTCTCCAGTCTCGCCTTGGCAGTCCTTCTCCGAGCTGGATTGGGTCTCGTCTTCTTCGTCTGGCACACGGGAACCGGACCAGCCGTTTCAGCAGCTGTAGAAGCCATGGAGAATGCTTGCACGTGAGGCCAGCTCACGAGATGGAAACGCCTTCCCCAGATGCCGACTTTCTGGTTGTTTTTTTCGATCAAGATGTAGCGCACGAAAAGCTATCTCAACGTCGCATCCACGCAAGACGCAAGGTGAAGTCGAGCCTCCTGGCGTGAAAGCTGGCAGCTAGTGCAGCTTCGCGCCTGATCCTTGTCGAGGTCGATCACTCCTCGGCTCAGTGAACACCTGCAATTCACTCTCGATGAAAAAGAGAAAGTCCAGTCGCTCTCAACGTTGCGAGTGAACGCTCGCATCCCGTCGACTTTGACCCGAAGCGTGGAAGTGCACTGCAGTGAGTGAAGGGCGGAGAAGTGCCACCGAGATCGATCCGGCGGCTCGCACGTGCCCCGGATCTCGGCAGGTCTCAAAGAGCAGCGAGGCTTTCGGCGTTGGCTGAGCCGCTAAGAACGAATTTGGATTTCTTCTGGCCCAAATCGAGCCTCTGTTTCCCTCTCCCACTCCCTCAAGCGCTCCCAAGTCGAAACACTATTCCCATCAGTCCGCGGGTTGGAACAAGATGGTCAGCATTCAAAATGCCCGCCGTGGCATCCGTCGTTAAGTTTCCTTCGACTCTCGTAGGTCCGATTCCTTGTTGCTCTCTGTCCTTATTGCTCCTCCTCCTGTCTTGCTCGACTACGCGTGGGTTTCATCTACGGTCGTTCGCTCGGATTCTGCACCGTAACAGGTTTCCAGTAAAAAGAGGCGGGACACTATTTCCTCTCTCGCGACCCAGCATTCTACACAGCATATAGATAGGGGCAGGTCGATCCTTGGGGGGAGAGCCGATAGGTAGCACAACTTGCACGATGCGACGACCATCACCACCCTTCTCCACCGCGCTGCTCACCCTCCTTCTTCCGCTCGTCCTCGCCCAAGACGGCGGCGCCGCCACGCTCACCTCCCCCAAACGCGGCCTCATCTACGTGCAGACGGAGAATGTCAAAGACGATCACTTCTGGACGAGCAACACCACCGACCTCACGTGGTACTACAACTACCAAGCCACACCCACGAGCGACATGGACCATTCCCGGTTGCAATTCGTGCCGATGCTCTGGGGTTCCGCCGACAGCGACACGTTCTACAGCACCGTCAAGGGCCTCCACGACGGGGGCATGAACATCTCGGCCGTGCTCGCTTTCAACGAGCCGGATGGCTGTACCGATGGAGGTTCCTGTGTGGATGCGCAGACGGCTGCACAGTTGTGGAAGAGCCAAATCGAACCTCTGCAGAAACTGGGAATCGCTTTGGGAGCGCCTGCTGTCACGGGATCACCGAATGGATTCGTCTGGTTACAGAGTTTCTTCACGGCATGCGCGGGGGGTTGTTCGGTGGATTTCATCCCGACGCATTTCTACGGGAGTTTTGAGGGTCTGGCGAGTCATGTGGGACAGGTGAATGCTACTTATTCGGTGAGAATCCCCTCCCTCCATCCATCTTATCATCTCACCCCCATCGCGTCCTAACCGAAAGCGTTTGTAGAACATCTCCTCCATCTGGGTCACGGAGTACGGATACCCCGGCCAGTCGCTCCAAAACGTGCAGTCGTACTACAACCAGACGAGCGCTTTCCTTAACCGCGTGTCCTGGATCGATCGGTATAGTTATTTTGGATCTTTCCGGTCCGACGTGTCGAATGTGGGGCCCAATGCTGCCATGTTGACGCAGAAGGGGGAACTGACGGATATTGGGGCTTGGTATCTTGGGGAGAGTGCGACGGGGAACGTGCCCAAGGGTGATGCTTCGACGATTGCCAAGGGGGCTGTCTGGGCCATCGCGTTGGTTGCTTTGAGTGCGTTTTGGCTTGCTTAGCTTTGAGGGTTGTACAATTGATGGTCGTTGAGATCGATGTTTATGGTTGCGATGCGTAGCGTGGAGTTGGGGGGAGTTTAGTTAGTAGATGGTGAATAGAGATATGGCGACCAGAGCAAGAGTGTCAATCAGGTAGGATGAGGTTCGTCCCTTGGGCGTCGGCTTGTTGCCTCCTCATCCCTACAGAGAATCACAGGTCTCGACCACGTACCTACCATCGCTGGCATCGCCATCGCCATCGCATCCTACCATAACATTGAGGTATGGCGCATTGCAAGGCCAGCAAGTCGCTCGCCCGTGGCACCAACCAAGACTCATTTGCCACGTTCCGACGAGTCTTTTGCTATCCGATAGCACTCAGACTCTTCTCATGACGCTGACTGCCAGCAACGTCCTACGTGGTCTACCTCGTCATGCTCCGGTCTCTTGCCACCAACGGTCTATTCATCACCTCCTGAAACCTCTCGAGACAGCTCTTACTGATGTCCCATACGTGGGGGCCAGCCCACGCCCAGCCACGTCGACCGAGGGAGCGCGGTCGCCGACGTTTGTGCGGGAGGGCCGCCGAGTATCGGAGATCTCTGTTGCTGTGCTGTGCCTCGAAAATCCTTTGACCCCACAGATCATGTCAACAGATCTGATGAGTGGACTGCAGATAAGTTCGCAGGTCGTGGCGTGGTCGAAGGATGCCCATCCCGATCGGGAGCAAAGCAGTGGCGTTTTTTTTTATCGATCGCTTGGCAATCGGTCATGTAAGGGGAGATTCGCAACTGGTCAACTGGTGTCGCGTGTGGTGATGGTGTGGACGAGCGAATGGGAAAGACGGCAACAGCTCGAGCCAAGAGAAGGGGCGGATTATGAATTATTTCCCTTCCTGCCCGTGTCGTTGGTCGCGGTTGTCTTCTTCTTCGTTATCTGGGGAGACGGAATAGGTAAGGTCGGGATAGCCTTATCACGGGCCTATGAGAAGCTGGGAAGGGTGCGACCCTGGATGTCCGATACGGGCGGTGATTGGCGGCGGGCCAACGGTTGTGGCGTCGCTGTCTGCCGGGCTGCAACTCTAATGGGACCTTGAAGACGGGCTTCCACATTCCGTCATCTGGAGAAGATAAGGACGGCAAAGACTAGCGAGCCAGGCGCGGATCAATGTTTCGGTGTTGACGGTTGACGGTGGGAGGGTGCAGTGCGGCCACGTTGGAAGGGCGAGCCCACGAGTGTGTTTGGTCCCCCGGTTTCGAGGTAACGATTTAGGGCAAGGTGAAGGGGGAGGAAACCTGGAAGTTCTGCTGCTGTGCTGTTCGGCAGACGACCCGCACGGGGAGAAGTTGGAGCCATATGAGCCCGGGCTCAAGATGCTAGAGGATCTCCACGGGCCCGATCTAGCTGCGAGTGCCACGAGCCCTGGCCTGGCAGTCGGCGCTTCCCATGATGATGTTGAATAGCCAAATGGGCAGATGAGCGCGCTGGTTGCTTGGCAGGTCGGAGATCTTGGCGACGCCTCGTCTCCGTGGTCGTGTTGTGTCGTGTCGTGTCGTGTGACGAGTAGTATCGATGAGGACGGACTAACGATAAGAAGAAGAAGAAGAAGTGTGAGAAGGTGATGATGCGCGGATGCTGGGCGCGGAACGAAGTGTGGAAGGTTTGGCTGGCTGTGGGCAGATCGCCTCGTCCTTCTACGTCGATACGCCGCCTTCTCTAGTCCTTCTGCTCTGCCTGCCCTCTGCTCGCTCGTCCGTCCCTTTATCAACTCAAGATCCCGATGGTCTCCGCCGCGTCGGCTGCTCCAGCTCTAGACCTGGTTTGCTTTTAGCCTCACCACCGCCTCTACCGCATCCATACCCTTCCTACTTCTTCCTCTCAACCACACCCTCTGCCGCCCCAGCTACCTGCTCGTCTCCTCCCCGCGCATCGGTTTCTTTTGGCGTGCAGTTGTTGGAATTCCGCAGGCCGGCCACTCGACCAATATTATCAATACTAATCCTTACTGGCCTGCCAGCAATCGCAGTCGCTTTCCTCGGCAAGCTGCAAGCATCGAGGATTCGACGTCCGCCCGACTCCGGCCTGGATTAGGCACTCACGGACTCTAAAGATCGCATTATTCGACCTCGGTACGCGAACAGAATTCCACAGACATGTCGTACGCCTGGGTCGGCCCTCCGGCCGTATTCAATGGCACGAATCCAGACATTGGCGGCGATTCGAGTGAGTAGTACCACGTGCTGCATTGCTGCAATTGCTTTTCCCCGCAAAACCTGGTGTGACATCAACAACGCACTGACAATATCATCTTCTTCTCACAGAAACCACGAATCTCAACCAATGGTTCGCCGCAGGAGATCAGGCCTACATCATCGTGGCCTCGGCCATGGTGCTGATCATGGTACCTGGTCTGGGCTTCCTCTACTCGGGTCTTGCGCGAAGAAAGTCGGCTCTGAGCATGATCTTTGCCTGCATGGGGTCTTGCTCCATCATCACTTTCCAATGGTACTTCTGGGGATACTCCTTGGCTTTCAGCCAGTACGCGACCAACGGCTTCATTGGTGATTTGAAGAAGTTTGGACTGATGAATACGCTTGCCATGCCGAGTCCCGGCAGCCCGTTGATTCCGGATCTGCTGTATGCTTTCTATCAGGTATGTCGAGGAACGAGAGGAGCAACAAGTTTGGTGCGATTCGCAGGAGCTGACTCGTGGACAGATGCAATTCTGCGCCGTCACCGCTGCCATTGTTGTGGGCGCTGTCGCCGAGCGAGGACGTCTCATCCCCGCCATGGTCTTCATCTTCTTCTGGGCCACGCTCGTGTACTGCCCGATCGCGTGCTGGGCATGGAATGTCAACGGATGGTTCTACAAGTGGGGTGGCTACGACTATGCCGGTGGCGGGCCTGTCGAGATTGGATCTGGCATGTCAGCTCTCGCCTACTCCATGGTCCTCGGCCGCCGTCAAGAGAAGATGATGTTGAACTTCCGACCACACAACGTCTCCCTCATCACGCTCGGCACCATTTTACTGTGGTTCGGATGGTTGGGTTTCAACGGTGGCTCATCTTTCGGCGCCAACCTGCGCGCCGTCATGGCTTGCTGGAACTCCAACATCACGGCCATGTTCGGTGCCATTGCGTGGGTTCTGCTCGACTACAGGCTTGCTCGCAAGTGGTCGATGGTCGGTTGGTGCTCTGGTGCCATTTCCGGACTCGTTGCCGCCACCCCTGCTTCTGGCTACATCACGCCCTGGGCCTCGGTCGTTCTCGGTCTCGCGACGGGTGTTGTCTGCAATTTCGCCACCAAGATCAAGTACTGGATCCGCATCGATGACTCGATGGATGTGTTCGCCGAGCACGGTGTCGCCGGCATGGTCGGTCTCTTCTTCAACGGCATCTTCGCTGCCTCCTACATCATCGGTCTCGACGGCGTCAACACGGGTGCCTACCCGGGTGCTTGGCTCGAGCACAACTGGAAGCAGCTGTACAAGCAGATTGCCTACATCGCCGCCTGCACCGCCTACGCTTTCGTCGTCAGCGCCATCATTGCCTACATCATCAATTTCATCCCGGGGCTCAAGCTACGCGCTTCCGAGGAGGCCGAGTTGCTCGGCATGGACGACGACCAACTCGGCGAGTTCGCGTACGACTACGTCGAGGTCCGCCGTGATTACCTGGCCTGGACACCCGCCAAGGGCGACCCGATGGCCGAGGAGCACCACATCCCTCAGGGCGAGCGCCACGGCATCCAGCAGCACAGCGAAATGCTCGAGGGCAAGGACCCGTCGGCGAGCGAGGGCTCGGGCAGTGGCAACGGGCACATTGGCATCGGGGGCGACCGACACGGCGTGGCCTACGAAGAGATGGAGAAGAGCAAACGAGAGCAAGGCGCCGGCGGACACTGATATGATGAACATGACGGAAGGAATTTTTGTTTTTCATTTCCGCCATTTTCAAAACATTTCTTGTTTCGTTTCAGAGAGAGATTTGTTTTGATGCGCATGTGTGTGTGTGTGTGTGTGTGTGTGTGTGTGTTTTTGAGAAGATACCAATCAACAGTAGTAGTTATTTAGACAGCACGAATTTGTATTTCTCCCTCCGATTTCATGAAGGCGGAGAAGATCCACCGGAGGCGATGTTTGAGAGCGAGAGAGCCATGTTCAAGAAGACACTGACGCTGGGTGGGTGTATATTACTACGTGCAACGACAAGGAGAACCAAAAAGCCCTGTTGCTTCTCCTCTCATCTCATCGCCAGTGGGAACGTGGGGATGTTCGTCTCTGACGCATCATCATAACACCACCACTAATAGAGGTTCAACGGGTGCAGGACTCCCGGACTTCGCGTCTTACGCGGACGACGGTGACGTGTGTCGACTTTTGTTGTCGTCGTGGTGATGATATAACGGAAGTGATGGGCTGGAAGGAGCGGTTGGCGACCCAAGTTGTTGTGCCTTCTTGCTTCAACGGTGGACGGCCGCATTTGGCAGGCACGACAACTGTCCCAGGCAGGAACGCGGGTTCGAGCTGCCAATAATGGCCGAGCGGAGATGAGAGAAGGACACTGCATGGAGGATGGAGGGTGCAGTGTGCAGTGTGCAGTCTTGTGCGCCCTGGTGAGACGCCTCCTGCGCAAGCACTCTCTGCACTCGGTGTTGAGATCATCATCGCTTGGTGTCCGCGTTTCACCTAAAACCGTATAAAACACTTCCTGCACACTGCGCTTCACACACTTCGCGGAACTGACTCACGGGAAGGTCACGGTGTCAAAGGTGTGTGTGTGTGGTGTTTGATGAGACCCAGCCGGGCGGCGCTTGTTCATGTGATGGGTGGAACCGTGGGAAGCAGCTACTTTTCTTGTGCTTCCCGTGGGAGAGAGGTGTTGATTCAGGCAGTGATAGGCAGGTATCACAGTACGGTCACAGTGGTCAGAGATTCCAAGGCTCCACAAATTAGCCGACCTGGAGTGCGTTCGTATAGACTGATTCAGGGCCCCTTTCTTACACTGGGGACTGGTCTGTCGCAATACCACTCCTCACATCTGGTGTGTGAATCTCGTCGCGTGCCTCCGCAACATACACGGCAGCGCCGTCAGACTTCCACGTCGCCTCCCCATGAGCTTCCGGCGTGAGAAGCAGCAGCACCTCCCTCCCCTCGCGCGGCGTCGTCAAGCGGCCCGCTCAGCAACACCCGCGACGCTGCAACCAACCGCAACATGCTCGATGCCGCTCGCCCGCACGCCCAGCAGTCGACAGGCTCGCTGCGAGCCGTTCGCTATGAAGATGCCGTAGACGGCCTGCCTCCGCGAAGAGTCACCTCCGTGCAAGACAAGGACCATGCCAACGCCAACGGCGCCCACGCGACCCCGCTGCGTACCAGTGCCTCCCAAGTCAGTGCCAGATCGGACCACTCCTCTGCGCGCCCCGGCCGACAGTCGACCAGACAGCAGCAGCAGCAGCAGCAGCAGCAGCAGCAGCAGCAGCAGCAGCAGCAGCAGCAGCAGCAGCAGCAGCAGCAGCAGCAGCAGCAGCAGCAGCAGCAGCAGCCTCAGCGACCTCGAACCTCGCCAAGTCCGCGTCCACGCGCAGTAGACGCTTCTTCCCTGCTCTCCGAAGAGCTCAAGCGCGATTCGGGAATCGCACCTTCCGTTTCGACCACACACAGTGCGTCTTCTCTCCTCTCGGTACCCAGCGCTGCAGGAGGCGCAGCGAGAGAGCCGAGCCTGCCCACCATCGTCGTCCAGGATGAGGAGTCGCCCGGCGCAATCGACCGCAGCAGATCACCGCTTGGCAGGGAGAACACGAAAGAGAAGGCACCACGGCAGGCGAAATCGCGGTCTCCGCCCCAAGTACAGCGCATGCGCAGCTTCAAGGGTATACAAACGGCAACCCCTACCGTCAGCGCAGACGATATTGCCCTGGATGACCTGGCCTCGGACAAGATCACCTTTTCGGAGAGAGGAAGTCTCCTGTTTGGTGGGAAGAAAATGCAAGACTTGATCGCGGCGGAGGGCAGAGGCGAGGAAAGAGCGGGCGCTGCTGGTGTGCGGCATAGCCCTGTGCCAGCCAAGAGCGTGGAGCCACAGTCGCGAAGCACTGGGGAATCGGGGCCGCGGCCTACAGCTGCTGAAGAATCACGGGCGAAAGAGGAGCCGATGCAGGAAGGTCAGAATGGAACTCAGACTCGGCAAGGGGGTTTGAAATCCGGGCGAAGGCAGCCGAGCGTGCAGATGCTCCAAGCCGCCATTGACCGTGGTCGTGTCCTGTCCGCCGAGGAGATTACGTTTTCCATGAAAGTACGAAGCATGTACGAGCACGGAGACGAGCGGGCGGCCGACTGGGTAGGGTCCCTAGATGGTGCCCTATCTACCTCAAGAGACGCATCAACTCCGGACCTGAGCGGGAGAGAAAGCAATACACCTGAGACGAACAACGGCAGTATACAAGTCAACAAGACGAGAACGGCGAGTTCTGAGGGTAATCTACCGCGGAACAGGACGAGCTCCTACTCGAAGACCCCGAACGAGCTAGCTGGAGGCATTGAGGACTGGGATGATGTCGACATTCGGCATGTAGATCGGTATGGGTTCATCCATCAAGATCAGGCACTCTCTCGCGGTGGGGCGTCTGTGAGGCACGAAGGCGTGGGCATGCAGCGCGTTGCAACATCTCTCCGCGTCGAGGTAGAGCAAAGAAGGGATCGAAAGCTGGCTCGAGGATCGTCTAGTGCGCGCTCTTCGAGGTCTGTCCCACCTCGCCCGAGCAACGACTGGACGGCTAAGAAGGGTCCAGCATCCGTGCATAGCACGCACTCGCACGCGTCGACGACTCACCGGACCAATCCGTTCCGATCACGAACCAAGCGGACCTTGGCAGAGGCAGCAGACATGCTCTCGCCACCTCCTGTTCTAGCTGACATTGACGAGAACGATGATGCGGGGAAGACGGCTTCGGTGCTCAAGCAGCGGGAATGGACGCGTGAGGAGAAATGGCAGAAGATGGCGCGTCCCGTCAAGATTGCCGATGTCAAGGGAGGAGGCATGAAGTTCGCGTTCGACACGAGCTCCCCCAAAGTCATCGAGCGGACCTGGAAAGGCATACCGGATCGTTGGCGGGCGACGGCATGGCATAGCTTCCTTTCGGCCAGCGCGGAGAAGCGACGCAGTCCGAAGACGGATGGGGAGTTGATCGAACAGTTCCACAAGATGCAGGAGGAGAGCGGTGCGGACGACGTCCAGATTGATGTCGACGTGCCTCGCACTGTGAGCATGCACATCATGTTCCGGAGACGTTACCGGGGCGGTCAGCGGCTGCTGTTTCGGGTGTTGCATGCGGTCAGCCTGTATTTCCCGGACACGGGATATGTGCAGGGCATGGCTAGTCTGGCCGCAACTCTGCTGTGTTACTATGATGAGGAGAATGCCTTTGTCATGATGGTCCGGCTTTGGCAGCTGAGGGGACTGGAACAGCTTTTTAGGGATGGCTTCGCGGGACTGCTGACTTGTCTGGGCGAGTTTGAACAACACTGGCTGCGGGACGGGGATGTCGCGACCCATCTATCGGATCTCGGCATCACTTCGACGGCGTACGGCACCCGTTGGTACCTAACGCTCTTCAACATGAGCCTTCCCTTCCCCGCTCAGCTCCGCATCTGGGACGTCTTCATGCTGCTCGGCGACGAAGCCAACAACGACACGGGGGCTTTTGGCGGCGCGGATCTGGATGTCCTGCACGCGGCGAGTGCGGCCTTGATCGATGCCACGCGCGACGTCCTGCTGGTCAGCGACTTTGAGAACGCTATGAAGGTTCTGACTTCGTTCGTGCCCATCCAGGACGAGGATGTCCTGATGCGAGTGGCGAAGACGGAATGGAAGATGAAGAAGAAGAGGGGCGGAGCGAAGGTGTAGTAGGGGGGGCGCTTTTCAACGGCTGAAACGACCTGTTTCCTCCTTTCTTGTCGCCCTTGGGACTGGGCGAGAAAGGTTCTTCCTTTGATGTGCGAATGACTGGGTGGGAATAGATTGAACGCGGGTCGATTTTGGGCATGGAGCATGGACGGAGCATGGTTAGTTTTTCTGTGGGAGAGGAACGACATCGACGGGACCCTTTTTTTTTTGTGCTTCCCTCTAGCGGGCTTGTTCTTAATTCTTTCTCTTGACGATGATGGAGGAGCATGGGAGCTGTTTGTGTTGTTGTTGTTGTTGTTGTTGTTGTGTTGTTGATGCGAGATACCCTGAGAAATCGGATCCACGGATGTACCTTAAGTCTGTATTAGAGATTAGAAGATGATGGTGGTAATAAAATGTAATGTAATGTGAAATGTATAGAAGAAAAGTTGTCTCCGACTGGCACGGTGGTGGTGAGGTGAGGTGAGGTGAGGTGAGGTGAGGTGGTGAAGTGAGCGCATGAGAGCCTTCTTTCTTTCTTTCTTTCTTTCTTTCTTTCTTTCTGTGTGTTTTGTGTGTAGATACCTCCCTCCTAAACTAAACTTGTGGTCTTTCTCAATCCCTTTCGCCGCTATGCCATGCCATGCTATGCTATGCTATTCTGTGCTATATACTATTGCGGTTCTGTCATGCATGGACGTCAGTCATATCATACGTCTTAAGGTACGCAGCAAGCAAGCAAGCAAGCAAGCTCCAGTCGCCTTGATGATTGATTGATTGATTGATTGATACACACACACAGAGTGAGTTAGTTTGCATTGCATTGCATTTGCATTTTTTGTCCCAAGAATAATAACAGTAATGTAATGTAATGTAATGTAATGTAATGTAATGTAATGTTTTGAGCGAGCGAGCGAGAGAGTAGTGCTGTTTTCTGTTTCTTGATTCTTGATTCTGATTCTGATTCTGATGAATCGCTATTCTTTAGAAGGGGAATGTGGCATGTGGAAATGATATGGAATGGTATGATTGACTATTCCTGCTGGAGAAGAGTAGGACGTCCGATGGAGGAGAAGGGAGTGTTCTTGAATGTTGACGAGTAGATTAGTAGATGAGGAGGTGAGTGTGATGATGGTTGGGGTGGGTGTGGTCTGGAGAGAGAGAGAGAGTTTGGTCAGGTGCGTACGGGTAGATGAATGGAAAGTGCCTTTCCCGAATGAGAAAGAGAGATTCACGTGGGGTATCTAGCCGCAGGGAGGAAAGGGAAAAACAAAAAGTCTGCAAGTTCGGCGCAGAAGCAGAAAGAGTTAAGCTTTCCTTTCTTTCGCTACTGAATAAATTAAAATGGCATGTCGTATCGAGCGTTCTGCAAGCGTGTGGAGGATCACTTCAATCACTATTGCTGATCTTGCAGTAGTGCATCAGGATTCAGGAAGTAGGTAGGCTTGGCGTACACGCAGCCTTGCTTGCCACCCTTTTTCTGGCGCTCGTTCGTCTTGGGTTTGGTTTCACAGTTGATCACGCTCGCGTGTGCTTGATGTGGACTAGTGGGCTTCGTGGTTTGTTGGTTGCGAGGCGGTCGGTGACGGTATGGCTTGAGGAGGAGGAGGAGGAGGAGAGTCGCGGCCTTCTGCCCGACGACCTCGAGGGTCACACAGCACACAGCACACAGCACACAGCGTGAAGTGTGGATGTCGTTTTCCAACGGAGGATTATTGCGGCTGGCTGTGCTGGGCTGTCTCGAAATCTAACGGCTGTGCTGTCTCGACATCTAACGGCCGCAATCAACAACGGTCGAACAGAACGGCTGCATCAGCAACGGATGAACAGATCAGCTGCTGGGCGTTTCGGCTGATGCTCTCCAAACCTCTCTGCACTGCGAAAAGCGGTGCAAGAAGGAAGGAGTTTTGTTTTTCGGTTTTCGAAAAGCTCCGCAGGTCTGGGTGATGGAAGAGAAGGTTTTCGCGAGACACGCGTCGATTTGACGTTGCTCGGCGGACGATCAGGCAGATCGGGGTCGAAAGAGGGCACGATTGTCCTCGCGAACGATCCATTTCCCACGAGCACCTCACGTGCCGAGCTGGGTTTACAAGCACACAAGCAAGCTCACACGTGCACCTCGCGCACTTTGCACTTTGCGACGGCTGCTTCCGTGGGCCCATCTGATTCTGGACATGAGAGCGAATGGAGGCCGCAAGGCAAGGATGCGTTGCGCGGAGGCCGACGATTGCGGATGGGGGAGTCTCCATTGGGCGCGGAGGGCGCGACTAGAAGGCTGCACAGCTGCAACGCGTCTTCGGCATGTGTTGGAGGGGGTGATGATTGGTAGGCCGACTAATGTCACAACATGTCGTCGGCGAGCCACATCCTACGGCTCCTCCGGCCACCAGCGCAAGCGCAAGTTGTGAAGGGGCGCGCGGGTGTCGTGTCGTGTCGTGTCGTGTCGTGTCGTGTCGTGTCGCAATCCGAGCGCGGACTGGAGCAGCTGGGAAGGCGGTCTGGCGGTGTAGTGCCTCGTTCGGTGCAGTGGTCATGTCGTCGTCGGAGGGGGCGGTTTGCAACGCTTGACCGGCTCTGTCGTGTATCGGTGCCTACCCGGCGAGACGGTTGTACGGAGGGGAGCGGTGCAGGAGTGCACCCGACGAGACGAGACGAGACGAGAGGAGAAGCTCTTGCCGGCGCCGGAGGCCCTGCAAAGGGTTGCGGAAAGAAAGAAATTGAGTAGTAGTGAATTGATGAGAGGGGCGCGGATGGGTCTGCTCGCAATACCGCCCAGGGTCGGCGCTGCGTTTCAGCGTGTTTCAAAGAGAGCGAGTGTTTTCTGGGCGCAGCGGCGAATGCCTGCGCGAAACGCTCCATTTCACACGAGACGGCAGATGCAGAGCACGGCAGCTGGAGAGCAGCGCGGGCGTGTGCGAGCGGCCTCGTGGTCGGCACGCCGGTAGCGGCAGGTGGAGGGGTGGAGGGGTAGAGGGGTGGAGGGGTGTCCGGAAAGGCTGACTCCTGTCCTCGTCGGGCAAGCGACCAGCGCAATGGGAAACTCTCAAACAGCCTCGCACAGCTCACACAGCTCACACAGCTCACACAGCTCACACAGCTCACACACACGGCTAATAACACCGCCAACACAGCTAGCACATTGTGTGTGTGTGTGTGTGTGTGTGTGTGTGTGCGTGTGTGTGTGTGTGTGTGTGTGTGCGTGTGTGTGTGTGTGTGTGTGTGTGTGTGTGTGTGTGTAGGCTTGCAGCGTTTCAGCGCGCTTCACGACGACCACAAGCGATTGCAGAGGGTGTGCGCGGATGCCCTTTCGGGATGCCAGCCATGATACCCCTACAACTGAACGGTCCTCACTCCGCCTCTCCACCTCTCACACACTCCACAACGCAGCACAGCACAGCACCGCACAGCACCGCACCGCACCGCACCGCACAGCACAGCGCCGCACACTGCACTGCACGGCACAGCACAGTACAGCACTACACTACCAGCAGATATCTCCATCCTCTCCCTCTCCCTCTCTCTTCCTCTTTCAGAACGGAACAGCGCATCCTCCTCGCCATGATGATGGCGTGTCTGCCCTTCCGCATTCGCAGCCACCGCCACAGCTCCAGCTACCTCTGCCTCCTCCTCCTCCAACTGCCCGCCGTCTGAACTTTTTAGTTTTTGCGTGCTGTGATCTCCATCGCCTGAGGTGCCCAACGTCATTCCCTGCCACACTTATCTTCGTCCGCCTCGCGCTGGCTGCAGTGCAGTGCAGTGCAGTGCTGCGCGTGCTCGTGCTGCTGTCGCGTTGCCCTGCCCTGCCCGCTTCGACTTCCACGAGGTACTCTGGCAACTCACGCACCCACCACTCACCACTCATCACTCACCTCTCACCACTCCACCCGCTCCCTCGCTCCCTCGCTCGCCCTCTCATCAGCTGATCGGATCGGATCGGATCTCGGACGGACTATCCTGGGGAATTCACCACTCTCCTGCGCTGCCTGTCCGCGACGGCTCATCGTCACCAGGAGCGCGTGGCCCGTCCCGACGACCTCCCTCCTTCATTTACCACTTGGACTGCCAACTGACTAGCCGCACTCGTCGCCCGCTTTCCGCCATACGGCTCGAGATCGACAGGCAAATACCTTTCTCTGCCTGCGGTCTAGGCTTTCTGGCCCTCACGCTCTGCGATTTGCCAATCCTGCCCACTCACTGGATCGCCCGAATCGCCTCGATAATATCCCATCGAATTTCCGCGTCACCTCTCTGCAGCTAGCCTGTGCTCCGCAGACGTTCCATGCTCGAACGCTCGAACGAATCACCGTTGGCCACCGCCGAACTCGACACTTCTCCAGGGTCTTCTTGCTGTACCTTAGCTTCATCCGCCCTCCCCCAACAAGGCCGCTCCGCCCATTCGGTCGACTACTTGGGAAACGTCACGCGTTCTCGGAGTATGTAACTACATCTTGTTCCTTCCTCGTCCTCCACCTCCTCCCTGCCCCTCCCCTCTCCCACCAAACCCGTCCTCACCATCCCCGGTGGAGCACATGCTCGACCACCGATCAATGTCCATGTCGCTCACCATCTCTCAGCCGTCGAGGACCGCATTCGGCCACAGATCCACCCATGAGTTCAACCCGAGGATACCGCTTGCCAAGTCGCGCTTCTCTCCCAAACCTACCCTTGACACTCCCTCTCCGGTGAGCTCGCTGCGGGTCGGCACCACTCCATCGGACGACAAGGACGACAACATGTCCGGCCCTCATCCTCACAGAGGCTTGCCTCCTCCGTCTGCCATGGCTCTGCCGGATCCTCGACGAGAAGCTGGGCCTCCTTCGTTCGGACAGGCCATGGGCCCGATGCCCGCTCCACCAGGTCAATGGCAGGGCCACGAGGAATCCATGCGCAACTGGCTTGTGGCAAAGGCCGAGGAAGACAAACGGAAGCAGGAGGAACAGCGGACGCAGCAGGAGACTTTGCGACTGGAGCAACGCAAGATCGAACAGTCCATGCTGCGCGAGTCTCTCCAGGGCGGCGTGCCACCCTCCATGGTCCCCATGATCTATGCCGGCATTGGAGGCGCGAATCTGGCCCATGTGAGCCTGGATTGGTTACAGCAGTATGCCAGCCAGTTGCAGCTGGCCCATCAACAGATTCAGCAATCTTCGCCAGACATGCGAAGGGACCAAGGCAGGCTCATTGGGCCCCCGCAACCTGCGTACCCGATTGCACAGCCCTCCCAGCAACATGTGCTTCCGAGTCAGCCAACGGAGCAGCCTGCACCTCCTCCAGGCCCGATCCAAACAACCTTCTCTGCTTACCAGCCGGCACCTGCGAGGCAATCACAGACATCGGCTCCCCGGTCGGCAACCCACACACAGTTGCCAAGACTTACCACCAACGAGATGTACGTTCACCAACCGCCGCAGCCCGGAACCGGTAGCGCACATCCTCTGCAGCAAAGCCAGACCATCCAGCAGGATCAGCCATCTTCCTCGCCATCCATCTACTTTCACCATTGGGTGCCGCCGGACCAGGCCAAGAGTAGCAACCAACCGCAGACGCCGGCGAGCAAGGGCGAGCCGCATTCGGCGCATCCAAGCTCTCAACCGCATGAGGGCGAATACCGTGAATCGCCTCGCAAACGCAAAGCTCAAGGCGGACACCAGGCCAATCCGCCTCCTTCTTCGGCTGGACCGCAATATACTTCGCCTTCCTTCTCCACCACCAGCTCCGCTTCAGGCCGGAAAGGTGGTCACGCTCGCTCCCGTAGTAACGCGTCAGCCGGTCGAGACTCTGACAGCAGACCGGACAGTCGACGAGAGGATCCACCATTGGCCCAGAAGCATCCAGATTCCGGACACACCAATACGAGTGACGAGTCTTCCTCCCATCAATCGCAACCTTCGCACTCGCACCGAGCGAAAGAGGAGCCGTCCGGGCAAGCTGCAGCCGAGGGCCAGCCACGAAATCCTCTTGAGCCTCCGCGGCCAGGGTCGAGCTGACATGTGCATGTGCATACCACCGGCCTCTGGAGACCTGGATAGATTGAGATGATTGCTGCCTGCTGGTCATGGCCGGCAGCATCCTTTGCATCGGAAAGGGACATATCGGGATATTTCCACTTTTTGATGTCTATATTCTAGAGCTCCAGCCCATCTGCTTTGCGGGGTTGCATTGTGGGCCCCTTGGCATTTACTGTTCGAGAGATACCCCGAAATGAATTGATCTGTTAGTATTGGCGGCTTCGTAGCGTCTTAGCGATTCTGGTTCCTTGGTGCCACCGCCCTGCGAGGAAGGTACTAGCGGAGGGATACGTTCGATAGGCTGCATATATACAACAAATGCAAATGCCATAGAATGGCAACCAGCAGCATCGTGTATTTTTATTTCTTAGTGGGGAAAAAAACGTTTCATGACAAGGAGCGCCAGTAGGTTTCTTATATGTTGTGGGAAGAGAGGGCTGCCGCGGACGGACGTGCTCTGTGTCTTGTTCTATTCGCCAAGTCAGAGACGCTCGGAAAGATCCGAGCTCACAGAGCATCACTTTCCCAATGCAACTCAGACTCCTATACCTCACTATCTTCAATACTTCAAATCTTGAGCAACACTTTCGCAGAAGCCACCGGGCTATTGTCAATGCTTGCGAGAGTGGTCTCCAGACTGCCCGCAGCATTCCACCGAGCCACAAAATGTGACAACGCCGTTCTACGCCAGCCAACACATCTGGCAAATCCGAACACCATAGAACCCGTGCGAACGCACCTCCCACCGTCCCCGACATCGAACCTCTCGCGACACTACGCTTCCTCCTCCTCCTCCTCCTCCTCCACCCGCTGGAAGAGCCGCCAGAGCCGCGACTCCTACGCCCGCGAAGCCAAAGTAGCCGGGCTCAAGTCCCGCGCCGCATACAAACTCCTCGAAATCAACGAGAAACACCACCTTTTCCGACGTGGAGATACGGTTGTTGATCTGGGATTCGCGCCCGGGAGCTGGAGTCAGGTTGCGGTGAATCGGGTGAGTCCCGGGGGCAGGGTGGTGGGGATCGATGTGATCCCGGCGCAGCCTCCGCGGGGAGCGAATGCTTTGCAGGGGAACTTTCTGAGTGAGGAGATTAGGGAAGAGCTCTGGAAGTTTGTGAGTGATCCGTTGAGAGGGAGGGTGAGGTCGAGGGGATTTTCGAATCAGGAGGTTAGTGAAGATGACTTGGAAGAGGACGGGAGAGGGGTGGTGGAGTTGAGTTCTACGGAGGGAGAGAAGGATGGAAAGGAGGCGGCCAAGGAGGGGGAAAAGATGTCGCAGAAGGAAGTTGATGTCGCAGAGGGGAGGGTGGTCAATGTTGTCTTGAGTGATATGTCAGAACCCTGGCCTCTGGTCACCTCGACGTGGGTCAAGAGCGTTTCTAACCCCTATCGCAGGATGCTCAATACTTCTGGTGTGCAGGCGAGAGACCACGGGAAATCAATGGTAACACAGCCTCTGCAAGAACATCAAGCCACATCGATACTAACGCGTGGTATATCAGGATCTCTGCATGGCCGCTCTGACCTTCGCGTACGACACCCTCGCCGCCGGTGGGAACTTTCTGGCCAAATTCTATACCGGCGCCGAGGACCATGCCTTCGAATTGCGGTTGAAGAAGTTGTTCGAGAAGGTCCATCGGGTCAAGCCTGATGCTACGAGGAAGGAGAGTAAGGAGGCGTATTTTGTGGGGCTGAGGAGGAAGGCGGGCGTCGCTCGCGAGGATGTTCTTGGAGATGGGTGAGACTCTCTGGAACAGGTCTCTTGGGTTACCTTTCGACTTGCAGTCGTGCACCGTACGTCTGCTACTGCGGCTTCGTCCCTTTGCGACGCACGCAGCCAAGCTCATGATGGCTGGGCGGGCCCTTCGATCCGAGTTTCAGAGATCTCTACGGTCTCAGCTCTTGCAGCTGTCAGCCCGTGGCGCTGGCGTTCCGCGCGCTCTGTGATACGCTATGGAGGCCAGGACGATGGATCAGACATATGGCAATTCCGAGAGGCTGCACAGATGCATTTCTGCAAATCCCTCCATTGGCTCTTCCTCTCTGCGACAGAGACTTTGGAAGTCGAGAATGAAGCGCCCGATTATCTGCGGAATTCCTGGCCCCGCTCTCAAGATGTGGCCGATTTTCCATACCAAAGGCTGGAGGAGAGGCTATTGCTTGGCATATACCGCCGTCTAGTTCCGACTCACATACAGATTCGTATGGTGATCACCGGCCACTCCAGTAGAGGGACACTGCTCAGAGCCTATCTGGAGTCAAAGCAAACAACCGATTCGTTATTTTACAGCAACGGTCTTCACTACTTTGCTGTTCATAGCGATTTTCCGACTCGTATGACGTACACCCAAGCACACGACCTGGTCTGTGTGCCGGGGCATTTATACTCAAACCTCCGAATTCCTACCTCCCCGGGTCGGGCGCTTCTATACGAGGTATTCTACTTGAATTTTTGGTGGGATCTCAATGGATGTTTAGCGACTTTCCGGGTTAGGTTTAGTGCGTTACCGAAGCATAGGCAAGCGAGGATCCAGGAGATAGCCGAACTCTTGCCTAAGAATGGAAGGAGTAACAGCATCTTTACAAGCAACGCCAAAGGCTTCTGGATCGACATTATAGGAACAATGGTCGTGCTGCAGCAGTACTACTACTTTCCGCAGGAAGACTGATCGTTCTTTGACAAAGGTCTAGTCATAACTGTGAAAAGGAAGGCTCTTTCTTCGCACTTTTACCAGGATTTCACTACAACGAAATTTGACCGACGTAGGCCAGGCCCTACCACTTTTCATGGCAGACACCTCGACCATCGCTGGAGAATTCCTATCTATCTGTCACAGATGGCTTCAAAATTGCAACATCACAGTATATGCTGCCACTGAAGATCTCGAGAGACGCTATTCTGTCCCCACCAACTCCAGAATGGAGGATGCGTCGCCCTACCATACATCCCTCCGAGTACCGGGTCATACATCGCCCGAGACAGTGTGAGCGCTATCGAATGGTGCTAGATCCGCCTTTGCATGGACCCCGCCGCCCTTGAGGTACTGTAGGTCATTCGACAGCGCATGCCCTGGCGTTTTAACAAAAGCCTTCACCAAGACGACTGATCTTATCATGAGCTAGGCGTCCTCCAAGCCCTCTTGTTCTGCGATGTACGTGCAAGCCTGGGGCTGGCTCTATTAAAGGTCTCGGTATCCGCCCGAGGCATGGGGCTTCACCTCTCCGTCTCGGTGACCACTGAGAGGATAAGTCCCTCGACATGGCGACCTTTCGTTCTTTATCAACTCTCGTTACTTTCGCTTCGCTCGCTACTACCATTCTCGCTGACCCTTCGCCGAACGCCGTGAAGGTCTGCTCCATTCTCACCCAGCAATATCCCGAGCAAGTCGGCGACAGTGGCCTCGAACTGAGCAACCTCACCATCGGCCTCGACTACTCCGCCGCGCGAACGGGTTACTGGTCGCAAGCCAACGCCGGCGTGAAGCCCGCATGTATCTTCTTCCCGGCCTCGACGCAGGACGTCTCGTTCGCCGTCAAGACGCTGAACAACTACACCGACGTGCCGTGGGGCGTCAAGGGCGGCGGGCACAACCCGAACGTCGGCTTCTCCAGCACACAGGATGGAGTCTTGTTGTCCATGGAGCAGAATTGGGCGACGACGCGGCTGGATGAGGACAATTTGGCGCATATTGGACCTGGATCAAGGTGGATCGATGTCGCGACGGCGCTGGATCCTTACCATCGCGCGGTCGCTTCGGGACGTTTGGGCGATGTCGGTGCGGCTGGCTTGACGCTGGGTGGTGGTCTGAGTTTTCTCAGTACCGAACATGTATGCAAATCCTGCGGAGACAAGGTCGTGACAGATCAGCTGACGAGGCTTTAGGGTCTGACTGCCGATACCGTCCATCACTACGAGGTTGTCTTAGCCGACGGGACCATCACGACAGCCAGCAAGAGCCAGAACTCCGACCTCTTCTACGCCCTGAAGGGCGGCGGGAACCAGTTCGCGATCGTGACGGACTTTGTGTTGGAGACGTTCCCCATTGGCAATGTCTGGGGAGGCTACAAGATCTTCGCCATGGACCGCAAGGACGCCGTGCTGCGCGCGACGCATAACCTGCTCTCCGACTACTACGACCCCAAAGCCGCCGTCATCGTCACCTTCACCACCACCCTGCACACCCTCGTGGACATCTTCGTCGTCTTCTTCTTCTACAACGACCCCAGCGGGCCCGGCGAGATTCTCAGCGAATTCAACAGCATCCCCTCCATGCTCGACGGCACCCGCGCCGACCGCTCGTACAAGGACCTGCTCGACGCCAACAGCGACTTCTCCCTCAAGGGCCTGCGCTACCTCATCCGCACCGGCACGCTGCCCAACCTGCCCGGCGACGCCGGCCTGGACATTTACAACTACACCCTCGACAGCTGGTACGAGCTCGCGAAACAGTACCAATCGCAAACCCCGCTCGACCTCCTCGCTTTCAGCATGGCTTTCCAGCCCGTTCCCTACACCCTCGCCAACGCCTCCGTGCACGCCCCGCACGGCGTGAACCTGCTCGGCCTCGACCCGCGCCACGGCGACAAGCTCTTCATGGAATACGACGTCTCCTGGCTGTCGTCGGCCACGGACGCGGCCGCGGCGGCCTTCATGACCAACATCACGCAGCCGGTGCAGGACTACGCGCGGCGGAAATACGCGACGGCCAAGCCGACGCATTATGTCAGTGGGGAGACGGCGGTCACGAATTTCAACCCGCTGTTTATGAATGATGCCATGTATAACCAGGATCCCGTGCGGAGCTATGGCGAGGCGACGTATGCGAAGTTGAAGGCGATTCAGGAGCAAAGGGATCCCGAGGGGTTCTTCTCACGGCGCGCGGGAGGGTTTAAGTTTACTTGATTGAAAAAGTGGTTCTTCTTTCTCTCTCCTGTCGTGTCGTGTCGCAGACCAGAGCAATTTTTCCATTTTCTCTGTTCGTAACGGTGATTCATATATCTAATTCTGAGCTCTCGCTTGTTGGACCCTTGCTTGGGGGTTCGAGTTGCATCATGAGGGTGCGACGTGTCGTCGTGGCATCTCGGACGGAGGTGGCGTTGCGGAATTGCCTGACGGCTTCCGTCAAGGCCTCCATTGCCCGATCTGCATTTCGGCCTTCTCCGGATATCTTCCTCACGTCATCCCAACGATCCCATACGGGGCTGGATATCAGGGTAAGATCACGGTCCGCCTGGTGGAAGTGGACGGCGTGGTGAGCGTAGTGCAGGTAATGGATCTTGTCCGGCAGCTCACGATGGATACTTTCGCGTAGGCGCTTCAGGAGCGATTCCTCCCGTTCGACACCGTACCCGAACATCGTTGCGCGCTGGGCGAATTCGTTCCAGATGGTGGGGAAGGGGGAGTCCGTGAATGTCATGGAAAGGTTGGGAGGGAAGGCAGGTGATGTGAGAGAGTACCTGGCTATATCGGTGCATGTCAGAACGAATCCGCCGGGCACGTCGACGTCGACGCTTGTACTCCCCGCCATGCCTCGAATGGTGTCTCTGATGAATTTGAATTCGCGTTGATGATGGTGGTAATCAATCACTACAGTCTGGATATGAGGCAGTGCCGCCAAGGCGCTCAGGAAGCCCGTCGCAGATGGTCGGCAGACATCGCAGCAGCCTTCAAGATACACGTTGTTGCCGCCGGAAAAACGAGGAGCACCTGATCGATTGGCCGAAATTGCGTACGAGGAGATGACGAACCCGCTCCCGCCGGAGGGGAGTCTGCAGATTCGGATCCGTGTCGTGGCAGAAGTCGTTGCGGGTGACGAGGATGGTGTTGATGTCGTAGAGGACCGGGAGGGCTTCACGGTGGGTCTGTCGATTTGCGCGTAGGATGCCGGTGTTCTTTGACCCCTCTACGACCTGGCGTAGCTTCAACGGTCGTGCGAATGCAAGGACGTGCTCGTGGATTTTGAGACGCAATTCGGCCGGTAGGCGGGTGAGGAGATAGCATTCGTTTGACACTATTGAAAGTAGACGAAGATGAGGCCAACTCCATCCAGAGCAATCCTTGCAAAGCAATGAGCTGAGAGGCGATAGATAACAGCGCGAAGTTTTGATGGAGTCGAGGGATGGAAGACCAGGCACTGGCTCTGACAGTTGTCTCCCTAGAGAATTGATTCAACACGGGTCACGACGTGGAAGTTCTCAGCGGATTAGGAGAAGGGAAGACAGAGCATTCGGGTAATAAGAGGTCGGGTGTCATTCACTTGCGGTCGGTTGCTACCGAGACCCTTAGCGTGATCGATCTTGAGCTTAAATTTTGGCCCCGCGTTATTGTTTTGGGCTTCAGGGTTCCTTCTAGCACCTGAAACTCTTTGGCAGGCTGCAAGAGTCCTGCAGGACAACATTGGACAATCACGCTGCACAACAAACCATTACTCTGGTCTGCCCTCCACCATCGATCCAGCGCGCATAAGGCGCCGTCTGCGCCATGGCCTTCCTCTTTGGGCGGAATCGCCCACCCAGACCGCAAGATGTCGTCAAGTCGGCCAAAGAGCTGCTGCAGAGATTGATACGGGAAGAGGGTCAGGGCTCGAAGGTGAGCGCAGCAAGAGATGCAGGAGGTGTATGTCCTGGGGCTAATGAGGACAGATCGAGGAGGAACTTGCTCGAACATTGGCCCAGATGAAGATCACCCTCCAAGGCACCCCCGAGGCGGAAACGAATCCAGACCAGGTCTTGCAGATGGTCGCAGCGATCTTGAACGAGAGTCTTCTACCACTTCTCGTCGACAACATCTACCGCCTACCGTTCGAAGCTCGCAAGGACACGCAGACGATCATCTCGAATGTCTTCCGGTTTAGAGCGCCGGAAAGCAGTTCGAGTGAACCGGATGCATTGAAAGAGGTGCTTGTACGCCAGCCCGAGATCATAGTCGCCCTGTGCAACGGATACGAACGGCGAGAAAGTGCATCGCCTTGCGGAGGCATATTGAAAGAGGCGCTCAAGTGGGATGCAGTCGCAGCGGTAATCCTGTACGACGAGCCACTGCCCAACGGGAAGACGGTCAACATCTTCTCAGAGGTCGACACCACTTCTCAATCATCGGGCAATGGCGTCTTCTGGAAGTTCTTCAGATGGATCGACAAGTCCAGTTTCGAAGTAAGCGCGGACGCATTCGATTGTTTCCGCATGATTCTCACGAAACACAAAGCCCTCGTGGCACAATACATCAACACCAACTTTGACATGTTCTTCACCAAGTACAACGACATCCTCATCAAGTCCGAGAGCTATGTGACGAAACGCCAGTCGATCAAATTGCTGGGAGAGGTATTGCTGGATCGCCAGTTCTACGAGGTCATGTGCCGTTACGTCGAGTCGGGCGACAACTTGAAGCTCATAATGTGGCAATTGAAAGACGACCGACGAATGGTGCAGTACGAGGCATTCCACGTGTTCAAAGTATGGATCCGACATCATTGGAGGTGGCACTTGACTGACGAGCATGGACAGATCTTTGCGGCGAACCCGAATAAGTCGGTCGAAGTACAGAAATTCCTGATCATGAACAAACAACGACTCCTCAAGTTCCTCCCCAAATTCTTGGACGATCGGACCGATGACGACCAATTTAACGACGAAAAGGCCTGGCTGGTAAAGGCGATTGGGAACTTGCCGGATACCACAAGCGGGATCCGATCGCCCAGCAATTCGCAACAGCAGGGCAATGGAGCGAGCGTCCAGTCGACGAACAGTGCTGCGCAAGTACGATCGTGACCGGTCTGGTTCATGCACGATTCTCAAGGTTTGTCAGTGCTGTTGCGATGGCTGGTCCAAGGCGTCACATTAGATGATTAAGTTTTGCATAACGAGCGCCTTGTATGAACGTAAGCGTGTGAAATCAATGATGATGACTTACGTTGTCAATTCCACATCTCGGACGTTTCCTCGTTCTGACCACTCGCCGTGGCAATACCCCAAGCTACATAGTCCTCCTTCTTTGCGCAGAGAAAGCAGATCACTGATGAGATCAATATGAATGTTGATTGGTTGATTGTTTTGCCGATCCACTTTGGAATCTGATGTACGATATTCGGTATGTAGTCTATCTTCTATTCCCGCCGGCTCAATGCTTGCGCTCACTGACGGGTTCTAAAGCACAGAAGACAATTTGTTCTCCCGCATCCGAGTGAGTCCAGAGCATTCAAAGTACATGCAATCATGCTGGACGCAAAGAAGACACGGGGTTCTGATAAAGCAGACCGAGGAGAGTGAGGCAGAGGCCAATCTCTCATGAAATTCCTCACGTCTTCTTCGACTCTGTTCCCTTGACGAACTTAGTGTGTGTGCCCGTCGACACGACTCTCCCCCTCTTACCATCCTCAACCTTGAAGATGTTGACCTTTGTGAAAGCGAGGCTACCTCCGACTTTTTCTGCGATACCCTCGATCTCCAGCTCGTCGCCGATTTTGGCACCAGACTGGTAGGTCACATGGATATCGATGGACACTCCAGTACCGCTACGGAGATCATGCGTAGCAATGGCCATACCTCCCATCCAATCTACAATGGCCCCGGACACAGCGCCGTGGAGACTTCGCTGGGAGTTCATGTGGTTCTCTGACAGAGGCAGTCTGGCGATCACATGGCCTCTGGAGGCTCCCGTGACTCTCACGTCCGCTAGGGTGAAGGCGTAGATGCCTGTCTGAGTCTTGTCCTCCGTGAGCTTCTTGATATGCTCATGCTCGGGGGTATCGACCTCGTGGGCAGCCATGCCGTACGCTCTAAGTGTAGTGTGAGGCCGTGGGCTATCTGCGGATTAGCGGCGCTGTGGTCAATGATTGTGTGGTTGGAATGATGTTGCAGAAGAAGGCAACGTCGTGTCTGTACAGTCGGTGATGATAACGTACCTGGTGCGGAGCAGGAGGAAAAGAAAGAGATGAAAATTCAGCCGAGACGCCAGGTACGGCGCCGTACGGAAGCTAGCCCTAAGCCAAGCAGATCTGTACGTCACGGCGGCTTAAGTCATCATGCGACACGACACGCGTGTATTGGTTTGAGTCTCGTTCTCAGCTCTCTGACACTTGTCACATTCCATGCTGCTACTTTCTATGCTGCTATATCTCTGTTGCCGATGCTGACGTTGACAAATGCTCTCCTTCAGCTCACGACCACTAACTTCTCCTTGGAACTCTGCCTCGGAATAAGCAGCAATCCCTGTTCTGCTGCTGCTTAGCTCCAACGACCGTCCTGGAGATACGAACTCGAAAATATTGCCAAGTTGGCCCGCCTACCGCGCCTGTCCTCCTGGACGCAGTACATCAGGAGGAACTTCCCGTGGCTCAGCACAGAGACTGGACAAACATCGCGACCAGCCGTCTGGCTCAGCAGACTCGAGAAAGCAAACCAATGGCCGGACAGGTCCAAGATGTCAGCCCAGGATGAGAGCAATGGCCGCTCCTATCTCAGCAAGCTATCTCCCTGGAGCCGAAGTCCAAGTATCATGCCGAGCAAAGGCAAAGAAGGAGAGCCATCCGCAGCTCCACTCCAAGAGCAGAAAGGCGCAGACCATATCGTAAGCCATAGACATCGCATAAGCCTCAAGCAGTATCCGAAAGACTGCCCACACCTTCGACCACAATGGTTTCATGCGGTCGACGTTCCTAAACGACGACCACATCCTGCTGGAGAGATCAAGGACGAGAAACCTGTGGGTATACCCAAGAAGTATGCGGCATTCTCGACGAGAGATTCGAAAGCGATTGAGGCTGCCTTTCAAAAACTTCTCGAAGAGGAGGACTCGGTGGGAAAGTCGAAATTTGAGCAACAGCGAGGGAGCAAACCTCACCCGCGCTCTGATAGGAAACCAAACACAACTTTGGAGGAAGAGGACGCACGGGGAAAGATAAAGGTTCCGGTTAATGAGGACTACCTGTTTGATGTCGATGTCGAGCAGAGAGAGCTCGCTCCGGCATATTGGCTGGGTCCGGTCTACGATGTTCGACGTGGTACTTGGTTTTATCAGGACGGTAGCACACAAAGACCATGTGATGAGAATCTCTCAATGCAACTCGAAGAAGGCTATCTCAAACTGAGACCGTGGCGCTTTGCGAGTACGCAGGCTACTCAAACGAAACCGCGCTCCGCCTCAAATCCAAAAGGAAGGCCAGCTTCCTGGGCGCCAGGCAATGAATCTGCAACATCTCCTCATCCAGTATCAGCCAAACACTCTAGCTCTGATCTGCGAAAGCAAGCTGGAGACGATTCCCGACAGCCAGTTCAAGTTTCAGCCAATGACAGTAGCCCAAATGATCAATCCCAGAACACTCATCGTCTGTTCGGCGCACATATGAATTCGGTGGTCACCTATCAGGACGCAACGACAGCTTGGCTTCTGACAGATGATTTCATGGCGCGGATGAACTATACCATGTATCAACGCTTTGCTGGCGGCGGTCATTTTGGTGGACTGAAGCTGACGCGGGGCTACATCAACCCAACGAAGAAGACGAATGCTAAAGATGACAAGTCTGTGGACGACAAGCAGCCAGTCCAGGAGGCTGAGCAGCAAATCAAGGAGTTGGAGGAGCAGGCCAATCGTCCAAGTACCTCGGAAACAAAACGCCAAACGTTGCAAAGGCATATGTCTTCTTTGCTGGAGGATGCCACTGGCGAGACCCAAGACGAGGCCAAGCAGGACGAAGAGTTGCGCAAGCGAGACGAGCGTGAGATCGAAGATGACTATCGTGATACCGAAGGCGAAGACCAAGGTCGTGAAATTGAACATCTCATCCTGGTCACCCACGGAATCGGCCAAAGACTAGGGCTACGGCTTGAAAGCGTCAACTTTGTCCATGATGTCAATACGCTGCGGAAGACATTGAAGGCCGTGTATGCGGACTCGCCAGACCTGAGGGCGCTCAATGCTGAACTTGGCGAATCCGAAACTGTGAACAGCCGGGTCCAGGTCCTGCCAATCTGCTGGCGGCACTTGCTGGACTTCCCAAAGCAAAGCCTCCGACACAATCGGAAGGAGCACGACATCGCTGACAATGACAATATCGATGATGAAGATTACCCTTCATTAGAAGATATCACTGTCGAAGGGGTGTCTGCCGTACGTAACTTGATTACTGACCTCGCACTGGATATCCTTTTATACGACTCTCCAGCGTACAAGGACCACATCTCTCGGATCGTTCTCAACGAGCTGAACAGGATATACCACCTCTTTATGGATCGGAATCCGACCTTCAACGGCAAGATCAGTCTTATCGGCCACTCTCTTGGCTCCGCAATCATGTTCGATATACTCTCCAGACAGGATCAGCCGCCAAAGCTCAGACGAAAGGGAGACAGGACTTTGAAGCTCGATTTCCCAGTGGAAGACTTCTACGCTCTTGGCTCGCCTATCGGCCTCTTTCAGATGCTTGGAGGGCGTACAATCGCTGCTAGGCCGTCCGCAGAGAGTCGCCCTCGAGCTGGCAGTAGCATGGGCAGTATGGACGACCCGATGCTTGGTGCAGCCCCGGCAAAGAAGCTACAAGATCCGCACCCTGTTCATATACAAGGCGAGAATCCAGTCACAAGGCCGAAATGTGCGCAGCTTTTCAACATCTTCCATCCTACTGATCCCATCTCATACCGACTAGAACCTTTGATATCGCCTGCGATGGCTACCCTCAAGCCCCAGCCCCTTCCTTACACGAAACGTGGCATATTTGGTGCGCCTGTCGGACAAGGCTTGACCGGTATAGGAGCTCGTGTCAGCCAGTCTGTCAGTAGCATGTGGTCCAGTATGGCTTCCAGCCTACTCACACGTGGCCTGGGGTACTCTGAAGACACGTCCAGGGTCATAGGTAACACACAAGGCAAGAGCACTGCACCATTGTCAATGGGAGGGGCTGTATCGGCGAGCTCCACAGGTGCTGGGACAAATGTCGCTGCCGGTGTTGTCCCTCCGACAGCACCGTTACCAGCTGAGGGGACTGAAATTGCTAGGATAGGTGATGACACGGTCGAACGAGTTGCCAAAGACGCTCAAGCCGCATCTGACCTGCGCAAGCATCCTCCCACGCTCATCGATAGCGAGCTTGAGACCCTGTTCGGTGATTTCGAGAAACGCCGCAAGTCGGTTCAAAATGATTCTCAGACCAGAGATCTCGGTGCTGGAGCGATCAAGGGTTCTCCAGAATGGGCAGAGGCCGAAGAGCGAGGCAAGAGGCTGCGCAAGGAGGAGGAGAAGGTTCGCAAGCTGAACAGCAACGGACGCGTGGACTATGCCATCCAAGAAGGCGCCTTCGACATCAACTTGATCGCGGCCATCGCCAGCCACTTATCATACTGGAGTGATGAGGTAAGGCACCCAGAATGTCAAGCTATCTGGGAGATGACTTCTGACCTTAGTTAATAGGACGTCAGCCACTTTATTATCAGCCAGTTGTTGAGTCGGCACCGCATAGTCCGTCCACGGGCCGAATCTGCAGGCAAGGTGTCTACTGGGCGGTGAAGTAAATGCACTATTAGTCATCACCTCTGCCACAGAAAGTCGTCTCTCGCGCTCTAGAGAGGTTATCCGCGCCAGGCAAAACGTGCTACACTGGCCCGTTGGAACGGACTACGGGTTAATTCAAGGCACGGACAAACGTACACGCTTGTCGATCTGTTTGTTCGGACAGCTTCGAGAGTGTCCAGGATCGCTGGATAAGTTTGTTGCGTGCACAAGACTGAATACTGGCCCAATACTCGGCCTCTTCATATTGCTAACAATGGGTGGGAACTCGCTCCTGCATCCGGCTGCGCCATGTTTTGTGAAAGCTGGCAAATGAGGAACCTCTCTGACTGCAAGCAGCAAGCACAAGGCCACGGCCACATTGGCGTCCAACATCTTGCAGCCAACGCCCACGAGCGGTGGAGTCCATCCTCCGGACAGCCATTGCAAGCAGGAACGAGACGCAATGGAAACCATGCTATGCCATTCCGGTATTCTTACACCAAGGCCAGATGCAGCGTCTGTACGATGGATCTTAGACGCTGGCCAAAGCTATGAACCAGAATTCCACCACATACGGTACGAGCCACACGATGGATCAAAGTCGAATCTTTCCGGTTTAGGCAGTCGCGAGTCAGCAAGCCACGACACTGAGAGGTGCTTGAGAGAAAGAAGCTCTCATTTCACGAGACTTGATCAAGCAGCTGAGCGCCTAACGAATGCCTCAGCGCATAAATGTTGTTCGCATGAAGCAGGCCCAGGGAATATACTTGCATACGAACAGCCGTGAGATCATTCCCTCCCTGGTCAATGGGATAATAGCACCCTATTCTTCCGCCGAGGTCAGACGGACATGGACCTCACCCTGCACAATCCTATGGCATTGCAAGCCTTGCATTGCCTATCCAGCCGTTCCAAACGATCCCTGTCTCGCGTGCCACGTCCTCTGCTGTCCTGCCATGCGCGTCTCGGAGGCTCCGTATGTCCACCTTGCCATCTTGATCTTCACGCATCACACCTAAAGCAGCTGCTTCCTGGAAGGCGAGGGCAGGAAATTCCATTTCCGGTAGCCCACTGGCTAGCAGCAACAACAACCATGCGACTTCTCGATGACCACCGGCTGCTGCGGCATGCAATCCGGACTGCATATCTCCAATAGGATCCTGGTAGCGCAGAACTTCGTCTGCCGATTTGCTGGGCCCTGCGTCATCCATGTCTCTGTCATCTTCGTCTGGGTCTTCGTTGCAGCTATTCAACAGGTCTGCAATTGCGCGATGATCGCCCTCCCTGCAAAATTCCAGAAAGGCTCGGCATTTCCTCTCCTCTGGATAGGCGCGCAAGTAGCTTTCTTCCTTGAGGATGGGGAAGATATCGATTTGTCGCTGCATGCCGCCTTCGTTTTTTAGGTCCACGAGGATTTCTGGTTCTGCAGCGGTAGACGATGACCCGGATGCCGGGTAGGAGACAATGTCTCGGGAACATTTGGGGCACTTGTCCAATTCGTAGGTATCGAGTAGACACTCCCAGTGGAAGTGGTCGCCACAGGAAAGATGGACGTCGTCTGGGACTGTTTCTGTGTTGCTAGCGCTCATCGAAACATCGCCGTCCTCTTCTTCGTCGTCGTCCAAGGACTCGATCTCGACCTCGAGCGGCTTCTCGCATTTGGCACAGCTTGATGTTGATGCTGGTGCCGACGGCATGCTTCGTGAGCTGTATGCAATAGAGCAATAGAGACTAGATCATGAAAGTGCAGACCCTAAGGATTCGCCCGTTCGTGTTGTAGGTAGTCATACCTGGAAGGCGTGTCAAAGCTGGAGCAAGCTCTGAGACTAAGGTTCTGTAGCGTCATCGTCTACACCTTCCTTCCTGGATTCTCTGTTGCTGCCTGAGGCCGTCGTCCCTTCCTCCCACCGGATTTGATTGCTGTGCTCGGATGCTGGCGGACGATATGACGGTACATAAAACAATAATGTATATTTCGCGGGTCGGGCAACTTCCGATCCGCACAACCTGCGACGGTTCAACTACGAACGAATCCGGCGCGGTGTACACCGCCGGGATTTTGGAGATTGATTATGTGTCTCGCTTGCTGCGCCAGAACACGAACGATTCGCTCTCGCTCCGCTGCCGCCGTTTGTCACACCCAGGGCCGGATCTCTTCCCTGGCATCCGAAACTTCCAGGTTCATTAGGAGAGGAGCGACCGGCCGCCGCATGTCTTGAGGCGGAGCATGTGGAGTGAGGGATCTCTCCGCTGCCTTGGAAACGAGGTATAACGGTCAGCATGCTACGTGAACTCCTCCATAGCCTCGTTCCCGTTCCAGGCGCGTCCCGGATTGCCAATCGAGAGAGAGTGAGGAAGAGACAGTGATGATGCCTGAGCGGAAATCGCACGTCAAGTCCCGTCTGGGTTGCGGACAGTGCAAGACCAGGAGAGTCAAGGTGAGTGCAAATCGTTCAGAGGCCGAAACGCCGCAGCAACAAAAGACTGATGGCAAGGAACAGTGCGACGAGACTCGCCCTACATGCGGAAATTGTGAGTTAATATACATCCTCTCCTCGCAACTTCGGATCTCTGCTCGTATTGACCTGTGCCGGTTGTAGGTAAGCGGCGGCGGGAGACCTGTACTTATACGAACCGGAATACGAAGTCCACTAATCTGTCCTCTCCCGCATCGAATGGCTCGGATCACACCAACGCCATCTCTAGCAGCGTCCACCTGAAACAGCTGGAGCTCATGCATCACTGGAGTACATCGACATATGCCAGCCTTGCGCTTAGCAATGGAGCACGGCGTGCAAGTAGATATCAGCTGGATGTCCCTCGTCTGGCTTTAGAGAACGAATATCTCCTCGAGACGATGTACGCTTTGACATCGCTGCACCTCGCTTACCAGCGTCCGAATGATGCCCGTAGCCTCATCCAAGATGCCACTGGCTACAACACACGCGCCTTGGCAGCCTGTCGAGAAGCATTGGCCGCGCTGGAGGGTCCTAATGCCGGGGCTCTGTTTTATTGCTCTGCTTTGCTGGGCGTTGTGGCCTTGGCTTTGCGTGCGGTGGACCCGGACACCGCTGCTGCTCAAACACCCACAGATACTCTTGCGCAACTGACGATCATGTGGCGTGGTACCTGGTCGGTCATCATCGCCTCTAAAGAGATCCTAGGGCCAGAAGAATATAACACATTATTCCATCCGCCGGCCTGGAATATGCTCCAAGGAAGCAGTGTACGTCACCAATCCCAGATTTTCCTCGATCGTCTTCGCGAGCGAGCCAAAGCGGAGGACCACACCATGATGCAACAAGATCAAAACAGCGATGATTCGCCGACGAAACAAGAAACCGGGGTAGATGTCACCAAGGTGTATCTCGAAACACTCGATTTGACGCAAGTCCTCCTCTCAACACCCGACCTGGAGCATTCACGGATAATCGCTTGGCCAGTCCTCTGTCCTGTCCCTTTCATGGACTTCGTCACTCAAAAACGACCGCTTGCCATGGCAATTGTACTGCTGTACAGTGTCCTCCTGCGGTCCATGGACGAGCTCTGGTGGTTGGGAAGCTTGCGGGCAGACTTGGTGAATGAGCTCGCCCCTCTCGTGGCGGCTTGTGGCCCTGAAATGGCCGAGATTGTGGACTGGGTGCAGAGCTGGACCAGCAGACCTGATGAACTGGGTCCGATACATACGTCGAACTGGGCAGATGATCGAACACGGAGGATTTCTCCGATAAAGATGGATGATCCTTCTCCGATACTGCATACTCCAAGCTGGGCGGAGGCCCGGACTAGCAGGCACTCTCCTGCGACTGATGTGTGATTGGGTGGGACATGGTCGGTCTCAGGACAACGCAATCCTCTCGAGTTGAAGGGGGCCGAAGAGAGTGGCTCGATGTTCTGAGACTGAGACCTGGCTGGATGTGCCCTTTGACCGTATGGATTACGACAATCAGCGGTCTATCATGCTGGCAGACCATGTCTTGAACACAGACATGGCGGTCGGCCTGTGGATCGCATATCACGGATGGAAGTGGTGATCAGAGCAAGAACTTGTGAAGAGCGAATCTTAACCGGTCTTATGTCTTGTATGAGATTCCCAATGGATCAACGCAAGTGTCGATTAAACAGCGTACTGGCAAGAAGGTCCGGAGCCGCTGATCTTCTATCGGATGATCGGGATGCCGGGTTGATACGCGCCCATTTGATCGTCCAAGATGGTGGAACAAATCATGCAGGCATGCAACGTAACGAAGCAGCAATCGATCTTGGAACATGCACAAAGGCGCTGCTCGGAAGAGGGAATAAAAGATAGACTTAAAGAAAGGTTCTCGAGCAATCGGCAACACCGCATACAAGAATGATCTTCTCGCAATCGCTCGGCGGAGTTGAACGAGGACGAGGAGACTGCATGGACGTCTCCGAGACTGTTACGCTGCAGAAGCACGATTAGATACTGAGGACAGGGCAAAACATTAAGAAAGAGCGCTTGCCTTTCCGTTCCTTCCCTGTTTGGCACGTGAAAATACCCATGGTCCACTGCTTGAGCGAGCTTCGAGTCGGCCTCTCGAGCCGTCATGACGACTTCGGAAGTTCGCGTCGTTCACTCGCTTGGCTCGACTGCAGACCAGACTCCTCGGAATTTCGCGTCACATGTAGCGCTTCCTTGATGTACACCTCCGCCAATCGAAGTCATTCGAAAAAGAGGGGGCGTGTTCTTAGAGCGATAGTTGCACGATGGAACCCTCGGCACAGCTATCGAATCTTTGGAAGCGATTCTTGACTATCACTGACGTTTTGTCGCTAACGCAAGGATAGATGAAGCCTTCAAGCGCTGCCGCCGACTTCCACTGTGATGATGCCATGACATCTGCTGACCGGAGACCAAAAATAGTGCCTGAATTCCGTTCTATTCGTTTCGTTGGACTTCTGAGGCGTATGATGCGACGGGGTCCATCGAGGCAGTAACGTGATCATAGGGCTGTATTGGGCATTATCAGGTGGAGGTCATGTCGTGAAAGCAGGCATTCCGTGGTTTGCACAAGACATGAGGTGTGACAAGAACAAAGACCCACGTGCTGCAGAACTGTTCTGATTGGCTGATTCATGTGTGTGCTGAGAAATTCACCAACTTGGCTGCAACGGGCCTAGCCGGACGCAAGTCTCTCCTCTCATTGCGCATTCTCCGACTCCTAATAACCGACCTCTTCGAAACACTTTGATCCCACCCACGCGCTCACCAACAACGTACCACTGCCTACCAACCCCTACGCACACCACTCCCGACCACGAATCGCTATCCCAGCTACGAACAAGACCAACAAAGCCCTACCCGAGCCGACACCGTGGCAATAAGACGAAATGGCGATGTTATACGACTGTAATCACAGTAAAAGTAATAGTAGTTACGCCCGCAAGACCTCCACCGAGTCCGCCCGGCGCTCCAACACTCAGGCATCTGCCTACGCCGTCAATGCCAGCACCATGGCGCTGAGCGGCTTCCACTTCTCTACCTGCGGGGCAGGCGGAGCGGTATGTACACACACACGGCGCGACAATGGAAGTGTGCAAGAATGAAAGCTGATCTGGATAATGACACAGGGGTGTTGGGTTTGAGGTCCCCCTAGGAGGGGTACCGTCACCACCGCCGTCTCCGCACGCCGCGCCGCTCGGATCTGCTCGTCCGGGCCTGAAGGCGCGCAAGCGTAGCGGAGATGCCTGCAATCACATCACGGAAGAGTGTGAGAGACTCTTCTGCGAGACGCTGAAGACTGTATTCTTGGTTGAGAAGGGTACCGGTCTTGAGAACTCGCTGGTGATGGATTTGCGAAACTCGAGCAACAGCAACAGCAACAGCCTGCCGAATGGCAGCAAGCCTATTCCGCAGCCGCCGCAGAATACTCGCATGGAACATGGTCTTCCTACTCCTTCGCCGTCCCCGGATGGTCGCATCTGGCCGAAGACGGGAGGTCTGATCAAGGACCATGTGGAAGTGTGGGATTACGTGGGAGGAGCTCGATTCAGAGGGTTCGTTGCGGAGAAGAGAGACGTGCGCAGCATGCTCGTCTTCTTCGACAAAGAGGTCATCGGATTGGATCTGAAGCCAGGGTGAGTTTTTTCCGCCTACATGATGTACCCTTCCTCCGTCACACACATGCTAACATCCTCCTGCATCAGACTCATGTCCCTCCTCGAACTCGCCAGTAGCGATCATTTCGATTGCTCCCAACTCATCATCTGCGTCGACCGCACCGCCGACGAGGAAGAAGTCCAGGACCTCACCAAATCCCTGGGTTGGGTCGGCTTCGAACTCTCCATGCTCGAAGACTGGACCCCCGCCGCAGAAGGCTGCATAAGCGACCAGTACATTTTCCTTGGCATGGACGTCTAATCCAGCCTAATCATGGCAAAACGGAACGGACGTGTGTGTGTGTGTGGTGCCACCTTTCGGAATTTGCGGGTACATTTGCTGCTTATCCGGTGCTGCACACTGGCACACTGGCACGCAATGCATGCATGCATGCATGCATGCATTGCCACGTCTCACCCTACTTACTACTTTTTCCTTTTCCTACTGCAGGAACGCCTTTCTGGTTGGGTACCGCAGGTAGATATACATCAGCAGACTCGCACACGCACACGCACATGCAAAAACTGGGGGAGGGAAATCAGGACTCTGATGCAATTCTTTCGTATGGAGAGGATGGATGGGGGCATGCCATGCTTGGGGTTGGGGGTTGTGGGCTTTTTCTTTCGGGCGTTTCTTTTTTTTTTTTTCGCACATGCAAATCAAGTACAGACCTACCTTGACTCATGATTACTACTCCCGTCTTTCACGTGCCATGCTCGCTGCTCGGCTCCGCCAACCCGCCACTTCTCTTTTGTTTCCCGTGAGCGGCCTTTTACAGACCTTTGGATCCTTGTCCATCTAGGCACTCTTTTGACTTCACGACATCCGAGCCGAGGCACCTCACTTCTTGGGGAACCGATCGAAGACACATTCATCAGAGACCTTGGTCGTCGTCTTCCGTTGTCACGCTCTGGGGAGAAGACATGGAAATAGATTCCACCGGTCATGCTCAGAAGATTGGGCGAAAACCGCCATAGAAGCAAAAGCACAGTTATAAGAGAAGAGAACTTTTTTTCAGCACTGGCTACCAACTCGTCTAGCTTGCTCTCGTTCATCATCAGGCATCTGTCCGAGTCGTATTACAGCACGCACGCACACACACACAACTCATTGGAGGATATACCACCCCTGTACCGCTTCTTCATCATTCAAGGTCATGTAGAGGGCATCTGCTCATTCCCATGCTGAAAAAAGAAAAAGGAAAGAAGCACAAAGGCATCGTCCTTGAAGCACCCTCCTCCAAGATTGCACCAAGTTCGCTGATGGTGCCAAGATTGTGCCAATAGTCCAGTAGGCGTGTTCCCAGCTTTCCCAGTTTCTCGCGTCAAGGCGTTCAACCCGATGAGAGAAGTTCCCCTCTCAACCTAGAAGAGAAGTTCGACGATCGAAAAAAGGCAGGAAACAAGTCCAGTAAAGTGTTGGTCGAAGGCGGGCGCGGGTCATGCTCCAGCTGTGCTGACCTGTGCAGAAGTCGAAGTAAAACAAACTGCTCGCTGTTTATGCTGATTTTTGCGTCCGTGCCGAATTTCGTCCATCATAAGTCCGGTATAGTCCGTAGTCGTGAGTCGTAAAGTCGGAAGAAAAGTACAGTAAGGAGACACGGTCCACAAAGGAGAAATCATCGACTCTGGCGCGTCCTAGCGCAATTGCGCTGTCGTGCGGTAAGATCGAGCGAGTTCGTGAGGGCGAGATTAAGGGTATTATCGCCTCACAGGTCCACCGACTTTCGCTGACTGAGGCTGGCTGATCGGCCGGGCAGACATGGCACTTGGATCAGTGCGCTGTCTCTTCAGAGCGGCGTCACCGGTAGCACTCATTGGGCGACCATATGGATCCTCTTGGTCGTCATCACGACCGCGCTTGGTTCCCGAGATCGCGCCGTTCATCGATGGGTACTGAGGTGCTGGCTGATAGCTAGATTGAGCTCCATAGTCTGGTTGACCATTGGGAGCGCCGGCTCGCGCGTCGTTGCTCATCACGTAATTGAGGTTGCTCGATGGCAGCTGGGTCGGCCGCTGTGGCGTGCCGTCGTAGCTGGCATAGGTGTTCGTGGTACGCGGAGTGGCTCTGCCAGAGCCATTCTGATGAGGCGAGATGTGCTGAGGGTCAGAGTGTAATGGTCCTGGTGCTGGGTTAGGCTTATAATTGTACGAGGGTCGTCTGGCGCCATTAGACGCACTGGTGTGGGTATATTCACCCTCATGTTCGCCTTCAGCATCTTGTTGACCGCCGTAGCCATCGTGGGCTTTGCTGTCAGGGTGATCGTTTTCGGCGCCGGCGCGGGCAGGCGGGCCCATCTCGGTCTTTACGCCACCTGGGCTCGTCTGCATGGAGCCGTAACGAGGCATGCCAGGCTGTTGGCCATACTGATGCTGACTGTAGGAGCCTGGCGCGGAGTACATCTGGCGCTGACTGTCGTATGGTGCTTGGCTGGTCGGGTATTGCATGTCCTGGGAGTTACCAGGAGGTGTGGTAGCTGCGAATATCAGTCGCCTGCTCTGCTCTGATGCGCTCTGCTCTGATGCGCGCTGCTCTGATGCGCGCTGCTCTGCCATGCTCTGTCCTGCTCTGCTCTGCTCTGCCCTGCTCACAACGCTGCTTTGAGAAACGAGAAAAGGAGAATGCTTACCCGATTGGATTTGGCCAGCCGATCCGCCATACTCATAAGAGCTACCGGTGTTACCCATGCCCATGGAGATGCTCGAAGCGCTTGCTGGTGGGGTTGGAAACGTGTGAGCACGGTCCAGCCCAGGCCTACCCGAAGCGGGATGCGGCGCAATCGAATGAGGTGGTTGTTGAGGCATACTGGTCCCGACGGGGTTCGCCATTGAATGGTGGTGCGTCAAGGCAGGAGGTTGAGTACCTTGCGGCGTGCGCATGTACTCTGGAGAGGAATCCGGACGACGCGCAGCAGCGGCCATTGCGGCGTTGCCGATGCTCTGGCGCGCCTGGTTGGTAGGGTGATAGAGCAAGGCACCGATGTTGTGAACAAACAGAGGATAGAGGAGTTCCGTGATCTTCTCCTTGTTCGCAAAGTCCAACGCGCGATCGAAAGGAATCCTGCAAACAAGTCAGTAAGGTAGAAATGAAGTGCGGTTGGGACTTGTCTTACCAGACACCCTTGAGATGCATTGGCCCAATCTTGACAACATGACGCGTCTTCTCGCTCTTGAGGATGCCATCACGACGACCACGCGTCATACCAGCAACGTTCAGCAACTTGGTTCCGTTGATCATGTGGTTGTCCTCGCGTCTCGCAACGCAGACACCGTTTGCTTCCACCTGGAAACACAGGCTACCTTCGTCTTCCCAGAGAGTTGCTGTGACTCTCGGCTTCATGCCATGAGGCGCAATTTGTCCGGTGGTGTCAAAGGACTGCTGGAATTGCTGATTGCCCGCTGGAGGCTGGCTGGAGGCCATGGTTGGCAGTGGAAGAGACTGGACCATCTGACCACCCATTGAAGATGTCACCGGATGGCCTGCAGACATTGGCGGCATGGTGTTCGGGTACGAGTAGCCTGGGTAAGGCTGTGCCGAATAGCTGTGCGTAGCTGGCTGCAGTGCCTGTGGTTGACCGTATCCGGCATACTGCGGCGCTGAAACCGGCGCATGGCCGTCCATGTACGGCGGAGGTTGATTCATGCCTGGGTATGTGTGCGACGGATACGTCGGGTGGGGGTGGGCGTTGGAAGCCGTGGTGGGCGACGGCGTTTGTTGATCTGGGTGCTTGGTTCCGTCTACCGAAGAGGCGTATGAGGTGTTTGAATCGTACGAGGACTGGGCAACACTGGAGGCAGTGAAAGAACCAGCCCGAGGTGACGAACCAACGGAAGACCCGCTTGTCTGCTGATGATGGACGTCCTGTGCGTACTGTGGACGATCCGCGTATGGGTGCTGCGGCGCAAACGAAGCTGATGGCCACTGGCTGTCGTTTCCTCGGGCGTTCAAATGCGAAAAGGGTGGTAGCGCCAGTTTTACGGTTGTTGGGTGTCCGAATGGAAGCTCGACCTTGAAGCCGAACTGAATTGTCCAAGTGAATTGTCAAGTGCAAAGTGAAGCTCCAAGCGGGGTTTTCGGAGTCCGCTCGCTTCACTTGGGGCAAGTGAAGTTGTCTTGGCACAAAGTTGCGAAATTCTGGATTGTCTTGCCGATGCCGTCGTGAGCTTCGGTACGTCGTCAAAGCTGCTTTTGCGGTTCCGTAACGGTCGTAAAGTGTCGTCTATGATGCTCGCTGCTAACAATGACTCCCAGACCGAAAGCAAGAAGCACTGCAGTGACGGACGCCAAAGAAGTCGTTAATGCAGGGGGGGGTCGTAAAGGGTCGTGAAGGGTCGTAAATGGTCGTGTATTGTCGTTACCAATGGCCGTAACGCTATTCCTCACGAAAGGCCTATATTCGAAGAGTGAGGTTAGCTGTGATGACTCTGGGGTGTATGTGGTATGTCGTGTGGAGGCAGCGGGAGTACTGCACGACGGCGACTATCGACGCACCCAATGCTCTAGAGGAATGCAATGCATGAGCAGCGCAGAGCGAGCAGCGGTTCGCGAAGGGTAGCAGGGCAGCGGGGGAGCTGGAGTATCAAGAGAGTGGAGGGTGGGTGGTTGGAAGCTAGGGCGGCAGCACAGACAGCAGGGGCAGGTCGGCGGGCGGGAGAGTCCCAGCCTGCGCTGCGTGCTGCATCGATAGCGCTAAGCCGCTTCGGAGGGTAAAGGCAAGAGGAGGTGTGGGTGGAGCGGGACCCACTACGACTGGACTGAGTCGTAGTAGGTAGTGAGGCAGGGCAGGGCAGGGCAGGGCAGGGCAGGGAAGGGCAGGACAGCAAAGAGGACGTTTACGGCTGATACGTACCCCGTCAATAGTCGAATTGGTGGTGGATGTGGTGGTTGGCAGGAGCGAGCGGCGATGTCCAAGATGGTGTTGCAGTGGCAGCTGCCGTTGCAGGCGTGTCAGTCGTCGGTGTTGGCGGCGGCTGTCTTGCTGTGTATCTCTGTCGCGCGGCGGCAAGTGCTGAGCGGGAAGCGAGCGCGGGCCCGTTTGTTGCAGCGGCAGTCAGGTACGGCGCGTGTGTCGACGGCGTGCGTGGTGAGCCAGCAGCGGAACGGGTACAGTAGTACTGTGGTGGGTGGGCGCGTGCTGCCTGCTGGGAGTGATGCGGCAGAGCAGGCACCAAGGACAGAAAGTGAGCGGCGAGTGAGCGCGCCGCAGGAGTGCGGTCGGCGTGCGTGCGGTAGTGTGTGAGATCAGAGGTGAGAGGTGAGGGTCTGCGGTCTGCGGTCTGCGGTCTGCGGTCTGCGGTCTGCGGTCTGCGGTCTGCGGTCTGGCTCTACCGTCGTGAGCCTGCGCTGTGGTTCCGGGATGTGTGCTACTGCACTGCAAGCAAGACGAGCGTGCGGGCAGCGGGCAGCGGGCAGATGTGCGTGCGTCGTGAGCGGGCCGGCGCGCTGTTGCAAGGGCAGACTGCGACAGCAGCAAGCAGCAGCAGTAGCGTGATGGTGCAGCAGAGAGCGAGACACACCTCGTGGGACTGCGGTGGAGGAGCAAGCTGCAGGTGCAGGTGGGAGGAGCGTCGTTGGCACAAAGGAGGCGGGTGCAGCAGCAGCAGCAGCAGCAGCAGCAGCCAGCAGCGGGAGGAGGTGTCTGGTAGGCGCAGGAAAGCGATCGATGCGGTTCCTAAATTGAAAAAGCACGCGGCGGGCGGCGAGGAAGGGCCTTTTCGGTTGCGCTGAGACACGAGAGTGGTGGAGAGGGACTGGAGTCGAGCAAGGCCAGCACCGTGCAGTGCAGGGATCACCAAGAGCCGCGGGTGGGCAGAGGGCAAGAGCAGCGCAGAGCACAGAGAGGGCAAGAGCAGCGCAGATTCAGATTCGCAGAGCAGAAGGTGCGAGTGGCTGGCCAGGTCCGTCTGTTGGAATGCAGGAAGGAGCTCTGATCGTCGCTTCCGCTGCTGCGGCGGGAGGGCCCTGCTGATGCTGGCAACGCTGGCTCCTGCTCTGCCGGGGGGCTTGATTTGATCCCGTACGTGTCGTGGCCAGAGATCGTGGGACGGAATTAAGCCTGCCTGTACCCGTATGGCAGAAGCAGTCACCGGATGCACTCGGTGAGTAGTAGGACGAAGGTGGACGTGCGTGCGGCGGCCATGCGATGCTATCTATGCTGCTCATGTCTCTCCGCCGGCGACCGTATGACCTGCTACAGTACAGTACCTCTCTATGCGCTGTAGGCGTCGACTCGTGGGGCCGGGAGAAGCGAAACAGCAGCGCAGGGACTGAGTTCAGCGTTGAGCGACGTTGCGGCTCTCGGCCCTGCTATGCACGATGGCTATCCACACCGATCTGCTGTCTGATCAACGGGCGCAGAGGGGGCAGATCGGAACCTGCTAAAAGTCGTCGTCTTCATCATCGTCTCGAGGAAGCACGCAGCACGCAGCACGCAGCACGCAGCACGCAGCGCGCAGCGCGCAGCACGAAGCCGAAGACCGCGAGCCACCAGTTCACCCTCAACCATCAACTCCGGATCGCTACCTACCCTCCACCCCAGCCGTTTTGACCACGAGGATGGCAGGAAGGACAAGGCCCGGAAGAGCGGCGCTGGTCGCGCGACAGCCACAGCGGGAACAGTCTGATATCGCCAGCGGTGCTGCTAGCGACAGAAGACCAGGCGGGCGTGCGCGCTCGAATTCGTGCTGAACACGCATCCGGCTAGGCTCAATCCTGCGGCGGGTACGCTCCGGCTTAGCTTCACGAGATTGTTCAACGGTCCGCCAGTAGTTGTCTCCGTCGCTCGACGTCGGCTCCGACGACTGCTGCTGCCGACCAAATGCTATTTTTCAATGCCGCCACCGACTGTGCGACGCGACCTCGACGATTCGTACGACCACGAGCCATCTGCTGTTGTTATGCTCAATCAATCCGGTTATATCTCACCATCTACAAGCTACAACGCTACATGCTGATCCAATCCGCTCTGTGCATCCTTCCATATCATCCGTCTCGGCCTGCAGTGGCGATCGGGTTTGTCACAGGGCCTGCGCTTGCGAAAAGAGCCTTTGCTTTGTGCACTTCCGGCGTCCAGACGCACGGACCCCTCCTCCTCCTCCTCCTCCTCCGCGAGATCATTCCGACGTGTTTCGCTGACAACAGCATCCACGCACACATGTCCATCCCCGATCACGTTGTCTTGCGCCCCGCCGTGACTCGGCAAAGGGACGACAATGGTTGGCGGCTGGCCAGAAAATTGTGAGCCGCGCCTCGAGCAGCACAATGCCCGTGCGATTGGTTCTGCATCCTTGTTGATGACGGGCAGATAGCGCCTTGCCTGTCTGCGAGGCGGTCCGATGCCAAACCAGGCACCCCGGCCTGAGGAGATGGAGCCAGAAACGAATCAGAGGTCCGAAGGAATGGCTCGTTGGGACCCATCTATCGGACGTAGCACCAGAGTCGGATGGGCAATAATGACCGCTGTCAGCAGGCTTGTACGAGCACCCTGACACTCGCACGAGCGCCCATTGTGACTTTGGGAGGGGGGTGGTGGTGCGGCGTGAGAGACGAGAGCCAGGACGCCCAGCGAACACCAGAAAGATCGCAGCATGCACGACCCTCCATCGTCGACGACCTAAGCACTGGCTGCTGCTGCAGCGGCGGGTAAGAAGACGGGATCTGTTTCCTCCCACTGGAGCTAGAGCAGACGCGCAGCTGCAGATGCATGTGATGCAGCATCGCTCCAAACCGTCTAGCGCTGTCGTGTGTAAGGAAAGGTAACGCGCGGGCCAGCCGCCCAGCCAAGCACTGTAGACTGGGCAAGCAGTTCGGTTAGGTTCGCTTGCAAAGGCCGGCCCACCTACGAGATATCCGTACCCGATGCCTCTGTCCACCACCGGCAAACTCCTAGCTCGCGCCTCAACAATTCTGCGCTCGTCAGCATCACCTGGCACAATCCGGGCGCTGGTGGCCAGTCAGTGGAGGCCAGCCGAGGAGGAGGTGGAGCGGGTGAGGCGAAAGTGCGGTAGCGATGGACTGGCAAGCACCCCGAAAAGCAATATCGACATCCCGGAGGCTTGCGAAAGGCATCTCGAATGAAAGCCGAACACGTCTGCGCGGTGGACATGCGCGGACAGTCTAGGCAACCTTAATTACGCCACACCTCGCGCAGCGTCGCACACGCACGCCAGGACGTCTTTTGGGAGGCATCCTCCAGCATCCTCCAGCATGTCCTATCGGTACGCGCTCCTGCCCGTTTGGGGCAGCTGGAATCGTGAAACACCTTCGCACCACGTCAACCGGCGCGCGCTCTGGACAATCGCACCCGGGGGCCACAGGGGCTGCGCGCGGGAGGCTGTGTGTGGTGGGTGTGCACGAGGTGCCGACTGCGGACTGCGGACGGAAGACAGGCGGGGGCGTACACCGCCATTCCTCCCGATGCACGCGGATGATTGGCCATCGCTGCAAACGAGCACCTCACCCATCAATATCGACGAGTTTCACTCGGAGGTACACCTCCACTGTATCACTATCACATCCTCGGCCGCGACTGGCAGCCTGAGGCCGACGTTGGACGGGATGTTGTTAGTAGGTGCGCCCGACGAATAGCAGAAGTGTGCCCGGTCGTTAGTATTGGCCAGACCTCATGTCTTATTATGCCGCCGACGCGCCGTCGCTGTCAACTTGAGCACACTCTCCACGCGCGCAGACCGGATCGTGCGCGGTCTGTAGGCTGCGTGCGTCCGCTGCGGCGCATACGCAACACATCGAACGGCAGGATACACTTGCATGCACTGCACGGTAGGATGCCTGCGCAGGGCAAGCAATGATAGTCGGCAGCGCATGTGTGGTCGGGCCTCGGTGCAGCGCACCTTGCCGCCGCATCACGACGCCAGGGCCTTCATGTGTTTATAGAAGATCTCCTCTCCTCTCAACTTCCACGCTATAGTTGAGCTCGCCTTGCTTGCGCCGCGCTGCCTACCGTATTGCTGCTCTGGACTCGACTCTGCCAAACCCTAACTCAACGTCCGATGGCGGACAGCCAGGTTCACCCCTGCTTGCACGACTCTCTCGCACTTGTGTCACGCTACCCGTTTCTCGATCTTGCCGTCTCGACTCGCCTTCGGACCACCGACCCGAACATCTGGAGACCCGTGTTTATGTTCAGCCAACAAGAGAAAGGTTTTGGGTAATGGCGCTGCGCTGCGCAGGAAAATGCACAGATCGAAGTCGCGGTGAGCTGACTCGCCTTGCGCTCCCGAGCACTGGGTAAAACCATCCTCTACCCCTTGGGCGGCAAAAGAACAGGGTATCCTGTTCACGCTCTCCATGCTAAATAGGAAGGAGTCGATCCATCCCTCGAAGTTTTGAGCACATCCCTGACGCCAGCAAAGCCATGTTCCGACCGTCTGGCCAGAATCGCGGAGATGGCGCTGCGTTGATGCAGAGAAATGACTCGACCGGCTCTGTATGCCATCTGCCCGGGAGGAACGCGTGGGAAAGCGCCTTGCAATCGTGAAAGATCAGCTGGATATTGGAAAGCGCATTCACTTCGCCTGAAGTTTCGATTCGCATCAAACTCGTGCTTGGCGGAGCGGGCAGGCTCTTTGAACAAGACCGGCCAGCGAGAACGATACCCTCTTCGTTGACGACACTCGTCATCGACAAGTCTGCCTCCGCAAGTGCTGCCGCAGCTGCATGGTCTCCGCAACAATTAAACGTAGGGACGCCCGGGGAAAGTTGCCATGCTACCATTGCCCAGACGGCACAGTCTTGTCACGTTGACTTCCGGTTACCGCAGTACGCGCAACTGTCACACCGCCGCCACTGTGATCCAACATTGCCCACTGTGCCAACTCACACCAAGGATACATCTGTTCCTGGCTCAATCCAGGTCCATTCGTAGGCAATCTGGCGCCATTTAGCGAATTCCACGCACAAAGCTCGTGGCCAATATCTCTACGCGACTTCAACGGTCGTTTCCAGGGACAGGCAGAGTCGAGAGGCCCCTTCAGTTCATATTAAAGTCACTGGGTGCTGTCACAAGCATAGTTTGGGCTCGGACGTAACGAACTCCATTTTCACTTCATCTCGACCGCGATGCTGGAACAGATCGTCCTCGAAACATGTCTGTCGCGCAAGACAGCGATGACCGACTCAAGGATATCGAGTCACTATCCCCATACAGACGCAAGCGAAGGTTTGAAACTTGAAGATCGTAACGCCTCAAGGTCTTGCTTCCAAAATCGTCGTCGTGAAGGCCGGAAGCGGAGGAACAGCCGAAAGCAAAAGTACAGCGACGACACGGTGAGACGAGTCTCGCTGCGGAACTGACTCTCGCTGCAAATGGTAGGACCTAATTGAGTTCATGCTGATGGAGAGGATAGCAATCCACTATACACTTTTACCGAGGTTCACTGCGACTCGTTGCAGCGGATTGTCGACAGGCATTTTGTTGATACCTAGGAGCCGTATTGCTAACACCGTTTTCTAGCACACTTCACTAATTACGGGTGTGTTCCCACTGGTCCGAAGAGGTCTCTTAGAGCACTTATCGACCTGCGGGTCCCCGAAAGTCCATCTCTCGACACTGTAGCTATATACCACCTACCTTTAATATACGCTGATACTGTCGTACTACATTACCCTACCTTGGATTCTAGAGTAAGAAAAGACTATACTAGGCTTTAATACAGAGGAATTCTCCCGTATAGGTATTAGGTATTAGGATCTAAAGTTTTGTAGGTGAATGGAAGTCGAAGTGTGTAGCATGTGAAGCTGTGTACGTGATGAGTAAATACTTCTCTTCCTATATGTCTAACTATAAAGCATAAATTCTATACTACTAGCAACGCCGCAAAAAATCATCCATCTTGCAGACCGGGTACAGGAGTGAGGAGGCATTGTTGTATTCGTCGTGTTCCGCTTATGAAGTTCGAGCAACGGAATGGACAGACAGTATGCTTCAAGGCGTATGGCGCGGCGAATAATGATGACTACATGTAGCTACTAGGTACTACTACCTAAGTGTCCTCGACCAACGCAGGGGGGAATGAATAATGCAGCCAAACAAGCGACGATTATCTATTTCTGCGGCTTATTATGCTGCATCTTGTTGATTGATGAGAGAGGGAGACTGCCTAGAAGGAATTTCGAATGTCAGCACCAACAAAGTCATCGATCGCGAACGGTATCTAATGTACTTATATTACTACATGTAGTAACCGGCAACAACGGGGCGTTTTGGTCATGCATGACTGACACGATCCTATCCCGATTATTGCTGCGTCGACTTCCTTCCTCCATCCATTCAGCAAGGCCAAGAAGTCCTGTCCTGCGCCTCTCTCTTCAGAAGAGACACCAAGTGGAAGAGATCAGAATACCTTACAGCTGCATCTTCTCCGAGACTACTACTTACTTGCTTTCTCTCTCTCGGCAGATAGTAGTACCAGCCAGTCAGCAGGCATGCGAACTGCTTGCTGCTGCAGACACCACCACTACTACTACTACTTACTACCTGCACAGCCGACACACGCATTGCAGCGCAGCCCAGCGCAGGGCAGCGCAGAAGGTGACAGATCTGGTGCAATGCACCAGAACTTTTCCCACACCTGCGCAAGAGATCCAGAGATGGCGATGCTACTACTACTACTTACCTTGCTGGAGATCGCACAAGAATTGTCGGTGGTCTCATCGGTAGGACTCCTGAGTCCTGAGTCCTGAGTCCTGAGTCCTGAGACCTGCATTGCGGAGAACAGTCGTCGCTGTCGAGCTTTCGATGCAAGGCAGGTGAGTAATTTGATAATGATATCAGTTCTGAGAACAATAGGCAAGACTTCAGTATCATGATATAGAACAAGGTACTCAATCAACATTGCGATACATTTCCCTTTCATGCCATGGCATACTTCAGCAGAGATCGATCGCCGCCATAGCAAGGTATCGTAACACAGCGATTTGTTCCAAACCCAACGAGGTCAAAAGGAGAAAAAGTCTTCCTCGAACGCAAGGTGGTCCACGCATTCGTCCGGGTATTGTCCAACCAAGAACGCCCAACCAGCATCATCCCGACGAACAATGATGGGAAATTCATCCGTTCCAACGCAACATCAACTCCGAAGAGTGTGTTCTCCCCAACGAAGGAAATCAATAATACGTGCCCCTGCCTTCACTCCACTTCTTCACGACCGGCTTTGTCTCGCTGCGCTGCAAAGCGCTCTCACTGAATTCCTCACTCGGCTCAATCAATCGCGAATCATCTCCAGCAAAGCTCACGCGTCCACTCCGCCGACGGTTTTCTCCAGACTGCTGTGGGCTTTCGAGGTATCCCACGGCGCCAACCCATTCCCACACCCTACCCACATCTCCGCTTCGCCCCTCGCGCACCATGGGTCGAACGTTGGCATTCCCTTCGACTTTCCGCTGTACCCTCTCCCACAATTTCTTGCGGCGACTAGCAGAGAATTCGTCCCTCAGGACGTCATCCCTCAGTTGCGCAACGCTAATGTAATTCTCTTTGTAGATTTCGGGTTCCGCGGCATGGTACGCTGCTTGTAGCGACAGTTTCTCAAGAGCCAAGCTCGCGAGCTTCTTGGCTTTTGCTTCTGTCTCGTGGCTTGATGTGATGCGACGACGACCGTAGGTCCCGCCGGACAGAACGAGCAGAACAGCTACAAGTTGCCAAAAATAGTGTCTAAGTGTTTCGCGAAGCGATCGGCGGACGGCGCAGGCGAAGGGGATTGCGGCGAGGCTTGTGGATCGGAGGACGGCATGTTGTCCGGTTCTGGGGTTGCGGAGAATCTGTCAGTATGAAGATATCTTGTAAGCATGCGAGGTATCGACGATGAACAGAACAGTAGACTGGGGTTGGCTGTAGGAAGAGGGCCTCTCGACTTACCCGTCTGAACCGCTGACGACTTCTTCTGCATCGAGGATTTCTCCCAATGCGCTCTGCCAAAGGTCTTCGAACTCGTCGTTGCTCATGCCCTTGCGGCGCTTGACCGCAATGTTCTTCTTGAGGTCCGTCTCCTTGATCGCAGGCGCAGTAGCCTCTCCGCATTCATACTTGGCATTTTGTTCCCGTAAAGCTTCTACAGCACGCTCCTTGACTGTCTTGACTTTCTTTGCACGAACACTGTCTGGCTCGCATGTGGGCGGAATTGGGATGAGCCCGTTCAGGGAGAACGGGTGCTGCGTGAGCACGAAGCCGTTCTCGCACTCTGTCTGGAGCTCGTCGCCGCAAGCCGCGTGAGGTGGGCATGGCTCACACTCCGGTCGGATGATCTCTGCCCACTTTGGTACTTCAACTCCAGCCCACTCGACTGATGGTGACCCAACTCCACAGTATCCGACTTGGAGCTTCTCCTGACGCCACACAGCTCCCAAGGCGACTGCCATCACCGAAAACACAGCTCCGACTCCCCATTTAGCATGCGCTGAAGGCTTCTTGGTCTTTCGGCGCGTAGGGACAAGCTCGCCAGTTTGCTGAGCCAGGTCCAGATCCAGTTGTTCTTCAGGTGTGAACTCTTCCGTGGGCTCGACTTCCTCCTGTTTCTTCACCCTTGTGAGGGATTTCTCGAGACTCTTGCGCGGGTAGCCGTCCATGCGCTGCTTAGCCGGGCTGATTCCGTCTGTGCGTCGCCGAAGTTCGCGATGCCGCCGCTCGAGATCTCTAGCCGAAGAGCCAAGTGTAGTGCGCCTACGATCAGTGTCCGGAGCTGGCGCAAGAGGTGGAGGGCTTGCAGATTGGAAGACATTTTCATTTGAGAACGGACTGTCCTCTTCTGCTCTTTCAGTCTTGACAGCCGGTGTCGCTGCGGTGTATCGTGTTCGCGATTGTCTCCTGCGCACAGTCTTCGGCGCTGGTTCCTCCTCTACCGGTTCCACAGCTCTAGCACGCCTTCCAGACACTGACCGTCGCGGAGTGAAACCCTCTGGTGGAGCGGTACTATGTCTTATTCCTTCAGATGTCGGCACGACCTCTTGGACCTCCTCAGTGCGAGCTCGTGTGGTGCGCCGAGTGCTGCGACCCGTCGCTGGTGTAGGCGGGATCTCTTCGTCTTCATCACCAGCACCAGTTCCCTTTCGTCCAGTTGTTACATCTTCGATGCCTCTACTGGTTCGCTTGATGCGTGCGCTGGCCTGCTTGATCTTTCGCGCCTGTGGTAGGAGCTCCTCGTGGAAGATTTGGACTAGCTGGGACTTCTTGGAGGCAGCCGAATAATCAATGCCGTGCTCAAGGAGGATCGATCGCAGTTTGGGTACGGTCAGGGAATTGGGGTCAAAGCCCGGTTCTAGATAGGCCTGACCGCCCATGTTTGATGTTTGATGCCGTCTGACCCGCGACTGGGCGCACGCCTGGATGTGTCGTTCGTAAGGCGCAAGTCTGATGCAGCGCAAGGAAAACAGACAGATGATTTGCGCACGGGCGATGGAGTGGTGTGTGTGGGAGTGGCGACGTGGTTGTTGTGTGGAGGAAGAGGAGGAGGAAGCTTTTCCGTTGCGATAAACATGCTCGCACCTCGCACAGTGCTCGGCTGTCACTAGGCAGACCGGGTCCGTGCACCGCAAGTGACGTTGCAGCCTGCGATTAATCATCGTACTTGAACGTCGGCTTTCGTGTCTCGTCCTTTCCATCTGCAATAACACCGCCGTCTTACCCTCGTCAGTAGTATGGCGTTTGCTTCGGACGACGCCGCCGATACATGTCTTGCACGGCAAGAGTCACTCGACAACGCCGAAATGTCAAGCTTCATCTGATCAGAACTGTGTACCGGAAGGGAGTAGACCGACGCTGGCCAGAACCCTTCTTGGGTCTCAGCTCGCGGACCGCACGTAGATTTGACAAGATACAGACTTATGTCTGTGTTAATTGAGACAAGCGCTCTCTGTAGGTACTCTTGACTGATAGCGCCCTGACAACTCACGTATTTCGTGTCTCAGGCAGGACAACATCTACCATGAGCGCCGCAATACATTCATCCCTTGCGATTTTACTGTCCGATGTGAACAATCGCGAGACTCAGCGTCAGAACGTACACTCAGCGGCTCGAACACATCCTCAAGCTACAGTTGCTGAGCAATTCAGAAAAGGATCAGCCAACTTTATTAATCAAGCTATAACAGCAAGCAACCTCGGTGCCATGGTCCAGATGGGCAACGATCACATCGCTCCAAACTTCTATTCAAGAATCGACAACTACGTGCCTGCGCACCCTTTTGCCGAGTACGTTGAGAATCTACGTCGTTTCAAGGTGGAATTTCCCACATCAGAGTGCGGCCCGCTGGATGCGGACGTGGAAGTCGACGACAAAACCCGGCCGCGCCATTGTTTACCAACTGCTAGAAATCACCGGTCATTCGTTGCGGCTGAGAAGACTTAGTATTTGCATGCTCCATTGGATCAGGAAGAAACGAAGCTGGAGGGCTTATCAGTGCCCGACAGTGAGAGGTCTATCAGGCACTGGGATACTGGGCGACTTATGAGGTGATGAAACTCGCGCGCTTCTTTCCTGGTGATAGATTGATGGCAGAGAAGACCAGGTGGAGTCTTGGTGAAAGCAGTCAGAAAATTGCGGAAGACTGCGTGACTGTAGGGTTGTTATGATGTATGAGCGAAAGAGCACCAAACGTCAATGCGACGGATTTTTTCGAGCTCTCGCGAGATCAGAGATTGAAGAAGGCATCTGCCTGTCCAGGTAAACGCAGTAGCGTATTGTACGCAACGACCGGCTCCTTCCATCCACCTCAACTCTAAGGCGTCACTGCTCATCATAACAGCACAGCAGATGTCGATTCCTCCGCGCTTCACCCGTCTTGCTCAATATCTTTGCTGGTCCCATAGGAACATCCGCCATCTTGTGCCGCTGGCATGCATCGATATGCCTTTCATCACCATTCATAAACAGCAGGCGACCAACAACGGCAGTCCTCGGAAATCACTCAACAAGAAGGTATCCCAGATCTTCGGCGTCGGAAAGAATCCTTATCCAGCCGCGGGCTTGTCGAGGTTGAAACGCGCCGCATCACGCATCTTTGAGAAGATCATCCGCCCTCACCGTAAGTCCTCGTCACTTCGATCACGACCGATCGAGACTACTCTAACGTGAAGCAGGCTCAGATATGGACGGGATGTCTTCGCCTCATCATCGGACTGCTCCTCCAACACGGCCAGCGCTTAGCAGCCATGTCGCCACGGTTCGTGATGCTTTACGATCATCCGATGCGAGCTGGGAAGTGCCGACGACATATGTGCCCCAAAGGAAACGCTCCGTGCGCTTTGAGGGCTTGGGCGTGAACAGCCAGCTGGATGGTCAGGTCAGCGAGAGAAGGTATGAGGTGCCCTATACGAAAGAGCAATCCCGAAATACGATACATGGCGCATTCAGACTTCAAGGCTATAGCATTGTCTCTCCAATGGTGCTAAGAAAGGTGCAGATCGAAGTCAGAGAGTAGCTCACACTCCCGCCTTGAAGCGTTGACTACAAAGCTAGCCATCACGTCCGCGACAGACACGGTCGTTCGCCGCGCAAATTCCAAGACGAAGCCGAATGTGCCATTTCTCGACACACACGTCGACTTCCTGCATGATCAGGTTGCCTTGGACCGCCACTCATCCCCTAGTACCATGTCCTCTTCAACACCATTGCGAGACCCTCGCTCGATGTGGTCACCAGCCAGTACGGCATCGACAGGAGCAACATCCTTCACCTCACCAGGCTCATCGGGATCAAAGAACAAACGTCAGACCCCAGAGGACTGTCAGAATACAAGCAAGACCGTCGCCAATCCCGGCGAAGAGAATCAACTTCCACCGATCGAGGAGGATAGTGCACGTTTCATTATGCTGCCTGTCCAAGAGACAACACTTACCGTTGCACCCTCTGTTACAACTGTCGAGAATGCTGCAGCAGCCAAATGTGCTCTGGAAACATTGTGAGTTGATGAGCGCGACCCTCTCACTGCCATTTGCTAATGATGCTCGTGCTCAGTCACGCCCAGCTAATGGAAGCGTCCTCACCTCGATCGATTCGGCGCAAGAAATTTGAGCAAGAGATGTGCGACGTTGGCATGCCCCATGAAGATCGCATCGCGGCTCGAGAGAAATGGTTCAAAGCAGAGAGCGACCACCTGCGACAAATGCGCGTCCTCAAGGCGTCTTCAATTGCCCGACACAACGCAAAAGGCATTTCGATCGCCGGCTATGATACGTTGCGCGTGCTGGGCAAAGGCAGCTTCGGTGTAGTTCGTCTAGTGACCGAAAGCGGTCCGAGGAGTGCAGATGAATTGGACAAGGCAAGTATAACATTCCGAACTTTGATTCCAGAGCTTTCTGACGTGTGACAGAACATCACGCCAAAGTCTGTTCTCGCTGGCAAGCCTCTCTCGGACGTCTACGCCATGAAGGTCATTCGGAAGTCGGAAATGCTTCGAGCATGCCAAGAAGGGCATCTTCGCGCTGAAAGAGATTTCTTGGTTGCTTCCGAAGGATCACGCTGGGTTGTGCCTCTCCTTTCCAGTTTCCAGGACAACAGCAACCTGTATCTCGTCATGGAGTACATGATTGGCGGCGACTTCCTGGGACTGCTTCTCCGAGAAGACGTCTTAGACGAAGAGGTGGCCAGATAGTACGTGGCCGAGATGATCCTTTGCATAGAGGAAGCTCACAAGATGAAGTGGATCCATCGCGATGTAAGCGGATATCTCATCGTAAGCTGGTGTTCTTCAAAGACTGACCTGTGATAGATCAAGCCAGACAACTTCCTCATCAGCGCTTCCGGCCACCTGAAGATCTCCGACTTCGGACTCGCCTTCAACGGACACTGGGCACATAGTCAGACATACTACAATGGTCAGCGCGAGACGCTCCTTGAGAAGATCGGCATCAAAATCAAGGGCGATGAACAAGACGAGGCCGACGACCTGATGTATCAGTCGGATGGAGCAGACGGACGATGTCCCATCAAGTCACCCAAACCAGACCCTGATGAGGGTGCAAGGCGAGAAGGGCTGTTGAATTGGCGAAACCGTACGGAGCGTCGGAAAATGGCACGCAGTGTCGTTGGGACAAGTCAATACATGGCACCAGAGGTCGACATATTCCGCCTGTTTCTAGCAAGTGCAACGCTGACTTTGGATCCCAGGTCATCCAGGGACAGCCCTATGATGGACGCTGCGACTGGTGGAGCATCGGCATCATCCTCTACGAATGCCTCTGGGGACGCACACCCTTCTACTGCGAGAACCGACAGCTGACCAAACAGAGCATCGTGGCGCATAGGTTGACGTTGCAGTTCCCTTGTAGAGAACGGGTTGCAAGACCGACATCTGATAGACCTCGGCGGCTGCCACCACCGAGTGATCTCGCCATCGATCTTCTTCAGGGGATCCTCGCGGACAAAGAAGCCCGGTTGAGCTCAAGGCAGTAAGAAGCCCGCATCACAGACAAACGAGAGGGAAATATTGATTTGTTTCGTGTCCAGATACCGCTACGCAGAAGCTCGCCTCTCCCGCCGTCACTCCTCTGCATCCAACACCAGCCCTCTCTCCCGTCACGTCTACTCCAGCGGCGCCGAAGAAATCAAAGCTCACAGATTCTTCGACGGAATTCCCTGGTCGCAAATGCACCTGACCCACCCGCCTTTCGTCCCTCGCGTCCGCGAGAATCAGTCCATCACCAAGTACTTCGAAGACGAGCAGGAGATTCTCAATGACACGAGCGCTTCCAGCGAAGAAGCAGCTTCGGCGAAGGACCACCCGGCCACGGCCAGAGAAGACTTCGCCGGTCTCGATGAGAAAGAAGTGCTCGCCGCTCTGGGCGAGCGGGACTTCTCGAGATGGAAAGAGGAAAGATTGAGGAGGGAGCATGTCGAACTGGGCATCGAACATTGTCCGAATCCGGGTGAAGAATTGAGAAGGATCAAGGAGCATTACGGGCCCCGGTACGAAGCCTGGAAAGCCCACCGGATTGTCGAAATTGCGGAAGAGAAGGCGCTGCGAGGCCCGCAGGCACCGCCAGCAGCGGCGGCGGCGGCGACGGAAGAGCAGAGAAGGCAGAAGGAAAAGAAACGGCCCCGGGACAAGATGTTGAGGGATCCTGTCGTTGGGCGAAAAGTTTTGGAGTTGAGGAAGAAGGGGGCGTTTTTTGGTTATACTTATCGCAGACCCAAGACTGTTGTTCTGGAGGGTGTTGATGGGTATGCAGTTGGTGGTGGTGCAAGTCCGTTGGCGGCGCGGAATAGGGATAGGAGGATGAGGGCTCCGAGGGGGTTTGAAAGGCCGAGTATCTTGAAGGTAAACGAGGGGGTGGAGGCGAACGAGAACGGGGAGGAAGTGGAGAGGACCTAGGTTTCTTTTAATTGGGAGGCTGCCGTTGATGTACATAGAAGTTGGACCTGAGAATTCGTACGACTCTAAATCTTTCTTTACAGTCTCGTTCAATCTTGTTTGTCTGCTGACGGCAAGACTCTCATCGCCCCCGATTGCTTGTCTCTTTCGAATTGCTTGATCTCCTGCAGAGCACTCTTGATCGTCTCGCCCCGCTCTTGAACATCTATACTCGATCGGCACCAGAACCTGTATTCCTTCCCCTTCAGTTTCGCTTTTCCAAACCGCTCGATTTCTTGCTCCAGCGCCGTGGCGGAATGCTCCAGTGTGATTCCATTCGCTGCTTGAATTTTATCTGCTCCCAGCCGAGGGAGTGCTCCAAAGACACCGGTAGGATCGGGAATGTAATCTCCGATGAAAATTTCTCTGGGGGAGTTTGTCAGTGTGGTGTGAGTGGCCGCGAGATCGAAAGCCGTGACAAAGGAAATAGTGAGTCATGTGAACGAAATGTTGAAAGATGTGTCAAGAGACCCGGGTTATCAGCTAGCTACTGAGCCTGAGTTGATCTTCCGATTTCGCCGCAGCTTTACTTGGGGTCGTCGAAGACGTAGGTCAGGTGGCAACGACCGCAGTACTGGCGGTTGTGCATGGCGGCCATGAAGATACCGGCACCGCACTATTGGCGTGTTAGTCCTGGCCCATGCGCCACATGTGTATGGGTGTGGGGTTATCCTTACAGTCTCAGCTGGGCACTCTCTCCTCAGACGCTCGATCTTGCCATCACCGTCGACCTTGTAGTACTTGAGCACAGCGAGCTTGGTCTTCTTGCGCTTGTGCTTGATCTTCTTGGGAGTGGTGTAGACCTTCTTCTTGCGCTTCTTGGCCATACCACCACGCAGGCGGAGGACCAGGTGGAGGGTGGACTCCTTCTGGATGTTATAGTCGGAGAGAGTGCGGCCATCTTCGAGCTGCTTGCCGGCGAAGATCAGACGCTGCTGGTCTGGAGGAATACCTTCCTTGTCTGCGGCCGATGTGTCAGATGCTGTCGTTGGCGCGAGTGTGGTGCGGGTGGCGTACCTTGGATCTTGGACTTGACATTGTCGATGGTGTCGGACGATTCCACCTCGAGGGTGATCGTCTTACCCGTGAGGGTCTTGACGAAGATCTGGGGCCCGTCATGTTAGTCGCTGCTCATCGCTGAGTGCGTCTGCTGCGGTTACATACCTGCATTTTCTCAGCAGTGATGCGTCTTCAAACGTGCAGATGGAGAGAGAAGAGAAGAACTTCGGGCTGGTCGCTGATGGAATTTGCAAGGTGCCTGCGGTGAGTCTTGGCGCTGAGTAAGGCATAGTCGGAGTTTCTTTTAGCCGATGCTTGTGATTGGATGAGACGGTAGGAAGCCATTGGGTCGCTCTTTCCATCGCTGTGACGACGAAGTGCAGAATTGGCAGTAACTGTAGATACGGGCCGAAGATGTATTATTCCGTGTTTTCGCTGTCGCTGTCCCACGGCTCGGAGGAATATAGAAACGGCATCATGGTGGTTTGCGCTGTCTGTTTCACGGCAAGCGTCTGGCTCTCGAACGTACGCTAGCCATCCCTGACCAGATCGATCTCTCGTTGCCCTAGCAGCGCGCGGCAAGCCCGATCAACAAAGCGTCAGCTTTCACTTCATGTATCTCGCAGCGCGACATAAGAGTCCAAGTCTTCCCAGCCACTAGATATTACTCTGCATTTCACAGCAGCTAGCTGTACACGACTGTACATATCTGTGAAGCGTACGGTCGAACAGCCACTCTAAACCCAACTCGGCCAGAGGCCCACCAACAAACCACACCTCTCCCACTTGTGTAGGGATTCACAAGTGAGGAGGAGAGAAACGAACTAGAAGTCTACCGCCCGGCGGCTGCGGCTTGCACTGCGTGAGGTATGTATCAATCAAATAAATGATGCCGTGGGTTTGCGAGGGTGCACCACTTGGGTCAACCTCGCTGCTACAAATCTCGCGATATGCGGCTCAGTTAGCTTAGTACTGACGAGGTGAACAGTACCGGAACCCACGAAGGTCGCCAAGAGCGCGCCCTTCAGACCAATCGGACCCCACCAGGACCACCGGACTCTTCTTGCCCACAGACAATTCGAAAATGCTGCCATCAGGAGGGACCTCGAGCATCCAGCGACGCAGACAACACCATCGCCGACAACAGTCACTCGAGGTACCCATCCTTGCGACACCCCTCCCACACAACCCCCGACGGACCCATCCAGGACATCGACCAGGCCACCGACGTGGGCTCAGCCTCGACCAGAGTCTGAGCGCCATCAACTCACCCGGATTTCGCCCACTCCTTCCCCAGGACACACAACACGGCCTACCAACTGGACACACATCAGCAAGGACACCATCGGATACTAACCATTACCCACCGGATCAGCAGCATTTGATCAAGCAAGAAACGCAGCAGCATAGCCTAGCTCAGCCGGGCTACCAGCAGCAGCCGCCAATGGCGCAACAACCAGACTTCCAATCCCACCTACATCAGCAGCTCAACGGCATCTACAATCCCTCCGTGAGCGCATCCAGCCCCGAGGCCGCCGTCGCCATGCAGAGTCTGCAGCGCCATCTGGCGTGGTACGAGCAGCACTTTGGCATCAGCGCCTCGGACGGCAACCCCAATCCCAGCATGCAGCAGACACCATTCGGTCAGGCCAGCCATCCCGTCGCCGGCGACGTGGCTGCACCCGTCTTCCTGTCGCAAGCGCCTATCCAAGCCGTGTCAACAACACCCGTCTCGCACGGTCACTCGCATACAGTCCCCAACACTCCGCAGAACTACAACCAAAGCTGGCCGATTCCACCGCCTTCGCACGCCAAGCATCAGCGCAGTCAGAGCTATCAATTCGACGTCGCTCCAATGGCTCAGGGCCATGACGGGGGCCAATTCGTATCGCAAGATGCCATGTTCAACAACGGCGGCTCGTTCAGCTTTTCGAGCGAGCAGGACTACGCAGCGTCAGCATATTCTTCCTCAGTCGTAGACCCATCTTCGCCGCCCCACCAACACAGTACGCCAATGCCAACTCTCTTCGAGGAGCCTCTTACAGGCTATGGCCAAGCGCAGCCGCGTCCCGACCTTCTCCTGCAGGCCGCCGCGGGCGCCGAGCAGGACTTCAACGACCCGAACTTCATGATGGGTGGAGGTCTTATGTGTCCGGAGCAGGCCGCACTTGATGCAGCAGGAATCGATGCGACCTACATTGATACCGGTATCACCGAAGAGCAGATCAATTCATGGCTTGTTCATCCGGTGGAAAAGGGCGAGTCCTACCACTGCAAGTGGGAGGGTTGTGACACCAAGATCAACCGCAAAGAGAACGCCCGCTCGCACGTCCAGAACCACCTCGACGACCGCCGCTTCCGCTGCAATCCGTGTGGCAAGCGCTTCAACCGTTTGCACGACACGAAGCGGCACCACCTCACCCACACGAACGAGAGACCGGCAATTTGCCCATGTGGTAAGACCTTCGCTCGCGCAGACGCACTGACTAGGCATCGGCAGCGTGACATGTGCGAGGGAGTACTTCCGGGGTTCGAGAAGGCTGAAGAGGAGAAGCCGAAGCGAGGTCGGCCGAAGAAGGACAGATCCTCCGAGCCTGGCGACAAGTCGAAGCGCCCGACTCGTCCGGACATGGAGACCAGAGCCAGGAAGGCAGCGCTCGCACGCTCACTGGACCAGGCGAATGGAAGGCTGACGGAGAGCATGAGCTCTGCAGCCAGCGTCCACAGCCTGCCAGCTACGCCACCTCAAGACTCGGACGATATGGACGCAGACTTCTTGGGCATGAGCAGCGCAGATGGACAGTTCAACCAGGCGGCTGGCACATGGCTCGACACTCCACCAACATCGCCTCCGTCTGCAATCCCAGCCAGGCATGCCCAATCGAAGATCTTCATCGACCTCAGCATTCCAGAGGAGCCAGAGAGTGTGTCACCTTCCAAGCTGTCAACTCGTTCCTCGCCTTGTCCAGCAAATGGGCCAGCCGGCTCGTCCTTTCACGATGGCTCGAGTCCAGCAGGCGACGCCAACACGTTGTTCGCGGACTACTCCTCACCAGCGGCCTTCAACGGCACGACCGACTTCACCGGAGAGTCCAGCCCGATGGAGCCAGGAGTCGACATCTTCAACGACACTCTGAACTTTGACGCCATTGACTGCCATCCAGATGTCGGTCGCGATGTCTTCTCTCCGCCAGGCGAGTCGTGCAGCGGCTCCAGCGTCTACAACTCCGACTGGGACACGGTCCATGTCGGCCTACGCAACGGCGTCAAGAACTCCAACAACTCGTCGGGCGGCTTCTATTCGGAGAGCCTCAGTGCCGTCTCGACGCACAATGCCTTCCCACTGGACGACTTCATGCCTTCTGCTGATGATGAGTACGACGAGGTCCGCGACATGCTGGACTCTTGGGTGGCGTCGCACTAGAAGGCGCTCGCTCAAGTCCTGACGAGTGTACGAGTACGGGTATGGGACGAGCACGACGCTTTAACGAACTGGACGAAGAATGAGAAGAAGAAAAGCTCAGCGCACGTGTTACGATAAGATGGAGGAGATAATTGACGAATGACTGTACGAAAATGCATACCAGCGGACCCACGGTGACGAGGAAACGAACTGGATTGACGATGAACGAAATGGCATATGGGACGTGCTGGGAAGAACACCGCACAAACGTAGAAGAATGGCGTATCGTGGAGTTGAAATTCGGAAGAGATGATTGCTCGAGCGTTGGTTCGTTTGCTTCACGGGAAAGTTGTCGACTGGAGAGAATCTTTCTGGCTACAGACGGGACGGCTTCCTCTTGCTGGACTTGCTTGCCGCCGGTAGACCGATCTGGATCGACGACTTGTAATGACTTGGTCGTCCCTTCCCTGGGACGCTCATTGAGTGCGAGGACTGTCGCTTCGTGTACCATACACAGCGTTTGCTTTTTTTGATTCTCGGAGGAGGGGTTTGCTTTGCGTACGTAGATAGTCATAGGTAGAGTCCTTGGGCTTCGACTCCTAGCTTCTCCGATTTTGATATCAGAGAGCGGGTCTGAGTTGGCCTTGGTCAGTACTCCTTTTTGGCTGCGAATGATCCATCTCATCTCTCGTTTCGACATGTGCTCCATCAGCTTCGTTGTGGATCGGTGCGTGAAGGGCTGCAAAGCCAACGAGCATGGTAGCTCACGCGCTCCAGTCGGAATGGAACGTGTCGTACAAGACACAGGCAAGACGCTTCCTCGGCTGCCGAGTGGACGCAGCTCAGGTATCTGCGGTGACGAATTCCCGAGCGGTGCTGATGAGTAGTGAGCTGGAGAAGAGGTGAGGTGCATCCCTCGGTGTCATGCGTGCGTGCATGGCGGACGGGACGGACGGAGCACGCGGAGCTTAGCAAAACCCGCGTTCCGGATGCACATCATCGATGGATGGGAAGGGACGGAAGGGCAGGAATCCCTGACAACGTGGTACGGTGCCGGTACCGGCTTGTGCGAGGATGCGGAACGGTATCACAAGCGTTTCGAGAGGCACGTTTAATCTTGATAGCGCGGAGAGGTGGGATCACAGGATGGGGATTGCGACGGATTCCATTCAGGATTGTTCTCCCACAGTACATGTATTCCATCCCAAATCAGGGACTTGGGCGATGAGACAATGTGCGTGGGCGAACGGTCGGGGTGAGATCATGCTGCAGGAAAAAGCGCGTGCACATGCAGACTCCAGAGGCGGTAGCGCGGAGGAGAGTAGTGTCGCGAGACCTCATCGCAGATGCCTCACAGCCTGGACGAGATGCAGCCGTGGTCGCGCGCGAACAATGCAGAAGTAGTGGTGGTGGTGGTGACGAGTGAGGCCAATCGCAATCGTGAGCGAGGCGCATTGTTATTAGCAGCGGGAGAATTGAGTGTCCGAGCAATCCGAAGCGAGTGCTCACTGCTGGCTGCGCTGGCAGCTGGCAGCTGGCAGCAGCTCTGAGAGCTCGCGTGGGAAAGGATGGAAGGGTACGGCGTGGCGCCTCATCCGGGGCGGTAGAAGTACAGTAGGTAAGGCGGCGGTATGACATGTGTGACGAGGTGCACACTGCACTTGCGCGACATCCGACATCTGATTACTACTACTGTACTGCCGCCCGTCCCACTCCGCTGCCTAAGATTCCATTTGTGATTCTCTCCCTCCACACACAGACACCTCCATCCGTCTCCCTCACCACCTCGCACACGCTGTCTTGGCTGTCCGTCACATTGATTAACTCGGCTTATTACCACTTCACTTACTCTCGCTGTCTCGCGCGCGCACATCCGGCCTTGCGCAGACGGCACGCGACATCCTCCCGCCGCGAAATCCATTCGGGATTGCCTTGCCAAGCGGCAATCTCAACCCGTCCGTTACCTGTGCACTGTGCTTGCCAGTAGCACTCACTACTAGTGCACGAGTGGACCGGTGCAATCTCACGACCAGCGCCAACTGCAAAAAAACGCTTTTCCCCACGCCGTCCCAACTCTGTGCCACCGCATTCCATTAACAACGCAACCGCATCGCATCGCATCGCAACGCATCGCGACTTTACATTGCTGATCCAATCCGCCTTTGTACGCTTTGTGCCTCCCCCAGCGCAACCGGCGACTTGCTCTTGCGTGCGCCAAGAACTCCGCCCCCATCAGCCACCGAGGCTACGCTGCTCTCGCAATCCTGCGCCTGCGACTGCTACACCTCGACAGTTAAGGTATAAAGCTTTCCCTCCGCACCGCTACCTCCATCTGCACGCGACCTCCACCAGCCATGAGGGCGTACTTCTCCCTCGGCGGCGACGGCTCGGCCTCGCGATACCTCAATATGCCGCGCATGCCCTTCTCCCTACCCAGCATACCGCTATACATCCCTCACCGCATACGAAAGCGCTTTCGATCGACCAGATCCAAGATACGCTCCCGCCAAACACCTACCTCATCCATCGCACACGTCGAGACCTCCTTCAATCCTGCCGACACCATCCGAGCACTCCGCACCCACCACTGGAGCTATTACGATGCCCAGTACCTCTTCCTCGCCATAATCGGCATCTTCAGCTTATCCATGATCGAGAACCCTGGGCCATTTCAGAAGACCATGGTGGCGACGCTATTGATGACGAGCTTGGTCATACCAATTACGAGACAGTTCTTCCTGCCATTCCTCCCCATTGCAGGATGGCTCATCCTCTTCTACGCATGCCAGTTCATTCCCGCAGACTACCGACCGGGCATTTGGGTACGACTACTCCCAGCAATGGAGAACATCCTCTACGGCGCGAACCTGAGCAACATCCTCTCCGCCCACAAGAGCGCATTTCTTGACGTGCTGGCATGGCTACCATACGGCATTACCCATTTCGGTGCACCCTTCGTGTGCTCGGGGCTGATGTTCATCTTTGGACCGCCGGGCACAACGCCCACGTTCGCAAGAGCATTCGGATACATGAACATGGCTGGAGTGGTAATACAAATCCTCTTCCCATGCAGTGCTCCATGGTACGAGAACCTGTATGGCTTGGCTCCAGCAAACTACTCGATACCGGGATCTCCGGCTGGGCTGGCCGCGATTGACAAGCTCTTCGGAATCGATCTCTACACCTCTACCTTTACAGCCTCGCCGCTGGTGTTCGGTGCCTTCCCATCGCTCCACTCCGCCAACGCCACCCTCGAGGCCCTGTTCATGTCCCATACCTTCCCAAGATTACGGCCGCTCTTCATCCTCTACACCTTGTGGATGTGGTATGCAACAATGTACCTCAGCCATCACTACGCTGTAGATCTTGTCGGTGGAAGCATCATTGCAGCAATCGCCTACTCCATCGCCAAGGGTAGCTTCTTGCCCCGATTGCAGCCCGGCAAGATGTTCCGCTGGGACTACGACTACGTTGAGCACGGTGAGGAGAAGGATCCGTACGCTTATGGCATGAACGATATGGACGAGTACGAGCTCGCTCTCCATGGAGACAGTGACGAATGGACGATCGGATCCAGCTCGAGCTTCTCGAGTAGCAGCCGCGAGCCATCAACTGGCATGCGGTCCCCAATCACTGACAACGATTCCTTGGACGGTGACACTCTGGCCTCTTCATCCGACAATGAATACCAAAAGGCATAGGCGTGAATCTAGAAACGCGCCCGATCCGATCGCACACACAAGCCCACAGACTTTTTTCACGAACAGAGAGGGCAAATGTTCCGACGATTTTGACGAAACCAGCATGGCATGGCGCGTGTTTTGATTCTCATTTTGACAGCATTTTCAGCGCTCTGGAACCCTAGCAACAAACGATGTGGGGGATTTTTTTTTGGGGACTTTCCCTCCTGCGAAGGCGTTGGACAAAGATGGAAGAGTATTGCTTTCGAGCAGTGCGTTTGTTGCGAGCAAAAGAGATACCCTACATTCGCTCTGTGTTATTAGCCCTTGTGTACAGCAGCGGTACACTTCACTCGCTTGGAGAGCGCTGCTCGCGGAGTTTGGCATGTGCATACGGAGGGAGGGGACGGGATGTCTGCATAGAAACTCTGGGATAGAGCTTTGCACGAGGAAGAGGAAGGAGAAACTTGGGCGCTGAAATTATAATACCCTGGGAAGGGCGTACCCTGAAGTGGTTGGGTGGATGGATTGATTGATAGGTATAGTATAGGTTATGACTCTTGCCGCTGCGGAAATCCTGGGTGCAAGCAGTTGGAATTCTACATAACATAATGCATGATCCAGCCATCGCTGAGATGGTATTGAAAGGACGTTCTCCGTGCAAGATTACCATCGTATCTCAGCCGCTGTGTATCACCCTTTTACATCAAGCACATAGCGGTTTGCAGTCACCTGGCACTCTTGAATTCCGTCTGTGGTCGGGGTCTGTGCGCTGCGCATTGATTCTCTCGCCACTCGGTTCGGCCGCAGCGTGTGGAATTTTGCATGTGAATACGAAGCCTAATCCGACCTCACGTCTTTGCCCCTTCTCCATGCTATTTGTACATCATGTGAGCGCCCGTAGAGAGTATCTTCACGATCCCGAACGCCGTCCCATATGCCCTATACAACATCCGCTCCCTTTTTTCCACTGTAGGGATTTCCCATGACACGAGTTCGATCTCCATTCCCGTCTCATCTCTGCCAATTCCCATCATCAAGGCACCACTACAACCCCAATACTGCCCGCCTGCGCAATGACACTCCGCACCAGACTCTCCAGACTGACCCCACTCAACCGCGTCTCGCCCTGCTTGATCTTGGCAATCTCGTATACATGTTTCAGACTCACTTGTCCTACCGTTCCCCTCGCGCTGTTGCCGGCCGCCGCAGCGCTGGCCGGGAAGAGCGCTTTCCCAGCACCCGTGAGGCCTAGGCCGGATTTCGGGCCGGCGGTGTTGCCTGCGCCGCGGAGTCTGTTCTTGATGGGGACGACGCCGGCGGCGCTGAGGAGGAGGGAGGCGGTGGGCGGGGTGCGGAGTTCGAAGTGGAAGGACCGGTCGGGGCGGACGGTGACGCGGGCGGGGATGGGGGTTCCGGTGATGTAGTTTGCCGTGCGGGCGTTGAATTCCTGCAGTTTCCCAAAAGTCAGTCAGTCGTGCGTGGGCTCGAGGTGTGTTGGTTTGATGTTGTTGTGGGTGTGGGTGTGTACCTTGCAAAAGTCCATCGATTTGACTCCTTTGCTTCCCAGTGCTGGACCGACGGGTGGGGAGGGAGATGCCTGGCCGGCTCCGACTATGAGTTTGACGATCACGTCGCCTTGTATTGCTTTTCTGGCCATGGCGATGGTGGTGTGTGAGTGCTGTTCACATGCATTGAAGTTCTGCGCTCGGGATGTCGGGGGTTGGATGCCGAGCTCGCTTAGGGCTGGCTACCCGATCGACGGGGCTAGGGTGGAGTGCCGAACGAGAGAGTGAGAGAGGCTTCTGCGCACTCTCCCACCAGTGCTTCTCTCCCTACACCATCCGCACTGTTATACCATACATCATCATGTATGCAATGCATGACCAGCGACGCGATGATGTCGTCTACTGCTGCTTGCGCGCCGCATGATACGCCCGCAGCAGACGGTCTCGCAGCGCCAGCGCCAGCTCGTCCTGCCGGCGCGCTCCAACGGTCCCACAGATGGCATTTTTGTTGCAACTGCCACCACTGCCATCCCATCCATCCATGATAGATGACCACCAAGGGACCAGCCCCTGACCGCGAGCCTATCTAGTATCTACGCTCGCGCCGCTTACAGAGTAACACAGGCTTTCCTGGCTGCAGACTCCTCCTCCACTCTCTCCTATTCCGCCTGTTGGCTGGCTTACTTCTGATTTGCGTTTGCCCTCTGCCTGTTTCTCGCGCTCTCTTGCAGCGGTGCAATTGCGCTGCTCCACGTCGCGCATTTGCTGTTTCACTCGGCGCCCTACCCTACGCTCCGTCTGCGCTCCCTCCCGCTTCGCTGTTATCCTGGGCAGCTTTCTGCTGTTATCCTGGGCCCGAGAGCCTATCATGAGAATTGCTCTTGACTTCCGCCAATACGAGTCATTCTCCTGAGGCCATCCTGGTTCGCCGCGCACGCCATGGTATGTATGTATATGCCGTCGTTCCGCACCCTCCAATGCACACAGCATCGAGACTGACGCTGGAATCGTCGTGATACCAGCCAGCAGATACCGCAGGACGAGTCTCGCCGCGTATGCCACCCAGGCTCATTGTCTCAAAGCCTGCAGAGGACGCTGCAGCAAGAGCAAACTTTCCGACACCACCTACCCTGGCTTCGAGACGGAGAAGCCAGACGGAGAGCTCCGCGCACAGACGATCCGGCCGTCAGCATTCAGCAGCAGCAGAGTGGATAGACATTGACGAATCCTCACTACAGAAGAGAGCGAGTCGAAGACCTCATCGAGCAAGTGTATCGTCAAGCAGTGGCAGTAGGAGTCGAAGGGATACTGAAGATAAGGTAGTTGGCTTCTTCCCCAAGCTTGGTCGGATATTGGAAGGAACAAGCGAGTCGAGGCCGACTTCACGTCCCGGCACAAGCGGTTCTGGCTCTCAAAGACAGAGCGAGCGGAACAATACAACGCGACGGCATCGACATCGTGACGACGCTGTGGGCTATCGCCGACCTGCAAGACATCGTGTTGGTGGGGTATCTTCGAGACGACCTGATTCGGCCTTCAAATTCAATCCTTCGTTGTTGTCCGTTCTCTCTACCTTGACAGGAACATCGGATCAATCCAGTAGTAGCGCTGCTACCATCACGCAAGCATCCTATGACCGAAAGGACAGCGGCAGTCCGAAAATAGCTGCAGCTCGACGCTCGTCGGAGACCGAGCCCGAAGCTAACAAAAGCGCATCTCGGCCCAGTGTGTTTGACTACATGGAGCCCGCTTCTTCTGTTGACGACCGCCATGATGGCCGGTCAATATACTCAAACTCTTCGACTGCATCGTCGCATTATGAGCATTCAGATGCTGGATCGAGTGATCTGTCTGGCTCGCCTTCCTCTCATTCGACTTTTGCATCGCCAACATCCACCAGAAACCCAAGCTTGAGTGGCAGTGTTGCGGAGCTACGTCGCAAGTACGACGCTCAATACGCGTCGCCCACCAGTTATCAGCCGTTGGCGAGGAGCAATAGCCACAGCCCTGAGATTCAGATTGGCGCCCGTGGGGTAAAGAAGGTTACCAGAGTTAGGTCTGTCCCAGAGGAGGAGCACGGCACCGATGTGGAACAGAAGGGAACCTCGGATGCCACTCAGGATGAGCGCCAACGATCTTCTTCTGGCTCTTCCCGGTCGTCGCGGCCAATGCATCGAGAAGAAGAACGATTGCGGCACCATGAAGATGCCATGCGCCAGCATCTCGCCCAGTCCCAGCAGGGCCAGCATCACATCGATCCTACTTATGGACAACGCTCTCATTCAGCCTCCTCTCACGGCTCTGCTGGATCAGCCCGAGCTTACGCGCAATACATGGCCATGCAACAATACCAGTGCCCTTCTCCACCACCTCCTGCAGCCTACCCTGTCCCGCCACAAGCAATGAACGGTCATGCAACAGGTCATAATCCCGACCGACCACCCGTTCCAGACCCACCAGATTTTAGCCAAACCACCATCGCAGGCTACGAGCAACTCGCGCTCGAACTTTCCAGCACTGACTCGGCCGTCAAACCCATCTATCGGAAATTCGAATACCTCAACCATCGCATTCTCCTGCATTTGCAAGATGAACTCAGCGAGATGGAAGAGCAACTACGCACTCTTGATGAGATTGTTGCTCAAATGGAACCTTGTCCTCCGGAGGGACAGCCGCGACCTCCGGCTTCCAGGCGTGGAGACGCTTTCCAGGGATCGGAAATGCATCATCGACGGACTGCTCTGTTGGGGAGGATCTTCTTGAAGACGGAACAGTATAATCGCGCCATGGCTTCTTACAATTCCATGGGTAAGGACGCGAGGGCCGCCGAGAAGGAGGAAATCGGTGTGTATCGGGAGTGGTTGCAGCGGACGGGGCCCGTTCATGAGGTTGAAACGAGGTTCTTGATGAAGGAAGGGGATCTTGTTGTTCCCGGCAGCAGCACCCGCGACGAAGAGAAGACGGATGGCGTTGCTGCATCGCCTCCTCAGCCTGTCTTATCGACTTGCCTGCCGGTTGGGTTGATGCTTCCGCTTGTGCTGTTTGCTTTCATCCCGACGCTTGTGGGGAGGTTGTTCGTAACGAGTCTGATTGCTGTTGGGGCGTTTCTGGTTGCTTCTACGACGGAGATTCGAGACGTGATGCCGTCGAGGGAGTGGGCTGTGTGTGCAGGGGTGTATGTCTTGGTCATGGCTTTCATTGCGGGTGTCATGCCGCAGTATGGTGGTTCTTGATGGTAGAAGGGATGGTGTGTGAGCTGCTTTGGTTTGCTTTGGTTTGGTTTGTGCACGAGTGATACCCAAGGGACTGGTGCCCGTCTGAGGAGAGGAAGGAAGGGAACATGAGGTTATGGCTTGGGATTGGATTGGAGGGTGATACTACTGCTCGCGAAGGTACCTTATTATGTAGAAGTATAATGATATTTTGCATACTACATAAGGTGTCGACGTTCACCACCAAATCAGAAGGCTGATGTCCCGTTGCCCTTGGTCGCTTCCTGTCTATTCTTTTCATCTAGCTTGCGGAGCATCCAGGTCTGTAGAGGGTACGGCTGACCCATCCTACACGATCAATCAGCAAAAAACAAAACAAAAGAACATCTCACCATTTTTCAAAGGAAACGGGACAACCATACCAAGTCGCCCTCTGGGTATGATCCCTCTCATTGCTCCCGGTATTCGGATGAATCAGCGCACTCAGCGGACCGCGCCAGATGACCAGCCAGCTCACAAAAGCCCCGAACTGCGCGGGCGTGAAGAGATTGACCTCGAACATACCGACGGGATGCGGGCCGATGGGGTGGGGTTTCAATTCGTAGATTCGCAATTCGGGGAATTCGCGCCGGATGCGCTCGTGCAGGGCCGTGGCGTAGGCTAGCTCTGTGGGGTTGCTGGGGAGGAAGTAGATGTGGATGTCGAAGCCTGCGGCGAGGGGGCCGTTGTGGATGGGGCTGGGGAATTTCTGGTAGGCGGTGCTGGGAGGGGTTGTTGTTGGGGTTGGGTTGAGGAGGGATTTGCCATCTTGGGGGTTGCGGTCGCTGTGTGTGGCTGTTGGTATAGGGATTCCTAGGAGCTTGAGGCTAGGCGTAGGCTTACTTGGATAGTGGATCGAGGTTTTCGTAGCCTTCGAGGGGCGAGGGGTGTTGGTAGAGATGCGGGTCCATGGTAGTATAGGTAGTATAGGTAGTATAGAGATGTCGATGCGATATTTTTCGAGAGTCGTGTCGGGTGGTCTTTATTCTTGCGCTCCTACCTTGTCGAGGCTTGGTATGCCGTGGGTTCATATAGTAGTATGTCGTCTCTCCCTCTCAGGCAAGGATTGCATCTTTGGTCATCCGATTACGGAATTGCTCCGAATCACCTCATCACGATCCTCTCGCCGACGGCCGAGTCTTCTGAGGGACTTTGGACATATTTGTCATCCTGCTCAGGGAGCAAGAAGCAGACAGTCAATCTTTGCAATCTAATGCGACTTGGGAGGTGGTTGGTGAATTGTAGGAGAGATGCTGCGTTGGGAAGGAAGGAATGACGTCGGGTGAGAGTTTGGGAATGGGCCCCACCCCGCACGTGCACCGCGATCGAAGCGCGTCTTCCCAAACTTCCCCGATCTCGACTTCACCCGCCATGAACAAGGCAGAAGAACGTTTCTGAACATTGGCAGCGAGAGGAATGTCGGTCCGAGAAGACGAGAACACTCCCGCCACAGCAGCGTTACGAGCCGAGCTGAAGAAGTGGGAAAATGCCTTCCGAGATGCACGCGGCCGGAAACCAGCACGCGCCGACATCAAGGCCGACGCGAATATAGGTAAGGAGGAAGGACATTGGCAACGAGTACGCGTTTTAATAGATGTGCAAGCTGCAAAGTACAAACTGTTCGATCGACTTGCTGGACGCAAAGCTGCCGCGCCTCCGCCTCCACCAGCTCCCGCGGCGACGCCGAAGAAGAGCACGCGACACAGCGAGCCTATAGAGAATGCGAAGAGCAAGTTGTCAGCTACACCTCGAAAGACACCTTCGAAGACGAAGCACAATACTCTGAAGTCTACAGTGTTGTCGCCTGTACAAGAGGTTGAGCCTACACCTGCTTTCATTCGCAATGCACTTGGTCCAACGCCGCAGAAGGATGGGCAGGTTCTGGGTATTTTCGACATCGACTCGGGTCCAACACCTTCCAAGGTCGAGAACACGGCCACTGCTGGGCTCGACACCGTCGTAGCTGGTACTCCGAGCAAAGCAGCAGCGGAACCCATCGACCAGAGATTTTCTAGGACCCCTCAATCCGTCAGCAAGCGCTACTATCTCGACGCATTCGCCGGCACTCCTCTGAAACGGAAGCGGGAGACGGAGGATGTAGGCACAACGAGTAGTTCGAAGAGGAAGTATGCTACACCTTCTTTTCTTCGACGAAGCTTTCCGTTAGCATTGATCGACGAGGAGGATGCGGAATCAACGGCGGCGTCCAGGCCTCCTTTCAGGAAGCGAGGTCTAGTGAGAAGTTTGAGCAGTATCATCCAAGGGCTGAAGAAGCAAGAAGAGGAGCGAATGGATGACGAATGGGATGTCATGAATGAGATTGAAGAAGAGGAAACCCGACCGCAGAAGAAAAAAGTGCCGAAGCTTCTGGTAGGAGACAGTCAGGCTACAGAGATGCCATTGGGACCAGATCGAGCGCCCGAGTCCGACGATGAGGATTCATCGGCCGGGAATGAAAACCAGACACGGAAGCCGTGGAAGAAGAAGGGACTCAAGAGGCAGACGAGGCGTGTCATTATGAGACCTGTCTTTCACAAAGCGAAGAAGGCCGATGATTTGGAAGAAGATGAAGAGGAGGAGGAGCAAGCTGTGCCAGAGACCCAGCCGCAAGATGCTCCGACTAGGCAGGCTGACGATGCCGAGGATTCTGAGCTCGACGCGGATGAACTCGCGGCAGAGCACGAGGCATTGTCGAAGGACAAGTTGACCAAGAAGAAGAAGCAATCCAAGAAAGACTTGAAGAAGAAGGATGACAAGAACGACACCGCCAAGACGAAAACGCGAAAGGTCAACCCGGAGGCACATGCCAACTTTCGAAAACTCAAGATCAAGAACAAGAATTCAAAGGCAAACGGTAGAGGTAGAAAGTTTGGCAGAAGATGATCATCGCTTGATACAGCAATTGATATCCAATAGAACTACGAAAGGCCTTACGGAAAGCCTCTGCCCAAACAACGACCAGAAACCCTCTCGCTCCAGTGAACGCCAGAACCTCAAGACCCATCCCTACAACGATGAAATGCATCTCCATCCTGTACAGATTACTGACTCTGCGACAGAGCCTTCGCGCTCTTCCTCCGCTTCTCACGAATCGCACCCTCCATCCTCGTAACCATGCCCTTCAAACCAAGGCCCCTCTCACAATTCTCCTCCAACCAAGCCTCCATACTTTCCCGACAAGCCCGCATGCCCCTAACCACAGGCATATTCCTGCCCTCCTCGCCCTCCAAATGCGCCAGCGGATTCAACAACAGATGGAAAACCTCGGCCCAGATTTCCGTCTGCCAATACCTCTTCAACGTCTCGCGGATGCGATACGTCTTCTGCGCGCCGCCCCCCAGACTCGCCGCCGCGCCCTTCTCCGCGAACGTTTCCATGTACTTCCCAAACAGCAGGCTGTGGACGATGCCCGCCAGGCCGTGGTAGTCGATCTGGTACGTCCAGGGGCGCAGCTCGCGCATCTCCGCGCAATCCGCCTCGGAAGTCTTCCAGTCGGCGATGAAAGCGACGTGGGGCGGGAAGTGTTTCATGTCGATGCCGCGGCCGAAATCGATCAGGCAGATGCCCTTGCTGGACCAGCCGTGTGCGCCGGAGGGGAAGTAGGTGGGGCTCCAATCCGTTTCCTGGCCGGGATCGTCGAGGCGGACGAGGACGTTGTCGCCTTTCAGGTCGCCGTGGATGAGGTGTTTGGAATGCAAGGTTTCCACCGTGCGGAGGAGTTCGACGGTGAAGAACATGGCGAGCATTTCGTCCATACCGCTCGCGTTGCCCTGTTCCAGGCGCGCGATGTTGACGAGGTCGAGGAGTGTTCCTTGGTCTCGGAATTCTTCTACGAGGAAGCATTCGTCGCGGAAGAGGTGCATTTCGTGGGCGCGCACGATGCTCTCGGAGGCTCGGGAGACGCCGAGACGACGGTGGGATTGTCGGATGATGAAGAATTCCCATGTGCTGGGTGGCTCCTCCATCTTGACTGCTTCGAAGGGTTTGCGATGGGCGAGCTTGCCGACGCGGTGGTGTGGATGGGCGGAGTCGGGGTCTTGTTCTTCGTATTCTGCCATGGCTGCCGCGGCGCTGTTTTCGATGAGATAGACAGGCGCAAAGGTTCCCGCTCCGAGTTCGCGTTTGATCGTGTACGTCCCCTGAGCGCCTTCGAGGTCCAGCATGGGGGCCGACGAGAGATCTGCGCTGACGCTGTTTCTGCTGGCTTTGCTAAGGGCGCGGACGTATTTCTTGATCTCTGAGGATTTGCCCGAGGGAGTGTCAAGATGCTCGTAGTAGCCGTCGAAAGAAGATAGCGAAGGCTTCATCTGGGAGAGAATGGTCTGTCGTAGGTAAGGATCCATGGGGTTGCATTGAGCGTCCTTGATGATCGGCCCTTTCTGGACAGGCTCGTCGATTGCAGCCGCCTCCTTCTTCAAGGTCTGAGACTTCGCGGTGCCTTGACCGAGAGCGATCGTGCCCTTGGTGCTCTTCGTTCGAATGGGCTGAAGGACCCTGCGCTTGTCTTCCGCCATGTCCGCGATCACGTCTTGAAATGGACTGCTACATGGCTCGTCTTCTTCCTCCTCCTCCTCCTCCTCCTCGTCGTCCATTTGCTCTGGCATACCGTTCTTCCTGCTAGGAGTCTTGGCACCAAAGTAGTCCTTCTCGGTCCTGATTGTGCCTGCACCCAGTGAGGATTCCGTTCGCTCCACGATAGGAGTCATAAAGGGTAGCCGGTGGTTTGGAATAACAGACATGTCTCGGAACTGCGCTGCCGGTGGCTGGTAGTCCTCTGGTGGTATCGGTACGTATCGCGTTTGAGGGTCTTCGTCCACAGGAGTCATAAGCTCGTCTTCTGTGTGCGCATGAGATTGTGCTTCTGAGTAATCATCTTGTGTGGTCGTTTCCGTGGACTCAGCACCTGTCTCCTTTGGTACATGTTTGCTTGTGGTGAAGTCTGACCAGCCTGTGTTATCGGTCTGGTTTTCTTCATCTGCTGTCTGCTGAGCACCCAGAAGCTCATTTCTTGTCTCATCTCCGTAGTCACTTGCGGCTGCAGACAGCTTGCCGGTGGCAGTACTCTCGTCGCCAGTTGTGTAGTCGTCCTCGTCGTCACTTTCACTTTCTTCGTCTTCGTCCTCGTCTTGTTGCTCGGCTTGAGATGGTAAGGGCGCGCTGAAGATGCCGTAGATCTCGTCCATGGCCTCCTTCGTGTTGATCGTCATGGTAGGCTCGGTAGGCCCGATCGACTTCTTTCTCTTGGGCTTGGGTCCTTGGGGCGAGTCCATCTTCAGCTGAATGGTCTGCGTCTCGTTCTTGATGTGCTTGACGTCCATGGCTTTTATCTTGCGCGTTCGATTGGCTCGCTCTTCTCGCCTGGCCTTCTTAGCTGCATCGACTTCCTGCTTTGAAGGGGGCGCATTTTCATCATTCTCATCGTTCAAGGCGAGTGTCTTGGAGAAAGTCTCCACGAGCACTTCTTGGCTCAGTGGCTGCTCCTTAGGCGTCTTATTCTCTAGCGGCGCATCTTCAAAGATCGTGAATCCTCTCTCCTTGGACTTGGGCTTCTGAGGTTGCGGTTCGTGGTCCTCAGGTTTTGGCCCTGATTGCTGATCCAATTGCATGAGATCGTCGCGGTGAATCTGGAATGTGTCGCGCTTAGATCTCTCGGCCCGTTTGGCCGACTTTATCTCCTTCCAGTCTTTCTTCAGCAATCCGCGATGTCGGGCTCGCAGCTCCTCGAATGAATATTCCAGAGCCAAATTGCCTTTGTCTGCTTCGGGATAGACAGCTTCCAAGTTAACGAACACACATTCCAGCCTACCAGTGATTTCGTTCAAGACGAGCTGATATTCGTGATTACTACTCGATCTTGATTGGGACATGTCTTTTGGTATTAGGGAAAGTTCTGATGACTGCATACACGAAGGGGATTTAGTCCTGCATTCGTAAATACGTGTTTCCTTTGAAAGGGTTTGAGGAGGCTTACCTGATCCTTAAAAACCGTCAGCTTCTGCATATTACCATTGGTCTTGCCGACTTTCAGCTTCTCGCCAGCCATAGGCCGTGCCTCCATGTGGTTCTCCTTTCTACGGCTTGAGAGAGATCCGATGTCGTCCCAGGCTTGCGGGCCACTGCCCGAGCTTGGTCGTGACGGCGCATCGCCGTCCGCGAATATCTGCATTTTCGAGCCCTTGCTCTTCTTCGATCCGCTTCCTCGACCCTGTTGTTGTGACGGAGAGGGAGTTCCCGATGAGAACGGATCCAGCTTCGCGGCCAGAGCAGGTCGTACAGTGGGGAGCGCTGGGCTTGATGGCTCGGCGGTGTCTTGTGGTTGTGCTTCTTTCCTCCTCTCGAACTCTCCGAATTTGCGAGTCAAGCGCTCAACAGGACGGGCCTCCTTCTCGAGGCCCATCTTGTAGATCTCCTCCGCCTGGCTCCAACGCCCGGCGTTCTCCAGCCATGCCGCGAATTCCTCATAATACAGCGCGAGCGTTTCGCCGATGCCGTGACGCGCCAGGAATACAAACGCTTCGCGCGGCGCGTCGGAGAACAAGCGAATGTAGTGCATCCATATCTTCAGATATCGTGGATCGTTTTTGTAGTGTGTCGATGACTGGAAAGCCTTTGTCGCGCGCTCCAGAAGCGGTAACAGCTGCGATTGCGGCGTAGCTTGTGCAGAGGGAAAGGCATCCAGCGTCCATTTTACGTATCGGTCGTAAACGTCAAGAGGGTCGTCGGATTCGTCAATCGTAGCGAGCTCCTTCTCGAACTCGGCCCGCGCCTTCAGTTGGGACTCGCTGAGGTTGGACGGCGATGGATTGGCTCCAAGCAGTGGTGGTGAGTAGAGCTGCGCGAGCGCCTTTGCGGAGCGTCCGCTGGGAAGAGCCTGAATATTCTCCTTTTGTCCCTCGATGACATTGAAGTCAATCAGGTCGTTCGACTCCGCCATTGTCGTTCGATCTCCTGGAGGTCAGTAAAAGCGAGGTGGGGTGTTCAAAGAGCAGTAACCCTGAGATGTCGCTGATGTTGTCAAACAGGGATCTGCGGGCCTTCCCGGTCGCCCCGCCAACTGCGCTTGCCACTCGCCCAATCCGGAGAGCGCGCTTCAGCCCTGCAGATCATCTGCGCTGTCACATGCCAGCCACCCCCAACCACTTCCACACCACTCGCTTTCTGCTGGACGAATGGCCGTCAGCAGATTGTTGGTCGACAGCTCACATCTCATCTTATCGCAGCTGCTCTGTCTGCAGGTGGTGACGACGCATGGCTGGGAAGAACCCAGAGATCTAGGCCTCAAAACTTAAGTGTCTTCTTAGACTCCTGCCCTCTCTTCTCCCCATCAACTTCCATCGCACTAGCCTCCCTCTTGCGGTTAGCTGCTATCCTCCTACCAGAACCTGCACCTTTTCAACGTCTTTGACCGCAGCATCTTCAGTATCCATGGTAAAACTAGCACAGTCACTGGCCATGGGTTCATCACTCCGTCTGGCGGCCATTGCTGCTACTCTTGCAGGTCTTATCTTCACACCTCCGGTCGCCGGCCAAACATATTCGACATGCAACCCGACAACACAATCGTGTCAGCCTGATACAGCTCTTGGGACGTCAGTATCCGTGAGCTTCAAGGTAAACCACTCCATGTCAGCTGGGCCCCGGGCATACACTAATCATTCTGCAGGACGGCGCTTCAAGTCAATTTACAACTCAAGGCGCACCCACGTACAGCTCCAATGGTGCTGGATTTACAGTTGCGAAGTCCGGAGATGCGCCGACCTTGATCTCAAAGTGGTACATCATGTTCGGAGAGGTGTCGATCACTATGAAGGCTGCACCTGGCACCGGCATTGTCAGCTCGGTCGTGCTGCAATCTGACGATCTGGACGAAATCGATTGGGAATGGGTCGGTGGATCGGGAAACCAAGTCCAAAGCAATTACTTCGGCAAAGGTCAAACCACTACGTACGACCGTGCTGCGGTGCACACCGTGGAGAACACACAAGGCGAATGGCACACGTACACCGTCAAATGGACCGAGACCCAAATTGTCTGGTCGATCGACAGCAACACCGTCCGGGTACTCAATGCTGGAGATGCCCAAGGCCAGTATCCACAGACGCCCATGCAGCTAAAGATTGGCGTTTGGGCTGGAGGAGACCCGTCCAATTCGCAGGGCACGATCAGCTGGGCTGGCGGCACGACCAACTATGCCGATGGGCCATTCACGATGTACGCTTCGGAAGTTTCGGTGGTCGACTACTCGACTGGCAAGTCGTACACCTACGGCGACCGGAGCGGCAACTGGGAGAGCATTGAATCGAATGGCGGAAAGGTCAATGGCAACTCGGACGGCACCGCGACCGTGACCAACGCTCCAGCCATCACATCCACGACGAGCGGTAACGATGCTTGGGACGGCACCCACAAGACCAACACAGCTACGGTCTCGTACACTACGCTGCCGGGCCTCCCATCAGGCTGGACTATCAGTGGTTCCGGTAAGGTCGTTCCTTCATCGGCGACCCCTGTGAGTAAGACCCACCAGGGTGAATGAATATATCTTGGACAGTTTGCTGACTCTCGCCATAGTCGACGTCCCGAGCCGCTTCTTCTACGCCGTCGCCAGCTGCATCGCCTGCGGCCTTGTGCTCCGGCTCCGGATATAAAGTGGTCACCGCGTACGACCAAGAAGGATTCTTGACGACAGCAACAATCCCTGCCGGCGCATCGACGGGCTGGGATGATCAAGGTCTACCGACTACCCTTTTGCCGGCGAACTGCATCGTGTCGAACCCACCGATCGCAGCTGGCGAGATGCTCCAGAAGTCGGAAGCCACTCCGACCTCGTCGACTCAGTTGCTGCTGGCCACCGCAGACCCCTCGAGCCTGATTACTGCCCATGTCACCAAGGGTGGAGGTGCAGCAACGATCCGCTTGCCGGGCCTGGTGGCATATTGTACAGCGTTTATTGCATCAGCGATGGGAGCTTTCTTGTTGTAACGGGCATAGCGTTTTATCAGTGGCACAGCGAACGGAGTTTTGCGTGATGGCTTGCATGGGAAGGGAAAGCAATGTACAGAACCTGGGAAAGGGCCGACGGGACGCAAAAGACGCCTGGAATTGGCAATGGAAAGCGACGCAAGAATGTCAGCGACTACGACGCACGAATGATGTGGAAACGGATAGAATGTCGAGCAGAGTACACAGGAACAGCAGATAATCATCAGACGCGACATCTGGTCGGCGGATCATACCACCTCATCTTTTTCCAGCAACGATGTCGGCCATAGGACTTTTGCCAAGCAGCTGGAACGTGGTAAATGCCTCGTCAAGAGCTGGGCGTGCATACAAGTATTGAAGCCATTCATCATGTCGGAAGAGGGGCGAGAATGCATCGGCCGGGAATGCGTCGGCCGAGAATGCTCGGCGTGTGTGATGCCGTCTTAGGTAAGAGGTACTGGTTTCCTCACGCATGCGAATGCCTTTTCTCACCGGTAGCTCCACGGGAATGGGTTGTGCAGGATGGCAGTGATCATGAGGTGCGAAGCAGTCACGATGTGGTCATTTAGTCGAGGTGATGACGGCGCGGGCTTCCCATTCGCAGGTCAGAGTTCCGGCACCGGGCAAGATCACATGGCCAGCCCCAGTTTTGGGCACCTTCTCCAGATCGTCAGGCCCCATGCGGAACGGTGCCTTGCATTAGGGCGGTTCTTGGGGGGGGGGGGGGGGAATCGGGAACGCGCCAGCACGAGCTGCAGCTGTCTTGAGCCGCCAGAAGCCGTGTCTGCGATGGTCGAATTTTTTCGGCGGGCAGTCACGAGGGTAGAGGGTAGAGGGTAGCAGCTATGGTGCTATAACCAGCATTGCGCCCATCTGGACGAGCTGGAGATGGCGTCTCGGCGTCTCCTCTTCTCCTTTCACAGCCACAGCCACAGCCACCCCGCCGTCGCATCGCCGCCGCTACACGCTTTATTTATAGAGGCAGCTTATCGTCGCCAGCCTCAATCCTTATCGCTGCCGAGAAGGAGGGACGGCAAGACTGCGTCAGCTCGGCTCAGCTGCAATCGCGTGGACGGAGCACCTGAAGGTACGTCCACTGCGTGCGTTTCAGCATTTTCTCGGCGATAACCCAGCGACTGGCTCGAGTCGACGCTCGCCATCTAAGCTGCTGAGCGCCCTGACATGCCAGGAGGCGTTTGTGCTGGAGTCTTGACACCTTCAACGTGTCTCTCCGGCGCCCATTGTGGCTTCATGCCCACCTATTCCTAGCTACTAGCTGCTCCACTCTTCCTTTGTTGGCCCGAGAAAGCACTGCAGTCACGTCACCCTCTCACTCTCACACTCGCTCAGCTTGCAAACCCTCACACTGCAGAATTTCTGACCCAATCCTTCGCAACAGCTTGGTCACACCAGATCCGCCCGCCGCTTTTCCTACCACACAATTCCACCTAGTCCGCGAACATGGCCGAGACACCCGCCGGCGATGCCGTGAACGGCACGAATGGAGACGCTCCGAAGAACAAGCTGCTCGAGCAGGTCGTCAGGACACCAGCACGACAGCCTTCGCCGCAGCCCACGCACCTGAGCGTGCCAGGAGCCATCCCCCACCGAGTTCTACACGAGAAGGGCTCGGGATATGTCGCGCCCAAATTCGAGGGCAAGGCAGAGCAGATGGAAGAAGTCATGGATCAGGTGGAAGCAAAAGGCTTCATCCCCGGTGATGTGGTCGAGCACGAGACCAGCTGGTTCTACAATGAGCTCGGAATTGATGACATGTACTTCAGCACCGAGTCGGTCGAGGCCATTGTCAGTCACATCCACTCGCTCTACGCTGCCAAGGTCGCGGCGTATGCCAGAGACGACAAGAAGCTGGAGATCCGGCTGGACAAAGAGGCGGCTGATCATGCGGTGTACATCGATACCAGTGTGCCGGGAATCAGCTCGCCAGATGGCTCGGGATTCGAATTGAGGCTCGAGCAGAAGTATCTCGATGGCAGCAGGGGTCTGCACAGCTACCGCGTCGAGTCGTTCAGATCGCCTAGCAGTATTCCCGGTGGACAGGACCAGTCGTTGAGGTGCTACTTCGTATACCAGGCCAGCTTCAAGAACAAGAACCCTCCTCCACACGAGACCAGAGTGGAAGAGCTTGGAGACGAGCGATTCCTTCAAAAAACGACTAGCAATACCAGAGCTATCTACCAGGATGTCATGGACGCCGTGGTCCAGCGGACAGGCCCTGTCATCGACATGTACGATGTCGAGGGCTCGCGCGAGAAGAGACTGGTTGTGGGTTTCAAGCGAGGCTCTGCTCTCGGCCTGTTCGCCGCGCTGAGCGACCTCTACCATTATTACGGCCTAACATCGTCGAGAAAGTACGTCGAACAATTCAGCAACGGCATCACGATCATGTCGATGTATCTGAGGCCTTCCCAGAAGGAATCGACAAGATTTCCGCCAATCGAGGCCAGCATCCACCAGGTCATGAAGGAGGTCTCCCTCCTCTACTGTATTCCACGGAACCGTTTCCAGTTGCACTTCAGCAGTGGCCGTCTCTCCCTCCAAGAGTCGATTTACGCCCACTGCGTATGGGTCTTTGTTCAGCATTTCTTGAACAGACTTGGAAACGAGTACAACACGTTGCGATCAGTGCTCGACATTAACAACAGCGTCCACGCGGAACTTCTTACGAAGCTGAAGAAGAGACTGCGTACCGAGACCTTCACTGCGGATTACATTCTTGAGATCATCAACCAATATCCGGATCTGATCAAGTCATTGTACCTCTCCTTCGCCAACATCCATTACGTACAGACCCGCGGCGAGCAAGACGACTTCCTGCCGACTCTCTCTTATTTGCGGATGAAGGTGGAACGTCCCCTCGGTGACGACGAGCTCAAAGATCTCATCTCCAAGAGTGTTATCAATGAGCACCACGAAATGGTCATGACCGCTTTCCGCATCTTCAACAAAGCTGTCCTCAAGACCAATTTCTACACACCTACCAAAGTCGCACTCAGCTTCCGCATGAACCCATCATTCCTCCCCTCTGAGGAGTACCCTCAACCACTCTATGGTATGTTCTTGGTCATCGGTTCGGAATTTAGAGGGTTCCACCTGCGCTTCAGAGATATTGCGCGAGGCGGCATTCGCATTGTCAAGTCGAGGAGCGGCGAAGCCTACGCTATTAACGCACGGTCTCTGTTCGACGAGAACTACAACTTGGCCAATACGCAGCAGCGCAAGAACAAGGACATTCCAGAAGGCGGTAGCAAGGGTGTTGTCTTGCTTGATATCAAACATCAAGACAAGGCCAATGTTGCTTTTGAGAAGTACATCGACAGTATCATGGACCTGCTGCTACCGCCTACGAGCCCTGGTATCAAGGACCCGATTGTCGATCTGCATGGAAAGGAGGAGATCTTGTTTATGGGCCCCGATGAGAATACCGCCGACCTTGTCAATTGGGCGACTGAGCATGCCAGAGCTCGTGGCGCGCCTTGGTGGAAGTCATTTTTCACCGGAAAGTCTCCTAAACTTGGAGGAATTCCTCACGATTCTTACGGGATGACCACCCTGAGTGTGAGGGAGTACGTGAAGGGAATCTATCGAAAGCTCAACCTCGACGAGAAGGAGGTGCGGAAGCTGCAGACTGGTGGTCCTGATGGCGATCTTGGTTCCAACGAGATCATCCTGGGAGACGAGAAGTACGTTTCGATAGTCGACGGCTCTGGAGTTCTGGTGGATCCAAACGGCCTTGACCGAAGCGAGTTGCTGCGCCTGGCCAAGGAGCGGAAGATGATCGTCCACTTTGATATCTCCAAGCTCTCCAAGGATGGATATCGCGTACTTGTCGAGGAGAACAACGTTGTCCTACCGTCAGGAGAAGTTGTCAACAACGGCACGACATTCCGAAACACCTTTCATCTACGCGATACGGAGAAGTACGACGTATTTGTACCCTGCGGTGGCCGTCCGGAATCCATCGATTTTACCAGCGCAAGCAAACTCATCTCCAAAGGAAAGGCCACAATCCCGTACATTGTCGAAGGAGCCAATCTCTTCATCACGCAAGAAGCCAAACTGCGTCTGGAGAGAGCCGGCTGCATTGTCTTCAAAGACGCTTCAGCCAACAAAGGTGGCGTTACATCATCCTCGCTCGAAGTTCTTGCTTCCCTCTCATTCGATGATCAATCTTTCCTGCAAGAGATGTGCGTCGGTAGCGATGGGACTGTACCGCAGTTCTATCAGGAATACGTTAAGCAGGTACAGAAGGTTATTCAGGAGAATGCGAGATTGGAGTTCGAGGCTATCTGGAGGGAACATGAAGAGACGGGCGTGGCGAGGAGTATCCTTTCCGACCAGCTGAGTGTGGCGATCACAAAGATGGACGAGGAACTGCAGGGGACGGCACTGTGGGAGAACGTGGAATTGAGGAGGAGTGTTTTGAATGATGCGCTGCCCAATCTGCTGCTGGAGAAGATTGGACTGGAGAAGATCTTGGAGAGGGTAAGTCTCGATCTCATCATCTCGATGATCCCGTCCATGTTATGAGCTGACATTGTCGCAGGTTCCCGAGAACTACCTCCGAGCCATCTTTGGCAGTTTCCTGGCGAGTCGCTTCATCTACACAATGGGCATCTCGGCGTCGCCGGTCAGCTTCTTTGCGTTCATGAACCAGCGCATGGCGCACATGGCTGGCGTGAATGGTGCGACAGTGTGAAAGCTCGGTTCGGAGAATCAAGAGGTAGAGATTGCAATCGACCACTCCGGAATGTATTCTGTGCCAACCAAAAAGGGATGAGGAGTTTCTGGGCGAAGCCGCATGCGCACATTCTTGCGTGTAGCAAAACAAATTTCTGGTAAACAATGATGCGGGGGGTCATCTACTAGATCGCGGTTTGTCATTGAACTGTTGACGTCGAAACTTTTAGACCTGCTTACACTGTTTTTCTACTCTTTGTTGTCTGTCATATGCGCGCGTCTTGGCTCGCGTGACTTGAGTTGAGTTGATCTACTTTCTAAGCGCACTCCCATCGCACAGGTATGTACATATGTCCTCCTCGGTGCTTCTCCTTCGCGTTGCGTCTGCCTATCTAGGTATGACTGACTGACGGCGAAACTACCTAGGTAGCAAGAGCAGTCGAATCCCAATCTCATCTCATTTCTGACGACCAGCCAGCCAGCCATGGCCGTCCGCAAACCCAGCAGCAGCCCCGCGAAGACCACCACCGCCACCCGGACCCCGAGCGCGCGCATTCAGGCCTTGGAGAGGAAGAAGAAGGCCGATGAAGCTGCTAGGGCGAAGGATGCGGCGGCTGCGGCGGCGGCGCCCAAGAAGAAGAAGAAGAAGGGAAAGACGGGTACTGCCACTGTGAAGAAAGCCGGCGGGAAGAAAGCCGCTCCTGCTGCGAAGAAGAGCGCGGCGGCTCCGAAGAAGAAAGCTCCCGCGAAGAAGAAGAAGAGCACCACGGATCGCGTCACGTCCGGCCGGATTGCCAAGTCTGCTTCCCCAGCCAAAGCGTCCAAGAAGAAGAATTCTTCATCGTCGTCTCTCCTCGCCGATCTCCCGACGACGTCTTCCTCTTCCCCCAACAAGGCCTCGTTGAAGTCTCTAGGCCACGAAGCGGTTTCGGTCGCGCAGCATCTCGCCGGGCAGGCGGCGGAGCAGGTGCAGAAGGGGACGCAGGGGGTTGCGAAGAAGGTGGTTGAGAGGGCGGAGGTGAGTTTTATCTTTATCTTTTTCTTGTTTTGTTTTTCGGATTTTGGATTTGTGGGGGGGGGGTTTCTTGTGTTGTTGTGATGGTTTTGAAAGCTAATCATGGATTGTGTTTCGCTTTTAGGATTCGAGACGAAGCAAGAGTCCGGCTAAGAGCAGGTAGAAAAGGTCATGAGAGCGATGTTGGGATGGAGGACGGTGAGGGGGGGAGAGGCGTATAATCGGATCGTCGTACGGAGAATTTTTGGCTGGAGCGGGGTGGTCTGGTTGGGTTTTCGTACGATTTGTTTGTTTGTTCTTTTTGCCTTTTTCAGGTCATGGATGGGATGGGATGAGCGTAAGGATATATCTATCCGCGGGCATTGTCGGTTCGTATGTAATAATGGCTCGGGAAGCATCTACTACATCAAAGAAAAAGCGTTACAGCTGTGTTTGGGTCAGTCAGTCACTTTCGTCGTCTCGATGTTGTGTTGGGTTGGGTTCGCGGACTCGAGAGTTCGTGTCACGTTGGGCATATCGAGATCTATCTAGACCCGTCTCTCTCCCGGTCGTGTTGCCGTTCACACGCCGATGATGGGAATTTATGTATATAGATGTTTTTGACTCGTGTTCGGTCACATACGGCCACAGGCGAATGAAAGCTCGGAACCCCGTCCGCTCTTCCAAAGATAACCATTCGACCGCGAGACTAGTATTGCCGTGGGTGACCAGGCGAGAATCCCTCGTGCTGTATGTTTTTGGTTTTCGTTCTGATTTTTTTTGGCTGGGATCGCAATAGCTGTGTTTCTCTGTTGCGTGCAATACGAGCGACGGCTTAGGTGACACATTCTCAAGAGACTTAGGTGGCGGCACGCTAAGTCGTCGTTCTTGGACGTCAGGCCTATCGTCTTGGTTGGCCAATGTGCGAATGCCAATCAAAGGCTGATGTGGTTGCCAACGAACTGCGCATGTCCAGGGCGGCGGTGGCAGCAAATGGGCGCGAGGCAACCAGGAGCATCTCTCTAGGATGTTTGCTTGTAGCTGCGACTCGGTGAGGCTCATCATCATGGGGGCCCAAGGGGCGAAGCCAGCTGGCAGCCGTGGCAACAGCGTGACACCTTGATCCGCCCGCGGTGTTGAGACGAAAAGTCAGAGCATTGTGCATGTCATCAAGGAAGAAGATAGAAGTAGCTCCAATATCACAAACTTGCGGTCAACTCCCTCACCCGTTGCTGTTTGCTGTGATTCGAGAGCTCCCGAGTCTTCTCCCACGTTCCGGCAATAACATCTCCCGATTCTCACGGATGCACGGTCGGAGGAAGCCGGCGATTTGAGTTCACAGCCGAGTCGGCATTCAGCAGTGTGCAACTCGCACGCCCTCTATCTCAAGTTCACTCCCACCTCAACCCCCCATCTCGTGATAGACAACTCCACCTAGATTCTACTCCCCGAGCAACAGCATCACCACGCAGAGCGTCTCTCCATCGACTCCATACGACCAATGCGCAACTCGAAATAGTAACAGCCGACCCTGGTGCCATCTCTCCCCGGGGTCTCTGTCACGGTGCAGGCCAGCAAAGGCACAGAATCTTTCCAAGCTCTGACACCGCGACTTTGACACTCCTCCAGTGGCTCCAATGTTTCCACAACTAGCTTTCCGCAAGATACTATGAGCGTTCGTGAGCACCTGACATCGACCTCACCCAATTCCTCCCCCGATCCCGCAGCGCCTGCGAAAGCCCCCGATATGGATCCGCCTCCGCCAGTCTCTGCGCCCGTCGTGGCTTTCAGCTCATGGGTGTCTCAAGCTGTTGTCGCTTCGTTCCTGGCTGGAGGCGTCGCTGGCGCCGTCTCGAGAACGGTCGTCTCGCCGCTGGAGAGATTGAAGATTCTGCTGCAGGTTCAGTCCAGCGGACGGACGGAGTACAAGATGAGCGTACCCAAGGCGCTGGCCAAGATCTGGAGAGAAGAGGGCTTCAAGGGCATGATGGCGGGGAATGGCGTCAACTGCATTCGGATAGTGCCTTACAGCGCGGTGCAGTTTGGGAGCTACAATCTTTATAAGCCAGTAAGCCACGAGATGTGCATGGAAAGATAGCTTGTGCTGACCACGACCACAGTTCTTCGAACCCAGTCCCGGCGAGCCTCTCACGCCTGCGAGGAGATTATGCTGCGGCGCGGTAGCTGGTATTACCTCGGTCACATTCACATATCCTCTCGATATCGTTCGAACACGACTATCCATTCAGAGCGCATCCTTCAGCAGCCTGTCGCAGGCAGAAGTCTCCAAAAAGCTACCGGGAATGGGCCAGACGCTGGTACACATGTACAAGACAGAAGGAGGCTTCTGGGCTCTATATCGTGGCATATTACCCACGATTGCTGGAGTGGCACCATACGTGGGCTTGAACTTCATGGTGTACGAGAGCGTACGGCAGGCCTTCACACCGCAGGGACAGCAGAACCCGTCGTCTATCGGCAAGCTGTGCGCAGGTGCCATCTCAGGAGCTGTGGCTCAGAGCATTACATATCCATTGTGAGTGTTCGTTCCCTCCAATTCGCGAGCCCAACTGCTAACAGTATGTTTCAAGTGACGTTCTGCGAAGACGCTTCCAGGTAAACACAATGTCCGGCATGGGCTACCAGTACAAATCGATCTTCGACGCCGTCCGAGTCATCATCACGCAAGAAGGAATCGCAGGCCTATACAAGGGCATCGTGCCGAACCTGCTGAAAGTCGCACCCAGCATGGCCAGCAGTTGGCTCAGCTTCGAAATGACACGAGATCTTCTCGTCAGCTTAAAACCGGAGCCGAAACCAACGGATGAGCCGGAATGAAAAGCACACGGGCGACATACGGGGGAAACAGAAAAGATGATGCACTCAATCGGCGCAAAGAGGAATAGCGTCGACCAATTGGCTTTTTGGGGGGGAAACGGAAGAGGCATGGGAGCGAGGCGTTTTTTTGAAGAATGAGGACTGTTCTTGTGTCGGAGGGATTTTTTCTAACCAATTTTTTTTTTTTGAGACAACAATCATCAACACAGCGGAGCGGAGCGGGGATGGAGCGGAAGTCGGGTTCTTAGAGCAAGAAAGACGTTGCCGCTGCAGCAGCATAGCGAAACGGGGAGTTTTTCCGAGCCCCTGACAAATCGATATAAAGCTTGGATGCGTCCTGAGGAGTGGGTTGTGTGTGTGTGTGTGTATATGTATGTCTTCGTGGCATCGCATCGTCGTGTCTAAATATTTGTGTAGTGCAGATGAAGATTTGAAAGAGTTTTACACGATCCGGGATCTAGTTATATGGTGATATGGGGCTTATGAGGGCACAGGCGAGCGGGTCCCAGGCGCGGTGACCACGCTATCATGTTGATTGTCAGTTGCTCTCGCGTTAGCTAACTAGGCGGTTCTAGTCTTGCTTGCCCTCGCCGTCGCCGCCTTCTCGTCACACTTGCAGATCAGGTGTCTGTCTCTAGTCATGCAAATCCGACAGCTTGCTCCGTCTCTCCTGGACTGCAATGCCAGTCTTCATTATTTTCAGCTTTCGGAAATACCACGCCAGACCTCTCGTCCAGTCCAACCCGAGGCGCTCCTCTCATACTCCTCCGATCGCTCTAGATGCGCAGCGTAGCGCGTCTTCACCGGATCCCACTCAAAAAGACGCCAGAGCCAACCTGCCGCACGATCTCTACCCGAGCCAGCGCCTCGGTTTCTGCACCGTAACTGCAGTTCGAATCAGCAGATAGGCATGGAGCATCAGAGCGATCGATTCAATATCCCAGATGTCTATCTCCTGCCTGCCGGCCGCAGAGGTGGACCCGCGTTGCAAGGTCTCTCTCTGTTCAGGGCGAGGGCCCAACGCGTGCGGCCAAGGCGTATCCTCCACGCTGAAAGCGAGAAGAGGCGAGTTGCTGCCGAGAAGAAAGGGCGTTGGGGATGTCGGGAGTCAGGGCGGCTGCGAAAGAATGCCACTTTGTCTCCGGGTGCTTTGGGCAGGAAAATGTACATCGCGCATAGGTCCGGCCCGGGCTCATCGGCAATACCGGATGCTGCTCATCTAGCGTCGTGTCGGGTCGGTGGATATGGGAAGCATGCGCCACTTCTTGTCGAGTCCAAGTTCAAAGCTAACGCGATTGTTGCTAGAGAAGATGGGGAGAGCCTCAAACTCAATGGTGCGGCAAGTGGATGCCAGAGCCGGCTTGTGTAGACTGCGCAGATCGAGTCTTGTCTATGTGTCGTCGCTCTCGACCAAGGCGAAGTGGTAGTAGATCTTGTTGCGCAATTCGGCCGGCAATTGGACGAGGTGGCTTTGCGACTGCTCGAACCAGAACATGGCATCTTTGTCGCGTTTCCTCGAACGGAGCCACATTGTGTCGTACTATTTTGCTGATCGTCCGGTTGATTTGGTGGATGATGGGTATCATTAATAGTGAAGTTTGGATCACGGACTCGCTTATCCAAGATTGTGAACGTGAGCTCATGCTAGCGCGCTGCTAGCGCAATTTCACACGTGCACGAGCCGTTGAAACGCCTACCTCTTTGATCCCCAAGAACAGACTGTTCATTCGCCTTCTGTTTCGCGTATCACATCATGTTCGTGTTCCGCCACAGGCACGTTTGCATTCCCTCTGTAGCCTGCCACCCAAGGAGGTCTTCCGTCCTCATCAAACTCAGCCCATTCAAAGTGCGAGCATCCCTTCCGACCCGGCGTATAGTTTGCGTAGCACATCCACATATAACGTCCACGAGTAGCTTTGCGTTTCTGCACGCAGCGTAGAACGCACGACACATCGCATTTGCAACGAGGCGTGTACTTCGGATGCAAGTAGTCCTTGTAGCAGCGGTAAGTCACGTTCAGGCGCTTGTTCCCGGCCACGGGGTGAGGATCGATGGTCTGGGCAGGCGCGATAGAGTGCTTCCACTCTTCTTGCATCTCAGCGTGCATGACCAGTAAGCTGTTGTGGGGCAAATGGATGGCAATCTGTCCTTGCTCGTCCGCAGATGTAGCTTCGACCTGAGGTACGATGCGCCTGACGCGGAACTCGCGAGCAACACCAAGAGAGAGGCTCCCAATGATGGCGCGTGGGCCAAGATATGTCAGTTGGTCAGAGTGATAGCCGACGTTCTCCTTGCCGCCATCGTAACAGTTCACAAAGCTTGCGTTCGGCTCCCACGAATCTTCGGGGGATTGGAATCTCAGCTTTTGGCCATTGGGATGGAAGTCTCGGATTCGTCGCTGCACCTCAGTATTCACAGCGTCTCTAACACGCTTCTGCACTTTGAGTAGCTCAGGTGTCGTCTGAGACACTGCTGCCTCGTAGAGACCGTCGTAAACATACTCCGTCTGTTGCTCTTTTACCGCCTCGGCTGTGTCCACGTAGAATTTCCATGTATGTGGGCTTTGAACAGTCTTTTCGAAGAGTTGGAATGTGCCTCGTTCATACGTCTTTGATTCTTTCAATAGTTCTTTTAACAGGGCATCCGCTTCGTCGGCGGGGAGGAAGTTGTGAACAATAGAGCACGGCGTGTTCTGTTCCACATCTTTTGGCGAGTAGAGATGCAGCGTCTGCCCTTTCTTCGTCAACAACTTGGCTCTCTTCTCTGGACGCCCGCCATCTCGACAAGTTGCAAAGGTATCGATGGAGGATTGATAACCAATCGTTGAGGCTGGACGTTTCCTCTGCACGACTTCCTCGAAACCAGCGCCCAGGGCTGCAGATGCTTTCACTATACTCCCTCCGTATGCTAGCAAGTATTCAAGATGCTCTTCCTGGCTTCTATTGGGATGGAGGGAGGCAAGGGCTGCCAACTTGAACTCGGTATCCTCAGTCTCCTCTTCCGTGTCGGCTGTCTGAACTAGCTGTTTCGCTTCTTCCGAAGGCCACAGCTTCTTCAGCTTGTGTTGACGTGCCTGTTCCATCTTCTACGCGTCCCCGCCATTCCAGTGATGCATGTTTCAGTATCATGCTGGCGAGTCTCTCGTTTGTCTCTTGAAGCTGAAAGGCGAGATGTGACGCCTAGGAGGCCTAAAGTTTCGTGACTAAGCAGCGCACTGGCACCCGCAATGACGCCTGGTGTCACGAACGCGTCCCTGTCGCGTAAAGCACCTGCTAAGCTGGGTCGACGCTTTTGCAACGAAGGTCGCAGCAGTACCACCAACAGACAATCGCAAAGATGGGTATCAAACGTGAGTATGCAATTCGTTAATGTCGAAAGCATACAGGCTAATCGATCTAGACCTTGCCCAAGTCATCAAGGACAACTGCCCGGACGCCATCAAGGAAGGGGAGATCAAGAACCAATTCGGCCGCAAAGTCGCCATCGATGCGTCCATGTCCCTGTACTCGTTCCTGGTCGCTGTGCGTAGCAATGGCGAGCAGCTCATGTCCGACACCGGCGAGACGACATCCCACCTGATGGGCATGTTCTACCGCACCCTGCGCATTGTCGACAACGGAATCAAGCCACTCTACGTCTTCGATGGTGCACCCCCCAAGCTCAAGTCTGGGGAGCTCGCGAAGCGATTCCAGCGCAAGTCGGAAGCCCAGGAGTCACACGAGGAAGCCAAGGAGACGGGAACGGCAGAGGAGGTGGAGAAGTTCAGCAGGCGGACAGTGAGAGTTACGCGGGAGCACAACGCAGAGGCACAGAGACTACTGAAGCTCATGGGTGTTCCATACATCATTGCACCAACGGAGGCTGAAGCCCAGTGCGCCGTTCTGGCTCGCTCAGGCAAGGTCTATGCAGCAGCTTCGGAGGATATGGACACTCTGACGTTCGACGCGCCAGTGCTCCTGCGGCACCTCACTTTCTCTGAGCAGCGCAAGGAGCCAATTCAAGAGATCTCTCTTGAGCGCGTGCTGCAGGGCTTGGAGATGGATCGCAAGCAGTTCATCGACCTCTGCATCCTCCTCGGCTGCGATTACCTCGATCCCGTCAAGGGCATCGGCCCCAAGGTCGCTCTGCAATTGATCAAAGAGCACAAGTCGTTGGAAGAGGTCGTCGCCTCCATCGAGAAGACGGGAAAGTACACTCTACCGGAGGATTGGCCCTACCAAGATGCTCGACTCCTGTTCCTCGAACCCGACGTTCGCAAGGCCGACGACCCAGAATGCGACTTCAAGTGGGAGAGCCCCGACGTTGACGGGCTCATCAAATTCCTCGTCGAAGAGAAGGGATTCTCCGAGGATCGCGTGCGAAGCGGAGCCGCGAGACTCCAGAAGAACCTCAAATCCAGCCAACAGTCGAGATTAGAGGGCTTCTTCAAGCCGAAGGAGAAGACGGAAGAAGAGAAAGCCAGTCTGAAGCGCAAGAACGAGGAGAAGCTTGAGGCGGCGAAGAAGCAGAAGAAAGATGATGCGAAAGCAAAGAAGGCGGCCAAGTCCAAGCCGAAGATGAACTCGTGAAGGAAGCTGCGATCTGACATAGGGAAGCGATGGTGTTTTTGGCGTTGGTGAATCCATCGGCGCGATTTCGCGGATGGTAATGCATGCTCATGGCTGGTCTGGTGCTCGTGGGCTCAGGACGAAAGGCGCCTTAGCGGCGAATTCGGAGAGCAACTGCAGCTCTAGCAATTTTCGACGAGACATTGACCGATGCGACTTGAAAGAAAGAAAATAGCATGTAAGTCTGTATCATATGCTCATGAATCATCGAATCCGTCAGTAATCTCTTGCAAGTCGTTAGCGCCACTTCACGTGCTTGCCGAAGTTCTGGGTCGCGCTTTCCTCCTTCCCAACGGCAACTTCATCCAGCTGCAGTTGCAGTTGCAACAGACAAGAATGGACACAGCGAATCCGACGTCAGACACCATGACCGACAACATGAAGGCAAGTTGGTGAGCCATGGCGTCCCAGGTATGAGAGCTAAACATGCACCCAGGGTCAGCCAACCGAGAGCCGGTGGCGCATCACACCCAAGATGCGCATGGAGGAATGAGAAGGGCGGGAAAACAATTGGCTCACAAATTGAGACAGCAAAAGCTCACATTTTTCAAGTACCCGCCAGCTTCAAGCCATACTCGGGCTTGAACCACTCTATCAGAAGATCTCGCAGAACCTCATTTGCTTCCCCCTTGGCCGCGGCAGAAGACTCCGCCTTGGCCTCAATGTACAGCTTGATCTTCGGCTCGGTGCCCGACCCTCGGGCCGTGAACACCACACTCTCCAACTCACAGGTAAGCATCTGCGCATTGGGATCCACCGGAAGAACGGGTTTGTGATCTTTCGTTTCGCTATCGTATCCGAGGGTAAGATCTCGCCATCGAAGAATCTTTCGTTTTCCGATTGTCTCGGGACGATGACCGTGGTTTGATGTGCGAATGTCCTCGAAGACGAGATTTGTGGTATCCGGGGAAGGCGAGATGAGGTAGGTATTGGCATCTTCGAAGTAGCCGTACGTCTTGTACAGCTGTTGAAGCTTCTGGTAAGGTGTCATGCCCTGCTTCTTCCACCTCCTCCAGGCAGTGAGGAAGACGGCAGCTGCGGCGATGCCGTCTTTGTCCCAGACGACTGTCGGGAACATGAAACCGATGGCTTCCTCAAACGCAAAAGCTGGGTCATAGCCTTGCCTTTGCAAATCTTGAGCGACGTTGCCGAGCCATTTGAAGCCAGTCAAGGTGTCTTGAAAGTGGAAGCCTTCCTTCTCCGCCATGCTTGAGAGCATACGTGATGATACGGTCGATGCCAGCATGGCGAGCTTGCTCCTGTCACCCGAAGAAGTATCGAGAACGTGAGAGGCGAGCAAGATGCCAATTTGATTGCCAGTGAACTGATGGTATTGTCCCTTGGCAATCCTCTCTGCCGCCGAGAACCTGTCTGCATCCGGATCATTGGCCAGGATGATGTTTGAGTTATTTCTGTTTGCTTCCTGGATTGCGAGATCGAGCGCTCCTTTCTCCTCTGGATTGGGGAAGGACACGGTTGGAAATTCGGGATCTGGTGATGCCTGTTCCTTGACTTCCCTCATGAATTGGCCTCGGAACCAGAGCATGTAGGCGATCTGTGTCATGAATTTGGTGCCAACGCCATGCATGGCTGTATAGGTAAAGGGCATAGCATCAGTGACAGAGGGCAAGGGCCAGACCAGCTCTCGAATATGGTCCAGGTAAGATTTCGCGGCCTCGGAGAAGATTCTCTGCTGGCAATTAGCAGATTATTCGCCATTTCGTACTCATACGCGTCAACACACCTTCACGTTCTCGTGGCTATTGACAAGTTCTGTCTCCCAGCTCAAGATTCTGTCAACGCTGTCGATGGCTCTTGCAATGCCGCTGTCGTGGGGAGGAATGATCTGGCAGCCATTGGCCCAGTAGACTTTGTATCCGTTGTCGTCCTTTGGATTGTGGCTCGCAGTCACCATGATGCCAGCATCGGCGCTGTATGCGCTGACCGCAAATGGCACCATTGGGGTGTGGACGTGCTGTCCAAACCAGAAGACTCGGAAGCCATTCTCCAAGAAAGTGGCCGCTGCCAGTCGGGCGAACTTTTCCGAGTTATGACGGGCGTCGAATCCAATCACGACACTCCGGCCTTCTTTCTCGTGAGGCTGGCTTTTGATATAGTCTGCAAGCCCCTGCGAAGCTTGCAGGACGGTCAACGAGTTCCTGTCAAGATAGTCAGGACGCGCATTCCTGGTCGACGTCGATGACGATGACGTACATGTGAGCGAAACCAGCCTTCATTGATGACCGGAGTCCGGCTGTGCCAAAGGCAATGCGTTTGCGCAGACGTTGGTCCAGTTCATGAGTGTTTTTGGATTTCAGCAGGCCCTCGATCTCCGCCCTGGTCTCCGGGTCTCGATCTTGCGAGAGCCATCGCTGGGCCAGCTCTTCCGTCGTCGGGCCCATGGGGATGTGTGACATGTCACGGGGCTTTTGATGACGGAGACAGTGATGCTGTTGATCAAGAGAAGACGTTGGGGCGACGCTTAAGACCTTCACGTGAGCGATGCCTGCCACGACTGCCCCATGATTTTCGCAGCAAACATGACGTTGCTTGGCGGGAGAAGATGGAAGGAGAATGGCTTTGTGAGCGAGCTGGACGGTGGGCCCAATGCCGGATAGTGCTGGAAGGCTTCATCACAGTCGGTGACGGTTTACGTTGGGAATTGCTCACACATGAGTCGCGCGGGAGGTATATCTAAGTCATTGAAGGTTACGGGAGTTTCTGTTGCGACGCCACACCAGCCAGTGGTCTGTGCAATGCACCAGCCACCAGCCTCATCCGACACAACTTGGAACGCCCGAATCATTTTCGTTGGCGCCTGCACATTAATAATACACTCGCCAATCCGAGCCTTGCCTTGCCAACGACTTCAGCTTGTCTTTACTATCCGGGCTTGCCAGCGCATCCAAGGCGCCCGAGAACTCTATATTACCAGACCCCTGTTCTCGCACAGCAGCTCGGATCTCAGATGCATCTGCAGCCTCGGGAACGGTTACAACGGATCAAGCCTCCTTCATGTATGGACACTCACCGCTGGCTCGCATGCGTGGGCACACCGCTTTATCAGGCCGGAATGAAGAGCGCATCTTCTGCTCCCGATTGGTCGTGGGTCCGATGTGTTGCACACGCAAGAGATGGTGGGAGGCGTGAGTGCTTTGGATGACCATTTTTTCCTCTTACACAGCATCAGTCGGCTCCAGGTGGAACGGGTAACTGCACCGGTATGTGTTCAGACGAGCTCCAGGATCTCCACCAGGATATTCTGGAAGCATTCTCGTTTGGGGAAAGCGTTGCTTCGTTTCGGAATCCGTCCCCAGAACTTCGTCACCGACGACAAAGTTCACGCTGCCAACCTCATGCTGCAGTAATGTGCACGGTAGCTTTCGGCATACAGGAGTCTATTGGACATCTACCGGCTCCTCACCAGAATACGTTCCCTGCATTCTAAGCCGCTCCTCCGCCTTCCAACTTGGCCGGTCCTTGTCAGATCACCCGAGACTTTTGCTTTCCCTCGCATACAGAGCTCCCTCGGCGGGACCTGGCTGCTGCGAGACAGCATGGAGGGAGAGCGACAGCCTCTCCTAGGGCACACACCACGTAAGTCGAGATTATTGTTGAACTACTCTGGCAGAGCTTTGGCGCCCACGACAGGTCCATCTCGCCTCGTTGGCTGTTGTGCTCCCCACTACCATTTGATCTCCCCCCAATACCACGGCAGCGAGCGCCCGCCGCCAATGGCCCAATGATATCCCCCATGCCGAAAACCGTGTCACTGCTCTAAACCGGGTGGAGGCTCTCAAACTGTGGAGTGGCGGTGGAGGCCTGCCATATCTTCGCCGCTTTGCTCTATCTCTCCTCTGTCCAGGAGCACACTTCCATCTTTCTCAGCCGGGCAAGAGTTCTACGCTGCAACAACATGCCCAAGTCGGAGAAGGGCTCGCTGCCAGTCTTTGGTGCAACAGGTGCGAATCACTGTCCCTGTAATCACTCACATTCACTCGTGTCCCTCATGGACAGCATGTCACCTCTGGAGTGCTCTTCACGCTATCAAGCTCACCGTGTTCAACTATCGAATACAGAAATGCAAACAAGAGACAGCACAACCACTGACGACATGAATACAGTACAACCCAACCTACAGGACTCAAGATTGGAGCATGACGCGAACCCGGCCACCGGTGCGCAAGGCGCTCGCGAGCCTATCGACGACGACGTACAACTACTACATCACCTGGGGTACAATCAGGTTGGCAAATCGAGTTCTTTGGCAAGACATCTCCCTGACAGGTTGTAGGAGCTCCGTCGGCGATTCAACAGATGGTCGACAGTCTCGTACGCAATTTCGGTCCTCGGCGTTCTCGGATCTCAACCAGCAACATATGGAACACCCATCAGTGTCGGCGGTCCGGCGACGGCAGTGTGGGCATGGGCCATAGGCTCAGTGATGGCGTACATCATCGCGAGCTCAGGTGAGAAGCAAATATGACCGGATCAATGCTATCAATACTGACGGCATCAGTCGCGGAGTTGGTGTCCGCATACCCCACGGCGGGTGGGATGTACTTCGTGACGAAGCATGTGGTGCCCGCGAAGCGAGTGGCCATCTGGGCGTGGATCATCGGATGGTGCAACTTTCTTGGCCAGGCCTGCGGAGTTGCATCGCTCGCCTATACTGTCGGCCAGATGATCCTGGCTTTAGCGAGCATGAATTCTGGCCTACTAAGCGACGGCTACACCTACTCACCGTAAGCAGTGTTATCTGAAGCAGTGTCATCTGACACAATCGCATGGAATATGTACGTACTGACTTGTATACAGAGCACCATGGCAAATCGTCCTTATTGCCATCCTTGTCTTGGCCATCTGGGGCGCGATCTGCTCTTTGACGACCAATGCCCTGAGCAACATCATCCTCTGGTTCGCACCAATCAACATTCTCGCAACCATCGCCATCTGCATTGCCGTCCCTCTGGCCACGCCTTCTGACAAGATTCGAAGCGCCCGTTCTGTCTTCACCGAGATCACAGACGGCTCAGGATGGGACTCGAAAGCGCTCTCATTCTTCTTGGGATTCCTGAACGTGGCCTGGGTCATGACAGACTACGATGGCACCACGCATATGTCGGAAGAGACGGTCGACGCAGCGGCTAGGGGCCCTCTGGCGATCCGTCTGGCCGTCATTGTCTCTGGCATCTTGGGCTTTGGACTGAACGTTGCCTTCACCTTCTGTTTACCCCCGGACTACGAGACCAGTATCCTCGAATCGCACACTGGCCTCCCGGTCGCGCAGATCTTTCTCAATGCTGGCGGTAGAGCTGGAGCGTCCGTCATGCTCTTCTTCGTCATTCTAGTCCAGTTCTTCACGGGAACCAGCGCCATGCTGGCCAACGCGCGGATGACTTACGCCTTTGCTCGAGACAACGCCCTCCCCTTCTCGCGCTTCTGGGCCAAGATCAACCGAACGACCGAAACACCAGTGCACGCCGTCTGGCTCGTCGTGGCCTTCTGCATCTGCCTCAACCTCATCGGCATCGGCTCCACCGAAACCATCACGGCCATCTTCAACCTCTGCGCCCCCGCGCTGGATCTCAGCTACATCGCCGTCCTCTTCGCCCACCTCTGGTACACGTACTACCGCCAAGAAGTCGAATTCGTACCCGGAAAATACACGATGAAATTCCTGCGCATTCCGCGCAAAATTCTCGCCATCGCCTGGGTCCTCTTCATCAGCACGATCCTCTTCTTCCCGCCCACCAAACCCATCACGGCAGCTAACATGAATTACGCGGTGGTGGTCGCTGCCGCCGTGGCGGTTTTTGCGCTTTCGTGGTGGTGGCTCGGCGCGAGACATAAGTATAAGGGCCCCATTACGCAGGAGACGGAAATCTTGGCCCCGGGACGGCATGGTGATGAGGAGGAAGCGAGTCGGCGTCCTGCTGCGACGGCGCACATGGATCCGCCGCCGTATTCGACTGCCGCGAAGCAGGGCGAGTCGAACGTCACTTCTGTTCTTGCCAGTCGGTCTTTCACATCGGGCTCCTCGGCCGTCTGATGGTCCTAGTTTACCCTACATGGAATCTCTCTGATCGCTGGGGATATCATCTTCTTCGAAGGAGGTCCTTTGCTTCTTGATACCCTTTTTGCTGTCTTAGCGTTTCGCAACCAACATGATGACAGGACATAGAGCATAGAATGACAACCAGGAGTTGATTTTTCCTACCTCATTCATTCATCATCATCGTTCATCTTCATCATCTATACAAATAATCATTGATTCGTAAACTTATCCCCATAATAATCCATTTCTTCATCATTCCTCGCAGCCACTCGCGACCTCACCACCTGCACCATTCCACCCCAGTATCCCTCCGTTTCCGCTTCTTCTAAACCATTCCCACCAGCTTCCACCAGTCGCTGACGCGCAACTTTCCTGTCCTTTCGAAAAGCAGCGATCCGAGCGACATTGTCGATGGCAGCAGGTTTCTCCGGCAGCAGGCCTACTACAGATTTTCCGTCCGGGGTATGGGCAGGAGGAACTACGGTCACCTCCTCCTCCTCCTCCTCGTCGGCGAAAAAGGAAAAATCCGTTTCCGAGGCAGACCACAAGGCCTCGCTGTCTCGATCTTCGGTGAGGGATTTCGTGCCATGATGGTGCCAGGACGAGGCTGTACCATTTCTACTCCTCCTCCCGCCGCTGCCATCTTCTTCGGGGGCAAGTTCGAGTACTAAGCGTTTGAGAGCGAAGATTCTGTTCGCCGAGTCTTGTAAGGCGGAGGCGTGGCCCTTGCGGCCCGGAGGGGAGGAGTAGTCCAGCGCGGCTTGTTTGCGGGCGAGGGAGCTTTCCTCGGCGCAGGTCTTGAGGAAGTGGATGATGCGGTCTGCGACTTCTGTGGTTGGCGAGAAGGGCGGGACGTCGGTGAGAATGAGGGTTTGGAGGTGTGGGAGCATTGCTGGGTGTAGGTTGTGGCGGGCTGAGATGTGGGCGGTTAGGCGGGCTGTTCGCTCGGTGGCCATGGACGAGTAGCTGTGTGGTCTTGAGGCTGGTGTTTGCGGTGCTGAGGATGATGCGCTACCTGGAGTTGCTGCAGGTGAGGCAGATGAGACCATGATGGTACCGTGGCCGTTTCTCTGGGTACTTTCCGCGGCCGAAGCTGGACTCAGGAGAGTTGGAGTATGCATGTCTTGTGTGAGAGAATCGACTGCCTCGGGCGCGAGAGCACTTCCTCTCCGTGCAGTAGGTGCTTCCTCAGCAGGCCTACTGATCTTGAAAGTACCACCCGCAGCCGGTGGTACGACAAATTGCAAAGGATCGCCTTCGAGTTCGTAACGAGGCGTTTCTTGCGCCGCTGACATTTCGAATGCTTCACGCCGAACGCCAGCCCCCTCGAGCTCAACAATATCGTTTGTATTGTAGGGAAGAGAAGTATCTCCGAGCTCGACGCGACCTTGCACAACTTGATCGGGATGAAGATTCGGCGCCTCTTGGGTGATCAAACTGTGATCGATTCGAAGAAATGACATGGCATCTGCTGCGTGCTTGGAGAAGACTGGTGTGAGCTTCTCGATGCCAGGCATCGGCATTCGCTCACCGTCGCCATCCAATTGTGAGGGATGTCTACCGATGGTGGCGCTGACAGAACCCACATCCAGCACATGCAATCTTTCCGACCGAACAAGGCCCGAGACTCCCTCGACCGTGATCGGGTTGCCGGCAATGTATAAGTGAGTGATGCCTCCTTCTGGCACATCTTCGATCGCCAGACGGCTCACGAACCTCCCAGTAAACGCATTGCGAAGGAACCCTTCGAAATCTTCTCCTTGGTAGATCTCCAGCATTTCAGATCCAAGATAGGGTAGCAGGACCGGTGATCTCTGTCCCGACGATGGCGCTTCGGTTTGAGTCGTTGACGCCGAGTGGGTACCAAAGCAATTGTCGAGCAGTGCGCGAATACCTCGATCCGTTACCTGGTTGTCTCGTAAGTCCAAGCTACGGACTCGCAGGCCTATTGATCGACACAGTATTTCCACGCCATGATCTTTCAAGCCGATGCCGCGCAATTTCAGTACTTGCAGGCCCGGAAACTCCCTCAATACTTCCAAGACCGCTCGCTCGCGTGCTGGATAGCTAAAGGATAAGTCCAGATACAGCAGGGTTTCGAAACGGCTCAATGCTGAAGCAAGTCCACTGGAAGTGACGTTCGGACAACGTGAAGCATCCAACAAACGTAGGCCGAAAGAAGGTACGACATGGGACGGTCTCTGAAACGAACTCCCAGTCGCTCCCGGAAGCTCAAGCACCCCGTCAGGCGGTCTCCAAGTCTCTGTTGGCCTGGTCCGCACCTGAATCAGTGCCTGCAGAGTACTATAATCAAAGAACGGCAATCCCCTGACAATCAGGGACTGCAAATTCGGCAGTCTCTCCAGGATCTCCCTCAGCCAATCCGCCTGAGGTCCATTGTAGATCTCAGCATGTGCTGGAGGTAGATGTAGTGTATGTGTGAAAGAGCGAACCAGCAATCTTGCCGTCTGGAGCGTCCGCTTGAAATGCGTCAACGCCACGTACACGGCGTCGTTTTCGATTCCGAAGTGAGAAGCCGGATTGCCCCAGAGGAAGGGTACAAAAGTCGCGTGCCATCGGCTACAGCACAGTGCGGCTGCGCAGAGGTCCCTGGAGGAGAGGTATTCGGCTACAATCTCCCAGACGTCGATGGCGGTTGATGCTTCGTAAGAAGGCGGGTGGGCTTCCATGGCCGAAACGGTGTCAACTCGTCCTTGTCATTGGAAGATCTCTCCAGAGGAGAGAGAGCTGAGGTTGAGGTAGAGATGTCCATTGTGACTGGTGAAGGTGTCGTAGGAATGCGACTTCCGCGCCGTCACGAGCGGTACGCGCCAAGGCGTGCTAGCCATATGAGGTTTAGATCGAATCCTGTGACAAGGTACCATGTGTACTGTCTTCCAACCGTATAGAGCACATTCTGCCCGATCATCACCCAAGATATCACGAGCATTTGCAAACGCCTGGTGCTCTACCATTCTTCCGCCGTGCCGTGCTTCGAGGCGGTGCGCTGCCTGGTCGTTGCAAGTTACAGGCTTGACACTCACCACATGGCTGCCACATATCCAACGATTCGAACACTTTCTCCCCGCTGGCTGCTGGCATATCGCTGCGACACTGAATCTCACGCTCGATTGCACCACATACCTATTATCTGCGAAGCGCAGGAAACGCGAATGGAGAGAAGCACACACAACGACAGTTCTGCTCACTCACCCAAACGATGACTTCAATCTTCGCTGGCTTAGAGGTTCTCTCGACGAATCCCTATGGAATCTGGTCAGAGTCTCGAAAAAGTCTTCTACGTCTCATCTCGTCAACCTCCCGAGCTCAGCTCTGCCCGTGATACTTACAGCTCGCCTGTGCTGGTGATATCAGCGGCAGTGGAAGCTCCAGCCTCTTCAGAAGCTCGCTTCACTAAATCTCTGGTTGCCATCCTACAGCTCGCGAATATGGTACATCTCAGACCCCCACCTTGCCTCCTACCGCCCTCTCCTAGCCAAAGAGTCGTCGTATTATCAGCTTGGAACTTCTTCGACTCTCGTGTGTCCCAAGACCACCCAAGCCCACAATCTCCACGAGATCTACGAAATCGGTCTCCTCCTTCAATGCTTGCTTCCCCCCGACCTCACTCCCCAAATCCTCCGAAACGCAGACCTTTTCGTGAAATCCTCGTAGAACAAAAAGTACAACTGCGCCATTCTCAAGTCGCAATCGCCGCATACATATTTGATTACGCCTCCCATCCGTTCCCAGGAACGGTTACGGTTACAGCATCCTGTCGCCAACGTCGTGTTTAATATCGTGGCCAAGGATTACGGATTGGATTTGAGTATCGGACAGAGCCATGCTACTGCTGCAATATCGCGAGGCGAGACTCCAGGAGGTCGATTCGACCGGACTCCCAATTTTACGCGGAGATCTCGTCGCCTGGTAAAGGGATTCTAGAACATGAGAGGGAGATCGTGAGAAAGACTCCTGCTTCGAATTTGTATGAGACCCATGTCGTGGAATGGAATGCGGATTCCGTAAGTTTCGAAGAGGCGGCTTGAGTCGGTGGGTTGAGGAACGGACGGGATCGCGGTTCACATCTGGGCCCAATGTGAGACTCTCGAGGATTGGGTCAGATCGGTCGAAGTCGAGGTATTCACTGCCGCTATTGTCAGGTAATAATGTCAGTATGAAGACAAAGAGTTCCCAAGGAAAGCGTCAGTGCGGTGTCCAGGGGGCTTCAAATGCACCTGTGCCCAGTGCTCTCATTGCCTGTGCTGCTGAATAGCATTCTGAGCCAGCCGAGCAATATGCCCTACAGAACGCCCTCGAAGTCAAAAAGCCTCCTTGCTCCCGCCGAATTGCAGAGGAGCCAGAGCCATATCCTTCATACGCCGTAACATGTTGTGGTTTGCCCAATTCTCCTTCTCCCTGTTCCCGCGAAGGACGGTCGACGTCTTCCTCGCCACCGTGTTGTTAATCGTGGTATCATGCTTCTTCTCGTTCCGGTCATCATGATGCTGGGTCGCAAAATCTCGAGTCTTGGGGACTGCAGCCTCTGGAGTGGATCCATCCATGCCACTCATACCAGAGTCCTTGCGCTTGGCAGACGCTCTGTCATCACCTGCTGCAGTCCCCGCGCACCTCTAGTCGATACCGTGCTGGCGCTTGAGCTTTTCTAGGTTCTCCTGGCGTTCGGCGAGGTCTGCTTGGCTCTTGGCCATCTTCTCAGGCTACATTGAGGGTCAGTATATGAAGTCGCGGATTGCGCCTGGCGGAGTACGTGGATGTGGACACTCACTTGGTGATAGAGGACTACGAGATAGCGATTCTGAAAGTTGAAGCCATTCAATTTGTCGCAGGCAGACTTCGCATCCATGACATCCTCGTAGACGACGAAGGCGGTGCCTTTGGTGTTGGTCGCGATGCCCTGGCGGATCTGGCGGATGGGGCCGAATTTGCCTGAGAGCGATAAGTTAATAGTTGTCCCCCAGATACCATAGTGGTCGCTCGCTCTTTCCGCATTCATACCGAAGAGGTCGAAGAGTTCCTCGGTGGAAACGCTGTAGCTCAGATTCTTGATGAACAAAGCTCCTATCGCGCGATGGGTCAGTATATCGCATGCCGCGGGACTTGGATATGCATTCGCGGTTGGCGGGGTGGAGGGGGGAATGGGCAGATGGGTAGTGGTGGTGTTGCTGGTGCTGGCGCGGGACTCACGGTTGACTTCTGGAGCAAGCTTGCCGCCGCGACTCATAACTTGGCTAGATGTGTGTGGGAGAGTGATCGGTGAGGGTGTGTGAGATGTGCGCCGAGGCGGTGGTTGAGAGGGCGAGAGTGGGAGAGAGGAATCAGGTAGAGTTCGTGTACAGTATGAGGCCGGCAGACGGCAGACGGCAAGCGGAGAACAAGGGTCCACGTGACGTCCGGAGGCAGCAGCCGCGCGGAGTGGATGCCTGAGGGTGATCCAAGCGGCGGCGGGTGCGGGAGAGGGCGCTCTGCGATATACACACGGACACGGCACCGTCCAGCACAGCACAGCACCGGTACCTGGCCTGGAAAGCACAGGAATGTCCCCTCGACTTCCAATGGTGTCCTGCCGCAATCCACACACCTTACCCGCTCCGACTCGCTCTCTACCCTATTCTTACCTTACCGTCCTGCGCCATACCGTGAGCCATTCTCTCTCTCATATCCACCACCGTGAACCGACCTCGCGTCATTCCTCCGGCGACTCTACGGGCGCTACCCACCGCCTCCGATCTTGGTGGGGGAAGGGACGACCTCACCACCAGCGCAGCGCTCGTCGTCGCAGGCCTGCACAGTTCCTCCAGCACACCCGCGCATAGTCCGAGGGCACTCGCGGTGGTTTGAAACCTCGTCCGGCAAGATTTGGAATCCTGCGGCCCCGTCGTCGTTACTGGGCGCGCCGCCGAAGCTGTCCACCCCTCGGACGTCCGCCGCCATGCCTCCCAACCCGCTCTTCAAGCCAGCTTCCAGCGACCGCCGACCCAAGCGCAGTCCCTCACCTCCCAAACGATTCGTCGAGCCGCTCTCGCCCACCCGACCGAGACCTGTGGAGCCCAACTACAACTACCCGGCGATCAACAGCCGTGTTGACTTCACCGTCAAGCCAGACCAGCCCTACACAGCTACGCCCAAGAGCAGGAATCGCAGCGCTAGCTACAGGCATGCACACCACCGGACTCCTTCTACCATCGACACCCTCGCTGAAGCGGCTCTTGCTGTGAGTCCGTCACTAGAACTTCTCAATGGACACTCTCATGGCTACCCAATGCCTTCTGCCTATGGCGGAAGTGAGCCACCACACAAGCGATCGCGTTCCGAGATGCTACCCTCGCCCATGGTCGGGCAGTATGCGTCGCGGCCAGCGACGAGCTACGAACACATCAATGGCTGGTACAGGGATCCTACACAGCAGCAGAACTCCGGCCCGCCCTATGACAGTCGATTGGAAGAAGCGTCTCTGCTGCTGAACTTCCGCACCGGCGGCTGGCCCAACAACAGTCCTCCGCCTCCTCTGCCTCTGCCGAACTCCGGCTTCGCATCTGCACCAAGACCGCACGCGAATAGCTTTCCGCAAAGCACTCGTCAGCCTTGTCCTGCGGACCTTGCAGCCCAGGCCGGCCTGCTGCCCCCTTTCAATCCGCAAGACGGCGACGCTCCCCGACCGACACTACCTTCACCGCAGCAGACCGTCGACGAGTCCACACATATTCCTCCCTTCCCTGCTCCCGAGCTTATTCAGAATGTTGCTGTTGATGCGGTAGCCTCGAGCGCTCTTCGCCCGTCGAGAACAGAGCAAGAAAAGCCAGATGTGCCGCAGAGGACCGCAATCCGCACTGAGGAGCTGGTCTCCAGGGCCGGTAGTACAGATGTCACCATGAGCGAGACTTCGGAAGGCGCACCAAGACCAAAGCGGGCCACGCAGAAGACCAAAACTCGAGGGTTGTCCTCGCGCAAGTCAATTGCCGAGAAGGCCGCAACGAAGAGAGCAGCTGCGCGAAAGAAGACACCAGATCCTTCGAAAGTCAGCCGTACGGCGAGTGAAGCCCCCCAAGCATTCGAAGTGGACCGCAATCGGCGCAAGAGCTTTAGTGATGTACCGGTCAACTGCGAGACCTCCATTCCCAATGGTCAGGGACACCGGGCAATTTCTGTTCCCCAAGAGATCCCCATGATCATCCGTCCAGCTTCGACAGCGAAGACGCCAAAGCGTAACAAGAATGCCACGGAGACGGTAATATGCGCTGGCTGTGCAACAACCCGGGAGAGCTCCAGTCGTAATGGCGAGATGGATGAGTGGGTGTCGTGCAACGGATGTACGAAGTGGTTTCACGTCGACTGCGCTGGCTTTAAGAAGGCCATTGAAGTTCGCGACGTCGACAAGTACTTCTGTCCCACCTGTGAGCCAGTGCACGGGAAGACGACATATGTGAGGAAGAGCACCCGTGCTCATGCGTCTGTTGACTATGCCGAGCTGCAGAGGGGCGTTCTCAAAACGAGTGAAGAGAGCATGGAGCATCATTATATTCAACCTATCAAGGACGGGACCTTCCAATTCGATCCGGAGTATTTCCCACGTATGCGACCGGAGCTTGTCACTCGGGATTTCTTCGAGAAGAGCAGCGCCTTTGTCGAACCCATCTGTATCCCTGCGGAATGGAATCCTCGGCCTTGGCTCAAAAATCGTCGCGACACGGACGGCAACAACCATAATGTGATGAAGGACGGAGCTGACGACGTTACGAGCGACACGATACCTGACGAGTTCGAATACGACGCTGTTGCCGATGAAGGCCAAGACAAGCTTGACATGGTGATGCCGGAAGATCTCACAGTCAGGCAGGTCTGCAATCTGGTTGGACCCCACACACCGCTGGACGTGATAGACGTCAAGACACAGAATTCTGGCGCAAAATGGGACCTTGGACGATGGGCCGACTATTACGAGGGCGTGAGCGATGATAAGCCAATTCTGAATGTGATATCCCTGGAAGTATCCCAAACCAAATTGGGTCGCATGCTGCGACGACCAAAGGTGGTCCGGGACATTGACTTGCAGGATCAGGTCTGGCCTCAGAAAGAGACAGATGCCGGGAAGTATCCGAAAGTACAATATTACTGTCTCATGTCTGTGGAAGACAGCTACACCGACTTCCACATTGACTTTGGCGGGAGCAGCGTCTACTACCACATTTTGAAAGGGAAGAAGACTTTCTTCTTCATACCACCGAAGCCCAAACACCTCAAAGCTTACGAGGAATGGAACGATAGCCCAGAACAGAACTTCACCTTTCTGCCGAATATCACCAAGGAGTGCTACAGAGTCGACCTCAGCGAGGGCGATACCATGTTGATTCCATCCGGATGGATCCACGCAGTCTGGACGCCAGAGACGAGTCTGGTGATTGGAGGCAATTTCCTCACCCAGATGTCGTACAAGAATCAGTTCCGCGTGGTCGAGATTGAGAAGGCCAATCACACCCCGATGAAATTCCGATATCCATTCTTTCAGAGGATCATGTGGTACAATGTGATCAAATATCTCACGGACGATCCGCTTCCCGAGGCGGTGTCGCAGCTCTTCTACTCAGGCAAGACGTTTGAGCGTCAGACGCCTGTGTGGGCAGATTTCGATGGCGAAATCGCGAGCCAGGACGAGCGACCTGGAGCGAAGAATGCGCGATACTATGGCGAAGCGGAGATTGAGGGTCTTCCAGATCTGCTAAACTACATCTTCCGCACCATCATGCTCGTCAATGGGCGTATTGAAGGCGTCTCGGCGGACCAGCAGAAGCGGGTAAACGCATCCATTCCCAAAGGGCATGGTGAACCGCTGGAGGTCGCCAAGACGTTTGCGCTGTGGACGGCGTGGAAGCGAGGGAACGAGTATCCTCCTGCATGGGCGCATCCGGACGCAGTGCTCCCCAGCAAAGAAGAAGGGCCGCCCAAGAAGCTGTCTGCACGTGCGCTCAAGGAGATGGAGCGCAAAGAGGCATTCGCCGCGCTAAAGGCACTCGGACCGGACCGCAAGTCCGAGCGAGTCAAAAAATCCGCTAGTGCTAATGCCGCGAACTCGACCTCGAACATGGCGTCTTCGACTCCTGACCATCATCACCCATCACCCACCCATCCTCCACCGCATCACCAGCCATCGACCCACCCATATGCGCATCAGAACATGGACGTTCAGGCCTTACCTGCCGCGCAGCCAATGGCATTCGCGATGAACGCCGCGCCCGGCCAGCATATCAGCACGCCGAAAACTTCGGTGCTTGGCCCCAAGCGCGTAGCGTGCGATCAGTGTCGACGAAGAAGGATCCGATGCAAGCACAAAGATCTGGTGACGCAGGTCACTCCGAATCAAATGCAGCAGACGTCGGGTGGCTTTGGTGCACACGACTCGCCTCAAGTCTACGACAACATCACTGTAACGCCACCGAAAGCGAAAACATCTGCCAATCCGTTTACTAACCGAACCGATGAACAGCCAGGATTAAGCGGCCATCCTGCTCAGAATGGTTCCCCAGTCTCCAATGGAATGAATGGGACCACATTTCCTATGACGGTTAATGGGGTGCCCGTGTTTACGGACGCAACCAGACGCGGGCGAAGCAAAGCGTGCTTCGAATGCAGGAAATCGAAAGTGAGTCCTAGAAGGATGTCTTCACCACGAAACACTGACAGGGTGCTAGCGACGGTGCATTCATGATGAAAATGGCAACGTTGATCCTATCAAAGCTGCGGAGACCCCTGTGCCGCGGGGGTCTGCTTCGTCGAAGAAACGGGCGTCCGAGGAGAACACACAGGGCAGTCCAGTGCCACTGAAGAAGAAGGTGAAGACGAGTCCTGTGCCAAACGGATTGCCTGCGATGCCAGCATTCCCTCATGACCAGAAACTCACCAACGGCGCTGTACAGCCGCATCGTGAACCACCCAATGGATATCAACACTCTCCGGCGCCGCCGCAGCACTCGCCCTCACACACTACAGCCCAAGCTCAATCGACTAATGCACCATATCGATCACCAACTCTTTACCATCAGGAATCCACTCGACACCTCCCACAAGAGCAACATCAGCCACCGCTGGACCCCAGCCTTTTTGGTTATCCGGACCCTGCCAGTAGCTCCTACGTCAATCAAAACTACGCATACCCGTCCAGTGACCGCCCAGGCCCATACCAATTACCATCGCTTGAGCAGATTGCCAACGAGGTAAGCGATCTCAGCTGCGGACCTGTAGACTTGCTAATGAGTTTCAGGTTCTGGATATGAACGGCCGTTCACACGAGGACTATCACACCTTCTCAGCGCAAGAACAGCGCGATCCGCCACCCGTTTCCAATGGCTTCACCGAAGCCACCCGGCCGGATGAGAGTGTAGATTCTGCCATCTCAATTCCTGGATCAGACGACGGCAAACATCAGGCAGCGAAGGACGATGACACCATGGCCCCGATTCAGTCATTGCCTGATGCTCCGGTTCAAGCTTCTGTCGAATCGTCTCACCCCATCAAGACAGATGCTCCGACATCAGAGGCGCAGACATCTCCCAGTCTACAGAAAAGCAGCGTGAACGATCTGCCGCTCTACAAGCCACCGGCGCCTCTATCGCTGTCGCCCGAAGTGTCCAAGCGCCAACCTCATCTCACCATCGGGATAGGTGCTGAGCCCTCAGCGCCCGTGAAGCGGAGAAGAGATTCCACGTCGTCGACACCAGGCTCCAAGAAGCCCCGGATGGGTAGCGTGGAACCAAATTGCGAGCAAGACGTGCAGAGGTTGGCGAAGTCATTGCAGCAGGATGATCTTGGGCTGCGCAAGCGGGGCAATTAGGACTTGGGACGATTCTGAGTAATTCGGCGACGCTGCTAATAACGAGAGACGCGTGAACGATTGGTGAGCGAGCTGAGCCGCGGCTCATTGTGTGGTACAGTGGTATGAGGGAGGCGATGAGGTGCGCGGCGTAGAAGGCGCCCATGTACAGTACGATATCCGAAGATGGGGACTCCAGAACTCTTCACTATGCATACAAATCGCGGTCCTTGTCAGTTGCTGTCAGTCTCGGCACGGAGAAGAGTTTAGAAGGGAAAGCTGTGAAGAGTCAAGAGACGAGAGAGAGAATAAAAGACAAAAGACCTCCCGCACCAAAACGCCAGGTGACATTTGCTTCTGTTTCCGGACCCTTTGATCTGCGCCTTGCTATCGCGTGCCCATTCGGCCAACGCTGGCATCCCCTCCCAACCCAATCCCACCGCATCGCATCGCATCGAAGCATCAGGAAAGAATAAAAAAATCTGCCCATCGAACAAGATGGACCCCAAAAAAAGAAAAGATTGAAGTGAAAAAAGTGTTTGATCTTGAAAAAAAAAACCAAATCCCCCCCCCCCCTTCCTCTCCATGAAACAGCAGGTCTTCCTCCTCCCATCCAGTCCCTCAATCTAGTAGTCTAGGAGTAGTAGTAATAAGCAGTCGGCATCGGACTTCCAGTTCCAGTTCCAGTCCCAGCCGTCGGCATGGGACCCGTAGCCGTTGGAGCTGTTGGCGCTGTCGGTGCTGCGGATTCGGGAGGAGGAGCAGGAGCAGGAGCTGTAGAAACGGGGAAATGGGGTTTGAAATCGGGTTTCCGTGCGAGGCCGTTGAATTGCTTGCATGGAGCGGGAGGGGCAGCAGGAAGAGGAGGTTGAGGAGGTTGAGGGGATTGGGAGGTTGAAGGAGGTGCTGTGCCGGTGGCGATTCCCGTGCCGGTGCCGGTGCCGGTGCCGGTGCCTGTCATCATGGGTGGTGGTGGTGGTGGTGGTGGTTGTTGTTGAGGAGGAGGAAAAGGAGGAAGCAGGGAGGCGAGATGCCATTTTTTGAAATCGACTGCGTTGGTGTGCAGCGGGAGTGGGAGGATGGTTGTGATCGCGGTTCCGGTTGCGGTTGCGTAGGCTGCTGTTCCGGTGCCCGTCCCGGTAGGGCCAGCGGGATATGTTTCGAAGACGCCTTGTGCGGACGTGGAAATGGTGAAGGTTGGGTAGGGTTGGTGGTAGGCCATTGGGGGGCGAGGGTAGCGGCCGAGGCCGGCGATTTGCCAGGGGAGAGCGAGGGTGGTGGTGATGGTGCTGCTCATCAGGAGGGCGAGAGCCAGGAGGGAGGGGAAGGAGAAGGCCATTGTTTGTTGGTTCCTTTCCTTTTTTTTTTCTTTGCGCAGGAAACAGCAAAGCAAGAGAGAGAGGGAAGGGAGGGGGAAGGGAAAGGAATGTCCAGAGGGCCAAGGAATGAGTGCCTTCTTCTTCTTCCTTCTCGCTCGCTCGGTGGGTAAAAACGAACGACTGAACTGAGGAAGCAAGAAAGAAAGAAAGAAAGAAAGAGATGGGGAGAGGTGAAGAAGAGGGCAGGGCGGCTTCGCGAAGACGGGTAGGGTGGCTCGCTCGATATACGACTCTGCAGGAGGGAGATGCTGCATCATCTCGCCCGTGGACCAGCGACTTATCATCATTACACAGCATTTGTCGACGCCTCTCCGAGAGCGGATGGCTGCGTGGTATCGAGACCAGAGGCACAGAAGGGGGATGGATGGTACCCTGCCCCCAGCGGCCGAGAAATGCGATCCACCATTGAACAGTCCCGGCCGTCCAATGTTTTGTCCCAGCCCCTTCTCATTCGTCGTCGATGGCCCTTTGATTGTAGGCAATGGTGAGACAGGCACGGCTTCGCTCGCATGTCGGAATCGTCGAGTCTGGGACCGCCCAGAAGAACGGATTTCTACCGTAGATACTCATCAGCAAGCAAAGAACGAAGCCGTCTCTTCATCAGAAGGAATGGATGGAATGGAAGGAAAGGAACCCCTCTCCGGTCGACGGTCGTAGGACAGGCATCCGGATCCGGGATCAAACATGCCTGCCTGTCCGTCCTACGACCTCCCGAAGCAGTTTAAAGCGCGTGTGATGGTTGTTGTGAACAGCGGGAGACCTGGACATGGTTGCATCTCCCGGGGCATTGTGGACAAGGGGAGCGCCGAAGAATCTGCAACCCACACTTCTTTTGGTTTGGGCGACTCTCCTCCCGTATCATAGCCCGTGGCGCGGGCGGATTTCTTTCAAGGCCCGTGATGATGATGATGATGATGATGATGATGATGATGATGATGATGATGATGATGATGATGATGATGATGAAACTAGACAAAAATTCTTCAACATCAACAATCATAGGCTTGATGATCGTCGTCATCATCGTCAACGACGAGATCCGTCCGCATCATTGGGCATTTGGGTGGATTAATCGCCTCGAAGAAGAAGAAGAAGAAGAAGACCCTTGCCCAGACGCAAAAAAAAAAAAATGCATCGGGCCGCCCGAAATGCCTGCCAGCGTTTTCACATGCAAATGTCTCGTCTCGTCGTCCAAGAGAGAGAGAGAGAATCCGGCCCAAAACTCATCATGAGCATGGGCTGGCTGTATGATATGCAGTCTTCTTCTCCTCCTCCATCATCAATCCAAAGAGGAACGAACAAACAAACAAACAACAGCTCATCATCAATGCGGCCGGCCTTCGCGCGAACGCCGTGCGACACGGATTGTCCGGACAAGCCTCTTGATTGTCCGTCCGTCCGTCCGTCCGTTCGGGTACAATAATGCGCATGCGGCTGACTGCGGCAAAGTAAGCCCAAAAGTCCGAAGATAAGAGAAACTCCTCATCGACAGGTCCGTCGTTTTCGCATGACCATCCATCCATCCGCTTCTGCTTCTGCTTCTGCTTCATTCTTCTCGTGTGCCTCCTTTCTTCTCGACCCAATCGCTCCCCGCCCCCCTCTCTTTAGCTATCATCGACTCGAATCCTCTCCCCCACGCCAATCGTTCGTAAGTACATCAAAGAGCATGATATCCGGGGAAATAATGGAGGTGAGGCGACTTCGACCAACCACCCTGAGACAAGAAAAGACTTTTTCATCGGCTTTCGGTTCATCTCGAAGCCCGCTTCAATATATATACAAAGTATAGATACAAAGGATGGATATATCAAAACATCAACGAACAACAGAGGCGCTCACTGAGAGCCCATAAATTCTTCTTCTTCTTTGAGATTTCCACCTTGGTGCCCCAATCCCCAAATACCAGTGATCCTGCCTGTTCTCTAGCTAGGCTAAGTCGACAACACTTATCGCTGTGTTTTGCTTGCTTGCTCAGGGTATCGTAGTCAGTCAGTTTAAAGATTAAGATGCGTATGTGTGTGGGTGTATATGTTATCCTCATTTTTTTCCCCGTGTCCTCGCCGCTGCGTCGCGTGAAAATTCTTTGAATTCATTGTGTTTAGAAGCCCTTGAAGGGATCCATTCCGTCCTCGTCAAAGACGTAGCCTGCTCGCCGTTTGTCGACCGTCGACTGGCTGAGGCCGCTGCCGCGTCGGGGCCGTCTGGATGCCCCGATGGCGGGTGGCGGAGGTGCCGGGACGTACAAGACGCCGTCCCGTACGTTGGGGTCCACGAAGGCTTCCATGCGCACCGTGCCCACGGCTTCGAAGAAATTCGGGCGATCGGGGCTCGCGATCGAGCCTCGTGTGCTGCCACCGTACTTGGTCGACACGCTCGGTCGGTATGAAGAGCCGTCGGTCGAAGCGCCATGACGAAGAGCAGAGGACGCGGAGGATGGGACGGCGCTCGAGGAGAAGCTGCGGAAGTTGGCCAGGGACTGCGACATTCCGGGCTGGGTGTCACTTCGTTTCCGTTGATGGCGAGTCGTGCTGATGTAGAGTCGTGGCACGGCGGGAAAATCTGCACTGTCGTTGCCCTCCACGCCGGGCAGATCGGAGCCGTACGGCTGATCTGGCTGCGACTGCACCTTGTGAAGCTCAGGTCGCTTGCCCTTTGCCAGGCGGATGGAGTCTCTCACGGTCGACCTTCCGAAGGATGGAGATCGATGGCGTTTGATCGGGACTCCATCAATGGAAGTAGATGGGATAGCCGGTACAGGCGGAATCGGTGGGGCATGTACTTTTGAAGGCGGCGGCCGCGGAATCTGGGTCGGCAGTTGCGCAGATTGGGACAGGAATGACAGCGCCGTCATCCAAAGAGCATGCCGCTCCTCGTTGATGGCCGTGAACTTCAAAGCACGCTCCGGTGTGAGGATCAAGATCGAACGTTTCCAAGCAGTATACAACTCCGCGTTCTTCGGCAAGGGAGTGAGATCTTCGACGTCCAGCACGGATTGAATAGTCACTGGGTCAGGTTAGTACTGCGTCTGGTAATGTACGATATCGCAACTCACATTTCCGCCCCTTCTTGCCGAGCAATGCAGCACCGGAGTTGGGTTGCTTGGTATCCCACATGATCGTCCGCTCATACGGAGACAGCCAGACCCATCGCTTGTGCCGCGTGCCATGTCCAGTCGCCAAGTTGACAACGCCATTCTGATCAGCCACCGGGAACTCGGAGTTGTCTTCGCCAATTCCGAAAGATTTTCGCTTTCGGATATACTTCCACATCCATTCACCTACCATGGTCGCGGCAATAGCATCAACCAGATTCGTCTCCTCTGATACGCGTGCTACGCTGCTGGCTTCTCCAGGTGATCGGGATAGATCCACAGAACCTTTGACGTAGTCGAATGCAAGATTGTCCTGCAGAGGGGTCGGGAGCTCAGGGATCGGGAATTTGGTGGGCGTCGGGCTCTCAAATGCCATGGACTGTACGGGTGTCAAGTCTGGAGATCTTCGTCGCCTTCGGTGCTTCTGAGGCGAGACCCTGCCATTTCTGTTCCTGATCGCAGCAGCCGACTGCACTTTCCGTAGATTCGCTTGTCTCTGCTGCTGCGAACGCGATTGAACACTCCTGCTGGGACTTCCTGAGCCCTCGCTGTGAGGCTTTCCTGTTATGCGCGAGCTTGACCTCAGTGGGATAGGAAAGGGAGGCATCGGTAGATTCGACTGCGTGCTGTAGCTGCTCGACGCCATGCTTCCAAAACTCGAGTTACGGGAATGCATGTCCTTGCGAGCATCGGGCTTGCCGAGTTTCGCAGGCTGGCGTACGCTTCTCCGTTGCGAGGTCGCGCGGCTACTGGCGACAGACGGTTCCGGGGCGGCGCCATAGGAATCGGCGGTGTCCGGACGACGCTCTGGCGAGATCTCCTTGTCCTCGGGAACAGCCTTGGGAGGCTCTGAGAGATTGAAGCGCCCGGGTGGTGGGCGACTGAGGGCCGGAATGGAGCCTGTGAGATCTGCAGAGTCCAGGTCAGGGCTAGTGGGCCCCTCATAGTCACTCGGCTCAGACCATTGATCGATATCCGTGACGTGAGATTCCAGTTTCGACTGGCTGACTCCATACTGCGAGGATCGATTGAGTGGCCCATTGCTTTGAAACGTCTCGCCTTGCGGTGGCCCAGGTGGAGACAGCACAGGCCGCGGTAGAGGAAGGGCTTTCAGTGGATAGCTCCTCAAATCTTTCGAACCGTTGCTGCGGGACATCTCCGGGCTGGAGTCTGTCGGAGACTGCAACGGCGGCGATGCAGGGCTGGAGAGTGCTGATGGAAGCTTGGTGAAGATCTTCGCAGAACCCTCAGTGGGAACGCGCTTGAATCGCATGGGTTCTTGAAACGTGGGACTGGGAAGCAGGTTACATGGCAGCAGATGGGGCGGGAGTTTCACAGGCCGTCGGTCGATTCTAATCTCCTCCGTCTGAACACTCGCATCCTTGCAGGGCCATCCCAGGCGTGCTTGTGTTGAGGCATTCTTGGTACCAGGTGGTAGAGCGTAGGGCCGTGGCGAGGAGGGCCGTGAACCGGGAGGGTGGATTGCGATCGCGGGTACGAAGGAAGGCGGAGAAAGGCTGTCACGCTTTGGCGGGTGACCTCTTGGTCGCGCCGGTTCCACGGAGTCGGTCTGCGTCGCTGCGGTGCTATAAGTCGGTGCAACGACGGATGCCGATTTCTCGTCAAGCCAGGCCGGTTCGTCGTCGACCACGGGTGTTTGAGGCGGACTGATGGGCGAACTCCCAATGGAGCTCCTCAATCCTGGAGTAGGCTGGTGAGGTGAAGTCTCCGTCTGGATCTCGGCAAGGCGCACACTGTCACCAGAGCTATCACCAGTGGTAATTACTGTGCGCTGCTGTTCGTCAGTGATGTGAACACGAGGTGGCGATGGCGGAGGCGACGGCTGATAGCCCTTGTCCACATAAACAGCTCGTGGAGTCGGCTCAGCGATAGCAAGCGCAGGTGGAGGTGTGGTCGCGCGATCCTGATACTGTAATCGCCTGCGTTCAGGCGATAGTCGTCGCATTTCGTTTGCGCTCTGCAGCGCATCGGACGTGAGAGCAATGATAGGCTTTGCCGGTGCAGCCACCTCGACTGTCATGGAATTTTGGCGGTAGTCAACGTGTTTGCGGCGCTGCGGCGACTGCGCGTCCTCGTCGACGTGCTCGAATTCCTCGTCATCGTATTCCTCTTCTTCGTCGATGTCGAGTTCGTCTGCTAAAGTGTTCCCGCCGGGGCGCGCGTAGAGGTCTGGAGTGGCGGCAGTCATGCGCGAAGAGACCGATGTCCTCGCGTTCCTCGGCCTGAAGCTGATGCTGCTCATGTTGCGCCGATGTTTGACGGGTGTCGTGACGGTTGCGGATCGTATGCTCGCAGTGTCGCTACCCTCGCCGAGTCCACTGTCCTTGAAAGTGGCCTCATCGCTGTGCTCGTCAGCCTGAGCCATCTGCGATTGCTGGGCAGCCATCTCGTCCACGACAGCGCGCAAGCGACTCTCCGTGACGTGCACTCTCCGCTCCAGCTGCCGACGTTCATTGTCCCAGGACTCTTTCTCATTCTCCCAAATACTGTGCGTCCGGAGGGCATCTTCGTCCTGTTGACGAGTCTTCTTCTGCGCGATTTCGAATTTATTCTTGAGATCCTCGAGGGATGCCTTGGCCTCGTCTCGCTCTCTGACTACATCTTCTACGGCATCATAGACGCCTCTCTCCATCTGCTGCACGTGCTGCTTCGCCTTCCGCACCTCCTTGGCCCGGTCTGAGAGCTGTTCGTTGAGCGTCTCATTTTCGGTCTTGGCGCTCGACAGGCTGGTCTCCAGGTTCTCGACCAAGTTGTTCTTCGAATCCAGCTCGCGTCTCAAGTTGAGGATCTCGGAAACGAGCGATGCGTGGAGGGTAGGGGTGAATCGTCGAGGGTCCACGGCGGTATATCGTCCATCGCGGGTCTTCTCTTGATACTCTGAAGTGTCAGGGGGTAGCGGAGGGGGAGAAGTCGACTGTTCGCGAGAGGAGCTCGCGACGCGTGACGATCGCTTCGATCGAATGAAGCCGGGAGTCTCGTATGGCGTGTCGGCCGGCGACGGAAGCCGCTTGGCTCCAGCAAAAGAAGAATACTCGCTAAAATAGTCGGCCATGATTACAGTCTGCACGAGATGAGCTCGAGAAGGTTGCTTGAGCTGCCGAATCTGTCGTCCGCAGGCGCCAGGAAGATCTTGTTCGTACAATACATCTACAAGAGGATGGTGTTGAATAAGGGTACACTGCACAGCGGTGAGTCTCGTGGTCTTACAACTCCATGCTGTGATGGTGGGTGGAAGGGGGGGGGCACACTTACCGATTATGGGACAATGGCCAGCATGAGGATCCGCGTGTATCGAGGGGCGATCATAGCGGAGAGGGACAAGTCATGAATGTTGTGAGTGGACGGGACGGATGGCAGACAGGATTGTCGGAAGAAGGTAAGAGAGTAGTGGGTGGTGGCTGTGTGGCGGTCTGGCGTGGATAACGAGGAGGACAGAGGACAGAGCGTCTAGTCGCGAGGGTTCACCGTTCGTGGAGAGTCCCTGCAAGGCGCGAAGCACTGTGAAGGGTTAGCCATGGAGGCAGCAGTTGACGACGCATTTGTGTTTGAGAGCACAGAGGGCATAGTGTGATTGACTTTTGGCGGACACGCCAGTCCGTCCCACGGCACGTACCACTTGTTCCCGCCCCGTTGACGTGCCGCCGCTTGGCCAAAAGGGACGGAGGGTGCGGAAGGGTGAGGCGTCGGTGGGCGCATGAGACTCGTCGTGGCCAACGGGAGGCGGTGTTGGGGGTCTAGTTGAAACGGCAGCTCGGCAACAAGCGCCGCAAGAGAAGCTGTAGTCGCGGCTGCGGCAGGGCAGAGGAGGGAAATCAGCACGAGCTGGTGTGCTCTGTGTGCACACTCCCACACTACTGCTGCTGCTGCAGCTGCGGAAGAGCCGGCGGCGCGAGTGGTCCTGCGACGCAAGGGAGACGGTGTCTTGCCGGGGCCATGGAGGAGGAGTGCCGATCGAAGACGACATGGCAGCGAGATGCCGGGGAGAGGACAAGGAGACAAGCTGGTTTTATTAATGAGCAGGTGAGTGCCGAAATTGACGCTGTGTCCTTATCGCCATGCGGCGGGCAGCGGGCAGCGGGCAGCGCTCATCTCACCAAACAACCACACGGCCTCGCCTGGGTAAAATGAGGTCGGGGTGAGGGCGGGAGGGCGGAGGGCATCGGCGTCTCTCGCGTCGCGCGTGTGGTGCACTGATGCGGAGGAGTCGGCCGCGGTGGGAGATTGGAGGTGAGAGGCTGCAGTGGGCGATGGCGGTATCCGCCGACACGTCGTCGGAGTGAGTCGTGGCGAATTGTCGTGCTGGCATCAACCCAGCACAGTGGAACTCCTCACAGGCACGTGGCTGGGGGGATATCACGCAGCACATAATAATGATAACACATAAGGTATCAGTGCCAAGAGTGCATACCTTATCACGACTCGGGAGTTGCTATACCTTATGTGCCGTAGCGAGATGGGCTAGTGGAGAAGAAGTGGGGCGGGGCGGGGCGGGGCGGGGCGGGGCAGCGACAGCGACAGCGACTCTCTGCTGTGCTCTGCTGTGCTCTGCTGCGTCTCCGCCGTGACAGTGATAGCCGTCCATCCTTGCTGCATATTGTAATAAGACGCCGCCAAAGAGGCCTGAGCTCCGAGAGGGGATAAGGTACGCTGGCTGAGGGGAGGCCGAGGTGGCTCTCCCGCAGTGCGTTGTTGAGGCCGGAAGTCAAAAACTTGTCGCCAGGACCCGCGATTTGACTGAGATTGACTTTGGCGCCAGCCTCGATAACCTCCAATTGCCGGACGACGCCCCTTTGGGGCATGAACAGCCAGACTACTGCACCTCGACGCCTTCCGCACGGATGAATCTACATGCAACTTCGGCTACATGCGTCGCACCGCTGTCTCGTCGTCGAATTCAATCCTGCCCGCCCCGAGCCCACGGATCCGTACGACCTGTCATGCAATAATCCTCCTGCAATAGTACTCATGCAATAATACTGTGATACCCTTTCCAGCGGCCTTCGATTCAGACAACCAAGCCTCCCTCAACATACTTGCCCTAGGCCCGCGAATGTCGACTTCCGTGGAGTTTATATGCTCTTGGAGCTCATGGCCTGCAGAACGCGTGCGGCCTGCATCTGTCTGCTCAACTCCAACTTGCTCACCGGCACAGGCGCATGCAAAGCATTTCAAATGTCCAAAGACAAAATCCGGAGATTCGGTCCATGCAGGCACGACAAGGAATCACGCCCATGACTTCGCGATCTTCAATGTGTCGTCTTCATGTGATGAGAAACAGCCAGGTGTATGTACATGCAGAAAGGAAAGAGCTGCCCGCTAGCGCCGGCTCGTCCCGCAGCCGTGTAGAGGAGAAGTCCGCGAAGAAATCTCCTCGCAACCACGCCATCCATCTAGAAGAACGGTTCAGCACGACAACAGCGGGCGAAAACGGCATGGATGCATGACATTTTCCTCGTGTTGCACGCGTCAGGACGACGACTTCCTCAGCCACAGCCACACTTATCATAATACCTCTGACTCGGCGATACGGTACGCAAGCGAAAGCTGCCAAGCCAAGGTCCCGCGTGTCCACAGCCAACATTCAATAAAGAAGACCATGACTTCCGTTCAGAGCAATACCATCCCCAAGGACCTGCCGAGTAATAATCCGGCCGCCGCACCACGCGACGATGCCGACGAATTCATCGAGACGGTCTCGGCGGCCATCCCGCCCGGCATGCAGCGCCAGCAGCAAATGTCCGCCGACGAGATCCTCACGGAGCTGAATCGCGTGCCGCTGTTCATGACCTCTCTGGACGAGACGGACGGCGAGGGCGGCGAGAACACGATGCTCGAGGCCATCAAGGCCCTGGCGTACGAAGGCACCAAGGCCGAAGTCGCCGAGAATTTCCGCCAGCAGGGCAACGAGGCGGCGCGCGCGAAACTCTGGAAGGACGCGCGCGAGTTCTACACGAAGGCGATTCAGACCTTGCAGGGGAAAGTGGAAACTACAGAGGCGCCCGCGGATCTTTCTAGTAGCGACAAAGTCACGGCAGAGCAGCAGCCCGACGATGATGATGATGATGATGAGGAAAGCGAAGCAGCAAAGGAAAAATCCATCCTCGAGGCGTGCTTCACCAATCGCGCCCTCTGTAACTTGGAGATGAGTATCACTTCCCCGTATATCCCCATACTCGAGCGAATAATACCACCCACCTCGCTAATACATCCCCTTTCTTGCCCCTCCAAACAGAAAACCACGGCTCCTGCAACAGAGACTGCGCCGCCGCCCTGCGCCTGAACCCCCGCAACGCGAAAGCCTGGTATCGCGCGGCATCCGCGTGCCTCGCCCTCGACCGGCTTCCCGAAGCCCTAGATGCCTGCGCCTCGGGCCTGCAATTTGACGCAAGCAACGCGGCGCTGGCCAGTCTGCAGACGGCAGCCCTGCGGCGCCGGGATTTCCTGGCGGCGCTCGAACGCACGAGGCAGGCGCGTGCGGAGCAGGCCCGTCGGGAACGTCGTGCGCTGGACCAGGCTCTGCGGGAGAGGAATATCGCCACCAGGGAGACGGATTCCCCGCCTGAGATGGAAGATGCGAAGATTTCGCTTCGTAGTACTACTATTGCTTCTTCTTCTTCTCCTGATCATGATGATAATGCTCACGATCCAAATGGTAAAGCGGAACTCACCTTCCCCGTCCTCTTCCTCTACCCCCTCCAAGCCCAGACGGACCTCGTCAAAGCCATCTCCGAACACGAAACCCTCCTGCAACACCTGGAATACCTCCTGCCCGTACCCTGGGATCAAACACACGATTACGTGCCGGACGACGTGGAATGCTACATGGAAACGTCGGCGGGAGGGCTGATCAGAGCGGGTAAGAAGCTCAGTCTCGTCAAGCTGCTGGGGAGCGGAAAGGTGGAAATCGTGGATGGGTTGGTGCGGGTGTTTGTGGTGCCCAAGGCGAGGGCGGCGGAATGGATTGAGCAGTTTAAGATTCGGAGGGGGAAGCAATAGTGCATGTAGTTAGTGTACTGCGTCATGCCACGAGCGAATATGATCTGCGTTTAGCGAATGACTCGGTATTCAACCAGAGGAAAGGGGCGGTATCGTAGGAAAGCCTGCCCTTCACTCAGCCTACCATTACCATCTACCCCTTGTGGAACTGCTCTACGGCCGTCGATGACCATATTAGAGCACAAGTGCTTGATGAGGATATCAGCTCTGGCAGGATACTAGCTTTGTGCGAATCCCTGCGCGCCACGCTGACATTTCGGACGTGACAAGGCGCTGCATATGCACCAACATCGACACTTTGACCAGGAAGCGAAACTCGTGGTAGAACAGGTCGATCGGCCTACTGCGTGTCTGCAGGGTAGATGATCCCAGCTTGCTTTCTCATATCCGAAGTCACTTTGATGACATTGCGGGAAATCTCCTCCAGCTCAGCCAGTGCTGTGACATCTTGCTCCTCCAGAATGCGGGCGAATTCGGCCGCTTCCTCTTCCATGTTGACGTTGGGCTTGTCGACGGTCTTGTAGGGACCGGCTAGCTCTTCGCTGTGCTTCGTCTTCGGATCGAAGTGCTTGAGGGCGCTGATGTCTGTAGTATAGTTGATCGTGAGAGTGCCCTTCTCGCCGTAGATTTCGCAGGGCGCAGTGCTCTGATACCCCTTGGAGATGTTGAGTTGTACACCGAAGCCGTCGTATTGGAGGATGCCTACGCCGCCCGCATCGACGCCAGTCCTGCAGATGTAAGGGACGTACGTCTGCGATTGAGGCAGGCCGAAGAGAGCGACGGCGAATGTGACCGGGTAGACGCCAACATCGACCAGGCTGCCACCAGAAAAGTTTAGCGAGAAGATGTTGGGTGTCTCGCCGGCCAAGACGTTGTTGTATCTGCTGCTGTAAGACGCATACTGTACGCGACGATACGTTAGCTTCGAGTCCATCCGTCTATTCTCGTGATGTGCCCACCTGGAAACTTGCGCCGTGTATAGGACCTAGCCTCTTGTCCTGGTTGACCAACTTCTTCAAGAGCTTGTAGTTCGCCTCTTGGATATGCCTGTATGCTTCGATCACATAGACTCCCTCCTCTTTCGCTATTCGAAACAAATCATCCAACTCGGCGACTGTAGAAGTGGCAGGCTTTTCTACGATGACGTGTTTCTTCGCCTTGAGCATCTGCTTGGCTTGTTCATGATGGAGGTTGTTCGGAGAAGCGATGTAGACGGCTTGCATGTCCTTGTCGGCCGCGAGGTCATCGAGAGAGGTGTATAGCTTGGAACAGTTGTGCTTCTTGCCAAATGCCTCGGCTTGCTCGTGTGTCCGGGAGTAGACTGCGTGGAGCTGCCATTTCCCTGCTCTCTGTGCGGCCAAGATCCAGGAGTCGGTGATCCAGTTGGTACCGATGGTGCCGTACGTGATGGTCATAGTGGGTATGTGAAATGGATTGCAGTATTGTGTCCGATCAGGAGTAGTAACCATTGGAAGTGGGGCAACTGACAAAGCTTGGACTCGGGCTATGGTGGGGTGAGTGCCTGGACGACGGGGCGGGCGTGGAAGGGGAAAGCGGGTAGGTGCGGAAGCAATACTAGCAGAATCGTAGCATGGCTTGGCAATGCTTCTGGCAGTCGCTTGCTCGTTCATTCTGCGAAGTCCGAGTACTCTCAAGCTCTTGCCACTGCCGACCTCGTCGCCTCACAGACGCTGCATGAGATGAGAACTCTTGGATTGATAGGCAGGGATTCGGAGCACTGGAAGGTTTCACGCCCTGCGTTCGGACGAAGGGTCCCCGAAACTCTCGATGAGCAGTGCCGTGCAACCTCACCTCACCGCACCACGGCACGAGAGCTATGTGCCTTTCTGCTGGAAAAAGCCAATCCTACCATCTCCATCGCCATCGCCATCGCCATCGCCATCGCCATCGCCATCGCCATCGCCATCGCCATCGCTTCCCTCGACAGTGATGGGCAGGTTCGTGGCGAGCGCTGGCGTGAGGTCGGCGACGCAGAGGAGCTCCAGCTGCAAGTCGCCTGGGCGGGTGTGAGCCGTAAGGTATCCACACTGTGTACCTTGTGAAGCTTCACCTCACCTCTCCTGCCACCACCAACGACATGTCGCCAAGGCACGAGTGAACCTACCTCAGCATAACCATAACCTAGACGCGACCGCCAGCAACTCATCGTGGGGCACGCGGGCAAGCAGCACCATGTTCATGGCCAGCCTCTTCTCCGGTACGTCATATCTCTCGTCTCACCCATCGCTGCTTCCGTGGGAAATGCCATCCAGCGCTTCACGGGCAAGAGCTGGAGAGATTCGGCATGCCGACCCGGCCACGCCCTACACGCGGCGCCCCGGATCAGATCTCCCGGCCACTCACGTCTCCATCATCCGGCGCCTGCGGTCGTGGAGTTGAGATACATCCATCATACACATAGATGTTGACCTAGGAAAACGCCCTCGGCCACTCTGTTCAACCCTCAAATCTCGACAAGCCATGAACGGGAGCGTGCCATCTGCTTCCCATGGCCCCTTCCAGATTGGCCAGGACAGCCTGGTTTGCCGGAACGACGAGAAAGAAGGAGCGCCACAAGCAAGATCTGGGCAAGAGAGAGCATCCTGCTGTTCCAAACTCTACCTCAGTCGCTAATCTGAATTGTCCTTCAAGGCGCTGGCCTCCCCAACAACACTGATCCAAGCGTTGAGAGGGACCCTCCTCCCGAACCCACACCCGTCACCTTCCCAAGCCCCGAAGCATACACTACATCACCATGGGATGCCGACACTCCGCCGCCGAGGCTGCAACCTCTATTCGCCAGGATATTGAAACCGTCAGACATCTCTGCCCGACATCTGCAGGCAATGAACATCCAGATCGCGACCGAATGCCCTCCAGACGATCTATTGCCGCTGGCACCGGATGGTAGCTCATATCTGCCTCCTTTGACCCCGGATCAAGCCATCAATGCAGCCTCATATGCAGAAGCCACCAAGGTTGATGCACTGCAGGCCAAGAAGCGCAAGGAATTCGACGAGCGCTTGGCCGAACTACGAGTAGATAACGATACGGGTTACCGTGTCATCACCCGCACCACCAAACCGGACACCAAGCCTCCGCGACTGGCCTACCTGCGAAAGTTCTGGGAAGGCTTGGAGAGCATGGCGCAGTATTGGGACACCAGTATGGATCACTATTACGAAAGTTTCGGCCCCCCGCCAGCTAGCGATGCAGGCGGCGACGGAGAGAAGGGGGCGAAGCGACAGCGGCTGGACTCGCTCCAGTCAAAGCAAGTGACGGTGCCTATACTGGGCTTGCAAACAGAGAGCTCCAACGGCCGCGTGAAGAGCGATCCCACCAACCCTCCTCTGGATCAGTCCCTGAAGATTGCCAGTCAGACACCACTCCCCAGTGTAGACGAGCAATCCGATCGGTCAGAGGACGATGAATGTGCGGTCATGTCGACAAGCGCAACTCCCGAGCCGCAAGTACGCTTGAGGTACAAAGGACGCCGCAGAGGATCCGGTCGAGACATGCCAGATCAATTTCGTAACGATGCCGTGCGACATTTCGTCGAAGGCGCAGTGTGGCCGTTCAGGGGTGCCGTTTCCCCGCCGCGCACCATGCCTATCGTGCAAATGAATAAACTGAACCTGCCTGTACGCCAGACCGCTGCAGTGTATCGACAGCCCGATGATCGAGCGAAATCCAGAGCGGGCATTCTGGCAGGACCGGCATTTTGCATTCAGGTGCGACCGGAGACGGACTTTCATTCGTCGAGCTTGAGCAAAGCGCAGACCGAGATGAAAACGAGGCTGGATCTGATGCGCGAGCTGGGATGCCTATTGCAGTGCGCTGAGGAGCGGATGAGGCAAGGGAAGACGGAAATCCAGCCTGGAAAGGGCAAATGGTGGACCACCACGCCAAGATGGGGAGGTGGCCCGGGCGGAGAAGTTGAGAATCAGCAAGGGAATAGCGATTCGGAGGTGAAAGATGTTCTGCAAATGGCGGAGGAACTAGTCAGCGGCCGAGCAGCCGCCAAGCCGCGGAAGAAGAAGACTCCTGCCATGCTCTGGAAGGAACTGAAGTGTGGCAGTAAAGTGTGGGATCCCAGGACGGAATATGAGGCCATCGGGAAGGACCCGATCTCAGACTATGATGAGGTGAGTAACATTCCCGGCCATGATCTCTTCACGTCAGCTGCTAAGAATTCTCCCAGGTCTTCATGGTATCGTCACTGAACCACCACATCTCCATCCTCAAACTCACACTGCACACGGCGTACACGGAATACATCCGCACCGAAGAGCTGCCCCATCCCTTACCCGCCGATCCCGACTGGTCCATGCCGAAACTTCAGCGAACGCAATGGTACAACCTCTTCGACGTCGATGAACGCGTCCAGGCTTTCCGTGCAGTGTGGGGCGTCACGGCCTACCTGATGCGGGAGATACATAGTCCGAACTCCACTTCGACTGAACAGGCCAAGTCTGCTTCCTAGCAACATCAGCACGCTGAGCCGGTCATGTTGACGCTCAGTCGCCTATTAGCGATGCCGAGTGGATATCATTATAGATAGCGAGTGAGCGAGCCGACGCTTCGTCCAGGGTTGGAGCGTTCAAAGTACCATCATTTTCTCCTCTGATATTGATGACTACTGCATGCATCAAGGCTTCAGCTGGAACAATTTCCCCGCCACGGGCATCCATTCATCGTTCCATCGCCTCTGACACTCCAACATCGCCCCCTCTCTCAATCTCTTCAACGTCTCCCCATCCCCTCCGAACAGCTCCTCCAAGATCCGCGCCAACTCCTCGGCACTCCCGAATCCCCGTCCATTCTTGCCTTCCTGTACTAATTCCGGCCACGCTTCGTATCGACTCCACCCCGCCACGGGCAGCCCCGTGCCGAACATGTCGACGACTTTCATGGGCAGATCCACGCCGGAGGAGGAAGTATGTAGGGAGACGCCGAGGTCTGCGACGGAGAGCAGGGCGGCGTAGTCCGACGGGGAGAGCCAGGCGGTCGTGACGACGACGTGTTGCAGTTTCTGGGATTGCGTCAATTGCGAGATTTTCTGCAGGTAGTGGGCTCTCTGCGGGCCGCGGCCGGTGATGATCGCGACGATGTTGGGGAGGGAGGGGATTTCTTCCGAGTCGGCGGAGAGGGTTGTACTAGTGGTGGTGGCGACGGCGGTGGAGTATTCAACCAGCGCGTCGAGGAGGATGGAAAAGTCTTCATCCGGGGTCCAGGACGTGGACGAGACGAGCAGGCGACATTTCCCCTGGAGGATCTCTTCGGCATATGTGGCCGTTCCCGGGAGTCGGTGCAAGATCTCCGCGCGCTGCTGGGGGGAAGTCGTGGGTTGGTAGATATCCGCCGGTCGGTCGTGGAGGGGGAGCAGGGCGGTTTCGATTTTCCATGTGGATTTCAGGACGCGGGCCATGGCGTTTGTGACGCAGAGGTGGGCGAAGACGCCGTGGGCGGAGAAGAAGGCCTCGTACCACTGGGAGATCCGGACGAAGGGGTGCGTGGGGCCGAGGCGGAGGGCGAGGATGGAATAGCCAAAGTTGTGCCAGTCGATGACGAGGCGGGTGTTGCGCAGGAAGCAGATGGTCTGGCAGATGGCGAGGGTGGGGATCGAAGGGGGGTTCTGGATCAGCATCCATTTCGCGGCCGTGGTGCGGTAGGCTAGGGTGTGGTAGAGGCTCCAGATCTGGTAGAGGACCTTGATCGGGGCCAGGAGGAGGAAGAGGAGTTTGCTGTTCGTTTGGAGTTGCTGTGGGAAGGGTCTGAGGGGGACGATGGTGATGAGGCGATCCTGTGCAATGTCCGGATGCACTTCCGCGCCCGTATAGCCGATGATGTCGACTTTGCCGCCATGTGAGGCAAGGCTTAAGGCGTGGTACTGCATTCTTGGACTCCGGCCAATGTCTCCCAGCACAACGATTTGCACGCTGGCGTCGATCTGGAGTTTGCCGTCTCCGTCTTTGTGCCTCTGGTAGTAGCCGTATCCAGACTTCTCAGGGCTCTCCTTGGCGTCGTCGGGAAAGTCGGCCTCATTGACATGTTGCGGATGGAAGTTGGAGTAGGCCGTCGGTAGGAACCAGATGAGGATGAAGGTGACGGCAGAGCATACGACTGCCGCGGCGACCGTGATGCTCCAGGCCGCCTCTAGCCATGTCATTGTATTCTGGCTGCTGCTGCCCCGAGCCGTCACCTTGCCCGTATCTCAATGATAATAATGCAAAGTCATTCACTCCCGTCGGAGAAATGGTCGGAGGTTAACCTGATCGGGTCCATTTTTAGAGCGTTTACCGGCTTGTTCCCTGCATGACTAGCGGCAGCGGCCCTTCCCGAGCCTCGTTCCGGCTTCCGCTTGCGGGCATCATCGGACAAGGATCGCTAGAGGCGCCTGGGAAAAGGAGTCTCGAGCCTGGCTATGGTTACACCGAGACCTGTGCATCCAAGCCCATTACGTCTCTTTGCAGTCACCCGTTTTCCGAAGCGACACCTCACCCGGAAGAGCTGTGTATGAGAGAGGGACATTTCTCAGGATACTGAGAGCTCGGAAGGGGAAGACTGAGAGACGGATCCAATGGGACGGTAAGGGAGAGACAGACACCACCGACCCACGTTCACAAGCGACACCACCTGCACAGGTAGATTCTTGGGACGGGCCCAGCAGAGGAATGCCCATGGCCTCGAGCTATGCGCTGCCTCCTCACGGAAGCCACTACCAGCCGCCTTCACATGCGCAACACTCCCACCCCCACTCCCGTAGCGACGGCCATGGCCGCCGACCCGGTCACGCCTACTCCAACTCCCACGACCCATCGCTACTATCGCCCAATGCCACCAGACTGAACGCCCCCGACACACCCTCCTCCTCCTCCTCCTCCTCCTACTTTCCCGCAAGCAATGGCGGTCTCGTCAAGAAGGCCGTGTCCAACGGCAGCCTCTATACCCACAGGGAAAGTAGCAGGGAGACGAGCCCGCTTGCTTCGCCGTATGCCGAAGTTCCCTCTGGCATTGATGCCAATGTCGCGGCGGTGACGGCGAACGGCCACCTTCATAGCCATTCACATGCGGACCACGGCCACCACCACCATAACCACTCGCATTCGAATTTACAACCCCACTCGCACTCGCACGCGCCCTCGAACGGACACACTCACGGGCACAGCCATTCGCACGACAACCACGATCATTCGCATCTTCATCCGCCCATGAAGGGCCGGCCGAGAGGAGAGTCCGATCTGGGTAGAGCTACGTTCTCACACGCAAGTGATATGGATGGTCGACAAGTGTCCTCATGGCTCTCTTTCCCAGAGGTCTTGACCAGCCTGCTGATCCCGCTCCCGTATCTGTTGGCCTCGGCCGCCTACTGGAAGGGAAGCCACCACGACGATGGGCTGCCACCTCTCTCGCCGTATTCGCGCTTGCAAAAGTCGGTTTTGGAAGAGCCGGAAGTCGTCGCGACGCTTTCGTATGAGAAGGCCGGGAGCAGCTTTGTCGAGGCATGCACACTTGCCAGTGGGACACTGTTGATGGTTGGCGTACTCGCAAAGATACGGTCGTCGGAGCGCATGTTGGATCGGAGGAAGGACAAGGTCGAGTCTGCGCCGGACATGCGCGACCTTGTCGCTCCGGCCTCGATCAAGAAGATGGCTGTGCGGGCGCTGGGCGTTGGCCTACCTTTCTACGCATGCACGCAGATTGGCGGTCTGCGGACCGGTCTGATCTCGCTTGTTGCTTTAGCTGCTGGAATGACCAACACTGGCATGCTGTCCAAGTCCAGTTGGGGACGTGTGCTCAAAACGAGGGTAGCCTCCATGTTGATCATGCTGCTGGCTGTTGGCCTCGACTTTGCCGGCGTTACCTTCAACGCCCTTACCACTGATCTCTTCCTCGGATATCTGGCATTGGCTTGCTCCCTCTTCCTGGTACCACTGCCACTGCCAATGCTCGCCTCGCCAACAAGCTCCTCCGAGTCGATCCACTCTTCTGACAGTTCGAGCAGATCGCCGTGGAGCCCACAAGCAGCATCTTCTCCTCTGGTTTCGTCTATCAGCGATGTGAACATCACTCTCGGAGCGGGAGTCGGATCGCTGGGGTTGACTATGTTATTCTCGGTCATCCTATCGACACCTCCCCCATTCTCGCTCGCGGCGGCCTCCTTCAGCACGTTGGCAATGGCTTCTTGCGCTGCCGCTATCCTCTTCGCGCAACCTTATACTCTCCACAGTCCACATAGAGCAGGTCTCGGACTCGGCTGTTTCCTCATCGCAATATTTGCATTTCTCTTCTCGCCTTCTCTCTGGCCCGGGACGATACTCAACGGTGGCCTTACTTCATTGTCATATTTTGGCGTTTTGTACGATACTTCATCAACGGCGGCGCACCAGCATAACGAACAGCATCAGCATGAACACGCCCACAATGCGCGCTCGCATTCCCATTCGGACGGCAATTACTCTTTCTTCTCGAAGCTGTTGATAGATCGCTGCGAGCGGGGCTCGCTTTTGCACGGCGTTTTGATTGAGAAGGATTCGAGACGTATCGCGTACTTCACTTGGTAGGTCAAATACCAGCAAGGTACGACAACTTCGAAGCTTTGAGCTCTACTGACAGCGTTTGGCAGTCTGAACTTTGGGTTCATGATTGTGCAGGGAATTTACGGCTACCTGAGTGGCTCGCTTGGCCTGCTCAGTGATACAGTCCACATGTTCTTTGATTGTCTGGGCCTGATTGTTGGCCTTGGCGCCGCTGTTGCTTCGAAATGGCCGACCAGCCCTGAGAAGCCTTATGGGTGGGGGAAACTCAATACACTTGCCGGGTTCGGCAATGGTATCTTCCTCATGCTGGTATCGGTCGAGTTCGTTTGGGAGGCGGCGGAAGGCATCGTCGAAGGCAAGGAGCTACGGCACGTCACGGAATTGTTGGTCGTGAGCACGCTTGGTTTCTTGGTCAATATGGTCGGACTTGTTGCCTTTGGCCATGCTCATGCTGGACACGATCATGGGCATTCTCATGGGCATTCTCATGAGCCTTCTCATGGGCATTCCCATGGGCACTCGCACGGACATGATCACGCTCATGGACACCATTCGCACAATCATTCCCACGACAGTGATCACTCGCACTCGCATACCCCTGTGAATGGAAGTCTCCATGAACACCATGGCCATTTGCACGCCAGCCACAGTCATTCGCACGATCATCACAATGAGAACATGCATGGGATCTTCCTCCATGTGGCGGCTGATGCTGGCGGCTCTCTAGCGGTCATCATCAGTACGGCTGTGAACCTCTGGAAGCCTTGGTATCTATGGGACCCGTTAGCGACAATCATCATTGCTGTACTGATCTTTGCCGCGGCCGTCCCTCTGGTCATCTCGTCGGGTCAGAAGCTTCTCTTGGTGATACCGGATGCGCTCGAGTATAACATCAAGAGCACATTGCAGGAGTTGGGCGAAGTACGAGGAGTTGTGGGATACGCCGCACCAAGGTTCTGGTTGGATGGCAGAGAAGATTCCGGGGACTCGCACGGCCATGACCATCACGGCCACGATCACGATCACGGACCGTCACAAGGAGGAGACCGAATCGTCGGGTCTATTCATGTCATCTCCCATCCAAATGCAGATCTGGATGATGTGAGGTTCCGCGTCGATGAGTTCTTCCATGATCGAAAAATGGATCTCGTTGTGCACGTGGAAAGGGAGGGAGAACAGTGCTGGTGCGGTGGCGGCCCAGCGGCAACACCGCGCATCACCTAGCGACATGTTTACGATTACGAAATGAGGAACAGCTTGGATACCAGTCGCCTTTCACTCGCCGTTTTCAGTACCTACCATCTTCACGCACTCGGAGGTGAGCAACATTTGGTGATGTCTTGAACTGACGTAGTGAAAGGCCGGGTGATGCGAACATTGGCGAAGCCTCTCAACCAGTCGAGAATAGAAATGTCTCGCTTCACTGCTTTTGGGTGGTTGACATGGACGACCGTTGACATGGACGACCCGTTGACATGGACGAACCGTTGACATGGACGAACCGTTGACATGGACGAACCGTTGACATTCCGGCGTTGACGCCCGTGGAGCTCTGGCGTCTGGCTTTCGATAGTCTGCTTTGCATGTGGCTCAACAATGTGGTCTCTCTCAGTACACCGTTTGCAGGTACCATATTCCTTCAAGCGACGAGACATATGAGCGCGTGTCTGAATCTCCCTCGCGGAGTTTTCAGAAAGAGGGTGTCACGGGTGAAGACTCCACTGCACCTGCGATCGAGACCGCATTCCTCCCTCTTCACGATGGATATAAAAAGCGTTACGACCATGTACCAAGAACTGGAATCAGACACAGCTTCTTCACCATCACCGACAACATCCTCAGGCATTTCAAGATGTTGTCTACGGCTTCACTTGCTCTTTTCCTGGGCGCGGCGTCTGCGCTCACTGCTTCTTCTGGCTGCGGCATTCCTTTGGCTTACAATACCATGCAAGGCGGCACCGGATCGAGCAACACCGTCTCTCTCACATCCAATGGCATCAGTCGTACTTTCCTCCTCCATATCCCCACCAACTACGACGCCAACTCCCCTCGCGGTCTGATATTCTCCTATGCCGGACGCGGCGCGACTGCTGCTCAACAGGAACAACTCTCCAGCTTCTCGGATCCTTACTTCAATGAAGATCTCCTCGCCGTCTACCCGCAGGGGGTAGACAATCAATTCCAAGGAGACCCCGCCGCCACGACGAATGATGTACAATTCACGCTGGATATTCTGGATTACGTGAGTGGGAGCTACTGCATTGATACGGATCGCGTGTTCTCCAGTGGGAAGAGTAACGGGGGAGGGTTCTCTCTGAACATCTTGGCTTGCGACGAGCAGGCGAGTGCGAGGTTTGCGGCCTTTTCGGGGTGCAGTGGGGCGTATTGTAAGTCTTTGCCCCCTTTTTTTTTCTCTCCGTATCGAAAAGCTACCCAAACATACCTAGCGCTGTACGCTGACATGTGGTGACAGACCAAGCCAACGCCGCCGACGGCTCATGCTCCCCGTCCACCGTCAGCATCACTTGCAGTCCCAGTCGCCCCGTTCCCATTCTGGAATTCCACGGTAGCGCGGATCCCGTGATCCCGTACACCGGCGGCGAGCGGCGGGGCGAGTGTCTCCCGGCCGTCGACCATTTCATCCAGAACTGGGCGTACCTGGACGGCCTGCAGGCGAGCAACGTGACGCAGCTGTACGATGGCAATGTGGTGGAGACGCAGTACGCGTACTCGGATGAGAGTGCGCTGGGACTGGTGACGAATTTCTGGGTCAATGGACTCACGCATTCTTGGGCTGCTACGGTTCCGAATGGGGATTCGGAGACGCCGACGTGAGTTTTTTTTTGCTCTTTCTTTTCTTCTTTTCCCAAATGTCGCTTCTGGCTTGGGGTTGTTGTGAGTGAGCGCTGTGCTGACTGACCGGCCCGTGTGATGTCCAGGTATTTCAACGCCACGTCGATTATCATGGATTGGTTTGCGCAGCATCCTCTGAAGTGAAGTAGGACGGAGGACGGAGGACTGGGGGGGAACAGACCCAGCGAGATGGGAAAATTTTCCCGGAAATGCGAAGCGTGTGGGAAGACAGCCAGCCAAGCGACAGGTATCAATAATAGCGACACATTATGATTGTGATTTGTTGAAGGAGGTAATTTGGTTGGTTTGGTTTAGAAATGTAGAGAGAAAAAAAATGCAACATTGGATGGATGGATGGATGCTGGAACACCACCTACTTTTGGTTTCGAGAATCATAGTAGAGGAGGGAGCCATCAGAGAATACTAAGGTACGTATAGCAAAACACACATATCCATGGCTTGTGGTCATTATTATTGGCATGTGCTTCAGGTGCTTCAGGTGCTTCAGGTGCTTCAGGTATGGGTGAACGCGCCGCCCGATGTATTTCGTCGTATGCGTTACGTTACCTACCTTACCTTGGAACTCCGACCCGGGACGTATGGCTAAAGAGGAGGTATGTATGTATGTATGTATGTATGTATGTATGTATGTATGTATGTATGTATGTATGTATGTATGTATGTATGTATGTATGTATGTATGTATGTATGTATGTATGTATGTATGTATGTATGTATGTATGTATGTATGTATGTATGTATGTATGTATGTATGTATGTATGTATGTATGTATGTTTGTATGTATGTTATGTATTCGGGCAACCTAAAGCTTGAAGAAGAAGATCATCGTCGCCCGCATCGTCTCTAGGTACTTTCCGTATACCTTATATGCCGATAGATAGATTAGCCGCCATGAATCAATCGCAGCTGTGGAAATGCATTTAGGTATTCTTTCAAAGGTGGGACTCTTTCTTGACATCGGCAGTCGATTCGTTACGGCCTCCCTTGCCAACAAGCAGATCTGGCAAGATTGTGTATATATATATATATATATCTCAAACCCCCCCCCCTCCCCCAAAAGGGGTCCGTCCTCGTGGGTCTCGGCCTCGGATCCGAATCTTCATCCCTTTCACTTGATGAATACAAAAGTGCTACCGCAAGGGTTCTTTGAGGCGGAGATCTCATTGCCGGTGGGAATCGCATCTGCAGGGAGTGGCTGAGGTGGTAGCGCTTTACTTTCGGAGGCCGAACAAGGGTAGATGGGGATATCTCTACCCACAGATCTTCACAGGTGTAGCATTCTTGGTCTCATCTCTCTGCTTGTCTGAGCTGTGGCGCGTGAAGAGGAAGCAGAAGAGGTCGGAGGCTTCGTTATGGCAGATTTCTGTACCTCTGATAGATATTTGGTCTGTCGCTCATTTCTCTCATTGTATCGGAAGTTTTAAAGGTGCGTCATGCTCTTCTGTGCCGACGTCAACAGCCTGGCCGTATCGATCCAAAGTCTTTCCGGGCCTGGCCAGGCGGAAAATGGTGAGCTCTTGACTAGCCATCATACCAGGATTTCCGTCAAAGTCCACTGGGCGACGCTCGACGAGAGTGAATCCGCATTTCTGCAGAATCCGTTGACTTGCGATGTTGTCCGCAAGCGTGTAACCATCGACATGATCAAAGCCCGGACCTCCATCAATTGGAGACGGCACGCGTTTGAAGTAGGCCGGTATAAGCGCCTGGAGCGCTTCTGTGGCATAACCTCTGCCAGCGTGGTCTGGCCTTTGAGTCAACGGAGAGAGTCTCATGGGTTGCCGATTGTTGCCACACCTTGATGTATCAAGTAGCCAATTTCGGGCCAGTGGAAACTGCCAAGTATCCCGATGATCTCTGTACCCGCGAGGTCACCGGATCGCTGGCGAATGGCGAAGTTGAACACATCTGGGCCGAGAGCTCGTGCGCTCAGCCATCGCTCTGCTTGCTGGCGGTTGGCAACGGGCCCCTGCGTGCTGTCCGAAGGCGACATTAGAGCGATGACGGCGTTTATTCAGTGCAGTGTCCTTACGTGAACTGCATGACTTCTTTGCTGGAGATGATCGGCATCACAGCGTCGAGATCGGACATCTGCAAGGTCTTCAGCTGGAGGCGTGAGGTCTCAATAGTGGTGATTTCTGGTTGCTCCAGTACAGAAGACCCGCCATCTTCGGCCATGCTGAAGGACTGATATGTCCAGCTGAACCATGACCGGGTTTAAAGTGGCAGTGGTAGTGCTAAAGGAGTGAGCTGAACGGGAGTCACCAGAAATGCCCGTGCACGCCTGGCGCCGATCTTCCTTCATCACACGTGAGAGAGCCTTCTTCACTCTCATTCCGACAACACCGCCAACCTTGCCGGATATCGCGGCCAAAGTCGATACTGCCCGAACGATATGGTTCACGTCGCAATATCGTTGTATGCGACCTCTCGGCCATTCCAAAGACTTTCGCCAACACCTTCCTCTTAGGGACGCCTTAGGCCGAGGCTCAAGAGAGTTCGCTGCGGGTCCACCAGCAACATTGACGTCTCGACTCGGTCGGGTGTATATAGACGTACTCTCGAATCGATTCTTGCAACATTGCTGGACGAGCTAAGTACTGCACGCATTTCTTTCCATCTTTCGCACTAGTCATGTTCAAGTCAGTCACAACACGCGCCGCAAGGCAGTTCGTTCAGCCAGCGTGCGCTGCTCGTCGATACGCCTCTGGAACCGCCAATGCCTTCGACTGGAAAGACCCGCTAGGGAGCAACAACTTGTTCACAGATGAGGAGATGGCAATCTCGGAAACAGCTGAGGCGTACTGCCAGGAGCGAATGCTACCTAGAGTGCTTGGTGTGCGAGCCTCGCGGGGAGAGATCAAATAGTGGGCCGCTAACGTGGGCAACAGAGGCGTTTCGGAATGAGGAATACGACAAGAAAATCTTGGAAGAGATGGGAGAGCTAGGTCTGTTAGGTGCAACAATCAAAGGATACGGCTGCGCAGGCGTGTCGTCTGTAGCGTCTGGCTTGATCACGCGAGCTGTCGAAAGAGTGGACTCGGGATACAGATCAGGCATGAGCGTGCAGTCGTCGCTGGTAATGGGCGGTATCGAAGAGTTTGGCACCGAAGAGCAAAAGGACAAGTTCTTGCCTGGCATGGCGCAGGGCAAGATTCTGGGCTGCTTCGGGTTGACCGAGCCCAACCATGGCTCGGATCCTGGCAGCATGGAGAGCACGGCGAAACCGCACCCAAGCAAGGAGGGATACTACAGTCTGTCTGGCTCCAAGACGTGGATCACTAATTCGCCCATCGCGGATGTATTCCTCGTGTGGGCCAAATTGCACGAGACTGGCAAGATTCGGGGGTTCTTGGTTGAACGCTCGCAATGTCCGCCGGGCACTCTGGAGACGCCCAAGTTGGGCCACAAGAATGGTCTGCGCGCATCCGTCACCGGCATGATTCAGATGGATGGCGTTCCTGTGGCGAAGGAGATGATGTTTCCCGAGGTTGAGGGCTTGAGAGGGCCATTCTCGTGTCTCAACAGCGCCAGATATGGGATTGCTTGGGGCGTGATGGGTGCGCTGGAGGACTGCATTTCGAGGGCACGCGAATACGCTTTGGAGCGAAAGCAGTTCAAGGGCAACCCGATCGCGAAATACCAGCTCGTCCAGAAGAAGCTCGCGGATACGACCACCGACGCTGCGTATGGCATCCTCGCGGCGTGTCAGGTCGGAAGGCTGAAGGATGAAGGCAAAGCCGCGCCGGAAATGATCTCCATGATCAAGCGACAGAACTGCGACAGGGCACTCATCGGCGCGCGGCAGCTGCAGGAAGTATTCGGGGGTAATGCAGCCAGCGATGAGTACCACATTGGACGGCACGTTTCGAATCTGTTCGTGACGCAGACATACGAGGGACAGAGTGACATTCACTGTAAGCTGAGAATCGTCTTTCCGTGTGCTCAACAACGTGATTGCTGACTTCATCCAGCTCTTATCTTAGGACGGGCCATCACCGGTATCCAGGCCTTTGTTTAAACTTCTCCGACGTTTGAGCAAGGTCTCACTTGGCAGTGTCGTCATTTCCATGACTATTTGCGGCGTGCAGATGGTATGAGCGGGGCCCTCTATAGAGGTTCGGAAGAACAGAAGGCGAACAATGTGTGTGACGCTCGACGAAGGCCGAGTACATAAGATATGGTTTAGACACCCTGGTTGGAGGGACAGTTGCAGTTGCAGTTGCAGCCGCGCGCGTGCCCTGCATTGCACTGCACTGCACTGCTCAGGCGTGCGGCTGAGTGAAGAAAGCGCTTCCTACTCCTTACTTCGTTTCTATTCGTTCTTGGCTTCTGCAACAGTGTATCGTGAATTATTACTAAGGAGCAGCGAGTAAGATTCACTCGTGCGGTCGGCGCGTCGGCGGAAGCCCGGAGTCCATTTATTGGCCAAAACCCTGCGGGCGGGCCTTGCCTTGCCTTGCCTTTGCCTCTCTGCACTCCGACCCAACTGCAAGCAACCTGCGTCACCACCACAACTTCTTCCTCGATACTTCCCGTCTTCTTCGAATCAACCAACCCTTGCGCCCACACGAACAACCACACACAAATACCTCCACACACCAGACACACACATACCATGGCTCTCAAGCGAATCAACAGTGCGTATCGCACACCCCACCGTCGGTGCCGACAGTCATGCTAACACGCTTCGCAGAGGAACTCACTGACCTGGGCCGGTATGCGGACACGTACACTGCGATGGTTACGAGAATGCGACATACTGACAGACATACAGCGACCCACCGTCCTCGTGCAGTGCTGGTCCGATCGGCGACGACTTGGTATGTACCGCCCCCACCACCACTCTCCTGCCCCGCGGCGCTCGCGGCGGGCCTCCATGGGGCATGGCAAGGCTCTGCGAACACACGGCTGACAGACTTGCGTACAGTTTCACTGGCAGGCGACTATCATGGGACCCGGCGACTCTCCATACTCCGGCGGCGTCTTCTTCCTCGCGATCCACTTCCCCACAGACTACCCCTTCAAGCCGCCGAAGGTCAACTTCACCACCCGCATCTACCACCCGAACATCAACAGCAACGGCAGCATCTGCTTGGACATCTTGAGGGATCAGTGGAGCCCGGCTCTCACCATCTCGAAAGGTTCGTGAAGAGGACAATACATAATTATAGCGACCTTGGTGGACAAAGACCCGCTAACATGAAGTCTGCAGTACTGCTCTCGATCTGCTCCATGCTCACCGACCCCAACCCTGACGACCCACTCGTCCCCGAGATCGCACACGTGTACAAGACCGACCGTTCTCGATACGAGGCTACGGCACGCGAGTGGACTAGGAAGTATGCCATCTAAAATGAGGGGTGCGTTGTGGACATGATGGAAGACCCAACTGAGCCTCGGGAAGAGGCTGGAATCGGCTGGAATCATTGGACGTGAGACACACTGTCGTGGGCTTCAAGGCTTTGCTTCACTGGCGGCGGAGGTACTCTCCACGACCGTAGCTTAGGCGGCATATGCTACGTTGCAACGGATTTGACGAAATGCTGCATTCGGACACGACGGGTGCCTTTTGATATATCGGGTGTGCGTTCGGGAGTCAAATGACAAGTTCTGGGTTTCCTGGTGTTTTCTCTCATGCTTGATATTCCATGTAGCTCCTTCCTTTTCCAATTCATGCCAGGGTCTGTGCGATTCAAAGCAAAAACTGTCCCCGACTGCCCATTCTCTTCTGCAGAGCTTGTAAATCCACCGACTCCACAACTCAATATACATGTGGACGTCAACTGGCTCAAAGATGGAGAACACCCACACGGCGATGTTGACGAGCTACACAAGAAAAGAATCTGACGAGGTATGTGCCTTCTTGCTCGCACTAACACTCTCAACGGCCAAGGCCATGAGGACAGGTACAATTCGGAGGCTGGCTGGCTGTCACCGCGTCGTCTTCAACACCACGGAACTGCTCGAGCAGAACTGCATTCGCACTCGAGTCATCCATCACAGGACGTCTGGCTAGCTAGCCAGCCCCAGCGATTCTCTGCACTACATAGCTGGAAAACATTTACATCGAGAATTCGACGCGATTGCGGAAGGAAGGGATTGTTTCTCTCTGTCGGCCAGCCGCGGCTGCTCTTGCTCATGCTCACTTTCTCGAAGGCAGATGGCTGGATTACCGGTCATCAGAGAGGGCGCGCGCGTGCCCGAGGCTTCAGGGATGCGGAGGGTGGCTATACAGCCAACTTGGCCGCTGAACAAAGATGTTCACGATATGATGGGGCGGTCGAAGTGCAGGTGGCTTGCATGTCGGATGGGATCTTCAGCAGCGGAGTCTTCGCGCGGAGGATGTGGGGGAGGTTGAGATTTGTGAGACGGCGTTGGATTTGTCCTTGTTCGAAGGAGTGACGAAGTCTTTGTTTTTTGGGGAGTGACGATGGTTGAGAGGTAAAGCTGTGTAAGACACCATGCCATGACACAGTGTAAGGGTATTCTCTTTTGGAAGAAATCTCAGCGGACAGCACACGAAGCCATCGATATCACATGCTGATATACAAGGCTGCAGGCAGCAGCGGAGCATTGATTCACAGACGAGAAGTCGAGCCTGGAGCAAAAGACTTTCAATGGACTCTCTATGGGTATCTCGGTATACACTACGTACTTTTATAATTCACAATGCCTTCTCCAACGCCTTCTGGGCTCGGTGTCTCGGCGCATACGTCTGGCTCGAAGCCGAATTGCGTCTGCAGGAAGTCTTTCGTCGTGGGTCCAATGGTGGCAACGCGAGTGGCGAGAGATCCCGACATGAGTTCTCGCCTGCCGGCATTATACATGCCTCCCTTCTCGTCCAGCCAGTTCAGAGCGCTCAGCATGGCCTCGCAGCCCTGCGGACTGAAGACAACAGCCCACTGCTCCCTGACCTTGGCCGCCCTTGCGGCTTTCAACAATTCGGTGAAGTCCTCCTCGAACGTCGCCATCTCTCCCGTCTCGTAGACCACCACTTCCATGACGGGGATGCGCTCCGCCTCCGGGAGCTCTTCCGATTGCAACGTCTTGGGAATGATATCCCTCCGCTGCTCCCCGACCAAGAACAGAAGCGGCAATTTCCTCCCCTCCAGATGCGTCACTTCCGGGGCGAGACCCGCGTGATACTCCTGTATAAACCTCGCCAGCGCCTCTCCATTCCCCGTCCCCTCCCCCACCACGGGACACGGCAACCCCAACGCCCGCACCCCCTTGGCCGTCGCGGGTCCCACCACATACATGGGCATTCCCCCGTCAAACAACATCTCCCGCTTCCCGGGCTCCAGTTTCGCCACGACGGACCCGAAGGCCTCGACGGCGCGTTGCGACGTGAAGATGATGCCGCCGTATCTCTTGGCCGGGTTGTGGGTGGCTTTCTGGCGGGCGGTGGCTTCGCTTCCCCCGGCGAAGGCGAAGCGTTCCGCGGACCGACGCAGCGTCCGGAGGGTGTCGTCGCGGAATTGGTGTTCTAGTACCGGGAGGAAGATGGGTTTGTATTTCCCATTCTGGAGAGAGGCGAAGTATTCCTCGTAGGTGTCTGTCGGGGTGGATTTTGTCTTGAGGAGATAGACTGGGATCTGGTTCAGATTTACATTTTGGAGGGCCGTGGTGACTGTTTCCATTTTGGTGGTGGTGGTGGTGGTGTTGGTTTCTTCATCGATCGATTTCTTGGTTTTGGATACAATTGATGAAGAGTAGTGAAGCGAAGTCGGGTTGCCTGGCCTGGCTCTTTCTCGGCAATAAGTCGAGGCGCTCCGAAAGCTTAATTCGGCCTTGTGGATGACCTCAGGAATGTCCAGCACGCTCGGTCTCTCTCTGGGACAAGGGCCTGGATTTGTCAGGATGATGGATGCAATATCATGCCCATCACCCAACTCGACTTCCCCATCTTGCTTTCTTTCAACTGTGCGGTCCAGAAGATGACGGGCGCTGATGCGGCGGGCCAACAGCAACCGCAACAGGATGCGACTGGCGGTGGTTCGATACCCTTACCCAAAGGCGTTGTGTTGGGGCCAGACGGGAAGCCGTGAGTTTCATGTCTGTGATAGTATGTTCTGGTGGAAAAGCATTGCTGACTCTTCTCATGGCCGCAGATGTCGAACATGCACTTCCTCGGCGCAATGGCGAACGATGATGGGCCAAGCAGCCAAAGCACCTCCCAAACCCCAACCGAGCACCACGCAATGTCCCGCCGACGTCGAAGAGCTAGGCCGATCGACATGGACGTTCCTCCACACCCTCACGGCGAACTACCCTGAACGCCCCTCCTTCACACAACAAGCCGAAACCAGACAATTCCTGGGCCTCTTCGGGAAACTGTATCCCTGCTGGCATTGCGCGGAGGATTTCCGGACGTGGATGAGCGAGGGGAATGCGCCGCGGGTCAGTAACAGGGAGGAATTCGGGCGATGGATGTGTGAGGCGCATAATGCTGTGAATGTGAAATTGGGCAAGAAGGAGTTTGATTGCGGGCGGTGGGAGGAGAGGTGGAGGACCGGGTGGAAGGATGGGAGATGTGATTGAAATGAGTTTTGTTTGTTTGATGAAGCATGAAATGATATACATACCAGGCAGGCAGGCATGAGCTGTGGCGCTACGATGGGCAACAGGACAGGGCTTGTTATTCGAGCGGAAACCCCCCATCTCACTGTGATCTAGAACGATACATAGCGTCACCGTGGCATGAGGGTCTTGGCTGCGCGGCGCGCTTGAGACTTCGCTTTCTTTGCTGCTCGTCGCAGCACTCATCAAGACTTTCTACCTCATCTGTCCCTCCAGCCGGGTCCTTTGGGTTCTTCACCTACGCGCGCCACGCCCGGTAGACTGCACAGGAAAATCTCCGAAATTCCAATATCTGCTCTGGAGTGAACTCGAGGCCCAAAAGAACACCAGACGTCGGTCATTCGGAAGCCTTCTTCTCGGGTAGGCTGATTCTCTCGTCCTCGTGGCGGATACGCCACAAATCGAGGTCTATCGAACGGCTTCTGAATATCGCCCTTCTTGTTCTTGAGGCTTTATTGGGTTCCATCATCAATGGGTTTGTGGACAAAAATCGTCAACCTTGGGTAGGCCAAAGTCAGCTTCCCATGCCAACTTCTCAATCCGTGCTCGCAGTTTGAGGTGCAATCCAGTAGCGAGTCTCTTGAGTGCAGCGAAAGGACACTCCATCGTGAAAGTATGTCGTGGTTGTGCGAAGTATGTGAGGCGCCTCGTGGTCTGTCTTCCAGCTAGCTCTTCCGAGTGTGCCTGGTGAAGTCCCTACTTTTCTCTTGGCATTGAAAGCATTGCATATTGTCGACTTGCTGAAGGCATTGGATCGTGGAGTATCACCTTGTGGACTGGGCCCTTCAAGTGTCGTTCTATAAAAGCGTTTGGAAAGATCGGCCGTCCGAATGTCAGCCTCATGCGGAGCACATATTCACCGGACGGAGCTGATTGTGATCACAGAGAGGGAGGCACAGCTTGCTGCCCCGGGGGTGCAATTCGTTCTCATAGCATTATTGAAGGAACAACGTAATCTCTCGAATTGCCTCGGTGAGAAACTGGTCGGTTCCGTGGCGTCGTGGAGAAATTGATGACGAGCCCGCAGTTTCGCAAGCGCGGAGTTGCGCGTGCCTTGATAGGGAAGTTGGAGGAGGTTGCGAGGGAGAAGAAGAGGGAGTTGCTGGTGAGCTTCCGCGCCGCAGGTTTTGATATTGCAGCGCTGACGTTCATCGCGAAGTTGCTTGATACCGAGATGGGATCTGTTGCTGAGAACATGTATCTGAAGCTCGGTTATACGACTTCTGGTGTGGTGCCGCGGTATAGTATATCATCAAGAGATGGAAGGCTGGTAGATGAGAGGTTCTTTTCCAAGGATCTGAGGGATGAGCCAAAGTAGTATTTGGCCGATGTCGCGGATATTGATCTGGTACAGCTCAGCTTTCTTGGGTTTGATACATACGACGCTCAGAGGGTAGAGCTCAGGTCTGCGGGAAAGGGTATCTAGGACTTTTTGACATCATCGAATTTCACGGCACCATCCTGTCCCACACTGGCATAGCTCATGGTGGTCTCTGCAGGCTTCGAGAGCGGTGCGGTAGTTGATGTGCCTGCCTCCGCCGCAGATTTCGCGTGTAGTGCTAAGGGGACCTCGCCTGCTGGGCTATCGGCCATCTCATTGATGTCCCGTGAAGTGACAACATCGCTGAGAGCTGCAGCGCGAGATGAGACCAGAATCGTGACTGGTCCGTGGAAGTGCAGAAAGAGCTACAATTGTCAGCAGATGCTCCTCATATATGTGATACAGTCTGACGTACTCTATCTCCCCAGATCGTCCTTCTCGCCCAGGTCCTGAGCGTGAAGGCAGCATTTCTGGCCAATTTCCAAGCGGTGCTCTCGCGCATGGTCCTCCAGAAGCGCGTGTCAGGCAACCATGTGAATGGATTGGGTATTTGTAACCGCAAATTGTTCGACTTGAACCGATACGGCTGCGGTGCATGCTGCATCATGCTGTAGGCGATTACGTTGCTGGGATGTACAATGTACTCTTCGCCAGTCCTGAGGGTGATTTGATGCATGAGGCCTTTACCAGAAAGTGCGAGTAGACCTCGTCCGGTGACAGTCGTGCTACCCCAGTGTGCAAGGCTCTGTATTCATCAGAACGGAGCTTTCCCTCAAGAATTGTCCAACGTACCATCTTCATGTTCCATCTCGGCTTCAAGCTAAGGGTATGTCCAGTCCATGCAAGGAGTGCATTTCTGTTCGCTATCATCCAATCTAACCTCCCATCTAGATGTACCACCACCAGCGATGTTATGGGCGACTTGGTCGCTATCAGTGCGGTGTAAGGTGATGCGGAGGATATCCGCTGGTAGATGAATGGAATGCCGAGCGCGGCTCGTCTGAAAGGTTCGAGGAGGGATAATGTCGAGATGGCCTGAAAGCATTAGGAACAGCTCCTGGCACCTCGTAACGTGTATGCTCACATTCTCTGCTTTGCCATTGAAGCCCACCAGTGTCCCTTTCCTCGCGTACAGGTTCTGTGATGCGGATATGGATGCGGAGAGAAGGGAGAAAGGACTGCCCAGTACTTCGAAACGCGCATCTGCCACCGACGATCAGCAAGAGTCTTCTTGTGCTCATTATACATCCTACGTACCAGCAGATGGGGCAGTAGCTGGAGAAGATGTCGGTTCTAAGCTCTGAAGAGGCTCTGTTGACGCCGGAGTCGCGCGAATCTGGACATATCGGCGAGTGCTGATGCCGGAAAGAGTATTCTGTCGTCGGAGGTGTCGGCAGGACAGACAGACGTATTCCAGCGCCTGACGGCGCATTGCAATTGTTCCTTACAGGCGGGATATATTTGAACGCGATGTGGTTGTTTCTTGACATGGAGCTTGATGTAGCTGGTGCGTATATTACTCAGCATTACGAATTCTACGCCAAGGCCATACACAAGAGGATAAGCACGCTCTCTAGTCTCCCTAATTCAGCATCAGATACGATATGGTAAGCGCATATCTACTGGCGTGTTGTAGGAGCAAAGTCCAAAACTCGGGTCACCTCTGTCTGCCTACTTGCAACGAATTCCAATGTTCGCTTTAACCCATATACATTGTCGTCCGCAATCCATTCATAACGCTCTGCCATTCGCGCGTCTTCTTGGCTCTCTCAGCATACTCCGCCAGGCTCCCGGGCAGCAAAGCTCCTCGGCCTACGTCCTGCAATCTCACAAGAACGGGAACGAGATGAGCATCGAAGGCGCTGGGTTGCTGCAACCCGAACATCCATGGTCCATCTCCGTTGCCTGGGAGGTATCCACAGATACGATCGAAGAATTTCTTGTGCGTGACCTCTGCATCTCGGATTGCCTCAGGCGTGAGTTTGGCGTTTAGATCGACTTTATTCGCCCTGAAGCGCCATCAGCTCTGTACCCTTTCAACAAGCTCTAAAGTACTTACATATCCCACTTGGCTTGAAGGAGCTTTCGGTGTCTTTCCGAGATCTCATTTCCGTCGAGCATCTCCCGCATTCTGGTCAAGGCGCCTCGTGGAGAGACCACGGCCTTATGGCCTCCAAAGGACAGCGTGAAGAATGGGAGCTTGTGGATCTCATCGAGCAACGCAACAATCTGATCTCGATGCGAGTCCGGAATCAAGCTTGGGAACATCGTCGCAAAATGATAGGTGATGTGCTCACTATCTGCCATCGGCTTCTCGAGCGTCGGACTGGTAATTGCTGGTACCTGGAGTTTAACTCTCAGTACAGAATTCATCACACGGCGATTAGTACCTCACCTGGCCCTTTGGGTTTACGTCGCAGAGGAACCACTCGGATAGTTGTTCTCTTCCCTCGTGAATGTCCACTGGTCTGCCTTGAATGGCTATTTCAATCCCGTCTTTCCCTTCACCTCGCACAGCCAACGTGTACCTCAACATAAGCGAGCATAGCGAATCTGTAGCATAATATACGGTGTATGGTATGGGTACCATAATGCCAGCGCCTCCAGGATCCCTCGGATGCGGTAAAGGTGAAACTAAAGCGCTCTCAGAGAGCAGGACTAATGTCCTCCAAAGCTGGGAGCTACACTTGGATTTATGTTCTAGCTGTGTTCGCTGCCCGAAGGATCTGTCAGTCTCCACATCCTTATCAGCCTCATGATCTGCGCTCATAATTTACCAGCCGAATGCACCTAGCAGAATTCCGGCCCCTGCAACCAGCGGGCTTCTCGCGAGACGAGCCGTGGCTTAGGCAGGGAAAGCTGGAGCAGACCGAGAATAAAAGACCTTCACGTTAACCAAGTCGGCCTCACCCAGTGAAAATGCGGACCACGAGAGCGCCATATCTGTCCGGGCCATGCGAGAGGTCAGACAGCGTAACAAAAACAGAAAGACAAGAATAGCACAAATCTTTGATCGTGATAGATGATGGCGCTGCGAATGGGACGGGCTCATCATGTCATGATTCGTTCGATTGGCTATCTCTAGATCTCCCAGAGGACAGTCAGGGTCTGTTACGCTGACTTCACATTAGCACTGGAACAGAGCTACTGCCAGATGACCGACGGAGCGCTCCGCTTTTCGGTTCCTATCAATGGCTACGAAACGCAGTCTCTGGTCTGGCCCTGCTCATCGCTTCACTTCCTCAAGCAGCGTGTTACTGTGATGGTGCCCATGGACAGCCGGCCAGTGTACGGTCGATCGATCTGAAGTCACTAACTCCGAAGCGACTCTGTGAAGCAATCCAGGAAGTATCTTTACCAGAGACTGTTTCCATTGGCGTCATGATGGTGGAAAACGCTGTATGTCAAGCTCTCGCAAAGAGCTGCCCTACTGACTGCTTCTTGTAGGTTGCTCGTGGAGAATGTCTAGGGTTCCGCACGCACCTAGGAGGTCTGGAAACGACGATCGCTTCCGGGACTGGGATCCTCGGCGACGATAGTCTTCCTACGTAACTGTCGAACGGGTTCAAGTTCTGTACTACCTCCTGGCGGAGCCTGTTCAGATTGCCTCCGCTGGCCCTTCGACCGATTGCCCTGATGCATACGCGCTCGTTGCGAAGAATCGCAAAATGATCTCGTTACGCGTCCATATTGAATCCCGCTCCATCAAAGGGAGAACCACCCCCTTCTTTCTTCAAGCCAGACGCTCTATCTCGAACTCGACGCTGGCCGATCTCTCCATGTGCTTCGAACTCTGCCACGGACGCTTGGGAGTTGTTTGGATCTTGGTGTTGCTCTTAAGCTGTTCTTGAATACTCCATTCATCTTCGTAGCTTCTCGTTATTGGGAGTGAGCTGCTCGTGAGCTGTCCGACGCGCTGGCTGATTGAAATGTTATCACAGAGGATATTCTGTCTAGTGTCGTCTGGGCTGCGAAGGTGCGGTGTAAGTGGAAGAGCAAGTCTGACGGAGCAACGGGTACGTCCGGTATCTGGTATCGATTCTGGCGATTGAGAAACAGGCAGATGCTCACAGGCTTTCGTCGCAGGACGCGTAGAATGGTGCGCTTAGGGACGGTTGGCGAAGAGTCTTGTGCAGGAGATGATTCAGAAAGGATCAGAAGAATCTCACTTCCTGTGTTTGCGGTTCTTTTGACGGCGGAAAATATCTGTTTGCCTGGATTGGGGTTATCTAGGCACCGTCACATAGCCAAATCGGCTCTCACCTTCCCCAAGCTTGTGATTCTCGCCACGCCATCACTTCCCTCACTGGACGAACATTTCTCGAGATCTAAAGACTTTTTACAGCATCGTACCAGCCTGCTCAGCACCATGATCGCCTGCTTCCTCCTTGAGAGTCTTTCCGCCGAGCCACGCAACAAGATCTATGGAGAAGTGATGTACCCTCGCATTCTGGACACGTGCAAGCAAATCCACTCAGAGGCGAGTGGTATTTTCTATGGATAATACATGGTCCTTCTGGGCTTCTCCCTCGCCCACCCCATGGTAAGGAGCCTGAAAGAAGGCGGTGTGCGACACGTCTGCAGCCCTTGAAGGGGGTAAAAGGGGCAAGTGAAGAGGCGGACGGAATTTTTGGATCCATGGTGGACGTACCTCGCGTGTAGATGTCGGTACGTACCGACTCAAACATTCCCCAAATCTTATATACCTCTTCACAGACGCTAAGACCCGAGTTGCTGGAAGAGAAACCTCCTTGTCGCTGCTCGATGTATTCTCGCACCTTCGTCCATTCGTGTTGATAATGTTCGAGACGGTCTGGCAGACTGCTGCCTTTCAGATAAGTGAGAACCCCAGCGATAGCAGTATTGATAGCTCCGAAGGACGTGACCTATTTTAACCAGCTGTGAACACTAATGGCATTGCAAGTTTCATACAGCACTACGACTTCTATTCGCTGCTCTCAGGGCCGTCAAAGCTGCGACCACGACGATTCGTAGGCCGAGGTAAGCATCAATGCGGATCTGAAGAAGCGAGTGCTCAACAAAATGCTGTTTAGAAGTGCTTAGCCGTGCCACCCCTTGCACATGCCATGGCCAATCTTAGCGCATGTACTTAATCAAGTATTGAAGGCAATTCATGCTGACCTCGTCGTTTGTCGTGGAAGCTCGGCTCTTCTGGAAGTCAGTGCTTCTAGCTTCAGCTGGTGCCCACTTCCAACTTAACTTAGGTTGCAGCGCCTCCACCTCCATCACATCAACTTCCACATCAATATGAGCGTACGATTTCGCATCAAGACATTGATGGAAAAATTCGCCGCGATGAATACCGAAGTTCAGTTTCGTCTTCTGGATCTTCCGAACGAATTGATCGCTCACATCATCGAACAAGTGGACAGCGTCAAAGCACTTCGAAAGCTATCCCAGACATGTCGCCGGGTTCAGGAGTTGACAGAGCCTTTCCTGTACCGCGTCGCTCTCGTCCGCTCTGGAAGGCGTGCCGAGGCCATCCTCCGCTCCCTCGAGACCCGGCGCGCCCGTGCTGCCGCCATACGCCGCCTGGATGTGCCCTGCGATTATCACCAGCATCAGAATTTCGAGGCCTTGTCTTCGCTGCTACGGCAGGCTAGGAATCTGAAGACCTTGATGATTGAAAGTCCGCAGTGCAACAATGGGGACTTTGAGGACGAGCCGACTTGGAGAGTAATGGCAGAGCACATCTTCAGCCCCTTCCACGATGCAGTACGTCTGGCCGAAATTGGAGAGCCTTCCAGCAGGCCACTGCACAATCTACGAGAGCGTGAGTGTCTTGATGCATCATCGTGACTTTTCATAAAACGTGAGAGGCCTCTGGCTAATAACGCCAGTTACGCTGCATCTGAATGGCATTGACTCTCCCTACTGGACGCCGAGTGGCAGCAGCCTTGCGATATTCCAGATTCCGACGCTGCAGTATCTCAAGATCTCGTGTGTGAACATCCTCGACGATCTGGCAAAGCAGCTGCAGGACAAGCCGCGTACGCCACTTAAGCATCTGGAGCTGGAAGAGTGCAACATCACGCACCTCGGCCTGTACGGAATCCTATCGGTCCCCGAAGCGCTCGAAACGCTCTATCTAGGTACTACACGACTTTGCTCAAAATTTCAGTGTTTTCTTAACTGACATTGGAAGGTGAAAACATATACAACATCACTGCATTCATGGGCTATCCCGTCGACCCGGCAAGCAACCATCTATTTCAGACGAACCCAAAAGCCGCTCTCCATGCTCTACAACAACAGCAAGGCTCGCTTCAGTCTCTGACATATGCTACGAACGAAAGAATCTATCAGCACATGCAGCTCGCTCGTCAGATCCTCTGCGACCCGTCACCAGTCGACGCGGGCTTTGCTGGCTTTCACTGCCTCCAGCATGTGACTCTTGTAGGTCAATGTCCGAACTTTGAGCGAGCTTTGATGACCTCAAAATCGCCACCGATATTGAAAACGTTGGAACACCAAGAAATTAGTCCCTTGCGCAGGACTGTTGTCAATCAGGCTTCGCCTTTAGACTCAGTTCCATTCCTCCGTGCGCCATCCTGTTCAATTCCGACGACATTAGAAAGCGTGGACATCACATATCAGTCGATATCGTTAATGAACTCTCGAATCACCGAGGCGATCAAAAACGAGTTCATTCAACCCGCTGCAGTGGCGGTGGAAACGATGGGAGTGAGGATGAGGGTCTTCAACCGACAAGTCGCAGGCTACTTTCCCCCGTATCTCTACGGCGAGCCACGACCAGTCAGCGAGATGTTGTTCACTGGGTACAGAGATGGATTCGTGGGAAAACTGTCCGAGTCGAAGCCCAGAAGCGACCAAAGTTCTTCAGACGGCGATGAGGAAAGCACTTCAGAGTTCGAAGATACAGAGGATACAGAGGATACGTCGTCCGACGAGGACGAGGAGTGACAATCTTGGGATACTTCCTCGTGCGTCACATGAGATTGCTGGGCACGTTTTGCCTCTATAGTACGAATTTGGAGCCGACAAATGAAGGGACCAGTCTACCCGGCATCTGATTCTGGATCTCAAACTTTGCTCGCCACCCCGTGCAGTGTCCAGCCAGCATCATCTGTGTATTCAGTGCTCCAAGATCAGACGCCGTACTCGTTATTTGCTCTTGATCGGCGTCGGCAAGATGGTATCCCCCCATCACTCCGTACAATGGAGTTCCACCACCAAGTGCACCTGCGCATCGAGCAGCGTTGACGACGCCCGCGTGACTACAGCCTGTGAACATCACGATTCCCTTGCCTTGCGACTGTCAGTCTCAAGAAGAGATATGAAGCGAGCAAATACGTACCCTTCAGCTTACACATCAACAACCGCTCATCTCGCATCTCAGTATCAGTCTCCCAGGCCTGCTTTTTCGCGTCGAACCTGACGCCAAATTTCAACCCCTTCTCATACGGAGTCACTCTTGGGATCTCGCCTGATACCAGAAAGAAGTTGTCGAGCACCGTGTGCGGCTGATCGTTTTTGGAGACCTTCGCGCCCATTTGCTCAATCTCATCGAAGGTTGGATCTGCTATAAACGAGAAAGGGTTCCTTCCAGGGGGTTGCATGCCTCTAAACTCTGGCCGGGCCGGGTGGAGGTCTACGATCACGGGGTTGGCTTGGCTCCCCTGTTGGATGCGCGCCTCTTCTACCATCTGAAGTACTTTCAGCATTCCGCCCGAGTGATCTCGATGCCAGTGAGACAATTGGATGGCTTCAATCTTGCTGATATCAGCCTTGAGGCGTTGAGCATTGCGCTCCCATGCTACCTCCTCCGGGCCGGTGTCGAACAGGATCGTATGTTGTTCGTCGCCTCTGTACCCCGTCACCATCAATGAAAGTCCATGAGCGCTGCAGCAGACTTCATCCATGCGGATTTCTCGATCACATTCCGCACGGTCATTTTGAGGCAGTGGTGCACTTGCCCAGGAGATGTCTCTCAAGGTGCCTGATTGTTTTACCGCGGGATTTGGACTGGGAGAGATGGGGTCGAGTTCGTTGTCGACGATGACGAGGATTTCTAGGGAGTCCAGCTCGACTAGGTCGTGGTGCGCCATTATTATCGGATCTGAAAATCGTCGAATCCACCAAGGTGTCCAGAACAGGTACGTATCAATCGCACAGGTGCCTGAAGTCGTTCCTGTCTGCACCTCACGGCCAGAGTGACGTCTTCGGATGGGTGGGGAGCTCTATGGGCTACTAGTGAAAGCTTCCAAAATCCTTTCGGCCACAACATGGGCAGACATCAGCTTTCTCTTGGCGCAGCCCCTCTGTGTTTGGCAAGTGAATGACTTACAATGCGCTCTAGACGACGGGAAATTTTGTCCAAGGATGCCTATATCATACAGACGTCCAAAGTTACAAGATTAATGTGTACGTCCAAGCTCTGTCTATCTATCCCTTTGTGCCCCTGATTATCAACTCTGCCGCTCTTTCCGCCATTGCGTACAGCGTACTGGTAGGATGTCCACCCAAGATAAAGGGGATAACACTAGCATCGCACACCCTCACATTGGCCGTGCCGTACACTTGCAGGTCTCCATTGACCACACCACCCCATGCCCGAGGCAGCATAGCAGCAGATCCGACAGCGTGCCAACCGGCGCGGAAATTGTCCTGGTAGAAGGCCTTCCATTCCTCATCGCTTGCGTCTTGGGTCACTTTCGCCAACCCGGGCCGGGTCTCCTCGCCCATGGAATCGACCAGAGGAGCCGTAGCGAAGAAGCGACGCACCCACCGGGCGGCCGCAATGTAAATGTCCCAGTCGTAGTCGGTTATGAAGTAATTGTGGTCAATGATGGGCTGCGCACCCGCAGCCTGCGCATTTGCGCCGGAGATGTGCACGTTCCCGCGTCCGAGGGATTGCAAGGGCCAGAATTCTAGAGTGACCGAATCGCGGGTGAGTGCTTGGTTGGTGAAGAGTTCGACGGCGGGAGCACGACGGTTGAAGATGGTATCGTATTGGACTTGGAGTGAGTTGAGAATCTGCTCTGCAGTAATCGATCCGTTGATCCTCTTGGAGATGGTGGATGCGTAGGCGGAAAGGGAAGAATTCACTCGAGCTTGAATTTCCGCGGCTCCGTCGCCGAAGATGTCTTCGTATGTGACGTGCATGAGGTAGTTGGTGGTGATTTCGTTCCCGACTGCGTCCGGGAAGGAGATGTTGGAGGTGTTGCTGAGGCTGTACGTGATGCTGCCTTGCATCTGATCTTGAAGGTTCTCTCCTACACCAGGTAGGTCGATCTTGGTGGTGATGTTGTAGTTGGCGAGGATCTTGGGGTTGCCGACGCCAGAGTATTCCAGAATGGTCGGAGAGCGGTATGAGCCTGCTGAGACGATGACTTCCTTGCGAACGCTGACGGTGGTCAGGTTGTTGGAGTTGGCTATCTCCACGCCGCTAGCTGTAACATTATCACCACTGGATCCATCTGCCCAGGTGATTCGAAGACAGGAAGTTCCTGCTAATACTTCCAAATTCTTGCGGCTGGCGATGCCGAGATAGTATGCTTCCCTGGCAGACTCACGGAACTGTTCCCTCTCGCCTTCGATACGGTAAGTTCCAGGATACGTCGAAAGACCTCGCGCGGCGCCGCCGTTGAAGTCCTTGTTGCGCGGTATGCTGACATTCGCCGCTGTGCCCTCTAAGATATTGAAGAAGTTTGGTGTCCCAACAGCTGGGAATGTTGTGTTCACTGGCCCGTTAAAGCCGTGGAAGTCTTTGTTGACGGTGTTGCCAGCGTCTTCTTGCTCACTGCTTGGGAGCGACAAGCTTTCGGAAGACTTGTAGAAAGGGAAGAGGACTTCCCAGGACCAACTTGCGTCGTTCACTTGACCCCAATTGTCAATCTCGCTGGCGTCTGGTCGGACATAAGCCTTGCCTGCCTTTCGTCAGCTCGATCACAGGTCTGAATTGCAATGATCACACTCACCATTGATTTGACTGCTACCACCGAGAATCTTGCCAGCAGGCAAGTCCATAATCTGTCCTCCAGCGTAAATCTGCGGCTGACTTTTGTATGCCCATCCGGTTTCAACACCTTGGCCAGCGGGTTCATCCGGGCTGACGTTGGCTCCAGCCTCCACGACGAGAACTTGTGTGTTGAGATCCGCGCTCAGTTTGTTAGCGAGTACAAGGCCCGCGGTACCACCACCGCAGATAACATAATCATATTCGGATTGAAGCTGGGCGTAAGCCACTGACAAGCCGGTTGCAATTAGAAAAGAAGAACGCATGTTTCCAAGAGAGCGACAGGAAGTAGGAAAGGAATGATTGAGCAAAACCAAGACCAGTGGACTGTGAGTATTTGTGCTTCTCCACACATTTCTTATCGGAACGGCAGGCTTGTGTCGCTCCGCTCATGGGGTTTATTTGCGGTCATGTTGGGCCAAGAGCGTACTTGCCCCTTTGGGAAAAGTCTCCAATTAGACCGCTAGGATGTCCTGGGTTCGGGTTTAGCAACGCACTCAATGCCGACGACATGATCTATGTCCTGTTATGTATGCTGGCAATTAGTATTACCGCAATGTGTACTCCAATACTTCCCGGCAAAGCAGGCACGAGAGCATTGTCTCTATGCATGCTCTGGAAATACCCTTCGGTAGGTGTCGAAAGCGAAAGGTTAGGGATTCCTACTTGTAGCCAAGAGCCTTGATGCATGAGTGGCACTATGGGTCCATAAGCACTAGCGAGTGACGAAAATGACTGCGCCTTGCTGCCGCTACTGCCCGAATAGCTGGCTGATCACAGTACGATGTCCAGTAATTTGCGATCACGTGAAAGTACCTGGCAACAGGGCGTATGCCTTGCGGCTACACCATAACGATCGGCTTGGAGCTTGGGGCTGGCAATTCGATGCGGTGCGGCTCGGTGGAATCTCGTTGCGATGAACTGCCGTTACTTGATGTTTCCGAGCACTCTGCCTCCAACAGGATTTGATTGCTGGTGTTGACAGGCGAAGGTTTAAGCAACCTCGCTGGCGCTTGCCATCGCACAGCTCTCCTGCGAATTGTGAAGCACAAAAGTTAGTGAAGAAGCAGCTCGAAGCGGAACTCAGACCGCGTCCTCCACTTTCTCCTCCTCCAGAGGCATCTTCTTGGACATATCGACATTTTCCGCTATTCCCTCTGGCATCGTTTTGGCGATCTTGACCGGCTGGAAGGCGTTGTTGGCGGTCAGGAAGAAAGCATCGACATCTTCAAGTGTTCTGTTCTTGGTTTCTGGGACGAAAAGATAGAAGACGACCACTGAGAGGATGTTGGTGCACACGTAGACCAAATAGTACTTGTAGCCTAGACACAGATCAGTAAGGCTTCAAGGGAGGGGGCATATCGAGCATTGCTCACCGATGCTGTCGAAAGCAACTGGAGTGATCTCTGCAACTAGGAAGTTGAAAAGCTACCGGAGTGGTCAGTCTATCACATATCGGACCGTCTTTCATGACAACTCACCCAGTTGAAACCGCCACTCATTGCGGTGACTTGTGATCTGATCCGCAATGGAGCGATCTCACTGGCGTACATGAACGGAATCAAGAAAAGGCCGATAGGAAAGGCTGCCAAAGCCATGAAGTAGAAGAGGAGCGAGACGCCATTTGCAGTCTCATTAGTGGTGTCCGACTGTAGTCCAGCGAGCGCAGCATTTGCGATGCACATGAAGAAAGCTCCAGTGATAAGAAGTTTCCGGCGGCCAAATCGGTCGATCAAGAAGATTGCTGAAGTTGCCATCAAGAATTGCCACGTCTGTAAGCAGCTCGAGATGATCCGGGACAAGACAGCAGAATACCCCAGTCTGTTTTTCAAAATGGTGTTACTGTAGAAAGTTATCACGTTCACGCCCGACATCTGTGCCAGGATGTTTACTCCAATTGCAATGAGTGTACGATTGAGGTACCGATTCGGTGTTTTCGCGAATGGGTTGCTGGAGTGTCCTTGTGAGCCAAGCTCAATGGAGTTGTGAATGATCTGAAGCCTGGCTGCGACGACCTCTGACCCTTCTGACTCGTCTTCAAGTTTGCTAAGAACCCGTCTAGCTTCGGCGTTGCTGTCTTTTGCTACGAGCCATCTATTCGAAGTCAGCAGTATCCAGACGTGAACGATGAGCAACTTAGTATACCGCGGAGATTCTTCGAGAAAAGGCACCATGCCCATGACAACGAGCGGAAAGATAGCCTGGAAAGCTATTGGAAAGCGCCAGCTCACTTCATTGTCTTTGATGAAGAAGAAACCAAGCTCCAACCAGCCGACAAACATAACGCCAAAGATGGCTGCCGAACCTTCTAGCATGATGAGGCTCCCTCGCTGATGGGCCTCAGAAGATTCGCCAACCCAAGTCGGCACAGTGGCTGTGAAAGCGCCAACACCAACACCTGCGACGGAGTCAACTCAGACATGATTTTTGGTGTATCGGAAAAGCGTTAGCTACCGGTCACAATTCTGGCCACTATCAGTTGAGCCAATTGAAAGCACGTCGTCTGCAGAATGACTCCAATCAGGACGGCAACAGCGGCGGAGAAAGTGGTCCATTTTCGCCCAAAGCGTTCGCCGATGAAATAGCATGACAGAGCGCCGAAAGCTGCTCCAACTTCATACAAGGCTACAGTCGTGCCTTGCAATGTTGAGTTTTGGTTCTCTTGTGCTGCAGTGGAGGTATCAATCGAAGGGAACGCTCGCTCAAACGTAGGCATGGTGAGGAGACCGTTCATCAGAGCCTGATCATAGCCTTGGAGGACCCTATGTTCGTTAGACACGGCCCAGTGGTCTAGCTATGTTGATGACACTCACCATGCTGCTGCGCCTGTGAAGGCTAGTGCCAGGCGAAGTCTTCTTCCTCTCATAGCCGCCATGATTAAGTACAAGACCCCTAGATCAAGCGAAGAAATGGAGAGATGGTAGAGGAGGAAGGTATGGACAGATTACCAATCTAAAAGGTCTCATTGCATAGGAGGGCCTGAATGGTACCCACCCACACCGGCGACGGTAACCGGCAGCGGATGACATTGTCTGGTCCCCGCACGATTTTCGTGACGCAGCGAGAGGTAGCCTCAACGTCTGTGTAGAGGAGTACGCGCTCCAATCAACGTCGTCGATGGAATGTCCAAAATGGGTAGTCCATGCCGGAAGTTGGAGATTGGGGGCCGGATGACGTGGAGAGACGCTTGTGGAGGAGAGAATTGTCACCGGTATGCTATGTGGTCGAAAGTATCTGGCAGCCAGGCATTTGGCCAAGCGCTGACTTGCATGTGAATGGCTCCCTCGCTGCTCTCGGCGCATGACCTCTTTTGTTTTGATGGTAGATCAGAACGTTGAACTGGCAGGGGACTTCATTGGTGATGAGGGAGATGGGAGAAGAGAAATGTCAACCTCGAAGCTTTGAGCGAATCTTTAGCCGCATCCTTTTCCGGCTAGACCAAAGCTTATCCTGCTTGGCATTTGCCAAGTGAATCTCGAGCTCACGTGTTGAAACATCGTGGTTTTCACCATCACCATGCTCACTCCCATCCTCCACGATGCCAACCTTTAACGTCTTGATACTGCATGTGTAATGGATCTCCGACCCGATCTCTTCTCACCGATTCCGGACGCCGACCCGCCGGCACGCAACGATTGCCGAGAAGAGCAGGCTGCATACCGGATTACCTACGCGCAACATTATCGCAGACCCGACGCTCGTCCATTCGAGATTGGCGATGGCCAGATTTGTTTCGAAGCAGCGCCGTACACGAACTTACTCCGATACCATCGATTCAATATCGCTCAAGAGCAATGATAATCTGATTGGACAATGAATGTATATCGCATGAAGGGGTATCTATGGAATCGCTCGCGATCTTATGTCATTATCGGTCATGCACGTGGAGACGATGCGTGGTCATGCGTGCTCGAACTGGACGAGCTCGCAGGATGATGATCCCTATCGCTCACTGGTAGATTGGCACCTGACCAGTACAGGTCCCTCCAAACGAGGCACCCCCAGCAGAATCCTGGAGGAACTCTGACAGCATATATCCATAATGGGTCCGCGAGCAGCTCGTCGGGTTTAGCGGGCATAGCGTTGTACGCGCAGGCATAGGCCTGAAATACTGGCCCAGTGTCGCGGCCCCGAGATGCACAATCTTCTGCTGATCCTCCTGCGGAAGTATTCCATCAAAGAGTAAGGGGCCATCTGTTTGGGGTGTCGGGAGCTGTTCAACCTACTGGTGTTCCTGACTACTAAAGTTTGATGGCACGCACGCATCGAGCCAAGGCATCGCTCATCAGCATACAGTCGAGTCCTGCGTGCACACCTGGAGCATGATCCTGCTGAGTACTCAACAAGCCTGAGTCGTCTACACTGGTGCCGTTCAAGCGCTCTTTCAGCATTGTGGATAACAATCGATGTCCACGTGAAGCCAGGAGGCTGTCTTCGCACTGGGCCAGGCACCTGATCGCTTGCTCGACCAGCCTCACGTGCTCTCGGTACTCGGCTTCCCCTTTGCGTCTTTGCGCCTTTGCGCCGGTGTATTATGTCAAGGCATAATGTAATCCCAGCGCTGATGAGCTACGCTTGCTCGAGGTAGATTGTCGGTTTTTCCGCTCTCGCTAATGCTCCGCAGCATTCATTCACGATGATATTGCACACTTCCATGGAAGCCCATCTGGTGCCCAAATGGTGAATCCCGAAAGCTTCGGACCAGGAGGGATCTTTTCAGGATAATGATCTTGTACCTAATCGCGCTCCTTGGGAGTTCTCGGCCCAATTGCAACCATGAACTTGACTTTTCTGAGGTCTCGAATTCTCTCCTTCCCAATTTCTGGAGTCTGGCGTCGTACTTGAGGACCTTTTCATAACTCAAACTCGATTCAATGCAATGGTGTGACACTCCAGTAGCACCGTTGCCACGCCCTACCTCTCCATTCACCCGCCCTATATGCTAGTTCGCGAATCGCGAAGCACTTCGTCAACTGAGGAGAACGCGCTCCCGAACAATCCTCGACATTGATATCTAAGCCCGCTAAAACGTCCAGGCGAATGCTCCGTTGCCGCCCGTCCTTGGCACAATTGGCGGCGGGTAACTCAGATACAGCTCGCCAACCCGTCCACATCAGGTACCCAGCTATGCAGTGCGTCCGCGGAGGGTTAAGAATTACTTGGCATGGCTTCTGCTTAACGAGCACATTCAATCATCTCTGTTCTCACACGAGCTTTGCTTTTCCATAGCCCAGGGAGAGAGGTATTTGTATCCATGATCGCTCTGGTAACGGACGAGAATAGCGCACGATGCGTCATGGCAATGCAAATCCGTATTCCTACCACCAAAAAAAGGCATCAAGCCAATGCGAACAAAATACGTACCCAATTCCATGATATTCCAACGCAGACAAGCAATTCAGCATGCATATCCCATCAACGGAGCCACGAGGACCCCGTGCTCGGAAGCAACCGAAGAAGGAACGTTTCAGCAGTATGTGAGGATGATTAATAAGGCTCTGACGAGAATCAGACAGATGCTCCTTGTCCTGGTATCGATAATCAGGAAGCAAGCCTACCTCCCAGATGATGGCGCACGTTGATTGGCTGCTAATTACAGTGTTGGATCACTCCACGATGATCTACACTGACTACCCGGTTTGGAGAAAGGGCGTGGCATCCCTGCCCGAGTGGTAATTTTGGGGTCCAGCGGTTCTGACTGGGAGATAAGAAGCAACTGGAAATACCGTTGCTGTTCCAAGCTCTCACTCCACGATACGAACATCGTGTGGTCGAGCGTTGCAGATCACTTTCGAGCTGTTTAGGGCCATTATTCGATAAGAGCCTCAGCAGTCGTGAACGTGATGAGGCTGTGTTGCAATTCTCTTCTCTCCATGAGACGAAGAGACGCAATTGCAACACACCACTGCTATGGTGAATGCGAGGTTTACCCTGTTGTAGAAGGTAAGGAAAGCAGGTTACTACCGCCACATTGAGAACCAAGAATCTGTTGGGTTAGCAAGCATCGCCGTCGGATCCTGTGGTACTGATGACAGACACACGTACGCATTCCCGGGGAAGCAAGGGTTCTAGTTCTACTCCCAACATCCGGGCATTGCTTGGCAACGTGTCATGCCATGAGATCCCGAAATCAAGTGCAGACAGCATCGGCAGCCCTATTCAAGAAGGATTTTGTGACTACAGTACCTAGAACGCCTCTCCCCCCGGTACGTGTGCACTATTGGGCCCCCTTTTAGACCAAGCCGGGTGCAGCATACACAATATGATCTGCATGCAAGGCGACGTATAAGTCCTCGTGGGCTCTGGGATCCGGTCACGTGTCAGTCTTGTAGTGCAACCGACCGTACCTCAACCACAGGTGACAGGGTGGGACATGCGACCGCAGCACTGCCCTTCCCTTCCGTCTACTCGTATCAGTCACTTCCCTGCCGTAGAGACGATTTTGGAATGTCTTCGTTGATAGCAGGTCGTCATATTGGCCTGAGTCCTCGTCTTGCAGCACTGCGACAAATCTTGGTACTGCATGCATGTAATCTTTGCAAGGCAATTTTGAAGAAGACTCATCCCGACTGATTCGCGAGAGCAGTAGCCCGAGAAGCAAAATGGCCTCTCTACCGATCTTTGACGATAGCCCTCACTTTTCTCCTCTCCTCCGCGTCCAGTTTCCACGCAACGCCGGTGTCCCGCTCCAGCTGGGCGCCATTTAGCTTCGCAATCTCCTCCCACTCGTCATCTTCCATATTCAGAATGAGCGTCATCTGCACGCATCGCGCAAAAGAGTCCCGTAGCTCGTACTTCCCACCCTTGACGGCAGCAGCCACAATGCCGGCAATGTCTCTCTCCAATCGTACAGCTCCAAGCTCATTCACCCGGCCGTGATACGACCAGATTCGCTTTTCCAGCGTCCGAGCGAAATATGCGATGGTGATGGTAATGAGTTTGTCGTAGTTGCTTGGTGTGAGAATGCGTTTGATGGGAAGAGTGAAAGCCTGCCAGCCTCTTTCGAACCGTTGAGTTACCAGGTCGTCGGAGTCTTGATCTTCGCCGCCGTGGCCCGCGCCCTCAGACGGAATGTTGTAGTCGACGTCTCGGAAGGTCTCCTGGATGACTGGTCTCAATCGAGGACGCATAACTTGCTTCAGCATTACTTCTATTGCTTCATTGATGAGTTGGGAAGTCTTGGCTTCGAAACCAGATTCCATGTTGTGAAGGGTCTTCTCGACGGTAAGGGCCTCGTTGCCGAAAGGAAACGAATCGGCTAAGGCTGATGAATGGCCATTCAGTTGTGATCCTTGAGATGCTGACAAGCTCCCAGTCGCAGTACGGACAATTCTTTTTACATAATCTGTTGCGACATCCAGGTTATTGATCAGAACTAGGAATGAGACGATCAGCGTCTCTGTGGGGAGTGCGCCCTGGATAGCAGCCTTAGGATAGCTCTCGTCTCGCATCTTACGCTGGACCATGCCGAAGAAGTCGGAGCCCAGTACTCTCCCTACGGATGGCACGACGCTTGACACGACCGACCGCTGAGATGTAGATAGTGTGCGCTGTAACACCTGATTGACAATGTACATGACATCGTCCACGGCAGACGTGATGAAAGGAGGGTTCGAACCAAGCTGCTTGTTTGGATTCAAGGTGAGGTCAGCCGGAGCTTCATCCAGTTGGAACGACTTCTCGACGGATCGTCGGAAGAAGAACGTGGCCATGAGGTTGAATGGATCCACCAGCAAATCAGTGACTTTCTTCTGCAATGTGCTGTGCACAAGAAACGCCGGTAGGTGTAATTTTGCGTCTGGATTCTCGTCCGTAGCAGCCGTGGTCTTGCTTGCCAAGAATCGAGCATACAGAGACCAACGGCCCAGCATCATTGCACTCTCGCTCAACAATGCGTCCACTTCCTTCATGTCTACCGATTCGTCCTCACTTGCGCGACCTGAGCCTGGAGCAGGAGAGTCGCTTCGAGACGTGAAGCCTGGCTTCTGAGACGGAAGAAAGCTTTGCACGAGGAAATTGAAAGGGTAGCTCTTCACCTCTGTGAGCTTCCTACTCACCCTCCGCTCATCAGCCCAATTGTCCAAGATGAGACCTCCTTGCGCATCGGCTTCTACTTGGATGCGTTCAATCACTTTGGTCATGCTTCCTGGCCCATAGTGACGTTCGACGAGTGGCTCGTGGCCATCCACAATCTGGGCGATATGCTCGAAAAGCTTGGTCAAAGCATTGGCGTAGAACATGCCTTCTCTCCTCTGAGTAGAGCTCATGTTGCTTCGTGCTCTCGACGCAATACCGCTGCATACGTAGCGACCGTATGCATCCAGTCCAACATCGCTGCGACCAACGAGGGGAAATAGTTTGAAGAATCGGGTAACTCTAGCGCCGTCGCCTTCCTTGGCGGCCTTCTCAAATTCTCGCAAGAACAAACCGCACAGACTCTCAGCAGCGGCATTGAGGGTTTGCCGTGGCGGATCCGGGACTTCAGCTGTAGGCACGATTTCCTCAGCAAAGGCTCCATCTATCACAGCGTCGGGGATTTTGGAGGCCCGGAAAAGGTAATTAGCAGCCGTTTCCCAGTCTTGAGGAGCACCCATTGAGCCATGAACACCCAGCACGCATGCCTTCAGCTCTGCGACTTGCTCGACGACTTCCAGAGTAGCTTTGACGGCGGCTTGTTCCCGGTCCAGCTTTTTGACCGCTCCTGAGATCCGGTGGGCAGTTGACGCGGCTGAAGAGAGCATACCATTGCTGATGTTACGAGTGGCCACGACCTGCGAGCCCAATTGAGCGCGCGCGAGGTCGAGACGGCCTAATTGGCGAGTGACATCTTTCTGGGTCTGTAGCAACGTGTCGAGACGCGCCGTAACCGCCGCGTCCCGCTGAGACAGTTCGGCCAGTCCATTCCGGATATCCTCGACACTATCGGCGGTATAGACGTCTGGCGCGATGTGTGAAGGGTGATGATGGCCATTGGCGAGGACTTCGGCCATGTCTGGAGGTGATGTTGATGTTGTAAGAGAAGTAGTGTGGTGTGGAATTGGAAGTCGGGACACAATAAGGTTCTCCGATTCGATTTAGAGTTCAGGAGAGGGCCGCTCGGGCGGGACGGGAGTCCCACATGTTTCGCACCTGAGGCCGCTATCTCCAGTTCTCCACGCGTACAGAACTCAACTCTTTTGCGTTGTATTCCCTCGGATAACCACCGACAACCCAACAATAATCACTCTCAACACTTGCTCCAAACTACACGACTGGCCGCTCCAATTCTGGCTGTGCAGAATAAATCTTGGCGCTTGATTGGCGAGAGGTGTTGCAGGTGTCGCGGGCATTGCGCGTCGTGTGGCCCTCAGCCACAGTTCTGGATGAAGCCATCTCGATACATCACACACACTGGACACCACCACTTCGCATCACATTGCACACGTTTGCTGCAAATCGAGCCAGCTGCGACCCACAACAGACGGCCGACGTCTCCGTGTCTAGGAAGGGAGCTGGTGCGAGCACGATTCGAGGAAGCGGCAAAGCGAAGCAAAGCAAATCAGGCTGCGCAGCCTTACATTCGCTATTCCACGCGAGACGGGCCAGATCGCACGGCACCTCCCTCAGCTCGCATAGCCCGCCAGCGTTAGTCACAGGGAGGAAAGAGCCTTGCAATTGATTTCTTGGAAAGATATCTTGGATTTGGATGGAAACACACAATACCCACCACCACTAGCTTCACATGTTGCGACTTTGGCGTAGCAGACGATAACAGCATCCCTACAACACACGCTCTCCCCCATCGCTCTCTTCTCGCTTGCTGCTGGGCGAGCGGCAGATCATGGACGCTGCCGGCCATGCGCTCTACCATGCCGTCGATCTCTATGCCCGAGCGACAGCGACTGCCACCGAGACGGCGACCTCGACAACGAGCTCGACGTCGACAGCCACCTCCACGTCCACAGCAGACAAATCCTCGCGACCCGGATTCTACAAGATAGTCGGAATCGTCCTTGCCGTATGCTCAGGGCTCTTCATCGGCGTGTCCTTCGTCATCAAGAAAGTCGGCCTACTCAAGGCCAATGTTAAGTACAACGAGGAGGCTGGTGAAGGATATGGATACCTCAAGAATGCATGGTGGTGGTTGGGCATGACGCTGATGATTATTGGCGAGATCTGCAACTTCGTTGCTTATGCCTTCACTGATGCCATCCTCGTCACGCCCCTGGGCGCGCTCGCGGTTGTGGTTACTGCCATCTTGTCAGCCATTTTCTTGAAGGAGAGATTGAGCTTTGTCGGATGGGTCGCTTGCTTCCTTTGCATCGTGGGATCAGTCGTCATCACACTGAATGCGCCGCAACAATCTGCCGTGGCCGACATTCAAGAGATGCAACACTATGTCATTGCGCCCGGGTTCCTCAGCTATGCCGGTGTCATTCTCATTGGCTGTGCTATCGTTGCCTGGTACGTCGGCCCACGGTACGGCAAGAAGAGCATGATGGTATACTTGACCATCTGCTCCTTGATTGGAGGCTTGAGTGTTGTCGCAACGCAAGGTCTGGGTGCTGCCATTGTGGCCCAGATTGGCGGCGAGGCGCAATTCAACAAGTGGTTTATGTATGTTCTATTGGTTTTCGTGATTGGAACGCTTTTGACGGAGATCATCTACTTGAATGTGAGTGTTGCATACAGATCGACGATCCACCCAGGCACTGACAACCACCCAGAAAGCACTCAATCTCTTCAACGCAGCGCTCGTCACGCCGACCTACTACGTATATTTCACTGCATCTACCATTGTGGCATCTGCCGTCCTCTTTCGCGGTTTCCATGGAACAGTAACGGACATCGTCGATGTGATTATGGGATTTCTGGTCATCTGTTCTGGAGTTGTGCTGCTACAGCTGGCCAAGTCATCCAAGGATGTGCCCGATTCGAAGGTTCTCAGCGGAGAGCTTGATCAAATACGAACCGTTGCAGAAGTGGCGGAGCCAGAGTACGAACCACGCGCGGATACCATTCGAGGCGGAGCTGGTATTGTGAGGGCGATGAGCCAAGTGCGACACATGAGAGAGGCAGACGAGGCGAAACGAATTCACGAAGAAAGGATGAAGCCTATCGGAGAAGATGAGACGGTAGAATGGGATGGCTTGCGACGACGAAAGACCGTATCTACAGCAAGCGGGGCCGGCTCTCTACGAAGGGCAAAGACATTGCACCCACCACTCGGCATGTCAAGTTTCCCGGACCCTGACGACGTGAGCGAGCCCGATAGTGAGGTACATCCTGGTTTCTTCGGACGCATTGGGAGAAGTTTCCGATCATCACATCGAAGACCCAATAGAGGACACAGTCCAGTGCCCATGGACTTGGTGACTGCCGATAAGGTTGATGAAGAGCCAGAGCATGTCTACGGCCTGCCCGAAAGCCTTCGAAAACACGAAGACACGCATTACGACGATACCGAATACCGATCTCCTGGGCCTTCCGGACGCGCACACATTCAGTGGGCTGGTCAAGAGAGTGATCGACCAGACTCGCGGGGCAGCAGCCTTGCACCGCCTCGGCCGCCTCCTCACGGAACTTCTTCTAACAAGAGACAGTTTTCTTTCCAGGGTGTCTTCTCGCGGAATAAATCTTCTGCCTCGGCAGGTGCAGATGACGATCGGCCTACAAGTCGAGGGGCTCTGTCTTTTACCAGCAGAGGTTCCCACCGAGAATATCCTACCGGACCTGGAACCACGGAGGAAGAGCGACTAGGATTGGTCCATGGCGACTCGCACAAATCCCTGCCCAAATTCGATGAGCAAGAAGAAGAAGATCGGGAGAGTAGCGATGAATGGCAGGTGACCTCTGGCTCTGCGGGCTCGAGTCCCGAACAGCTCGGTGCAAGTGGTGATCTTGGACATCGCAGGTCTAGGGATCCTTATGTTGACGACGATGATGACGATTTGTACGATGGGCCTCCGAGGAGTCCCACGGCGAGGAAAGATAATGATCGATGGGGAGGCAGTGGAGGGACGGATAGCGGAAAGGGCGGCAGAGCATTTGTGTAGGGTCCTTGTGGTTTTGCGTTCTTAGCGAATCATCATCATCATGAAGCTGTCGTAGGGTCCTTTTGGGAAACGATGATTATTTTGGGGCAGATGGGATGGAACCGGATAGGGATCGTGTACACAACGCCTTGGGACGATTGGGATGATTGGGATGCATGGATGAAGGAGTGATATATTGACATAGGAGAGGAGTCATGATCGTGTTCGCTGAACATAACCCCCACTTATCAGTCGATCAGGCGGCTGCTCCCTACCGGAAATTCATCATAAAGGCGACCAAACCGGACCTGAAGGATGTCTTCCGGTGTTACCGTACGCACTGCCCGGCGTTCTTTGTCTCAAGCCTGGAAACATTGCTTGCGCAGGACTTGAGTCTCGAGTTGGCAAGAGCTCAGAGAGCGGAATGCTCGTCGGATACAACCTCGTGGCCTCAGTCTTCTCCGCCTGGACTTTTTGCCACTCATTCGCCTCCTGATTCGTAAGCTCGCACATGTAACTTGGGTTTGCAGGTCCCCAATTCCCACCCGGCCGCTCGATCGGGATCCTCCGAAACGCAGCAAGAAGTTCGCACATGAACTTATTACGTCGATGGAGACGGAGAGATTCATTTGCCCAGTTACTCTTATGCCGGAGTTCGATTCGGAGTTCCAGGGCAAAGAGGTCCTCGACGCTGGTGATTTCGATGTCGAAGTCGGGGAGGAAGTCGTGGCGATTCTCGGGAGCATTGACGAACTTCTCCATCTCTTTCCGGAGGGCTAGGATTTCTTCCATTTTGGTCCCGAAGCAGACTTTGACCTTGACGCGTTCCTTCATCGCTTTGCTCCGGCTGATGTTCTCGATCCAGAGCGTGTTGGCGATATTGTCTGGTAATGAGAATCAGCTTTGAGAGGTCTGTGATTGGAGCGGTTTCCTCTAGTACGTCCCATTCCAGGGGGGCGGACTCACGGGGAATCTGAACCACGCTGCCGGTATCGACCCGTTTGAAGATGGAGTACATCAGACTGATCTGTTTGACGACAAGCTCCTGTTTCCCAATGTCGACTCGATCTCCAACATCATACGGGTGCTTCACGAACAGGAAGATACAGCAAGCGAAGAACTCCGTGACGGTGCCGCCGATACTGAATGACAGGCTGGCGAAGGACACCCAAATCTGGCTTGAGCGTGACTCAAGTTTACTGCTGAATGCCAGAGCGTAGATGCAGGCAATAGCTAAGTCTTCTATTAGCTTCGATGGCCAGTCGTCGAATCTCACTACGATACTACTTACCGATGATGACGATCACGCTTAGTATCTTATCAAGAACTGCTATCGCGTCGGAGATATCCCGGATACTGCTGGCTCTGTCTTTCCGCTGCCGGCCACAATTGACTACGATGGCTGTCATGTCGTCGAGACTGACATCTTCATTGCCGTCACGGTCCAAGATGTGGAATATCTCTTCCGCTTCGTCCTCGCGGTTCGGTCCCAGCATATTCAGTATGTCTTGCTTATACACGGCGTCCTTCCCAGCGGCGCAAAGAGACAACCATAGCCGTCTGGCGAGTGCCTTCGAAGCGCGTTCATTCTCGAGAGCCTTTGTGACGACAGAGTGCGCGTGAGTGGTTGCACCGAGCTCTTCACCCGTCGCGTCGCTGGCTAAAGCACCAACTGCAGCAGCGGCTTTGTCCCGCACCCGGTTTACAATGTTCAAAATCTCGCTCCCGACACTGATGCCTTTCTCGTCCATCTTGGCTTTCAGTTCGACGAACGCGGTGTTGTGGATCTCCTTGTCTTCGTGCTCGAAATCCTTGCTAAACTCAGGAAACAACTGGCGAGATCTATCATAGAGCATGTCGAGTAGGCGGATGAGTCTTTTGCTCTCCCGTATCTTTCGGGTTGTTATTGTCAGCACGAGAACGATGAACGAGTGGCGACGAGTCCAATCTGACCATATTGCCTTCTGTAGTAGTTGATCAATATCAATGAGATGATCGTCTTCTCAACGACGAATATCGCCGCTGCAACACTACCGACGATGAAGACGTGTCTGAGCGTATTGATCCATTCTCCCTTGTTGTTGCTGCGGTATGCGTCCTCGTCAAACATGAAAATGATCACGGTCGTCGAAAAGCAAAAGATCGTCCAAAAAAGCATCGACACTGGAATCTCGAGAGCCTTAAGTACCAGGGAGTACTTCCGGATACCGGTACTCACGATGCTGCACGCCTCTTGGAAAAGGATCGGTATGCTCTTAGCGAGCAATTTTGAGATCCAAAAAGTAAGCCAGACAACCTCGTTCCAGATGAATAAGCCAAGCAGTCGGATTCCATCCGCTCGCGCGTCTTGGAACGGTGGTATGGCAATGAGGATTATAGGTATTGCGAGTAATGTCGCCACTGGGAGAACATAAAGCGCATACCGTACGATGATAGGTGTCGAGTGGATTCTGTACAAGAGACTCCCGGTCTTGGTGAGAACATCGTCTTCGCTGCCACATGCGAGTGTTTCGGTTTGATCGATTTCTCCAGTGCGAAAGCTTCTCGTCGTCGATGGTCGGCCAAGCAATCGCGGGTCGGGAAAGTCGGCAAAGGGCACTCTTGGGAAACGCCGATACGGGAGTTTTTGGGTAGGCAGTGGCACTGGCGATGGGACTTTTTGCGTAAATAGAAGTCTTGTTGCCCGGGCTTCGCGAGTCGACTTCGAAGTTGACAGATCTGGACCTGGTGAAGTTGAAGCCTGTATCGAGGGGCTCTAGTGTTGTCATTATGGGCTCAGCTAAATGATGAAAAAGCCCCCAAAAGTGACGGAAACGGAAGCCCTCTCATAGTAGGTCATCGATACTTAGCCATTATGCCAGGCCCGCTGAGTTTTTGTATACTTGGATAAGCTCTGTGTGGAGGTGAGCTTAGTGACCTACGACGAGCCCAGTGGAGACATCACTTCACATGCCTAACAAGGTCAATACAAGCCAATCGTGGCTACTCTTCTAACCGGGCAGAAAGCTACCGTCTCTTTCCCTCTATCTATATTCGGTTAGGTTTGTTGTGGGGCAGCGCATGCCTAACCTCTGCATAGGCGCATATGCAGTAAGCTTGTAACATCACTTTCGCATCCATCCACTATTGGAACCGGTAAACAAAGTCTTCTGTTGAAACGAGGATATTTTGTATCTTTCTCCGCCTACTGCTCTCAAATCTCGGTGTCCGTAGGTTGCATTGCATTCACAATCGAGGGTCTGACGTGGACAAATCTTCCCCAGTCTACTTTACCGTCGTACGTCGGTGCTCACTTCTGTGAGTGCTCTAGAGAGCAGTCGACCGTGCGTGGAAGATATTAGCAACAGACCCGGTATCGTCCGTAGCATCAGGCAAGTCATCCAAAAGTGGTCATCCAACTGCGGAGGCCAAAGCAAGGCTGGAGCCCTGTACGAATTACATAATTCGATCATGGTTCAGACAAGAGCAAGAAAGCAATAAAGCTTCTCGAGATCAGGCCATCATTACTTGCTAAGCTCGATCGAGGCCTGACGCGGACATATCGGGCTTACGCTAGGCGTGTAGAGCCTCTTGTTTTGACGACTACATAAGATACAATTTGGCCATTCCGATCACATACGGCCACAGGCGAATGAGAACTCGGAACTCCGTCCGCTCTTCTGAAAATTACTGTTCGACTGCGAGATTCCACGATCGTTGATATAGGTAATTAGTCGAGAATACCTCGTACTATATGTTTTCACCAATTTTTCTAGCCGTGGCCCTTACGTATAAGAGGGAGGTAGGATTATGCCTAGTATGCCCTACCGTTGTAAGGATATGCGATATAAACGATTTTGCGGAGCTTGCAATAGAAGGGCATAATACGATCTTGGTGCCTTTTGGGTATACGAGTTTCAATCAGGATACAGAGCCGAGTGGAAAGAGAGTAATAGATAGAGCGAGGGTTTCGGTGTTCTATAAAGGGAGACTAATCTCAGTCTCCTAAATTAGTAAGGTGTTGCTAATCAATTAGTGTAGGGAGGGAGGGCGGCCAAGAGTAGCTATAGATAAGAAGGTAGTTAGGACGCACGAAGGACGAGCTACGTCTGCTTTATCCGAAGCTCTTTGCCTGGACTACGATGCCACATTCTTGCCTCTATTCTCGCAAATCCTGTCCGGACGCCCTCTCCCCACAACACCCACATCAGGTCCTATTAGGGTGGGTCACCCGCGCAGCTAGGAACCCCGTTACCATCCGCGAAAGCGCTCGAGCAGTGGCCTCTGTAGCAATCCCAGTTACAGTTTGCGTCACCGTTACATATTTCAATACAGGGGCAATAGCCGATACAGCCTACATCTAGATAGAAGAGACAATTATCAGCGATATAGACGCTACCGTATTTCTTTAGAATGAACGAAGAGCTTACCGGCGGCTGCGAAGCTGATCAGCCCAACAAGAGCCGTTATAAAGGTAGTAAGGCGCATCTGTGTCGGTATGTTCTGGCGATAAGGTATAGGTATGACGTTTGAGAGGTAGGAGTTGATAGCGAAAGCAGTTGTGGGATCCAAACTACGACCACTTACTCCTTTATGAACTGAACGCCAAGCATCCCGTAGCCTCCTCAGCTAGTGCGAAGTGAGACTTACGACCAAGCCGCTAACAGCCCGATCTGAAACCCGCTACTTGCTTACTACAGTCTAGATCGCTCGTCTGTCCTACTTCGGGCCTGAAAAGGTAACATACTTCTCCCCCGCCCCCGAAGCCGAAGTACTAGGCGGACTCATCTTATTATCCAGCCGGAGATATCCTCGAGCGGGAATTCCGCAAACTCGGCGAGACTTTCCTTCCTCCATCCGTCGGACATGAGCTTTCGCCTCCCTTGGGATACGGCTTTCGAGACGCCTAGGAGATTGCATCGCTATCGTCTCGACCACGGATGGTGCCGTCGCAGTAGACGAGATCGCCTGGTTCGAGGAGAGTTCGTCGGGTTCTGTGGCTGCGATTCGGTTGATGGCTGCGGTGGCTGAGACGACGGGAGTTGGATAGGCACATTTGCGGACGCCGTTGCAGATACCCCGTGAGTAGGAGAGGTTGGGCGTAGGTCTCTTGGACTAGAGCTTTGTGTGTTGTTCGGAGTGCTATATTGGGAGATGCTGATTTGGAGAAGCTATTGCTGGTGACTCTACGGTCGTGATGGAGCGGAGATGAGGGATCCTCGGTGTTGGTTGGTAGCACAGGTTTTGCATGTTTCGCAATGCGGCACATGAAAACCCCACCCCTTCCTGATCGGGTCTAGCGCGAGATGCTGGAGTGAATGTTCCGGTCTATGGCGAAAGGCGAGAAAATGCGCATAGCGAGATGTCGACTGAGATGTTGAGAAATACAAACGTGGTTTCGTGCGTGGGTGACGGGCGTCCTCACGGTCAGCTTTCGCCTACGATTGCAACAGAGCAGTGACAGACGTCTATGCAGCAGGATGTCAGTCGCTCATACCTTCTTCGACCATCACTCGCACCTTCGACATAGACTCACGCTGCCGGTACCTCTTTTGAATATCTTGGGTCCACGGCTTTGAGGCGTCTTCTGGTAGGCCGATTGCTTTCGATCCTGGGATAGACCAAAGGCCCACGTTCAGGGGTCTTCACATGCAAATCTGAAACATTCCTGTGTTCCCTCGTCCTCCTTTCGAGCAATATCACGTCGCGAATATCTGAGGACATGGAAGCTTGAGATGTTCCGTACGATGTTGCTGCGCCATCGCCGTCGCTGTCGACGCTCCGGTCCGAGATCGGTGTGGCTAGAGGCCACCTGTGACGCCTGTTGTTGACGCTCTGTGCACGGTGGCCCCTGCTCACGTCGAGACACTGTCCTTCGCGACGCGTCTTCCTCCACTCTTTCCCTCCTTCTCTTCCTTCCTCAGCTCGTCTTCCAGCAGCAATCTGTGAGTACCTACCTGATACCACCCAACCCCATCCCTTCCCATCCAAACTCCATCACCACTGCATTCTGCAAACCGCCCGTTCCCTCCGCCATGAACACTGGAGATTCCGCTGGCCGCTTCTACGACCTCACCGTCGCAGGACGTCGCTTCTCGGTCGCAATCTGGATGCCGCCCACCAGCACCACCACCCTCCATCCAGCACAACTCCTCAGTCCCATTACTTTTCATCCTGATTTCATCACCCATGCCGTCAGCACACTGCACTTGCCCTCCGCAATGCTTCTCGCAACCCCCGTCCGACCATCTTTGACCTCGCCGTCGCCGCCACGGCTGGCGGTCCGGTCGCAATCTGCACATCCAGCGTCACCAACAACTTCCCACTTTCTCCCTTCTCACACTTCATCTACTCTTTCCCTTTGTACACCCATCAGCATGCGGCGCAAGATCAGAAAGAATTACCACCGCTCTTCCTCTTTTTGGTTTTCCTTTTCAGCGCTGTGGTCACCCCTTACCGTCGCTGGCGCCATCACCAACCCCTGACGCCCTGCTGCCTTGGGCACTTATCCCTCCTTTCGCGTCGTCCAACACGTTTCATTCTTCTTCTCAGAACATAGCAGTGCCTACATCTCACCGGCGCAAGAATTTGCGATCTCCTTCCTCAATTCTTAACGTTGTCTTCACGCTCCTGTGACTTTTGCTTGCTGGCCATGGATTCTGGCTTACAGCCGCCGTTCTCCTCGCTCACCGGCCAATGGTTTCGTTCTGGACCACTGGATCTCCAACATTGCACTACCTTCCAGGCAACTCCTTGGATTCCGCGCATCTGCTGGATCGCCTAGAACTTTGAGATTGTGTGGAAGGAATTGCTAATACCGTACTTGCAGTCACAATGTCTCACCAACCCCGTTTCCGTGTGCGCTCATCGCGCTTCTACAATCCCGGCTACGAGCGATTCAAAGCCAAAGCCCCCGAGGTGTGTGCTACGGCGCAGACGGGCACCTCGACAGGGTCATCGACTACTGTCAGCGCACCTTCGGCTGAGGATCGCATGCCGCCACATGCACCGAAGCCAAGGTACATCTCCCCCTATTTCCCGGGCAAGACAAGCTACGAACGTGGCTTGAAAGTCAAGTTCGGACCCTCCGGAGGTAACTGGCTTCAACGGGAAAGTGAGTTAGGCCCTTTGACTATGCATTATTGCGGTCCTGTCTGGGCCCCTTGCTGATTGCTGGCGCATTTTGTAGAGGACAATGTCTTCAAGGAAAGGATATGGGCGCTGCGCTAGGCGTACGGCTGTCCACTATCTGCTCCTGACCTTTGGGAGGACGATCCGGAACCTCGTGCCGTTGAAGAGATCGAGGAGCACTACCGGTATGATAGCAAAGGACATAGGCATTCTCCCCTGACTGAAATATTTGCTGACTCCGAGGCAGATGGATGTGCATCAACCCGGCCGGATCGAATCCCGAATTGCTGGAGGCCCGACTATCCGACCTGCACAGCGAGCTCTACCGAGCGAAGCGTCGTGAAGGATGGGACGGCCGATTCTGCATGCCAGCTCCGGTGCCCTCCCCGTGGGCCAACCTAGCCAAGTCTTCTCGTTGGTCTACGGCTCTACCTGGTCCGACGACAGGTAGAGATCCAGTGGAGCCTACGCATGTGCACCAGCACACCCCTCCCCTTCCGACAATCAATCCGGCGCCGAAGCATGTCAAGTCTTATCCTTCGACGTCGGCTGTCACTGGTCTGAAGACAGTGGCAGCAGCAGCATCCGTGGAGGGCACTCGTAAGCGACAGACAAGCAGTAGCCATTCAAGATTTGTGGAGCATTTGCTGACCTCAAACTGCAGGTTCGAGTCTCTATTCGACGACGAAGCATGTCAAGTCCCAATCTTCGAAGTCGACTGGTTCTGGTCCGAAGACAGTTCCAGCGGAGCTAGAGACGGCGAGTTCATTCGAGGAGTCAACTCTCAACCTCTTGCGCGGAGGGCCCCCACCACTCCCAAGAGCACGCTTCACGTCGAAGGCTCCGCAGATCGACCCGCCAGAATGCCCTCACGAGCAGTTCTTGGCCGAATGCAGTCAAGCCTTCGACGAGGAGATGTCCTGGGCTGCGCAGGACTTGCGAGATGGTCTTTTACCACCTCTTGTGGACAAGTTACGCCACCCGGAGTTATCCAGGTTCCTATCACAAGATATGGATGAGATTCATGCTCGCGCTGAGCAGCCAAGGGAGCCAACGCCTGAGCCGGTATACGACCTCTCTCCTGGCAATTACGGAAAAGGCGAGCCCATCCCGGCCAAGCATCGTCCACGGGGCGCCATCAAGGAGAGACTCTACCATCGGCGACAAGGCTACGACGATTCCGTTATCCGACAACTGGGTACCGAACCAGCCAGCAACGACAATCTTATCTGGCGAATCGGCGCTCGACCTATTTGGGAAGAGTTGATGAACATGGGTTGCATGAGCGACCCATACTCAGAAACGATTCATGAGGTGCCCGAGAAGAAGGAGGAGCGAGGTGTCATCGGCAGCCTAGTAGACGCTACTACCATGACTCTTTCCTGGATCATGGATAGTGTCTGCAGTGTTCTCGGTCGACGCTGAGTTCTTCGCTGCCATTTGACAACGCAAGTCTGCCAGAGCTTACGCGTGCAATTTCGTTTTGGCTCTGCGATACACGCCCGGGGTTGCAGAGAAGCAGTAACAAAGGTCTTGTCAGCAGTTTGGACATCGGGTGGAATGTTGGGGTTGCAGGGCGCAGGGGGAGATGGTCGGAGGTAAGAATCCCTGGCTCCAAGAGCGCTCGGAAGACTCGAATGCTGACATTGCCTGACAGGATCAAGAGCGGTCGAGGCGGTCGAGGCGGTCGGGAGTGGGTCGGGGTGGTTGGAGAATGAGGAAGGAGGTTTGGGAAGTCGACACATCGCAGAACTCAAGAGACTCAAATGCTGATCAAATCCAGACAGGTTGCAGGGCGATCGGAGGTCGGAGCGGAGCGCGAATCTTTTCACCATTTATCACCATTTACGGCAATGCAGCGTCGACCCTACGAGGCGACGGGTGGCTGGCGGGTCTGCATTTCCTTCTTTTAAAAAAAGCGAAAAACGTTCGAGGGGAGTCAGTGGCGGCTGGCAGCGATCTGAGAGCACCAAAAAAACTTGGAAGAAAACGAGGCAGTGCCCCGAGGGGACAAAACAGTGGAGGCAAAAGAATGAGACTCTCGGGAAGGGATCGTTTATGATCTAGGCCCATTTCCTTTGTTGTTTTTGGGGGTGCGAGAGTGGCGGGGGTGAGAGAAAAGGAGGCCGAGAACGAACAGAGGCAAGAGCACTGTAATGGGGCGAGGAGGCCGCGGTGACCGTTCGAGGCGAGCGAGGCGAAGGTCTTGCTCGGAGTTGTTGGTGGTTGGGCTTGTGGTGGGGAGATTTGGTGCAGAGCTTTGGTCTGCTGAGTTGGTGGATGGATGTGGCTTGGTTGGAGGTTGATGTTCGGGTCAGCCTTTTGGTTGGTCTTTTGGATTGACCTTGTGGGTTGGACTACTGGGTTGGACTGCTGGGTCGGGTTGCCGGATGGAGTTGCTGGATTGAGTTGATGAGCCGGTCTTTTGGGGTGGTCTTTCGGGTCGGTCTTCTGCGGTTGTGTGGTTGCAACATTGGCGGTGATGACGGAACTTCTGATTGTGAATAGTTGTTGGAGGAGTGCAGGAGTGGGGTTAGCAGGGGGCAAATCGCTATGGAATTGGTGTTGTTTCCTCCAGTCTTCCAGTATGCTCGAATATCGAGGGATTACTGATACTTGAGCGTGGCATAATGATGGACTGCGCCACGGCGGTGATGTTGAAATGATCACGAAGCGTGTGACGCGACGAGCAGACTTTGAGGTGGAGTGGACGTGGTCAAAATAGGGTGCGGCCAATGCGGGCGGGAGCGGCCGTTACACCACTAAAGCTGGGATTGCATGTGACTGCCCCTCACTTTCCTCACTACATGCAACTTCCATCGACGGCATCCATGATGTCCAGTCCTTCACAATCGATCAATCTGTACACTATGCAGCAGTTGGAGCTCCAGAATCTATTGACTCTAATTTTTTGTTGACATTATTGTTCTCCATCTATATCTGCGACGGTTTCAGTGCTCAAACAGGCGGCCAGATCATCGTTCTTTCGAAGTCGCAACCACACAACCACCGTTTCCACCACAGTTATGATGCCAAGACCACTACCCAGACCGATCCAAAGACCTCGTATGCCAAGATGAGGACCGTAAAGCTCCAAGAAGATCGAAAGTGGCACCGCATACAAGTAATTGATCGTGAGTGTGACCCATGCACCAATGCTCTGCCAACCTATCCCGCGGACAATGCCATGTGGCCAATTCGACGTGGCTTCGAAGAAAACAAACATCGCCAAATACGGCAAGTTGAGTTTCAGAAGCTCGGCGACCTCTTCGTCGTGCACAAGAGTCTCCAGCATCAGGACTGTAATGCCGACTCCTAGCGCAGCGTCTATGAGTCCGATGATGATGAAAGCGTATCCGTACCATTTCATCAATTCTGCAATGGCATTTGAGCGTCCTGCTCCGATGAGTTGTCCAATGCGAGTACTGCAGGCCACAGAAGCGGAGAAAGCTATGTGCCAGACGAGCACCGCACTCGTTCCCAGGAAAGTCTGCGCAGCAAGCGACGCAGCTCCAACATAAGTCGTGCAGAAGGTGAGAATTTCGTAGCAGAGCCATTCACACAAGGACATAAGAACGCCAGAAATCGCGAGACTGATCATTGGTTTCCATTCCTTTGTCCAGGAGGCTTTGAGCTCTTTGGCTGAGGGCCAGCATTGGAGGGTTGATCGATCGATGAATCGCGCGTATGCTGCGAGGAGCAGTGGGCGAAGCAAGTTGGTGAGTGAAGCAGCTAATGCTGCTCCAGCTACTCGCATGTTCGCTGTGTAGACGAGGATCCAAGTAAGCCCTGCGCTGATGGGCAGGCAGAGAAGCAGCACATAGAATCCTGCGGTGAAATTGCCTTGCGCTTGCATAAAGCGTTTCCCGGCCTCGAAACTTGCGTAGCCCGGGATGCCGATCAGGGAACATCTTAAGAAAACGCCGGCGTTTTGAGCAACCGCGAGTGAGGGGACATTGACTAGCAGCAGGAGTTCTTCGGAAAAGAACCAGAGGAGCCCGATTGGAATCGCGACAAGGTGGATGAAAATGGTGAAGCGGATGGTGTGCATGCCGACGTCTGTGAAGGCGGATGCTCCGAACGCTTGCGAGCAGAGCGTATCCAGCGCTGTTGCCATGCCTTCGAAGACTGCATATCCGAGTATATTTGCTGTGGTGCTGCCGAGTGAGACTCCGGCTAGCTCGTCGGTCGACAGTTGTGAGGCAACAAGGATAATGATAAGAGAGAAGACGTATTGCTGGTATGAGATCAGCGACATATCGTGCAAACTCAGGAGGACTTACCAGTAGATGAGTCAGGACAAGTGGGCCAGAGTACTGCAGCATAATGATTGTTTCCGCCTTGAGGGACAGCTTCTCATTCTGCTTGGCCTCGACATCGCGCTGCCCTCCGAGAAGCGAATCCGTCTCCGACGCATGTTGACCGGCTGCCCGTTCTGTCATGATGAACGTATTGGAAGAGCAGTGAAGAAAAATTGTAGAGACGATGAACGCGTTTCTTTAGAGATAGGCAGGTGCAGATGCTGCATTAGCGTCTCAATCTGCACTTGCCGAGGATACCACACTCGCAAAGCAATTTCAAAGACACCCACGCAATGCCACGAGAAAATAACAATAAAAGCACACAAGTTGTCAATGCTGATGGCAAGAGAGGATTGAAGTTGGGGACTTCTCGTATTTTCAAGGCCGAAGTTCAACCGTTAGTGCATTACGTGCTTAACCAAATTGGGCATAGATCATAGATCGTGGCTGGATGGAAGCCCGTCGAGAGATTCGACTTCACCTTCACCTTTATCTTCACCTTGAAGTCTGATAAGTTCTTGCATCAAATGATCCTCGACATCATGAATCTCGGCTCCTCAAGGGCATAGACTCAGCGGCGGAAGCGGTTTCTGAGGTGTACCGTACACTCTACTGCCACGAGGCCTAAGATTGGGCTTTGAAACATTCCGAGGTGAAGCTCTGAATGACGATTCGCCGGCTCCTGCATCGCATCACGACCTGTTCAGTACGGAACCGACACATATAATGCCCGTGGCAATCATGTCGTGCCACTTTTACAAACTTTTGGTGCCCTCCGTCACGAGCAGGCGTGACTTCTTAACAAATACTTCTTCTTCCGTACATCTTCTAACATGGCCTTTAAGCGCGAAGACAAGCTGTATGCCCCGGGTAAAGATCTGATCTCTGGTTGATTCGTCAATCCCAGAATGGAGGGCGACAAGCCAGTCTACATCAATGCGCAGAACCTGAAGCGGCACTGCACGTATGCACAACCGAGGAGTACTATCCGCAAGCTCGCGGCAGGATACAAGAAAGCTGGTTCGCAGAAAGAAGATGCAGTCTGTCTGCATAATTTCAACGACGTGAGTGAAAAGAGAAGGCAAATTGGGGTTGACATCTGGAGGCAGGTGGCTGATCTGATTTTAGATCAACTATCCTATCGTTGTCAATGGCTTCGTTGCCTTTGCTGGTATTAGTTGGTATTTACTCTGGTACGAATCCTTCCTACCAACAATGCGAGCTGTCACATGCTATCAAAGCCGCGAGCATCAAATTTCACTTCTCATGATCGAGTCGGAGATTCTGAAGCAAGCAGATGATGCTGGCATTCCCGGGGGAAGCATCCTGATATTCGACAATAGGGAGGTCAGAAGGTACTTGAAGGCTTGAAGTCGTGGAGATCGTTGTTAGAGCACGGCGTATATCGTCAAGCAGGATAACGAAGAGGGCAAGAAGCTGGATGCCAAGGCGGTCATGGAGTATTTGGCAAGCCGCTTAGCGAGGTTCAAGAGACCAGACGGTGGTGTTGTATTCCTGGACGAGATTGTGAGTGCATCTATGCAAAAAATGCCCGCCTCATGGTGCTGACATTCCCCTTTTCAGCCCAAGATCCCCTACGGGAAGATTTCGGACAGAGGCCTCGCGTGAAAGGGCCAATCATGAGATGCATAGAGAGAGGCAGACTTCTAAGCTCTAGTTGACCCGTCGTCGTCTACAATCTTTGCATCGCGACTCCATGCAGTTGGAGAGCTCACCGGAAAATCGTTCCGCCGAGCGCTGCACAGACCACCTACCGCGTTTCGCTGACCTTCTTTCACGGTCCTTCTCATTACTCCTCTAACACACAATTCTAACCAAAAGTTCTCATACAACGCTTATATTGGCACGACAAGCCGCTTTCCGGATATCTGGCCTTGTCTCATTCGATCAAGGGCATCATTTATGCCGCCAAGGCCGCCCGGCGCTTCTTCTACATGCGGCAGGTCGAGTCTCTTGTGCTCCAGCGCGTCCTCCAGCCAAGTCATGAGAGACGAACCGATCGATGGTACCTCATGGAACAGCTTCACGGGCACCGAGTGATACACGACGCCCGGCAGCCTTTCTTTCGGGAGCGCGGCCAACCCCACCAGCTGCGGTCTTCTCTTGTCTTCGTTCCGCTCGGACGGGAAACATCTCGCCAGGTGCTCAGCCGTCTGCTTGCCCACCGTGTCAATTGCTAATCGGAGTCCGTTCCCGGTCATTCCACGGATTACATCGACTGCTCTCTCGGAATCGTGGCTGTCAATGCAGATGCAGCCATTGGCACCCGTTAGACGCGCACCGTGCTTGGCGACATCAACCACGAGGATCACTCTGAGCCCGGCTAGACGAGCTATTTGCGATAGGAAGAGTGCACTGGTCGAAGAGCCTCCCCATACCACAAGCCAGTCTCCCGTTCTCGCGCGCTCGCTCTCTTCAATGGCCAAACATTCTGGAACGACGTCCGGAGGCAGGCGTCCGAGCGGTGTCTCCCTCACCAATCGCAGCAAGTCTATGCCGTGCTCTTTACTTCTATGGGGGATTCGCAGTCCGAGACAGATGCCTAGTGCGAGTGCCGCGGCGACATACGCTACGCCTAGTGCAGCGCCTTGCGAGACCGATACGTGTTGTGGTATTCTGCACACCGTGGAGTGACTTGCTATGGCATACTCTTGGAAAGCTGCTTTTCTGAGGTCCCGGTAGTCTGTCGATGGGCACAAGACCTGCGCATTTGCTTAGCCACGGGTGAGTACAATGTGATGCTCAATTCCACTAACAGTGTCGCCGACGCGCAGATGACTTGTCATTGAGGGTGCTTTGACTATTGTGCCCGCGAAATCTCGACCTGAAACGTACGGAAGATGAGGAATCCCGTATCCGTAATCTCTATTACCAGATCAGCGAGGTGTTGGATTAATGCAGAGCGACTTACTCACACAGATTTCCAATCGATGGGATTCAAGCCGATGGCTTTGATTCTGACCACAAGATCGTCCGGATTCTCAATCTCATGCATTTGATGATCTTCTTTCAGCTGGAACGACTCGCGTACTGCATGAAGCAACAAAGCTTTCTGTTTTCGTGGCAATTCATGGCCCACACTTATCTGGTGAGAACTGTGCTTCGTGCCACGCTTGAAAACTGCAGACCCAAAGTCATCCTCCAGCTTCACGCCGTCGACTTCATCGAGAGTGTTGACGGGCGTGACAGTTCCCCAGTCGATCTTTGCCTGCAAAGCTTTGTCGAAATCGTCGTAGAATGCTCCTGCCAAAGGAGGCCGAGCGCTCATGACCTTCACACTCATTTTCGGTTGCTTGAAATTTCCAGGTCACCGTCAAACAATTCAAGAGCAGTGCGTCTTCCTGGGGCTTCGCGATACGCAACCCTTGCCCGAGAATGATTATATTTCAGCCGCCTGCCCTATCGCGCTACGTATCGAACACGCAACGCTCCGCCGTCGGCGACTTGACTTCTGCGGCAAAGCATCGTTGTGGAGTTCGTCCACCTCAAGGCGAGCACGCAAGTGTTTGTCAGAATAGAAAGCTGTCGATTGACAAGGTTGTGGCGAAGGCGTGAAGCGGACCTACAATGGCGCAATCCGGTCGGCACGATGAAGCTCGAACTTCGACACTCCAACACCACAACTTCGCTCTGGGCTTTTACATTTCCATTGGATGTTGGCAAACCCTCACGACTGCTTTCAGTGAGCGCTCAAAAGTACGCAGTAAACCCCTCCCATTGGTTGAGCCTTGATCGCAGAGGCTCACATCACTCAGCCCAGACTTTTGGAAGCGACTCTGATCCCAGACAGGAGCCTTGGCAGGACCAGCTTAATAGACGACACCTTCACAGGATAGAGAGAAATAGTCAGTCGCCACAATGGGTTCAACCGATACGCCCTTTCTCACCAATGGCGACCATCCAAATTCCGAAACGACAATACCTCAATCCCAGGCTCACCTCAATCATGACAACGAGCCTTGGGTTTACCCTCACCCTACAGATTTCAAGATCAGTGAGCATCATATCGACGATACCAAGGCCCTGAAGGTATTACTTCCTTTCTGAAACGCTTTCGAATGCCAACTTTTGCAACGCAGGTAGCCGTTGTAGGCACTGGGCTGGCGGGCATTACCGCGGGCAGCCTGTTGCCGGCTAAAGTACCCGGACTTCAACTTACGATATTCGAAAAGAACTCTAACGTGGTAAGTTCTGTAGTGGTCCTCGTCTCGAGGACGGAACGCTAATGTCTGTAGGGTGGCACTTGGTTCGAAAATGTGTATCCAGGCGTTCGGTAAGTTCATGCTCCTGGAGTCAATGAAGAATCCGCACTGATGATATCTTGAGGTGCGATATCCCGGCGCATGTCTATCAGTCGACGTTCTCGCCGAATACGCAATGGACTGAAGAGTACGCCCAGGGATCGGAGATTTTGGCCTACTGGCAATCTGTTGCCCGTAAATACGATGTGTACTCCATCACCAAGTTCCAGACCAAAGTCACGGGAGCGCATTGGGATGACCAGCGTGCACAATGGCGGCTCGTAACGCAAAAATTGTCTGATGGTACTCGCGTTGAAGAGTACTTCGACTTCTTCATCACTGCCATCGGCCATTTCAATGAGTGGAAGCTCCCAGACTATCCGGGCATCGATCAATATCAAGGTCATCTGCGCCATTCATCGAATTGGGACCCGAACTTCGATCCGAGAGGGAAACGTATTGCTACAATTGGCAATGGGGCGTCAGGCATCCAAGTAACGACGGAGCTTCGGAAGCTTGCAGATCACGTCGATCATTACGCTCGCAATCGTACTTGGATTGCTGGTTCATTCAATCCGGAAGTCAAGGATCGACAAGATACTCCTATGCCCATCTCATTGGACCAACGGAAGTCGTTTGAAGAACCTGAGACATACCTACAGTTCCGAAAAGAGCTAGAAGGCAAGTACTTCCGGGGCTTCGAAGGTCAGTTGATCGATTCAGAATCGACCAAGAATGCGGCTGCGAATTTCACGGACGCGATGAGGAAACGATTGACGAAAGTCGGAACGCCGGAGTTGCTGGAGCGTCTGGTGCCTGACTTTCCACCTCACTGCCGGAGGCTTACTCCAGGACCAGGGTATCTGGAAGCTCTCGCGGCTGAGAATCTGACCTTCATCCAGACTCCCATTGAGCGGTACGAAAAAGGACGATGACACTCGACATCGAATTGCCCAGCTGACTGCTCTTTTCAGTTTCACTTCCGACGGCATTGTCACAGTCGACGGTGTACACAGACCTGTCGACGCCGTGATCTGCTCTACAGGGGCAAATGTAGACTACGCACCACCTTTTCCTATCACAGCTGGAGAGTACGATCTTTCGCGAGACTGGAAGCCGGATGGAAAATTTGGGTGGGCTTACAACTATCTCGGCGTCAGTCCTTCCCTCCACTCAGGGCATTTCGAGCGATTAAAGCTGATTGCATAACTCAGCTCTGCACTCCCCACTTCCCAAACCTAGCATACATACTCGGTTGGTATCACTTGCATAGCATGTGGTTAGCCTACTGACACACGCCCAGGACCTAATCCAGCTGGACCTTCCGGCACAGTACCGCAAGCGGTTGAGACCCAGGTGGCCTACATTGCAAAGTGGGTGTCTTCAGATTACTCTGTCCGACTCTGAATTTGATTGGAGTTTGGCGATGCCGCACAACAGTCTGCTGATGGTACACAGGATGTTAAGAAAAATGTCACAACAGCGGATACGAACGATGGCACCGACAAAGTCTGCAACTGATGACTGGGTTGACTACTGCGATGCTTTCTTCCCACGGACAAATCTGTCGCTGAACTGCAGGCAAGTTTTCTCGGACTGCTCAGGAACCGATTTTGCGAATTGCTAACCTTGCACAGCTCTTGGTCAAATGGTGGAAGGCCTGGAGGCCGCATTCATGGTCACTGGTACGTACGACTGTGTTCCTCCATCGCTGCTTTTGAAACGGCTGCGGCGCGGCTGCATACGTCTTGTATCAAAACATGCACTTCATTCACACGAACAGCGCTCCGGCAAAACATGCTTGCTAACGTCTTAGCAGGCCTGGCAGTGGAGCGCACGCCACTGTGGCCCGCCGTGAACCACGTTGGGAAGACTTCGAATACACTTACGATCGACCCGAGAACAGGTTTGCGTTTCTTGGCAACGGACAAACGAGGAAAGAAACTATCGAGACGGAGGACGTGACTCCTTATCTGAAGCTTGAGGCATCAAATGATCTCAGAGATGTCCATGAGAGGTGGTGGGACGTCTAGATGCAGGCCCCCAGAGCATGAGGACAAACAGCTATGCATCTATCCGAACTGCGTCCAGCGGTGTATGGCCACCTCTCTGTCTTTTCACGAGCGACTGCCGCCGGCATCGCATGCCAGTGCTGGCGGGATCATCGGATCTTCAATCTGCTGACATCTTTAGTTGCTCGGTTCAGCCTGACTTCGTCCAGTCTTCTAGAAGCATATTGCCGCCCGTACTGCGGAACCATGCGCGAGTCTCGTCGTGAGGGAAAGGCGAAGAAGTCAAAGTCCTTGAGAGCACTGCTGTGTGACAACCCGCAGCAGCACGGCCATCCGGACTGCATCAAGCTTTGGGGCAACGAGAGACCTCGTAGAAGGTTGACCCATCAACAGACAACGCTTAGCCGAACCTCGTGAGAGATCTTTGGATACACATACCGTCTTCTGTTTTACAACATTACGCACAACATTCTCACCGCAGGCTCGCGGCTCCCATCTTCTGGTCTTCGGACTTTGATTTGCAGCTCGCTCTGTCGTACGACGACACCGCAGATCTGTGATTGCGCGAGCAAGTTGCGCGATTGGTTTTGCATCTTGGTCAGGGGCTTCGAGGTTATCTTTGCGCGGCGCATCTGCTTCCTGCTGCCGAGTTTTCGTACCAACAACCAAGTAAGAGCCTAACATAGTACTTCTGATGACCATGCTAACGGGTCTTACGCTCCCGCGGAGAGACGTCCAAGGCTGGCTCGGGATCGAACGTCAACCCTGGCACGAGTTTTCGCTAACAAAGGTGGAGTGAAGCGAGGCTCCGACGACACTTGTAACCAGAAACATGGCAGAGGTCTCTGGCGTCGGTGACGGTGCCTACAGTACCGCAATACACGCTACGGGAATGTCAAGTTCTGGCAAGGATCGTATGGCATTCAAACAGCGTCTATGGATATCTGTGGCTGTCACGTCTCGGCGCAGTATTGTTGGCGCTCAGGCCATGATACTGTTCACTTGCAAGAGACTGAAGGCGATTGCGGTCGCACACTGCCCGCTCGGAGAGGCGGTCGGCTGTTGAAAAGGGCCAAATGCTGTTGTACCTTCATGCAACGCGCTGTTCGCGTTGTTCACTCCAACTTCGACGACGCTCGCTGTATGCCGAGATAGGAGATAGAGAATGTGTCTGTCTCCCGGTCCGCCTGTCTGCTTGCACCAAAGCAATGGATCTCCGATGTCTGCAATTCCAGAAGCAAGACTGGATCACATGCGTTCAGGATCACCAGCGCCACCAAACCCCTCGAAGGGTCCTTGGTCGACGAGGAACTACGTCGGTCATGCCATAACGCCTTTCTGTTCAACCACAATCTCGCCTCCCTCGCTTAACATGCGTTATTGTGCGGCCCATCCCTCGAATTTGCTGCCGACTTTCCAGCCTCAGATCTACCGGATCGAAGAGACACGTTTCGATCTCCGCCCTCTTGGTCGATGCCGCACCCTGGTGATGGGGGTCTTGAGCCTGAAGCCACTACCGCAGTCGCCATGGCGCTCATTTGTGTCCTTTTGAAGACATGTCTGCACGGCGCGGATCGGTCCTTTTCAGTGCATTCCTCGATACTGGCGACGCTGGACACGGGCAGTGCTGACCTGCGGACAGCGATTCGACGATATACGCTCGCCTGTGTTCACATCTCGATGAAGGCAACGAGCGCGGTGTCTCGACCGTAGACAATGCACAGGTCCTTGCAGGGCGTGACACAGCGCACAATGCGGCCATGATCGTGACTGCCTCACGACATGGCGGCCGACGGCATATATCATGTCCCACGACCCTCCTAATCGTGGTCTACTGTGCCTCAACACCTTCAGCACATCTCTTCTTCCTTCTCAACACCCTCATTGATTCGACCACCTGCACTTCAACACACTCATTCAAGCAGGATGAAGATTCTCTTGCTCTGCACCGCACACAACTCCCTCTCCCAGCGCCTCTACCTCGCGCTCTCGAGAACCCACGATGTCACGATTGAGTATGCTCTCTCGGACGAGGTCATGATCTCTGCCGTCGCTATCTACGACCCAGACCTGATCATCTGCCCCTTCCTCACGACGCTTGTCCCCAAGGAAATTTACAACACCTACATGACTTTGATCATCCATCCTGGACCGCCTGGCGATGTTGGCCCGAGTGCGTTAGACTGGGTGCTGCTGGGCGACGACGGCTCCGTTGACGACTCGAACGAGTTGCTGAAAATACTCAACGCCCAGGTCAAGGCCGAGAATGGACGGACACACTGGGGTATCACGGTCCTGCAGGCCATTGAAGAGGTGCGTATGCGAGCTTCTGCAGTAGAACTTGCAGCACATTACGCTTGATCACCTTTGCGACTGAGAGCAAGCAAAGATTTCATGCTGACATTTTGGTAGTTCGATGCTGGCCCGGTGTGGGCGTTCGAGCAATTCGAAATCGATATTGATCTGCCTGGCCTTACAAAGTCAGAGTTGTACAGAGGCCCCATTACACAAGCTGCCATCAGCGCGACATTCGCCGCCATTACTCGGCTTCAAAGCGCCGCAATGCCAAAACTGCTCGTCGGCCCTGACACCACCAGTCGTTTGTCTCCGACGTTAAAGGCCGACGATCGGTATGGCCAGCTCTCCATCGCACTCAATGCTTCCTTCAAGGGTGGAAGACTACATCACCGACCGCTCCTCAAGGCAGCCCAGCGAGAGTTCGACATCACGCGCCACACCGCGCAACAGATCTCCCGACGCATCCGATGCGGTGACTCCCAGCCTGGCTCCTTGAGCAAGGTATTCGGCCCCAGCCTCTACGTCTACGGAGGCCAGATCGAGGACAACGCCGAGGGCCGTGTACCTACCCTCGCCGGCAGGTTGCCCATCACGATCCTGGGCATCCGCAATCAAGCCATCTGTATAGCCACTGTCGACGGCAAGGGAATCTGGATCACCCATATCCGTCGTCCAAAGACCAAGAGCGATGTTGCTCTGTGGCCAAAGGTTCCTGCTACCACTGGGCTGGTCGATATGTGGCACATCACTTCCACGGATGTGCAGGCTCTGAACTGGCCCGGGCCTCCGGGTTGGCTGCGCTCGGTCAATCGCACTTTTCAGGAGGTGTTCGTCGATATGCAGATGGACGACAACGATAACAAGACTGCATGCCTGTACTTTGACTTCTACAACGGAGCCATGTCAACCGACCAGTGTTCGCAGCTTATCGAAGCCATGGATTTCGTGCTCGCACAGTCTACCCAAGAAAGTCCGATCCAGGCAGTCGTTCTGATGGGAGGTGAGTAGCACAGGTGTGGTCTACACCGAGTAGTGGTTCCACGACGCTAAACTTGCACTAGGCGCTTATTTCAGCAACGGCATTGCTCTGAATGTCATCGAAGCTGCTGCCGATCCCGCGATGGAGTCGTGGCTGAGCATCAACCGCATCGACGATGTCGTCCACTACCTCCTCCACAAATTTCCCTCGCGCGACATCGTCACGGTCGCCGCAGTCCGCGGCAATGCCGCTGCCGGCGGCGTGGCACTCGCCTGTGCTTGTGACATTGTGGTCGCGGGTTCCAGCGTCGTGCTCAATCCGGCCTACCGCGGCGTGGGTCTCTACGGCTCCGAGTATCACACCCTCTCCTACTACGGCCGCTGCGGCGAAGCAGATGCCAAGAAGATCCTCCGAAGCATGACGCCCATGAGCCCACTGCAGGCCCAATCCATCGGCCTGGTGGACTACGTCTTCCCCGGCAACGGCATCGTTTTGGAAGACTACGTCAAGACACACATCAGCTACCTGCTCAAGCCGGGGATCTTGAAGCGTGGCCTGTGGAAGGGCAGCGTCGACCTCTCGCCCGCGGCGCTCGCTCGCGCTCGCGCCAATGAGCTCGGTGAGATGTCTCGAGACTTCTGGAGTGCTCGGGCCGTCCGCTACCACAGCCGCCGTTTCGACTTTGTGCGCAAAGTGAAGCCGTCTCAGACTCCACTGCGCTTTGCCGTCCATCGCCGGGCGCTCGATGGCGTGCAGCACTACGATGAAGAGGAGACGGAGGAGTTCGACAGCGTCCGGTACTTTGCCGACTGCGCCCAGGACCAGCTCCTCTCCCACTTGCGCCACAAGGTTGCCCACGAAGTCAGAGATGCTATCCACAGCAGCAGTCAACAACCACCTGGCGAAGTCTCGCGACAAGGATCCGAGACGACGCTCGTCACTCCGATCACACCGGTCTCGACACTCGACAGGAAGATGGAGAGCATCTTTTCCTGCTACTATAAGTCTGTGGATGACGTTCCCACCCCGCCTGAGTCGCCAGGGGGCACCAATCTTTTGGATACCATCAGACTGATATCCTAGAATGACCGAATGCTTCAGTGTCTGGTGGCATGAGAAGGGTGCAGGATTTGGGGGTGACAAGGGTCGGTCTTTGTGAGTCCAGCGATGTTTCTGATACTTTGCGACAGATACAGATGGTGCACATATTGCGAGCAATGACGACTCTACGATTCACCAACCAGCCAGTCCTTTCTCTCGAGCTTGCCTATCAGAGTTGACAGATCAATGAGCTAATGCTTAGATGGTCCTTCATCATCCTTAGCGCCGAAGGTGCTCCCATTGTCCTACCCACCGCGCCAAACCCGAGCTTCTCCATTCTCGACCTCAGAGGAATCAATCGTAACTATCCTGACAGCTTCCTGTACGTCGTCGCGGGATGCCCCTCTCTCGCTCGCGGCCCCTTGCCATCTTGAAGATAGTTCTCCCGCATGCTGTGCCCAGCGTATTCCTCCTGGAGGACGCCTCTCCGCCTCAGCTCAGGCAGGAGATGCGTAATGATGTCGTCAAAAGTACCCGGTGTGGTAGCATAGCTGATATTGAACCCGTCGACCCGGGCCTCATCCACCCACGTCTGCATGATATCCGCCACCGTCTGCGGGCTCCCAATCGCCCTAGGATGCGCCCCGGAGACGGCCAGCTGTTGCAAGACATGTTTCTTTGTCCATTTCAGCCCTTGGGTTCCCGGCACGGTGGCCGTCCACGCAGAAATCTGCAGCACCGCATGTCAGCAGAGCCTCTAGAGATACGAAAGTACGACAGAGCCATGTGTGGTAGGTACTTGCCATGGATTGAATTCCCGGAGGGCCGGTGAAGGCGAAATCTTCATCATCTGAGAAGGTGGAAAGATCGGTTCCCGACCACCCACCGAACAACGAGGCCGTGCCTTCCAGGTCCGCATACTGCAGCAAATCATCAAACTTGGCCTGGGCCTTCTCGTCCGTCTCGTCGACGACGATGAAGATCCCGGCGATGAATTTGATGTCATTCTCCGAGCGACCGTGGTGTACCAGCTGCGCTTTCATATCGTCGACAATGGCGCGTGTCTTCTCCGGCACCATTCCCGGCAAGAACATGGCCTCCGCGTGCGACGCGGCAAAGTTCTTCCCGGCCTTGGAGGCACCCGCTTGCAGCAGGAAAGGCGTGCGCTGACGCGTGGGTCCGACGAGATTCGGACCTCGACATTTGAAATACTTGCCCGCGTGGTCGATGCGGTGCACTTTCTGCGGATTCGTGTAGATGCCGGTTTTCTTGTCCGCTTCGACGGCGTCGTCTTCCCAGCTCCCTTCGACCAGCTTGTAGACCACTTCCAGGAACTCATCGGCGATGTTGTAGCGCTCGTCGTGCGGGATACTGTCATCCAGACCATACGATTTCGCCGCACTCTCCAGATAGCTCGTCACAATGTTCCATCCGATGCGGCCGCCGGTGATCTGGTCCAAGGAGGAGAATTTCCTCGCGAGGGCGTAGGGATGCTCATATGACGTCGAAGCGGTGATTCCAAACGACAGATTTTTCGTCGCGTGAGCCATGGCCGAGACGATGAGAGACGAATCCGGGTGAGGGATCTGAGCTGCAGATTGGAGAGCAGGTCCATTACCTTTGTAGACGTCGTAGATCCCCAACACGTCGGCGAAGAAGATGCCATGAAATTTTGCCTCATCCAGCTTCTTGGCCAAGTCGACCCAGTGCTCAAGTGTTTGGGGCCCTTGATCGGGATGTCGCCAGAGACCTTGAGGAAATCAGTCGAACAGATTGGAAGGTCTTGATGTGAGATGATGAGGCCTACCGGGTGCCAAATGACCAGGCGCAAACATGGCAAAGGCGTTCATGATCCATTGCTGCGGTTTGCCAGCACCATTGGTGCCATTCTCATTCTCGGTAGACATTTTCTCTGAGAAGTTTTTTTTCCCCAAGGTATTCCACCAATCTATTCCTCCAAGGGATCTTCAATGCTTGTTGCTTGATCCGCTGAAGCTTTCCGCGAGTTGCCAGCAAGGTTGAACAGATGCGACACTCCAATTCGTTCGACTGACCTTCCACGATTGCTCTGGCAAGTACCGTGATCTATCGCCCTACCGCTGTCATGTCATTTTTTAGTGTGCGAAGTCGGAATGCAATGGGAGCATCAAAATGCAGCGCGAGTGGAGTGGATCAATCACGACATACTCGCCGGCCGCACGTCGGCTCTCGACACTTTCTCAATAATACGAAGTGCTTCAACAACCTTCTGATGAGAGCGAAGCAAAAGTCATGTGATGGTTGGGAATCCTCGTGAGGTACACGTGGTATCGATAGCAAAGCACGTAATGGTCCCCGGTCGAAGACGAATACGTTCTACCGCTCTGATTGGCCGTACTCGATGATCGTCAACTAGGGCTTCCAAGATAACAAACTTAAAGAATCCTATCCTTGTCTCTAATTTGTCGCTGTAGTTTGTTTAAACGGTAGACACTGCCTCTTTCATAGAGCGGCTGGGGACACTGAAGGCTGGCTCGTGAGCGGTCGTTGTAGAACAAGTATAGTATTTCGACGTCTTGAATGTCGAATTCGCTAAGCAGGGATCCTTGTAAGAGCACGGGCTTTGTTGTCCTAATAACTTCCACTTATCTCTCTAAACGATGGGACAGCGGTTGACGAGATGTTCCTTGGAGATGGCGTGCGAAGGATGAATGCGTCCGCGTAGCTTGGCCGGCAGTCAGAGCAGCAAGAGCTCACACTCGTCGAGAGACAAGGCCGGACGGGTGCGGCATACATCTACATCTACACCCAAAATCAGTATCTTTGCCTCTTTCAGCCTTTCGTCTCCTCCTGTTGATTCAGCAAATGACTGTCATGGCTCAAGAGGAGAAGGCGATTGCTTCGCCCGAGGTCATCGAAGCCTCGAAAGATTACCCACACCCACCCGTCAAAGTGAAGTGGTATCGTTCGACCTTCTACAATGCAATCATCCTGGGCATCTGCAATTTCTGCGCACCCGGAATATGGGGTATGTCTTATCTGAGCCTCCTCCATCGTTGAACGTGTTGCCTGACTTGTGATAAAGGTGCAATGAACTCTCTCGGTGGAGGCGGCCAGCAAGACCCCTGGCTCGTCAACGCAGCTAATGCGCTGACCTTCTGTCTCATGGTCGTGACCTGCGCACTATCCGGACTCTTCGTCAAATACCTAGGAATCAAATGGACCCTGGTCCTCGGCGCGGCTGGATACTGTCCTTATGCAGCAGGCCTGTACTGTAACAATCGTTTCGGCAGCTCTTGGTTCGTCCTGTTTGGCGCCGCATGCTGTGGGCTCGGCGCCGGTATCTTTTGGATGGCAGAGGCCGCCATTGCAATGTCGTATCCCGAGCCGTGGAACCAGGGCAAGTTCTTGGGACTGTGGCTCAGCTTTCGGGTTGGCGGCCAGATCCTTGGAGGAGCGGTCAATCTTGGCCTCAATGTGCATCGTAACGAGGCTGGATCAGTGTCATATTCTGTCTTCCAGGTATTCGTCGCGCTGCAAGCAGCCGCGCCCTTTGCGGGATTGCTCTTGACAGAACCATCCAAAGTACAGCGAAAGGATGGCGTGACTGTGTCTTGCGGTATCCCCAAGGACGAGAGATCGCTGAAGGAACTTGCGAATACCGGAAAGCTCTTCGTAGGCAGATCATTCCTGCTGGTCATCCCGTTGATCGCTCAGGCTGTGTTCGCAGAAGCAGTCTTTTTCACCTTTCAAGGACTCTGGTTCTCGGTCCGCGCTAGAGCTCTTGGATCCTTCCTCTCTGGAATTGTCGCCATCGCAGGTGGAAATATTCTAGGACTATTCCTCGACAACAAGAAATTAGCGGCTCGCCTCCGAAGCCGATGGTCGTTCATTGTAATCATGACATTGCAAGGCGCATGGTGGATCTGGGGCACCATCATTGTCACGCAGTTTCGCAGGACTCAGCCCACATACGACTGGGTCGATGTTGGCTTCGGCAAGGGGTTCGCTTGGTTCCTGGTAATGGTACTCGGCTTTCAACTCAATTATATGTATCTCTACTTCGTCATGACCAGTCTGGCGAAAAATGAGGCGGAGACCGTTCGGTATGCGGCACTCCTCCGTGGTACAGAGAGTGCGGTACAGGCTGTGTCCTATGGCTTGACGAGCGTCTCCGTCATGGGTCAGGTGGGCGCTGTGTATCTGAACTTTGGCTTATGGGCTGTGGCCGTCGTTCCGGCGTGGTTCGTGATCAGGGAGATTGGCGTTACCAAAGGCAGAGTCATCGACCAGAAGCCGGATGTTCATGTCGAGCGGGATGTCCGTGTCGAGCCGATAGAAGAATAGAAACAGTTTCTAAAACGTAGAAGAAAGTAATTTGCTCACCCGCTCATGTCGCGCCTGCCCAAAACTAATATCATTTCGATCTTGGCATTGTCTTCTAACGACGAAGACGCGAAAAAGAGGTCAGTCAGCATGAAGGAGAACACAAGAGCCAAGTGTTCGCTTACGTAAAAGACCCGGCCCCCACACAAAAATCGAAACCCCCGACCCCAACACCAAGCTTCCAAACAAACCTTCACATGTCATTCCATAACAACAGGGCATGGTATGTATAGACATGCAAAAATCTGTCAAAAAGAACGTGGACGAACCCGGAGTCGAACCGGGAACCTTCTCCACTTAGAAACTACGCTGTGAAGACGCTGTTTTGCTAAGAAGATGTCATACCGCTAGACCATACGCCCTGTGCATCCTGATTGGATAGATGTAGCAAGAGGCAACAAATATATGGAGGTTTACCAAAGCTGAATGAGAAATCATCGAGTCCATGCATGCGTAATCAACCGGAAATGTGTTTGAATAGGCGTGAGAACTTGGGGAAAATTTCAGGTCGGCGAGGGAAACAAAGGGTACGTCGGACGTGATTTGAGAGTTTGGCCATTTACCAGAGGGAAAACAAACAAATAGGGTATCGACAGTGGAGCCGGAGAGACGTTGCGATGGTCCGTCCTGATCCTATTGCACATACGGGTGCTTACGAGCCTGAGCTAAGTTAGCATCCTGCATCACCGTGGTACGATAGGATAACTCACGTCTTCAGCGCTCAATCGATCCGCCGTCTCGAACACCACCAATTGCTTCACCAAGTCGCGTCCTTCGGCTTCGACATCCGGCAGAATATCCTCCCACTTCTTTCCGGGGTACTTGGTGAAGTTCATCTTTCCCCAGTCTGGCAGCCGTTCTGCCTCAGGCCAGACAGTCTCATCCGGCGTTCCTAAAGTCTGGAAGATGCTCCTGATCAATGCCAACTCGCTCCCGACGTCACCAGCGTCGAAAAGTGTCTGGCGGTTTAGGCAGACGACTTGTGCTGCCACGCATCCAGCGGCCCACATATCCAGCTTTTCATTGTAGCTTGAGGAACCAAAAAGCAGCTCTGGTGGCCGATAGCTTGTCGTGCCGACATCATGAATCTTCCGGTCTGCTGGTTCCGACCCCGCATCTGTAGAAGACCAAGCGATGCCAAAGTCTGCGATGTAGGCTGGTCCTTCAAGCGTTGATAAGAGGATATTGTCGGGTTTGATATCGCGATGGATGATGCCTTGACTATGGAGGAACGCCAGACCTTTGAACAGGCCTCCGAGCACTGTCCTGCGAGAGGCAGGCGTCAGGCGGCGATTGCGAAGCAAAAGGTCCAGGCCATGCGGCATGTAAGGGAAGACCAGAACGAGATGTCCTCCTGCTTGCCGGAATGTCTCGATCAGGACTATGATGTTGTTTTCTTGGGCTGTCGAGATGCCTTTAAGTATGCGTACCTCCCGCTCTGAATCGTGCGGCGGTCGCTCCATACCAGGCGTCGTCATCTTCAACGCCACGACTCTTGGAGTACCATGGCTAGATTGAGCATCTGGATCGGCAGCACGGAAGACCTCGGAGAACAGGCCATCTGCAAAGTGCTCTGCGTCGATGTACTTGCCAATTATGGCTCCAGTGTGTGGCAGATTCGGAAAGATGTGCTCTTCGACATGATGGTCTTCGATGGGCTTCTTCGATTCGACCGAGCTGACAAGAAGCCTCACGGTCTTGGCACAGATTTGGTGGTACTCTTGCTGTAATGACTTAGCCTCCAGTCAGACGGTGTTGATCAAGGTATCCTACCAGAGACAAGGCTTCTTTCCTTGCAGTCTCCTCTTTCGATCTGGCGAACTTGGATGCTTCCGAGGATTGGCAACCCGGGTTGGCAGTCTTATAGGCAGCGGCTCTGGTTCCGAAAGTCAGACCAACGTCCAGAAACTCCAGTCGATCGGGGCACTACTTGCATTTCCGAAGTGGCGCTGAGTCGGTCGGAGAAGCTGACGGATTTGCGCCAGTCATCGGCCATGACGGAGGAGATGGACGCTCATAGCAGAGGTCATGTGGGTGCAGCTATTTGGTCGACGTTAGCACGCACAAAGCAACTTGTTTGTGTCTTGTGGATTGATGGAGCTGTTGTACGCCTAAAGTAAAGAGGTAGCTCGCGTTTACACAAGCTTCTTTAGTGGCCTAGGAGAGTTTGACAGATTGATGGAAATTGATTGATCCTCATCAAATACAGGCGGCGTCATCGCGGCCGCCTGACGCGAACACATCCAGAGCTTCGACAGCTCTCGCTCAAGACTATACAAACAACAACTCCATCAACACCCATCCACAAGCTCGCATTCACCTCTGCACCGTCACCGCCTCAGGCCGTTCCTCGAGACTTTCACATCTAGCCGATACAACACACGCCTATCATGGACGCGCTGGTGGCCAAGTACAGCCGCCCGGCGTATGAGCAGGAGAGCTACTCAGAAGAAGACCAGCAACAACTCTCATCAGACGTCGCACCGTCGCTCTCCCTTCAGTTCGCCCTCCCACCGACCGCATCGCCTCAGCAATGGCTGCGCGCGATGACAGACGACCACTCCAACCCCAGCTGCCCGATCAAGATTGCCCACGGAACGACAACGCTGTCTTTCCGATTCAAGGGTGGTATCATTGTGGCAACAGATTCAAGAGCGACGGCAGGAAACTGGATTGCCAGTCAGACAGTGAAGAAGGTCATTGAGATCAACAGCTGCTTGCTGGGAACCATGGCTGGCGGTGCTGCTGTATGTTGGGATAAGAGCACGTGAGATACGATTACGGAATCTGGCTGCTAATACAACGTCTACTAGGACTGCCAATACTGGCTCGCATACCTGGGCATGCAGTGCCGTCTTCACGAGCTTCGCCACAAGCGCCGCATTTCTGTTGCCGCCGCAAGTAAGATCCTCGCCAACCTGGTCTACAGCTACAAGGGCATGGGCCTGAGTATGGGAACAATGTGCGCGGGCGTCACGCCCGAGGAGGGACCAGCCCTCTACTACATCGACAGTGATGGCACACGCTTAGCTGGTAACCTTTTCTGTGTGGGTTCGGGTCAGACTTTCGCATATGGTGTGCTGGATGCCGAGTACAAGTATGACCTGGAAGATGCGGAGGCCTTGGAGCTCGGCAAGCGAAGTATATTGGCCGCGACACATCGAGATGCCTTCTCCGGTGGTTTCATCAACCTGTATCACGTCAAGGAGGATGGATGGGTGAAGCACGGCTTCATGGATACCAACCCGGTAAGCACCAAGACGACAGCGAGAGTTGGAACATGCCTATTGACTACGCCTTATAGATCTTCTGGCAGACCAAGCTCCAGAAGGGAGAGTTCTCCAACGTCACGGCAAACTTGGATTAGAAGTTCCACTACACCATATGGGAACAGGCGACTTCGACTTCAAGCGCAGCAATTGCGCGAGTGTACTTATAGTGGGATTGTGATACTAGCAGGCTCAGCCCACGCAATGCATGAATGGATACAGGACAAGTTTTTCCACGGGTCCACTGTAGGACGCTCAATTCGTACCTTCGATTTTCTGCCGCTCTATCGTACTACACGGTCAAGTATGCACAGATTTACGACTTGGCATTAGCGACTGCTAACTGACCGACTGCTAACTCACTCCTTTCATCTGACTACATGTATCTCTTGTAGAGTCGTCCGAATCTGGCAAAGCGCCCGAACCGAGGTAACTGTCACCAACAAGGATCCGTTCCGTCGGCAGATTGTCTCTCGGACTTCACGTGGCATTAACTTCCTTCTTCCGTCTCCCTCTCACTGCACTTCACTTCATTGTAGATCTTTTGCTCTCCGCATTATTTCGGGTCCATAGCATTTAACATGGGATCGTCAAAGACCTACAAAGCAGTGCATCTGGCGAATAGGCCAAAGGATCACATTACGCCGGAAACTTTCACAGTCAAAGAACACGAGACACCGTCTACTTCATCATTAAAGGATGGCGAAGTCCTATATCAGCCCAACTATCTCTCCTTGGACCCGGCGATGAGAGGTTGGCTCAATGATAGCCGCTCATACATCCCACCCGTCAAGATCGGCGCTATCATGAGAGGAAATGGCGTCGGCACCATCCTCGAAAGCAGATCTCCGCAATGCAACAAGGGCGACATTGTCCATGCTCATTCCGGATGGACCGAACTGGCGGTCCTCAAGGGCGACCAAGTCGAGCCACTGAGCCTCCCTTCCAATGGCAAGATGACCGACATGCTCGGCGTCCTGGGAATGCCGGGCCTCACAGCCTACTTCGGCATCCTCGACGTCGGCCGAGTGAAGGCGGGCGACTTCGTCGTCGTCTCCGGCGCCGCGGGCGCCACGGGTTCCGTCGTCGGCCAGATCGCCAAACTGAAAGGCGCCACCGTGCTGGGAATCGCCGGCTCCGACGCGAAATGCGCCTGGCTCACCCAAGACCTCGGCTTCGACGGCGCCCTGAACTACAAATCCCAGACGTTTGCCCAAGATTTCCGCGCCGCAACGAAGCAGCAGCTCATCGACGTCTTCTTCGACAACGTCGGCGGCGAAGTTCTCGATCTCGCCCTTTCCCGGGCCAAGGAGCATTCGCGCTTCGTCATGTGCGGTGGCATCTCGCAGTACAACACGCACAACGCGCAGGTGCAGGGCCCGAGGAATTACCTCATGATTGTGTCGATGCGGATCCGCATGGAAGGGTTCGTGGTGTTTGATTATGCCGATCGGTACGCAGCGGCCAGGCGGGATCTCGCGAAGTGGTTGGGTGAGGGGAAGATTAAGAGGCAGGAGACGATTTTGAAGGGGGGGATTGAGAAGATGCCCGAGGCTCTGAGAAGTTTGTACCAGGGTGTTAACACTGGCAAGTTGATGGTTGAGGTGCATCCTCCGCAGAATAGTGGACAGGCGAAGTTGTAAATACGGCCATCTTTCATGGAAAATCATAGATGCAGACCTGTGCATTCGGGACGGACTGGCGACCGAAAAGCCTACCGACGCATTCGCGAGTCTGGCCAACTCTCCCCGCGACACAGATGCTCAATAGCACAGCACGTCAGAGAAACAAGTGTGTTCATCAGCCCAGTCCAGAACCACGAGTAACACCATCGCTTCACAGACACAGAAAGTTCAAGAAGATGGCACGGTGACAAGCGCCGCGCCACCTTTAGACATTACATCGACAACCAGAATATCTTTCATCCCCAACGGAACACTGTACAACAACTCTCTAGATCTAGAACCATCTTCTCATCACAGCCGCTCTATTCCTGCTTCTCCACATCGCTGACCTTCTCGGCTGACTTGGTGTCATTCCAGAAGTGGCTGAGGTCGCCGATAGGGATGTTGATTCCGATGCGCATCTCGGCGGCCATCATGGCGACGACGATCCACCACCCGAGAACGGAGACGACGAAGAGAAGAGCGCCGGCGGCCTGTACAGAACAATAGATTAGCATGATTGATAAGTTGTTTGGACTTATTCAAGAATGTGATGCTTACAGTCTGACAGTGTCCAGCAGTGGTGTAGTCGCCTGTTGCGGTCTTGAAATAAGCACCAGCGAGAACCCAAACGGCGACAGCGGCGTAGAAGAAGATTGCAGCAAAGACGACATTGGTCTTCATTGCGAAGATGAGGTAGGTCAGGAAAGCGAAACCCCAACTAGTTGTCATTGTCAGCGGCCTTTTATTAGATCGTCCGCGTATGAGCGACTCACACGACCAGGTAAAGCCCAATGACAGTGTTGTAGCCTGCGCTACTAGCTCCCTCGGTCGCATTCGTGCCGTCCGGAGAGTAGTACGCAGCGAGCCCAAGGCTTGGAAGCTGCAGCATGCCGAACGAGAGCCAGAAGACAGCGAACAACGAAGTGGCCATCATTGGATAGAAGTTGCCCATGATCCAGTTGAAGATAGCAGCCAAAGTCAACATGAGAGGCCCGACGAAGAAGAAAATTCCAACAACCGCTGGGAATCCGCTGGCGCCTCCCCAGCCCATCAAGACCATCGAGAAGGTGAAAGTGCTGATCACGAAACCGACGAGACCCATAGGCGTTGGGTTGGCAAAGCGGGCGTATTGAGTCATCTTTGGCTGGAGGTAAAGCTTTTCGAAGAGCTCAGGGGAGAGGGTAACACCGCTGGTAGCATGGCCCAAGTCTACCTTGTGGACGTGGTGGTCTGTCTTCATGTGAGGCTCGATGTCTGCGGTGCTCTGAGAGACACGGTGCTGCGAAGGTGGAGGAGACATGGTTGATGCGATGCGGGGATAGATCGAACAACGAGTGACTGAAGTTAAAGAATGAACAGAACCCTCCTTTGCTGTGGTGAGAGTCGTCCGCTTTTTGAACTCGAGCACGGAGTCTCTAATGCTGCCGCTAAAAGACCTATCCGTACTGTTGATCTCGCGTTAACGGCTGTAGTTGCGGTATAGCGTGGCATGGCTCTTGAACCCGCAAGTGTAGTCAGACAGACTAGCGCATCAACACACGTGGTCGCCGGGGTTGGAAGCCTGGAAGTCGCGTGAAAGGAGATGTTCTAGCAAACCAGATGTTGCCGCATGGGAGGTCGGTGCTGGGACATTCGGAGGTTAGTGAAAGTCTTTGCTCTTCGGTCCACATATCCGTCCAGGGAAGGCTTCCGGGCCGAAAAATTTCTATGGAGCCGACACCTGGTATGCATGCATGCGAATGCTCGAGCACGACGATCCATATCCACAATCCTGTTTAACCGACATGATATGCTCACGTGTCAATCGCGTATCTGGGTCATTCGCCGTACGATCTTGGCAATTGGAGGGCATCGAAGTAGCAGTTAGTGACCAACATATACCTCATCTGTGGCGTCGATCCGTTTCATGACCTCGGAGATGCACTATCTCATAGTTGACAGCCTTCAAGTGTCGAGAGATAGGTTATCAGGTGTCCAAGGGCCTTTGTGAGAGTATCCGAGAGGATGCGAGATTTGTCCTTTATGCAAGTGGCCAAATCTCAGTAGACGCCAAGACCACCATGATTTGCCGCCAAGGGTCACCAGAGGACGCTCAAGGGTATCTTGAATAACAGGCAATCACCAGATATCATCCAAATAGCCATCTAGCAAGTCGTACAGGGCTAGATGTGAGGAGGCCTGAGGAATCGGCTTGGGGCCTGGAAGCTCCGTTTCAATCAGCCAGCAGAACAAATGGGACTTCATCTTGTCCAGCTAGGGCCTTGCAATAAGTTAATTGCTGTGCCCAGTGGCTTGAATATGGGGAGCCCATCGCCAACTACGAGGACTGAATAGGCCTGCTCGAACGCGCGAAAGGCCTCGGCTTGCCTGGCTTGAGACCGCAGCGAGCCGCAGAAGTTATCGCAGGGCAGACTCAATACTCCACGGCAGACAAACAGCCTTGTGAAGGTTTGAAATGTGATCCCGTGTGGAAAAAGGTCTATCAGGTGGTGCAAAGAGCAGACACGAGGTGAATCAACTGAGACACACTCTCGGCTCCTTCCGCAAGCCCCGCCAAAGACCTTCGGCGAGCCTACCCACCTTTCGACCTCACTACTGCATCCGTCTCTGACAAACGTCAAGAGAACCAAACACCAGCAACTCCATATCCAGCCAAGTACCCCTCCACAACACCGTCAACCCGCACGCATCAACAGGAAAGAGCGTATCCAAAATGCAGATCAAGTATATCCCTCCCCGAACCATAAACCTCATCGCCGTCTTCCAGTTCCTAATCAAACACGAACCAGAGTCCGTACCCTCACCGGCAAAGAGATCGAACTCGATATCGAGCCCGACTACAAGGTATACAACTCCTCACTCCTCACAACAGCTAGCGGTAACCCATCTGACTCTAAGTTTGTGGTGGGAATTAGGTTCAAAAAATAAAAGAGCGCGTCGAAGAGAAGGAAGGTATCCCTCCGCAACAGCAACGTCTCATCTTCGGTGGGAAGCAAATGAACGACGAGAAGACGGCGGCGGAGTACAATCTGGAAGGAGGTGCGACGCTGCATTTGGTTCTTGCGCTGCGTGGTGGGCGGTCATGAGCTGGGAAAAGAACAGCACATGGAAGAGAGTATTGCGGTGGTGCGGTGGTTCAGCTCAGACGATGTTGCTGATGCAGCGCGAAAGACACGATAAGATGACACGAAGAAGCATATGGGACGGGCGTTGTTTCACGATGGTGGCACATACCATACCCAATCGACGACATGGCCAGGATGTATCTCACGCAGGGAATAGTGGTCTATGCCGCGCTGCGCTCAAACACTACTGAGGCGAGGAAGCGGAGAGAGTACGTGAGACAAGTGCATAAAGATCTGCCAATTATCCCCCATTCAAGACCAGGAGCGTCCATCTGCATTCATACCTACAATCCATCCAGAACCCAGCCATCACTCATCAACAGACCTGACGAACGCCAGCAGAACGCCTTACGTCCTGTCCAAAGCAAACATCTAACCCTTGCGGCATTCATCAATTCAAGCAACTCCAGTCACCCGCCTAATACTCCTCCTTGGTCCCTCTCCAACAACCTGCACCTTGGCCTCCTGTTCCAAAGATCTCACGGCGTCCGTAAACTCTTGTCCCGCCACAGGGACAGAGCTTTGCTCACTCATCGTCCTCACAACATCTCCATACCTGACACTCTGCGCTCCACCCCTCAGCATCTCATCAAGCACACTCAAAACACCATTCTTCAAATCTTCCTTGCGCTTCCTCTCGCTCGCGGAAGTGCCCTCTGTGAGGAGACCCATGTCGATGAGACCGGTACGGGCATCCGTAGCGGCTTGCTTGAGAGCCGATTGAATCAGACGCACGGCTTCTTCGACATCAGATTCCTCCACGGTAAGCGAAAGACGCATTTTGGCGTGTGCTTCAGAGAGACGGATCATACTTTCAAGCTGACGCGTGGTGGCAGTGATGCGGCGTTCTGCGGCCCGGATGTCTTCACCGAGTTTGCGCATGGCTACGTAGGAGCGCACGAGAGCATCGCCGGCAGCCGGAGTGATGACTGGGTGCACGTTGGCGCGGGCGTAGGAGATGTAGGAGGTCAAGAAGTCAACGGGCTGCCACGAGGTTAGCATAGCTATCCAAATGTGCGATCACATTGGACTTACAAGAATCTCCTCTCTCGCGGCGTTATCCGGCGCATCCTCGAGATACATACCAACCAAATGCCTCGCCAGCTTTCGATCAGCGCTCTCCTCAATCCGGTCCAGTACAAGGTACACCAGATCGAATCTTGACAGTAGCGTGGGTGGCAGGTCGATGTTCTGCGGCACGGGCAAGTTGACGTTGTACTTGCTGCCAATAGGATTGGCAGAGGCGAGGATACTTGTCCTTGCATTCAGTGTGGTGATGATGCCCGCCTTGGCAATGGACACCGTCTGCTGCTCCATGACCTCGTGCAGGACTGACCGAGTAGAGTCGGACATCTTGTCGAACTCATCAATGCAGCAGACACCGCCGTCGCTCAAAACCAAAGCGCCAGATTCGAGAACCAGACTGCGTGTCTCTGGATCACGAGTGACATACGCCGTCAGACCGACAGCAGATGAGCCTTTGCCAGATGTATAGACACCGCGCGGTGCGATCTTGTGAACGTATTCCAACATCTTCGACTTGGCAGTCGATGGATCACCGCAGAGCAGCACATTGATGTCGCCGCGGTATTTGGGTGAGCCACCCTTCTCGAAGCTCTTGTTTGTGCCTCCGAAGAGCTGCAGCAGGATGCCTTTCTTGACGTCTTCTAGCTCGTAGATAGAGGGTGCCAAAGATCGCGACAGCAACTCGTACACGTCGGATCGCGCGGCAGTCTCTTGGATCTTGGCCTCTTCTTCCTCGCTGACTTTGCGCTTCTCTTCCATGCTTCCGGCAGCCTGCTCAGACAATTCTTCTTCGATTGTCGATGGGTCGATGCCCATTCTTCGCTTATCTACCTTTTGCACGTGCAGACAGTCTACGTACGTCTTGAAAATGTTCTTCACAGTCCGCTGTCTGGGATTGACGCGCACCTGATTGCACTTGAAAATACCAGTGATTTCAACGCGGTCTCCCGCCTTGCAGACATCGACGAGCTCGTCGTATGCACACAAGCTGACCGAATGTGGCGTCTGTCCGTCAGGCATCGCGTCCGGGGTTTCTTGCAACTTGATTACTTGTTTATCCGCAAAGCCAGAGCGGTTGTGAACAATTTGCATGCTATTGCTGGATTTGCAGACTTCACGAGGGCAGTGAGTAGGCTCTGCGATCTTGCCACGGTCAATGTCAACCTTGACTGTGTGATGGCAGACAGAGCATCGGAAGAAGGCGTCCTTCATGTCGGGAATGATGGGCGTCGTGCGAATGACAAGCCCCTTGATGGAGACGAGCTGGTCCATATCGCCAGGATTAAGGTCCCGCAAGTTGATCGTCTTATCAAGACCGAATGGGCGTGAGCGGTACACGCTCTGCTCAACTTCGGCAACGAGATCATGTTCATCTTGCGTCGCAGGAGGCGGCTGTTGTCTCGGAGTCTGTGCACCCACGTTATCGACATCGGAGCTGGGCATTGGCGGCATAGAAGACGAATTCCTGGCCCGGTCTTGCTGACTCTGTTGTGATTGCTGTGACCGTCTCTCGCTCATCTTCTTTTCAGCCAGCTCAATCATAGTATCCTTCACAGCCGTGTCGATAACTGGCACGATTTCGCTGGGGAACGATTGCAGCTGATGCCACAGCTTCCTTGTTCCGGGATAGGCCTTGAGATTTCTGCAGTCCAAATAGAATGCCTTTGTGCCAAGTTCTAGCATTGTGTCCAGCATCTTCATGTAGTCCTTCTCCAGTCCTCGATCGTTGCTTGCAAGTGTTTCGTTGTCGCGTATTTCTCCATCCTGGATCATGCGGTATTTCTTCTGAAAGTTGTAAAGGAAATCCTTCATGGCAGAGAAGGAGTCCGTGATAGAGACATCTGTGCCCCAGATGTATCTTGTCGACCGTCCTCCTAAGACAGCCGCGTCAGAGGTATCGGGGTTGGGATTCGAGAACGTTGCCGCGTCGGAGACGTCCTGAACGGGCACTCCATTTTCGTCGACGAACAATTGTCGTCGCCGACCGCTGCTCTCCAGAACATCCGAATTGATATCGTGTCTCCTATCTCTTGCGCTAGGTGCGCCTGACATTCCAGAGCGTACAAACAGACCAGTGGAGCTTGTTCGATCAGCACGATGGCCATTTGCCGGTCCAGCAGCATCAGAGCTCGTGCCATAATGGATTGGGCTGGAATCTGGATGATCATCAGTCTACCATTACCACCCGAGTGAAGAGTAAGCAATTCTTACCACCAACGCCGCCTCCTGCCCTTGGTGTTCTGCCTCCCTCGCTGCTCAGCGCCCCAGGCGTTGCATCAGTCCTCTGCCTCAGCGGGCTACTCGCCAGTCCATTGCTTGCCCCCGCCGGGACACCAAGACTTTGAGACTGAGATTGGCTCTGGCTGCCCGCTGGCGAACTCCTCAAGAACAGCGGACTGCTTGTAGGAGGCGCCTGGCTCTGGCTGTTACTCTGCTGACTTGCCCGTGGCGTACCGCCTGCCTGTTGTGCTTGACTTTGTGATCGCGAGTTCGCAGGATCCTGGTCTGCGTCTGCGTGTGGAAGGGGGGGATCGCTGGGGGGGACTTGGGAGTTGCGTTGTGAGCGGCGCTGAGGCGTGTTGTTAGCCGACGAGCGCGTCGATCGTCTTTGTGCCGGAGACGACATGTTTCGCGTCGCAGGCGATGGTAGAGTTGGGTATTGTGCGTGAAGATGTTTCGTCGTGATCGATCAGGGCGAGAGGGGAAGAGAAACGCGAAGCTACGCGCTAAGGGCATCCGAACGCGACGCGATCGACCCGTATCTACCAAGTGCTTGATAAGTTGTCTGCAGGCCTCGTTCCGCCCCGCCAAACATCCCACTTCGTCGAAACCAGGCGATCGAAAATTAACAAATCTCAACTGCGCCAAAGAGTCAAACATACCACCGAGATGCCTGCACCGTCTCAGCTGTCTATTTCTACCTCGGCTCTGAATCGCCTGGTCAAGGAGGAGGCGAGCTACCGTAAAGAATACGAGGACCAGCAGGCACGCATTGCCAAGATCGAGGCTTCTGATAGCAATGACGAGAACGCAGAATATACTCTGAAGCAGGAGGTGAGTGGCACATGAAAGGAGGAAAACAGTGTTATCATCAGATTTGATTTGCATGGTCAAGGCGCACGTCTGGATATCTCGCTGTCGTAGTTGCTAATCTACAATCATCGCTCTCTGGACGCCTTCGCTAATCACATTTCTCTCCCCTCCGACCATGCCAATTCCAATGCTAATGCCCGTCTGTTCGTACAGCGCAGAGCTCTCGAAGAGACCAAAGCCATGTTCCCTCAGCTCAAGGCCAAGATCGAGGAGGCCAAGTCGAAGCTCGAAGCGCGGTTGGTAAGTATATCTGAAATAATTCGTACAATCCTTCTCTGCCACATATCTGTCCATTTCATGCATTCGTTGTTGGTCATGTATTTTTTTCGCTAACTAGATTTCGTTGTGCAGGAGCAAGACAAGGGTCCTGGTGATCAGAGCTCGCCGGAGGATATCACAAAAGCGAAGGAGGCAATCGCATCTGCGCTGGGTACAATGAGAGCGACGTCTTGAACGTGCGAGATTTGGTGCTCGCTGTGTGAAGATTCTGAGTCGCATCGATTGTAAATGAGTCGTACCGTGGTAGAGTGTGTGATATCAGACTCAACTTCAGAGCTTGCGCTTCTTGTTGGTCATGAAGATGTTGACCTTTGGCTTCTGCATCGTCTTGCGTGGTGGGCTGCTTGCCGGGCTGTCGACGAGATTGACGTTGGGCTTGGCCGGCTCGAGCATCTCTGGCTCGTCGTCGTCGAGGCGCTTGCGCTTCTTGATCTCGGCCGGTGGCGGAGAGAGCGACGATGCAAGAGTGGTGACTACTGACTTCTGCGGCGCAGACTTGGGTGCGCTCGAAGCAGAGCCAGCAGCAGCCTTGACGGCAGCGCTCGAAGCCGCACCGGCGGAAGCAGCGGGCCTGGCAACTGCGGTTGGTGGTGAAGCTGCCTTCGGCTTCTGTTGGGGAGTGTTTGCAGTAGCGGTAGGGACGGCGCTCTTTGTAGCTACAGCTGGCGGCGAAGCTTGCTGAATCGGCTTGACGGTCACTGTCTTCCTCTGCGGTTGGGTCAGGCGGCGGAGACGTTCCTCTTGGTCCGCTCGAGCTTGGGCTGCAGCCGCATGGATGATCGGAGCATTGCGCTTTGCAATCTTCTCATTCGCGAAACGCGTCCTCGGTGGGACGATCGTGCTTCTGGTGGTGGAGTTCGACAGTCGCTTCCGCTCCTCGAGCATCGCCTGCTCGTGTGGGAGCAGCTCGCGTGGCTTGATGGTCAGGTTCTGTTGTCCGCGCATCATGCTCGCTGGCGGAGCCTTGATCTGGCGCTTGCCGGCCTCGAGGGCCTCCTGACGAGCGGCGGGACCCATCAGGGGCTTGGTAGCTGTTCTCGCACTCTGGGCGAGGGCGGTCTGGCGACGAAGGGCAGCAAGGGCCTCTGCGCCGTTCTTGGCGTTCTTGAGGTTGGGCTTCTTCTCCTTGTCGTAGTTGTCCCAGCCGCTGGCCTTGTACTCAGAGCGCTTGACGCCGTAAATGTAGTCGTTGGTCTCGTCCTCGGCGCGGGCGTGCGGGAGAGCCTTCTTGACGAAGAGAGGAGCAGCCTTGGCTTTCTTAATGGCCTCGCCCTGCATGCTCTTGCGCAGGATCTCCTCGTCCTTGGCGATTCTCTCCTTCTCTTCGCGCATCATCTTGCGATAGACCTTGCCCCAGCTGCATGGATTGTTGGGGAAGATCATCTTGTCCTCGCAGTTGGGAATGTCGCGCTCGATGAAAGACCTCCAGAGCTTCTCGGTCTTTTCAGCGTACTCGGGGTTGTTCTTCTCTATCTCGGCGAGCTGGTTTGGGTCGTGGACGTTGCGAAGAATTGGGAGCGCCATTTCGAAGGGCATGTCTGCAAAGTCGTAGATAAGGTCGGCGACACGGATTGCAGTTTGGAGAGCAAGTCTGCGGAGAGTTGGGGGAGACATTTTTGCGGTGGGCGGGCGGCTCTCTTGTGGGAAATATTGGTGGGTCTGTGCGGCAGCTTCTTGTCACTCGTCGCTATTGTTCGAGTCCGCTACAATGAGGACAATGCGGCTTCAGTAAGCCTGGCTGGTGTTCACGTATTTTCTTCACCCCGCGGACAATAGTAGTAATCTTTCTATTCGCGACAACGTATTTGAATGCATAGCTCCAAGTATCTCGAGTCTGAGAAGCGAATGCGCGTGTGCGGTGGCCTGGTCTTTGTATGGAGGAAAAGGAAGATGTTGTCTCGGAGAGGTGCAGTCGCGCTGATCAGCCCTTTGTGCCCCGTGCGGCTCGGTTAATTCTTCTAGCGAGTTTTGGCGAGAAAGCTTGGGCCTCGCGTTCGGGAACGGATCTGCTCTCTCTTTCCAATTGCACGCGACAACCACTGTTTGCGACCTCGTCTTCCAACGTCACACCGCCAAAATTGAGAAACGGACATGGCCGACCAGGACGTGAAAGACCTCCAAGTCCTGCCCGATCAGGCGCAAGAAGGTTTGCAAATTGAAACCGCAAACATTTGCCGCGGACGTCCTGACATGTGACAGATGACTTGCACGCGAAGCGGTTGCTGGCCATAGAAGACCGGCCCTTCACGCGTGTGACCAAGAAGTTGTTTGGTGAAAATTCCATCCTGCGTTCTTCCATGAACTACCTTCCGTCTCCACCACCCGATGGCGAGTCCGACGACGAGCTTGCCAACGCATACAAAATCCAAAAATTTCGCGAGGACGTCCTGATCGATTTCGCCAATCTCGAGAACAGTCTCATCCGCATACAGCTCATCTTCTCGTCTAATCAGCGACAGCGAGAGCGGTATGCGGCAGAGAAGGCCAAGATCCTGGAAACTGCACAAGCTGTGCGCGACAACACCGTAGAGCTGCGCGCACAACTAGTGGAGGCGCAGCGTGTATTGGAGCAACGCAAAGGCTACGATGAGCAAGCTGCCAAGATTCTTGACGACAAGAAGCTGAAGAGCCGCGATGAAACGAAAGCAGACATTGAAAAGCTGGAGAAAGAAATTGAAGACTTGCAGCATGAGAGTGCCGAATATGAGGGCACCTGGGTTTCTAGAAGAGAGCAATTCGATAGCATCGTGCGGGAAGGCGATGCTATGATCCGTCTGATCAAAGGCATCAAAGACGAGCCGGAGCCGGAGAAAGACGAGGAGATGGAGGATGCAGAAGATGGCACCAAGGCGGAGAAGAGCAGAACAGGGACGCCCGCGCCAGAAGGTCGCTCTCCTAGACACACAGATACAGGCGATGCCACCCCGATGCGGGAAGGTGAGGGTGATGGTGATGTTGAAGGTGGCACTCCGAGAAACAAGTTCCTTGAGATTGAGGACGGCACGAGACCGCACAGTCGTGTCTCTTCTCCACTCGTGCAACCGACGAACACGGACGACGATGTCGACATGGCCGAGACGAATCTCTCGCAGGCCCCTTCGACTGAGAACCAAGACCCGCCAAATTCCAGTGATGGCGCGCAGGAATCGGAGCAGCAGTCTGTGGCGACACCCATGCCAGATGTTGCGATGGAATAACTTTGAGTGCATTGCCTCCGCATCTTCGTCCTTCTCTGCTGTCAGCGCCAGTAGTGAGCACTACCGCACAAGCTAGAAATGCGCAGGTCCACGGCTACTGCGCCATCCTTCGCAGAAGCTGAAGAGAAGAGCTCTATCGCGCGGGTCCCGGGACTCTGAGCGAGTACGTTCTCAACATTTTCATCTATCTCCGCCAGCCCGGCCCTGTTACCGAAGCGATCGTTCGCGATCGATCCGGTAAAGGCCTAAGAGACCTCCATTCGGTGCTCGACATGCTCTTCGCCGTTGAGAGAAATACACAACTCGCAAGGCTATCTTCGCCTAACGGCACATGAGCGGAGGGGCGGTTTCATCCCATGTTTGGAGAGGTACTTTCGCTGTGGAGCCGATCAATTCAAGTCTCAGTCATCGACCGCCCTTTGCATGCAGCCGGGACTGTACTGCGCTCAAGTCCGCCCTGCGATGACCATATTGTTCCAAATATCCGCGTAACACTTCCCACTTCTGTCCTTTCAATGTACGCTAGCCTAAGAACCGCTCTCAAGGCTGGCAGAACGCCACGGTCACCACTTTCAAACTTCCTCCAAGCATCGAACAAGCGTCTTGTGTATCAAATGACACGCTATCCCAGTCTGCCTGTCAACATGCCGCTGCTCTCCTCCATACAATTCATCCTAGCGCACGGCGTCCGTGTCTTCCTCTACACCAACGAACTTTCGAGGAAGGAGTCATCCGGACGGCATGAAAAAGCACGTCCACTGCTGCTTTCTGTTGCCTCCTACATATTTCATGACATCGGGACCACCAACACTTACGACACAAGCCCTGCGCTATTTGAAATTGAAAGCGCTGATGTTGCCGTGGATTTCTGACGTCAACAAGGAGTCAGTGAGGCAGATGCACACGAGGTATGGATGGCTATTGCACTACGCGACACGCCTAAGATCTCGGAAAGGGTCCAGGACTGGTCGGTCCTTCTGGTCAGTGTGGCTGTCATGGCTGATTTCAAGAGACCGGCTGGGCTGGCTCTGCGGTCTTGCCAAACTTCTTGTTCTTGTCGCTCGGACTGTGTCAGGATACTAGTATCGTCGCTGCTCGATTCAGTGTTACTTCGTTGGGAAAGCTCTGTCGATGCTAGTTTCCCCTAGATTACCTGCTCGTACTTGAGACACTTTTCCGCGACGCCTTCCGATTTCTTCATCGTCGCTTGTCAGGAAGTCGAAAGAAGCTCAGGTGAAAAGAGGTGAAGTTTGCTGGAGGCAGTCACTCATCCCAGGCGACCCACTAGTGGATGGCGCTAGGCCATGATAGACTAGTCTGAGAGCCGCCTGAGTTTCAGGAATTGGATCGGAGGAGGGTGTGCCGTGGCGGCGTCAACCAGATCCAGATGCAGCGACGCCAGCGTAGCCTTTGAACTCGCCTTCTTCTTTCAAGAGTACTGGCAAATCCTCCTCGTGGAATGACTGCCGAACACTGAGATGAGTTGGTTTCCACCCCAACTCTCGCAGCCGTTCTCCACGGTTTCGTGCATTGGAGCCAATGACTACCATGCTATATGGACCGAACAAATCGTGGTATTGCTCCTTTGGAATTTCACGAGGATCCGGCTGAGCAATCCTGCCAGCCGCGTGTAGATCCTCACCAATGAAAGTCGCCAGCTGTTTCCAAGACAATTCTTCGCCATTTTCGCAGAAGAAATAGGGGTGCTCCAAAGCGACTTCGGGTGGCGACTGCTCTAGCCATTGCAACATGGTCATGTATCCTCGGGACAGATCTGACACATGGATCATAGTCCAGCGACCCTCGCCACCGCCAACGTAGCCCGCGTAGTTGTGCTTGAGAGCGAAGCGAGCCATAGTTGGAATATGGATCGACAGACGACCGTATTTGTTTGCACCGTATATCAAAGGCGGAAGCATGAGGAAGGTTTTCGCTTTGCTGCCCAGGCGTTGACGAGCGCGTATGATGGCCAGATCAATCTCGCGATGCGAGGCATCGTCGGATAAAGCATCCAGTGGACCAGGATCCTTGTCCGTGTAGATAATGTTCGATGCGTATGCTCCTTGCGACTGATCGCTCAGGGAGCTACATCCACTGGTATGGATGTAGATGGTCTGCCTGCCTTCGTTTGCTCTCTGATCAATGCCGCGGATGACGGCCTCTACAGAAGGCAGGTCATCTGCCGTGGCTGTATGGAAGATGATGTCATGTGAGGCGCTCTGATCCGCGATGATATCGCTATCCGCGAGCGTTCCTAGAATAGTCTTGACGCCCCGTTTCTCCAGATCCTGAGCTGCTTCTTTGCGGCGAACAAGAGTAGTGACGTTGTACTTCTGCTCCAACAATCTATCGATCAGCTCCAGCCCAATGAAGCCGGGACCCAAGATGAACACACTGTGGCCGTGTGAAAACATGTTCATCAACGATTTTTTTCACTCCTGATTTTTGTTGGACCAGGAAGCGTTCAAGGGTGAAGTGAATGTTTTGGTTGACTGAGTTCTGATAGCGTGAGCTTGTTTTGTCATCCACCAGTCAGATGCAACGTCATGGGCCGCGGAATCAAACCGTCTACGATGGCAAGACAAAGACAGCTCCGTAGGTACAATGTTTCCTCAGGTCACTTCGACAGCATTGAAGGCCATGCTTGCTTTGATGTCTTGGTATTTAATGGTCACAAAGTGTTATTCCTATTGCTTTTCAGATAACCCATCGTGTCCGGTCTGATCGAGACTCCACAGTTTCCACTCCCTATGCATTTCTGTACTTAACTCAGCCCTGGCTCCGCTCGATGTGGCGAGCGTCGTGCGGCGGGTACGAAACTCGATACTGCTCTGAACTTTTGATATTCTTTACTGGTGATGTTTCTCTATCTGCTCCAGCGTTGAACTGCACTTTAACGCCAGAATGTGGCGCTTTGCGCAAATTTTCAATTGGTTCTTGATGCAGCCGCGATGTGGACTAGCGACGTGATTTCAGGTCGTTCGTCAGGGACGCGCCACCTGGCGTACGGCTACAGGCCATTGCCAATCCCTCGCAAGCTCCAATTGCGCAAGATGGATCTTCTCTTCCTCCGCAGTATCAAAGGACTTCAGCGCCCTCACTTTTCCGTCTTCCTCCGGCCTGACGAAGTACGGTCCATCAACTTCACACTTGGTATATTTATCAGGCAGCTTGCCGTTATACAAGAAATCTCGAACGTGCTTTGCCAAACAGTTCGACGTCACTGCCACGCTGCAATGCCCATATCCTTCGACTTCGACGATCTGAGAGTCTTTGAACGCTGTTTGCGCGGCCTTGGCGGATACCAAGGGACAGATGGGGTCGTACGATGTCGAAAGAATGAGCAATGGATGGGCCGTTTCCACGTCATAGTCTTGTGTGAAGTTATGTGTGCGTGGAACGACCCATTGCTGGCGAGTGTAGTAACCATCGTTCTCGGTAGGAGCGAAGATGCTCCTATTCGTAAGTTCCACAATTTCCTTGAGCAAGGACTTCCTGTCTTGGGGCCAGTATGCGGGGCCAGTGAGGGCATCATTCATCGATACAACAGTGTTGGCCTCGCCTTCGAGACCGAATCCGTCGCCACCGCCCCATGCCCGCCAAGCAGCTGTTGCATTACCCTTCAAGAGCATGGCAAGATTTTGAGACACAGTGTACCAGCTCGCAGGCTTGTAGAGAGCTGGAAAGATCCCTGTGTACCATATGTCGGTCCACGTGAGGAGGCCGTGGGACGTGTTGTTGATGTATACGTTAAGAGGTTGCTCCTTCAACTTGGCGGAGAAATCAAAGACTTGTTTGCGAAGCTCTTCTTTCGAAGACCCAAGTGACGACAGGGTGCAGTTCTCCACGCCTGCTTTGATACACTCGGAGAAGAAGCCGTCGAGCACGTTTTCGGTATCGGTGAAAGATTCGTCATATTGAACATCGCCGTACCAATTGAATGCATTGACGACACCGTCGATGATGACCCTTGCGGATCGGTTTGGGTACAGACTGGCGTAAGTCTGGCCGAGAAGCGTACCATAGCTGAAGCCCCAGTACACCATGTCTTGCTGTCCAATGGCATCCAGTATACTGTTCATGTCGGCAGCAGTCTGTGGAGTATTGATGTACTTGCCATGCTCGCCCAAGGTATCCGCGCAAGCCTGTACAAAATTATGCGTCCAAGCGAACAGTTCTGGAGAATCATGGACAACTTCGCTAGATCTAACACTGGAAAGCTTTCTCCGGGCTTCCTGGGTCGGATAGCAGTTTGCGTTGGGCTTGGAACCATTGATGCCACGCGGATCGAAGCTCAGAAGATGGAATCCTTCACCCACTATCTCGGACAGCTGTTTTCCCCTGCGGAAGACAAACTCCACACCACTGCCTGTGAATATGTCAGATATGAACTTGAAAAGTGATGTCTTGCCATCCTCATACCTCCAGGGCCGCCGGGATTGAGCAGCAGGTTCTGGGCCGTGTCATTGTGTGCTCGCAAGCGGATCAATGAGATGCTGAAAGTTTTGTCGCCAGAATTCGTTGCGTTGAATTGATCCATAGGCACAGATATTTCGCTACATTCCAGCGGTCTGCCTGCAACCTCACCGCAGCTCGTCCAGGAGACGTTTTCACCGGAATAACTGTGAAGGCCTGAAATTCCTTGATGACAGGGCACCGTGGCATTGTTCTGAGAATGTATCGCCCATGGTACTTTGAGCCATTTTGATAGCAACATAATGGCCAAGATGGCCACGATGATGTATCTAGTTGATGATCGTTGACTTCTGCTATCTTTCTGTGGAAGATTTGCATCTTCAACGACGCTCGGCAAGACCTTCTCCTCCATCATAGCGGCGTCAATGAAATGCAGTTGCGGTGTGCGTGTTTGTATGTGTTTCGAGGAAGGAAGAACAAAGGATGAAGTGCCATCTCGTGTTGATGTCAGCGATGACGGGACGCACAGACTCAACCTTAGCCCCACTTTCGGATTTTCTCCGGTAGAACTGAGTGAAGGTTTCCAGACATGGACGGGAGCGTCGACTTTGCTTACAACACCTTCTCCCAAGTCAAGAACTGTCTGGCATTCGAGAAGGAGTATGCTCACTGCCACCAAATCGCGATGACTTCGACACCCAGTACAATGCTTCCTACAAATACACGCAGACTTCTCAGGGCCCCCACTTTGCACGCCACATATTTTGGAGCCACCTTCTCCCCTTGAAGTTGCGACAAAAGTCGCGGGAACGTGGCCATACTGCACAGCAGGAGCATGCGACGATGAGGCGATAATGATCCTTCCACACTTAGTCTCCCAAACACAATCGCTGAATAACAACACATCATCAGAATCTCCCGGCTACGCCATCATCGATTCTTAAGCCTTCACAACATCGAATCCCTTCCATCCCTGCAAAGCCGCACGAATCTCAGGGCCGTATGCGTCCACGCCTCCCGCATAGCAAGTCATCTCAAACGCCTTGCCGGGAACCGTACCACCCATATACGTGCTCCGGACCTTGGGGAAGAGCGAAGGAGCTGCGAGATCGTTGATCCTCTGTTTCCATGTCTTCTCCGCTTCCTTTGTTGGGTTGATATATTTGATGCCTTGACGTCGGACCTGCTTGATGGCATCTCTAATCCAGCGGGCTTGGATCTCGACGGAGGAGGGCCCATTGGAGAGGAGAGTTGGTCCGTGTGGACCGTAGAGATGGAAGAGGTTGGGGTAGCCTGGGAAGGGATGTTAGTTGGCTCGAGGCAATCAGTGCTAGTCAGGACTTACCAGAAATGGTGGTTCCAAGGTAAGTGTTGGCCGAGGCCTTCCACTCGTCCTTGAGGTAGGTACCGTTGATCGACTTGAGACCCATGTTTGTCATGCCGCCAGTGACGACGTCGAATCCTGTCGCTAGAGCAATGATGTCGAATTCACGTTCCTCTCCATTCGCAACAATACCCTTCTCGGTGAAGCGCTCAATCGGAGTACCGTTGGCCTCGTTGATGTTGACAATGTCCACATTGTCTCGGTCCAAGACCTCGTAGTAAGTCTGCTCCAGGCATGGTCTCTTAACGCCAAATGGATGCGGCGGCAGCTCAGGGAAGAGGACCTCCTTCTTCTTTGGGTTCTTCACACGTTTGCTCTGCTGCTTGCGCCAGTAGTTGTAAGATTCGTGGTTCGACTTCTCATCAAAGAGGTAGTCTTTGTATCCACCGAGCCAGAGAGCAAAGCCCTGCTGCTTCCACAAGCCATCGTAGAAAGCTTCGCGCTCCTCCTCTGTGTCGTCGAAAGTGTTACGTTCGCATAGATCGTAGTGGAACCCGGCAAAGCACTTTTCGCGCATGTCGTGAATCATTGGGTAGATGGGCTTGTTCGCATCTTGTTCGGCCTTGGTGAGCTCGCGGCGACCCATAGGGAGGGCGAGATTGGGAGTGCGCTGGTACACAGTGAGCTGCTCGGCGACTGGGCCCATCTCTTGAATCATCTGGACACCGCTAGCTCCAGTTCCAATGACCGCCACCTTCTTGCCAACGTAGTCAACGCCACCAATTGGCCAGAAAGACGAGTGATGGATCTCGCCCTTGAAGCTGTCAAGACCCGGCACATCGGGAATGTCTGTTCTAGGTCAGTTTGTCGGTCTGCTAATGTGGAGAACAGTGGTATGTTGTACATCGCTTGGCGGCGAATCCTGCAGCCACAATCAGGAAGCGCGCCTTAGCCGTTCTGCCATCTTGGGTCTTGACAACCCACTTGGCCTCGCTCTGATCAAATTCTGCACTGGTGACGACCGTCTCGAAGGCCGAGTCCTTGCTTAGATTAAGCTTCTTATCCACGTGGTCGAAGTATGCCTGGAGTTCAGTCCAGTCTGGATAATTGGTCGTCCAATACCAGTCTTCGTATACTTCAGGGATGGACAGTTCGTAGATCGGGACAGGAGAGTCAACGCGGGCACCCGGGTAGATGTTCTGTTTGCGACATCAGCCAACAGTCTTTAGACGAACGTGATTCTGGCCTCACCCATCTCCAAGTACCGCCAAATGACTGTCCAGCTTCGTAGAGAACAGCATTCAATCCGTTCTTCCTGGCCTCGTACAAGCTGTACGCGCCGCCGAATCCGCCACCAATGATGAGAACGTCAATGTCCAAGTTGTCGGCGTACGGGCCATCCTGGCGCCTTCGACGACCATATTGCCACAGCTCCGTCTTCAAGATCTTGTCAGGAGTCTCCTGGGACATTGGATCGTTTGCGATGCTGCCCATATTGGCTACAGTCTCGAACTCGACAACAGAGCTTGATAGAGTTATTGAATTGGACCGGGACTGTTCCTACCTACCCTGCCTCAACATTCGGGGCGACCAGGTCCTTATGAGCTTCGCGATCACGCGATCACGGGATCAAGCGATCAAAAGCCATGGCCTCCCTTCACCCGTACATCGCTGTGTGCTTTCTCGAAGAGTGTGTCCAAATCGATAGCCGCTCGCGGCCCACTTGCCCGTTAGACATGCACCTCCATGAGACGCGAGATTAAGCTCGGCCATCGGCCGTCCAAGTGCGGGGATCGCGTACGGCGGGGTATGGGGTATCACGGCTAGGTTCATGAGCCAACCCCGGCCAGACTACCAAGTATTGCAACACCATATGCACATCGTGGGGATCTCGGACAATGCGTATCCTATTTGTCAATAACACCTGGTGTCGATGGGCCTATGATAATGTAAGCCTGCCGGGCTGTTGCAAGCAGCGAAGCCTGTTGCGCGTTCCAATTCGCAACCTCGAGTCGATGTCCGTAAGCATGGGTCGGAAAGCCATGGCATTGTGGACGGCAACGCGGACAGACCTGTGGACGGGCGCTGAGGATCCAGAACAGGGTGATACAACAGGCCGAGATACGGTCCGCTCGAGGTCACATGCGTGAACTATCCATGTCTCTTCTTGGGAAGCTGCCAGTGCAGGGTATCGCTTCCAGCTCGAGGCGTAGCGGGGAAAGAGGTACGTCCGGCACGGAGTCATTGCCAAGCTAAGCAGCTGCAACAAGTAATTGGACAGCGAGGATCTCGAAACCGTTGCATCTCGTGATATCTAGAATTCTCCCTCCAGATTGAGTGTCGAAAGCTTGCAGAGGAATCTGTCGAGACGATTTTCACTGCAGGAACCGGGAACTTCAGGCGATGGCTTCAGCGACTCATGGTCCAGACCTGGTACCAAGCCAGTGGAAGCGACACTTCGCCAAGCTGTGTTTGTGAAGAGTCCACGTGGAAGCCCTGGAGGATTCGGCAAACCTGTACGTTGACGCCTCTCCGACCGTTCTCGTCCCAAGAATCACGGGAGTGCTGCAGGTTGGCTGCAACGAGGTGGCACAAGCTACGGGCAAATGACTGCGATCCTGGCCATGGGCACCTTCTGCCTTCGAAGCGTCTTGCCGATTGTGGTGAGAGACTACGAGTTACTGCTCAGCCACGTCTCAGCAGATGTCGATCGGGATAGGAGATTGCATGGGTGAGGCTCGGTCATGGCGGCAAGAGAATGATTCAAAGATCTGAGACTCGGTTCATAATCTTGCAGTTGACCTATGAGTGTGTAATTTTGTTCCCTCAGGGCCGTGTTCCTACGCGTGCATTTACAGTGATCAGAACGCGGCATGCGATGGATGTTGCGAGCGTTGTAGTGCTTTTTTGGTTTTGTATGGCTGATCGAGGCCACCTAATCGGTGCTGAGCGAGTCCAAAGCTCATACAGCCCTTGTGGCCTCTCGGGAGCGAGGAAGGCGTGCCGGGACTCTCAGCTCCTAGCTGCGTAGTTCTGCTTCCATATCCGGTCGAACTTCTCCTTATCCACTGCAAACTCTCTCGCGTACTCACACTCCATCTCGTGCATCTTGTTTCCGCAAAGCACTAAGCTGTGTAGAGGCTTACCCAAATCAGCCTCCGTAAGCTCTTCCAGTGTGCCAGCTACAATCTGCTCTCCCTCGCTTCCCAGTCGAGCAACACCGATTGCCAACTTCTCCTTTCCGCATACATCAGACTTGCGCGTCTCTTCTATTTCGATCATCTGGCTCGCACACTGGGCAACTGACATGAACCGTGGTGGCTCGTACACGATCTTGCCTCTTGCCAATGCCTGCAAATTCGGCTCCTTCACCTTGATGTCGAGCAACACTAGGGTGTGCAGCCCGAGACTGACATTCTCTGCGATGCGGTCGTAGAAGCTGTCGGGTTTCCAGGACTCCGTGAAGAAGACCATGGACACAGTCTGGCCGAAGTTGTAGAGACTCAGTCCGGTTGCACCGACCGCGGTCAAGATGGAGGCATTGGGCAAGGTTCGAGTGGGAATCGGAGGCTCGTGCTGACGGCAGCGGAGGGCCAAGTCGGTATGTGTAGTAGCACTGAATGGATCGCCCACGACCAGAAAGGCGACGTCCTTCTCATGGGCTTCTGCTAGGATTTCATCCGACTGTGACTCGACCTTTTCGCGGTCGGCTATGATGATTGAGCGCCCATAGTAGGCTTCCTACTACATAGCGATCTCGTCAGTATAGTGAGCCTTTTGCTCCTCGCGACTCGACGTGTATAATCGCACCAATGCGTCTTTCTCGACGAGCAGAACAGCGGTATATGCTTCCAAGTATACACGCTCGGCCTTGCGGACGATTTCCAGGCCTTTGACGGAAATATCTCGCTCATCTGCAAGACCCAGACCAATTATGTACAGCATGGTTGTCGATTGCAGTCTGCTCGTCGACTCTGTGCTGTCACGCGTGAAGTGTTATGAATTTGCAGATGGAGATGTCGCACTCCAAACGGACTAGCTTAGCTGAGGAGCAAGCGGACCGTTCCTCTAGTGCTTGCTTAGATCGAAACCTTATTGAGAGCCGCACAACGTCGCTCCTCTTAACTCTCACTGCATCTCCACGCATCAACATCGCGCATTCCAATCGTATGATCCGCTTACGATTATTTTTGATCCACGGTTGAAACGAATTTGTCTCTCTGCTCTTCATGCGCATGGAGATTGTTCAACATGGCGGATAACAAGGCTAAGTACCGGACAGAGATCCAACAGGTGCGTATTCTACTCCTCGTGTCAGGAAAGCAGCAGCAACCAGAGCCAGGAGCGAGTGTTTCTCCGGCTTATGAGGACAGCCACGACACACCATGCCCGAAAGAATCGCTCCTGAGGACAGGGCTATGCTGAGAATCGTAACTTCATTACCGGGCGCACCGCGAATGGTCAATATGTATCCAAGAATGCCGGGCCTCACACTTTCCTACCACGGTGCGACTTCGACGCTCCTGCTCTGTCCTCACGAGGTTGGCAATGAGCAAGGCCCCCGTCTACTATAAAGTCCTTGCCACCCGGACGGGCAATAGTGCATCATCACATCTACTCATCGCTTTTGTGTTGGCTATCTCAACCCAACAACTTTACTCACCTATAGCTGATCGATCATTTCAACCATCAATTGTGTGTATACTTCTCGCAGCACCTTCTGGCACAAGCGATACAACTAGCCAAGTCCTCCACGGATAGAGTAACGACAGCCCCCCTTCGGGCCCCATGGATGGTGAATTTGGCGACCATTCGACGCGCATGATCAGGCTTCCATTCGGTGCTGAGATTGAAATGGCTTGCGATTACACTGCCGGTGCAGAGCAATCCGCACAAGTCGCTCCTGAGCTGCCGCAGTCCCACTATGACGAAGCCTTCTCACCAACAAACATGCCGTCTCTCACGCATGAAGAGGGTCGGACGGAGTCTTTCAACCAGTCCATGGGACAATCTGCACAAGAAGACCTACGTAGATCAGGTCTTTGGGCTTCCCATCTCGTTCGACGTACCTCACTGTCCACCCGATCAGACGACAGCGACACCACGAAAGCCTGGGATCCCAATGAACCATCTGAAGTCGCTTTCCGAGAGCAGAATCCACCAAACCTGCGAGCGGTGAAGAGCCAATGTGATGCTGCGCTCCAGGCGCCTAGCAGACCAGATTCAGAGACGACTCTGCGGCCGACAACTATGATACAGACTGTCGCTGCGCCGGTGTCCCACCAGACAGTTTCCCCAGCTCGAGAAGATCCCATCCTGCCTGCAGAGAATGAAACAACGGTCCGGCGCCCGATGTTCATCACTTCACAGATCAGCAAGCCAAAGGACAAAGGTTCCTCTTTCTTGCAAAGATCAACGGAGACTACGACAGTGCAACCTTCACTTTCGACGGGCTCCGCAAGGACTGAAGGATCTTCCCGTGCACCGCCGTTCGAGCTTCGGTTTGCACCCAGCCTTGGGGAACGTTTGCGGTCTTCTGACACTGCCGCTACCTCATCATCGGCTAAGCAGTCCCAGCCAGCAGAGCTTCCAGCTACCAAAGATGAGGCATTGGGACAAACGGGTGCCGAACGAAATGAGAGTAGGCAGCTCAATGGCAAAGCCAAGAGAGGCCGACCAAAAGGTGTCAAGAATGGCCAAGGCAGAACAGGCCATGCCGCTGCAGCGAGGAGACTAGAGGCAACCCAGGAGAGTGGAGCACGGCATGATCAGGGTTTGGCAGGGAACAAAGAAGAGCCAGAGCCCAAGCGCCAACGAGCACTACCACATCCAGTCGACAAGGTTTCCAACGCTGCTCAAATCCGCAAAGAATCCGCAGACGTGAATGCGTCTTCCGAAGAGGCCAAGGTTGCTATTGAGAAGCCATGGCAGACTCCGCTTGCGAAGGCGGCACTTGGATACTCTGACAACGTGCAAGACTTGCTGCGGAATAATCCGACACATCGTCTTCAAAGGCTACTTCACCAATACGAGGACCGCCCAGCACCACCATCTCAGCCGTGGATGCCAAGCAACGGTATTCAGAGCAGATATCGCGACCTTCGTCGCTAGGCGCTTCAGCATTCCGAGTTCTGCACTGATCAATTCGATCGTTATCTGGATGAAGCACAACGAGGAAATTATCCGTCATCGTCCTTCTTTTGATCTCGCAAGGTCTGCAAATGTAGAAGCTGGCGCATGGACGATCAAGGTTTATGGCGGAACATTCCACGGACGATGTCGCTGGTCTGCTCAGCTTGTTCACTGCTAACCCTAGAAGCCTGGCTCTGGTTGCTGATTATTGTTCTCTCTGTACTTATCTTTCGTTTTGTAACTTTCGATACTGATCTTGCAATACAGATGATGTTCGTTTCGGGTGAAACAGGCGATCCTTCACCCGAGACTACCAGCATGATTGAAAACATCGTCCAGCAACAGGTCATGGAAATGCTCCGGCGGGCAACAGAACTAGCAGCCCGTCGAGGAGTCCGAACCATCAGCACCGACGACCTCATCTTTCTCATCCGCCACGACAAAGCGAAAGTCAGTCGTCTACGCACATTTCTATCCTGGAAAGACGTCCGCAAAAGCGCCAAGGACAGCGACGACAAAGGCGGCGGCGGCGCAGACGCAGGCGGTGTTGACGAGTTCGATCTCGCCGGCAACGATCCCACTCTCGGAACAGGCCCGAGCGTCGGCACACGCAATAGCAAGAACAAGAAAGCCAAAGTCGGACTTCCGTGGGATGTCTCTTCTTTTTACATTGAGCAGGTGCCCGAGCGCGAAGACGAAGAAGACGAAGAAGAGGAAGAAATGAACGCGGCTACCCTGCAACGCCTCAAGCAAGCCGACGAACGAACCAAAGGCATGAACGCAGAAGAATACCTCCACTTCTCCGAATGTCGCCAAGCATCCTTCACCTTCCGCAAGGGCAAACGTTTCCGCGAATGGGCGGGTTTCGGCGTCGTGACGGACAGTAAACCCAACGATGACATTGTGGACATCCTCGGTTTCCTGACGTACGAAATCGTCACCCTCCTGACGGAGGAGGCGCTGAAGGTGAAGGCGGCCGAGGACGCTCTGAAGCGGGAAAGCGGCGGGGATGAAGAAAAGCGAGGGCGGAAGAGGCGACGGGAACCGGGCTTGTTCGACCCGCCCGAGGAGGCCAGGACGCCGGTGGGACGGAAACATATCCAGGAGGCGTTTCGACGCTTGCAGATTCCCGAGAAGAAGAGTCGCTATCTGCATCATGTCCCGCGGGGGAATTTCCAGAGGCCGTTGAAGTTGATTTGATGAGAAAGGTTGGTGGTGGGGTTTCGGTCGTGTGTTGATGGGGGTTTTTGGGAATGATTGAGCGATGGTGTTGTTTGGTTGGCTGGCTGGTGATTGTTAGGTTACATTCTCTCTTTTTCGTGGGCTTTTAATTATTGCTTGCATTCTTGTGTTATGTTTTGCTTGAGAGACATAAATATTGGAGCTGTATACTTCGTGTCATTTCAAACCCCGACTCAAGTGTCCGACCGAACATTGTAACATGTAACTAACTGCTCAGAAGGTGGTTATAATATACGTCTGTCGAAGGCATTCATGGGTAAGGTAGAATAGTCTGTCTATATTCTGTACAAAAAAAGGGGGCTCATCATTCTTATCCCATCATCTGGTATCCCATCCCATCTCATCACCCCTTAGGCAAAATCAAGCATGTATGCATGTGTACAGTCGTTCCCATATCGCCTCTATCCGCCCCGAAAGAAGAAAAAAGACACGTTCGGCCTGTTTACCTCCCACACTGACCCATCCATCCATTCATCCATCAAACGTCTTCGCAAATGCGATTTCAACCATACTTCAAAAATCAAACAATCCCGTACACTTTGCGAGCAATGAAATAACAAACCGCACCAAAAGCCACCAATCCAGCCGTGATGGAGAAGAACCAGGTCAGATCGCCTTCAATGTCTTGTCCGGGGACCCAGACGTTCATGCCCCACATGCCCGTGATGATGTTCATGGGGAGGACAATGGTGCCGAGGACGGTGAGTTTGCCGAGGACGTCGGCGTTTTGTTCGGCGCGCTCGTTCATGCGGATGTTGATCTGGGCGACGTAGTTACCGTGCGCGCGGGAGAGGAGACTGTACACGGATCTGTTAGTAATGTGGTTGATATAGGACATGAAGGAATGGGCTGGCGTACTTTTCGTAGTGTGCCAGGTTGCCCGTCATGGTAACAATGTGGTCCTGGATATCACCAAGGTACAGACCAATCTCACTCCGTGGCGCCACTTCCCAATGTTCGTTGCATCGCTTCGCGAAGCCCTTGATGACATCCGCCTTGTTACCCAAAAGGCGGTACAAGGACATGACTTTCTTTCGGCCCTCGCCGACTTTGCGCAGCATGTCGCCACCGCTCTGGCCTGCCGTCTTCTCGCCTTCAGCCTTGGCGGCGCCCATATCGGCCTGGTTCTGCGGCGTCTTGGGTCTCTGCTCTTTCGGTGCGGCCTTGTTCTTGTTGCCCTCCGCGGCATCTGCTGCTGTAGTATGCATGTAGAGGATATCCTCATCAATAGCATCAACCTCATTTTCAATCTCCGACACCAGTGGGCCGTAAACGTCCGTCACATCATCAATAATAGCGTAACTGATCCAATCAGCAGACGGGCTCATATAATCGTTCAGCTGTCGAATTCGGCGTCGCACGTTGGCTGGATGAGGACTCATGGAGTGGTGAAAAGAGATCACGCCATGTCGGAATACAACCACGTACAGGTTAATGGGTTCCATGTAGTCTTCGCTGTCGCGGTCTTGTTCGAAGGTGCGGTAGTTCACAAAGTAATAAGATGGGAAGAGTTCGACCTTCTCGCGCGGCTCGTCCATGAGAATATCTTCTGATGTAAGTTGATGGATGCCGAAGGCCTTGGACAATATTTTCATCTCTGTCTCTGTTGGCTTCAAAACGTCAAGCCAGAAGGTTGGCCGTGGACCATAACGCTTCTTCTTCGGCTGGGGAGTATTGTGTCCAGATGAAGGGACGGGTTCCAGTACAGTCTTGCTGGTAGCGGCCGACGGGACAGTGCTACCAATCTCACTCGGTGCTCTCTCAGGACGTAACGCAGGGTCACTAGGAGCGCGTTGTGGCAATGGAGGCCTCTCCAGTGCGTTGTCGTCCTGGTTACCATCGTCCTCGTCATCACTATCGTCGCTGAGCTCCACCGGGTCTGGAAGAAAGAGCTCCCTGAAAGTCATGTCGTCCTGCAAGTCACTTATGGTTCGGGCATGAATTGTACCATCCAGGGTCTCATTGAAGTAGGTGAATCTGAAAGGAGAATCGTCTTCTTCTCGGTGCCAGATGGTTTTCGCAGGCCGCAGACGGCCACCAACCATGACAGGTTCAGAGATCTTCTTCGCCCTTAGGACTTCCTGCTGAGTACGCTCTTCTTTCTCTTCCCGACTCCACTCCTCGAGGATCTCGAGATCAGGCCAATGCCCTCCACGCCTACGTCGCCGTCTCGCGGAATCATCACGATGCTCATGGTGGCTCTCATCTTCGTCATCGTCGCCAGGAAAACAAACATCCCGTTCAGCCAGCTCGACCCCAGTCGGTCTGCGACGAAGGCCTTCGGGTGAGGCACTGGAAAATCGGCGGTCACCCAGTAGATCATCATCGTCGTCGTCGACGTCTACAATGGCATCTCGCCCGCGATCCGAGCTTGCGGACTTCAAGAATGGATCGTCCATGATACCGATGGTAGGCGAAGCCGGCACCGAGGGAGGATTATTCACATCGTGTGGCTCCTCGATAAGGTTATTGTGCGTGGTGGTAGCAATGTCCAGCTTTCTACGACTCTTGCTCGAGTTTTTGGAGGTGATTGACATTCTTCTCCCACCGCCGCTCTTGTGCGATCCAATGTGACTCTGGTTGCCATATGCATATCCACTGTTAGTGCGGGAGTGCTCTGGTCGACTCTTCGTCCGATTGCGATTATGGAGCAGCGGCGTGCGATCGTTGGCCTGGTCCCCCTCGTCTTCACTGATCGCCGTTTCGTGAGCATATCGTCCCGAGGAGAAAGGCATTGCAGACCTGACGAAACTCTTGAGTGTATCCCTCCTGCTCCTCACCGGCGCATGCTCCCGGTGATCGAGCAGAGCCTCGCTGTCGAGACTGGTGTTGCTGCGGTTTCCCTGACTCTGCAGACGGTAGAAGCTGGCCTGGTTGGCATTGGCCCGTGACGCCTCAGCGAGACTCGGTCGGTCTCCGCCTGCGCCGTCCCCATCGGCAGTACTCTCCGTCGCCTCGCTGGGAGCGATGAAGCTCTGCCGTCTGTTCTTCCTCTTGCGCCCGGCTCGGTGTCGCTTCTTCTTATTAGGCTTGCCGTTCTCGATCGCAGGGGCGGAGGTGGGTGGTGACATAGCAGCAGACGAAGTAGCGGGTGCTGGTGAGGCATTTTGGGCGATATTGCCTTTGCTGGCGCCCGCACCGGAGCTCATCTTTGCGGCTCTTGCCCCCTCTCAGGAGGTTGGCTGTCGAGTCTCTTCGAGCCAATATCCCTCTCCTCCGCTATCCCTGCCCGGCTTTATCCCGTGGGCTTATCGTCTCGAATGGAACAGGGCCGACATGCGAAAGACGTCCGATAGCGACAGCGTGATTCGATTCGTATGGACAGAGGTGGAAAAAAAAATGGAAGGCACGGGAACGGAGAACGGAGAGGAAGACTGCAGGGCCGTCGTGGAAGCTCGGGAGCTCAAAGTCAAAAGATGAACTTTCCTGTAGGTGGCGTTTCGCTCTGAGCCGCCCGGTCGCAGAGAGGAATTGGTGTTGTCGCTTCACCCGTTCGCCTAGGAGATCATCACGGGAAAGACGATGCACGAGTTGGTACAAATGGCGTACGTCGGATCGGGGAGGTGGAAGGCGTGAGAGAGGCAGAGGGAGAGCGTTGAGAGAGGAACCGGTCACGAGATCTCGCTCGCTTCCGTGAATCGACGCCTCATCCCAATGCAGCAGGTGAGCACACGACACCCGGAAGCTAGTCGTCATCTTCTCCCAGGCAATCTTAGGCGCCACAGCACGCCATGCACTGCAAGTAGGTGGGGTTCCATGTCTAGTGATATCATGTTGACCCAGGAATCGATAGGGCTGCCTTGATGGATAGTTGGCCGAAGCGACTGTCACACGGAAAGGGAAAGGTCTCTTTAGAAGCCACGATTCGAATTTCCATCCGAACTGGAGCGGTGAGGGTGTTTGGACAGCGGAATCCGTGTGACCATTATCATTGACAGCCGCGGGTATCTACTCACGAGCGGATGTGCATCCTGCGCGTAGGAGCCAAGGACCAAGGGCCACCATGCATCGGTATCCTACATGAACCCAAGAACTTCCCTCTCCTCAACACGATGCCTTCCAAGCCCAAGAAATGTACTCCAGACAGCACGAGCTCCAACGTGGACAAAGCGTGTCGTATCATCAACCACTATACAATTGGCACGCTTACTCTACCAAACAACACGACACCGATGTCTTCACCAGCCTCCTCCATCTCTTCATTGCCACAGACATAACTTCCCACTCGCCGTCCCGGCACCCACCCAATCCATGGTAGGATGGAACTGAGCGACAGCCGGCACCGCTGTGATCGCCTCCCCTCCCAGCTGTGCCAATTGCTGGCCCTTGCCAGTGTAAATGTCCACGAATCGATTCATGTTGCCGATAACGAAACGCTGAATTCCATCCCGAGGCTGCAGTTGCCACTGTGCTCGCAAAATAGTGACCCATCGACCCGTCTGGTTATTGTGAGGCACGATGGTCGCAGGCTTCATTTCCTCGTCATCCAGCGCCTTGCCAACCTTCCAATCCCCCGCGTCCAGGAAATCGTAGATCTTCACTGTGTCGTCGTAAGAAGCTGTAGCGACCTGACCGGCCGAGTTGAACGCCGCGTGCGAGACGGACAATTTGGACAAGTGCTCGCCAACAAGCCCAGGAAGACGCCAATCTTTCTTTCCATTAATCTTACGAAGGTCCCATATCTTGAGCATGCGGTCCAGAGAAGCTGTTGCCAGGATGTGGGGGTGTGCTGGGTGGAGAGAGAAGCCTCCAATTTTCTTCTCCGACAATTGCATCATCTCTCGCCCTTGGTCTGAAGGGGTCCGCATATCTTTCATGCCGAATTCGCCGTTCAGTGTGGTGAAATGTAGCATGTTTGGGTCCGCGTGGCTGATCTGTACGCCGGACAGAGGCTCATCGGCACTCTTGTCCGTCGGTGCGTACACTTCCACCGCCGTGCCCTTCTGCAAGTCCAGCTTGCGTATCGAGGAATCGTATGAAGCAGAATAAAGGGCATTCTGATCATGCGGCGAGAATTGAAACGCGCTGATCGTTCTGGTGTGAATCTTGAATGTGGTAATTGCCGGCTCGACCTCCTCATCCACGTCTCCATCTTCGTCTGCATCCTCCGCCTCTTGCTTGATCTGCGTCGGGCTAGTCTGAGACGCGTCGAATAGGCCTAGACTTCCCAGCTTGTCTCCTGCAAACACCAACGCCTTCTCTTCCGTAGGATGAAAGCCGAGCGCGTATATCCTCTCCGGTGTGATCTTGATACGATTGGGCTCCGCTCCTTCCCACAATTGCAGGCTGCTCATCCGCTGTCTAAGCTCTTTCAGTTCTTTATCCGTCGTATCCTTGACATCTTGCCCAGTGAACGTCCTTTCGCCCGGATTTGCTGGTCCAACGGTGCTCAACCAGTTCCCTGCTCTGTTCCAGTTGCTGCCATTGACTATCGCGTTGTGCAGATCAATGTCTTCGCTAACACGCTGTCTCTTGATTTGTTGTTCCTGTTTGAATGCTTCCGCGTCCGCCTCTGACTTCTGCTGCGCTACCTCTGAGTCGGCGATGATGCCCTGAAGACGTGCAGACGTGCGTCGCGGGCCATTGTTCTCCTCTTTTTTGATCTTCTCAACCGGTCTCTTGCGCTTTAGACCTGCAGTAGAAGAACCTTTCGGCTTCGATTTCGGTCCCAGACCCGTGTGTTGCGCATCGAGTTGTAGTTGTTGCAGTAGTGCTTGGTTCTTGGCGATCTTCTCCTGTCGGGCTCGTTCGTACTCGCTCAGGCCTTGGTTCTTTTTGGGACCCATCTTGTAGGTATTCAACTCGGTATCTATACACGGGACGGTACTGGAAGAGCATACGGAAGTACAAGGGTTGATGTACAGCCATAAACTTCGAGTCGATCTATGACGAGGTCGCGTCTGCCTATCGTCGACGCGTCTTAGCGCGTCTGATAAGTGAATGACTAATCAGAGCCAGGTACCCCAGGCTCGTCCTATGCTTCAAGACCTCGTTGCATCTCCATGAACAACGATTGAAAGATTTGCAGCTCGACCGGTGGTTAAGTTCCGATGATATGATGGAAGCTATACAGCGTCCGAAGTACGATGGTCTCTGCACAAGGCACACGTTACACGTTTGGAAGACGCATGTGGAATTTGACGACGAACACTCGCTGTCTACCTCGAGTTCAGCGCATCACCCTGGGCCTCCCTGTCGAGCCCGTATGATCAGCACGTCTCTGTGCTGTCTTGTGCGAAAGACTGGAATCCGGAACAACGATTGTTGATGCGGCTAGTCACCTCAAACGCTTCAATTTGACAGTTGCGACTGTATGGCATCGTCCGCATGTGAGACAGGGCTGCGGCACGCCGGGTCTACTGAGTTACCCGGTTGTGAACTGGGCGGTCAACAGCATGAATGGCTGATGAGCCCTGCGTTGTCCTTCTCACGTTGAGAAAGGCCTCGGAAACTGAGAAAGCACAGGAGAAGTACTGACATGCAATGCTGTGCCAGACGCTCTTCGATTTGATGTTTCGACTTCGACTCTGACAAGGCTTGCTAGAATTGGATGCGGAGACCCAAGTGACGAGAGCAGTGACCTTTCTTGGAAGAGAAGTGTCATTGCCGACGGAGGCGCAAATGAGGTGATTTTGGAGGGGCTATGATATCATCATGTCGTATGGCGGGGCCCCTTCCTCTCGTGCATCGACCTGACATTAAACACATTGAATGATCAGTACACTTTCAAACCCAAACAACAATCGACAATTTCTGACATTGAGCATTCGACATTTCCTTTGGTAAGTCGACGACATGTCGAAGATGATATTGCAGAGGACGTTTGCTGCCAGTTTCCGACGAGCGAGACCAGGGGCAGTTTGTCGGCAGCAACCCGTGCTCAGTGTTTCGTGCGGGCAATCAGTGTAAAAGGGACGGAGAAACCGAGCAATGGCTGACAATCAAGCCGCAGATACTCACTATCCAAACGAACAATCACATCGACCGCCACCAAGATGTCCGCCCAAGACCCATACACCCAGAAGAACCTCGAGGAGCCATCGCTCAAGGAGAAAGTGGAGGATTTGACCCAATTCATCGACAGGGCCAAGTTCTCGATGCTCACAACCCACTCTAAGGAGGGTGTCCTTGCAAGCAGATGCATGGCTGTTGCTGGAAAGGTAGGCCGGACGAATGGAAGGACAAGATGGAAGAGTCGCTGATGAAAACGCAGGAGGGTAACGGCGTCGACCTCATCTACCACACCAACAACGAATCTGGCAAGACGGATGATCTCGCCACCAGCCCGGATGTGAACGTTGCTTTCCTCGACTCCTCCGGTGAGTGGGCTTCCATCTCCGGCAAGGCCACCGTCGAGACCGACCGGGCGAAGGTCAAGGAGTACTACTCTCCTCTCCTCAAGGCATGGCTCGGCGACCTTGGTGATGGCAAGCACGATGGTGGCCCAGAAGACCCGCGTATTGGGTTGATCAAGGTGAAGGCGGAGACGATCCAGTATGCCGTGAGCCGGAGGAACTTCATCACCAGCACCATCGATGTGGTGAAGGGTGCGGTGACTGGAGAGGTGCCAGCCATCAACAAACTGAGACACCTCGGCACGGAGGAGATTCAGCAGTGTAAGCCACAGTGCATTCGTAAGATCGTTTGGGTCGAGGCTGACAATGATTCAGGGCGGGCTTCTGCTTAAGTCAAGACGACATCGACAGATGCATGGATCGACCCCAGATGGGTACGACATGAAGGGTAACAGTCGAAATTCTTCGATGTGGATGCCGTAGAAACAACGGATAGACAAATTCACAGAAGCTCACAGCTTGAGCACTTTCTGCCCCAAGAAAATGTCGAACAGGGACGTTTGTGTACGCAAGCAAGCAAGCGCGTCCTTCGTGTGCGAGTGTCGAATGACGTTGGCGCTGGCGGTGCATGTAAGCTTGGTGTACTGCGATACTTTCACTTGTGATAGTTACGCACTCGCGGGCTTGAGATTGCAGATGGTCGTCTGATCAGCTTCCTGTTTGGAAGCTTTCCAGCGTGGCGGGACAGAGTTCATGTCGTGCCAGGATATGCTGTCCCACCTCCGCTTGGCTCGTGGTCAATGCCATTGCCCTCGACAACTGAATTGAGATGAAGCTGATGATGAAGAAGATTGGAGAGTTATTTTTCCGGCAGTGGATCTCCGTCCCGGGCGAGCATCTTGATGCTGGTATAAACGTGCGCAGACTTTCCGATGTGATTCGGTGGTGGGATAAGGTGGTGGATAAGCTTCACGGCAGTCCCGCCAACGCGCACGAGCTTTGGTAGAGAGAGAGGGTGGAGTTTTGCATGGAATTGACCAATCACAAGGGGCAAATGGCAGCAGCGCTCTCTTCGGCTCTTTCCTCCGCCCTGCTGCTGCGAGACACAGTTGGGAGCGAGCTCTTGGTTGTTGCATTCTTCTGCCTTTCCACCTTTCCGTCTCTTCACCGCACCACCGACAACACCATCTTGTGAGTGAGAGGGAAGAGAGCATTGAGCTGGCGTAGCACCAGCTCCGGGTATCCTTCAGCATGAGGTCCGTACCACCACCGACCCGGCCCTTGACTCGCCTAGCTCTGCCGCCCCACTGGCTGCTCGCTGCAAAACATCCCTAGCTAATCCCTTTCGTCTGCAAACAGGTTCGGACAGCAGTTGCGAAGCTCCCTCATCAAGGACTGGTACTACCACTACATCGCCTACGACGACCTCAAGAAGTCCCTGCGAACCGATTTCCAGCATGCTCCGCTTGTCCAGCAGGGCCACCAGGGCAGCAAGAAAGGTGCTTGGACGGAGGAAGATGAGCAGCGATTCGTCAACCAGCTAGAGCAGGAGCTCGATAAGGTGTTTACCTTCCAGAAGGTCAAGAGCCAGGAGATCATCCGGCGTATCAAGGCTAGTGAGAAGGAGGTCAGTGAGGTGATTGCTCGCTCCGAGGCGGCGCAGGTTGGCACCGATGACCAGGCCAAAGCCAATGCTCCCACCGAGGACGAGTTCATGCTGCTGGAAGAAGACCTCTCGGACATCATTGCGGACGTGCACGATCTGGCCAAGTTCACGCAGTTGAACTATACTGGGTTTCAGAAGATCATCAAGAAGCATGATAAGCAGACGCATTGGCATCTGAAACCCGTCTTTGCTGCGCGATTGAATGCCCGACCATTCTTCAAGGATGATTACGATGTTACCGTCGTCGATCTTTCGAAGCTGTATGACCAGGTCCGCACGCGAGGCAATCCGATCAAGGGAGATTCTTCTGCTGGCGGGAAGCAGCAGAATTTCGTGAGACAGACGACCAAGTACTGGGTGCATCCGGATAATATCACGGAGCTCAAGCTCATCATTCTCAAGCACTTGCCGGTGCTGGTCTTCAATCCTAGCAAGGAGTTTGAGAAGAAGGATTCTGCAATCTCATCCATCTACTACGACAACCCCGAGACGTGGGAGCTGTACGAGGGGCGTTTGAAGAAGACAGAAGGTGCAGAGGCGATTCGTCTGCGCTGGTACGGCGGTATGGATGTGGACACCATCTTCGTGGAACGGAAAACACACAGAGAGGACTGGACGGGTGAGAAGTCTGTCAAGGCTCGATTCTCCACCAAGGAGAAGAACGTCAATGCCTATTTGAAGGGTGATATGACGACGGAGCAGGTCTTTGAGAAGATGCGAAGGGACGGCAAGAAGAGCGAGCAGGAGATAAACGATCTGGAGCAGCTTGCCAAGGAGATCCAGTTCCGCGTGATCGACAGGAATCTTGTGCCTGTATGCCGCTCGTTCTACAACAGAACTGCTTTCCAGCTGCCGGGCGATGCACGTGTGCGTGTCTCACTGGATACCGAGCTAACGATGGTGCGCGAGGACAATTTGGATGGCAGGAAAAGAGCGGGGGACAATTGGCGCAGAATGGATATCGGCATCGACTACCCGTTCAGCCAACTTCCTCCTGAAGATGTTGAGCGCTTTCCATACGGCGTGCTGGAGGTGAAGTTGCAGACTGCCATGGGACAAGAACCGCCAGAGTGGATTCGGGAGCTCACCGCGTCGCATCTGGTGGAAGCTGTGCCCAAGTTCTCCAAATTCATCCACGGTTGTGCGACCCTCTTCCCGAATCGCATTGATCTGCTTCCTTTCTGGTTCCCGCAGATGGACGTCGATATTCGCAAGCCGGTCACACACAAATTCGGTATCGAACGACCTGGTCAGAGCACGGATAACAGCACGAGCACTGCTTTGGACGACGACGATAGCGAGGATGAAATGGACGACGATGATAGAACGATTCAGGGCGCTGAAGATGATGAGAACTTAAGGAGATTGCGCGCGGCGCGGGATGCTCTTGAGCAACATGAAGAAGAACGACATCTGAGCAATGCGAACGGAGATGCGAACGTGATGGACGAAGAAGAACGAATGGCACATAAGCCGCTCGATTATACCGAGAACGACTACCCTCTGTACGACTCAGACGACGAAGAAGAAAAGCTGGCGGAAGCGAAACGCGTCGGAGGATGGACGTACCGGTTCAAGTTGATGCAGAGCTATGCCAGTGCTTTTGGCGATCGACTACTTTATACGCTCAAGTACGCTACTCCCTTCCCCAAGCCGACCCAAATTCCCGACCGCGAGGGAAGAATGGGGATTCCTGCTGGACGAGGTGTGAGTGAGAAGCGATTCAAGGCGCCCAAGGGCAAGAAGATCCACGTTCCTGTTAGAGTGGAACCGAAGGTGTCTTTTGCTGCGGAGAGGACGTTTTTGGAATGGGTAAGTGACACTCCTTTCTTCCCTACCCTATCCCATCACACACCAGAACGCTATTAACATGGTACTTTTGGATAGCTCTCCTTCTCCATCATCCTGGGTTCCATCGCCGCGACGCTCCTGAATTTCGGCGATTCAGTTAGCATGGCCGCCGCGACATCCTTCACCGTCGTGGCCGTCATCTCGCTCTTCTACTCTATGGCCATTTTCCTGTGGCGAGTGGATCGCATCAAGAAGCGCAAGGCGATCAGTTATCACGATAAATGGGGCCCTTCGGTGCTCTGTCTCATGCTTGTGGCCTGCGTTGCTGTTGCGGTGGGGTACAGATTCAAGTATGGCGGTGAGGGGGATCTGAGGGGACGTCATTGAGTCTGCGTCTGAGGACACAATGAAAAGCGCCGGTGTGGAATTATCATCGAAGTGTGTGTGTGTGGTGTACACGACAAGTTTGTGCAGAAAAGTGTGGATAATGTACAGTATGGCATATGTTTGTACTTTTCTTTCGCCTCTTGGTGAGATGCGCGAGGGATCGATCTTGTTGCCGCTTCCCTTCGACTCTAGCGCATTTAATTCTTCTGTCTTATCTAATCTATATATTTACACGGAAGATTACAAAGATTTCATAGGCTGCGTACAGCATTGATAGCAACGAGATCGTCACCACCACTGGAGAAGGCGACAGACCGCCCGCGCCTGATCGCGTAGCCGTGGTCGTCTCCGAGGGAACTACTCCTCCTGTTGTCGTCGTAGAAGTTGTTCCCGCGCTCGTCTCTCGCGTCGTCGTACTCATCGTACTCGTCTCCCCCTCCGCCGCCCCCTTCGAGTCAAAAGCCGTAACAGCCCTCGTGAACGTCGTCTCCGGACCCTTGACGACAACCGACGTCCCATTAGCAGAATACGTCGTGCCGGAAACCGTGATAACCGGACCACCGGGGATGAAAGTCTGGGAGCCCACGAGGAGGGCCGGGAGGCTGGAGACTGTAATCACTTGCGGAGGAGGGGCGGGGGTGTTGAAGGGGAGATTTGTAAGGGAGGTGGCATGTCCGTTGATGTAGATTTCGTTCGCGCTGTTGCCGCTGCGGGCGAGGGAATATGTTGTTCCCGCGACGACGGTGGCGGAGCCCGGGAGGAGGGTTGGGTCGGCGGAGGGGAGGAACGAGGGGAGGCTTTGGATTTGGATTTGAATTGTGGTGGGTGTGGCGACGAGGCCGTTGGGGAGGGTGATGAGGTCGGAGGGGAGGAGGGTGGCGGCTTGGTGGCCGTTGATGTAGATTTCGGTCGCGCTGTTGCTGGGTGGGAGGGAATATGTTGTTCCGGAGATTATGGCTGCGGAGCCGGGGAGGAGGGTGGTGGAAGGGAGTGCCAGTCCCACGAGGCTGGTTTCAGGGGCGTAGGAGAAATGCTGTGGCGTGGTGGTTAGGGGGATGGAAGAGCCGTCGACGTGGATTGCGGGTCCTGTCTGGTCGGCGCTGATGGTTTGTCCTGCGAATGTCGCGATGCTGCCTCTTGCAATGGTTGTTGTTATTTCTGGCCCTGCGAGGATGATGTTGCTCTGCTCCAGGTGAGCGGAGACTTGTTCTGCACTGGGAGTCCATACAGCCGCGGAGGTATACAGTGTCATAGAAGAGCCGTCGAGATGGACCACAGCCCCGTTTGCTTCAACGCTGATGGTATGACTAGCGAAGGTTGCCTCACTGCCTTGCGCTACGGTAGCCGTACTTCCTGCTCCTTGGATCACAACACCGCTCGGATCTTTTTGAGCCGTGATCCCTTGCGAGCTGACGGTCCAGACAGCAGCTGGACTCTCGACATGGGCTGTTGGCGCGGCTATGCTTCCGAGTAGAGAGGCAGAGTAGCCATCGATTACGACGCCGCTGGTTCGTACGTTGAAAGTTTGAGAGCCAATGATTGCCGTGTTTCCGGGTTCCAGTACGGCGGTCGTGGTTGGGTTGACGACGACCACATCGCTCCCAACGGCGACAGCCGTGTTTCCTGCATTGTTGTTTTCCCACGATGAAGCTTGGCTATTGCTCTGCGCGTTAGATACGACCGATAGTGCCGGAGAGATCGCGTCTGTTGGCTCGGCTTCACCTGAGGCACTGGTAGCGGGATCGTAAGAGAACGACGCTTGTCCATCTGGCGGTTGAGTATCGTCTGAGGATGTGACGGTAGAAACAGCTGCTGCTAAGGAGGATATTTGAGATGGATCTTTGGGGGATGATGCTGTTGCGAGATTGGCACTGCTTTGTGAACCAAGTGCCGACTGTGCTTGCGTAAGAATGTCCCGGGCGTTAGACGAAGCCGCTTCTGGATCTGCCTCATCGCTCGCCGCTGGTTGACTCTGGCCGACGGCTTGCTGGGTGCTCGATGCAACTATTGGATCTTCGCTTGACTGTGCTGGCGCAGGTACTGCGGACGCGCTAGGCATATTCGTAGCAGGAGCAGCGCCTGAGATCGTTGGAGATGGAGAGGCCTTTGTTGTGGCTACTACCTCCGCTTGGCTCGTCGTCTTGGCAGCAGTTGACTCCTTTGGGACAGTCACTGCTGCAGCCGATACCGCGGCATGCAAAGCACTAGGTGGGCTACTCGCCTGTCAGCGTCCCATGCTCCGCAGCCAAGTTGCGTCTACTCACTCATAAACACCCGCGAGCCCTCCCAGACAACTTGCCCACTCAGGCTGCAGGTCACGCACTTCCGCTGGCATAGCCAGCACAGGCTGATAAGGCAGACTCGTCGCGCATACGAATTCGCCGCCCAACGCGCTTGCACATAATGGTCCGCCTGTAGTTCCGAACCGGAGACACGAATAGTTGATCGAATTCGAAGATGACGCGCATCGTGGCTGGCTGGCGTAGATGCTCTGCGGTACTGGAGTCACATAGAGATCCGTGAAGTTGAAAGAGGCGGTCTGCTGCAAGCCTCCATAGCGTGCCCAGCCGTACAAGCTGGATAAGGTGGCAGAGTTGGTAATGGCTACAATCGTGTTGTAGATTGTGCTTCCAACGACCTGGAGTTTGTCAGCTGTGTCGTGTACCGAGAAGTCCTGGTAGGGACAACTTACACTGCAGGAGTCAGAAGCGTACAGCCTATCAAAGGAGATATACACCGTCGGACTTGTCAAAGTAGTGCCGTGCGCCACAGCGGTGACGATACCTGTCGCATTTGCCCTCTCGGTGACAGCGTGCAAAGTACCGTTTCTATACGCTGTCGTAGCAGGAGGCCAATAAAGTAGCTGCACATTGCTTCCGCTGACGCGACATGACTGGCATCCCACCGAACAACCAGGCGCTAGAATACTCGTAGAAGGCCACCAGGAAGATGTCTCAGTCGTGTTGCTCAGAGTCATTGTGGTTACTCGCATACCGACTTTGCCGTCCACTTCGCCGACGACTCCTTCTGTCTCGAGCCAGTTGGATTGTAAGGAAGAGCAGAGGCTGCCTGTGATGCTTGCTTGGGTACAGTCTGGAGTATTCCAAGTTTCGCCGTGGATCCAGTCCTCCCACGCGGACTGACATTGGGAAACGTAAGATGATAGAGCGCATGGTGGTGGTGTGATAGTCGCGTTGGCTTTCCTTGTTACTACCCCGGTGCTAGTGTATGTCGGATATGCTGTGATATGATACGTAGATGTTGTGATGACAGTCACGTAAGTCCTGGTAGGAAAGTTGCCGTTCATTTCCGTAGCAGTGGTCGTGACTTGATACGTTTGCCACGTATCCGAGTAAGACTCTTGAACGATAGCTGTGGTGAACGTCGTAGATTGTGTCCTGCCGCTCGAGCTGGCGTTCCAGTAGCTTTGCCATTCTTGCCAGCACTGGTCTGGTTGAGCAGCGTTGAACAACGTGGTATTTGTGCTCGCTGTGGAGTGACTGATGGCCGTGCCTGTGGAAAGTCGAGTACTCGCAGCCGCTGTGCCTAACGAACTTATCCCGCTCGAAGAAGGCTTTGTAGAGACGCTGTGGCCTTGCAGATTCAATCGCGCTGCACTATAGTCGCCGACCGCGGTTGTTGTTTTCGATGCGCTGTCCGGCTTTGATTCGTTCCGATACCGCGGCCAGACCTTTCGCGAAAGCGTAAATCCATCTGCTGTATCCTGTAGAAGGGACAAGAAAACTAACGAACCAACAAGATGCCGCAACATGACGAGAGCCGCCAACCTCGCCGCAGACAAGCAGAACACAACGGAATGCAGAGCGAAAGCATCGCGGCGACAAGTTCACCTAGCTATAAGAGTACATGGCAAAGTCCATCAACTACCAGTGTGGATGCGCCACTTCGCGCTGCTGTGTCGCCCATCTAGGGTGAAGTTGGTGAAGCTCGAATCCTTCGGTAGGGATATAGGCGCCCAGGCTCCACAAGACACTAAATTTGGACAAGATTCTTGAACTTGAGTGGTGGAAGACTTGGAGCGTACAGAAGCTGAAAAATAATTATTGCAGTCTTGGAATAGGAAATGGGCTTTTGGAGCGCGCTTTGCCTTGAATCGGTCGTTTTTGATCGCAGGCAGGTATCGATTCTGATCTGTGGTCAAGCTCGATGTATTGGGCTTACGGTACCTTTGTTGCTGCTGAAAGCGATACGAATTTTACGAGTGCCGACGTCTGTATCCTAGAAATCAGTTGAATGAAGCTCTACAGCTTGGCCAAGTGTCGCGCTGCTGTTCGAGGTTGACGGCGGAAGCGGGTTGGTGGACAGTAGACCGGCAACTTGACTTCTCCATGGTTGTACTGCTCGTCTTATGATGAAGACGTGAGGGATTGCTGCTTGCAGATCTTCAGCAATGGGCCTCAATATGTTGGAGTAAGAAGGCAGAGCGCAAGCGCTTGGAAGGCAGAGCGACGAGGGCGGGGAGATATCGGGCCAAGAAATCCGGCGTCGACTGGCACATCCAAGTGAAGCGCCGGTGTGAGGAAGAGCAGCAGGTGAGCGGCTCAGCAGGCGGGAGAGATGATTCTGGGTCCAAAGTGCACGCACATTGCCAATCATCTCATGGGCGCTTACCTTAGATGGCGAGGTGATGATTGAAAAGGGCAGCCGCCGCCCCTGGAAACACTGCAGCTCGCTCCTGCTTCGCGGTGGAACACATGCTCTTGCCTGGCCATTTGCACTTGCCCAATGATTGACATGGGCGGGCGACTTTCTGACACTCTCCACGCACAAGACATGAGTAATTTTTGGTTCACCTCCCTCGGGACTTGACGCACGAGGATGCGGTCATCATGGCGAACTGGTGGTATCGGTGCTCTCCCCGAACCGGCCGACGAGTCGCACGCCCTGCAGGTGCACGCCACGCCTTGCCGGGCTCGGAGCTGCGGTGCAAGGAAGATCTGAACAGATTTCTCTCGGCCACGCGAACGGGATGCAGGACGAAGGACCATCGCCTTTGCCGTCGCCAGTAGTGGAGGCGGCCTGGGCCCTGCTCTCAACGACGAGGAGCCGGAACGAAGATGACCCGGAGCACGTGACGAAGCGGGACAGGAGAGCGTCGCCGGGAAGTTGCCGTCAGACCATCGCCCGGGTGGCTTGCGGGACTGTGCGTGCGTGGGGTCAAGCGGCCAATCCCAGCGGTCTATTGGCATCTCGCTTCTCCTTTTCTCCTCCTCTCATCACCCCAACTGGCCAACGACACGCACGCACAACGAGTCCACAACGTCGCCTCTCGCACACGCTTGGCTTGTTGTCGCTGAAACCTCTAAGCCGCCGTGTCAGAATTTGGTTCGGTTGAACGACGAACAGCAGGCGACGACGTGGCAGCCCGACCACCACCAGCGACTCCTGCCCATCTGCCATGGCCGAATCAACCACGCTGGTCTGCACCGCCCACGCGTCTATCCCGTCGCGACGGACCTTTCTCGCGGGCACAGTGGGTCTTCGGGAGCGACCTTGCTGATCGCGCTGTCGCCCGACTCGCCCGAGCTCGTGAGTCTGGAATCGAATCCAGCAACTCACAGAGAGCCCGTGGTCCGTGACTTTACGTTCTGCTTGCGTGGCCAACACGACCACCCGGAAACTCGGGATGGCGGTTTCATCGCTGCTCTGCTCCACAAGCCGCGCCTGCATAGGGAAGGAGACCGACAGGAACAGGAAACACCTCTTCTTCTTCCTCCCACCTCCCTTCGTCTCTCCCAAACACATCCATCTCTGTACAGCCAGCGTCCTTTCTTGCATCGCAATTGCTGCCACTCATTTGAGCAGTTGCTCCTTGCTCTCTCTCGTCCATCTGGACAGTCCTTCGTTTTTCACCTTCTGCCAATTCGCCCTGGTCGGCCTTCAGCGCTCCAGTAGCTGCTCTCCCTTCTCGTACAAACACAGCACTCTACCGACGACAGTCTTCTCCGAACCCCAGCCTTTTGCATCCCTTGGAATCAGCCACCATGTCTCCAATGTCGCAGCTTTCAATCTTGGCATTTGCCTCGACCGTCCTGGCCTCTCCTTACGGACATGGACATGCTCACGGCCATAAGCACCTTCACACTGGAACCGCGCCATATCCCGTCCCAAGCGGTAACAGCACCGGCATATGGGGCTCCACCGGAATTCCGACACAGCAGTCGGCTGCCCCAACTGCTGCCGACCAGACCACTGGCTTCGAGACACTCTACTCGACTGTCAACGTCAACTACGCCTCTGGCTCTGGAGCCTCTGTTGGCGCAGCCGCCGAGGAGACTTCTGCTGCGCAATGTGGCGCCGATGTGACCGTTACCAGCACCGAGAAGGTCTACGTGACAGTTACTGGCGGGCAGGCGTCCAGCGCTCCAGTCTCTGCGGCTGAGGCCTCGTCTTCCAAGCCGGCAACCACTGTCCATGTCACCCAGACCTACACCGCTCCGGGCTCCTATGGCGGCAACAGCTCTGCGGCTGCTCCAGTCTCCTCTAGCTCTGCGGCACCCTCGGCACCCGCCTACTCGGCGCCTGCTTCAAGCAGCGTTGCTAGCAGCAGCAGCGAGGCCGCTCCAGTCTCATCTTCGAGCTCTGCTGCTCCAGTCTCATCTTCGAGCTCTGCTGCTCCGGTCTCGACTTCGAGCCCTGCTGCTCCCGTCTCGTCATCGAGCTCTGCTGCTCCAGTCTCATCTTCGAGCTCTGCCGCCGCTTACTCGCCACCAGCGTATTCTGCCACCAGCCAGAGCTCTGAGGCTGCTCCCGTTTCGTCCAGCGCTGCGGCGTCCTCTGCACCAGCTTCGAGCAGCGCCGCGGCTCCGACGTCTACCTTGAGCTCCTCGTCCAGCTCTTCATCCAGCGCTGCAGCTATTCTGCCTACGCTCACATATTCCATCGCAGACAAGGGCGTAGATAGCACTGCATCTGCCACTTCTTCCGCGCCTGCTTCGTACAGCTCTTCGAGCAGCTCCAGCTCTGGCAAGCGTGGACTCGGATACAACGACGCCAGCCTCCTCACCTGCTTCGAGGGCTCCAGCGAGATCTCGTGGGCTTACAATTGGGAAGCCGTGAGCAAGGGTCTCACCGGCTTCACATACATCCCAACTCTCTGGGGCGACTCCGACACTTGGACCTCTTCCTGGTCTGAGGACGCCAAGTCTGCTATCAGCAGTGGCTCTACTCATTTGTTCTCCTTCAACGAGCCCGATCTCGCTGCTCAATCTAACCTGTCTCCGGCCGCTGCCGCCGCGGCTTACAAGACGTACATGAACCCTCTGTCTGGCCAGGCCAAGCTCTGCGCTCCATCTGTCACCAACGGTGTCGGCACCGACGCCGCACCAATGGGTATTCCGTGGTTGAAGGAGTTCAACTCCGCTTGCGGTGGTGCTTGCAAGATTGACTGCTACAACTTCCACTGGTACGATTCCGCCTCCAACATCGATTACTTCAAGGAGTACGTCAACAACGCAACCTCGCTCGCCGATGGCAAGCCTATCTTCATCTCTGAGTTCGGTGCCACGGGCTCCGATGACGAGATCAACACCTTCCTGGAGACTGTCATGCCCTGGATGGACAGCAACGACAACATCGCCGGCTATGCCTACTACATGGCATCCAGCGGTCTCCTCGTCTCCGGCACCGAGCCATCCACTTACGGCAGCACTTACAAGAGTTACACTTCGTAAGCGCATCACCAGTTGGAGATGCTAGGCGCGATCAGGGTGCGAATAGGACAAGGGACCAAAATTGGGAATCGATCTTGAGTAGGATTGCGGACGGGTTACGACAAAATTTGGTATTTCGATTATTTCGTGTACATGGGTTGGAGGATGGATTTTCCGGACTGTGAATCGGTAGCACAGAAACGAGACATCTTGGCGCATTTCATAGCAATTTGCGTGTGGGAAGAGACATTTGTGGTATATAGAATGCTCATATACAACGAAGCCATGACAGCGATCTTCATCACTGTGCATGGATCCGTGTGTCGATGTTGTGGTGAAGTCGAATGCTGAGTTTCACGTGCAAGCTCCATCCTTGCGTTCCTGTGGTGGCTAGCAAGCCACAGGCGCTGAGCCACATGCGCTTCTCTCCCTGCCGCCTTCTTTCACGTGTTTCAACATCTCGGTCTCGCTAACGACCAAACCCACTCTCCTGTTTCCCGATTTCCAGCGGAATTATTTCGCATTTGGAAAGATCAATGACAGTCTCGACACGACATAGGCCTACGTAACCCTTTGCACAGAGCTCGCGCCAAGCTGACGACGCCCCGGGTTCGACGTTTCCTCCCTCTTGCGAATTGAGCCGAGCAGCCTTGCGTCGAGGAGAGGCCAGCTGGGGAGAACAACACCTTTGCCCGCGGCGCAGACACTGCTTGCGACTGCTTCTGCGTACACGGCTTCAGGCCGTCTGATTCGCGATCATGCGGGTCAACCAGCTGCCTGCGCCTTTGCTGGCGCTTGTTGCAGCGCCGCTGGTTCATGGCTTCTACCTTCCCGGTACGTCCGCCTAGCACAAACAAGACCCGACCTCATAGCTCGGACCATATTGACGAGCTTGCTGTACAGGCATAACACCAACGAACTACAAAGAAGGCGACCTCGTACCGCTCACAGTCAACCACCTGACACCATCACAATCTGCGCGCGATACCCAAGTACGATCGGCGTTCTCATTCGACTACTACCATAGCAACTTCCACTTCTGCGAACCGAAGGACGGGCCGCAACATGTCTCGGAATCACTGGGAAGCATCCTCTTTGGGGACCGCATTCAGACATCGCCATTCCAGTTGCGCATGGCTAAGAACGAAACATGCAAAGCAGTATGCGATGTGGTAGAATTTGAACCAAGAGATGCCAAATTTGTGAACAGGAGGATATGGCAGAACTACATAATGAACTGGCTGGTGGATGGACTACCAGCCGCGCAAAACTACAAGGACCCGACAACTGGGACTGATTACTACCAACCTGGTTTCTTGCTTGGAGAGGTGGAGAACGAGCAGCCGTATCTGATGAACCACTACGATATCTTCATTGACTATCACGAAGTTCGGAAAGGAGAATACCGCGTTGTGGGCATTCTGGTCGAGCCAGCTTCGCGAAGGAACTCGAAACGAACAGGCAAAGGAGAGGACATGTCTGCAGATTGCGGAGAGGGCGGATCAGCTCTGGCACTGTCGGAGAAGGATCCTACCAAAGTGACCTGGACCTACAGCATCTACTGGAGGCCCTCACCAACCTCGTTCGCGACCCGATGGGACAAATACCTCCACGTTTTCGATCCGAAGATCCACTGGTTCTCGTTGATTAACAGTGCGGTTATTGTGATGTTCTTGATCGGAATGGTCAGTACTATCCTGGTCAGGACTCTCAGGAAGGACATTGCGCGCTACAACCGCCTCGATCAGCTCGGCTTGGATGATCTGAATGGGAACAGTGCCGAAGATGGCATTCAGGAGGACAGTGGTTGGAAGCTTGTCCATGGCGACGTCTTCCGCCCACCAAAGCATTCCTTGGCACTGTCAATCCTGGTCGGCAATGGCGCGCAGCTCTTCATGATGGCCGGTTTCACAATTGCTTTTGCTGTGGTCGGATTCCTTTCGCCGAGTAACCGCGGTAGTCTTGCGACGGTCATGATTCTCCTTTACACCTTCTTCGGCTTTGTTGGAGGCTACATCAGCTCTCGGGTCTACAAATCATTCCAGGGCACCAAGTGGAAGCAGCTGTTTGTCTGGACACCCACTGCTGTCCCTGCTGTTGTCTTCGCTACCTTCTTCCTTCTCAATCTGTTTGTCTGGGCAAGACAATCCTCCGGCGCAGTACCTTTCACCACTATGCTTGTCATTGTCGGCATCTGGTTCGTCATCTCCGTCCCGCTCTCTGTTGCCGGATCCTGGATCGGTTTCCGCCAACCTATGGGAGATGCGCCCACTCGGACCAACCAGATTCCTCGGCAAATCCCTCCTTCGCAGGGCTACCTTCGCCTCGTACCCAGCATGCTTCTCGTCGGTGTCCTTCCCTTTGGAGCCATATTTGTCGAGCTCTACTTCATCATGAGCTCGCTCTGGAGTAACAGGATCTATTACATGTTTGGATTCCTCTTCCTGAGCTTTGGCCTCTTGATCGTCACGAGCGCGGCGGTCACAATCCTCATGATATACTTCCTCCTCTGTGCCGAAAACTACCACTGGCAATGGAGGGCATTCGCTAGCAGCGGAGCCAGTGCGCTGTACGTGTTTGCGTACAGCTTCCTTTACTGGGCCAGGATGCTCAGCTTCAGCTCCTTTACGGGTGGATTGCTGTACATGGGATACTCAGTGCTGCTGAGTCTGCTATGGTTCTTACTAAGTGGTAAGTCTGGAGGTTTAATTCCGAAGGCATGTTGAACGTGTGCTAACTGTTGAACAGGCTCCATAGGATTCTTCGCATGCTGGTTGTTTGTGCATCGGATATACGGTTCTCTCAAAATTGACTAGGAGGGCCGCATATGGATTGTCATGTACAACGGATGTAGAATACTTCGATAGCGTTTATTCAACAGCGTTCGAAGCGATGTCTGAACCGAGTTTTGATAGTTCTCGCTCGTGTTGCAGTGGTCCTGTACCGCCAATTTCCAGTAAATGGTGAACACTCGAGGACCAAAACATGGGCTTATACTGAACATGCATGTAAAGGTGGTGATACATGTGACACTGACGTGTAAGCTTCGGGGCGACGGGCATGGGGAATGGAATCTTGGCGTCGTCGATGATCTAAGACTGAAAGCTCATTGGCCGAAGCTTTCTCGGAACACTCGACTTCACTCTCGCCTCCTACCACGATCACAACCACGCCACGCTTTCACGATCTCTCTCTCCTCTCTACTCACGCACCGCATACTCCGCCAGGATGTCGACGCCGCGGGCACTGACAGCGCTGGCACGCTCACGACCCGTCCATCCGAGCTCTATTATCCGCCTCGCTCCTCGCTTCTCCACCAGCGCCCGGGTCCAGAGAACCATAGGCGGTACAACAGAAGGACCACCGCCCGACGGCTTCCGAATCCCACCACCGACGCGATGGAACGAAAAGAAAGAGAGCGTATGGGACCAGGCGGGGAAATACTTCTTGCTCACGGAAATGGCACGGGGGATGTACGTGCTCTTGGAGCAGTTCTTTAGACCTCCGTGAGTCGTCCCTCCTCCTCCTCCTCCTGACCCCCGTTGAAGAAGTCTCCCACTGACGTCGGACGAATCATTGAAGATACACAATCTACTACCCCTTCGAAAAGGGCCCCATCTCCCCGCGTTTCCGCGGCGAACACGCCCTGCGCCGCTACCCGACGGGCGAAGAGCGCTGCATCGCCTGCAAACTCTGCGAGGCCATCTGCCCGGCGCAGGCCATCACGATCGAAGCCGAAGAGCGCGAGGACGGCAGTCGCCGCACGACGCGCTACGACATCGACATGACCAAGTGCATCTACTGCGGGTACTGCCAGGAATCGTGTCCCGTGGATGCGATTGTGGAATCGCCGAATGCCGAGTATGCGACGGAGACGAGGGAGGAATTGCTGTATAATAAGGAGAAATTGTTGAGTAATGGGGATAAGTGGGAGCCGGAGTTGGCGGCTGTGGCGCGGGCGGATGCGCCTTATCGGTAGAAGGAGGGGAGGGAGGGGCAGAGCGAGGAGGCGGAGATGGTTGAATGAAAGTAGAGCGGAGCGGAGCGGAGCGGAAAGAAAGCAGGAATCAGAATCGAATCTTTCTCCATTTTTACTAACAAGAGCGCGGCAGTCTTCTATGTGTTCAGGGTGCTACAAATATTGTACATACGATCAACCCGATCCCGCCATGCCTTACATGTATCGCTCTTTCGAAGCCGGCACAGTGCAAATTCAGCCTCATCGTCGAAAATCCCCGCACGCTGCAGTCGTTCCCTTGCGAATGATGCGAGTGCGAGAGAAAGGCCTCCAGAGCATTTGAGATATAAGTGCACCTTCGCCTCTTCTCTCCTCAAATCGCCCTGCGAGTAATGGATTCCTGCTATATGCCTCTCCATCACTATCCATCACTAGCAGGAGAATGTTCATTGCGAGTTGGGCAAAGGCCTTTTTTGTTATGTAGGAATGGAGGTGAGGGGCCTGGACAGCTCGCTGGCGAGCTCATATGCCTGGTTCCCGCCACCGTGCGAATGCTGCACTACTCACTCGTAGGAGGTAGGGAGAGCTCGCGTGGTCGGAGTCGGGCGGATTGGATCTCGTGCGGGCGACAAAGGAGAATTCTAGGTGGACGTGTACCTTAGGCTCATGATTTGGTTGATCGACATTATCGAGGCGAGAGAACGGCTGAGGTAGCTGGCTGTGCGATACATATGAGAGCAATAAGGTAGCATGTTTTAGAATATCATGTTATCAAGCCAGCAAGCAAGCAAGCATGCTGTTCCGTTCCGTTAATAAGTCCAGTCTGGCCCATCTTGAAGAACATGTTGCCTTGCCTGCCATTGCTCGGCGAGATTGCGGAATCGGGTGCGACGCATGGTATGGTGCAGGGCTAATTTGCTGCGATGCTGCGGATATGTTGTGGAAATCGGCGGCAGGTACCTCACATACTGTATGAGCAATATCCCGACGAGAATGTCGCACACCGCTTCATGCACCGCAGTGCAATGCGTGCATGCACTCCCCACCCCACAGCATTCTCCGCTGAGCGTGTGCCCTGCGTCCATGCTCTTTTATAATCGTTTCATTTCCCATCGTGGCCGGTTTGCGAGCGAATTGTTCGAATGGTCATCGTCTTCCGCCATATTGGTTGGCTGTGGTACATAACTTAGGGATTAGAGTGTGAGAGGTGTTGAGGAAGTGTGCAGCGGCAAGTGCCATCTGTGCATGAGCAAGCTAATTCGTAATCCAAAGTTCTTACCTTACGGATAAGACTCCCTCCCCCTCTTGCCTCTCATCTTCACATTCCCACGGAAGCACCGCGATCACATGCCCTGATGATCAGTATGGACTTGATCGTGTACGGCGGCGTATCCCTACAATTGCGACATCTGGATCGGACACGACCCGCGACACTACAGATTGAACATCGGGATAGTGTTACAGGGGTCATTGTTTGGCGAGGAAGCTAACTCCACATGGCCGCCGCTACAGGCACCGTGCAAGCCTTTGCTCACTCCACCTGCTGCTTGCGCGGCACGGGCATTGATACTGTACCTCCATCCTTCTCCCGCATCTCAACCTGCTCTCTCCTATCCTTTTCCTCTTCCACCATCAAGTAACGATTTCCGCTGACGACCGAGTCCGGTGCCTCCTCCGACGCCCCTTCCACCCCGACGCGATTCAGCCAAAACAGGCCCGATCGTTGATCGAGCAACGGCTGGCCGCAACGGTCATTGAAACCCCATTCACTTCCTCGGTAACAGGACAAGCCTGCTTGGTGTATCGCGAAGATCGCTTTCACCACCTCATCTTCGCCATACACGATAGATCGCGGATCTCCATAGCTGTTACAGACCAGGTACTCCCGGCTCAGCCTCTGGATTTCGTAACGAAATCACACTGCGAGAGAAAGATATAGAAGCGAGACACTGCCGATCCCCCTCTCTATCTTCCACGACGCTTCACCCGTTACCTCTCAACAACGCGCTGTACAAAAATTATTGCCAACACGACACGCGACCGACGTGCAGGATACAAGTCACGACGACGGCCTTCCACAAGTCTTTCCCAGCCGAGCCGATCTGCTCCACATTCCTTCAGCACCCACCCGGCCTTTTGGATCTCTTCTATAGATCAATCTTCGACAGCCACTCCGCGCTCCACTCTCTCCTCATTACATCCGCAATCATGGGTTTTATGGAGAAGCTCCGCGCCAAATACGACATCTACAAACTTCAACAACGCTACACCCGCCGAGAAAAGCGAACAACCTTTATCTCCGATGCAAGATACGTCGATGGCGAATACGTCTATAACACCTCCCCCATGAGGACGGGCGGATCAAACAGCAGCTTTGGCAGTGATGGGTCTAAATCTGGCAGCAAGCGGCAGTCCAGGATAATCTTCTTCTAGGAAACCAAGCATGGATGTCAACGGACCAGGAGACGTCATGGAGCGCAACACAGGAGCCTGCGATAAGCTCCGATCAGGAAGAAGATGGCAGTTGGAAGACGAAACGGGCGTGTTTCGAATGGCCAAGGAGGCCGTTTCATCGACGGCTTCGAAGCTGGTTTGCGATGAGACGTTTCAGATCTCGCCTTGATGGGAAGCGCCTCGACATGACGACAGCACGTCAAGATGCGGCGCAGAAAGTCGTTTGATCGAGTATCATAGAGGGATGGGTGTCTGAAGACGAGGGTTCCAGCGCTTCTCATTCGTCCAGAAAATGCGTAGTGGATTTGGGGTCATGACGAGTCTGCTGCTGTCGCGAGCTCGGCATGAGATGGCCGATTTATTTTCTCTGCTTCGAGCGTAATATTGAACGATACCAACGATATTCAAAAGGACCGTTGCTGGACCAATGGCAAAAGTAGCACTAGAGTCCATTTGATTTCCTCTACTCGAGATCTGACCCTCGTGCTCGTTGCCCGCGGCAGAGGCCCGTCCAATGCCGAAATCTTTTCAAGAGTGCAAATTCGTCTGCGTAGGTCCTCCTTGGGCAAACTCTCAGCAGAACGAACATCAATGTCTGCACAGACAACGGAAAGGGTACGGACTCTCCTTAATCAAATTTCGGTGGGTGTCTCTTCAAGTTCTAGTTGTGACGGCGAAGCTCCATCCGAGCCTAAGGTAGCTGCGCCAAGCCTCATGTGGACTGCATGCGAGCTTGGTACGGAGCTTCATCACCTGGACACAACCTTGAAAGCTGCTACACGACTCACCTCCCTCCGTCACCTCCCTCATCTTCATGCAATGTCATCGTGCTGCCTGGCGCAGCTGCTGCACTGCTCAAAATGCGTACAATCCTGTGCAGGCCTTGCGAGCGGCGTTTGGGACCACCGTCCGGAGGAGACAGCATGAAAACGCAGCCAATGCTCACGAAACGGCGTTACCTCCTTTATCCCAACACGACACGCGACCCGTTAGTGACTCCGGGGATCCAAGGCGCGACCTGGAGAAACCACGAGAGAAAGTTGTAGTCATCCACAGAGTCCCTAAAGATGGTCCGCAACAGGGCCATCGAACGTTACCGCTTCGGTACCAACGCGGCACACATTCCTGGATGAATCCCAAGGATCTAAAGCGCGACATGGAGATCCTACGGGAAAACATTGCAGTCGTCCAAAGAGCAGAGCGCAGCAGCAGCAGCAGAAAAGCCAAAGAGCTATTTTCGGTGAATCCGAAGCATCTGAACTACGAGGGTAGAATCATTGAACCTTACGAGGACCAAAAGATGAGAAAGATGGGCAGTGAACGAAAAGAGGATGTCGGCTTCCAACTTCCATGGTCAGTCGACAAGGGAACCCTTGAACCTCTGCCCGCATCGGACTTTGGAGGTACTTTGCTAGACGAGGAAATCAGGCGCTTCGCCAAGTGGATAGAGCCAACAGCGGCAGAAAGAGTTGCAAGACAAGCAGTCGCGTATGAGGTGAATGACGTGATCGAAAGCGCCATGTCCGACTTCGAAGACACAGCTTGGAACATCTTCGGATCGTCGAAGACGGGTCTGCTTTCGCCCGTCTCGGACATCGATGTTCGAATTTACGATACTCGCGATACGAACGCGGACGTGGGAAGGAAACTCCGCAATATGGTCGACCAGTTCAATGCCCTTCGAGGTGCCTTTAAGGACAGCAAGACGTTCACGGACCCTACCGTTCGCTACGGTCGATTCCCGCTCCTGAACTTCACACATGCGGCAACCGGCATCGAAATTCAGCTCGTTGCATCGAACGACACAGCGCCTCAGAACGAGGTCATGACAAGATTTCTCGACGAGTTTCCCCGTGTACATGAAGTCTTCTACGTGGTCCGAGCCATGTTCTCCATGCGCGGCTTCCTCGACGTTTGGTCTGGCGGCCTAGGCTCCTACGGCCTCTTCATCATGCTCGTTGCAGCTTTGAAACGTTACTCCGCAGCGAGGCCTGAAATGTCTATGTATGCCAGCAACCAGCTTCTGGCCTTCCTCCATTTCTACCGCGATCTGGACATGGAAAAGCACGGCGTCTCCGTCTCACGTAATTCCCGGTTCCTCAAACACGATCCGGACCCGAAATACGAAACGTTTGCCGAGCTCGCAGCCAAGCGAGGCGACTCGGCGCGAGCGGGACAATGGCTCATCGGCCAAAAACGACCGCTGACGCACTGGCTCTTGTGCCTCCAAGACCCGGCCGATCCCACGAACGATCTCGGGCGCAGGAGCCACGCGATCAAGCATATCCAGCGGACCATGACGAATACGGCAAACTGGCTGGTGGCCACCAAGAAGCTGCTCACGAAAGAATACGGATCTAAGCGAGATTATCGCTCGCGTCACGACTCTGTATTGACGATGATCGTGGGGAGGTGTGATCTGAGATGGCGCCAAAGGCGGAGCATGATGGAACGGTATGGGGAGACGATCATGGCGCGGGAGAGGGAGGAGGATGCTTCTCGGTCCCTTTCTGCTGCGGCGGCTGATGCGGAAGCGGCTGCGCAGGAACTGGAGAAGGCATTCCATGCCGGTCAAGTCAATGAGGATCGGTCTGCAGCGAAGAATTAAGGCTTTCATCGAAAGGGGGGGGGGGAGAGATGTGTCGTGTCCAGAGCTCATCTGTGTGTATGAATGGGAAAGCGTGCTAATACCAGAAACAAGCCAAGACCAAAATGCAAAATTGAGGAAGATAGCTTTTCGCATAAGCCTGTATATGATCTAAAGGATAAAAAGTTCCTCGCGTCACAGCAGCCTTCCAGTCATCAATCCATCCCATTCCATTCAGCAGCTTCGTGCTATAGAGAACAAAGCCCTCACGATCTAATAAACTCCCAATTCATCCGCAATTACACCCGTGAGCGCGCGCGCTTGCCACTATGGCCACCCTTCCATTCCTTAATCGACGCCGATGCTGATGCATACAGAGAGATACAACAATGCGAGCGCGCCAACCAGAAAGGCAAACCGGCGAGTCTAGTCTATTGCCGCGAATCAGGCACCGTACCGTCGAGCACAGCAATCGCGCCGGCATTCCCAGCATCCGCAGAGCCGTTGAGCAGAGCGATGACGGAGATCACGTCGGCCGGTTCGAGCAGGTGCCAGGTCGCGAGCGTCTGCTTGGTTTTGGCGCCGACGGTGACGGTGAAGCGGTGTTCTTCGGGGAGTTTGGACGTGCGCAGGGTGCGGAACATGTCTAGAAAAGAGTCAGCTTTCCGATGATCACAGCGAGGGAACTCGGGAGAGGTAGTACCTTCGTCCGTGAAGTCATCACCAAGGCAGAGCACGAAGTCTGGTGCCTCGTGTGCGGCTTCACCATACTCGCGCACCAACCGCTTCGCAATCTCGCCCTTGTTTACAAAGCGTGGTCGTACTTCCAGGTTCGCCTTGCCAGTCATGACTTCAACGTCCCACTTCTTCGCCACTGTAGCTTCCAAATGCTTCTGGCACTCTCGAGCCATGAAAGCTCCATATTCGGGATCCGCTCTGCGGTAGTGCCATGTCAGGGCAATCTTCTTCCTCTCGATGAAACTTCCCTGTGTCCGCTCAGAGTAGTGGTTGAAGACCTTCATCACCTCGTTCTGCCATGACATGTCCAGAGTCTCCGTGAGATTCTCCCAGAAGCCAGAGTTGGGAGGCCGCATGAAGGAGCCGTGCTCGGCGGACAAGCCCAGCTCGGTGATGTGGCCCATCCACTCTTCCAGGAACGCCTGATCTCGACCTGAGATAATCCAAACCTGATTGTGCGGGTCAGATGCCAACGTCTTCAGCGTTCTAATGACTCTATCAGAAGGAATGGCCGCCTGTGGGTCTTTCACAATTGGCGTCAATGTGCCGTCGTAGTCAAACATGAACAAGCGACGCGAAGCAGCGCGATATTGAGACAAAAGCTGAGCTCGGTCAAGTACGGGTGTTGCGATGGACTGGTCGTAGGAAGCGAGATTGGTGAGGAGCCGTTTGACGTAGTTGTCCGTCCACGCTTGGACAGTGTTAGTCGTAACGTGGCTATAGAGCATCTCATGCTTCTGGTGCTTTTCGCCTTCGGACATGGTGAGAGCCGTATGGATTTCGTCTGCAGTGCCTCCTAGATCCCAAGGGTTGATGTGAATTGCGTCTCCCAAGCTGCCCGCAGTTCCCGAGAATTCAGAAATGATGAGTGGACCATGGTTGTCGCGCTGGCAAATGACATATTCAAGAGCGGTTGTGTTCATACCATCCCGTACGCTGGTGATCAGACCAACATCTGCGATGCGGAGGAGTGCGAAATATTCCTCCTCAGACAGGTATTGCGGATAATGTTGCACGGGTGTTGAGCTCAATGAGCCGAATGAGCCATTGATTCTTGCGACGAGCTCAGAAATCTTGTTCGCGGTCTTGTCACCTTTGTCGTCACGCTCCTCAATGCTGGTCGGGCTTGTAACTTGAATGAGGACGACCTTGTCGTGCCACTCGGGGTGTCGCTCCAAGAAAATTTCGAAGGCTTGCAGCTTCTGTGCCACCCCGCGCACCGTGTCCAAGCGGTCACGTCCCACAATCACCTTCTTGCCTGCATAGAGTTCGCGTAGCGCCTCTATCTTCTCGTCAACGCCCGAAGAGTTGAAAGCTGCCTCGATGGTTGTTTCTGCGTTGATGCCGATTGGAAACACATCGACGGGCACATGGGCACCATATGCGTCGACTCCAGCTGAGGAAGAATCGAAGCCTAAGATACGTGTGCAGCATGAGGAGAAGTGACGAGCGTAACTGTATATTTGGAATCCGATCATGTTGGCTCCAAGAACACCTTCCAAAATTTCCTTCCGACGAGTCAGACAGCGATAGTACTCGCTACTCGGGAATGGAACATGCAAGAAGAAGCCAACATAGATGTTCGGGAGCCGCTGACGGAGAAGACTGGGCAATAGGAGAAGCTGGTAGTCGTGGATGAGGATAATGTCTCCAGGCTTGTAGATGTTGATAATTGCGTCCGCAAAGGCCTTGTTCATGCAGTAGTAGTCTGCCCAAGACCTTCTCACAGCTCGGCCGTCAGTTGGTGCGTTTTGCTTGTAGTGGAACAGGGTGAACAGCTCATGTTCACCGTAGCGCCGCCATCTCTGCTGGCTGCGGAAGGTGGCGATCTCGTTATCGTCGATTTCATCCCACAGCCAGACCGGCGCGACTCGGCCCCCATGGTCTTTCTCCAGTCGTTTCTCGAGCTTGAGCCGATCCGCCAACGGAATTTGTAACTCTGAGATATCGGTCGGGGGCACTGGTTTCTCTCCGCGGTTGGGCGGAATGGGTGCGGCGGCCTTGTTTACGGGGACCGAGTCCATCGAACTCATCCCATGGGTGCCAGCCGAGTTGCCACTTGCATGGCGTCTCGCAGCACGGTCGATTTCTCCTGTCCAGCCAACAAGCGTGTGGTTCCAAGGCGACTCGGGCGAAGAAAGGTAAGAGAACGAGTCGAAGAGCGCCGAAGTGCCTCTACGTTGGTGAAGCTCCCATTCTCCGTCGCTCGTGTATCCGATCTTGTAGGGGACGCAGAAGGCGGCACTGATCACATTCCCACTCAAGGTCAAGCCTGGATGAGCAGAGCGCGGGTCCACGTCCTCGAAACTCGGTCTTGGCTGGGCGTCGGAGAGGCTCATATGCCGAAGAAGTTCCTCTGCGGGGTGAACGGCACGGGTGGCCGTTGGAGAAGAGCCTTGGGAATCTCCAGCGGCTCCTATAGCCTCGAGGATATGTTGAGGGGTATTCCGGGAGATGCCGTGCAAGTTGGCTGTAGGTGGCACGGCGACGTCGTTATCGTGACTAATGGTTGGCGTGACGGGTTGGAGGCGGTTCTCTTCGCTCAGGACCGGATTTTCGAAAGTGTCTGCCCTCACGGCGCTCGGCCGTTGAGTTTCAGACATCTGCCAGCCCTGACGATTGAAGCGCGACTCGACGGCCTCCCACTGCATCGCGAAAGTTAGTCTATATCCAAGGGCAATGCATGCCAAGAAGCCGTGCTATATGCTATGCGGCAGGTTCTTTGCCCACATGGGGCATCCAACTTGAACGCTTGCTGGTGGATACCGCACGAGTGGTATTCAGCAAACACAGATCAGACAAGCATGCATCTTACATTGGTGAATGTGTTTCAAGATCTGGGGTTGGGCGAGAAGTTTAGGGATTGGCGAGTGCACGGGAGTAAGCTCGCACCTTCCTCCTCGAGCGAATCGGGCGGACGGTCGCACAGGGACAGGACAGTCCGAGGTGGAAAAGGAGCGGCGAGGGGAGAAAAGGGAGTTGGAGTGTATGCGATGCGCAGGACAAGCGAACACGTGCGATGCGATGCGAGGCGAGGCGAGGCGAGGCGAGGCGAGACGAGGCCGAGAGAGGTGGAACGAATGGAATGGCGTGGAGAGGAAGTTGGGAGGACACCAGAGCAGAGCGCCGAGTGCAGAGTAAGAGTGACTTCATGCACGACGGGGCCGGGACGGCGAGCTTTCGCGGCGGCCCGTGCTGCCGTCAAGCTTGCGGGAGGAGCCCCACCCATGTGACGGGCACGTGCGGCAAGACCACCGGACCGGACAGACACAAGAGCATACTAGTACTGTAGTCCCAGTCACCACCCTCTGCAACCACATGATCATCTACGGCTATCACATGGGCATACAGCTTCACTGTGGCTCCAGAACCATCACTCGAGCAACAGCGACGCCATGTGCAAACCCCACCGGTTGCCGTTGCAGACGATCTGGCCACTCTCGCGGTATGGAGAGCGCCCAGACTCTTCCTTCACGCCCGCGATACAGGCCTGACAGCTCATCAGGCGCCCCGGATTCTTTGAATCAATGCTCTCGGTACCGTAGTGTCTCGCCGTCCTGCTTCTACCATCTTCGCTGCCCCTGGACATCTCGATTGAATCGCATTGTCCATCGGAAAGCATGCACATGTCCCATACCTACCTTCTGGGCATGGCATACCTTCTGGATATGGGTCGCAAGTAGACAGAAATGGCTGAAATGTCTTCACTCTTCTCTGGTGGAAGCCGGATCTTTGTCGCGGTCATGAGGACTGGTGAATCGTCTTTCTCGGTCCTGTAGGGGACCGCTGTCGTCTACGAACTGTGGAGAGGTTTCGGCCACGTCTCCTTGAAACGGTGGATGGTGTTGAAGAGCCGCGAGACAAGCAGGAGCATTTCACCAGACTGATGATAAGGTACTAGGTAAGATTGAGGCTCCTGAAAGGCCACTGCACCAGGGCAGCAAGATTGGTGGGGTTGGCTGCGGCTGATCTGCGGCTCATTGTTGTCTGGAGGAAAGAGCGCGCAGAGAGGGCCCCGCATGACACAACCCAGCTGCTCATACCGCACAGCCATTTTCATCCGTCTTCTCGTTCCGTGACTTGGCTTTCTCCCAACCTGTCTGCTAAAGCAACACCACCAAATCCCCCGTCGAACTTCACGCCGTCTTCCGCAATGGCTGAGGAGGCTGTCGTCGGTAAGTCTCCGCCACTCGCACCCGGCCAATCCGCGCTTTCTCAACAATGTCTCTTCAGGACTGACTCCTCCCAACAGACTACTCGCTGGCAAATCCAGACACGTGAGCAACTGCCGCGCAAAACAATTCCGCCCAATCAGCACTGACGAGACCACAGCCTGACCAAGTACAAGACAGCAGCTCAGATTGGTCACAAAGTCCTCGACACGGTCTCAGGTAAGCCCCCTTCGGCCATTGCGGCACTTTCACATGCTGATGCGCTGCAGGATGGTGCATCGAGGGCACGAAGATCCTCGAGATCTGCCAGCGCGGCGACAAGCTCCTCGAGGATGAGATCGCCAAGGTCTACAAGGGCAAGAAGATCACCAAGGGCTTCGCCCATCCATGCACCGTCTCGCCGAGTTCCTACGTAACTCCTTACACGCCCCTTGTATCCGATGCCGAGGAGGCGGAGACGACACTGAAGCCCGGCGAGGCTGTGAAGATTCAGCTAGGCGCTCAGATTGATGGATTCGGGGCGATAGTCTGCGACACAGTCATTGTGCGTCCCAAGGGTGAAAGCGACAAGTCTCTGTCCGGCCGACCAGCAGATCTCATGCTCGCAACACATTACGCAAACGAGCTTCTACTGCGCTTGATTATGCCACCGGGACTGTTGGCGCAAGGAACGGAAGAAGAGAAGAAGAAGGCACAGGCCGTCAAGCCATACAGCCAGTCCAAGATCACCCAGCTGCTGGAGAAGGTTGTCAAGAGCTACAACTGCAACCTCGTGGAGAACACCACGTGCTGGCTCTTTGACCGCAATGAGATCGAGAGCAAGAAGAAGATTATTCTCGCGCCCGGCGAAGGTGTGAAGGGTGAAGGCTTACCAGAAGTTGGCGAGGTCTGGGGCGTCGAAATGGGCGTGAGTGTGGGCAATGGCAAGGTCAAGTCTCTGCCAAACAGACCTACGCTGCACCGCAGAACCACGACAACCTACGGTCTCAAGCGCGACACTTCGCGAAAGACACTCTCCGAGATCCAGAAGAAATTCGGGACTTTCCCCTTCAGCTTGCGCCAGTTGGATGACGAGAGAGCTGGCAAAGTGGGTGTGGTAGAATGCGTCCGAGGTGGCGTTGTTCGCCAGTACGAGGTCATCGGCTCGGCGGACGGCGACCCAGTCAGTCGCCTCTTCACCACGATTGGTAAGTCTGAAATAGTTCCTCTCCGACATGTCGCTCCGCGAGTCGGGCTTGAGAATTATCAAAGTGCTAACACATCATAGCCATCACCAAGAATGGCCTTCAGCGCCTTGCCGCGCCTCCGCAGCCAGACATTTCACAGTGGAAGTCGGACAAGAAGATCACTGATGAGGAAGTTCTGAAGATTCTCGAGCAGCCACTGTCCAAAGTTAGCTCCAAGACCAAGAACAAGAAGAAGAAGAAGAAGTCGGCCAAGAAGGCTGCTCCAAAGGAGGAAGAAGAGGACGACGATGACGAAGACGACGACAGCGACGACGATGAGTGAGCGGCGTCCAGCGCGTATTTGCAGACTGAAGCGAACATTGCCATGATGAGTAGCCGCAACTGGCGGCACTGAGCGCGGTCGCATGACCTGGAGCGGCTCTTCATGCGCGGCCATGGTCAGGCTGCCACATCCAGGAGGCAGCGTGCCTGGCAGCCCGAGGCTTGAACTCAGATCGCCAGATACAATTCCATACCGAAGTCAGAAATGGCAGAGTGTCACACCACTCACAATAGATAGGCCCACGCGCCAGGCTTTCATATTATCACTTTTGTATTGTGTTGTTCTCCACCCGTGGTATTGTGGTATTGATGATGTGTCATGCATGTTATTGTGGCCTTCGGGCATGAATAGAAACTTTCGCAGCCCCAATAATCGTTGAGTATTGTCAAGAGCAACTAGAGCAATAGATGCTGAGACACTACTCAGAATATCAATAGGAAGCGAATGGCATTGTCGAGGCAGGGTATTCAGAAGATATATTAGTTCAGTCTGTGGCCGTTCCTCCTCCGAACACCAAACTCCCAACTCCAGCATTTCCTCCCGCGCTTCCCGCGTCGCTCCTGAGACTCTCGACTTTCACGCCCTCTGAAATACAAACCCTCACAACGCGACACTTTGCGTGATTCCGCCAAACCTGCCGTCTTGAGGCACAGCATCGCCCTGGGTAATATTCGAATGCGCGAATCTAGTTGTGCACCTCGCTGACGTGCTCACAGAGGCGTATGCAAAGCGAAATGCCCGCACCGGAGATCCGCAACAGGAGAGGGCAGGAGCGCCGCAGTAATTCACGAGGTCCGGCAGAACTGGCACAGCGCAGCCAGAGTCGTAATTCGGGGAGGGAGAAAGAGAAGGTGAAGGTGACGGGGCCGTTGGATTCGTGGGTGGAGCCTGACTTGGATGTGCCCAAGCCGAGTTATCAGGACCAAGGCGCGGGCCCGTATGGCGTCTTGGAGCATATGCAGCCTCTGGGGGAGGCACCGAACGCGAAGGCCAGAGGACGAGTGAAGACAGAAGGGGCGCGCAAGTCTGTTTTGGGGCGAAGCTCTGCCGCTCCGGGCGCAGACGCTCGCGACACTCCTGAGGGCTCCCCAGCGCCTGCAACCAGCATGCAGCCTACGGACACTCTGCCAGCTCCTCCTGTCGTGATTGACGACGAGAGAGATGGAGACTATGCGCCGAAGATGAACGGCAAGAAGAAGGAGCGATCCATGCGCGCTCGCACGGCAAAACAAAAGAGTGAATCGGCATCGTCAAACACACCAGCCGCCGACACCACAAAACAGCCTGTTCAGCAACCGCCTTCCGCGAGCTCGGAGCAGCACCGACTCGAGTACGAAAAAAGCAAGCTAGAGCGCGTGGTCGAGGCAGCCAAAGCACGTGCGAGGGAGGTGGGAAAACCCGATCTTGCCCACGCCGTCGAAGAAGTCTACCAACAAAGTCTCACGAACGCCCGACTGCAAATACTTCTCGAGGCTATCCTCACGCAGCAAGCCACGCAGGATCAAACCCGCGAGTTTCAAGGCTACGTGAAGGTCGCCAAACGCGCGCTCAAGGACGCCAAGAATAAAGCACGGCAAGCACCGGCTGGAAATCTCTACCAACAGAACAGCACACCTCAGAATACTGCTCCACCTTTTCAACCGCCCAAGGTCACCGTGCGACCACCGCCAACCCAGCAGACTCGACCAGAACCGGCCTCTGCTATACCGTCGACAGAGGTGCCGGAGGCCACCAGGTCGAAGCTCACCCTCAAAGTCAAGTCTCCTGCAAAGGACTCTAACCCCCGACGCTCTGCCAACGGCAACATGTCGGTCTCACCACGCAAGCGTGCTGGCAGTGCAGGTAGCGATTCTTCTCTCACGTCCCTTACCTCGAATGAGGACAACGGAGATGACATGGACCTCGACGACGAGCCACATGCATCCACTGGCAACGCCGGTGCCGGATCTACCAGAGGTCAAAGCCACCGTGTGAAAGACCATGCTGCGGAACGTGGCTCCTTGGCTGTGGCAGGCGGCGCAACGAAGCGGTCATCGGCAGACGCAGAGCTCGAGGAAGAACGCGACCGACAATTGGCGGCCAAGAAGCAGAAGATGAGCGAGTCTACCGCCCGCGACTTCGAGTATCAGGAGAGCAACGTGCGCCCTGCGATGCCAGCACCGCGGTCTCGTGCCGCGCGAGTCCGAGACAGTGCTCTGGCACCACCATCACTGAGACTCGACCCTAACGGAAGCCGCGCCGCAAGCACGAGAGGCAGCCGAGCAGCTTCTACGGACGTTGAATCTCCTCTTACGGATCTCTCGCCAGCGATATCGAGACAAAGCACGCCGCAGCTTCCCAAAAACCCGCCGAAAACGACCGGCAAGAGGGCGAAGACGAAGCAATCGTATGTATCCCCATCCGCATCCGCATCCCTATCCCCATTCTTCACTCACCGCGAGGTCATTTGCTTGTCTCGCACACGCCTTGTGCGCTACCAAGAGCGATTGCCACGTGTTTGCTCGGTGGAATGTGCTCCTTATCAGCCCGTCTGGAAGCCTCCATTCTCGCGGTGCGGGGCTGCAAACACCTCTCTCTCCTTGTCGGTCGTGTGTACGGATACCTACAAAGGCTAATCATATACCTTATCAACAGGCCCGAAAAGAAGCATCAGGCTGCCAACGATGGCATGTCAGGCCCTGGCGGTGGCGCAGGAAGGGACAGCCCAATCGGGGATGATGACAATGAAGAGGTAAGACAACGCTCTGGCTTTCGCGCTAAATTCCGTCTTTCGCTTCCACGCAACTTTGTCCCCTGCACAGAACACCACGACACGAGATGCATCTCCCGCAACGCCGCATCTCGTCCCCCCATTTCTTTCCTATGCTTCCACTGAACCATAAACATGATCTGATCAACGACTCACAGCTCTCCGAGAACAATGACTTCTGCGAGGCCTGCGGCGGCAGCGGCTACTTGCTCTGCTGCGACGGATGCAACCGATCATTCCACTTCTCCTGCTTGGACCCGCCCATCAGCGATGATGCCAAGGAGTTGGACGAGCCGTGGTATTGCTTCGTCTGTGTGGGCAAGCGACCCATCAACGAATCGCCCGGAAAGCATACCCAAGGCCTTTTCGCGCCACTCATCAGCAGTCTGAAGAAATCCAACCCGGCCAATTTCACGCTCCCGGAAGAAGTGAAGAACTACTTCGAGGGAGTCGCGGCGGACAAGAATGGGAACTTCACCGAGGCTCTTACAGCCACCAAAACTACCAGGTATGTGCGAAGCTTCCAGCTATCTTGTCAGCCCTTGCTAACGCCACTCCGCAGAGGCCGACCTGGCTACTCAGACGAGCAGCCAGACTACTACAGGACGCGCGACAGCAAAGGAAATCTCGTACTTTGCTATCATTGCGGCAAGACGTCGAACGGCAAGCGCGCGATCGTCACCTGCGATCACTGTTCTCAACACTGGCACCTCGACTGCCTGGATCCTCCGCTGGCAAATCCACCGGCCCTGAATCAGAATGGCAAGAAAGTGCACGACTGGATGTGCCCACTCCATGCCGATCAGGAACTCCGGCGTGTTGATATGATGACGCTCAGCCGCCGCACAATCCATGTTCGGAAGCCGAAGAAGCCGAAGGTCGTCCAGACTGCTATGCAGCGTGGCTTCCGTAACAACGGCATTATCGAGGTGGCAGAGGAAGAGACCGATGACTCTGAGTCTGAATTCTACGACCAGGAGGAGGAAGACGGCATCGTCCACAAGTTGCCCGAGAAGGGCATCAAGCTGGACTTCATCGACAAGGTCAAGAAGTATGCAAAAGCGCCTACCTTTGCCTCCTGTCTGACCATACGCTAATGATCTGTCCAGTTCTCGAGTTCAGAAGATTCGCGACATCAGCGCCGCATACAAGCGCGCACGACTACATCCATCGGCTCCCAGCGCGCTGAAGCGAGCCAACTTCGCCAAGCGACCGTTTAACGAGAAGCAAGTCGCTCTCCAGCTGGCTCAATTTGCAAACAACAACCAAGATCTCAACCTTGGCGGTGATCAGGTAGAGAACTTGGTCGGCACTCTGATCGTAAGTCCTCTTTGCTTCTTCTCCCTACTCGGGCCTCGCGACCATGACGTCAGTAGCGATGCTAATCCGCGTGTCCAGGCCGAAGCACCCACTGAGGTGGTCAACGAGATGATGGCTGCCGAGGACGTCGAGATGACCAAGTCGGTCTCTTCTGCCATCCCGCCATCGCCACCATCTTCCGAGCAGCCCGAGCAGCTGTCGGCGGAGCTGCGGAAGGAGCTGCAAGTCCTGCAGGAACTCATCCGCCGCAAGCTGGAGGGCAGCAAGACCTGAAGGCTCCGAGAGACCATCTACGACTGGGCACCAAGGTGTCTGTCCTTGGAACTCAAACACTACAACAGACGCGTCCTGTTTCGGACCGAGCTGTGTCACATCACGACCTCTGAACCCCGAGCGGAAGGCTGGGATGTCGCAAACCCGTTTCAAGGCCTTTACGGCCTTAACTCGGATAGTGGCTGAGCGGCGGCCGCGACATTTCTTAGCGTGGACAGCAAGCCCACCTGCGCACGACGCGCATCATCGAAGAGCGAACTGCTACGTCCGTTCATCCTGGATCTTGCAAAATCGACCGGATAGGACAGAGCAACCACAACAACCAACATCGTGCATATTTCTCAAAATCATGCGACACCATCACTATTGTATCAAGTACTCAAACGCCATCACACGCCTGGAAGGAGACGAAGAACAAAACGGACGGACTGAAGGAATGCATTGTACTTTCTTGGAATTGGGCATCCGAGGAATGGAGAGAGAGACTGAAAGACGGAAGGAGGCTGAGCTGAGCTGACCTGATCTGATCATCGGAGTGGTGTCCTTCTTCTGCCTGTCACTAGTAGTCACGCGTGTACACGACGAGCAACGCGACCGAGCGCTCATGGCTCTTATCGTCTTGGTTTCCGATGAGGAAAGAAGCTGTGTCATTCACTGAACCTGCTTTGTGGCTGTTCATGTCTTTCTTTCGATGCCCCTCCTCCCCTTGTCTTTTTCTCCATCTTGGCAGTCACGCATCTCCTCGCCCTTCAACTTCTACCGTGTCGACACGTCTGCTCGCTTGCACGAGAATGGAATCTGAGTGCGACTCCTGGACAAATACTTTTCTTCTTTCAATTATGCTGTGCGTGCACACGCACGCACACACGTGTATGTATTTATGCGGCTCCTGCTGCTCTAACGATCTCGTCTGAGTCTCCCTTTCTCGGCGCGTCAACCACCTCCATCATCTTAGATCTACCACCTGCGTCATTCCCTATGCCGCAGCTGCGCTCCCTCCTGTCTCCTATTCTGATCTTGCCCCCCTGAACCCTCCTTTCTGCAAAGAATGCAGCGTCGAATCAGACGTCGTCCTGGCCTGGCCCATGTGTCGTCTGAAGCATCCCATTTCATCAATCATCAGCCACACGCAAGGGCATCATCCACCAGGAGAAGGCGCAGGTTCTTCGTTCGGAGGGGAAATTCCTTCCAGAGCCAGTGGACAGGCGCATCAGAGTCCCATTCGATGTGAGATTGCACATCTGCTCCAGCTTCGGCTGCAGCGTTCCGGCCCATGTGCTGAGGGTCACGAAAATCCATTGGTGTACCGTACGCGTCGGCATTTCCACGGAAGACTTGCTTGATATCTTGACGTAAGAGACTTTATAGCAAGCCGCTTTCCGTCGGCAACCCATTTAGAACTCCACCCAGGAAACGCAGTGGTCCAAGGGGGAATGAGAGGCATTGCCAGAATTCCCACATGTGCCGAAGCGAGTCTGATTGGGATGCTGACCTAGTATAGACGTGGCAAGCCACTGACCATCGATGATTGATTTCATGCCATACTAGGGGAATGCTGCGGTCTTCCGAGAGAATGAGCGAGGGCATCGAGAGAACTCGCGTATGTGCCAAAGTGACTCTGGTTGAGGTTTTGAGCTGGCAAACGCCGTGGCAGGCAGGCCACTTCCCGCGGGCAACCGATCTTCGACCACATTGGGCCAACGCTGCCTTCCTACAGGAAGATGAAAGGCATTGACAGAATTCGTGTGCGGTAAAGTGGATCTGGTTGAGGTTCTGAGTTGACGGAGGTTGTGGCAAGCCAAGCCGCATCGACGAAGCGCAGTCAGGCTGGTTTGAATATTATCGCGGTTGTCCAGGAGCATTGGAGGCATTCGGATACGTGCCCGCGTGAGTATGGTTGATGTTCTGAGTGGACAGATCGGCGGACTAGCCACTAGCCACCGCCAAGCTGAAGTCGAGGTGATCAGACGGATGCTGCGGTACAACAGGGTGATGAAAGACGGTATGAGGGGCGGAAATCGTGCCGATATAAGTCTGGTTGGCGTTCTAAGCCGATAGATCGCTTGACAAGCCAGGTCGAGGCCCATTGGGAAAACTCTGGGGAGCACCAGGAGGATGGAAAACAGCACAGACGTTCGCGTTCGGGCCGATGTAATTGTGAATCGACAGGCTCTCTGGAAAGCCATGTCCATACCCGTTTGGAAGGGTTTGCAGTTCTCCACGATGAGAAACAGTATCGGAAGGATTTGGATACACGACAACGCCAGTCTGGTTGAGTTCGGTCGGGCCAGGGCCCATTGGTGTATGAGTTCCAAAAGCGTTGGAAAGACGCGCTAGATTGCTAGAAGGGCGCGCATGATTGCATGGAACTGCATGCATGCTGATATCCTGGTTGGTTCCTTGAGCTAAGTGATCCCGAGGCAGGCTGTCGGTCATGTTGTGGTCAACCGGCCTTGAGGCAACTGGCCCTAGAGCAAGTCGCCGTGGAACAAATCGCCTCACTTCTCGACGACGGCGCCTGTTTCCACATATCCTTGCACCTTTCTCGGTCATAGTCTCATTCTCATGGCATTGAATGCGGCGATCTCTGCGGCGGTTTGATCGAAAGCCTGGAGTGTGATACTTGCAATCGGGGAAAGAGCACTTTCAGAGTACTGGAGTGTGTTGCAGCATGTGCCTGGCCAACTCAGAGATGTTGTCGTGCTCTTCGCCGCAGGTTTCACAAACTAGGTCGCTGGAGCCGTATCAACCCTCCTATTTCCGAGATCAATCTTGCTACGGCTTTGCGTTTCGAAGCTGCCAATATCTCCGGCCCATGAGAGGGACGTGATGATGAGAGAGCATCCCTTTTGTGACCACCAAATTCACGGCCAGACTTAAGACCCACTCCTGCGATTCTCCACCGCCAATCGGTGCCTGTTGTTCCGCAAGTGTACCTCAAAATCGTCCACGACTCGTCCAGGCTGCGCTGTGTACAACTTACCCGGACAGTCGTTGCATCGGATTCGAGGTAAGTACTGTAACTTTAGACCAGGTGGTGCGGTGTCGCCAGGTTGTAACTGCTGGCGACTGATCTCCCCCGTCTCAGGATTGACTGGATAGGGCTTCATCACGGGCTCAAATTTGTCGTCAGGATGTCGCTCCCGCAGTGTGTCTATGGCCTGTTGGAGCCACGGTGGTGGCGGCGGCTAGTGATTCGGTATATGTCAGCATCTCATAGTGGCGACAAAGTAGATGAAAATCATGACTTACAGCGTCATCGGCTGGATTAGGCCAACGAGAGAATTCAGCCGCGCCTCGAGAGTCGTACTGGATGTCGGGTTGCCGTGATGTGGAGCCTGCACGCGAATGGCTTCCATTGGGCTGAGGTGTTCCCCGAGGCTGGGGAAGCGGCCGAGGTGTCATCGACGGTGTGCTCGTGGCTCCTCTGGTCGGCGTTCCTACGCTCAGATTCGCGTTGGCTGGAGCGGGCTGTGATGCATAGCCAGACAATGGAAACTGGCTAGCTCGCTTCTTGGAGCTATATTCGTCCCACCACGCCTTGAACTTTGCTTTGGAGATTCTGAGCTTGACGATCTTTGTCTCGTTGTCGTCCATGACGCTTTCCTCACGCAAAGCACTCTTTCGCGTGGACGCTCGGGGCTCGATTGCTGGCGCTGAGAGCAGTTGTGAGTCGGGAGTTTGGGATCGGTTATAACCCGCGCGCATGTTAGCTTGAGCGGCGGCGGCGGCGCCACGCATGCCGCGTGTTCTTGCAGTACCACCGGTGTTCACATTGTTCATGACCGCTGAAGGCGCCGGAGAGTCTGCACCAGACTCTTCGCTCTCGAGGTCGTCCGAGTCAGCGTCTGCATCCGTACGGCCTCGTCGGGCACTTCTGCCACCACGACGAGTCTTGGGTATTCCTGTTGTTTCAAATGTTTCTACCGCACCAGGAATGACGGAGTGTACGATCAAGGAACGCACAGTCCGTTGCCTGTCCTTCAGATCTGGAAGCGCTGGGCCTCCTCGCCTGTTCAGCTGTCGTTTAGCCGCTCTGTGTTCGCGCATCATGGAAGTTTCAGTTCTCTCCAGTTCTGCCTCGCTCATCTCATACATGTATGGAGTCCAGTCTTTCTGAGCTGCAGCTGGCCGGAAAGCGCTGTGGATTGGTGCCGGGAGGAAACTATCTCTCACATCGGGGTCGTCCACGGGTCGTCCATCAAAGGCATGGTTTGTCAAATATAAGCTCTTGGTGTAAAGTTGACTCTGTTCCCGTATTGAATGGGCAATGGCAGTGGTAAACTCGCCGCTGAGTGCATTCTCCCAAGCCATCTGCCGGGCAAACTCCTCTGGCGAATTCAAAGCATTGCTGATGTCCCATTCAAATTGATCGATAAGTGTTATCCGGCCAATCGTGATGTTCAATTTGATCATGATCCGCATCTCCTCGTCCTTGTGTTCAGAGTAGGGCTTTCCAGGCTCCAAGGGTCCGTCTTCAACAATGATGTGGGGGTAGAAGTTTTGTATCTGGTCCTGCATTTCGACCTTGATCTGGCGGCTGACCTCCGGAATGGCCTCGGGTGGAAGCTTGAGATCTTCCACCAAGTAATCGGTAAAGACATCCTGCGAAATGACCTTCTCATGCAGATTCCACGTGAAGGTATCGCGCAGTCTTAGCTTGTCCAATTCGATGTCCAGTCTTACGGGTACCAACTCTTCGTGCTGTTCCGCTTGTTGCGCGTTGTCCTTCCGATTGACATGAATTCGCTTGTTTCTCCTACCCTTCGGCGGACCTTGATTCGAGCTGTAGACAATCTGGCTGCGCGCATTGGTTATACCGTTGCCGTAACCCATAAATCCATAGCCAAATATCGATCCAGGATCCTGCTTCCTACGCAAAGCCACCTGAGTAATGTGGAATTCCTTCTCCATTTCCTTGCTCTTGACCAGATCGCGAGAGCGTTCAGCTTGGTCATTCATAGCTGCCGCGTGTAACATGTCGCGCTGCATGTAGCGATCCAGGAGAATCTCGTTGTGTAATAATGGCCGCGACTCGCTCGCGCCTTCGCTTTTAGCATTGGCCTGGCTGGCAGGAAGTTGCGTGCCATCCCGCGATCGCTTGCGACTGAGTTGCGGCGTGCCATTGGGTTGCGCGGGTCCATTCGAGATGCTTGATTGACGCGCCGGGCCAGGCGACTCGCCGGCGTTCCAACCCGCCGCGGCCATGGTCTCCTTGGCCTTCAGCTTCCCTTCTCGGATCGCGTCCTGTCCATCGGTATGTGAGCCCTGCTGTTGGTTCATCGCGTGTGCGATGTCGCTATCGGGTGTCTGGACTGCGCCGGATGCGCTCGAGTTCTGCCATGGGGAGTGGGTGGAGGAGGGCTGCGGAGTACTCATGCTGGCGATAGGCGCGGTGGTGAGGGGAGGGGTGAGATGGCAGTGAGGTCGCGCGCAGGTCTAGCATCAAAATACTCTGGGCATCTATCAGTATGGATCCGAGCAGAGACACATGCGCTCGCCATGATGATGTGAAGGTGAGGTTACACGGCTCTGGCCGCCGTAGAGAGCAGCGCAGCGAAGAGCGCGCGCGCGTGTGTGTATGTGATGGGGGAGGGAGCGGCGGTGTTGGAGGACGGGGAGGGAGAGGGGGAGGGAGAGGGCGGTGAGGCAGGAATGGTCAGAGGAGTCGGCATACCAGTTCATGGGGATGGATAGGCGCGCCTTTGTGAGGCCCAAACCTTTATGATTAGTCGTGCTGCTGGGTGGTAACGGAGCGGAGGTCTTCGCGCTCAGTGCCGGGGGAGACAAGACGAAACAAGCGACAAGAGACGTCGGCAGCTGCCCACCCGCCGCCCGCTTCCTTCCTCCGCCTCGCACCAAAACTCCGCTGGTTGAGCATTAAACACCATTCGGTTCATGCACATCGACATGCACACGCACATCCACGTCTCACTCGCTCGGAATACCATACCCTCATACACGCTCTGACACAAGCAGACGACGAGTCTTATTGGATGCCGGTTAGCTCCGTGGACGTGGAATGGATGTAATCCCGTCCGTACTAATCGGGCACGCAAGATCTGGCGCTAATCCTGTACCTACTACTCCAACGATATCGACCGCACGTGGACCGGGGTTGCCGTATTTCTCCCGCCAACACTTGCCGCAGCAAGAGAGTCTCTGGTTTCGTCTCTGCCGGCCTCGTCTCCGTTGTTCGCTCCGTCTTGCTCCTCCTCTCCATTTGAGAGTTGCCTTGTTGCCTTAGCGGCCAAATGAGGGCTTGGCGTCACGTGTGCATCCGTCACCGTCATGCGCATCGGCATCCCGGCATGCGCAACATCGCTCGTTCAACTAAGGTACGACGGCATACAGGAGAACTTGATCCTCGATCAGGCCTGCACAGATCCCTTCTCACCGCAGAGGCATTCAACCCCCACCACTCAATCGATCGAATCTATCATTCACAACCATTTCCCATAGCACTGGCTGTCCTCGGGATGATACAGCCCATAGACCTCCCTCCTGACATACCCATTCTTCTCATAAAACCTCTTCGCCGGCTCGAGAGTATGCAGAGTCTCCACCGCAACATACTGACACCCGAGTTCAGTCTTTGCGATCTCCTCGACGACTTGAAGTAATTTCCGGGCAGCTCCCGTGCCCTGATGCTCACGGAGGACGACCATGCGTTTGATTTCGCCCAGCTTCACTCCTGTGGGGAGGTTCTTCGCTCTCGGATCGTCTGGTACCAGAGGGTTAATGGTGACGGATCCGATCTGATCGTGGTCGGCCGTCTCGGCAACGAGAACTATCGCGTCGTCTGAAAAGACCGCTCTCGGTCGATCGTTGGTGCTGTGGTTGAAAGGCTCCGCCAGATCGTGAAGGTGTTTCCGGAACCTTTGAGCTTCATCGCCCTGCGGGTCGACTCGTCGAATGTTGACTTCCATGGGGATCTGCAGATCGCTGGAAAAGTTGGACAGCAGATGAGAAGTCTGTAGCTCTATTGGCAGTACAAACGACATTTCAGCTGAGACGGGTGAGTCGCACAATTACATAAGCCTGCATCCTGCTAGGAAGCGAGTGCGGGTATATTTCCTAATTGTCTTTTAGAAGCCCTTCTGTCTCCCGCAACAGAGGGTTTCTTCTGTCGTCTGATGTCCATACATCTAGTCAGCTTGTCTGCAATCCGACCCCATCCTTTTTGTGCCCCCTAATAAACTCGACCGGTGCCGTGTAGTGTCGTCGACCGTAGACAACGTAAAAGACAATCGAAACGATAATCACGCCAACCCACACGAGCGGTGCCCAATTCGCAGAGCTCAAATCCACCGGCAACGTGGTGGGAAAGCAGCTGAAAACAAGAATGAAAGCCGAATAGAGAAAAGCAAAAGCGTTAATCACCAGACCGGAGCGTCCCAGACTCCAGCGTGCGTAGGGCAGTTCCTCGCCTTTGAGGCGTTTGAGGAGCACGCACCCGATCGAGATCATGTACGTGCTCAGGAGGCCGAGCAGCGATAGCGAGACAACGATATTGAAGCCCAGCGTCGAGCCGAAGTTGATGCAGCTGAGTAGCGCGACGGCCACGGAGACTATGTAGACTGAGTTGGAGGGAACGTCCCGTTTGTGATCCATCTTGCTCATGGTTTTGGAGAAGGGCCTGCGAGGAAGAGTTAGCGTGTGTGGTCTGCGGGTGCACTGCGCAACTTACAGGCCCCTATCCCTTGCGAACGCAAATACTTCTCGCGCACAGGTCGTTAATGCGGTGATGTTGCCAGCATAGATCAGCAGGAAGAGGATCACGTTGAGAGCAATCGAAAGTCCGGGTTTGCCCGTGTTATTGAAGAGAAGCAGATACGGCGCGTCGGACTTGAGCTGCGCATGGGGGTCAGTACATCTGTGACGATAGATGCCACAATGGTCACTTACTACTCCATCCAGAGGCCCAATGCAGAAGAGCATCGTGATCAACATGACAATTCCGAGGCCAACGTTGCCCAGGTAAGACCACCACATGCATCGCGGGACCACCAGCGAGGCATTCTCCACCTCCTCCGAGATATGAACGACGGAATCGGATCCCAGGTTGCAGTACATGACGTAGACTTGCGAGATCAAATAGGCGGTGCCGATGTTGCTGTACCCCGAATGGTTCTGGAAGTCGACAAAGACTTCGCGTGCGCTGTTCTTGGGACAAAGTACCAAGAGTGGAATCATAACCGCGAAGAAACCCAGCAGGTGGCCGCCGAGAAACACTTTCTCTAGTAGGGGCAAGACCGGTGCACCCGACGTGTTGAAGAAGATTGTTATGATCGTAAAAGCCCACATGATCAATGTGTACTGCCATTGGGTGAAAGCGAAATCCGGGTATGTCACCTCTATCATGGCTTGGATCTGTGTCGTCGTCACGAAGGTGGAGCTTGCGACACTGGCCAGCCATCCAAGCGTCGACATCCATCCTGAGGCGTAGGACAGAACTAGACAACAGATCAGCGAGGTCCCTGGCGTCACAATCAGTTCAACAAACCTCTCTGGTATTTTGGCGGTCCAAATTCGGACACCCAGTGATATTGCCCTTCCATCTGGTCAGCCCCAAAATTTCTCGCAGCTAGACTTTCAATCCGTACCTCCCGCCGTGGGCGACATGGATTCCATCTCCGCCAGACTCGCAACAATACTGGCATAGCATATCACTGTCACCACGAAGCACCAGAACAGACCTGCATATCCGCCGTCCGAAAAGCCCACAGAGAGCGATACTAGCACAAACTCCCAGGTGGCCATGTATACAGACACGAACCCAAGAGCGCTGGCGAAGGAGAAATTGCGTTTGAACTCCTGCGACAGTGTAAGTTGGCCGCTCGTCATCACCAGAAGTTGCACCACCGACTGACTTGTTTCTTGCCCAAACGAGCCATGTCGCGAGCGTCGTGGTCGAGATTGCCCCAGCCATTGTTCACGCCATCGAGGTCTTGTTCATGTGCCGGGAGAGCATTCTTATTGGTGTCAACTTCGCGCCTGGAATTGCTGGATGTCTCCGATGTCCACCCTGCTGGCCCCTTGAGTTCGATCGCCATCGCGCTGGACCAACTGAAAAGAGAGGTGGAGGTACCACGTAGGAGACGAAGATACACGTCTGTATTTCCAGTGAAAAGTGAGAGGAACGCTGTAGCAAGGGCGCCCGCTCCTTCCCGCCATCGGCGCGGGTCTGCCGGCCTGCTGCCGGCCAGCCATATCTGTGGGAGAGATTCGCTTCAAGCCATCTACTAGCCCGCGTGGCAGTCGCGCTGCATGCGACGATCTGGAACCTTTCATGCAAGGGAACAATGGAAAGCTGCAGTGTTGAGAAAGGCGTTGGCCTCACAGATACCCATCGGCATGTGATTGGCCGAGGTGTGTGGAGAGGTACGCACAGTGGACCAGGGTGGCAAACCTCACTCGCTTCGGTATCACGGCTGCGCGATGCGAAGAGCCATTACTGCGGCCAAGTATCGTAGACGCGCAGCCCTACAGAGCAGCCCGAGTAGCACATGTGAGAAGTAGAACCGAAACCTGTCGTGACATTGTGCAGATGCGGTATGTCTGTGTTTCGCTACCTTGAAGACGGTCATCTTACAGGATCGGGTCGAGTCTCATCGATATGCTCTTAAAGTCCAGGTCTGGAAGAGTAGGAGTACCTCTTGATGCCGATGATTCCCTAGCCACTCTTGCAGCTTCTTGTAGCGTGTATAGAGCTTTACCTCCCGTGCTTGATCGAGGAAACACGTAGTACTTAGACTCCACCCTACGTCCTTGGCAAGTAAACGCAACCTACCTAGAACCCCGTCCGGAGCTGAAGCTGTCCTGGATAATCTTCTAGTGCGCTCAAATGCTACTATCGCTTCCGACAATAATTAAGATAACGCGTATATCACTCCCTCCGCAAGGCGTGATACAGTTTCGAATTGCTGCATAGTGAATCCGAAAGTTGCAGAATACCGGCGGGGAGATGTTCGTCGATTAATCCCTTCTCATCATCGAAGTCCAACCGAAAGCAGAGCGTTCTAAGCTTGTCACTTTTGCCCGGTTGACCCGAGAGAAGCTGGCACAGTAACCACTGGTCAATCTCATTGGATGGCGTTTGCAGGCTTGCAGCCGGATGTCGATCGTGAGGTGCCGGATTTTTGGGACCATTGAAGTTTGCCACGGGTCTTTCAGATCAGAAAGGCTGTGATGATGGTCTAATGACGACTCCGTAAGCCATAGTGAACTATTGGCAGCTCCGGCGGCAAGTGACCTTAATGTAGATCCATCGTGCCAACATTCTGGCAAAGGCAGATGAGAGGTACAGCTAAATTTGCTCCGTAGCCCGAGGGTGAATGAATGGTTGGTAAGGAGAGAATGTTTTCGGTTTCTTCATTGATCTGCTTGCACACCCGCAACACCTCAAGCCAGCCTCCCTAACAAGTTAAGCATACGGCACGCCACGATGGACCATTCGCCGTCTTGTATCGCATGACCGCGCTGCTAGGACCAGAAAGGCGTAGACACGATTTCAAGTTTCCTCCGGTAGCTCGAGGAAGCGCGGAAACGTGCTCGCCTGGTCCACCTCACACAGCACCTTCGATAGCTGGAGTCGATTGGACCTGGGTTGTGCTTCGGCATCTGTTCGACTGCAGGTGGACTTTCCAAGCCCTTCTCGGGAGCACCTTGCATAGTGCAAGGCGTAGTCTGGTCTTGTCATGTCAAATTTGTAGCAGTCGAGCGGATTCTCGAGGATCTGTCAGTATATGCAGTCCGACCGTGCATATCAATGTGACGTATATAATCTTTTGGAGCTGGCTGTTGTTTCTACCATGCTAACGGATGGGAAAATGTGCATTGTAGCTTGTAATGCGAACTCAGCCGACCCAACATTCACAAAACAGCGAATGAAAGGTGGTGGTGGCTTTGTTGTTTACACAGGAAGAGCGTCCAGGAGCATTCCCGACGCGAACCGCGAGAAAAGCGTGAAAGGCGATGGGAGTTGACTGCAATGCGAGTGAGAATGCGATTTCCAGATGGAAGAAGTCATCATGGACGCGCACGGGCCACATGACAACGGCTGTCTTGCAATTGGCTGAGCAGCGTTGCGCATTCAATGGCAACGTGAAGCAGGCCTTCTTCTTCTACACCACAACTATCAACACCACAATGGCCTCCAAATTTGCGCCTTGGGCCTTTCGAAGCGGCGCAAGAGCGCTGCGCGCCCCAATACAGCAGCAGCGGCGCTCATTCCAGGTGTCGAGTGCGTCTCGGAGCGCCTCCCTCATGGTGGTATGCTGTCATCCATTCGACCGCCCTACTCTCGCGGATACCTAACCACAGCCATCTAGCACCGCGATACACCAGAGAACAACCCGTCGATTCCTTTCAAGTTCAACGCCCAGAATGAGGAGCTTATCAAGGAAGTCCTCTCGCGATACCCGAGCCAGTACAAGAAGGCGGCCGTCATGCCCCTGCTGGACCTGGGCCAGCGCCAACATGGCTTTACAAGCATCAGTGTCATGAATGAGGTCGCGAGGATATTGGAAATGCCTCCAATGAGAGTATACGAGGTGGCTACGTTCTACACCATGTACAACCGGAACCCAGTGGGAAGATTCCACGTCCAGTGCTGTACGACGGTATGATGATCGCCTGGGTAGCGCGCTTGGAGTGGAAATGCTGACTTCACTAGACACCTTGCCAACTGCGCGGTAGTGATGGCATTATGAAGGCAATCGAAGAGCATCTTGGCATCCATCACGGCGAGACAACGCCAGACAACATCTTCACATTCACCGAAGTTGAATGCCTCGGCGCCTGCGCCAATGCACCGATGGTTCAGATCAACGATGACTATTACGAGGACTTGACGCCTGAGACTACCAAGGAGCTTCTCACTGCACTCAAAGAGGCCGCTGAAAAGACCGGCGCAAGCGGATGGGCACCAGGCCTGGTCGGCGATAGCGGAAAAGAGCAGGTCTCCGGACAACCGACTGGCAAGGAAGTTAAGTTGGGCGGAGAAGGATACTCGGCGCAAGGCGTAAAGATTCCCGCACCAGGCCCTCTGAGCAAGCGCATCTCTTGCGAACCGGCAGCTGGCCAGACGACATTGATGGGAGACCTGCCTACACCGGAACAGACGCTGAGGAAAGACGGAGCACTATGATGGCACGTGTACATATGTAAAATAAAGCCTCACAGTACCCGATTCAAGGACAAGGGACCTGCTAGGACCACGCGAGCACTGCAAAACAATGGTAGGTCTAGGCCTGTGGCTGGAAGAATGAGCTCCGTGGCGTACACGTGATTCTGAAGCACAGCACGGCATCCAACCCGATATTACAGTAGGAGGAAGAGGGGAGCTTAGTGGTTTGATGGTGCGCCGAGTTCTTGATGCATCTAAACCTTCATCAGTGCCATTTGTCGATCCTCAATGTTGTGAAACGCCCACGTTTGGGGGAAGAACGCCACATGTCGGGGCCGAGCCTGTGCACCAGTCTCATCTTCAGCACGAATCAGAGAGACGGCGCTTTGGGAGATGTACCTACTGCACATTCCGGCCCTCTCACCTTCTGTGTATTGCTCACTTCATCATTCCAGCAGCAGTGCAGACTTCATCAGCGTGTGCCTTTGACAGGTACCATCTCATCATCATCACATTTGTTCTTTCCTCAGGCCTTGAGCTGGTTCTTCACTCTTTCCTATTTACCGACGTTCGTTACAACACACTCGTTTCCATCCTTAAAGCAAACAACCGGACAACACAACCACTGCACCTGACCTTCGAACTCTAACACTCGCTACATCCGAGATGCAGTCTTTCGAGATCCTACTCTTGGCCTTGACGGCTCTATCAGCTAGCGTTTCCGCTGCTGCCATCCCCATTACCTGGACGCAACAAAATGGTCAGCCTCGTCACCCGAGTTTCTAGAGATCTGCAAACATTAACATATGCGAGCAGCTGCGTTCAACGACGTCTCGACAAATCCTCAGTACCAGGCGCTGAAGCGCAGCCAGTCTCTCTCCTTCGGTTGGCAGCTCTCAGGAGCAGCACTCAATAGCAACGAGGTCGATGGATTGTGCAACACCCTCAGCGATGGGAAGTGCGACAAATGGGTCGAGATGGGTCTTGACCTCGCAAGCCTCCAAGGTACGTACCAATTCATGGCTAGCAGTGACCCTATACTTCGTATTTGTTGACATGTGACAGGACCAATCTGCAACTCCACCCACACTCACCTCAACGCCACCGATGCTTTCCCCAAGGTCGCCGACGCGAACAGTCAAGCCTTCAGCGTCGCCCTCATGAATGCCTTCCCAGCGAACAACAAGGCGGTGCGGTCCTACCTCTGCGACAATCTCCGCTACAAAGCCCTCGACAACTTCTTCCTCAACGCCAATGTCATAATCGACGCCACTTGCACCGCTTCCAACACCGCCATCCACCCTGAGCCCTTCTCTGCCGTCGGCCCGCCGCCCACACAAGCAGCCATCGACGCCTACCAAAACGCCCGCAGCGTTCTCTATGCCTGGGAATACGCCAGCCAAGCGGAAAGCTCCAGTCAACTGAACCAATACTGCGCCCACGCACCCGACTACCAATCCAACTGGCAAGCTCTCCAACTCAACGCCACACAGGTCCAAGAGACTCTCTGTTCTTTCCAGCAGCCCATCTCCGCAGAAGAAGGCAGTGCCGCGATGAGACAATGGACCAGTGTGGCTTTCATCGTTGCTCTGGAAAACATCAGCAACGTCAACATGTGGCTCGGATGGCTCTGTAGCCAACTCGACAGCGAGGGCATGGATTCCGTCGGGCTGGATGGTTCTCTGGTCAAGCAGAGTGTTTGCAACGATTCCGCTAGGAACTAGCCTGCCACAGCTCTGGGAGGAACGGAGTTTCTTTGATTCAGCAGCGTGGCATTTTTCTTGTCTTCATCATTATGAGAGCCGATTGGGTTGGTTGGACTCACAGCACGAGCTACTTCTTGTCTCTTTTTACTCATGACTTGACGGACGGCTTTCCGAGACGAAACGAGTACAGTCTGGTACATAGACAATGACAATGTTAAAAGTCTAAAATGGCCTGGCCTGAGTACAGACCTCGATCATGTCAAAAGCCAAGGATACAGAGCACACATGAGGTGCAGTTCTGCGGGGGCACGGACTACGGGGGGGTCATCAACCCTTGTCCCCTTCATTCGAGTGACTGACTCGTTCGAGGCGACCAGACCTCACTCCAAACATTGAGAGTTTGGATAGTGTCACGGATAGGAAAGAGAGGAGGAGCAAAGCTCAGAAATTGTGGCATTCGCTCGCATTCTTCGCATCTCAGTTCCCATTTCTACAATGTTGTAGTCTTATCATGTACACGATGGGGTATCTCCCTTGTAAAATGCCCGGACCCGTCCTTCCAACGCCAGGCTAATGCTCGTCGTAACATCATTTGCGCTTCCAAAAGCGTCTGCCCACCTGTCTGCAGCGGCTTCATCAGATTATTAAGCGACGTACATCTGGTCCTCGTCGCTGCCGGGCGCAGACTCCTCTTCCTCTTCCTCTTTCTCTTCCTCCACTGCGAGCCAAGGGTGTCGCAGAGCAAGCTCTGCCGTGATACGCTTGTCCGGGTCGAGTTCTAGACAGCACTTCATGAAGTCGATGGCTTCTCGTTCCTCATCGCTGATGCCACCATCTCCCTCTCTCTTGTTGCGACTAGTGCACCACAGAATGATCTTCTCCCAGGAATGGCCGCCGTCGGAGATGGTGGGGATGTTGGTGTGCATGACTTGGCCGTGCAGCATGGCGACGTCTTTCATTCTCTTCTTGCCGAAGATGGTGCATAGCTCGATGAAAGCGTCGATATCGTCCGCGGAGTGGAAGAAGGGGAAGCGCTTGGACAAGAAGGTGAGCAGGATCACGCCGCAGCTCCACACGTCTAGTTGACAACTTTGAGCGGTGCACTTGAGGAGGACCTCTGGGGCCCGGAAGCCACGAGTTCCTGCTCTGTTGGCACGGCGAGAGGCGCGCGGATCGTCTTTAGGGTGCGATGGTTGTGGGAGTGGTTGGCCGGAGTTGTGGTGTGCAAGTTTGGTCGCGTGCCAGACAGAATTGTTGACGCGTCTCTGTCTCTCGCCTGATTCGAGTTCGCAATTGCACTTCTGGTAGTCGGTTCCTTCTCGCTCTGCCAAACCAAAGTCCACGAGAACTCCGCGTCGTTGGGCGGGAGAGTAGAGGAAGTTGGTGGGCTTGATATCCCGGTGGATAATCTCTGCCTCATGCACCGATGCCACCGCAGTGAAGAGGCTGTGGAAATAGATGCGCATCTCCTCGAAGGTGAATTCGCGAAAGTAGTCCCGAAAGTCTTTGTGCTGGAAGAAAGGCAGGATGGCGATGACTTGGTCCTGATGACGGAATGCTGTGATGAGCGGGCAGACGTTGGGTGAGTCTTTCAGGTCGTGAAGCAGTTCCAGCTCATTGAGGATTCGGTTCGGCGAGGAGGTCACGTAGATCTTCTTAATTGCCACATATTTGGGCTTGTGCTGTGTGGTCGGCTGTTTGGAGGAGGTTATGTTTTCGAGATTCTCCTTTTCGGCGTCTGGGTCCCAGTTGTTGACATATCGATCGTACAGCAGGTCCTCGGCTTTGTAGACGGTGGAGAAGGTACCCTCCCCAATGCGGTTGATGAGACGGTACCGCGAGCCGATGTTTCTGAAGGTTTGCTCGAAACTTTCCATGTCGTCCAGGACGCCTTCGTCGACTTCCTCGGCCTCCTCGTCGGAGACTGTGCCACCGCTCTCCTCCAGCGGACCTCTGCTCTCGTCCATCTCGGAAGTCTCGTCCTCGGTGCTCTCGCCGCCGTGGATGCGGTCAGGCTCGTCCTCGTGCACGACGACCTGCTCGAGTGCTCTCCTCCCCACCGTCGCCATGTTTGCGGGTGGAGTGAAGCGCAATTCTAGATCAGGCCGGGAGTATTACCTCAGCCACCGAGACAGCAGTCACACTCATGGATAAGAATACAAAGGCAACAGCTTGTGCAGTGCAGAGGGAAAGTTCGACATTGAAGGCTAAGGTGTTGCACGCGGGCAGGCGCGACGCGCTAAGCCCGGAACGGCAACACCACAACAGAGGAAAGTGCGCCTAACAACACTCGTCAACAATCTCCGCGACACACGCCCGATCCTGGATCCTACCAACATCTTCGCGCTGCATTGCGCATATCTGTCGCCATGATGAGCGACTTCAATATCAGCGACGCCCTTACGGCGTATCTCGACGATCCACACGCGATCCCGACTCCAGACGCAGACCAGGCGCTCGTCGACTGCGAAAACGACCCCGACGCCTTCTCGCCAGGCCTCGTCAACAGCGTACTCAATGCAATAGTCGATGCGATTGGAGAGAATCCTCAGGCGATTCTCCAAGCAAGCCACCTGGACAGCTTGCAGTTTCTGCTCAAGTGCGTGCCCGGACGACCCCCCGAACAGCACTCTGCTGTGCAAACAGAGAACCGCCATTCTAACAGTGAGCTTTTTGCTCTTTCTAGACAAGCCTCCTTCCTCCCGACCGCATCGCTCGGGAAAGTCTTCGATCTCGTAATTAGTGGTCTGGGTGCGGAGGCAGAGATTGTGCACCATGAGGAACACGAGGGCGAGACGGAGATCGCGCAGCACAAGCAAATACTGGAAATTTTCGCTTTCCTCCTGCAATGGTGCATTTCGGCAGTAGAAGCCAAGAGCGCGGAGAGGCCTGCTGCGCCTGCGAGAGGAAAGGGTGCAAAGAGCAAGGCTGGACAGAAGGATGGCAACTGGGACCCTTCCGGCCAGTTGCAGACCGCACTGGATACCATGGCTAAGGTCATGAAGCTGAAGCTCTCCAGGATCTTTGTGACGACAAGCGAGCGGGACACATTTATCGGGCTGTTCACAAGACCGACCTATCACATTCTCGAGAGCGAGACGAGAGTCAAGAGCGCAGCGATTCGAATGCACGCTTTCAAAGTCCTGTGTGTCGCCATAAAACATCACGGGCACGCCTATGGTGCGCAGACTAGCATCATCCAGAACTTGACCTACTTCGAGCACCTCGCGGAACCGATGGCTGAGTTCCTCCAGATTTTGGCTGAGCAATACGATTACGCGCAGCTTGCAGAGGAGGTCATGAAGGAGCTATCAAACAAGGAGTTCAGTGCTAATGACACCAAGGGGCCCAAATCCGTCTCAACTTTTGTTGCACGTCTCTCCGAACTGATTCCGCGGGTCGTGCAGAGACAAATCACATACCTGGCCAAGCTTTTGGAGAGTGAGAACTACACTCTTCGCTGCGCAATCATCGAAGTCTGCGGCAACTTGATCTCTATGCTGTCAAAATTGGAGGAGAGCGAGCGTGGAGAACAGACCAAGGGCCAAATCAATGCGTTCTTCGATGTCCTGCAGGAACGATTTCTGGATGTCAATCCCTACTGTCGATGCAGAGCCATTCAGGTCTACGCCAAGCTGTGCGATTTGGACACTAAATACCCTAAGCAGAGGCTGAGGGCTACTGAACTGGCAGCCCAGAGCCTGGAGGACAAGTCGTCCAATGTGAGACGAAACGCTATCAAACTCCTTGCGAAACTCATCGGCACTCATCCATTTGCTTTGATGCACGGGGGCCAGCTGAGCCATGAACAGTGGAGCGAGAGGTTAGAAGCATGCGAAAACGAGATTGCCAAGTTGAAGCCTCCCGCTGGAACTCCTGGCCTGGGCGAGCGGGCAGAGAACGAGCAGACCGTCGACGCGAGTCTGCTGAATGAGCCGACGCAAGTGGAGAGCAGCAACAAGGACCCGCTCAGTGAAGAAGAGAAGATGGCTGCTCTCGAGAAAGCCCAAGAGCAGGCTGCGACTGCTGAAGCCATTGAGAAGCTCAATCTGACCCGTCGCTATTATGTCGAGGCGCTCCGCTTCATCGAGACACTACACGAAGCATCGCCTCATGTCACACAGCTTCTCTCGTCGAAGAACAAGAGTGAGGTGATTGAGGCCATGGATTTCTTTGTCACGGCAGATGCATACGATCTCGAGACGGCAAGAATTGGCATCCGGCGCATGCTGCGTCTGATCTGGACCAAAGGGAATAGCGACGAAGGCAAAGGTGTCCAGACGCATCTGATCGAGGCATACAAAGGCTTGTTTTTCACGGCACCAGGCAACTTCAACGCGAACGATGCTGCGAACTATGTCGCTAGGAACATGATCAGCTTGACATTTGGCTCCAGTCCAGCTGAACTCACCAGTCTGGAGCAATTGCTTGCAACTATGATGAAGGAGAAGTTCATCAACGACCTGGTCATTCAAAAGCTTTGGCAAGTGTATGGTGTCCAGAAGAAGGAGATATCCAAGTCGCAGCGTCGGGGAGCGATCATCGTTCTGGGCATGTTGGCATTAGCTGATCCAGATATCGTCGTAAAGGAGATGGAGACTTGTCTTCGAATCGGTCTTGGTGGAATTGGGCGACGAGATCTGGTACTCGCTCGATACACGTGTATCGCTCTGATGCGCATGACCAACAGCAAGCCAGCGAAAGGGACAGAGAGCAAGCCCAGCACGCGACTTACCAACGATCATGTCGTGCTCATTCGTCTTGCCAGCTTGTTGGAGATTGAGAGTGAAAACCGAGATTGGTATGGTCTGGCCGAACAAGCCATTGGCGCCATCTACGCACTTTCAAAGCACCCAGACGTGCTGTGCTCCGAGATCGTTCGACGTAAGACAAAAGCTGTGTTTGCGCGGAAACCAGAGTCTGCTGCGCGGAAGAACCCAGAAGACCGCGACCCGAGCCAGATGGACAACGACGGCGATGTGGAAATGAGTGACATGCCTGAAGATGCTCCAGCGGAAGCAGAGCCTCAGCAAGAAGTCGAAGCGGCGGCATCTGATGAGCCCAGTGGCGGCACCGCGCTGGCCCTCTCGCAATTGCTCTTTGCTGTTGGTCACATTGCGCTCAAGCAGATTGTGCACCTCGAACTTTGCGAACAAGATTTCAAGCGCCGCAAAGCCGACAAGGAAAAGTCCAACCCTGGGTCGGCAAGGAAGGCGCCCGGCTCTCGACAAGTCTCTGCTGCAACGAAGAACGACAAGAAGGAGCATGAGAGTCAAGATGAGCTCGATCTCATTGCTGGAACGACAGAAGATGACTTCACGGACGCCATTGCCCACGTTCGCGAACGCGAGCTGCTTTACGGCCAGCAATCGCTTCTCGCCCACTTTGGACCTCTGGTGAAAGAGATATGCAGCAACAACACATCATATCCCAATGCGGAGCTGCAGGCGCAAGCCGCGCTCTGTTTGGCGAAGCTGATGTGTTTGAGCTCGGAATATTGCGAGGCCAATCTGGGCCTCCTGATTACGATACTGGAGCGCTCGCCGTCTTCGATCACCAGGAGCAACCTCGTGGTGGCTCTTGGAGACATGGCAGTCTGCTTCAACCACCTCATCGACGAGAACACCGACTTCCTCTACCGCCGTCTGTCTGACGCTAGCCTCCAGGTCAAGAGAACCTGCCTCATGACCTTGACCTTCCTGATACTTGCTGGGCAAGTGAAGGTGAAGGGTCAGCTGGGCGAGATGGCCAAGTGCGTGGAAGACAGCGACGAGCGGATGCGGGAGATGAGTCGGATGTTCTTCGCTGAGCTGGCGGGCAAAGACAACTCGGTGTACAACCACTTCGTCGACATGTTCAGCTTGTTGTCTGCGGACGAGGGTCTGGAGGAGGACAGTTTCAGGAAGATTATCAAATTTCTGGCAAGCTTTATTGAGAAGGTGCGTCACGTTGCTTGCATCGAGGGTGGTTATTGTACTGACAGTATACTCTACAGGACAAGCATGCCAAACAACTGGCGAGCAAACTGGCGGCCCGACTGCAGCGAGCCGAGAGCGAGCGACAGTGGAATGACGTCGCATATGCTCTCGGTCTGCTGCCGCACAAGAATGAAGATATCACCAAGATGGTGGCTGAAGGCTGTCGAGTGGTGGAAACGAATGCATGAAGTTATGAATGAACGAGGCTCATACTTGCTCATTCGTGCTCCGGGGGTGGTGCATATAGGGATCTTGCGGGCGTCGCGCTTTTCGTATAATCTGCTTCGTCGATTGAGCTCCATTATTGTTCCGGCAACAGAAGCACGTCCCATTGTCCCGGCTCATCGTGCTCCAGCTTCACGCCTGCTGACCAGGTAACGAAAGCTCGATATCGCATGGACCTTCCCAATGCGGAAATGCTGGAACTCCAATACACCACGGTCGAATGAGGGGCAAGCTTGCCGTCGCTCCCAGCCCAGAAGGCCTCGTACCGCCATGATGATGAGACGAAAATTCGATTTACGGGCAACGACCAACGAACTATGGTCTTGATAGGCCACTTCGCCACCGGCCAATTGTAACGGAAATGAGAAGTCGAGCAGAGGTGTACAGGACGATTCCATTGCTCACCACAACATCTCGTAAGGCAAGTAGATGCAGAGGAGGGACCCACATGTAAGGTAGCTTGCACCTGCACCTGCGCCGGCTCGACCTCGATCTTATCTCCTCTTCCAACAAACAGCAGATATAAATTGACCGTCCTTCCTCCTCTCCGAATTCCCCCAATCATCTCATCAATTGACATCTCTCTCAGTCACACACACAAGAATCATGGCAGCAGCAGCAGCAGACCCCATCTCCACCTCCCTGCCCACCCGCCCGGCCAACCCATCCACCATCCACCCTCTGGCCCCCATCAACCGCGACGAAATCCAAGCCGCCGTCGCACTCATCCGCGCCCAATGGCCCCCGGGACAGGATCTCCATTTCAAAGCCATCACGCTCCAGGAGCCCGCCAAAGCGGAGACCCTGCCGTACCTGGAAGCGGAATTCCACGGCCGTAGTGGTGACGGTGGCGGCGAATCCCATCATATCGATCGCAAGGTCTTTGTTACGTATTATCTCCGCAAGACGGTGAGTATATCGAGAATGAAAAATCGAAATTGAAAACGACGTGGCTGGGAGAGAGTGCTTGCTCATGTGTCTTTCTCCTCCTAGAATAAATTCCACGAGGCTGTCGTGAATCTCACACAGCAAGCGGTGGAGTACAACGTGAGGTTGGGCGCGAACCTGCACGCCCCGGGTGACGGGGAGGAGATTTCTGCCATGGAGAAGATCGCGTTGGAGGATGAAGGGGTGCAGGCTGCATTGGCCGAGTTGAAATTACCCGAGGGTGCGAAGGTGGTGGTGGATCCTTGGATTTACGGTATGTTTGGAGGATATATCCATCCAGAGGCGAGGGCTGCTTTTTTCCTTCCACATCAAGCTCACAGTTCCCCAGGCTCGGACGGTATCGACGACGATGAGAGGTTGTGGCAATGCTTCATGTACTTGCGCGACCCGCTCAACTCCGACGAGGCGGATTCGAACCACTATGCGTTCCCCTTGAGCATCTCCCCGGTCATCAGCTGCGCGGAGATGAAAGTCATTCGGATCGACCGCTTGCCCACCGGAAAGGATAACACCATCACCGCGGCCAGGCCATGGAACCCAAAGCCTGCGAACGAATACGTGCCCGAATACCAGAAACTGCGAACAGATCTGAAGCCGCTCCAAGTCGTACAGCCCGAGGGCGCCAGTTTTGTCGTCTCGGAGCAAGGGACGTCGAACGTCGTCGAATGGCAGAAATGGTCGTTCCGCGTCGGCTTCAATCAGCGCGAAGGCATGGTGCTGTATGACGTCCGGTACGAGGGCCGGAATCTGTTCTACCGTCTCGCGCTTTCGGACATGAACATCCCGTACGCGGACCCGCGGCATCCATTCCATAAGAAAGCGGCCTTCGATCTTGGAGATGCTGGGGCGGGGATTATGGCTAATGATCTGAAGCTTGGCTGTGATTGTCTGGGGTCGATTCATTATCTCTCCGCGACTCTGGCTGATGATAAGGGCAATCCCCTCGAGATGCCGAATGTCGTCTGTATCCATGAGCAAGACGGTGGGATCGGATGGAAGCATACCAATTACCGTACTGGCCGCGCAGCCGTGGTTCGCAACCGGGAACTCGTCATCCAGAGTATCATCACGGTCGCGAACTACGAATGTGAGTTCCCACCCAAGCACTATGATGATGATGAAGAAGATGAGAAAGAAGAACAACACACTAACCTGTTTCCCCCATTCTCCTGCTAGACATCATGGCTTTCATGTTCAACCAAGCCGGCGAACTCACCTACGAAGTCCGCGCCACCGGAATCCTCTCCACCCAACCCATCGACGACGACATCCAGGTCCCCTGGGGCACCATCGTCCACCCGGGCGTGCTCGCGAGCCACCACCAACACATCTTCTCCCTCCGCGTCGACCCCATGATCGACGGGCCCCGCAACCGCCTCGTGTACGACGAAGCGCACCCCATGCCCCGTTCGGATTTCAACCCTCACGGCACGGGCTACACCACTACCGAGACTCTCGTCGAAACCTCGGGAGGCTACAATATCGACTATGAAGCCAACCGAATCTTCAAGATCCAGAATGCAGGCAAGAGGAATGCCATCAATGGAAAGCCTGTCGCGTACAAGATTCACGCCCCGCCGTTTCAGAAAATGCTCTCGGACGAGGAGAGTTTTAATTTCAAGCGGGCGGAATTTGCAGATAAGAATTTGTACGTGACAAAGTACGCGGATGGGGAGCTTTATGCTGGTGGTGAGTCTCGAATCATCTTTTTTTTTTCCTCAAGAGGGGAAGCAGTGGAAGTTGTGAAACAGAAATTGACCGTGAACATCAGGTCGATACACCAATCAATCGCGAGGCGGAAGCGGAGTACGCGCATGGGCGGACCGCAAGGACAACATCGTCGACGAGGACCTCGTGGTCTTCGTGCAGTTCGGCATCAACCATGTAAGCACCGCATTCCAAAGCAAGATTCCTTGTCGTCTTTTCGGCATCCAGGCATTGCCCCTGCTGATTCAAGAGTGAATGTTCCAGATTCCACGCATTGAAGATTTCCCTGTGATGGTACGTATACCCCCAAGAACATACCTCAACGGACATTCACATCTCCGTCTTCCGACGTCTTGGCGTGCTGTCGCTGATACTTGAGGTGTTTCATTTTAGCCGTGCGAGATCATCAAAGTGGCGATGAAGCCGGTGAATTTCTTCGACAGGAATCCCGCTCTGGATGTGCCGCCGAGCACGCAGCAGTTCAACCAGAGCGTACTGCTGAGTGAGCAGCACCACCAGGGTTTTGCCGAGGGCAATGTGCAAGCTGATGGCGGCTGCTGTGCCGCCTCCGCGAAGCTATAGCCTAGCGCGGTCAGGGATGCGTGGTCTTCGAGATACGCACTAACTGCACGATACGCCAGTATACGCTCGTTCTCACATGCAGAGGAGGCATGGAACCGAAAGATTCGCCTCATTATTGCCTTGCCATGATGCTCATGCTCATCATAATTTCCAATGGAGTTTCAAGCCCAATGTCCACTGATGGAAAGCCTTGCTGTTTTGGCATTTGTAGCAGCAGTCTCTGCAGTCTGTGGCATGGCTGCAGCATGCATTAGCCCGTGTATGAGGCGGTATGATGAAGTCGGACAGCTCATCACGGGCCAGAGTGGCGAGTCTTCGGCGACGAAGAAGACACAGCCCTCGATCTGGTTGTTTTTGAAATGGCCGTCAGACTGCGGTCAAGTGGTGTGTACCTACGCACATGCTGTTGCTGCTGACTGGCGATAGTTTGTGATGGTTGCAGAGGTACAGCTGAGAAGGAGGGCGAGAAGAGTGTTCTGATGGTGGCACAGCGAGCACGGGTTGGCACGGTTAGTATGCGTGTGAGGTTGTCTCGCAAGCTCGTAAGCCACATTGCGCAGCCAGCGCAAACCTTCTCGTACTCCATCTCAGGTTCGAAGGAGTGCGGAGTCCGTGCTCGTAGGCCGTGTGCCATGCGTCTGGCCCGTGAACTTGTGGGGAGACGGATCTTGTCCTCATGAGGCAGCCCAGCACCACGCAACACATCGCTCGCGTCCCGCGGTTGAGATAATGAGAAATGGAAGCTACACGATTCGACTTTGCCAACGGAATTGAGCCCGTGGACCCTTCGGTTGGTGAATGCAGATGCTTCAATGACTCGTCTTCGGGGATTATCGTGCACAGCTCTCACACGACAGGTTGACGGTGCGGACTCGAAGTCCCATCCGCGTGGTCTCATTTGTGACTTGCGTGATGAGGCGAGACGGCGTGAGCTCCTTCGAACTATAGATATGTGTTGTCGACTTCTGAAGACGGTGGGTGAGATCGAGCCGCGTGATTGCGATTGTTAGGAAGAGGAATTGTCATCAGGTGAGAGGGCGGTGAGAGCGGTGAAAGCCATCGGAGGATATGCTAGTAAGGGCTTGCTGTAACCTGATCCGGGTCATGATGTTGAAACGCGTATGCACGCTGAATCAAGATCGAGATGGAATGAGCGCGGTGAGCAGCGCAGCGCCGCGCAGGGCTGAAGGCGATTGGCGCCATCCCGCTCTCTGCGTACCACGGCCACGACTGTCCGAACGGGACGAGTCCGGTGAGCTTGTGGGTTCGTGATGCCATACAAAGTGGTCGACGTAGCTTGTCCCTGACCGACTGTGCTTTTGGCGTCTGGAGTGTTGGCCAGCGGTGACAGAAGTTGATTGAACCGCTCCTTCCCGCCCCGGTGGACCTTGTCGGTCAGAGCAGCTGCGCAGCAGCATGCTTCAACCCTCTCCCGTGGCTTGTTGGCCATTTCCGACAATGTTGACGAGCCGGTCGAATGCACGATACTGTCTGAAGGCGTCCCGTTGGGCGATTGCTGCAGTTCGCTGCAACCATTGTTTCGTTTCCCATCTGTCTTTCGTTGTCGGGATCAATGCCGGCTTTGCAATGCCGTCTCGGACCGCCGGGCGTGGCCATGAGGAAGGGAGATGGGACGTGGTGTGGTTGTTATTCTGGAAGTCGATGCCATGAGGTGTCATTCAACCCTTGCATGTGGTCTAGTCCTGTCCTTCCCGACGCTGCTGTGCGACGTGACTACTGCACCTCCCGGCGCTGTGGAAGGATGGGAACATGGGTGCCGGGCAGGTGCTTGCCGTGTCAGTTACACCGGGAGGCATGCATGGCGAATCCTCTTGCCTCTCCTCCTCCTCCCAGACGCAGACGCAGCCAAACGCCATCAGACCAGACGGCGGCCCAGCGGTTGCGGTGCCAGGCAGGCGCTTCGAACGCGAGCCTTCTCCGCAAAGTGTATGCACGACATCAATGTCTGTCACACGAGACAGCTCGCTCCTATAGGCAGGGAGAAGGATGAGCGAGCCAATGAAGGATGGGATGGTGAGTCGAGAAGGAGAGGCGATGCCGTTGTGGGCGGGGTGTGGAAGTGTGGAAGCAGAAGCGTGGGACGATCACCTCGCAAATATACGGTGTGAATCCGTGTGACACCACAATGCTCTCCCGCACTTAGCTGGCACGCGAGGTAGAAGTACCTAGAAGTACCCAGCACAGCAGGTTCGGGAGAAGCAATATCTCGCTGGGTGCTAGTCTCGTCCCGCACCCGTACCGCGACGTACCGCAGCGTACCGCGCCGCGCCGCGCTTGGTTCATGGCCACCAACCTTCTCTGATTCGCACAGCTGGGTAGCTGAGGTGATTCTGTGTTATAACAGGTATCAGTGGTATACCTCCTGGGCG